CGCCCTTTTCCCCAGAAATAAAAGAAGAGAAAAGCCTACTTTCGTGTTGTCCACTTTTTATTATTTTTTCCCACTCACCACTTTCTTTACCCCGCACAAAGGCTGATTCTTCAACAAAAATCGGCCACCCAACAGATATAATATACAGGGCACTCGGGGGCATATCGTGCACCTATCCACATTCATTTATTTTATCGATCCATATATATAGCGACTCGAGATTTTAAAGTTGCTCCAGTGTCGGAACATGGATATTGCAATCATGCAATACCATAAACCCGGAACGGAACAAACAGACCCCCGAGTCACGGGGGAACAACTATATTAGGAACTCAAGTAGCTACATGAATCGAACACATTTCACACCACTTTGCATAACGTATATACTAAGAATCTAGGACGAACCATACCCTTTTCCAGTATATATAGTGCAACGTGTGAACCCTGTCCTTTCAACGTAGTTGATCGACAGCTATAGTGTCTATAATTAATAAGTCTGGACCTGTTTCGAAGGGAAAGTTTTAAAGAAGAGATAAGCCATTTCTTTTTACAGGACACTTTTTTGCTTCGATAAGTGTTAACCGGGCCTTACATACGTTACATAAATTACACTTAATTTCAGACCCTCGCTACACGAGGGTCCGCCACCCAAATGGACTGGATCACCCAAATGGACTATTTTTCTAAATTCCTACAACCACCACCTTTTTATCCACCACCCCACTAAAGATGCCTTCAGATAATAAAGACATTGAAGATCGGATTATTAAAGCCCTCGAATCCCTCCATACTCAATCAAAACCAAATATCACGAAAACTGCACGAGAATTCGCGGTTCCTCCCCATATAGACCCAACAACAAAACCACCACAAATCGGCGACCATTGGTTAAAACGGTTCCTTAAACGTCATCCTGAATACCATCGTCGACGCCGGCAAGCAATTGATGTTGAGCGAAGCCTTGCTCTTGATAAAACTATGGTTGAGCGATGGTTTAAAGACTATAAGCGTGTCATCATAGAATATAATATCTGTCAACAGGATATCTATAATTTTGACGAGACTGGCTTCCAAATTGGTGTTAGAAGAGACCAATGAATCATTACAAGAGAGCCAAAGAAGAAGTTATTTAATGGTTCTGTGACCAATCGCGAATCTGTTACCTGCTTAGAGGCTGTCTCAGCTGATGGATTTACTTGCCCGCCGCTTATCATCTTAAGCGCGAAGCAGGCTCTATTGCGTTGGTTTGATAGAATTCAAGATGAGCGTACCGCTATCGCTATCACTGATACTGGCTATATCAATGATCAGCTAGCATACCAATGGATTCAATCATTCCATAAATGGACTATTGGTCGTACAGTTGGTAAGTGTCTAGACATGTGCATGGGTTGGGTATGGGTCAAAATTCATACCCATACCCAACCTGTGAAGGGCTAAAGCTAATCTTGAATTCAGAACTAGCTAGGCACATGCTATTTACAAAATCCTTGAAGAACGTGAACAATTCGGGGTGGAATCGTGAGGTATGCGGTTGGTGGGTCACGTGGTACAACCACGTGATAGTTCACCAGGATTCAACCTGTTACACAACCCATCAGGGGTAAGGTAAACCCATACCCATATGGGTATTTTTGATGCCTTAATGCCTGATTTTCGCCTCAACCTAAACTAAATTAGGGTAATTAGTGCCTTAGTGCCTAATTTTTGCCTCAATCTAGTACTAACTAGGTGACAAATATCACGTGAAATAAAAGTCTTGGCAAAAAGATGGGTTTATGGGCTGGGTGTGGGTTTTACTTCAAACCCATACCCAACCCATATGGGTTTTGGGTAAAATTTCTGACCCATACCCAGCCCATTGTGGGTTGGGTTGGGTTGGGTATGGGTTTACCCAACCCAATGAACATGTCTAGGACGAACCATACCCTTTTCCAGTATATATAGTGCAACGTGTGAACCCTGTCCTTTCAACGTAGTTGATCGACACTAATGCTAATTCTAATACTAATTATATATATTTTAGGTAAAAAACGCCTTATTTTATGTGATCAATTTGGATTTCACCTTACAAGGCAATTTATCAAGTTTTGTGAGGACCATAATATCATCCTCTTCTTTTTACTTGCACACACTAGTCATATACTTCAGCCACTTGATGTTGGTGTCTTTAGTGTCTATAAACACTGGCATAGTCAGGCTATTGAAGCTGCAACAGTGACCGGATGTCAAAAGTTTACATATAGAATATATGGACCTGTGAAAATGAGGCCGAAAATGACAGCTTCTGGCGCCAGAAACGGCTCCCTTTCCACCCGTAATTTTGGACGGCAAGAAGCTGCTTCACCGCCCATCGCCCTCGACCACACTATAACGTGCGTCACGGTTGACCGAGCGTCCCGGTTGGCCGAGCGACACCTCAAAATATTTACCCCGAAATCGACCCTCCTTTTTCTAACACCAACAATGCCTCCAATTCGCACTCAAAAATCGAAAGATTTGGAGCAGCAGGAGAGTAAAGTCTTATTAGTAATTCAGGCTATTAAAGATGAACGATACTCCTCTGCTGCTGCCGCTGCTCGCGCCTTTTCAGTTCCTGTCTCAACTTTGAAAGCGCGAATCCAAGGTCGCAAATCGAAGGCCATAACTCGCCATTCTCGCCATAAATTCTCTAAAGGTGAGGAGAAATCGATGGAAAAATGGCTCCTTGATATGGACGCAAGAGGATTCGCTTTTTCGCATGAAATGTGCCGAAATATGGCGAATCTGCTCCTCCGCGCCCGCGAAATTGTCCCCTCCGACACCCCCCTAAAGTTGGCAAAAACTGGGTGACAGGATTCCTTCAACGCACCGAATCTCTTCATACGCGAAAATCTCGGGCGCTTGATATCCAGAGGGCGCAGACAGAAGATCCACAAGTCATCCAAGGGTGGTTTAATCTCGTCCAGAATATAGTCACAAAATATGGTATCCTTTTAGAGGATATCTATAACTTCGATGAGACTGGATTTGCGATGGGTGTTATATCTTCAGAGTATATTATATGCTCCTCAGATTACCATGGTAAACGAAGGCTTCTTCAAGCTGGAAATCGAGAGTGGGTTACTTGTTGCGACAGCCGAGAAACAAGGCCATCAACAGACGGAAAAAGCTTCTGCCGAGACAGTGACTCGGGAACTAGATTAGTATATCACGGCATCCTTGAACGATATGCATTCATCGCAAACGACACCCTTGAGCGATGTGCATTCGCGACAGTAATGTCCCGTCTTCACCGTCTCTTCTGTCTCGGACGAATGTTGACATTCGTCCAGAGCAGAGGGGCACCCATATACTATAAGTAGCTAGTTCTTTCATCAATGAAAAAGCAGACTTCACAACAACCACAATATTCAGTACTGTAGAGACCACTACACTTGGTGGTTTGTCTACGGTGTTGAGTAGTGGTTCGTTGGAGCTCACCGTTCTCAGTCAAGATATTCGAATATCGCCAAGCGAGCGACATTACTGTTATTAAGACTATCAACGCCCAAGGTGTTGCGCTTCCGCCCTATATCATCCTAAAAGGGAAACATTTTATGGAGCGTTGGTTTGACCATCTACCCCCTAAATGGTCACTAAACACTAGCCCAACTGGTTGGACTACAAATCCAATGGGTCTAGATTGGCTGAAAAGCCACTTTATACCTAATTTGGTCCAGAAAGGGAGATATATTCTATTGGTTTTAGATGGTCATTCTTCGCATCGTACGCCAGAATTCGACCAACTATGCGCGGACAACGATATTATTTGTCTATGTATGCCAGCTCATTCATCCCATCTATTACAACCTCTTGATGTAGGATGTTTTTCGGTGCTTAAAAAGGTATATGGAGGCCTGATTAGTGCTGAAATACAGAATGGAGTGGATTCTATTGATAAGGATGATTTCCTCCAAATCTATCCTTATACACACAAAGCAACATTTAAAGCATCTACTATAGTGAATAGCTTCAGGGGCGCTGGTTTAGTACCCCTGGATGCTAATCATGTTTTAGAAAAGCTGAATATCATGGTCGAAAACCACCCTCAAGACCCCCCTCAAGACCCCCCTCACGACCACCCTCAACGCCCTACTTCTTCAAGCAGCAGTGACTCAAATCGGCCTTGGAGCTACTCAAAAGTCCAAAAATCGAATTCTGCTATCAAGAAAGAACTCGAATCTTCCTTAGGAGCTTTAACTTCACCTCTAAAACGACAAATTTATCGGTCGCAAGATGCGCATACTCAGATGGCGATTCGGATGATGATGATGGAAGACCGTATTCAGCGATTGGAGAATACTGCGAAGAGAAAGATAAAAAAGAGAGCGGCTAGCAAGAAGCACAGAGGCCATGAAGGGAGTCTTCGGAGTTTGGAGGAATTGCAGCAAAGCGTGGTTGCTCAGGAGAATGGTAGAGTTGAATATATATCCCTAGAGGATGCTCCTGGACAACCTATAGAAGATGTTCCATTGCCTACTTTACCTACTATTAGGCGACTCGTCACCTGTTCAGGTTGTGGAACCAAAGGCCATATATATACCTAGTGTCCTACACGCGTTAAATAGATAATTAATTCATGTTTTGGTGTTAAAAGTTGATGTTGAAAATCTTAGATTTTTTAAGTTCCAAATGCGTCGCTCGATCAACCGGGACGCTCGGTCAACCGTGACGCACGTTATTGCACCCACCAAGCGCCTTTAGTCATCCTCCTGAGCTGATGTTGGCGGTGGGCCTCAGAAAACTGATCCCCTCATTTCCACTCAAGACCAAAACCGCGCCGAAAATGGCTCCCCTTTGCAGCAACCAGACCCCCCTTTGCCTGGCCCGGTTGGGCGTTATAAGAGGCTTCTCGTCCCCCTCTATGTCCTCCCACCATCATATTCTCTCTGTTTATCGTCCTCCTATCCCGCAAGTTGACAATAGCGTGATTTTTCTAAAATACCTTTGAATCCCAATCTTGATCCCTTGGTACTCTGATGGCACCTGCGCCTGTGCCCCCTGCTCAGCCTGATGAGCATCAGTATTGGACAGATGCCATTCTCTGCGAGGAAACTCGAGCCAGACTTAAACACTTTCGTAATCTTGGATGGCTCCCCATAAATTTAAAACCCAAGACGTTGGAAGGTATCGCTGTTATTGAACGCTACTGGCGGAAGTGAGTACTTATCTCGTCCGCAATGCATCAAATTTGAAAATAACACAAGAGAACAGGTATTGTATGCAATCGAAAGAAGACTACGTCGAATACCTACTTTTGGAGGATCAAGCGATTTACATGAACTTCTTTGATTGGATGTTTAAAACCTCACGAAAAAAGCTGCTTCAATCATACGATGAATACTGGCGTCGTCTTTGTCAATACTTCAGTCTGTTTGCACGCCGCCGCGTCAGCGATGCAGTCCATGAACAGATGCGACGAGTACGCATGTTTACTTTATTTCGCAGGTGGCAAGCTAACGTGGATAATAGTTCCTGGATAACGTGTTCCCGGCCGAGCGCAAGATTGCCCGACGAATGAAACAAAAGAACACCTTAGATGTGGACGTCTTCTGCGTGACTTACCGTCATCACTGGGTTCATTCGACATTTTTCCGTCATGGAAGTATGATTATTCAATTCTCTACAATTCAGCTTTGGTCTGCCATAACTGGGTCTCGACCAGGTGTATTGCTGCCACAAAAAAGCAACTGCCGGGTGATTCATCCTTGGGTAAACGCAATCGAGGCCAAGCTTTTGAGAGTGATCTTCCTAAGTGCACCTCTTTAAATGATCTTCGAGACTCTGTCTGCTACCGAGATATCGAGCTCTTCTATTTGAAAGACCCTCAAAGCAACCGGGATGTTCTGTGCGCTATCATCGAGTTCCGTAATCTCAAAGGTCGTCCAGAAGGCGCCGATGGGTAAGGCCGAAATATTTTCCGTAAAATCATGGCTGATCTACTGCTAAATCTTTATCTCAGGACCAAATTTTTCATGCATGGGGATTACCAACTGGCATATTGCCCTATTGCCCAAATCATTTCATTTGCCTTCCGTGACGGGGCTTTTGAAAACAATCTGACACCAGAGCTCATCTGGCGGCTACGAGTTCCGAAACGCAGTGGATCTCTTCCCCTTCGGTGGAAGCAGGAGGTTCTTGATATCCCCCTCCTTCGACGCCTTGAGCGCACTCCCTACGGTTATGAACTACACAAGACTTTACCAATGACGTATAACTCTTCTCGACAAGCGCTCCGAGAGTTAGGTCGCGATGCTAAATTCGAAGACGATATTGGGCACTACAGTTACCGGCGCTGGGCTGCAAATGAAGTTAATCGTATGTCTACCACAAATACTCATCCCTACTAATCCTCATACTTATTCTAATTCTTGCCTATAGGGAACTTTACCAGCCAGGAACGTCAGAGGGTGCTCGGACAGTCTGGTGACGCTGTATTTGAAAAGCACTATCAATCCCAGTTTATCGGACGTGATCTTCAGCATGTTGTCCTCCTTCGACCGTCTCAGGAAGGTCTCTTACGGGTCGCAGGAAGCATGCTCAGAAAAAGAGACCCATTAGCACCGTCCAAACTTACTAATACGCATAGGCGTGCCATTTGCCAACACCCAGAAATCCTACAGCTTAAAAGGGAGAAGAGAGAGCTTATGGCAGAGATGCGATCCCTCGCCGGGACTGTTAAGAATGCCCGAGAGCGCTTTCCGCACCTCTATCAAAGGCATGAAGCCGCCAAAAAAGAAATGGCCAGACTTCGCAAAATTTTGGCAACCAGTACTCGAGAGACAGCCAGAAAAGACTATTTCCGCAACGCACCTGTACTTGAAGTCGACAGACAGATCAAGCAGCTTCTTGGCGAGCCTGATAATGAAACGTGTAATGCGGACAGTTCTGACGATGAAGACTGGGAGTTGCCTGCCCCGAATTACATTTTTCCTGAACGAGCACGCCTTGTGGAGGACTTTTACGGGCCTGAAGCAGAGATCTTTGACGAAGACAAACTGCTTGCGCGTCGTATCCAGGTTACCAAGGACATGGTTGCGCTCCTAGGGCTCTGCGAGCCAACCCGGCGAGGCAATCGTGTTGATTGGAAATTTGACGACGAGGGTGATGAACTGCTAGACCTGCCAGGGGAACCCTCGTCTCCCGAGGAAGATACTCTGAAATGCCCAACAGATTTCTGCATCATTTGCTATGGCATATCTTGCCGCTCGGCGTCGAACCCTCCTCCGCATAAATTTTCTCCCAAGCGACTCGACTCTCTTCGTCGTCATCTCATCGATTCTCATTTACTTTATGCACACGACGGGATTAGCTGCAACTGGGAAGCTTGTCGTAATCTTCCTAGGTTCGCTAAAATTACCGAATTTTTGGCCCATGCTTTCACAGTACACTCTTATGATGTCAAGATCAAATTGTGTCATCTCCCACAAGTATCACACCTTAACTGCAGCGAAACTTTATTCAGAGAAGTGTCTTTAGAATCAGAAAATCGGCAAGGCACCGAAACCCCTGCCTCCTCCGCTGGTTTTGATATTGCAAATATCGACCCTCGATTGATGGAAAACTGCTCTATTACCGTGATGAAGCCTTTAGCAAACAAGCCATACACTGAAAATTCCTCCTCTACTGGATGTCTAGTGACGAGCACTGATTTGAACTTGGCGGAGATTTCTACACGGCGAGTGACGAGGGGAGCAGCAAAGGCAGCAAATCTAGAACCCGTTCCTGCGCTGGGATCTCCATTACAGCATGCGACGCGCTTGTCTCGAAAACGCGGGCGAACAGACGAGCAGCCCGGGGGGGGACCAAGGGGAAAATGAGCGATCAGGCGATTTGAAAGCGTCCATTATGAAACCTACGCCGCGCCGATCAAAGCGATTACGGGCCCAATGATTTATAGACTTGAGTTTGTATTTTTTTTTTTTCACATTTGGTTGTAATCTAGAACGTTTGTAAATTGTTGATTCTACCTTAAATTCTTCCTACTAAGCAATGAATAACCCATTTTCCCGAAAGAAGCGTGAAATGACACAAGCTGCTTGCCAGGTAGCTCAGGCATAGTGTTTAATCAAACACGACAAGTCAGATTTCTATGAAGAAAACCTACAGGGCAAGATCTTAGATATATATCTACGCCAAACAAGAAAATGCGATTATGTCTTTTGACTCTTGAGGATTTTGGGAAGTGCAAGTACAAATAGTCTTGGTAATTCTTTCTAGATAACTAGATGAAAAATTCAGTTGAGATAACTCTCGAGCATTGGAGCTGAAGTCAACCTATCTGAGCTGACAATTGAAATTGTGTTGGATGTCATGAATGTTATCACGGGATTATGGTGGTTCCGAGACACCATGGTCAATCGTGGGAAATAGGGGATCGTAGGAAACAGGGGATCGTAGGATCGATAAGATCGTAGGATCATAGCAGTTTCGAAAAACTATGGTCAATCGTGGGAAACAGGGTATCTGAGGATCTACAAAAAATCTTATATTTTGCCGAAAAGTATGGTTTATCCCAGGAAAGAAGATTTCGAAAGATAGATACATCGTTGCTTCGAAAATCATGGTCTAGTCGCTGAACATCATTGGACCAAGTTTTCTCGAAGATTTCATGCATGTTACGTGAGAATATAGCAACCTGTGACATCGCGTAGCATATCCCTAGCAGCGGGACTAGGACTACGAGCTAGAGAACAGTGAATACAATCTAAGAACCAGTGTCCAGGCAAGCCACTAGTTAGGCAGCGCATATTCAATGTCGAGGAACTGTGTTGGAATGGCTGTGGTTTCAGGGATGGGGACCCAAGTTGGCGGACTGAAAACCCTTTTAGGTGCAAAACTATGGGCATACGTCCAGTTTAGACTTAGGTCCGCAGCAGGCCGAGAACCACAGCCTTCTGACTACCCAGGCCCGAAGTCTCTGCTTCTAATAGGGTGAGTAAAGTACTCATAGAATAGCAGGTACTAACACTAGTTGAAGCAAGATAGGCAATCAGCTCTTGGCCGATGAGGTGTCCTTCAACGCTAACCAACCTTGAAACAGGTGGTCTTCATCCTCTAACAGCGAAGTCTCTTTAGTTTACTTTCATTATCAGGCCGAAAAACTAATGGTTTCCTGAAGAAGGAAGAATGGCGGTCCATTTTCGGCGCGGTGACCCATAAATTATAATCTCCCGCCTTGGACCGTGGCTCCTAGGGCCAGGCCCCCTGGTCTCGCCAGACTCCCTGGTCCCGCCAGACTCCCTGGTCTCTTTCCTCTTATTTCTGTTGCCTGTCTTTACTGCATGTATTCTAATTGTTCAAATCTATTAGCGCCTCTGTTTCTATAGTTAAGAGTACAGTAACGCTTTTCCTAAGCCGGTGATGCACTGCAGATTATGATAGAAAGGGTATTTAACAAATTTAGAAAGAAAATTTGACCAAAGAAACACCAGGTTCCAAAAGAGGCTTGATTTTGTCGGTTTAAACACGATGATGCCTTTTCTTTGCTTCCTCGCACTACATCTTTTGACTCTACAATTAGATCCATCTCGTGAGTGAGACCCTCACGTTCCTGGGATCCAGAGCATTGTTTCTAGCAATGCTCTAGGTCACTCCTAGGAACTAGAATAGTAGTTCCCAGAGGACCTGTGACTCCCAGGAGTGATGATAGTGCTCCGGGGAACGAGCGTTTAGCAATAACGGTACCGGTAGATTGGGGGATCTAGGAACACCAATCGGGGTCCTAGGAGCAACCAGGGACTTGCAAAGAGAAGCTGACTTGCTGTGACAGATCGTGGATGCATGGATCAAACCACTACTTATGCTTGAACCCTGACCCTTGCTGTAAGACTTAGATCTAATGCGGTTGGGTGACCGTAAATAAGAGAAGAACGATAGTTGAAATGACTATTACTGAAAGGAGGATATGAGTGGGTTCGTTAAACCGTGGTTGGGTCAATTGATACTGAGAACAATTCTCGAAGATCCCTTTAAGGTTGCTACGGCCTTAGAACTAAATACATGAGAGGAGTGGCGAGCCCTATCCCCTTACCCCTCCTGGGGCATTGGGTCTTGTTTCAAGGCACCGAGGATCATCGTCATCTTACTATCTATCCCGTAGGGACAATATGATAGATCGTATTTGATCGGGCCGTCTCCAACGGTCCACATCTCTGTCATTTTGGTCCTGTATGGATTCCGAGTTCTTCCTCAGTCTAATCTTTTCCCATAACGTATTGTGCCGTTACACTTGCTCCTGGAACCCTTGGCCGATTGGGAGCCGCATCAAATTGAGGGCCGCAGTAAACGTTCTTTTTGTTTCTGTAGAGCTCAGTGAACATCAAAGACTGGTCAACGATCAGGCTTAGCGTTTCTCTCAGAATTACGGTTTCCCATCATTATCCATCATTCAATATCCAAAAGTTTTAGATGTGATCTCTTATAAATTGACAATGTATTTTGTGACCAACATTTTTCGGCGGGCCTTAATTTTTCGCCATCTACCAGGCCTTCTTTATCACACCCATCATCAATGCACCATCCAGTGGTTCTGTAGATTTTTCCATAGCGGGCTTCGGCCTCATTCAGCATCACTGTTCCAGCATTACCCAAAACAAACTCTATCATTGGCGAAGACGACCCATGATGTAGTGCCTGTAGACCAAATGTGTGCGTCAGGTCATTTTCTTGGAGATACTTGAAGAATTCCTCAAAGAAAGATGTGCCGACATCGCTAATATCAATTAGTGGTCCTTCCCGGTACTCAAAAGCCACCAGTTTTCCATCAGCAGATAGCTTAAAATGTGTCCATGTATGTTGGTGATGTCAACTTCCTCGATGAGGACAGGCTTTGTCCAACATCCAGCTGGGCTGTCAAAGTAATGTCCCAACATCACTTTATTTCTCGGAATTTTAAAATGTCCGTGGATGAGATGGATGCCAAATTTGTCTTTGACATTGTGGCGTATCAGAATTATTCTGATATTTTGAGCATTATCGGGAAGAAGTGGTGGCTGCACTTCGTCTGATGGAAGCTGATTGTATCTAAAATCATTATTAGTAGAAGCAGGGTATTTAAATGTATTATAAACGTACTAGATGACTGTTTGAGATCAGCCAAAGTCGGTGGGACGTAAGCCAGGAATGGTAGTTTTTGTAATGACTGAAACTGTCGGAACATATATACGTAATTACCTTGATCTGACGTTGAAACTTGGAGCTCTTGCACCAGCTTGAGTAAGCAGGTCACGAGGGCTCCACCTTGGGAGAGTATATATATCTACCCTCTGATAGCTGAGTTACGTGCAAGGGACATGCAAGATTCTGGAGGAAAGAGTACTACAAAAATTTGTGACTGTTGCTGCCTACAAGCTTTTTCGAAGATTTTACTAAGCAGACAGTGAATAAATCCTTCAGACGCATCTAGAGGGGTTTCTATCTCGCATGGGATTATGGAGCCCCGAAGGACGAGAGGAGAGTGATTTGAGGAAATATGTGGTTATTATTCATAGTGGGCAAAGGTGTCATATTTCTTGGCAGTGACTTTCTGCTACTGATTTCTCTGTCTTCGATGAACACCCTAGGTGGCTTACACCATGATTCACGGACGAATGCTCGGCGGCTCTCCCATTTCCCTGGCATAGTTGCAGGGAGAGCCGTAAGGCATGCGCCCTTCCCCCAGGCGTGGGCTTCCATAGGTGTCCACCCGTCCAGTTTCAAACGACGCAATTTGGCCTAGGCGCAGCTTAAAACAAAGATCATAAATGAGATGCAATATGAAACCAAGATTACCATCGATAGCCAAGGTGACGAGAACTTGAAATCATGGTGCCCGGGAAATTTGACGGCGTTGAGCAAATTTGGTCTTTTTTTATTGGATATTCCGGCATAGACTGTTTGCCCTGATTTCACTCAATTGAAGACATTTTCCTCGCGATAGAAACCCTGGTACATATATCTTGCTGAGTTTCAGCGTATGATCAAGTCACTTCACAACAAAACTATACTGAACGTGACAAAAGTAAAGAATATTGCTGACCAGTTTCTCGGCGTCTCAAGATGTTTGAAAATTATCGCATAGATGAACACATTGTCCCTTATCTTAAATCGAGAGGACCAGCCCCTTCTTTTTGGTGCGGCTCAGCGTCAAGCATGCCCCGCCTGTTTCATGACCCCAATGAACTGGTTAATACCCAAGCATTAACTGCTGGGTCAACGTTTCAGGTGTTCACTTGTTGACTAAATAGGTGCAGCGGTTTTCTACGGCACCTTTGACCATAGTTTGCAACGCAAAAAACCGTGGCCTGCTTTGGACATAGAAATTGACATTGTGCTTTTACCCATTGCAACTTTTCACCCTCCTCAAATTTGACTTATTGTCATCGAGCCTGCGACTATTGTGCCTGTCCGCATTCCCATCAACTTCAATTAGAGACCATCGGTATCAGACAATCCCTTCCTATAAATACCTTGCCAGACATCTCTAGCCAAATTTCCATCCATAGGGCCTATTACCTGACGAGAGATATAATTACGCAGACAGTGCAGGTATGTATGTCGCTTTACCTTCCACGAAGTTTTCTGATAACTACTTGAAGTATGATTCCTAAAGCCTTGGACGTACACAGAGGTATCCAGCAAGTTGTATGGAATCAATTCAGGTAAGCCCATTTTATATATATATATATATATATATTTAAAGAGAACATTAGCTGACAGCTAGCTTTGTACACGCTATATTAACAGGAAGATCACGCAACATACCTGTACTGCGGGCTGGTTTGATTAGATAAAGGAACGCGGTGCTTTGCGAGTGAAGAACCCCAGACAATGATCCTCCACACGACTGTACTTATTGAATGATTTGTAGAGGGGCCGAATCTCCAAGTACTGACGAGACCAATTCAGGTATCGCGCAAACGTGGAGTTGACGCGTTATACCCATCCGGAAAGTTTGCCTGAAAGGTCAAACGTGTGGGTGCCTCAGGCATTAAAGCGAGTCACGGGGTGAGTAGGTTGAGTAAGCTGGTAAACATCCTGGTGCGTAATCCCCTTTGTTCCCCTGTCTCAGACGGCAGCCTCCTTGCTGTATTCACCTTAACTTTGTTTTAATCGATTGTCTGGTGAAACTGCTTTCGACAAGGCATGGAAGAAACAATCGCCGAGCTACGGCGTCAGCTTTAGGGGGAGAGACAGGCACAAGAAGAGGCGGAGCGGCGTCAGGAGGAAGAAAGACAAGCGCGAGAAGACGAGAGAAAAGCGCGAGAAGAAGCGGAACGACATGTGCAGCCGAACACACTGTTCACCCTTCTCGATCGCTGCCACAATTCTCTATCTCAAGCGATCCGAGTTGAGACGGATGCAACTCTTACGACTCAGGGCGACGCGACCAACCCAGTGAACCGACTTTACCCTAAGCGCATAGTCCCTTGGCTTGGCTTCCCTCAACTCCAAGAGCAAGTCTGGAGGAAACTTGACCGCACGGGTGCCTTCACCTCGCGCCCCCTCTTCCCTTCTGATACCCAAATAGATTATGTCGTTACGAATACGCAGAACCGGCCGATTTACTCGGAAGCATCTCTTCGGAATTTTGAGCGAGACACGGTGGATAACTTTGTCGAAATGGTCATTAAGGCATTGCAAGATGATGAATGCCTTCGACAAGAGTTTGGAATCCAGGGCCGAGTCACCTTCTATGACCGCTCGAACCCATCGGAAACTTCACTGGAGAACAGCTTGGAGCAAATGAATCTTCAGGATGCACGGACACCTCAACGACCAGCGAACGCCAGGCATGGGAGAGGAAGGGGGAGAGGAGCGGCGCAGAGGCAGAAGAGAGCTGGCACTGCACGAAGGCGCAATCGGCGCGCCGACCAGTTCTGCGTGCACAGTGTGGCCAACGAGCGACACAAACCAGTGTATGTAGTGGAGTTCAAAGCGCCGCACAAGGTGACGATCTCCGAATTGGTGGCGGGTCTACATCAGATAGATCTGGCTCACGATATCATCGACCAGGAAGGCGACACATTCGAATTTTATGCCACACGCCTCATCGCCGCCGTGGTCACTCAAATATTCTCATACATGATCGACAGTGGGGTTCGGTACGGCTACATCTGCACAGGGGAGGCTTTTGTTTTCCTCCGTATTCCGAAGGATGATCCCACAATTGTTCAATATTTCTTGTGTATCCCAAATCAAGACGTGCAGGCGGACGATGAATTGCGCCTCCACCGGACCGCCATCGGCCAGGTGCTTGCGTTCACACTTCAAGCGCTGGCCGCCGAAGCTCCGCCTCAAGAGTGGCACGATGCAGCACACGATAAGCTAACGACCTGGAAGGTTGAATATCTAGACGTGTTGAGAGAAATTCCCGAAACGCTTCGTAGAGACCCGCGAGCCTCCAATTATCGACCCTCGCACTGGAAACTAGAGCCGAAGACACACAATACACGATCCCATGCTCGCTGTCAACCAGGCATATCCACTCCGAAGCACTCGTCGACTGAAGGCAGTAGAAGTGATCAAGAATCGCATTCGCCATCCGCCGCAGCAGCCTCGCGTAGCCAATCGAGCCGTGGCCGAAGCAGGCTTCTATCAGGTAGAGGAAGCGAATGGACACAAGCCGACCGGAACAATAAACAGACTTCTCAAAAAGATGGGCAATCTACGCGACCATATTGCACCATTGCCTGCATCCGCGGTATGGTCAACCGAGATTTTCTGGATAAAGAATGCCCCAACTGGAAACTCCACGGTGGCCAGAGACACTCCGTGGGACCGCAGGAGTTCACACGCCAGCTTCACCGTCAACTTTCCCGAAACCGAAACCATGGGTTTGAACAACTTCACGTCTGTGGTCGGACGGGTTACCTCATCAAAGCGACTCTTCTATCACACGGATACACTGTGATAATCAAGGCTACCACGGCGGACAAGCAGCATCTCATTAAAGCAGAGGCAGACAATTATCGTTCTCTCAGGAGCCTGCAGGGAAAACAGATTCCCGTCTGTCTTGGGACATTTACGCCACGAGTCTCATATTGGTACCATGGCGAATTAATGGCGCAGATGATGATACTAAACTGGGCTGGAAAACGGCTTCAGCATGTCATCAGCGATGAGAATTCCAGATTCTTTCACCAGGAGCGCGACAAAGCTCTGACCGTGCTCCGGTCGCATGGAGTTGTCCATGGCGACAGTGAGTGGCGCAATATGCTGTGGGATGACCTGGGAGTTTGTTTGTTTGTCATTGACCTGGAGGAAGTGAAATGGGTAAAGCGCCCTCGGGCTCTTGAACCAACCTCTGGCAACATGCGGCATGGTCATCGCGTCGGGGTGGGGAAGAGCAGAACAAAGCTCCTGTCTAGCTCAACTGCTGTCTGCTCATGACGGCCCCTAGACCCATGGACCACTGCGTCAGTTGACGTTACGTCTATACCTTCAGATCACTCGTGATACCTGGGGGGAGAGAGTACAGCGTTAAATTCACAAATTGAACAAGGAAATCAAAGCCCGCGGCATAATACATGAAGAACTTAGGCGAGACAATGTCCTTTGGAGTGAAGAGCTTGGGCGTGCTTTGATCATCGACTTTCACCGCTCTACTTTGAAATGTCGACCGACTCTGCAGCGACCGGAGGCAGCGAAAACGACGACTATGTCGAGCTGAGACAGGAGACGCAAAACTTCTTCGTGTGTCGTGAGAAGGTAATCCACTTTCTACCTTTTAAACTAGCGATCTTATTCTTGATACCCACATTTCTGTCGTCATCCATTTATATCGAGGCGAAATGCGCTTCTATATATGCTTCGACACCACCGAATCATGATGCGAGCCGGGCTTCCGAACTTGAGGCTTTTTCCAATGACATACCATTATGAAAGCATCGCAAAGGTTCATTCAATTTCAATACCTAGCTAAGACTGTCGTGTATAACCCGAAAATATCGCGGTTAAGGTCCCGGGTTGCTGAAAACCCTGATAACAGAATTATCCGCTCAAGTTTTCCATGCATATCGTTAGATATACATTCCGTCAACAGGACCCTGCCTGCCAAACTCCTTGGAAAATTTCTTGTTCGATTTCGCGGCTAATCATTGTATCCCTTGGCAAGAACGAACGGTGTCGGATTTTGCAAGTTACTTTTCACATATAAGATCTTGTGGATACGCAACTAATCTTGTTAGGTTCTTTGCCAATTCATGGGTGAATCGACTTCCAGATTCTCATTGCTCTGGGAAATCTTTGGCAGATCTACAGAGCAAACTTGATGTAACAACCCTACAAGTGATACTGCAATAGAAACAACTTGGTGGAAGATGAACGGATTCAAAGCTAGAGAAAGAAAGAAGAAGTGAAGCTTCTCCTCGGACAGACACGCGTTGTTTCTCGGCCCGTAGATTCAAGGTCCCCGCCAGCCCCACTGATTTGGCGGATCCTTGGGCCCAGAATGAACCTCTAATTCACAATTTTGCTTGCTCTTAGGATCTATTACCACAGCTCCCGGAGGACTTATAGTTCCCCGGAATAAAGGGCGTGGTCTTGCCTTTGGATTAATCGTTTGCTTCCGGTCTCTTTTGATAGCAATAAGGCATTGCGATGGAGTGGCTTAACTTGGAGATTACCTTAGTAGAGAAAAACAACGAACGAACGAATAAGTAGTCGATAACTCGGAAATTCTACATTAGTCACAGGAGACAGTGATAACGAGTGATGGACCTGTCTGTGTAGGACCTATGAATCTATTGGGGCCACGCTCACCGCTTACAGCGGCTACTATAAAGCACCTGAGATTGGCGCCTGACATTTTTGTTTACTCAACCCCTTGGACTTCAAGATTAACCAACATGTCATTGATTAACTTACCTCAGCCGCACCTTAACGAATCGATACGGGAAGTCGATAAAGGCTCCTGGCTAGTCTCAAACACACTTCTTCTTACTCATTCGTCGTCGCCACCCCCGGACAAGATTCCAACCGGCCAAGCATGCTGGAGCGACAGCAATGGGGGGCATTTTGCCCTCTCTACTGCACCTGAGCCTCTTCCAAATTCCAAGGCCCTCACAGAAGGCTCCTCTTATATCTCAAGAGTCCACGCAGTCGACAATCAAGCCGCCGTTTGGCGGGCAGGCGAAGCCTTCATCAAAGCGCATCACATGGACTATTCCCATGTTACCAGAGAGCATGTTACCTTACAGTTTCTCAAAGACCGACAGCCCGATGATTTTGAATTTCCGGACGTATACCATCATTTTGAGACTGAGTCGCGATATTTCCTCGTTGTCTCGAGGATATCCGGCCAGCTCCTCGAGGATGCTTGGCCCAACATGGACGAGACTCTTCGCCAGTATTACATCGGCAAGGTAGCAAATATTTGCAATCAATTAACGGCATGGAAGGGCGACATCATTGGCGGTGTGGACGGAAATCAGCTGTTAGAGCGTTATCTCGTCAAAGGCAACAGCAAGATGGCGGATGCCCTTTCTCCACAGCAGCTTCTAGAGAATTGTACCGAGATGTCTATGAATGTCTCTAAACTTGTCTTCTATCATTGTGATCTCGGACCTACGAATCTTCTTGTCAATACCTCGACAGGCTCGCTTGGCATCATCGATTGGGAGCTTGCTGGCTACGTTCCTATCGAATGGATTAGAACAAAATTTCGACTCTCGGCCGGAATGGATTTCAACCATGGGGATGAGGACTCCAAAAAGGACTGGCGCCGCAGGGTTGCCCAGCAGCTGGAAAAGATGGGCTACCGCGATGTCGTAGATGCATGGTGGAAGTTTCAGGACAGCTAGTAGACAACATTGTTACAGTCAAAATCGGAATTGGCTTCCATGATTTACACAGAGAGACTATTTCAAACCCTAACGCTAGAATGAAAGCAGATTCAACTAAGCTGTTTGAGGTCATAATGTGGATCCTGGCTCTAGCTTTTTTACCTGTAATTGGAGGGCACATCATGGCTCAGGGTTCTAGAACAAAATTCTATATATAAACCGTAGAAGCTAATTTTGAATCTAGCTGTAATTTTAGACTCCATTTCTCTTAATATTACGCTTTTCTGAATAATTGGTATTGCCCTCGCATTCATCTGCGTTTCTCTGTCCCCTTCGTTTCCCCAACAAGAGATAAAAATCTAGACAAAAAGGGGAGATAAGGCTTTGCGAGATGATCCGGAACGTGAAACACTTTCCATTTGTATTTATGAGATAGATAACACTAAGTATTGCACACACGGCTTACAGCAGGAAATTCCCTAAGTCAAGACCCAAATATTCCATGTGCAAAGTAGCAAATATCTTATCAAGAAAAAAGCAACAGCCAAGGGCAGCCCTAAACGACAGTCAGTCTTTAAATGACTACCACGTAAGGGGAGAGCTTGAAGACTCTTAGTATGCAGGTCCCAATGTTTCAAGCAAACATACATATGCCATTTTACGCAGTCGTTGCGACGGGTTTGCCACAGTTGGTGCAGATCGATACACCAGTCATATTATGCGTACCACAGTGGCCACAGTTGAGCTGGTTGATCAGTTCACTTGGGATGGAGGCTGCCATTTTAACAGCAGTGGATCTATTTATCATTAGCCATGGATGCGTGGAGGTTAGGGGAGCCTCTCACTTAAGGGGTGCCCACGTAAAAAGAAAATATCAAAGATATGACTTGGGAGGCAGCAATGCAGTGGATCGGTCACTAAGGCAGTGGTTGAGTGAGAGATCTAATGGGACAAGCAGGCTTCTTAAGCAAATCTGCTCTCCTCTTTGTATTCTCTGGATAATGTACCAAAAAAGCACTTTTGACCTTGACTTGGCCAGCAACGTTGAGCCGAGCGGAGAACCCTGTCAAGGAGACGCGAATACCACGACCAAAGGCGCTTCCACAATATCCGGAGCTGCCGATCATTGGCTGCAATACGTTAAGTTCTCAGAGCGAGAAAATGGCAAGTGAGGTATTCTAGGTCACCCTGCAATAGCCAATCGATAAGATAATAGTTTTAAGGCCCCTAGCTAAGAATTCACCCGCTCATGCAGGGGTGTGTAGGTTATTACCCGATTCTGAATAGGTTTTCTGCGCAGAAAACCTATTCAGAATCGGGTCAAGTTCGTGCATATGATGGGAGGGGAATAGCAGACAGCCGCTAGACCCGCATACCTGGACAGCTGTTAGTTTACCGCCAGCAAAGATGCCCATCATACATCAGCGCCAACTATCTACCTCGTCTGACTATTTATTTTCAACTTCAGCAACTACTATGGGCATCGTGGAGAGCAGATTATTGGCAGAAAACGTTCTTTTTGCTTGTGATAAAGCTACAGAAGAGGGAAATAACCGAATTGATACATCTCAATTCTGGAAAGACACTGTGAGCCTCCTTCATTCGTTTATCCGAAGTTTCAATCCTCACTCTAGTAGGAAAATATCAAAGCATGGAAAACTGTATCCAAACATATTCCTCAGCGCTTTCGACAAACTCGTCAGTCAGCTATACAGAAGACCATCGCAAGGTCCTCCAAAGAGTTCCAAATACCACAAGCTGTCCAAGACCTTCAGGAAAAGCGTGCATCGCTTTTTTCTATATCATTACAAGAAAGAGGCCATGAGAGTGAAAATGATTCTTCAAGTACTCATCAAATCACTTCTTTAACTTGCCATGTTCCAAATTCGCCGCAAAACTGCCCGCTCTCTGATTTCTATCAATTACTCGTCTTATGTGAAAACGAACAACGTTTAGGGAGGATTCGCCTCCGGATTTGCTATGTGGTGTTTTACCGCTTGAAGAATGCCATAAAACCAGGTACCCAGTACCAATACGATGAAATATCAATTTCCATAGCCCATCTCATACGAGAATCAGGCTGCAAAGACCAGATTCACGACATTGAACGTCGGGTGCGACTCTGGGTTGGTTTAGGAGAGCGTTACAGTTTAATAGCTAATGACCTTGGCGGGCTGGGGATATTATATATTCTCCCTGAAGATGGTGGCGAGTCGATGTAAGCGACACCCAAAGGGGAGAGAAGTTGCTTCACTAACATCGCTGTAGCTGGACCAAGGAGCTGCCTAAGTCAGTGAATAATCCTAAAAGAGTCGCCATGTTGAAAAATCTCAGAGAGAAAGGATTGCCAGAACAGGCTCATATACGAGGTCTTCATACCTTGGCAGAGGAAGAGACTGCAAAGATTTTGGGACCGATCCAAGTCTCACTACACCGAGTGCTAGAAAATCAACTATCGCAGGCAAATACAAACGGAGATCGACAATACAGCCCCAACTCGCCACAGCTTGATATCTCTCGATGCCATCAGCGAGATGCAGGAATGACTTGCACAAAGTCGGTGACTTCTTTTAGGATCAATTCTGGGAGCCCGTCTTCCCAATCTGGAGCACAATTAGCTACGCATGATGTTCCCACAGTGGAACCATCATACAGTGTCATGTATAGTGGCCAGGCAATATCAGAAACAACGCAAGATTTGAGACAGCTACCTTGCGGGCCAACACCCGCACATATTTCAGGACAACATCGGCCGGACCTGATATCACAAGCTCAGACTAATGGACCTCAATTGGTGTACATGCCAACGGAATTAGGATCATGTGAAACAAGCATATCCTTTTTAGACAATACGGCTGTGGAAAACAGTGCTCAATTCAGTGCGGATCAAAATATTCAATATGTCAGTCACCTTTCCCCTCGTGTTAAAGCCCCGTTCTTACTTTTCAAAAGCAGTATGATTCTATAAGCAACAGGAACCAAGCAATACCTGCAAATCACATTCAAGTATTTCCGTATCAACCAATTTCCTATGTCAATCCCATGGCGTACCCTCTGTTTCTCGGTGACCCTAGTTTCCTCCCGAGCTATTCAAATTTTCAGACGATGGAGCCAGTGCTTTAGACCTGGAAGTCGTATTATATAGGCCGTGGAAGTGCGAGAATAAGATATAAGGCTGGTGAGATGAGGGGTTCGCGGCTGAAAAAGATGGGCGTATTAAGGACAAGCAGAGGCAGAGAAGGCTCAGACATTAAGCGAGGTTGGCCGGAAATGATTTTCACTGGTATGATGTATCCTTCTTTTCCAATTCCATCCTTTTCGATGAACTTCGTTTCCTCCAATAGCTGCCACACTTGAAACCCATATCGTTGACGATCAGGTAAATCGATAGAAGCCTTCGCTAACTCCTGCTCTAGGCCATCATCAACACAGATGAGAGTATTCTGAGTCTCCTCGATCGTTTTCCATTTGGCAGTTTTGAGAAAGCTAGCCAAGTTATCCATTACTGATTATACCCAACAGAAGGCTGATAAGGTCTCGCAAAGTCACGTAAGGATGTAGACCTAATCTATATGGTAAAAGACCATCCATGGTAAATCAGCAAATGAGCAGATTATTTTCACCGCTGAACTCACCTTTGGCATTGAAGTTCTCTTTTTAGCAAGAAGTTTGAAGCGTGGTGAAAGGCTGCCGCGGGGCACAGGATATGAGGCCAAACAAAGTGGGGGTTTTGCCCAACTAATTCAAACTTTGCCTAATTTGCACCTTTAAAGAAAAAAAGATTTATCTCTACGGGAAATGACAGTGCGGGAGGAGTCAGGAGATCAGAAGCCAAGATATCATCTTTCTTCAGAAAATTCTAGAATAAAGATAGAGAATTGATACTACCACCCCCCCCCCCACGTGACATTTCCCCTGAGATTTCAGGCAGAATATAACCTAAATAGGATTAGATCAATAACTTTCTCACCGTAGTTCTTACCGCTTTAAACACCTTATCTCCATCTTATCTCCTCTTTCCTTCATCAATTATCTCTCTTACTATGGCCTCCATACCTCTTGGCCTTCTTTTTGCTGAGCCTGATTTAGCAGTAGATAGTATCTGGACAGAAGAAGAGCTTTGAACCATCCAATTTCCACCAGCAATGGTATCTATGGGCACCAGGAGAGGCACCGCCTGTTAATCATCTACTCCTAGTACAGGATCCTCTACTTGTACGACGCTGGGAAAGGCCACGTGGAGCTGCCAACTTCGTAAGGCCTTCGCAGGCGTCGAACACGCAGCAGACAGCAATTTCAAACACGCAGGACTCAGGAGACAGCTCTTTCAAACACACAGGAGACAGCATTTGACCGCTCAACCCAGCGACAACCATTTGCATTTGAATTTATTCAGCCACCTCGAGGAGATCGAGGCCGCGGTCGTGGTCATGGGCGGCATGGGCCGGGCCCTCGTCCACTAGGGAGGACGGGAAGACAAGGAGGACAGGATCGTACTAGAGGGCGTGGAGGCGCGGTCGCCATCAGAGATCTTATGGTGTTACGTAGTAGTCAGCATGGTCAAGACTCAGTTTGGTCAGGGGAATGGTGAATAAGTAGGCCAAGAGTAGAGAGGCATCTTTTGGTAAATGGATATAATTGATTATCTTTATTCCATTAAGAATTCTATTATCCGGCAGAATTCCGTCTGCCTAAAATCTCAGGGAAAAATGTCACGTGGGGGGGGGTGGTAGGAGGGGTGGTAGTATCAAATCCCTAAAGATAATACAATCCGTTTTCTCATAATCAGTTGCCGGAAGAAAAGCGTGGGATTCACGTGACAATTATTATCGGCATTTTTCTTGCGATCCTCAAAACAAACTTGTCTATCTACATTTATAACCATTTTGGAAGATATGAGAGCGAGTACACGAGGGTGCAAGTCTGGACCTGTCTAGCCAGTGCTGAAATTTTTCTTTGAATTATGAATATTGTCATCTTTTAGCCTATTTATGAGTAGTTTAGGTAGTCATGTGTTGGCTCACTTCATGTCACACTACGGCAAAGCCCTTTCTGCAGACCCCTGATAAAAAGGTGCCGACTAGTAGGGGTATGCAGAAAGCAGCATGGATACCATGCTGTAATAGGCTGCCGATGGAATTATTAAGTTCCTGATAGCGACGTGCGAATCATACGGGATCGCAGATGCAGCATCTAGCCCGCTGCTTTGCCCACTGCTTCACATCGTCTACAGGCTTGCTTCGCTCTAGAAACTCATTTTTGAATTGGTTAAAGGATTTTGAAGCTCGGAATCTACATCAGAGATTCTCAGCAAGCGGTGCATGAAAACCAGTGAAAATATATAAAATGCTCCTATCATGACTCGGATAAAAAGACTTTCATTTCCTACAGTCGTTGGACCATTTACAGCAAATAACAACAGTGTGATCTATTTGAGAACTCACCTTTGAATTTCAAAGTACTTGTCACACAAATTCTTTTCTTTGAAGAATTGCGCAAGACGTTCTCTAGATTCACATATCCCTAAGACGTTATAGCGAGACTATGATTTATTCGAAATTTCGTTATTTTCTTTCAAACTATATACCCTGCCTCTTCTCCCCCTAGGCAGGCCGCGCGAGACGGTTTTATTTGGGGGCCCAGAACCCGATCGAAGTAGCATGCATGAATCTGCAGAAGGCACCAATCCTATTATGTCAGAAGAACAGCCTGCCTTTTCTGCCCCTTCAGACTCTGGCCCTGTTGACAAAGTCTCACCACTGATTTGTTTGCGTGTAAGTTATCCTCTTCTATGTGTCAACACCGAACTCTAACCAAAAAAGACCGTGAGAATTTGGTTTCCTCACAATGGACTCCAGCTCAAGGAAGACATCATAAGCAAGGGCCTCGAAGACGTGATTTGGGATGCCATCCCTCTCCAGGAGCTTGGCGCTCAGCATCAAGCACGGCATGGCTATGGCAACAGGAATGATGCGTCTCTAGTGGAATTTGCGGTGCTGGAAACAGGTGTTCCACGGGTTTTGGAGAAATACGAGATTCCAAACTTCCTTCCACTTAGCAGCGATGATCCGATGGTTTTGCAACAACCGGTCAAGGACCTTGAGTCGAAGAAAGCTCTTTGTTACCAGAGTCTACACTCAAAATACCTGCAGGGATATAAAAAAAGACAACAGCTCACAGGAACTTTGGGATATGAGATGCACAAGTCTTTGAGTGACTGGTATGACGGCTGTCTGGAAGATATTGGTAACCGTCTGAAAAAGCTTGGATACTGTTGATCCAATAGATATAATCCCATTTATGAAACTCAGTTTCTCTGATCACCAGATAGATGGGCTTAATTCAAAAAGTTTATAGACTGTCTAGAGAATGCGAGTCTGAGTCAGCTGTAACAGGTTGAATCCTGGTGAACTATCACGTGGTTTTACCACGTGACCCACCAACCGCATACCTCACGATTCCACCCCGAATTGTTCACGTTCTTCAAGGATTTTGTAAACAGCATGTGCCTAGCTAGTTCTGAATCTAAGATTAGCTTTAGCCCTTCACATATAATTATTAAAGGAAATCCTAAGAATAATACTTTAGAACTGGTTTTAGGAACTTATTATCATTTTTTGAAGTTTTCATCTAAAATTATAAAATTTCATAACAATATATCTGTCGATCAACTACGTTGAAAGGACAGGGTTCACACGTTGCACTATAACGTGCGTCACGGTTGACCGAGCGTCCCGGTTGATCGAGCGACGCATTTGGAACTTAAAAAATCTAAGATTTTCAACATCAACTTTTAACACCAAAACATGAATTAATTATCTATTTAACGCGTGTAGGACACTGGGTATATATATGGCCTTTGGTTCCACAACCTGAACAGGTGACGAGTCGCCTAATAGTAGGTAAAGTAGGCAATGGAACATCTTCTATAGGTTGTCTAGGAGCATCCTCTAGGGATATATATTCAACTCTACCATTCTCCTGAGCAACCACGCTTTGCTGCAATTCCTCCAAACTCCGAAGACTCCCTTTATGGCCTCTGTGCTTCTTGCTAGCCGCTCTCTTTTTTATCTTTCTCTTCGCAGTATTCTCCAATCGCTGAATACGGTCTTCCATCATCATCATCCGAATCGCCATCTGAGTATGCGCATCTTGCGACCGATAAATTTGTCGTTTTAGAGGTGAAGTTAAAGCTCCTGAGGAAGATTCGAGTTCTTTCTTGATAGCAGAATTCGATTTTTGGACTTTTGAGTAGCTCCAAGGCCGATTTAAGTCACTGCTGCTTGAAGAAGTAGGGCGTTGAGGGTGGTCGTGAGGGGGGTCTTGAGGGGGGTCTTGAGGGTGGTTTTCGACCATGATATTCAGCTTTTCTAAAACATGATTAGCATCCAGGGGTACTAAACCAGCGCCCCTAAAGCTATTCACTATAGTAGATGCTTTAAATATTGCTTTGCGTGTATAAGGATAGATTTGGAGGAAATCATCCTTATCAATAGAATCCACTCTATTCTATATTTCAGCACTAATCAGGCCTCCATATACCTTTTTAAGCACCGAAAAACATCCTACATCAAGAGGTTGTAATAGATGGGATGAATGAGCTAGCATACATAGACAAATAATATCGTTGTCCGCGCATAGTTGGTCGAATTCTGGCGTACGATGCGAAGAATGACCATCTAAAACCAATAGACATGTGCATGGGTTGGGTATGGGTCAAAATTCATACCCATACCCAACCCATCAGGGGTAAGGTAAACCCATACCCATACCCAACCCAACCCACGTGGGTATGGGTTGGGTATGGGTCCCATATGGGTATTTTTGATGCCTTAATGCCTGATTTTCGCCTCAACCTAAACTAAATTAGGGTAATTAGTGTCTTAGTGCCTAATTTTTGCCTCAATCTAGTACTAACTAGGTGACAAATATCACGTGAAATAAAAGTCTTGGCAAAAAGATGGGTTTATGGGCTGGGTGTGGGTTTTACTTCAAACCCATACCCAACCCATATGGGTTTTGGGTAAAATTTCTGACCCATACCCAGCCCATTGTGGGTTGGGTTGGGTTGGGTATGGGTTTACCCAACCCAATGAACATGTCTAGCGATGCGAGACGATTCAGATTTATACCTTCGTGATATCTTATAGGCATATATATAGTCGACATCAGACTTGAACCGACAATTCTATATGCGACCCCCTACTGAATTTGGTTTACTAAAGGACACCGTCCTAAAAGTCTTAAAGCCCCTTTATGGAATCCCGGAAGCAGGCAATCATTGGTTTCAGACATACCATAAGCATCATCTTGAAAAGCTAGGAATGGAGCAATCCACCTATGATACATGCCTCCTCTATAGCAAGAAACACTTTGGAATTGTCGGAATACAGACAGACGACACTTTGATCCTCGCGAATACTATATTCATTAAGAAGGAAGAGGACGAACTACAGAAGGCGCAGCTTCTATCGAAACCGCTCTAAAAGCTCATAGAGGTCAATCTACTTAAATTCAACGGCAGCATCATCCGAAAAAGCAAAAACGGGATTACAATTTCGCAAATCGATCAATGCCGACGCCTAAAGACCATCGCCACCAAAATCGTTTTAAAGGATATATATATCTCTCAACGCGCTTATAGAGCCTATATCGCATCAGTTTGCCAACCAGAAGCCATATATGACTTATCCTTTTCAGCTTAAGTCATCAACCTAAAAAAGGAAGATGCGGAGAGATTAAATAAGCGCATCCAATGGCAGATCGATAATCAAGCGAGAGGGCTTCACTTTGTTAAGCTTCAAGAAGACACGCTATAGCTTATCGTATTCGTTGACGCATCATTTGCAAGAAACCGTGATTCAAGCAGCTAGATCGGATATATCATCACTATGGCTGATGGATACGGACAAAACCAGGTCATTAATACCAATATCCTATACTGGTCATCTATCAAATATCATAGAGTCACTAGGAGTGTGCTCGCCGCCGAACTATATGCCATATCACACGGAGTAGATATCGCTTTCGTAGTCAACTAAACCTTAAATAAAATCCTGCGTGTGGTAGAGCATTTACCCAGAATTCCCCTAACACTCTATACAGACTCACGCTTAGTATACGATGTAGTCACACGTCTCGGGACTACACAAGAAAAACGACTTATGATCGACATCATGGCACTACGTCAAACATATGAACGACGCCAGATGGAGCTCAAGTGGATCGCAGGAGGATCAAATCCTGCCGATGCGATGACGAAGGAGAAGTGTGGAAACGCACTGAAGGAGTTGATTGATACAAATCAAATCGACTTAGAGACCCTTGGTTGGGTCGAACGTTAAGTTTTTTCCTACTACAACCTTTACAAATTACGGCCTACATGATATTTATGCACCTAAATTGGTACGATTGGCATCGCGTTCTGCACGAAATGATGAAGCTTGTTTCTCTATTTTCAATGACATTTAGAGTTGCTCCAGTGTTGCGACAGCCGAGAAACAAGGCCATCAACAGACGGAAAAAGCTTCTGCCGAGACAGTGACTCGGGAACTAGATTAGTATATCACGGCATCCTTGAACGATATGCATTCATCGCAAACGACACCCTTGAGCGATATGCATTCGCGACAGTAATGTCCCGTCTTCACTGTCTCTTCTATCTCGGACGAATGTTGACATTCGTCTAGAGCAGAGGGGCACCCATATACTATAAGTAGCTAGTTCTTTCATCAATGAAAAAGCAGACTTCACAACAACCACAATATTCAGTACTGTAGAGACCACTACACTTGGTGGTTTGTCTACGGTGTTGAGTAGTGGTTCGTTGGAGCTCACCGTTCTCAGTCAAGATATTCGAATATCGCCAAGCGAGCGACACTGATCAGTTCTCACTCTTAGAGAACCTTTTCTCACTCCCAATTTTGTTTACAGATCAGGGAACTAAGAACCCATCCTTTTCTTTGATCAAAGACCACCACCTCCATCATCCCTTTTTGAAACCTCCACCATGGCTACTCCAGGAAGGCCCCCCGACTCAGAACGCAACACAGAACACCTAAACCCAAGAACTCCTATGCGACAACATCCAACACCCGGCCAATACCCTGTCTCCCCAACACCTCCTATACGCCTTACACCTCTTGATAAGATCAAGGAACTGTTCAGACCTATAGAGGAAGAATGGAAGGAGAGAGTCGCACAATTCGACCAAAGAATGAACGAAGATCCTAATAATGCTTCACTCCTTAAAGTTGCTGAGTATATCGAGACTACGATGTTCCTCTATACACGACAGAAACTTTTCAGACGAAGACTATGGTACCACTTCATCGCTGACTTCAAATTCTTTCCTATAGAGACATAGGAAAAAGTTCCTGTACGACTAAAAGCACACATTCGACAATACCTTATGTAAGGAGGAGTATATGTTAAGCCATCGCTCCTAGACGAGCTAAGCCAAGTACTCTTCGACCTCGCGTAAACACGTGAAATGCATAACTAGACAATGGATGAGATTGAACAATCTCTTGCTGAAGTTATTCCAAATAACCTAAATCAAGTTAATACAGAACTTAAAAGGATCAAGGACGAAATGCAACAATCAGCGGAAAATGACGAAATACGACAACTATAATAGGAAATAGAACGAGAGGACACCACGTTAATTTATGTCTAGACATGTTCATTGGGTTGGGTAAACCCATACCCAACCCAACCTAACCCACAATGGGTTGGGTATGGGTCCAAAATTTTACCCAAAACCCATATGGGTTGGGTATGGGTTTAATCCTATACCCATACCTAACCCATAAACCCATTTTTTTGCCAAGCCCTATCCTTCACGTGATATACATAAATTATGTGTATTTTTGGAAATTTATGCTGAATCATGATGTATTAATATTCTGTATTTTATTATTAAGTAAAGTGAGCGCCGAGATAATTATTATTTTAATCAAAAAAAAAGTAGAATTAAAACTTAAAGTAACTTGAAGTATGAAATATTATTATAATCTATTCTAAATCACGATTCATCATCTATAGTAATATCACCATCTTCAATATCTTCCTTAGCTTCCTCGCTATCATAATCTAATTCATATAGAACTATACCTTTCCCCGAATTTTGTTCTATGAACCATAGTATCATCAAGTCTTTAATAGTCTCTGCTTATAAACGACTACGGCGATAATGATAGATATCACGCGCTGTGTTGAATAGCTGTTCTATACCTGCTCCGCTAGCAGGAACAGCAAAATAGTCCTAGGCGATTTGAGCAAGTGTTGGAAATTGTCTAGCGTTATCCTTCTAGAAGCGAAGTGTCTTTATCGTTGTATCTTTATTAATATTAGTATATTTACTTAGTAAATATTTATGTTTAATATTACTTACCTAAAGTCCGAAAGTATAAATACCTTGTAAGTTCATCTTCTGATGGTGAAGAGGTGTCCCGAGTTAGTGTAAAGGGATCCTTTTTTTTAGTTCGCTTTCTCTTTCTTGATATAGCCTCCGTTTGGCTTAGTAGGTTGGCTGGATTCTGAGATTGATACTGTACTAGCTGCCTCTCTAGACTCTCCCGATATATCCTCTTGTAATTCTGACTTTGATCTATGGTTTCACCAAGATATTCCTTTTCTTGTTCCTAGGAATCTCTATCAAATACTTTGAGTCCAAAATCTGGCGCAAGTATAGTCGTAGTAGAATAGATCTTTCCTAATGTCTTATTCTTCACCTAGCCATAGTACTCTGCGAGTTTCTTATATGCTGTATGAAGAGACTAAAGTATTTCCTTTTGTCTAAGCTTTAGAGGTCGCCGCTTAAGTCGTTTAATCTGGGTTTCTAGGTGCTGAAACATCTGATTATATAATAGAAAGACGAAGTAGGTGGTCACTTTCTTTATCTAAGAGAGATGGCGAGTAAAATCAAAGAAGGGTTCCGTGATCTTAAGTAAGTATTCCACTTGCTCCTACTTATTGTTGTAAAGTGCTAATAGTATAAGCTGCCTCTTGATTTTCTTGTCCGTGTCTAAGTATTTAGAACAATATCGGTTTAGGAATTTCTGAAGCCTTTTTACACGTTGGAGCATTTGGTATATCGAGTTCCACTATGTTCGAACATCTTATATAGGAACTAGAGCTCGGTTAGTTTAGGAAGATTTAGATTGTAAAGATAGAAAGGCTTCGCGGCGTTGAGGACTGGTATTAATGAACTAGGTAAGGGCTCGAATCTAATTATAGAGAATCATTAGTAAAGGGGAAATGTATAAGCATATACTAAGTATTTGCTTAGTATATGTTAAGTAAAGGTATTGTATATATGGCATAATTGCGACCGTGTCTTAATTGCGATTGTGGCTTAATTGCGACTGTGGCTTAATTACGACCGTGGCTAATTTGCGACCGCGGGAAATATCTGAGGAAAAATGAGGAAGAACACATACCTTATATAAGGTAGTTGAAATCTTTCTAACCACTCTCTTCTTAAGAGCTTCCTCTATATCCTCCTTTTTCTATTAAGATAGAAGTATATCGTTTTTCGGGGTAGCTTTCATTTCCTTCATGAGTTTACCAAGAGAAAGCTATATAACATGATAAATATAAGGAACACGAATGATTAGGACTTAGGATAACTTTTCTGCTAGTATATCTATTGTCTCCTTTATTTGCTTCTAAAGGTGTTGTAGCTATACTATATCTATCTTCCTTAGATGATTTGCCTTATCCTCGGAAGAATCTGTATCACTATCTTCTAGATCTCCTTCCATAATTCCTCGGATATCTCTTGAAAGATAGAATACTAAGGTGCTATTATTTGATATATTATCTATTTATGTTAGAAAGTCATATAGAAATAGAGAATAATATCTACTAGTAGTAATGGTTAATACTTGTTATTTAAGCTTATGTTGCTTAAGTACCTTAAGTACTATAGAGGCTAAGTATTGTCTAGAATATGCTCTATATAATGGTTCGAAGCCTAGCAGGACCTCTTGATACTCCTAGTCCTTATCAATAAAGTAGCATGTGACTGCTAAAAACGCTTATTTAAAGGGCGACGTCTAACAATCTAAGCTAAGAGATACCTTCGTAGTAGATAGAAGCCTCTTAATAAGTTGTTTCTGGACTTCTTCTGCTTCACTTTGGCTTAACTGTTTGATAGTAGATCTAGATAGATCTTTAATTAAGTTAGGATAACTCTTACAAAACTCTATCAAATCCTTGAATAATGGAGATTCAATAAACTTGAACAGGAGGGATTGTTGAATAACTATTAAGAGGACTTTCTTGCGATAGTCATGTTTAGAAGGGGGAGCTTTTAGAGGATTTCTTGCCTTTATTTGAATCAGTTTAATTAGCATCTACTATCCTTTTACTAAGTAGATATAAAGATATACCATATTTTGAATGCCCTAGAAAATAGAAGCTTGATATGTAAAGCTATTACCTTGTGCTCCTTGATAATGCTCTTTATGGCGCTGTAAGGAGCTTGTTCTAATAGAAGCTCTGGTCTTTAAAACTCTTTCACCTCCTTCTGATAAAATAGTGGTACCAGGTCTGAAATTAGGATGGCGAAGGAGTTTTTTATAATATTTATATCGCAGTTTTGGCTCACCACCCCTAAGTATAGAACCTTGATCAAAATTGGTCCACGCGTCATCTTTCTGCTCTTGCCAATTCAAAGTCCCTTTTTGTCTAAAGTCTATAGCTAACCACTACTTAATAAAGTCATCCTTAGTTATTATATCAAAGAATACAAAGTCTTTAGTTTACCGAATTGATTGGAGAGGTTGATGCTGATTGGTAAAGGGTGAACAAGGTAAGGGGGCGGCCTGGATCGGTGAACTCTGGATGAAAGTAGTATTGATAGAGGCGGTTTCTGAAAATATATATTCAGATTATGCCTTAAAGGCAGATGATGATAGTAGATCTGACTCTATTAAATAGTTAGAGATCAACCTATAGTAAAGATGGTCATATTATTCAAAATTACCTAGAGTATTGATAATTTATTATGGGAAGGTTAGACCACTACTAAACTTGATGTAGCTTAGTAGGATATATGTTCACTTATGCTTTATATATATAAAATATATGCTAAGTAAGTATAGTATAAAGTAAAAATAGAATAAAAGAGTGGTAAATATAGATCAAAAAAAGTGGAAATATATAAAGAGAACTGAAGAACCATATTTAGTAGTCGAAATAAGCTCTTATAATAATAGGTAATAGGGTTAGCTGATAACATATAGGTCCGAAAAATGAGTTTCTAGTGAAAAAAAAAATAGATCTAGCTAGAATCGATCTAGTACCTTGTTCGTCAACTTATTAAGTTGGTCTAAGTAGGCTATTATAGCATTCTAAGTATAAAGAGACTTATTATTACTTTAATATTCCTAATTTCAAAAATTGGTATTAAATACTCTATGAACAATTAAACACTTTAGTTTTCTGTTCAAAACTTAGTCCTAGCACTCTTCTTTCACTATTTTTAGCATATTTTCTAATTTAGTAGTAGATTCTTTAATAAGAACAATATTTATCTTTCATTAAGCCTATAGAGGTAAGCTGACCATAATTATTCTCTTTATTAGAAACTACTATGGTTCTAAGGTTTAAACAATATATTTCCCCATGATTTTCCCTCTTCCTAATTCATATTCTATCATCTATAGAACCTTTACTAAGTCTTACTATATTATCTACTTAAGAGTTTTAAGCTTTATTACTAAGATGCCCCTCCGCCCTATTACCCCAGGATACCTATACTAAATAGGCCCTAATAGAGAGTTCTTCCTTTTAGATGATGTATAGGATGCCTATAATCCTGACTTCAGATAGGGATATTGTTATGGTGTGTTATAAGACATATTATTCGAAACAACCTTTTTACTAACCATTTAGAAATCTCTAGGACTAATCGAAGATCCAAATCTAGGCTAGAGACCATAGACCTGGCGCGATCTTGAGGACCTAATAGAGCCCATCCTTATTGCGTATATCAAAGAAGATATTCGAAAGGGTCTTAGTCCTCTAAATCCTATGCTTCCCTGGTCTAAGGTTAATACCTTAGTATATCTAGTTATTGTGGAAAGAGGTCAGCAATATAGCATCACCTTCAAGGATAACGGCATAATGAATCGGCATTTTCATAAGCAACATACTAGCTGCTATAAGATATATATAAAACATTTACTAAGGCATTGCTAAGTATATCTAATATCTAGTTTTACCACCAGATACAGCAGCGATAACATCTAAGGAGAGGGCGGACTTACACAAAATCCTCGCGTGTTATGTGGTGAGTACCGACTAGCGTAACGCCTATTTTCTTGCCGAACCCGGTCGCAGCCTAATCGGGAGCGATATTAGTCAGTTCGCCGACGTCTATAGATATCTTGCGTAAGTCATACCTTCATATTCCCTAATAATAAGTATGATCATACTAATATCTAATTTTCTCTAAGTCAAAAATATCCCTCCTTTAAACAGCAGTAGGGTGAGGATTTCCATCGGGATCATGTTCCAAGAGCAGCGGTAACCCCTTATCAGCATCGCATTCGGGGACCTGCTCCCCCATAAGTAGCTCCAATTATTACCTTAAATAAGCTACTAATGACTACAATCCGTCGAAGTCCTGGTCGTGGTGATGAATATAATGGTCTTGATGATAATGCCTTTCGTCAACTTATGGCGACTAAAGCCCTAATACAACAAGTAACATATGATCGTTTAACGGTCGCATTTCACGCTTAGGAGACAGCCCTATAAAACGATTGGACAGCTTTATTACAGACAAATCAAGCAACTGCTCCATCTCTTGATAGCGTCCGTCCTGCTATAGCTAATATTTTATGGAATGCTTATGCTGAGGCTTATCTTACACTTCATGGTGTTCGACCACCACTACTAGAAGCTCGACCACCAACTCGAGCATAATATCGGCGTCAAGCACAACGTCGACGTGAAAGACAAGCTGCTCGTGTTCATGGTGGCGCCCCTCCACCTAGCGATGATAGTAGTGGTGGTGGTGATGATAGCGCCCTTCTACCTAGCGATAGTAGTGGTAGTGGTGGTGATACTAGTTAGTGTTAAGTTATTAGTATCAAATTTTGAATATTTGAATTTTAATTATAGATGGTATTGATTAAAACAACAAAAATTACATGCATTATAATATATAATTAGCTAAGTAAACTAGCTCTATTTCAGACTAGCGTAAGGCATTATTAAGGCATTAAGGCAACTAAAATACCCATATGGGACCCATACCCAACCCATACCCATATGGGTTGGGTTGGGTATGGGTATGGGTTTGCCTTACCCCTGATGGGTTAGGTATGGGTATGAATTTCGACCCATACCCAACCCATGCACATGTCTATTTATGTCCGACCGACTCGAATGGATAACCCGTTTTCTACTTAAGACGCCCGGCACTAGGAATATACGCAAGGAAACCTCCGATATCCGTTATTACCAGGACCTAGAGAAATCACACCAGGAGCGGAGTATTACGTAAAACTTCCACTAAGCCAAGATCATGGTAATAGAGGTCCACCACCTTTTCAACCAGATTAGGAAACACAGAATAAACGACGACCTGAAAACATATATCTAGAACCACAACCAGACCCACGACGAACAGATTACTCGAAGGAAGCAATGAATGTCCGAAAAACATACAAGAAAGAGCAATAGTATAGTGGCTTAGAGGACTCATTCAACCTGAAACTCGCTATCTTTGAAGACATCTGCCGATACTCTGGTTTACCACTAGAGGCATACGAAAAAGCGCTTTCAGCAATGTTTACCGGCCAAGCCAGCGAATTCTATTATACCTATAGCTTATCTTCAAAGTCCTTTATAGAAATATATAGGCGAATCAAGGCACACTTCGAGAGTCTACTTTATGTGACCTAAAAGATGGTCTAATAGAACAATATCTCACTCTCGAAAACAATCTAAGAAAATCCGTCGCAGACAATCTTATAGTATTTTGAATAAATGACTAAATAATTACTCAAAATTCGTCTAGCACTTAGTCAATATATGCAAAATAAAGAAGGATTTACGTAAAAGCTTAGTATCTATTGCCAAAACGTCCCGGCTTATCAAAATATACTTTCTATACCATAGTCTAATCCGAACATAATGATTATAAGTCTTAAGACATTAATCGCGGCCTACGAAAACGCGCGCTAAAGGACTCAACAATATACCCAGGACATATTAGATAAAGCATGGATTACCGATCGAACCTTCTATAAGAAATAGAGACCAGATCGATGGAAGCAGGTTACCTAGAAAAGAGACTCTTTATCTTCACGAGCTGAAGGAAGATATTGGGTCGACGGAAAGACGGAATGCCGATCATAGGACCATTCACTAGAGGAACACGCAGTAGCCAGGAAACGATATCGTGAACGATTCACCAGAAACAATGGATCTGGAGATTTTAAACGATAGTTTCGATAATATATGGTTATATACGAAGGTAAAGAACTCGATATTAAAGCCTTCAAAACTACTATTTTAGACTCTAAATCCGAACCTGAATCAGAATCCGAATCCGATAAATCAAATAATAATGATGATAACTCCGAGACGTTCCTAACAACATTTAGGCCGGTGCCAATATTAGATACATAGATCTAGCATAATCAACTTATGAATCAAGCTTATCTATATAGAATAAGCCCTTATGTCCAAGAGTCTAAGAGTAATCTATTTATATACACCACTACCATATCGCGGTATAATTCAGATATCTTTTATAGTATTCTGATCGATATAGGCGTATCCTAAAACTTAATAACTAGGTATAGTCAATTTCTAGCTTTATAGAAACTAGAACCTAATATCTAACTCGATAAATCGACCGCCGGATAAATCAATGTTCAATTCGGCATCGGGACTAGTGGATCAATCGGATCAATAGACATCAAAACGCCTATAGGAATAGTTCAATTCCACGTCGTGAACGCAGATACACCATTCCTATTATGCCTCGCTGATCTAGACCGTCTAGGGATCTATTATAACAATTTACAAGATGTCCTGATAGGGAAGACAGGCCTTCGGATACCAGTAAAACGATAATTTAGGCATCTATTCCTTCTCTAGAAAGCAGCTCCTACATATATCACAGCATTTGTTCAAGGATCTGCCGAATGTCTATTAATAGATACTAAGTTACGCAGAATTCACCGACGACTAGGGCATCCTGCCGTCGCCCGCCTTAAAGCAATTCTGAGCAGAGCAGGACATAAGGTAGAGAGGAATGCGCTTAAGCATATCACCAAGTTTTGCGAACATTGCCAGAAGTTCGGGAAATCACCAGGACGATTCCGATTTACCCTTCAAGATAAGGACGGCGACGCATGTTTTAATCATAGCATCATTATTGATATAATAAGTATCGATAGAGATCCAGTTCTTCATATTATCGACGAAGCCACAAGCTTTCAAAGTAGAAGATGGTTATAAAAAGGAAAAGGCATGATAGCCAAACATATATAGGAAGTATTATGACTCTATTAGATCGATATTTACCAAGGACCCCTAGACAATATCATAAACGACGTAGGAACTAATTTCGACAGCAAAGAATTCAGATATCTTGCAAAAACTATGGGAACTATAGTAAAGATAGTTCTAGTCGAAGCGCATAATTCTATAGGAAAAGTCGAGCGATACCATACTATAATACGACGAGTCTATAACATCATCAGATAAGAGCTTAGTGACTCCATAGGAATAGGGGAAGCTAATGTTGATAAGGAACTAGCTCTCTAGATGATATAGAAAGCGATCAACAACTCGGTCGGACCAAATGGTCTTATCCCTACACTACTTATTTTTAGAGCGTTTCCGCGACTCGCGGAGCTAGACGCCCCATCGCCAATAGTTATATAGCGCGCTGCAGCTATTACAAGAGCGATGCAGGAAGTCAAGAAACTACGAGCAAAACGACAAATTCAAGACGCCATGAACATGCGAAATGGACCCATCATAGCCGCTATATAAGGATTGCCACTAAATTCTCCTGTTCTTATCTAGAGAGAAAAGAAGAAAAAATGGATAGGGCCATTCCTACTACTCTCAATCGACGGAGACATATATATTATCGATAGCAGCGTTAAAGGCCTAAGATCGTTCCGGATAACTATTATGAAGCCATTCCTAGAAGAAGACCAGCAAACCAATACGCTACTAGACGCATAGAATAATGGTATACAACATGATAGTCCAGATACACAGCCTAATATATAGCCTAATATACAGCCGCATAAGGATCTACTATTTAGCGTCATCATCGACAACAGAGGCAGGAATTTACAACAACCAAGACATACATAACGTCTAAAGCGCTAAGAAGACGAAGACATAGATAAAGAAGATTTGGAAGATGAAATCAATACTATCTTCCTGAACACCCCAACGCCAGACTTTCGCGCCTCTCGATAAAGCGAAATCAATGGATTACTAGCTAAAGGAGTCTTCAAATTCGTGCCTTAAACAGAAATGCCTAAAGGAATTCGACTCTTTAATTCCAGGTTCGTTAATAAGATTAAAAACGTAGGAACAGATCAAGCAAGAGAAAAGTCACGACTTGTGGTATAGGCATATAACAACCACGGAAAAGAATTTGTTCTAACCTAAGCACCTATAATTCAACGTGTTAGCTAAAGAATAATTCTATCTATCGCTACGATGCGAGATAATTCAGATTTATACCTTCGTGATATCTTATAGGCATATATATAGTCGACATCAGACTTGAACCGATAATTCTATATGCGACCCCCTACTAAATTTGGTTTACTAAAGGATACTGTCCTAAAAGTCTTAAAGCCCCTTTATGGAATCCCGGAAGCAGGCAATCATTGGTTTCAGATATACTATAAGCATCATCTTGAAAAGCTAGGAATAGAGCAATCCACCTATGATGCATGCCTCCTCTATAGCAAGAAACACTTTAGAATTATCGGAATACAGATAGACGACACTTTGATCCTCGCGAATGCTATATTCATTAAGAAGGAAGAGGACGAACTATAGAAGGCGCAGCTTCTATCGAAACCGCTCCAAAAGCTCATAGAGGTTAATCTACTTGAATTCAACGGCAGTATCATCCGAAAAAGCAAAAACGGGATTACAATTTCGTAAATCGATCAATGCCGACGCCTAAAGACCATCGCCACCAAAATCGTTTTAAAGGATGCATATATCTCTTAACGCGCTTATGGAGCCTATATCACATTAGTTTGCCAACTAGAAGCCATATATGACTTATCCTTTTTAGCTTAAGTCATCAACCCGAAAAAGGAAGATACGGAGAGATTAAATAAACACATCCAATAGCAGATCGATAATCAAGCGAGAGGGCTTTACTTTGTTAAGCTTCAAGAAGACACGCTATAGCTTATCGCATTCGTTAACGCATCATTTATAAGAAACTGTGATTCAAGCAGCCAGATCGGATATATCATCACTATGGCTGATGGATATGGACAAAACCAGGTCATTAATACCAATATCCTATACTGGTCATCCATCAAATATCATAGAGTCACTAGGAGTGTGCTCGCCGCCGAACTATATGCCACATCACACAGAGTAGATATCGCTTTCGTAGTCAACTAAACCTTAAATAAAATCCTGCGTGTGGTAGAGCATTTACCTAGAATTCCCCTAACACTCTATACAGACTCACGCTTAGTATACAATATAGTCACATGTCTCGGGACTACACAAGAAAAACGACTTATGATCGACATCATGGCACTACGTCAAACATATGAACGACGCCAGATGGAGCTCAAGTGGATCGCAGGAGGATCAAATCCTGCCGATGCGATGACGAAGGAGAAGTGTGGAAACGCACTGAAGGAGTTGATTAATATAAATCAAATCGACTTAGAGACCCTTGGTTGGGTCGAACGTTAAGTTTTTTCCTACTACAACCTTTATAAATTACGGCCTACATGATATTTATGCACCTAAATTGGTACGATTAGCATCGCGTTCTGCACGAAATGATGAAGCTTATTTCTCTATTTTCAATGATATTTAGAGTTGCTCTAGTGTTGCGACAGCCGAGAAACAAGGCCATCAACAGACGGAAAAAGCTTCTGCCGAGACAGTGACTCGGGAACTAGATTAGTATATCACGGCATCCTTGAACGATATGCATTCATCGCAAACGACACCCTTGAGCGATGTGCATTCGCGACAGTAATGTCCCGTCTTCACCGTCTCTTCTGTCTCGGACGAATGTTGACATTCGTCCAGAGCAGAGGGGCACCCATATACTATAAGTAGCTAGTTCTTTCATCAATGAAAAAGCAGACTTCACAACAACCACAATATTCAGTACTGTAGAGACCACTACACTTGGTGGTTTGTCTACGGTGTTGAGTAGTGGTTCGTTGGAGCTCACCGTTCTCAGTCAAGATATTCGAATATCGCCAAGCGAGCGACACATACCACGAAGCAGATCATACCAATGACCTATCTTAGCTGGATTTTTAGCCATCATTCGCTTAGAATCCTTGACTTTCTGCTTCTAAGGACCTAGTTTTAGACCTTTAGGAAGACGCTTAGTAAAGCGATATACCCAATTTGGCCCAACAGTTCTAGTATCCTTAGTATCTTCAGAACTAGAATCTTGAAGTAGGCGATTTGCCCACATCTCAACCTGTTTTGGTGTTGGTGGCATACACCAATCAGTTAGCTGGGTAATTCAGCGTACTAAAATCTCCTCCTGGATATCGGTAAAAACATTATTGACTGGTTTTTGTTGAGTTTTCGCGGTCGCATTGGTTTTGACGCGGTTATGGAGAGTACGTCGATTGACACCAAATTCGCGCGCAATCGTAGAGATATTTGGGTTTTTTTTCGCGTTTGGCGCATCAAAGGCCTTAGAGAGATGGGCCTTAGTCGATTCAAAGGTTTTAGGCATGGTGGGTGGGAGATATTGGGTAAAATAGAATGGAATGTGGAATTGGAAGAACCGGTGAAAAAAAAAAATTGGCAGAACCGGTGAAGCACACCCGACTCGTTTTTTACGAGTCGGGTGTGCACATGACACAGATAGTCGTCTGAGCTGGCACCGTGACACTACTAATTGATTCAAGTCAAATTCTATAGCCTTTTTTGTCTAAGCATGTCAGTTGCAATCAATAAAACCAATCAGCCGTAAGCCTCCTGCTATATCATATTGCTCCGTCAAACCCGGGATTCAATCAAATAATCCCTAGCAGTGTGTGTTCAGCAATTCCCACAGCTATACGCTGCACCCCGATAGCGCATGCACGGACTTGAACTGTGACGGTATAATAGCGGGGACATTAGTTTGATGCGTTAAAAGTATTACATTATAATATGATGAAGATATATACCTGGACATTGAAGGTTGGCTTTAGTGCTAAATTTTCCACAATCTTTCTCAGCTTGAGTGATCTTCATTCTACGTCATCGGCTTAATATCATTGGCTCGGTAATATGGTACTCGATTGGTCTAATAAGTGGGGCCGGTCGAATCTTCATACGGTTGCGGCTCTTTTTGAGGCTCTCAAATTTGTATTATCTTCGATCTTCTTGATTAAGGCATATGTATCAGGTAAAATCGTCATCTTCTTTTGAAACAATTAGTGCAACTATGAGAAGCTACCGAGTGATATGACGATCTAATTAGAGCTCGAATGACACCTCGGGGCCAAAATGCGGGTCGCGCGGCAAATTCGCGGTTCCATAGCGACCTTAAGGCCGACTAATATGGAGCTTTCTTATCAGGAAATGGGTCATTAAATATATTGTGGCTAGGCCTGCTAGTCATTCTCGGGTGGTCTTGCCGCTCATGGCTCAGCCACTAAACTATAGAAGCAACGAGGAATTGTACCGTCGTTTGTGCTAGAGGTCAGGTCAACTTCCTTGGAAGAAGAACCGTTCTCCGAGCAATCAAGAAGAGATATGTAGTACGCCTTTTGATAACATAAGCTTTGTGAACAACGTTGATTAGGAGAGCAGCGAGCTCACTTACCTTCAGATCAAACCCATAAGTATCAGTCAACTTGTTAAAAACCTTATCTGTGAGCTTGTAAAAGCTCTTGTCACACTTTCTGCTAGTGAGTAAGTCGTACTGGAAAAAAATCATAGAGACGTACACTTGCAAAAGGGTTATCCGTCGAGCAACCTTCCGAGCTTTTAGGATGTACCAAGTAGAAGCAGGCGTCGCCATCATATCTGTCCAGGGAATCCAACCAGTATTCCCCTACTCCATTGCAACCTTCTTCTTTGATATCAATATCTGCACGGAGTCCGTAGTATGCAGTGTGCATCGCTTCGTCGACAAGTCTTTTCTCCTATTTTTATATGTTAGCATGTATCAGAGTGAATAGTTTAACATGAACTAACAAGATTGTCAATAAAATACTCGTAGGCCGAGGCCAACGAGGAGTTATCCTTGTTAATATCAAGCATAATGGTATCGTCATTGAGGAATTTTGCTGTGTAGTGTGTCGCATCTGAATCAGTATGGATAGGAAGGTAGCTCGAGTCACCGTTTCCAGTCGCGTTTGTCAAAATTTCTGCGATGTAGTCACCAGCAGATTCAACAACAGACTTGAGGAAATCCTCAACCGTCGTAGTGTCGACCTTGTCGGATTGTGTAGATGTGAGGCCAACCTCAGTGAAGGCAGAACCTGTAAAGCCAATCATTCCTCGAAGCTGTGTTGTTCCAATTTCAACTGTACTAGCAAAGGACCCAGCCATACTGAAGGCAGCAGCTATCCATTTGGCCCAAACAGGGGCAGGAGTGATAGTTGTGAAGTCTTTGCCAATCTGATCAATTGAGAGACTATCCAACCACCCTGTCCATAGTAACTGTTCGTGGATCATATTGATCTTGCTATGAAGAATATAAATCTCATGAAATACCCAGTATTGTAGTTGGGATGGGTAGACAGAACATAGGTCGTCAGGGGAGCAGTCGCCACCAATCTCACTACAGCCTGAGAGAGGAGATGCACCCTCGTTGGGGAAAGTGTTCAACCATAACTGATTCACCCAGTCACTCTCGCCATCTGGCAAAGTATTTAACATGACGTCAAGCCATCTGACAAAGCCGGTAGAGTCTATAATAGCGTCCACACCTGTGGTTGTAGAGGTATCTCCCGCCGTGCATGACGGGCTGGATGTAGTAGTGGTTGTTGAGGTTGAGCTGGAAGAAGTAGTATAGGTGGAGGTTGAACTGGATGTCGTAGATGTCGAGGTTGAGGTATATGATGTCGTAGTAGTGCGCAAGATTGGAGAAGTCGAGAAAGATCTTGCCGAATTAGACACAGACAGGGCACTGGTAATAGTTGCTAGTAAAGCAACCGAAAAGAATTGCATCATGTCAAGTTTTCAGGTGTTCTTTATGAAATGCACAAAACTAGACTTCAAAGGATATTATTGATAGGTATATATGTGTCCATACGCGGGGAGCATATCTGCGCGTATCCCCCTTCATCCATATCGGAGGTTGTTGATAGCCCCCACGCTCTTGAGCTCAGACTATGGAGCTATTCTCCACCTAAAAGGAGATAAACTCACCGCAAAATGGCTATAACGTCAGCAACGTTACTCCGTAGAGCCGGCACTACACCCGCTATCAATGAATTATTCCGATGCAACATACCTAGGTAGGACGATTCTTCTCAGATAATCAGTTTGTTTCAAGATAGAGAGCACTTGACAACCCGATGCTTACTATGTAATGACATTTGGTAATAAATTTGGAGAAGCCTATTGTGGGGACTTCGGCTGAAACAATCTCATGCCGCTTTACATAGTACACTCCAAGGTTGTCATTAATTATCTACTAATCTTTTGAATTATTTGATCGCCCACTTCCTAGTCTAATTCTTGCATGATGCAAACTCAACTCGGTCTTATATGACGAAAAGATTAGATTAACTGCCTAGGTGCTCGTGGAGCCCATAAATAACACCACTGAAAATGGTCAGAAACTTGCGTCTTCGTTTAAAAGCTACCTAAATAGGCATTCTAAAAAGTAGATGCAGACAGTTAAATAGACCTTCTTTCTGAAGATCCAGAACATAATGTTCTTGTTTCAATCGATTATGATTAGTTGGACCGAGCCATATCCTCATTTGATGCAAAGAACGGGGACCGATTTGTCTGAGAATCAGAACAAACACACCACAATCTTTACGATTGCAGATTCCAATTGAAATAGATCTAAATTTTACGACAGTATCACCTAATAAGAAGGTAAAATAACAGCGAGCTATCCAATCGCACAAAGTAGCTCAATAGTGCTGAGTTGATTTTAGGCCCACATAAAGTTGTTTGAAATAATATTGCCCCAATCTTCTCTCCATCAGTATTGAGCTTTCTTCGACCGAGATGTAATTGGTCAGCCCTCTAGAAGGCCATACCTATGTGTGTGCACCCACAGTAATCGGGTCCATGGCCTATCAGTCATCGGCAACTAAAGATCATACTGGTTCTATCTTGGAACTATTCATTGTTAGTTAATCAGACATGAAAAAATTCAAAGCTATAATCTACCGGAGTAGTAACATCAGAAACTCCTTGTTATAATTCAAGCTTTTACTTTCAAGCCCACCTCAATGAAATCAAACTTATAGAAGATCAATTGTCCTTGGAGAAAAGTCCGATTATATCAGCTGCCATCAAAAAGATTCTACGATTTTAACGGGCGCAAACACAGCCACCTCGAGCGTCTCGTCTGCAATTGTTAGGTTGATTCCATATTCGAACTGATGCGTATTCTTGATCGCGAATGTGAGAAAATCGGGACAAAGAGACCTTGTGAGTATCCGCGAATATCACTTTCCGTTTATATAGAGAACATCTTTCCGCAGGACAAGCTGAAACATATCTCTAATGGGGAGAGTCTCATCAGCATTATCTAACGAATTAGCCACTAATGGACTTGCAAGATCTTTAAAGATATGCTCGAAATGGAAATCCAAATCAAAGCCCTGCTTGTCGGTCTTTGCTCCACTATTGGGATTTTCGCAGGCTTTAATTGTCGTCCAACTCTTGATCCGAATTTTGATGCAATTTATCTGAATTTGTCGCTGGATGTCTTGAATGATTTTCCTTGTTTGATTATCCCCCTTCAAAGTCTCAATTCTCAAGCTAATCTGTAATACTTCTGGATTTTCAAATTGAACAACCGACGACGATTCCACCAGGACTTGGAACCAGAACTTAGGAACCTTCGAAAATCCAAAGAACCTTTTTGTCTTCTGTCGAAATGATAATTCTGTATTTTCTATCTCCGGTAGCAGGCGTTGGCTTCTCACTTTCGCAGGGCTTAAGATACTCCCCTTGACGATATAAAGCTGCTCTAGGCTCACAGAGGGATGTCTGAGGGTAATGGGTCTAGTCGTGTAGACCATCTTTTTAGAACCACCTCGTTCATAATATAGCTGAGCATGAAGCCTATATTCAATCACAGCCTTAGACCCAGATCCATTCCTAAGCGCACGAAAAGATCCAATTAAGGTATGGTAGGCCTGATGATCCTTGTCAAATGGTAAGAAGCTGGCCTATAGTTGATGACTTTGCGTCATATCTGCCTTGGGCTTGCTAGGAGTGGGCACGGAAAAGGACCAACGGAGGGGCTCTTTGTATATTCAGGGTGGTGCAAAAGCCCACTATAAATGGTATTCTCCGTGTGTTTGAAAAAAGATCATTTGTTATCATACGCTTCATGGTCGCTCCAGAGGTCTTTTGTCTCGACTCTAAGCCGCAAGATGCTGACTCTCATCACTCCGGTGAGCCATTCGTTGATCCTAGCTTCAAGAGAAACAAGAGGTGATTTTCGAACGATATCCCCAATAATTATGTCACCAGGGCTGTAGTGCCAGCCTAACGGAGCCGCAACATCTAGATACAGTTCGTCTTTGTGGGCAATATCCAGCGTCATCGTAGTACTTTGAAAGATGAGAAGATGAAAAAGCAATACCAATGAATCGTGATCTGCATAGTGACTGGCGATAGGGCTGAAGCTGGCGGTCTAACTTGTCTATAGTTATTCGCGTATTTAGTGCTGCTAATACTTATGGTCGAATGATTGGCTCAGAGTGACTGAGCAGCGCACTAGTTAGTCTCCTTTCAATTATATGACACATATTTTCATCCAGACAGGACGCTCCGAGGTCAGGGCTCCTAAGATATTGGTCCCTCTAAGTACTGGGTCGCGTGTCTAAATAGTGTTTTCGAAATGACAACATTAACAAAGGCTTCTACCGCGACCGTGCTCGGCTAGTTAAAGCTCCTGATTTGCTAATTGAAACCCATTTAGTTACCCATAAAGTCCGATTTCCTTGACTAATCTTCAACCAAATTTATTTATGGCAGTACAAGCAGAAACTCCCATAGAGCCTGTGTATTCCATGAGACAGGTCGAATAGGAATGGTCCTGTGTATTCTGTGAATTTCTCGTACCACAAGCGTCGCCTATGGCCCCGGCAAATTTGTCGTGAGACTCGTTATGAGATCTCTTCTACGAGATGCATATGCGGTATAAAATTACATACCGTCTCCACTCTTTTTGTCCAATTAGGAAGCGATTTTAGTCGACCAATAAGGTTCTTGTTAGGATTTTTTAAGTCAACGACTAATCCTCCGACAGAATTCGTAAATATGCTTACGTGAACACCAAAGCCACCAAGTGCGCTCTCACTGGTCTTACTAACTATAGAAACTATTAATGACGGTAGATAATAGAATTGCATGTACTAAAGTATATCATTTATTCTTCTCAAAATTGTGGGCTTGGTCGTTTAATTTGAATTCGATCCTCTGCTCGTTTTACTCGTCCACCGCGCTGCTACATAACAAATAATACAATTGAACAAGGAAAATATCAAAAGAACTAGAAATTGTCTTTTTTGTATTTAATTCGATGGCGTTTTTATGCCGGCATTTAAAGTAAGCTCCAAAAATACTAAGAAATGTCGGTTAGATTTCCATCGCCAAAGCTACCACGCTATGCATTGTCCGATGTGTCCAAGAAGACCAAAGGCGTACATGACCATGCAGATTTGCAATTTATTAATGATCAGGTGCTTAGACACTGGTGAAAACTTTACTGCACTAGTTTGACTAGAAGCAATGGCTTAAAATCAAGTGTCAGGTCATACCTAGGTAGTTCCGGGTGTTAACTTTCGCAGCTTTCAAGGTTATAAGCCATCCGAAGTCGATTTTTCTCTATCTAGGTACTTATGTACTTCACTTTCTACTTATATATTCCTGGATGCATGCATGGGTTTTTCATTTCAAGCCTATTTTCCCATTGGGGGCCGTGATGAGCTTCGGGAATAGGTTTTCAAGATGACGCCCAATTATTCTGCTATTTGAAAAACGGACCCTTTCCCTCTTGCATTCTAGCTTCTTGCATCATGAGAGAACAAAAATTCATTGCCCATGTGGCTCTAGCGAGAAGTAGATCTACATCATACATTCGGAATATTCGATCAAGTCGATATAAAGTAAAGAATAAAGCTCCCGAAATCATATTTGAGAGTTTCGGTGAAGATTTTCCTGATGGCAAATCTATGGGGCTAAATTCTATCCTTCTTCGACCTATTCTATCGATCCTTGATCCTTCTGCCCTAAATGGAATGTTTTGGGTTAGTTCGATGGAGAAATATTTCCAGAAAGTAAAAATAGGCAGTGCCGATGGGTTAGTTTGATGGGGAAGTTCATTTAGAGAGTAACAAGTAGGTAAGGCCGAAACAGCTTTTCGCCAATTATTTATAGGCGCTCAAATCCCCAGGGCCGACAGAATACAATGGAATTTCAATCTAACGGCCACAATGCATCTCAAAACTCTGGCAGTATCTCTCTTAGCTGTCCCTCTGCTTGCCTCTCCATTAAGCACCGAGTCAAAAACATCTATCGCGAAGCGCACCATTCCAAGCATTGAAGAGTTTGATGAAACTGACAAAATTCGTATCAAAAATGGATTTAGCGACGCCATGAAAATCGCAAAGTCTGTTTTGACCTCGAAAGCCAGTATCGTTGACCCAATTCTTGCGAAATACTTTGACAAAGAGGATAAGACGAAGGTCCTTGGTCAGTCTCAAGAAAATTATCTCCTCTTTTGCTGGAATACTATTTCTAACCTTTGAATTATTGCATATAGAGGTATATGAGAAAATCACCGGTGGAAGCTTGGCCCAATACTCCGGTAACACTCTCTTAAGCCAGATCACCGTGGTAGACGAGGGCTATCCAGGTTGGGGCCATATGTCTTGCGGAAAAGACGACGATATGGGAGAAATCCATCTCTTTGACACTAGTAATCCTATACTAGTGGTCTGTGACTATGCTCTTGATCGTGGCAACATTGACAAAGGGTACGATGATATACCTGCCGTCACCTGTGATAACATTGGAGATACAGTTGGCTCTAAAATGGATACTCTGGGCTCGACAATATTGCACGAGTATACGCATTGGAAGGATTTGGTAGTGCCTCCGTTAGATGCATCAACACAGGATTATGCATATGGAGCTTATGCAAGTCAGCATCTGGATAACAAAAAGAAAATCATGAATGCCGAAAACTATAATTGGTTTGCGACTGAAGTGTTTTGGACAGCGAAATGTGATCGTGATTTCAAAGCCGCTACGAAGAAGAGTTCAGAAACTTCAGAATGTTAGGAGAGCTTTGCTGCTAACAATATTCAAAAAGAGGATGAATAAGGAAAGATAAAATAAATCAGAAACTGACATGTTCCCCCAGGCATCAGTTCTTGATTCCGTAGTCATTGCTCTAATATAAAAATCCTACCCAAGTCTAAAGCTATTCTATTGCTAGGCAAGAAATGAAGAGAATCGTAGTTTTAAAAAATTTGTTCCTTTAGACAGCCTCAGAAGGGAATAATTATTTTAAAAAGAAGGTACCTAGGTATTCGAGTACATAAAGATTGAAGATGGGCCCTCCTCGAAAATAGGTATACATCTGAGGGCGAAAGGGAACAGGCAAAACTTAACATAATTCCCTGATAACGGTCCACCCGGATAAATGGTCCACCCTGTATCTGTGTCATGTGCACACCCGACTCGTTTTCGGGTGTGCTTCACCGGTTCTGCCAATTCCACATTCCATTCTATTTTACCCAATATCTCCCACCCACCATGCCTAAAACATCTGAATCGACTGAAGCCCGTCTTTCTAAGGCCTATGATGCCGCCAAACGCGAAAAACCCCCAAATATCTCTAAGATTGCGCGCGAATTTGGTGTCAATCGACGTACTCTCCATAATCGCGTTAAAACCAATGCGACCGCGAAAACTCAACAAAAACCAGTCAATAAGGTTTTTACCGATATCCAGGAGGAGATTTTAATACGCTGAATTACCCAGCTAACTAATTGGCGTATGCCATCAACACCAAAACAGGTTGAGATGTGGGCAAATCGCCTACTTCAAGATTCTAACCTATGGGGGTTGCTGGGATGGACTTCATCCCATTTCACTATCCAATCAAAAGTGTCGAAAAAGTGGGGGAGGTGAGTCCATCCCAATTCAGAACTCGAGCCCATCCTATTTACTTTTAGGGCTCTTACGAGGCTGAAAATTTCACAAGTTTCAAATAAGTATGTTTTCTTAAATTATTTTTAATTTCAAGCTCATCGGACATCAGGAAAAGTTATGGTGGGTAGCCCTAATTTTGTAAGATATTTTGATGGGGTGCGGTCGCAAAGTGACAATACATAGACTAAATACAGCCTCGTATAAGATACTATATATGTCGATCAACTACGTTGAAAGGACAGGGTTCACACGTTGCACTATATATACTGGAAAAGGGTATGGTTCGTCCTAGATTCTTAGTATATACGTTGTGCAAAGTGGTGTGAAATGTGTTCTATTCATGTAGCTACTTGAGTTCCTAATATAGTTGTTCCCCTGTGACTCGGGGGTCTGTTTGTTCCGTTCCGGGTTTATGGTATTGCACGATTGCAATATCCATGTTCCGACACTGGAGCAACTTTAAAATCTCGAGTCGCTATATACATGGATCGATAAAAATAAATGAGAGTGGACAGGTGCATGATGTGTCCCCGAATGCCTTGTATATTGTATCTGGTGGGTGGCCGATTTTGTTGAAGAATCAGTCTTTGTGCGGGGTAAAGAAAACGGTGAGTGGAAAAATAAACAAAAATGAAAAACACGAAGGTGGGCTTTTTCCTAGAGAAGCCAGTCTCTATTTCGTCTTCTGTCCGTGGTCCTCTCTGGTGGTATTTTTAGTGATCCCCTGAGATTAGAATGGTAAATGGTATTCTGTTGCCTTATTTATGATAACGGCGGTCTTTGTAGGTTGAGCCGTTGCTAATTCCCGGAAAAAGGATAATATGGCGGACTGCCATATGGTGTACCCTCCTTCTAAGGATTCTAGTCTATATAAGGTGTTCGGGAAGCGAATCGGGTGTGGTAGGAGTCTGATTTGGGCGTTGTGCTTTTCCTGTTGGACGGCTATATATTCCCTGATGAGCTTTAGGTCATATTTCTTATCTGTTTCGATCCCCGATTCCGTCGAGTGGATTATGATTAGCTGTCGGAATGCTATCATCAGGTTGCTAGCTGCCGCCTGGGCTGCTTTGGGTGTGGTTTCCGCCTAGGTGAACGCTGTATTAGTTGCTCCTGGTGTGCTAAATGGTGCCGATAGTCCTTGACTTGTATGTGTTGTGGTAGGGTCTGTATTTCTGGCGTAGTCTATAAGTATATGGAACGTCTAGCTATTGTATTAGATTCCGAATAGTGGTGGGTGATATATGGCTTTGCTAGCCCCTCTGTATTGGTTATATTTCTTGCTGGCTATAGTATCGAAGAGGTAGTTGAATGTGGGGAATGTTTCTTCTTCCTAGTTTATGTTTTTGTGTCTAATATATCTAATATATGGTATGAATGTTGCGACAGCCGAGAAACAAGGCCATCAACAGACGGAAAGTATTTCGGCCGAAAAAGCTTCCGCCAAGACAGTGACTCTGGAACTAGATTAGTATATCACGGCATCCTTGAACGATATGCATTCATCGCAAACGACACCCTTGAGCGATGTGCATTCGCGACAGTAGTATCCTGTCTTCACTGTCTCTTCTGTCTCAGACGAATGTTGACATTCGTCCAGGGCAGAGGGGCACCCATATACTATAAGTAGCTAGTTCTTTCATCAATGAAAAAGCAGACTTCACAACAATCGCAGTATTCAGTATCGTAGCATTCACTACACCCGGTGGATCTTCTACGGTGTTGAGTAGCGGTCTATTGAAGCTCACCAACTCCTTTCTACTACAGTAAACTCCAATTCCCTTTTACTACAGTAAGAACTGGAACGCTATTCTCAGTTAGATATTCGAATATCGCCCTTTCGAGCGACACTGCTAGTAAGAAGTAGATATCGCATTAAGGTAGTCTGCGGAGTTTGGATGAAATTGAACAAAGTGTGGTTATTCCTGAAGGTGGTGGAAGTGAAGACATATCTTTGACTAAACCTGCTATAGAAGCTCTGGTTGAACCTATAATTCTATATACACCTATTATTCAACATTTTGTGACATGTTCTAGATGTGAAATTCGTGGGGACACTTATACTCAATGTCCTACACGTGGTAAATAACTAGTTTCATATATATTTATGTTGTTAAATTTGATGGTCCGAGAAACTGGCCTGCGTAGTGGTGGAACACGTTACAAAGTAATACTCTTTGCTATATTTAACCACTACAAAAGAAATTTATACCTGAAACCTAAGGCACTGTACTGACTTTAGCACTTTTTGTAGTGGTTTAAGTTAAGTGGGTAGTAGTAGTAGCAGGTCTCTATATTTACAGACGGGCTGAAAAGACTTCCAAGACTTCCAAGACTGTAAATTGGAACTATAAATTGATGTAATCAGAAAGACGAATGCGAAAGTGATATAAATGAAACAATAAAAAGAAATCAAAACCTTCAAAAACAAAAACAAACATTTGAAGAAGATAATAAATTTGACGGTAGTAATACGGTCAAGTCAAGGCCGAGAGTCAACCTCTTCAACAGGCCAGCTTCTGCCCAATCAATACATAAAGAGCATTCTTGGTAGGTGCTTCGAGAACTTCTTCAACTCCAAGGATAATTCCTCTTGCTTGGTAAAATCTGACGAATTGAGCAGCCAAAATTCCTTCAACCCAAGTCTCAAAGAATGAGAAATCGCCAGGCACTTCATCAGAGCATCCGAGAACGGTTCGCCAGGCTTCATCGACAAGTGAGATTTTGAACAATGTTGTCAGAACGGGAGGGTCATAGTCAACCACGGGAATGGGAATTGTGGGCATATCGGTGATTGGTACAGTTATCGATGCCATGCTTCCGTGGGGATCTTGGCTCATGGCCAGGATGATGTCGCATAATCTCGCGTGAACATCTTGTGCGAACTTCTGGGTCACAGCACCCTTATTCCATGACAGACTGCTATTAATACTAGAGCCGTGTGGCATCGAGAACCAGAAGAGAAGATGTCAGATGTATAGGTAGGCGAGCTTGAAGCACTGATGTTACACGTTGTGTCTACAAATGGAATCGATTCAACGATATCATTCAAGTTCTGATGCTGGAGAATCGAGCTGAAGCGTGTCTCACGTGGCCAGCTGGTGCCTTTTTCGACAATTTTGGTGAAATCCAGAGTTTCATAAGCAACAGTAGCGATGTAGTTGTTCTGAACCTGGTTCAGTAGTTCTAGGATTTTTGTATTCTTTAGTGCCACGCGAACAGGGACGACGTTTACACAACACCCAAGAATACTTTCTGCTTCGTGAATTGGCAAGTTCCGACCTGAGACTAGTTGGCCAAATACCACATCCTCGACTCTTGATAGTTCGCGAAGAACAAGAGACCACGAAGCTTTCAAGAGACTTGCAAATGTGATACCATATTAAGTGAGAGCTGTTGGAGTGATAGACCGAGAGATGGCTTGAATGGAATCATTGCGCGTCGCGAATTGGGGGGTCGAGATGAACTTTGTCATTTGAGATCCTTGGAGCTGGTCTCTCTAGAATGAGATAGAATCTTCTGTTTCAGAGGCCCATTTTCCAGCGATGAAGCGAGAGAATCCTGGACTGAGTGATAGTTCCGCCCCCACATATGCATCTTGTAGGTCACGATAAATGATGGGCTGGCTGACACCATCATATTGTGCATGAGATAATCGGAGAATTAGACATGACGAGTTTTTCCCATTGAAAACGAACATGAATTTTGTAATCACCTGACCCAAGAAAATGGAATGTCGTTTATCCTCCGTACTCCTCCACAATTCGATCAATTTGTGGTCTAAGATCACCCTCAGATTCGAACTCAAGGAATCCACAGTCCACAGATTTGAGAACAGCATTTAGTGCCTGTCGATTATGAACAAAGAACAATGTTCGCAGCATTGGGTGACGCGCCACAAGAGCGTGACACGCAGTAGCAAGTCGCTGTGAATCTAAGGCGCCGTCGAAAATGAAGGTGAAGTATGTCATGTAACCTCTGTGTTTGAGTAAATTCGAAGTCAAAGCCTATGCTTGGAACTTTGTTGCTTCACAAATATCTTCAACATTGTCCACAGAAATGGAGATCTCCAAAGAGAGCGCCTCAACTAGAGAAGAGCTGATATCACGAGGCATGATGACCGAGCTTCCATTTTTGTGATTTTTTGGTGAGGTAATCTCGGGGATCCGGCTTTTAGCTGCAGCTACCATGTCGTAAAGCCGTGGTTTTTGAAGGACATCAGTTACCAAAAGATAAATGTTCATCTCTCTTGCCGTAGCAACCAATCTCATCGCTAGGATTGAATCACCTCCCAGTCGGAAAAACGTATCTTCAGCTGCGATAAAAGAAGGCTCAATGTGCAAAACCTTTGCCCACAATTCTTGCAGCTTGAATTCCATCGTTGTTGATGGTTCACGATGAGATCTCTTCGAGAAAGAGCAAAAATCAAGTTGATCAGTGCTCAATGACTGTCCGAGCTGGAGAAGCTTGCATCTATCGGTCTTTCCTGATGCAGTTGATGGCATAGAGGAAATTTGAATGAAAAGAGATGGGATCATGTATGCTGGAAGAACCTGTTCCAGAGCAAGCCGAAAGTTTTGTGCAATGTCTAACAGGGCGTCAAACTGTGATATCAATATCTGGGACTCGGAGTTACCGAGACAAAAGTCATTGCTACTGATAAATGCAGCCAACGTAGAGTTTTCTTGGAGCTCGGAAGGTCGTATAATGTCAACTGCTACCTGCCAATCCCGATCTTCAGACAAAAATCTCTTGACTTGGAATTCAACTTCACCGAGCTCAAGTCTTTGCCCGCGCAGCTTGGTCTGTGTATCTTTGCGACCGATAAGATGTATCATGCCGCTTGCTAATCGTAACGGTCCAAGTCGCCCGTCTTATAGAAGCGCTGTTGCCGATCGGGAGTAAAGTGGCGAGCCCACACCGGATCCCTAAAGAAGGCAGAATTCGTTTTTGCTTGATCCTTAAGATAGCCTCACGCTAAGACTGGACCTTCAATGACAAGTTCACCAACGCATCTAATTGGTACAAGTTGGTTGTAGTTGTTGGGATTGACAATCCACGTTACTGCTCCGACTCCATGTCCGATCTATTCAGGACTGGAGTCGCAACTTATTCCACCGTTGAAAATACACCAAATCGTACACTCTGCAGGGCCGTAAATGTTGCTAAGGTAGATCTTGTCTGCCTAATCTTCCTTGGATACATGGGACATACACACAACCACCTAGCATCAAGGTGGCAAATATGTCGCTAACACTCACGTCAAATATATATGCAGCAAACTGCAAGTCTTGACTCTAGACTGGTTATCGATGCCTGCCAACCTACCGTGGTAAAAACCACTTGTAGTAAGAGCTGATTGCTCAACAACGACTGCTTTTGGGCTACCAGTACTTCCAGATGTGAAAATTCTGTATGCCGCATTAAAAGGAGAAAACTCCACTGCCACCTGGAAGTTGACCACTGAAGGTGGTAAATCTGCGATCGTGGACTGGGAAACGTCGATGACGATGGCACCTGTTCTCTGAAATAATGCGACATTTTTTGGAGATGCGAGAATAACACATGCGTTTGTCTGTTCGATGATACTCTCTCGTCGCTGTAGGGGATAGTTAGGGTCGATTGGCACGAATGCTGCTCCAGATTTAAGAACGGCCAACATCGAGATGACTGTCCACGCTGACTTTTCAAAGCAAAGGAGAACAAATTGATTTGAGTCCGAATTAATGCCATGACTCAAGAGGAGAATTGCGAGCTTGTCCGAAAGCTCATTCAGCTGCTGATATGTGAATGACGCATCCCAGCCATGTACAGCAGGGTTTTCTGGGTCAGATGCAGCATTTTTCTGAACAATCTCATGGACGCACTCATTAATTGCAGATGTGTGGTCTTTGTTCCATTCAATAATTATATCATGATCCTTGTTGCTCAAAGACCGAATCTCCATAAGTGCTATATCTGGTGACTGAGTCACGAGTTGCGATAGAATGTGCTCAAAGTGAGATAGGACGTGGTGAAGCTGTTGCTCTGAAATGAAATTGATATCATAATGAGCATTAAAGTGCACTGACCATTTTGCTAGCTAGAAAATCGTAATCTTGAATGCGGCTGAAATGGACTTAGACGTATCGAGTCTCACAATGTCTCTAGCTTATTTTCGCTTAGTGAAAAGAAATTGTACAGGGATGTGCCACGTAGGTGATTTTCCCGTTCAGTAGCAGATGTAGCTGCATGAATCTTTATGGAATAGCGAATGCAGCGAGATTGACCTGCCTGCGTGTGAAACTTCGGTCGTGTCTTGCGATTTTGAAGCTGCCTCACCGCTTCAGTTTTCTCATACACGATTTTACAGCACTACTCATTCAAATCGCTCTGCTTTCACAATGGTGAGCAGTCACGGTCCATCTATCAATATACTAGTACTAATAGAACGAAAGACCTTGCCTAAAACAACCGCGCTTTACCAAACGGACGAAACCCTCACAGTCCATAACACAACAGTTCTTTCTGTGCGACCGGTATCATCCCTCTCCGAATCCGACAGGGCTTCTTCAAAAATGCAAACGAGTCAAACGACTATGTCGTTGTCACTGCCGAGACGATCTTTTATGCCCAAGGCGGCGGACAGCCATGCGACACGGGAACGATGACTCTCTCGTCAAACGAGAAGGTTGCATTCGACGTGACGACTGTTCGAAACGGCGTTAATGGACTAGTTTTGCATTTAGGGTCTTTCGCCTCGGCCTCCGAGTCTGAACCCGAACACTTCAAGCCCGGCGATTCTGTGAAGCAAGCAATAGACAGCGAGAAACGCATCCTCAACTCCCGCATCCACACGGGTGGACATGTCGTTGGCCTAGCAGTGCGGTTTCTGTCTTCGTCTATTCCCGATATAACGGAACTGAAGGCGCAGCATTATCCCGATCTTGCTTTCGTTGACTTCCAAGGGACTATCGAAAGTAGGCATAAGGATGCGATTCAGGCTCAAGTCGATGCCTATATTTCTCAAGAGCTCCCAGTGAAAATTTACTTTTGGAATGAGGCCGAGCTGCGTGAGAAATGTGCCGTTGTCCCCGGAGCCGTTGCTATTCCTGAAGGCGAGCTGGTACGAGCCGTCGACATTGTTGGCGCTGGCGCGTATCCTTGTGGTGGAACACACGTGTCTGACACTAGGAAGGTGGGCAAGGTGACGATTAAAAAAATCAGTCGGAGTAAGGGAAATAGCAAGGTCTCATACACTATTAGCTAGTAGGCATGAATCTACTGTTCGCAGCCATAGATCATCACAAGTCGCGAGATTCCATCAATCCTTATACTACTCCATACAGTTTGAAACTTCTATTTGACATAGAAGAATTGAAACACACGACGATACTAGTTCAATGATACGGAATTTAACACCCGTTCATGCGGGGTTAGCAGGAAGTTGAAGAGGGAACAGAAAGAAAAAAATAAAATCAACGAATGCAGTAGATCATTATGGTCTCTCTTCCGATCTAGCTCCGAGAGGTCTTCTTTCAAGGATTCTATCAACATCCACGCTGCTTGTTCGTACGTGGAAGAGGTCGAGTGACCGCATGCTGAAGTCTCGCACTGACTCAGCGCGCTTTTCATTGGAAGATATAGTTTTAGACAAGGTCAAGAGTGAGATACCCGTGAAATTGAGCAGGAATCCACATATCATCGAAATGATACTGGTCCAGTTGCTGGTGTTAAGCCCGCGGTAAAATATGATAGAGGCGGAGAGGGTGCAAGTCGTGAAACCAACATAGTACATCGCGTTTACTCTGTCAAAGGTTAAATATAACTTAAGCTATCACAATCAGACGAAAAAGACTTACAGTGATGCAGGAAACTCGCTCATTGCTTTATTCAAGTAATTCATCTGGGTGAGGGTTGTGACTACCAGCACTAACGCGAAGACATACGTTGATGCATGAGTGAATTGGTTTTCGCCGCCCACGGTAAGCTTGACCGCAATTCCAAACGCCTTGACTGACATAACGGACACGGATCCGACCGAAGAACAGATCGAGATGTAGACTAGAGGGTTTTTTTTCCCCTGAAACGGTGCGACTTTCCAGATGATGTAAGTTGCAAGCGATGCAACGCAAGCGCAATAGACAAGAAATACTAGACATATGTCAGTAGGGTCATATCACAACGCCGGGAAGGGTTTATTCACATGGTTGAATCGCCAGTTCCAGGATCTCATCCACGGTCTTGATGTCCTTGTCGCCGGGCGCATTGAGCACCAACAGCACCGAGCCCTGAAGACAAGCAGCACATCCCAGTTTTCCGAGGAGATTGATCTCTTCTCCGAGGAAATATGAGCCCATAAAGGAGCTAGAACTGATTAGCGCCGCGGCAGAATCACTCGTCGGCCGACTCACCTGATGAGTACGCTCAGCGCCCCAAGCGGCGTGACCAGCACGGCCGGAGCAAACGCATATGCGGCAGTATTCATCAACTCTCCTGTAAGCACTTTAAGTGTGTCAGCCTCAAGTACCCATCAAGTCCGGGATAGCCATACGCATGGTTAATCCACACCACCACACCGGACTCCAAATGTATTCAAATCCATCGCCAGTGAACCCATATTTCTCGGCTGCTTGTGTGAGACCCTGTTAGTGTCATGTCAGATTCCGAGATGCGGGGGGTAATGATAAAAACATATGGACTAGGCATCGAACCTTCTTTGTGACGACGTAGCTTGAACCTGCTCGCGATTCAAATCTTCAGTATTCCTCTATCACGGGTTCTGAATATGGGAGAGACGAACCAATTGATAGGGAGGATAGTACAGCCAGCGCAAGTCCAATAAATCTGAGGCGGTGCGAAAACATGAGGTTAACAGGAAACAAAGGACAGTTCGGCAGCCGCCTCGACGTACTTCTCATCCACCTTACCCAGCATCACGGAGCTTCGCTTCTTGAATTCCAATCAAAGAAAATGAAAAAGCTGGTCCGAAGAGAGAATAAGAATAATGCAGGTTGACTGGAAGAAGATGCGAATTATTTCAGTTGGGCGAGAGCCGTGCGTCAGCACTAGTACGTACCTTTCAAGACCTGTCATATCATTTCTTAAAATAGCCTATTTAACGATCTTTCAAGATTCCACGGATACTCCTTATGTTCTTGTACTATATGATAGTATCATTAAGTTTTCAGCATATGGAACTAATCGCTTCGTTAGATGATCTAGGCCAGAACGATTGTTTGGTAATCTAAAAGGCGCGGCATGAGTTAGTGACCCCTGAGCTGCTCAGTTGGTCCAGTGCTCAGACTAGCCAGCTCTTGTGCCTTGGACCTTCCGGTAGCAGTGCACTCTTGGCACTGCTAGTACGTATACTCTCATCTTTGTGATAACGTAATTCCCGGTCACCCCATCAAAATTTGGTGAAATTGTAAATTTCAAACCTGAGTTTAAGAACCAAAACACAATAAAATTGATTAAATCACACGATTCTGACATTTATTGACCCTTTGCCCTATTTTACCACACCTAGAGCAGGTTGGTTGGGGCCTAGTTTCAGGCAATATAGGCAAATCAGTTTATGTAGACACATTCTAAGCAGCTTCACTATCAGATATATCTCACTTCATCATTCCCACCAATATTGTTCTGGATCTCTTCCAAACCCCCTAGACTACCCTTATGGATAGTCTGCTTCTTACTAGCGTCGATTTTTCACCTTTTCTTATTCATCTATTCCAAATGGTCACAGCGATCGTGTACAAAAATATGATGAACTGTTCGGATTATACGACCATAGTGCGCCTGAATCGCCCTTTTAGTAGGTGATGGAATCAAATGAAGTGGCGATTCTAAACCTAAATCTACACAAGATTTTGATTTTGCTAGTTTTTAGAGCGTCTAAAGAGAGCTAGGATCACTATCGCTCCCTGATGATGATGGTTGATCCGATATTGTCGGAGGATACTGCAATTCCGCAATACCGTTACCCGGGACAGACCGACCGGGAGTCGCGTTAAATAATGTCGATGCGCACGGCCTAGAGAACTCGTGTATGGCCCCCTGATTGTGCCAATGCCGGCACTACTTGTGATTTGAAGCTTAAAGAATTCTGCGTAACCAAACCCAGCCAAAAAGGAACGCCGAAGTCAATTTCATCTTGCCCGTCAAAAACTGGTCTTCGAGCCTGACTTCGATAAGATCGGATGGACGCAAGTCGGTGAGGGCGAGGAAATCACCGCTTTCAGCACTAAGCTCGATAAATCTTGGTCTAAGGTCAGTATTCAAAATGCGAAGCCTTTCAAGGGTTGGTCAAAAGAGGATAATTTCCACAATGTCATGGACACGAGGCGATGGATATTGGCACAAAAGCCATTGATAAACTTAAAGCCGAGAACAAGTAGCCAACTGACCACATTCAAAAGATAAAGGCGTCATTTGATGTTCATACGAATAGCCGGCGCTACGATCAAGCATAGGAGATCGTCAAAGTATCCGAAGATTTCATAAGGTAAAGAAATCTTAGCGTCGCCTATACTGACTACTGACCTAGTAGTACGGCCTCCCGTACCTGGGTACACAAAAATTGACACTGTGCAAATTATCAAGGATGGCCGAAGCAAAAATTCGTTTGAAAAGGCGGAAAAGGCCATATTGGAATACGTTACCAAGTACAATACCGCGGCAGGAATTCGATCCAGCTACGCCAAGCCATTGCCAAGCTGAAGGGCATGAATGTTCATTTAGTCGAGGTATGCCAAAAACCAGAATAGGCTATTGAGTTGATCCGAAAAAGCTCTCTTACTATCTAAAGAAGGTCTCTAGAGCACTTGGGTAGTCGCCTCTCTAGGTAACACTCATTGGTACAATATCGCACCATGATCTGTGGCTGTAGCTTAGGCAATTCAGATCTAGCATTCTTGAACCACAGATGTTCCTCATTAGGCAAATGTTTAGCCATCGGGAGTAAAGTTCCCTCCGGCGGACAAGGAGGGCCCAAGAGGAGCCCGAATTTCTTCTCAGAACCTCAAAGTGCTCGTCCTCATTTTGTTCTGAGTGCCACATATGCGCCAGGATGATCCATTCAGCTTGTACTTTCCACGATTCTGTCTCTTTCTTTTGAATCTAGGACTCAAAAAGGGCTTCAAAGAGCGTTTGCATGACCAGTTCCTTTTGTAATGCATTTTCTCTCCACAATACTTCAAACTCTCTCAACCGAGCCTCGTTGTCAACATCAATCCTCTGTACAGGCACATCGCCTAACAAACCGAATAAGTCAGAGTTTCGAGCCACTTCACTCGTGATATGTAGAGAGACCGTCGCCATGGTTGTGTTTAGCGAGATGTAATTTTTGCGCCAGCTCCGCAGCAAAAGAAATATGGTACACCTCGGTATTGAATTGATGTGTACAAAACTTTTGTAGCAAGGTACTAATCACTGCTGCAAAATGCTCTTCCAAGCCATACAACACTGTCTCCAAGCTGAAAAGGTGAATAATCTCTACCACAACAGACTGCCACACCTCAAGTTCCTCAGCCCGCCACAGAAACATGATGATTGGTTCGCTGAAATCGCTGTCGTGAAGTCATAAAACATTGTAGCTTATTTATTTCCAGTTAAGGTGTAGCACATCTCGACCCGGCTGCACCCATATTGATTTCAAGCTAAGGTTATCATCCAGTTCCACCCTAAGACCCTGTTCCAGTGAAATCTGCCTAGACTCGCGGTTAATGTGTGCGATAGCCGGCGGGTGAAAACTTGATGAGTTATGCCGTCGGCATAGCAGGCTTGATGGGTTCATTGCCGTCGAAATGGAAACCAGGGATATCTTCTTCTACTGTACGATTTGGTAGGCAGGGCTTCCAGATCATGAAGCATAGCTCTGTAGAAAGTCGCTCAAAATAGTGACATGAGTCGTTTTTCATATTGTTGTTACGACACTGCTAATTTGACCAGACTTTCCTCGTCAATCTGATTAGGCTATAAGCGGAGTGTCGAGGCTGGTAAAGGCTGGATCGTGCGTGAATAAGATAAGGTAGGTTGCTGAGTACTTTTGTTCCAGAATGAGAAGCAGTGGCAAGTCAGAGTTATTGGAAAGATGCAAATCAAAAAGTGCAAATGAAATAGAGGAGCGCATGGTTAGCGCCTTGGTGAAATGAAACGCTTTAATTGGTCATACAAATATTCAAGTCTAGTATAGAATTAATCTTCCACCGTATCTTTATATTAGCGTCCCTTGTACGATGATGACGGAGGTTGACGGAATAGATCTAATCAACAGATCTTATTAGTCTAAGTATTCTCAAGAAAGTTTTTATACTCTACTACGATAAGAATCGTTTCTCCGAAGTTGATAGGTTAATGTTAGATCAACTCAGCACGCAAGGCTTACATGCTAATTGAAATGCTAATGAAAATCTCGTCATTTTTCATATATCTCATCTACATCTTGCATGATACCCGCTAGGTACCTCAATAAGTAAAGTGAAGAAGAGAAGAAGAAAAATTGAAGACATCCATCATCTCTACAATCTTCACTTCAGGCAATCTCAATCACACTTTCAGATAGCCTGGTTTCCCGATTATTCTACATTGGACACTAAACTAGCATTCTAGGTTGGTGGGACAAGGTTCTCTGGCTCTCTCCAGACAACGAGCTGTTCCTACCATTCCCATCATGCTATCTGCCAAAGCAGATTTGGTAGGGTATTGCCAAGTGACTAGCAGTACTCGAAACTTTGGCCGACAAGCATTTCACTCAGCTTCCACAGTTTTTCTGCCTCGACAGGATCTCGTCCCCAGCAGCGGACCTTAGCTGGAGAGAAAACTTGACAATCTTCTAGATAAGCGCCATTGTTGTCTGTTTATATTAGATGCTATTCTCAGATCAATGGAATTTATGAGATAAACCTACCAGGTATCGATGGATGGAAAGATGCAAATACGTGAGTCGCAGCTCCCTGTTGTGCTGTTTTCCACGAGAATCCATCAGCAAACTTGCGATTTCCTTGGGCATGATCCGTTGCAGCTGACTCAAATTATTAGTAAAAAGTGTGAATAAATATGTGATGGGAGTTATCAACCTAATTCATCCCAAGCCTCCACTAGCAAGCCTCCACCCAAATTTGTCGAGATGACACCAGGATGCAGACTGACCGACACAAGGCCCTTGTGACGCAGCTTTATGGAAAGGGCAATCGAAAAGAGCATGTTGGCTGTCTTGGACTGGCCATAAGCCCGCCACTGCTGATATGCTTTGCCATCCTGTTTGTTTTTATTTGGTCAGTATTTTGGCTAGGTCACAGGAGATGCGGGCTAACAAACGTCAAAGTTCCAGTCTTTAAACCTCACGGGAGACAAGCGATGCCCATCACTGCTCACATTCACGACTCGGCACATCCCCTCCGCATCAGGAGAAACTAGCTTTTCCATGATTAGATTGGTAAAGAGAAAGTGACCGATGTGATTGCTAGCGAACTGCATCTCAATGCCATCCACAGTCTTTTGGTACAGACCCGCCATCACACCGGCATTGTTCAATAAGATGTCAATATGGCTGACATCTGCGTACTTCATAACTACCTTAGCTGCTTCTCTGATCTGAGCTTGTGAGGTAAGATCCAGTTCGAGAAAACGTGTCTGGACCGAGGGAGCTACATCATGGATAGCAGTCGAGGTCTCCTGAGATTTAGCAGCATTCCGTCCCGCTAGAATTATCAATGATGGTGCATGCTTAGCAATTGAGAGACAGAACTCTGCACCTAATCCCTTAGGGGAGATACCGGTAACGAGCACAACCTTGCCTTCTATTGCGGAAGAGCAATAAGCTGCGACCTCATTGGCCGTGGTATCCTTTGTAAACTCAGGCATTCTGGGGAAAAATTTCGATGAGGAGAGAAAGGGAATAATAGTGTGGCATATATTATTTGAGAGTAATAAGAAGCACTTTATACCTGATATTCTCCTGATCAGTTGAGCCGATCATTACCTTATTCGATCGAATTATAGGACTGGTAGCCTAATCAGGTTAGCGTAAGTAAATCCGCCGCCTCATTAAGTCAAATTTCTAGGATGACTAACCCAATCATAAAGTAAGTTAGGCTTGATCCTGACAAACTCCAGTTTTACTCAACCTTCCATCGTCCAGAATGAATCCCGTCCATGCCGCTCCTACGGAAGTTATTTTCCCTGTTAATACTTCTAGCCAATACCAAGAATCGTGCATATTCCATTATGGCTGTGGCCCAGTCAAATTTGGGTTGCCAAGGAAGAGAGGACGGCCTAAACGTGCGGCATCTTCGGAATTAGCAAGAAACGAAACAGAATGCGGCTCTGAGATCACAACCGCTAATCAGCTTGACAAAGTTGACTTCATTGCCATATCAGGTAACTCGAAGCTTGATGCAAAGTCACGAAAAGTTATCCGAAGTCGAGTGATGGTGAACTATAGGCGTACCCAGCGTCAAGAACGTCTGGGCTACTATAGTCGCTCTAAGAATTCAATACAGCAGATCCCTGGTGTAGATCCCTTTAACGCATTTCCAGTTCGACTGGAGTCATATGCGCTCGAACTTTTGAGTTACTGTATGTGCCCAAAAAGCGGCTTTTGCTGATTGATTGAATTTATATATAACTGACCATCTCAGATTCTACAAATGGCTGGAAAACATTTTATTCAATTGAAAAGCATAGCGCTTTTAATCTTATGACGGATTACTGGTTTTCGTTAGCTTTCACTGATGCAGCCTTTTTCCATACTCTTATAAGCTGTGCTCAGTCCCATTTTGAAGAAGAAATCAACGACAGTCTTTCTAAGACTATACTTCATCTGAATGCAGCGATTTCAATTATTAACGAGCGTCTTAATACTCCCCAATATGTGACAAATGGAACCTTGATTGTAGTCGCTACTGTTGCGATTATCGAGGTAAGATGAATTCTTCCAGCTTTGCCAAATTTAAGTTGCGAAAAAGTTCTGATTATGTGAAAAGCAACATCGAGGATCTCATAAAAACTGGAAAATACACATGGAAGGCTTACAAAAGCTTATCGATCTTCGTGGGGGGTTAGAGTGTCTAAAGTCCGAGCCATTGGTGCTAGGAAAACTATACCAGTAAGATCTGAAAGACTTGGGCCCTTCATCAGGCAGGGAGATAATTTTGCTAACGTATATTCTCTTCTAGTGCGGATCTATGCGGTTCAATCGATGCCGCGTCAACTCCGTATCTCCTAGGTTACTGTATGCCTCTATCTACCACAGCTGATCAACTGGATCAGGTGGGATTTCAGGGAATTGACCAGTTATACTGCCTGGGAACTAATTTGAAACAATGTATAAACCTTTTATCCCGTGGGGTCAGCTTATTGCAACAGCTTCGCAGGTCGGGCTGCAACTCTCAAGCTGCCATGATCCGATACTGGCTCACTGCCACACAGTATGCACTGCTGTCTTTCAAGTATGAGAAACTTGAGCTTGAAGTTTGTCGACTGTCATTGCTTTTGTTTTCCAAGATTCAATTCAATGAGCACCCGTCAACCTCCCTAGGCCTTGACCTGCTGATTACAAAACTACTGTCATTGCTTGAGAAATATGAGTCCAGTTCTGTTTGCTCTAGGCCAAGCTTAGAATTCAAGCTATGGATTAGTTTCTATGCTGCAAGCGTTAGAACAAATATCAGGTTGAACAGACGATGCCTCCTTGGTGTTTACGTTGCCACGTCTGCGTTGAACGTCAGTTCCTGGGGAATAGTCCTTCAAATTTTCGAGTCCTTTATTTGGGATTCTACATTACATGGAGAATTGTTCCAAGTCCTATGGAATGAAGCTGCGGTAACTCAAGCAAAGGCAAACTGTAATTAAAGTGAGACTGAGAACGAGTAACCCTACTCTTTCCTCAGATACTAGGTAGATGATTGACATGGCTATGATAATTATGAACAGTTCTCAAGGTCTATTTGTAGCGGCTTGCCTGCTGATATCACTGAACAGGTGTATTTGTGTACTATTCATGGATATATCCATATATATATATCAATGCCGAGGCTGCCTAGAGCGTTCCCCATTTCATGTGGTGATCTACGCAGGGAGTGGCTGAAGGTAACTGAACATGCTGGAAGAATCGCGGGTAGAATAATTGGAGATGAAGAAGACTTGCTTTATTACAACTATTGAATGAAGCGATGATGTTCTACCTCTACATTATACGGGGAACTATTTCGGCCGAAGAAACATTTGACCCTTACAAGACGATCTTTTACATATCTATCTTCAGTTGCACTCAGGGCTTTTATAATGCCAGGCACTACGTTTTTGTTTTACTTTGATTTGATCTTAGGTATCGACCAAGCGACGATCTCTCGTACCTCGACCGTTTTCGGAATAGCGCTTCCGTCATGCCACTAGTTCGGAAGGCCAGGCGTGATAAATGAAAAGACAAAAAAGGCGACGGAGGGAGTAATCAGCTTGGACCTCAAGGAACCCATCTTGTATTTGATACTTATCTATAGGTCAGAGATCTTACAAAAGATCTGCATCCAGATAGAATCATCCATGTGGAAAAGGTAGATAATGTGGAAACGTTTCGACTGCGCGGTGCGGCCCGTTTCATTGCACCATGAGTCAATACAGCTAGCTCTAGAGAATTGGTGGATTCGCTTTTGAGTGTTTCCGCTTCAGCTTTGTATTTTTTTCCCTTAATCATTCTCGCCATGGAACATATCCGACAGACCTTTTCCCAATGCCAGAGGGGAGGCCGTCCAACACTGGTAACCTATGTGACGGCCGGCTTTCCCTGTGTGGAGGAAACTCGTGATATCTTGCTGGGCATGCAGGCCGGAGGAGCTGGTGAGTCATTTCGGCATGTAATTGAGAAGGTTTCTCTAACTAAAATTTGAAAAGATATTATCGAACTCGGTCTACCTTTCACCGATCCCATTGCAGACGGCCCGACCATTCAAAAATCCAATTTGAAGGCGCTTGAAAATGGCGTTACCATCTCATTGATGTTAGACATGGTCCGCGATGCCCGCCGAAATGGGCTTAAGACACCTGTGCTCTTCATGGGTTATTACAACCCAATATTGCGCTACGGGGAGTCCAAACTCCTCGCAGATTGCAAAGCGGTAGGAGTCAATGGCTTCATTGTCGTCGATCTCCCTTTGAAGGAGGCAGTTCGATTCCGTGAAGGCTGTACAAAGATGGGGTATGTAACTAAAAGCCTTAGAGCTGTTGCTAGATACTGACTGTTTCGAAACCGATAGCCTCTCCTACGTCCCTTTGATCGCACCCTCTACTACAGAGGACCGCATGAAGACCCTCTATGAAATGGCCGACTCCTTCATTTACCTTCTATCTCGCATGGGCGTGACAGGCGCCACTGGGACACTTAATTCGGAACTCCCTACTCTTATTAAGCGTGTTAAGGAGCTCTCGGGTAATATCCCTGTGGCGGTTGGCTTTGGTATCAGCACACGTGAACATTTCCTAAGCGTGACCTCCATCGCTGACGGCGCCGTCATCGGTAGTCAAGTGATCACTGTCCTAAATAGTGCCGTAGCTGGCCACGCTGCGTAGGTAATAAAGAACTATTGCTCGCAGATCACGCAGAGAAAGGTAGCTCGGGATGCCTTAGTCGCTGCAGCTCACTAAGCGCCGGAGGTTAGTGCGCTTGGCTTAGCTGTTGAGGAAGAGGCAGCTACTACTGCTATTGATGGCTCCGGGCGATTTAGCATTTTCGGTGGTCAGTATGCTCTAGAGGCCTTGATCACTTGTCTAGAAGAATTGGATGCCGGTTTCCAAGCTGCGCTAAATGATTCGACGTTCTGGGCCGAGTTCAAATCATACTATCCCTATATGGGTCGTCCATCCAGCCTTCACCTGGCCGAGAGGCTGACCGAGCACGCGGGCGGAGCGAATATTTGGCTGAAACGCGAGGATTTAAACCACACAGGATCTCACAAGATCAATAACGCCTTAGGTCAGATTCTCATTGCTCGCCGACTCGGCAAGACGGAGATCATCGCCGAGACGGGAGTAGGCCAACACGGCGTCGCCACCGCGACTATCTGCGCCAAATTTGGCATGAAATGTACCATTTATATGGGTGCGGAGGATGTTCACCGACAGGCATTGAATGTCTTCCGGATTCGCTTATTAGGTGCTACCGTTATCCCAGTTGAGTCGGGATCGCGTACCCTCCGGGATGCGGTGAACGAAGCTTTCCGCGCGTGGATTGTTCGCCTAGATACTTACTACACATTACATTATTGGCTCAGCGATTGGACCTCACCCCTTCCCAACTATAGTCCATACGTTCCAGAGTGTGATCGGGGAGGAAACCAAGACCCAGCTACGGAACCTAGGCAAGAGCCCTGACGCTGTGATCGCTTGTGTGGGAGGTGGCTCGAACGCAACAGGAATGTTTTATCCATTCTCTAATGATATGTCCGTCCAGCTGGTTGGTGTGGAAGCTGGTGGAGATGGTTTAGACACGGCGCGTCATTCAGCCACTCTTAGTGGTGGTTCTATGGGAGTTCTGCATGGTGTTCGGACGTATGTTCTACAAGATAAACATGGTCAAATCTCTAACACTCATTCGATCTCTGCTGGACTCGATTACCCGGGAGTCGGACCGGAGCTGGCGAATTGGATGGAAAGTAAAAGGGCGAAATTCATCTCAGCCACTGATGCACAGGCTCTACAAGGCTTCCGACTGCTGAGTCAGCTTGAAGGCATTATCCCTGCATTGGAGACCTCCCATGCAGTGTGGGGCGCCATCGAGACGGCTAAGGAGCTAGGACCTAACAAAAATCTTGTCTTGTGCCTGAGCGGTCGTGGAGATAAAGATGTGCAGAGTGTAGCCGATGAGTTGCCCAACCTTGGGCCTCAGATCGGGTGGGACTTGCGGTTTTGAATAGGCGCTTAGTTTGGATAAACAAGAAAACGATAAATAGCGTTGAAGTTCGAACTACAAAGTATAAACTAGCTTCACTTCACTGATATCTCCCTTCCGTAGACGATCCAGTCCCCTAATACCCTAAACAGGTCCCACTTCCGCCGGATGATTCTGGATCGTCTTCGTCTCGAGGAGCCTCGACATTGGCTTCATAAAGTGTCGGAATACTGACACGTCTTACTGTTGCATACCTATACAAAAAGCAACCAGCCTTTAGCCGCTTCGTTGGCCTGTTCAAGGGTGATGTCACCGTTAGGATCGGCTTTGACTTCGGGTGGTATACCGCCCGGCCAATGAAAGGGAGGTGAAGGGCGATCGGGCATAATGTGAAGTGCTAGTGCAAAAGTCGGAAAAGGATGCTGCTTCCTGATCTCGGGCCGAAAGTTGTAGCCGGCGGTGGGCAAGAAAGAGGGAAAAAAGACAAACTAAACAGAGCCAGAGAACTCGATATTACTACACTAGTATACCCGACTAAGTGGGCTCAGGGATCGTATCTATGAATGTATTCTATGTACGGGATTGTTAGATACTGATACGGGGAACGCTCGTAGGCAGTGCAGTCAAAATGCACAATTTACAAAGTAGATGCAACAGTAAGACGCGTCAGTATTCCGAAAATTCATCACTCTTCAAATATTATAGATCAGTTAATTAAGACCTCAGCTATTCTTACACCTGGTATGATTCTCCATAATTGAAATAGTTTTAGAGGTAGAGCCTATCAAAATTGGTGCAGTGTGAAGCTATCTTATTTTATACTCCACTCTCCAAGATCCAGATATTAAATGAAAAAGTCCCAATTGTGTCGAATCTTGTCCAAATAGCCACAGAGCAAAATTGGACGATTTTTTTAAAAAATTTCATTCCTCAGGAGTTCAAAATATTTCAGTGAATCTTACCGGACTCAGGTTAGAGTGTGTTAGTACGGTCATCGTAGCTACAAGTAATGCAACTAGAGTCTCAATACCGATTTCGTCTCCCAACTCACTATTTGAAGGTGTCAATTTTGCTGAATAAGGTGGATTGGAATACTTTAGCTCCTAAGAGCTTGGAGTACGGGTGTATCCTAGGGGGTTTGACCATCTACCTAAGGAGAGTGGAGTGATTAATATAACTTGCTTGTTTGGGAGATGCGAAGAAACATTCGCATGAAAATCAATGGAATGATTGTGTGTAAAAGCTGAATCCATTTGTGTCTCTCCTTCTGTCCTTGTGGGCCTGTCACAATCTGGGCGGTCTCAAGGACGTTTGTTGCGACTATCCGTCTATTAACACTCTTCACAGGAAACAAAAGATAACTAGTTCCTAGGAGGCCTGCCTTTCACTTTTACTGCAGAGTCTTGATATATAAATCAGATGAAGTCAAACTTTGGATCAACACTTTGGAGCAACGCGATCGTAAATTATTTTCTTATCATTTTTCATCATGTTATCCAAATCTTTAGCCCATTCAATTTTCATGATTTCCCTGTTGATGAAAAGCGGCTTTCAGTTTGGTCTGTCTCTGCTACTCTATCAGAAGGGGGCAGCCATTTCAAACTTTCGATATAGCGCTCTGCACTGTCCTTTATATAATCCTTGCCACATATACGGGTGTTCAATTGGGTTAAGTCAACACTATCTTGGCACCTGATTTTCATTAAGATTGCTACAGCTGTGCCTCTTCTACAAGAAGTGAGGATCTTATCTACTTTATGCTCCATTTTCCAATTTCGAACTGACTCTATCATACAGTTCCTACGCATCACGGTCTTCCAATGCTCCCCGACGATAGTCCCGATACCACTATCAATTTTCTCTGTATTGTTCGTGACACTCTTGACTCTGGCAAAAATTGCGGCAGCAGTATCAAGTATGATATTTTAGAGCTCAATTCATTTGTTAATACTATTTCTTTTCTTTGTGGACTACTTAAGAATAGCCTCTTGATACTGGTGGCTTTTCTGTTAGGCCTAACCTGATCGACCGAGTCGACAAAAATTACTCTATATTGGGTGTGTTTGTACAGTGATCACACTGATTCTTCTCGTTATCACCATCATAGGTACAATTTAGCAACCATGGTAGCTTGCCCTTGAGGTAAGTGCATAAAGATTACTCCTTCAAATAGGTGTGTCTTTATGGTCTAACATGCATATCTAGTTCTAGATGCTTATTACTGTCGGTACACCTGTATCAAGTGTGGAATAGCTATTCGATAAAGGTGATGAGAGGCTAACGCCCACTTCTGACACCTATCACAGGTAACGCTTTACGCCCCTATGATATCTCTGTGTCCTTTGAAGTGGTTGTAAAGTCTGGTTTTCATTCTTAGTTTGCTATCTATTATAAAGTAGCAATTTGATCACATGACTGCTTTATTCCATATTCCAACAATTACCGTCGCCTGGCAGATATCTTTCCATTATATCCTATAACAGATAGAACCAGTTATCGTTTGACTGGGCTATTTTCAAACTCAATCGTATTATTCACTTAGGCTATTGTTGCCTACTAGAGGGTTTACTTGCGAAAGATATAGACGACTAGTAGAAAGAAGAAGCAGGGGTATCAGTCAGGGAGAACGATGGTCATAAGGCCCATAATGATGACCTAGATCAATATGAATCATGTCGTTTGACTTTAATCAAAGTCTAATAAACCTTTCAGACAGAGGAATTAAATATATAATAGACCAAGAATTGACAAGGAAACCAAGTTTCACCACACTCCTTCACAAAACTTCTTCGATCACAAATTCATCGGTTATCTTCATCATGTCTACCGCTGCAGCTCTAGCGAGCAACTTGAGTCAGTTCAACGCCCGCTTTTCGAAGCGCGAGAAATGCTCCCGAGAGGCTTTGCAGGGTTTGGAGCAAGCCTTTCCCACGGAGTGTTGTCTATGGCAGTGATCCCACTTTACTGTCTGCGTTATTGGCGCGTCATATTGAACCAACCAGCTAACTTCCCGGCTCTAGAAGAAACAGGGCGAGAATCGGGTTAGCATCGGGTGAGCATCGGGTGAGCATCGGGTGAGCCAGGGACTAAACTAATGCATGACTACTGCACTAATCCTCGAATATTAAAAGACTATTGGATATTATCATCCCTTCAGAAAGCGTACTGCCTTATCATCTACACGTGTCCACTTATTAAAACTAGCTAATGCATGACTACTGCACATTCACTTGGATTCTGAAAGACTGAAAGACCATTGGGTATGAAATCGAAAGTTATTGGACAATGTTGTCCCTTTCCAAGGTTTTACATAATAGTGCTTACTGGGAAAAGCAAAAACAATGTCTTCCCCGCTTGGAGGCTAGCGACCCCAGCTCAGTGTCAGCCTTTTTGGTCTCTAACTTATTTGCCCTTGGGGTCGCTATACTGATCTCGTCTCTTCTTTGTCAAGCATCTCACGTAGATTACCCAGATGAAGTGAATCAAGTCTGACATTAAATATGGACTCGACTACTAATGAGAGTATCGAGCTCTCTCCCAAGAAAACACTCCCAGCCAAGATTAGCAAATACTCGACCTGGGAGTCTATGAAAATTTGGTACTCTCGGACCATTCTCCGATCGGGCACGCAGTATATTTCATTAGAGCAGCAGTCACCCTCTAACTCGAACCCCTTTCACGGGTGGAGATTGGGTGCTCTACTCTCGGGCATTTTTGTTACAATTTGCTTATGTCTTAATATTGCGGGCACTGCTTATATTCACACCAAGTATCCACCTAATGATGACGGGCTGGGCGTGATTCTTGACCATGACTGCGGCAATATTCGCAGCATTGACAGCCGCTTCCACTATGCGATCAACGTTATTGCCACTGTCCTCGTCGGCGCAAGCAATTACAACATGCAATGTCTCTCAGCGCCAACGCGTAAAGATGTTGACGTGGCTCACAGGCGGAGAAGGTGGCTTGATATTGGGATTCACTCAATACGAAACCTGTCGCACATCACGCGACCCAAAGCGATATTCTGGCTCATGCTCGCTCTGAGTTCATTGCCTCTTCATCTTTTGTGGAACTCGGCAGTTTTTATGACAACCACATTCAACGACTACAGCGGTCTGGTGGTCACGCCGGGATTTCTAGAAGTACTTCGATTGGCCTCAATTGTGGACGTGATGCGATGGCGTAATACAAGACTTCAGACCTGCCGAGCTATGTGACTTGCTGGTTGCGCGATATGGCCTTACAAGTACCAAGAAATATGAGTCGGGCAGAGCCTAAAGATTGCATGTCCACGTATGGAAATGGTCTTGAAGAAGGGACTTTCAACCTCCTTGCTGTCACCAAGAATGGCAGCAACCCTAAGCAATCCGACACGTTTTCACCACCGTACAATACAACATTACCCGTGCTTGCTTATTTCCACCCCCTGGAATATCCACAGAAAGTGCAGGATTGGTGCTCAAGTAAGTGTAAGTCGTGGAGTACTAATGACACCAGTCAAACATATTGCCGGGATGCAGATTGGGACCAATCATCTACCCCCTTTTCTTGCATGGAACATATGGTGAACGGCACAGGTTGGCAACCAGACCCAATTCCGCAGGTTGCATATTGGATGTGTGCTATAGATACGGTTTTTTACGACCAATGCAGCAGCTCAGAGGCCTAGAAAATTCCAGCAACTGGACCATCCTACCAGAATATTATGAAATCGACTACTGTTTGACAACAACTGCAGAACACGAATGTCAGTTAAAGTATAGTTCGATGATTCTATACATTGCTATCGTCTGTAACGTCGTGAAGCTTGCGTCAATCTTGGCATGCCTTCTCATGTCTCGAGAGCCAATCTTCGCAACTATCGGCGATGCCATGGATTCATTTCTTCGACGCCCAGACCAAGCGTCAAGAGGTCGTTGTCTGATGTCAAAGTTAGATGACCGGATCTTTCCTGACAATGACGAGACCGGCCAGTACATCCCCTTGGATTCTTATCCCCCACAGCCTTGGGTTGAGGGTAACCTGTGGCTTGGAAGACATGGGACTCTCCGGCGTTGGACAGCTTGTATATTCTTGTAAGTAACAAGGGCTGATTGATCCACTAGGTTCATCATGAAGCTGACTGATAAAATTGTCCATAGATGGCTAGCAAGTGTTGTTGTTGGAATCGTCTTCATGGTGAAAGGAATCAACCTTGTTGGCCTAAAGAAAGCTTTCTCCATGGGATTTGGAGCTCTAAGTCTTAACGCCATCGCTGCCGCATCCGGCTATGAGGGTGGTAGCTCTAAATCGATTCTCACCACTTCTCTAATTGCCAACATTCCCCAACTTCTTCTCTCTGGACTATACTTCATGTACAATGCGGTCCTCACAAGCATGGCCGCTACCCACGAATGGAGCATGTTTGCCCACAAACGGATCACTCTCCGAGTCACTCTCCCAGTGGGCGCGCAACGGGAGACATATTGGCTCGGACTTCCATGGCGATATTCTTTACCATTTTTGATATGCAGCACTGTTTTTCACTGGCTGATTTCACAGTCTATCTTTCTAATCAACATCACCATCTATCAGCCGAACACCGAGGTTCTAACAAAACCAACCGATAATTTCCCTGGAGTGAGAAACACTGGCATGATTACGGCATGTGGATATAGTCCACTTGCAATTGCATGTGCGCTTGGGGTTGCATTGATACTGCTTTTTGCTTTGCTCGTCTTGAGCTCGCGAAAACTGAAGCCTGGGATGCCTTTGGTGGGTAGTTGCAGTCTGGGTATAAGTGCTGCCTGTCATCCTCCTATATTAGATGAGTCGGCTGCTATCAAGCCATTGCTTTGGGGTGCTGTGGCGCATGAGAAGAATGGAAAACCAGGTCATTGTTGTTTGACCTCTTTCGAGGTGGAGAGGCCGAGGGAAGGAGTTTATATGCCGGCTACTAATGATGAGATTTTCACTTTGTACGTCAAAACGCCAAAAATTGGCCTGCTCCTGCTTATTTTTATCCATGGATTGCCATTCTGGTTAGTGTGTCGGGATACTCAGATCGTGAGTATCTACAATAGCTTGCTATTGGACTTCAGCTCACGCCGCAAGTGGTCTACGTATGCGTGTAGTACGTGCGGTAGTTGTAAGTTGTAAGAAGTGGTTGATTATCATGAAACTGCTGCTATGGATATAGTACCTGGAAGTCACATGATAAGCATGTGGCTTCCCACCCGATAAGCGGCGAGTGATCCCATGATAAGCATGAGATAATAGCAGTGTGCTTGGTCCCGTGATGCAACCTTGAACCTCTTCACCAACTAGAATGACCTCAGCATCGTTCACTTTGCTTTCATTTCTCCTTTAGTCCATATTTGCACCTATCGCGGCGGTCCTGAAAAATCGCTAACCCAATAGTCATTCCCGTCTGCCCTAACTCACCCCTTTTTGAGTTCGATCGAGAACTGCGGCTGAACTGATTGACTGTACTAGGCTAGGCAAGTGGCTCTCAGAGAATAATGATCGCACCCGGTGAGGCGTATTCACAGAGGATGCAATGCATTCTTATAATCAATCTACGTAGGCCACTCGCGTCTTCCTGTTACATGTATCTGCCAGGGTCCGTTAGAAATCGAATTGGAATGGCATATGCCTCTTCGGCCTAATTATAAAATTCTATACCCATTCCTCACTCAGGCCACACCCTTGCGACTACATTTTCTCTATAGAATTTTACGTTTCTACAAACTTAGCACATACGACCACAGGGTGTGGAGAACAGGGCTTCCCGTCCGCTCAGCCGTACTTAAGCCACACGCCGGTCAGTTAGTAGTATGGTGGGTGACCACATGCGAATCCTGACTGTTGTATGTTTCTCTTCTTTTCTTTTTTTGCTCATCGTCCACTTTCAATATCGCGGCGTTGACTCAATTCTTACAACTAAGCTCCGAAGCCGTAAGAATTTTCGGGCTAGACTCCATATTATGACTTAGAACAGTTTAGCCGCATCTACTATCATTGAACTCCAGGTAAATATTGTACTTCTGCTAACCCTGTAAGATTAAACGGAATCACACACATAAGCCTAAGCTGACGCCTTCTAAGCCTCGGGAAAAAAGACGACCAGCTTGGCAGGAATCAAAAAGGCAATATTTTGAAGTGACATCAAGAGCGGACTCGGAAAGTCCAATCTCTGGTGACCAATCAAGTGTGACAAGCCAAGACGGCTAGGGGCCGTGCCTGTCAAGACAACTATCGGAATTCCGCTAGTCCTGATAGGAAGTAAAGGGCCGAAGATACAAAGTTCGAGGCTATTGACCAACACCGTTGACTACGGCTCTTACCAGATGGATTGTAGTGCCGATCCGGCCATACCCCCGACGTGTAGCAGCCAAACTAACACTTAATCTCTCGCCCTCCTCTTCTTCTTGCTCCTGCACCGTCTTTACCTTACTCTCCCCAGCTCACCTGTGACTTACGACGGCATTGCACGTAGACGGCGGCTCCGACAACCTGAGCGCATACCTTGCTGCACACCCCGTGGCAACCAAGGCGGCGGCCGTCATCCCAGCATCTATTAGCGCTAACGCCAACGCACTTGCACCGGAACTTGTCAATGCGGCGCTCAGTCAGTGCCCATCATGATGTGTGGAAGCCGGCCTGAGCCCCCGCAACTGGACTCTGTATCCCTGACTGGGCCCGGCTGGCCATGTGCAATCAGACCGTACTGCTCGATTTCTCTCTCTTTGTGTCTCTGCGCAAGGTCGAGACCGTTCGCGCCTGTACTGCCAATTCCACAGAGATGTTAGATGCAGTTATCGCCCGCAACACCACCAATAACGCCTCTTGTCTATCCAGCGGGAACGTGACTCCGGTTCAGGAGACGCTGCAGCTAGCCTTTAACCAGACCCGCACCCTAGCCACAGTCGTAGACTTCGACGCCGCGGTGCAGCAACTCGCCGCCGCGTTGTCCCAGCGCAATAGCTCGGAGTGCACCGACACGACCGCCTTTGCTTACTCCAACTCCGTCGCTCTCGGCCTCTTCGCCGGCTCTGGAGTCAACTATGTCCCGGCCGCTGTGCTGCAGAAGTTTCTCGCGAAGATCAAAACCTCGGGGTTCTCCGGTAGCGCCGTGGTGCAGCCCTGTGCCAAGGACGACAGCAACTCCAAGTATAGCTTCGGCATTGTCGCGAGTGAAGAGCACGATGTGTACTTCGTCCAGGATGCCGTAGCCGCGTGGGCGTCGGGCAAATGCATCACTACCTTCGACGACGCAGAAGACTGGCTCGACATCACACTATCGGCGCCGAGTCTTGTCGGGGCCAGCACGGCGGATAGTGTCACTGCTACTACTACTACTACTACTACTACTACTACTACTACTACTACTACTACTACTACTACTACTACTACTACTACTACTACTACTACTACTACTGCCGGCAACAGCACCGTCCGAGCTACACTGGACAAACGAGCCCTGTGTTCGACCATCCAGGTCATCTTAGGGGATGGCTGTGATTATCCCCAGTAGCAAAATGGTCCCAGATGGACATCCACTGATTCTCTCTCACCTAGGAGAATCTTTAGCAGCCGAGTGCGGCATCCCCGCCTCTGACTTCGACAAATACAACCCCGGCAGCACTTTCCGCTCGACGCTGGTTCCCGGCCAGCACGTCTGCTGCTCCGCCGGTACGATGCCCGACTACCGCCCGCAGCCCAATGCCGACGGCACCTGCACCTCACATTACGTGGAGACAGAAGAGAACTGTTCAGCCCTCGCCGCGGCGAACAGCCTCACAATAGCCGAGATCGAGAGCCTCAACAACGATACCTGGGCCTAGGAGGGGTGCGACGCTAACAATTTCCAGGCGCACCAGTACATCTGCCTGAGCAAAGGCGACCCCTCCCCCATGCCGGCGGAAGTTGCGAACGCCGTCTGTGGGCCCCAGATGCCGAGCAAGCAACGGCCAGCATCGGGCGTGTCGCTGGCGAGCCTGAATCCATGTCCGCTCAGTGCCTGCTGTGTATGCTCCCCTCTCCCCGCAGTTCCTAATGAATAGTTGGTTCACCCCGTTTCCAGAACAAGTACGGCCAATGCGGCATCAACCAAGACTTCTGCACCGAATTCAAGTCGGCAACTGGCGCCCCGGGTATCTCAGCCCCGACCAGAACGGCTGCATCTCCAACTGCGGCACCGACGTCGTCATCGGCGATGCCCCGGCCGAGTACATCAGAATTGGCTACTTCAAGATATATTGAATAGATAATACGAGGTTTCCGTTAAAATCAAATTAATGCTGTAGATTGTAGGGATGAGAAATATGACGCAGTCCAGAGTTAGCCTATATTCTTAATCAAATCAAATATCTCCCTATTTACAAGATACGGTACTTTTCCCTTACATCGGATAGCTATTCATCCGATTCTCGATTTCATGTCTGCGAAACTTTTCAAATGTCTCCGATCGAACTTAGAAATTGTATAGCATCACTATGATTATTAACTGCGAGGAATAATGCATTTGTATTGAATAGTCAATTAGATCATAGTATAAAGTAGCGGTTCTATCACCTATAAGGCTTGTCAATCACTGCAAGTCTTAAAACTTGTCACTTCATCTCATTCCGCTATGCAGTCTTACCTGCAATATCGTCGATTGCGACGAGACGTGGAAGATGACTTGAGACGCTCTCAAAAAGCCAAAGATTCTTTCATTCCACGTAACAGTACCTCCAGTACTCCTATACTTAATAAGCCTGGAGATCAAGCTTTAGAGAAGCCAGTTGTATCTCCAGATACACCTCTAGTGTCGGGTATTACTGTATCGGATGGAATATTCGTTGTCGGCTGGGGGGAGAATGACCCTCATGATCCGCTGAACTGGTCTCTGATGCGAAAATGGTCTGTCATGGTACTGGCCTGTTTCATTGGTATAGCAATGACCATTCCATCTTCGGTTGAGGGTGCCGTCCAGGATGCCTTCGACGAGTTTTATGGTGTGAATAGTATGGCTGGGTCTATGACAACTGGTAAGACCCGATGTTTTATGACTTTTACTTTCTTTTTTCTAATAACTTGAACGTCAGGAATCTTCCTTATTGGTATCGGTGTCGGCTCGTTATTTTCTGGTCCGATCTCAGAAACATTCGGCCGTAATGCTGTCTACTTCACGGCGCTTATAATTGTTATTCTCTTTATCATGGCAAAAGCCCTCGCGCCAAACTATGGTGCCGCTCTCGCATTTCGTTTTATTGGTGCCTTATTTGATGCTGCGCCAATGACAGTCTCTGGAGGCACGGTCGGGGATGTTTGGCACCCGAGAGAAATTCCGTTCGGGCTACCCTTGATCACCATCGCTGCTTATTCAGGTCCGATATTAGGCCCAGTGATTGGTTCATATACCCCCAAGATTGGATTTGCTTGGGCTGACTGGATATCTATGATCATTGCCGCAGCCGTACTTGTGATTGTGATGATCGGTCAGCCAGAAACTTTCAGTCCCATACTACTAGAATGGCGGGCGAAGCATTTACGCGAGCTAACAGGCGATCATAGATATCAGGCTATGCATGCGTCTGCTAACTCACTTAGTTCACGCCTAATGATTAATGTATCAAGACCATTTCTCATGGTCTGGACAGAGCCTATCATCCTTGTCTTAAGCTTTTACCTTATTCTCCTTTACTTCGTTCTGTTCACTTTCCTTAACGGTTACCCCTATATCTTTGAAAAGGTGTGTTATATTTCCTCTTCCACTCACGCCTAGCTCTTGACTAATTTGTAAAAGGTGTATGATATATCTACCGAATTGACTTTTCTTATCTGGGTTGCGATGCTACCTGGTGTTTTTGTTGCTCTGTCACTAGTTCCTTATATTTACGGGCTTTCAAAAAGAGCCGCTCGTAAATCCGAGGAAGAGGGTAAAGGCTTGCAACCCGAAGTCTCCCTCTACTGGGCTATGGCCGGTGCATCGATTCTGATGCCGATATCCCTTTTCTGGATGGCTTGGACTTGCTATCCTAACATCAGCATTTGGTCTCCTATTGTGGCATCAGCAGTCTTTGGTTACTCATTGGTTTGCATTTTCACCACGACTTATATGTACATCGTCTTTGTCTATTTACAAAATGCTGCCTCGGCATTGGGATTCATGACTTTCTCGCGATATGTTATCGCTGGTGCACTAACGCCTGCCAGTATCAAGATGTACGAGACCATTGGACCTCACTGGTCCGTTACAATTGTGGCAATCATTGCAACAATCATGGCCCCTGTCCCATATGTGCTCTTCAAGTATGGCCATAAGGTCCGAGCGATGAGCAAAAATGTGCAAAACAGGGCTTAGTCGGGATATCAAGAGGGTGCTATGATGAAGACGCTGTGCAGTGTAGCAGAAATTCAAACTCCTAAGATCCACAGATATATTGCCGACAAATATATCGACAACTTCTGGGAACTTTCATAGGAGGAAGCAACCTTCGAAGGGCTTTACCTAAATTCTGCGAGAGGGAAGAAGAGACGAAGGCGAGAGAAAGTTGATATTCATTTTGTCACTATATGTGGAAATATTGCTATTAATCTCATTGGTGAGAAGCCATTTTTAATTCACTACCTGTCTGTAAATGGTTGAACCCAATATATAACGTAGAAAGTCCGGACTCCGGGGAAGGTATAACTGGATGTGAAAGGCTAAAGCTAATTTTAGATTCAGAACTAGCTAGGCACAAACTGTGTACAAAATCCTTAAGGAAGGTGAATCGGTGTGGATTTGAGGGCCTTCTCTTCCCCATCTCCGTCTCAGGCTTCCAATGTTTGTTTAACCTTTACACATACTAGACACATCCACTATGGACATATCGGTAGCATTGGAAATCCTACGGAACGCTCCATACAAAGCTTTGAGAGGTCATAGACAGGCTCATGGTCGACGTTATGGCTCTCAGACAGGCATATGAACGACGACAGATGGAGTTAAATTAGATTGCAGGAATCCAACCCGGCAGACGCGATGACAAAGGCTAAATGCAGTAAAGCATTGGAGAGTCTGATCGACACAACCAGTTAGACTTGAAGACATTAGGATGGGTTGAACGATGAAATTGACACTCAAATTGATACTCAAACTGACACTCAAATTGGCATTCAGATTGGCATTTAGATACGTGTTTTCAGTCACTTTTCAAAGTGGCTCTAGTGTTGGAATATAGAACAAAGGAGTCAGGTGGTCAAATCGTTACTTTATAATAGCCAGAAAACCAAGAATGAGATCCAGACTTTATGACCACTTCAAGAAGTCACAAAGATATTATATGGGCGTAAAGCGTTACCTGTAATAGGTGTTAGAAGTGGGCGTTAGCCTACCGAATAGCTATTCTACATTCAGTACTGGGGTACCGACAAGTATCAAGCCGAGCATCATACAATACAGAAAGAACAGGTTAAAACCATTCCAGACCAAAGACGAAAAATGGGAAAAGGGGAGAAAATAATCGTTGGTCTTTTGGAAGAGCGAAGACAACACCTGACTTTGATGGTAATCAGGAGAAAAGGGATCACCGATAAGAATGACATGTTTGGAATCTGAATTTTGAACAATAGAAAGGAAAAACAAGATTACATCGGCGAAAAAACGTTGGTCAGAGTGGACATAGGAAAATAAGCGGGCCCATTAGGAAATCTCAAGGAGTAGAAGTTCAAATAATAGACATCGTGAGCATGTATCATCTGCCGTAACTCATGAACCGAGCAAATTCCGATCTTGAGATAATTAATTAACCAAGAAGGTCACATAAATTTAGCTTGGTTTCCTAAAAACGACGTCGAATTAAAGGACAATGAAGTGAAGAGTAGAAACGGGCCAGAACGATATTGTGAAAAAAATTGTAGCCACATAGGACATGGCTAGTAGGTTTCCAAAATTTTTGGACTATGGGTTGGTCAAAGCAGAACCACAACTGTCTAGGATAAACACCTTAGATGAACCTTGTAATTCTTTCCATGGATATATGCCGTCTATCCATAAAACAAAGAGATCAACTCGTAATCTAGCAATACTGGACCTATGTATTGCAAATTTAGCGAAAAATCTTATTTATCCATATAAATATCACGAATGGTTCATGAGAAGGGCTTAGGGCGAGGTCTTATTAAGAAGGGAATCTGCGTGTGCCTTACTTGGAGTTGTAGGTATATTCTCTCTTAATCGCTTTCTTCTCTACTGATTTTTCATAAATAATTGAAAATAAATTAAGCGGTCTCACTCTGTTTGTTTGTCCAGTTGTAATCTTATTAGGATTATCTTCAAGTAAGGCTCGGCGGTTTATAGGAAAGTATCATGCGTTAGTTGACGCAGAGTGGTTATGATGACATATATAGTCTCTGGGCACCACATCCTATTGACTGGACGAAGAATGATTCGTAATGGGCAGTTTCCCAGTGAAGGCAGGGAATGAGGAATTAGCTTCTTGAAGGAATATCCATCCTCCTCCTGTATATAACGATGTAACCTCTGGAGCACACATGCTAAACTCAGATACCGCGAATATTGATCTGAATACTTGAGGAAACATCAAATGACACGGCCGATTGTGTGAAGGGGGGCCGACCTCCAGGATGTAGCTAACTACGAAGATGATCTTCTCCGGAGTGCCGCCGGCACAACTAATATCTTAACAATTCAAGTCATTGTTGGAAAGATGACACTAGTACAGATACGAAGAGCCTCCAAATATTGCAAACTGGCATACTGATGCAAGCTTTGCGTTTCACGGGATATTATAGCTATTATTGGTTAAAAAAGTCAGCGGGGAACAGTCAATCATCAAGGGCAGTGGGAAATACTGCAATGGGCGGACTGGTGGAGATTTACGACAACCTCTCAGAGGCGACAGAAAAGGGCAGCAGTCAGGTATTTGACACTCTGTTGAGCTTATTCCACACAAAGACAAAGGCGACATTATAAACCAGGACCAAAGTACGTATCTTGTATGTGGTCGGGATTTTTCTGAGGCAGTTCTGATACTTTCACCCATATTAGTAAATTCTTTGATCGACAAACAGAGGTTCAGGACAACGAATAGTAGAATGAATACCTCGAATCAATCATCGCTAACCGGGATAATTGCGGATGGAACTCGCGAATAACATGTCGTACAATGGCATCGGTACTCACACCACAATAGTTCTGAAAGCACATGGTAAAGCACACCAGTCACGCCGTAAAAAGTTCAATTTCAGCTTCTGCTTCGATACATGCCAAGATACTTTACTGACTCTGCAGAGAGAGCACTGCATCTATGATCGGAGCACAAGCTGCTCCTCTACCCTCGGCAATGGAAAACATTCTTCTTTTGGTGACTATATTTGTATGGACCGTGTATTTAAGTACATGATATCTTCTTCCAGGCACACTATGAAGAGGGGTGCCAGTCGGTGGTGATTTATGGCTTTTCTAGAGTTGTTCTTAGAACCAACTGGAATAAGTCAGTGAAACCATTCTTCATCCCTGTATTTGGTGCATTCTATCTGTACAACGACCGGCTGAATTGGAAGTCTGACAAATCTGTCACCAAAAGACCAGAGGAAAATTGTGACGAGGAGCATGATAATTCCATGATCACGGAAGAAACGGGTAGAAGAGGACGGCGAAGTATTTGCCGCGGTCTGTGGGGTGTGGGGAATAATATTACAAACACCTCACATTTGAAGCACTCCAAGGGGTGGGTTCATCCGTATCTACGTATATTGTGTACCTAAGATTTGTGTCGAGGGTGCATGCGCATTTGCAGCCAATGATATGATTTGGAAAATTTTTGAATATTTATGCAGGTAAGGTTACTGGATTAATGGAAAAGAAGAGGCATTTTACTCCATAAATTGTGGTGGTGACGATGGAGAAACTGAGTAAATGGTGGGAAATGAAAAAGGATACATCTGGATATACAGCCTAATCGCGCCCGGCATCGGTAAATTGTCAAATACTGAAGCAATTCAGTCAATTGTAATCACAACGTATCTAAATATATTCTAGCAAAGATTCCAGCCCTTGGCACCCCGGGTGCCAGCAAATGTTGGGGAATATAATGAATAGGGGGATTCATAGCACATTAACGTGTACGCTATACAAGGGTAGCTTGGGTATAACAAAATTAATCAGAGATATCTTCCAGCTTGTTCTCAGCCTGGTGGCTCTGTCCCATCTCAGCCTTCTCATTCTCAGAGCTGACTTGGTAGTCGGGAGTGTCCAATCCCAATTCGCGCTGGTACTCGTAGATCTGGTTGAAGGTGAGCTTTGGCAGCTCGTTGGCAACCTGGTATGGCCACTTCTTTTCAAGGTGGGCCTTGGCAAATATGATGTCCACCTCTTCAAGTTCTCGTCCGGCGGTTTCCAAGTAGAAGAACCAGGCGAAGGGAATACCGATGAAGTTAATGGCGGCAAAGAAGAGGTAGATACCCCACTTACTCTGGTCAGAGAAGACGGGAGTGAACATCACGACAGCAAAGTTGGTAATCCAGTTGGTGCAAGTCGAAGCAGAGGCAGCCATGGTACGAGTGCGCAGGGGGTTAACCTCAGGAGGGTAGATCCAGGGCAGAGGAAGAGTGGTGAATGCGAAGAAGCAAATGAAGAGGAAGATACCGACGACGGCACCCTTGGAGTTGGAAGTAGTGGGATCAATTAGGCATGCCATAGTAATGATGAAACTGAGACCCTGGCCGGTGAAACCAATCAGGAACAGCTTGCGACGACCAACTCGCTCAATCATGAAGAAGGAGGGGATGGTGGCCAAAGCGTAAACAGTGGCGAAGACACCACCCAGAACCAAAGGCAGCTTGCCAGTCATGTTCAAGTTCTGCTGGAAAAGCAGAGTGGAGTAGTAGATTGCAGCATTGCAACCAGTGAACTGCTGGAAGAACTGACCAGAGCAGCCAATCATCATGCGCTGGAACTCCTGGGTCTTACCGAAGGTGAAGAGAGTCTTCCAGTTAGCCTTGGCACCTTGGGTAGCATTGAGATCTGCCTTCATGAGGTTGTAGTCGTTCAACACATCCTCAGCATCGACGTTGCTGCCATTAAGAGCGGCCAGGACCTTCAAAGCTTCCTGATCGTGACCTCTCATCAAGAACCAACGAGGGGATTCGGGAAGCATTAGACCACCGATGGTGACACAGATGGCGAAGACAATCTGGAAGGCGACAGGGAAACGCCACTGGACAGAAGAATCGACATAAGAGAGGCCGAAATCAATCCAGTAGGCGATAAAGGTACCAACAGCAATGATGGCACCTTCGAAGCAGACGAGGAAGCCTCGGTTGTGAGACTTGGAGCACTCAGACTGCCACACGGGGATAGTGGCTGTATCCATACCGTTTCCAATACCGGAGATAACACGGCCAACGACGAACTGACCCAGACCCCATTGATGACCATAGGCTGCAGTCGAGATCACAGTACCGATGACCATGAGAATACCACCGGCAACGAGCAAAGGTGTACGGCCGATACGCTCACCGTAGCATAGAGTGAATACAGCGCCAAAGAAGCAGCCAAGCTCATAACAAGCAGTGACAGCACCACGGAGGACGGAGACATGAGCAGAGTAGGAAGTGGCAGTGTAGCCGGCCGGGGTAGGAACGTTCGTATCGAGAGCACTGAACTCTTTAGTAAATTGATCACCGGAAATAATACCGGACATCAAGCCCTGATCATAACCGAAGAGAGAGAAGCCGATGACAGAGGTAATGGTGATAGCTAGGTGTAGCTTCTTGCCACTGAAACCTGAAGTGGTTGTCCACATCTTGACTATGAGGTATCCGGTACCTGGGAGTAAAGATGTAGATTAGAATGAAAGGGAAAATACCCGTGCAACTTGAAAGAGCGCAGAGAAGGGGGAGTTCGTCAACCTATATATGCTTTTTTCGTAACATTTATTTTTCTTTTTTTTAATTCCTTTTTTTTTTTTTTCCTTTTTATTCCCTATTCAAATCAGTCAATTATTTAATTCATCCTAGGAACAAATTACGGAAATGTCGTCAGCGGGGGGTCAGATCCACCGTTGTTACTAGAGAAAAGAGGGCCAAGCGGCTTAGCGGCTGAGATTTCGGGTGAGGCCGCTACCACCTCTTACTACCTCCTACTCCTACACTCCCAAAGTCTCTACGCATTCAGACTTCATATTAAGTGGAGTTTGGTGGGGGAGTGCCAAGAGATTACTCGAGCGGCGCCACTCTACTTTAGTTTTTATTTTGCCCTTCCCGGACGCCTCCTATGTCAGAATCCGAAATCCCACTCGTGGTTTGGAGGATTGACCCGGGGGAGTTAGTTGGTTATTAGTTGGTAGTTGGGGGTGAGAGGCGGGGTGAACCAGATTGGAAACGGATTGACGATCATCTATCTGTTTACCGTAAAAGGAATCTCGTCCGAGTTCCTTTTCTTTTCAAAACGGGCAATAACGGGGAGAACGAGTCAAAGGTTTCTCGGTCCTTTATTCCGTCCGTCTGGGGATATTCCGCCATTTCCCCATTTCCCCATTTTCTCCTCTTTTCCCCGCCCAGATCATCCTGGTAAGGCACTTGCAAGGATCACTGGGGGCCGAAACAGCCACACAGAGTAGTTTTGATACTAGAGATCCAATCACTACCAGTGGTATCTCGCTTCAGTTACCCTTATTACCGAATATACAACCCCCGAATTATATAACCCGATGCCGACTCGGAATTTGGCCGGTAGATTGGTTCAACTCCACTAGAATTATACTAATTGGCGGAGATCGATCTTATTACATGCCTTTCCCCCCCCCCACATAGAAAAAGCCATGAACCACCAGTTGCTCCTCCATGGCACTAATTTTCCACTTTTCCACTTTTCCACTCTTCCCCTTTACCGTTGGAGCCACTCTGAGACCATTAAGGACCACTCAGGGCCATTCAGGACTATTCGGGACCGCATTAGTACACTCTAGGAACTTAGTCTGATTACGTACTCCGCCCTGTCCAAATCCGGTCAGTACACTAAGCCCAATTAGGTAAAGAGTGACCCTTTTCCCCTCCTCCTCTCTTTATCCACACTTCTTCCACCCCCAATAAATGTTACCAAATAAGATCCGCTGCATGCAAATTGAAACGTTGAGGCCAATCAATGATCCTTGTTGTTTCCGACTTGTTTTGAATTTCCACCTTTTTTTCTAATTTCCTCTTGATGGCCTGATGGCGCGGTAATGGACGGGTATATACTTCTCCGGCCCCAAACATTGGTTTACAGAACTTTGACAGAACTTTGAACTCTTAGAACCTTTGGCTCTTGAACCTCTTCTTGGCTATGAAGTCATTGTAGGATACAGATTTCTAAGCAAATACGCTGCATACGTCACTGATCATCACTCTCCGTTGAACTAGCCTCAATCCTCTCGATCAAACTGATAGGGCGGTCAGTTTTGATCAAGACAAATGGTCAAAAAGAGCGGTGTGATTAGAGTCTTGAACTTTCCAGCCACTGTTTCTAACCTGTAGTTCAATTGGTTCAATTTATCCATCCTATGTATCAATTGTACTAAGTAAGGTTGATCACTCGCAGATCCTTCAAGTACAAGAGAACTCTTATCCATCGATATATACGCAATTTATGTCGCACCGTTTCATTGGCTCACAACTCCATATCTTCTTCAATCAAATATGGGATATATCTTTGTTGCCTGATATATGTTTCACTCATCTATGCCCAACATATGAGACTGAATCAAAAGGTCTACTATCATGGCACTATGACGTGAATTACCATATTGACGAGCATTATCTGTGAAAGAATGTAAGTGAATTCTACAGATATTATGGTTCAATCACTGAAATAATTTTAAGATCTGGAAATGACGCAAAGGCACTGTGGATAGCACTGGAAAAACAGTTTCGGTATAGTCACGATTGTGTCACGGTGGTGATACGTGGCAGCGCAAAGAGACCAGAGAGCCACAGAATCTTTCCCGAGAATCATAGGCGAAAAGTGTCCCGAAAGCCTTAAAAAGAGCTACCAGTCGAGTGCGCGGTCGGCTCAGTCATAGTGGTGCGATGCCGCAGGGAAATGACGAGGCATGCCGGTCTCAGTGTGCAAATCGGGTGTCTTCTCCGACAGAATGACACCATGTTCAAGGATTTGCACCTCGCGGCGCTTAATAGTCATCTTCCAGAGCCGCATACCGGGAGTAGTAAACACCTCGGCCACCTCCTTAAGGGTCTTTCCAGTCCGTCTCGGGGAAGCAGAAGTACACATACAGTGTCATGGTGGAACAGAACACTCCAAACACCAGATACACCTTCCACTGGATTGAGGCAAAGGCTGGAGGAACAAATTATGAGAGTGCAAAGCTGAAGATCCAGTTGCTCGAAGTCGACAGAGCCACGGCCTTTCTCCACGGGCGCCAAGGGTAAAGCTCTGGAGGGTATATCCAGCTGACTGGTCCCCAAGTGGGTGCGAAAGCTAGGTAAGATGAATGTTAGCACAGTTATCATCGCTTTTAAATATCTCTTTGCAAAATAAATTTACAGGCGACGAATAAGTAGGTAAATGCGATCAAAGCTGAGGAAGACGTTGAAATAATTGATATCCTGTCCACAAAACACACCCTTGCCTAACCTTGGCGGCATGGGGCGAGTCAGAGATATCCCACTATTTCTCAGGAATGTGGTCGAGACCTCCAGGTGGTGCGGGCTTGCCATCTGCTTTCATGACACCACCGGTGGCAAACAACCCAGTCGTCATCAAGAGAGAGCCAACTAGCAGGGGTCCACGACCCCCAACGGTCAACATAGACCAGGGTAAAGACAGTCATCAGTACATTTATCACATACTGGATGGAAGAGACGACTAGGTTGGCTTTTTCCGTGAGTCTAGTCGTTCCCATGAGGTAAGTAATGTAACTAACCTAGTAGATAGCAATAACTATCCGGCATGAGAGGAGGGGGTGGGGTTAACTTGCAGCATCATCACATTCGTGCCGATGAGCTGAGACCAGATCTGCGTGATCATACGACGTGGGTGCGGTATATCATGCTACCACGGAAGAGGTCCAGATAGGAGGCGTCATCGCTCTGACTTTCGAATTTCTCCATAGCGCGAATCTCATCCAGCTCGATATGCACGAATCGGTCATTCAGGTCTCCCTTGGCGTGCACCAGAGTCAGTACCTCATGTGTTTCATTCCATTAGCCTTTCTTAGCTAACCAGCGAGGGCTCTCTGGCAGGATGAAATACATAAGGAAAAGGAAACTCAGCAGGGAACATCTGGAGGCTCCAAGGTACACACCGAGTGGCCGTACCCTCAAGGTAGAGCCATACGAGATGTAAAACATAATGAGAATGCCCCATGTGATAGCCCACTTCTGGGCTCCGTCGAGTTTTCCACACTTGTTTGGCTGAGCCATCTCGGCAACATACACAGGGACCTGTGCACTGAGGATACCGACAAATTCCGTTGATAAAACGACTAATGATTAGCTAGCCGATACCAAAAGAGGAGCAGACGATGATACTACCAAGACACCAGATGACCGAATTAACTTGAATGGCAGACTTGCGACCCAGCCAGTCAGTCAGAATACCAGAGATGAGAGCACCAGCGAAAGATCCACCGGGTATGGCAGCAGAAATACCACCCTGGGTGGATGGGGTCGGGCCACCACAGCGACCATCCTCCGTATCGAGCTGATTGAAGAAATACTTGAACTGCTGGGTTCTGAGGCTATGAAAAATAGCAAGGTTAGTTTTCATTTGGGGTCCAGGTGAAGGAGAAATAAGTACATAGCAGAAAGGCTTGCAATGTCAAATCCAAAAAGTGCACCGCCAATTACAGGCACCGCGGTGATGAAATAAATGTAACTGATGACGTACATAGCGAAGGTTTGACAGTTTCTAAAATTAAAGCGAGTGTGGGATGAGAGGAGAAAGAAAAGGGAGAAGAAGTGTGAAGAGAGAGAAAAAAGATGAAGAAGTGGGAGAAGTAGGTGGCTCAAGTACGAGGACGCACCAGAGGGAAATATATATAACGATATCAATTTCACCCTTGCAGCCTCTTCAATGATAGTTCTTTACCTGCCTATAAGCTTACATCCTCAAAATTACGAGTATTGTTTCACAATACGGATCCCCATTAGACCTGGCCCTCAGTTGATTAATGGCAACGTTACTGGGGTTTCTTCCATTTCAGAACCATTTAAGGCCTTTCCTCTCATGAATCAGAACTCGTGTCAAATCGTATACATTCCAAATCACTTTTTTTAAGAAGTCATCATTAATTGGAAGAGCTATATATCCCCTAGAACCGAAAACAACTAATTCTAAGGTTTTTTTTATATCTAGGAGATCCCCTTGTTGCACAGGAGCCATGTTACCATCGCGTGGAAATTTGTACAACCCGAATTGCTACTTTGATGATATCTACCTATCATATGGTAAATCATCAAGAATTGTATACCAGTATCCATTCATATATGTTTCTTGAATATTTGAAGTTAATCATGCTGTGAAAAAGATAAACATGAATCTTGAATATCTGGATAGTTCCAAGGTTACAAGACTCCTTTCTCTCTTTGTTTTTCCTTCCAAGGTTTCCCAATGTCCTAATTCTCAACTAGGCAAAAAACTAGCTCTATTGAATATCTTTCAATTCTGCTGTGGAAGATCTTGACAATGATGGCTCATTATCTGACTGCTACGCCACATAGTTCAACATTGGAATAGGACCTCCCCTCTCTTACAACCCTACCTCATCACCTGCATCTTTGAACAAAACAATCTCAGGTTCAAATAGCTTTGATGGGGAGCTGAAGTCCTTCTAAAGAGCCCTCGGCAAACTAGACGAGAGAATTGCTGGCGAGGTAAATCCGACGATGGCGATGCTATGATCGATGATGGAATTGTGGAGAGTTCAACATTGTGTCAGAGGGGAAGGAGATACCGAGTGGCGCAGTGGGCTGAATACTATGATATTATTAACTTTCTACCCACAAAAGCATGTTATAGTATGACTTTAAAGTAGAACAAGCAATGATAATGTTGTCGACCTGAGGCTTAACTCCATAATGCTCTGTATGATTGGTGGAATAAGTGGAGCGAGAAAAGTTTAAAAATCCCCGGATCCTGAATTATGATTGGATGAGATTATTCGCCTCTTAAGACGATAAGCTGCTTATCGCCATCTCCTACACTTATTAAATCGTTCCTCCTGATCTACTTTCAGGTGGAACGTGAACACAGGCCATGGATTTAGTACCCAGCGATGTTCTCCTCATTATCGGTGAACATCTCGATCACCATGCCGATCGCTGGAATCTGATCTTCGTTTCTCAACTCTTTCACAACTTATTCCTGCCCTTGCTCTATCGAACAGCACAACTACATAATTGGCAGAGTATAAAATCCTTTTTCTATGCCCTCACCAACAAACCTGTCCTCATTCATGCAGTGCGCCAATTGGATTTGTCTGGTTGGCAATCGCAATGCATAACCAACTCTGAGAGAGAAGAGTTGAAGACCGCAGCAGCTTTAATAGAATGCATCAAATCATCCTCACACTCTGCAGAGGAGGCTACCCAGTGGGAGGTGGATCTGGGAAAGGGTCATGTCGATGCTTGGATTGCTTTGTTGCTTCCAATGTTGAGCCAGCTCAGGCAACTTCATTTGGCATATGCCACCCATACTCCGTGTCTAGATCGCATCATGCATCGGGCGATCAGCGGCGAGAGACCTTTTCAACCCAGTTGTGCCTTCCAAAAACTTCAAGAGGTCTCACTATATCACAGGGATGAAATTGAATATAGCAGAGACAATCATGCTGACATCAACTCTCGTTCACCATCCACTGCTCTTCTCTTATCATTCTTCCAGTTACCATCCATGCGTGCTATTTGCGCCAAGTATGTGGTAGATCAGAATGCAGGCACTGAAAACCCGAACATTAGTTTATCTGAATCTGAAGATCAAAATACTAAGCATATCCAGTCGTTCCAACCGGGGTCCTCTACTATCACAGATATTGATTTACGCTCGAGTAGTGGGAATCATGGAATGAAGACCCTAGTTGCCTCGTGTACTGGCCTCAGATCTTTCAAATACCAACATTCTGACTCAAATCTTATCTCTCGTGGGTATCAACCTACGGCGTTCTATCGCTCCTTGGCCCGCAGTAAAGGAACTCTTCAAACACTGTGGCTGGACCACTACGGCGATCACTACCCATTCACTGCAGCTGGACTAAATCAAAGCCACGATGAATGGTTCGGGTCCTTAGCTGATTTCACTGCCCTCCGAGAAGTCCGCATTCGACTACCCAATCTCCTCGATATTCAATATCGAAACGATCCGACAACACCCCTTTTAAATTGTCTCCCATCCTCGCTAGAGACCCTCTACATCGAGGGATGTGAGGAACGACAAGTTCCAATGCTGGCTTCACAGCTCCAAGCAGTTATTGAAAATCGTTGCACTCGCATGCCGAGATTGCAACGAGTGGAAATCGAGGGGGGTTTCAGGAATACCTCATCCGATGAGTATGCTGACACCACCAATCCAGCTACATTTGATAATACGATTAAAAGTAAAATCATGCAAGCTGTCGAGCCGCTGCATGTTCATTGTATTGCTGCTGGAGTTGAACTTCACCTTTATGACCGTGCATTCCACAACTTCTAGATTGTGACGTGCTGTTTCCTTTTGATTGACCTTACGATATTATACCATTTGGCGATGTCACATTCAGAAATCACGAGCTCATTCTATCCGCCCATTGTTGATGGTTGATTTAGGTTATATATTGAACTTTATCCCTCTTCTTGCTATACATACTAAGCTACATAGATCGATCCACTCCTATTCTTGAAATGATGATGAATTGATTGTATTCTTTTGTCTATTATATCACGAACGAATCCTTTGCACGTACCATAACATGGATTGCATAATGGTCACGCGATCGTGGAGATTCAACTTAAAGAGAAGCAAGCACTGCATCGGCACCCGACACCTTCAAGTAGATATTAGCAGCAGTTCTCTGAAATTGGGTTTAGTTTATATGACTTACCGTGAGGGCACCACCCTGGGTCTCGATCTTGGCGTAACTGACCTTGCCGTGGTCAATTACGATGGCATAACGGCCAGTGCGCCCTGAAGCTTGGTCTGCCCAGCCAATGCTTTTGGAGAACTTGGCATCAGGGTCGGTAAGGAACAACTATTCAACAATCAGCCATGATCAAGATTCATAACTAGAGCTCCACTGACGATATCATCTCCGCGGATGTCGTTGGCCTTGCCCCAGGCGCTCATAACAAATGGATCATTGAAGGCAAGAACTGCCACAACGTCTACTCCCTGCTTACGGAGGGCGGGAAGATTCTGGATGTAGCCGGGCAAGTGCGAAACGGAACAAGTGGGGGTGAATGCACCTATAATTAACACGTATGCATCAGCTCTTGAATTGTTAGTTATAAACGGCTAGCTGATTTACCTGGCACCGAGAACAGCACTACTTTCTTATCGGCCCATTCCTTGGAGGCATTGTAGTTGATAGGTATACCACAAGAGGTGATCTTTCCGCTCTCTTCCGAGTAAGGGATGTATCTTTCTCATAGCATTAGTAGATAATTTAATGCATTGGGTCATCTTAACTTACTGGAACACCACATCGGAGGGGAAAGAGTCGCCAGGCTTGAGAGTAGTCATTTTTTATGAAATAAGATGAAATAGGATGATTTGGATAGTTGTTGGGGAAGAAGATAATGTGCGGGGTAGCTGAGCTTAAGATGTCGCTTCACTGCTATGACGCTACCGCTACTTTTAGTAATCCTTTTTATTGACAGAAATTCAAATAGTACTAAGTGATAGTAGACTACTTTTCAGCCACAAGTACCCCACGATATCTCATTTTACCCTCTTCAAGTGTCTTCAGACTTTCCTTCACCCCTTCCAATGTCATTGGGAAGGTCATCTTAACTGGCTTGATCTGATGAATCGCCGCAAATTCTAGCATATCCCGGTGAAGTTGTCTCGGGGAAACAATTCCTCCCTGGATTCTGAGACCATTGAGAATCAATGGCATGTACGGAATCTTCAGATCGTTTGAATCAACAGAGATTGGTGAAATCACACCACTTGGTGCCATCACCTCAAGGAATAGTTTCCAATCTGGCTGGCTGCTGGTTGTGACAATGAGATTGTCGATCGGCTTCTCCAGTTTCAACTCCTTCAACCCCTTAGTCGCATAGAACTCGGTAGCTCCTAGCTCCAATGCCTCCTTCTTCTTGCTATCGGTACCAGAGAAGACGATGACTTGGCACCCCATCTTGGCAGCGAACTGGATGGCCAAGTGCCCCAGACCTCCAACTCCCACAATTCCCACTCGTGCGGTGGAGCGAACTTCGGCGACATGAAGCGCATTGAAGACAGTCGATCCGCCGCACATGAGTGGGGCAGCATCCTCGCTAGTCAATTCATCGGGGATTTTGAAAAGAAAAGCCTCTCGCCATACGGCATGAGTACCAAATGATCCTTGGTCTAAATTGGCGTTGGCGTACATCTTGCGTTCTGGGCACATGGTTTCCCAGCCTGTCTCACATTGTCGACAGTTACCACAGGAATCTTGCTGGTAGCCCCAGCCCACGCGGTCACCTTTCTTCAATATCTTGACGTCGGGACCGATCGCTTCGACGAGCCCAGCTCCTTCGTGGCCAAGAGCCATGTCGGTGGTCTTGTAATGTACATCTGTACCGCATACGCCAGAATGGGTTATCTGAACGAGCACACTATCGTGCTTCAGGACATCTCTCTTGCATACGCCCTCTCGAATAGTTCCATCCGAGGAACCTTTGAAAACAGTGAATTCGATCGTCATTGTTGAACTTTGCTAATAGTATTGAATTAAATGGAACATTCATCATTAATGATTTATACTTGATTTTGATCCCTACGTCACAATATTCCAAGGTTGATAAACCTGAACGATATCATTGGATCGCTATATCGTACTCGCTGCTATCCCTTGCCTCTTGCATCAACACTTCAAAGTTGTACTCTGTACTGACTCCGAAGTCTACCCTACACTCCTTCAATATTGGGAAGGGACCTTTATAATCCCATTATTTCAATGAAATTCAAACTTTATGAATTTGATCGATGAATTGATTCCATCAAAAACTGATAGCTTTTCGATCTTTTTTGAAATGCGGGGTCGACTCACCATCTCACCGCATCTTTGGCAGCATCAAGTTCTTCCGAGGCTGTCTGCAGATAAATCCTTCGGTCATTGGATGAATTTCCTGTAGATCGAGATCTGATCGCCACCCACAGTCTCGGTACATTTATCACAGTTAACAAGCAAAAATAAGGGCGGCCTTCAAAATACAACCACTCTTAGCAAACTTTAGACCTGATATGTTATTTCCAGGGATATAAAAGAGTCGAGGACTTCTATACGACTTGGACTACTTGGTGATTCATCATCTCGCTTTGAATCTGAACCCGAATGCGGAGCGAGCAAAGATACTTTTATCCAACGACCTTCACCAGTGATTTTTCTCACCTTTCCGATTAGTATTGTATTCTCGAAAGAAGAGGAACACCTCAGTACACCAAGAAGAGATCATACATTACTTGAAGTCTGCAGTATCCGGCCCGATAAAGGATTCGTTTTTGTATGCAGCAGGCGACCCCCAAAATCCGAAAATTCTATGGCGTAGTCGAAGGTTATGACTTGGACTACCCCGGCTCATGGAATCTATTGGTAGATATCAGTCTCAGTTGGTTGAATAAACATACCGCTGCTTTCATGAAACTTGAGACTATTGGACGCTTCGACAGAGTTTTTATGAACTACATCCAACACAGAAACTAATCGAAAAATGCATTGGCAGCGAGTCGCTAACTCTTCCCGCGCCGGCCACTGAGAGCTCAAAGTGTGACGTTAAATATCCTATGGAAACCACAATAAACAAACGGCATCAACGCTGCAGACTGCCTTGATGATATGAAGCACATCTTCAGTTAGCCACAGTCCTTAGAGTTATATCAGTATTCAGTTACTATATCAGTGCACAGTCACTTCGGACCCATGCAGCAGTGTCCTCTTTCTCCTCAATTGGCCGTTTTGGTCAAAATATCCCTGTAGTTACCGGTTCCAGATTAGTCAACATTGTGGATAGCAATAACATAGTGAGGTTTAAAGTGAGCTTGCATAGGTGAGGTCAAAAGTGAATTTGAAACTGAAAGTAGATGACTTGAAAAATGTAAAATTATCAACACATTGAAAGTGAATTTGAGATTCACGAGAACGGAAACTGATGGGTCTTGCCTGTCGTCCCCGTGCCAGGACGCATCACCACCAAACATCGTGTCCTCCAGGGCTAGGGCTATCAGATAAGGATCATTTACTTATCTAAAATATCAATAAAACTTCGGGCATTAGAATTGAATATTAAATGAATATTTGACTGCTTGGAAGCTGACAGTGTTCTCAGGCTTCACTTCTCCCACGAAAAGAAGAATAACTTCGACTCGAAGCGTAAGACCTCCCATGTTCACCTGGGCATGAAAATGGATTGCAAAAAGCATCAATTCAGAATGTTCCTTCAGCTTTCAGGCCCATGAGTTTTGCAGCTTCAATCTTCAGCTGGGAAGACCCTCCCTTGGATTCTTTTTCTCAAACATTGAAATAACTCCACTCACTGTTCACTTATACCTGGGGCAGCTTTGATACCACTCGAGATTACCGCTCATCAACTATTTAATCGCCTCGATCATTCGACAGGTATTAGCCCTATCTTATCACGCTAGAATATTGTATCAGTTACTAGTATAGAGAATCTTTTTGGTGATTTAAAAGCTATCTATAGTTTTAGCCAATTCGCAAACATCGATCCACGAACATTGTTCTTGGTGAGATAGAACGTGCACAATTTATCGGTATTGCTTTCAGCCAATTTTTTCGGTGTCGAGTACAGTTCGTTAACAATATTGACTATATCTTTCATCTTTTGTAGACTGAGGAACATTGGGTCGGCGTAGACTTATGAGAGAAGTTCAAAATTGCTAATGACTTCGACCAATCTAAGCATATGCCTACGCCACTATCTGCACGGAGCATCTAGATATAGACATCAGAAAATAGTAGTTCGACGACTATCTTTATCGCCTTCTTGCTAAAATGCTTTAAGTATCTTTTCCCAAGATTCACAGTGTCGCACCAAGCCTCAGATGGCTATTAGACTATTTGGAACAGAAAATCCAATGCCACATGTAGTTGCTTCAAGCATGGCATTGACTCCTTCTTTGGATCAAATTACCAGTTACCGGTGAATGACTGGATTATTTGGCCATCATGGTGACAACGTAGAATAAATAAGATTCGTCAAGCTTACATTTCTGCAATTCAACCCTGATTGTTGGTCTATTTTGAACTAGCGGTGAATATCTTTATCTTGTAGAATGCGACCGATCATTTATTTAAGAATGTTCTTACTTTTGAGATAGCTAAAGTGAAATCGACAGTCTAAGCCACAATAAAACCTTGAAATATGCATGCCCAGATGGAGATGCAGGTATCTAGATAATAAATGATACATCACTGCATTCTCCGTCCAATTTCAATTTTTGCTAGTTCTAAGGTATCCTAAATACCCAACATCAATCATAGCAATACCTTCCAGTGCTATCGAACCTTATTGGTGTATGCAACCTCGCGCGGTGAGCCGTTCAGGACTCGGATTCAACAAGTCGATTCGATCATCCCTTATATCATTATGTACCAATCAATATAACACTTAGACATGTACTATGTACTAGGTTCTAGATCCCTGGATCTACAATTCAAGATTATGGGCCCAGTCAAACGCACTTGGGCATGACATTAATATCCAAGCATAACTGCTCCCTATTGAAATTGGGTCAACATGATGTCTACAGCGGTAAAGACAAAGAATATCATACTCGGGTTGAATATATAATTTGTAACAGAATAACACAGATATAGTCAATCCCATACTGGAACCTTGGAAGGTCTTACATCTAATATATTAACAAATAGGCTCTGTAGCTACTCCATTCCCCATCCTGTCGTCTATCATTTCCCCTGGAAAAGTGAATGGTAGGTTAAGTTCAGATGGTACGGGAAGAGGACTCCGTAGTCTACGCCACCCAGAAGGATTCATAGGGGGCTGCACCGTGATGATAACTAGTCTCAGAAGTAGGTTTTGAGCTTGTATAGTCATATAGACTATCCGCTAGAACTTACGGAGCCATTATGTTGCATTAACCAGGTGGATTGAAGCTTTCCTCGGTTCTAAAAGTTAAATACGTATCATTATATCGCAGAGAAGACACTTGAGAGTGAGAAGCGGGCGCTTGATCTATTTTCGAATCATATTGATATTTAGATTCTTGTCCTTTTTTTGTGCTGGATGATGTTCTGCTGATGTAAAAGTGGCAATTGACCCTGATGAAATGGAATGTGCCAAAGCTATAGGTCCTCCGTGAGATTCTACTTCATTCGCATCGGGTTGCACTGGTATGAAAGGGAACACTATCCGCCCATCAGTAGTCATGCTTACTGGTTTTCTCTGGAACTTAGTATTGTGTCGGCGATGTGGTTTACTTTCCAGGCAGTTTGAGTCATTTTGCCAGAAACTCATGTCTTGCTGCAGTGTTAGCGAAGTGATCTTGCCGCCTGTAACGTTCTAGGTCCATATTTGCCTTAGAAGGAAGGCCGTTTGATTACCAAACCAAGGGCAATGATAGTCGCGCCGGTCAAGTAATTCAAAAAAAGGGAAGATATACTTAGGATTCTGGTCTGACAAGCTGCCAAAATCGTCAATTATATGCTGTGCCAAGCGCATGCAAATTACCGCATTTTGAATGACTTCTGGGGCTATGTGATTGGCTGACACTACTCTTTTAGGCCTCCCAAACTTTGCCGACGACCTTGGAATAAAATGCCATACCGATCAAGTAAGGTATCAGTGTCGGGACTGACTATTAGATTGTATCACCAATTCCCATCCTAGGTGAAGCACTTTGAACTTCAATGAGCCAATGCTCACTTACATTTCGAGGAAATTCCACATCGACGTTGACATCTTGAATAAAGAATGGACGACCAGTTTGGATTGATAAACTTCGATCCATCAAATAAATGCACTACCAAAGGAGCCGAGATATCTCATCCTCGAACGCAGACATTGCCTCCACAACTTGATTCTTCTGGAGACCGAGATGATATGCATGAGATATTGCAAGCCCAGAACTTTCTCCGCCAATCCATGCGCATCGATGCGAAAAATGTAGATAGACTACAATGAAGTCAGCCGATATTAAGTTGTTATTCATGGATCCTGCCTACACCATCAAGATGACCGTTTGTAGCACAAACATTTGATATGTAAACTGGTATAATCCGTCTCTCGCGGCACTTTATAGACTCCAACTGTCTGAATACGGACCGGCGTCGCCCTCGAGTTGCGATGACTCCACTGATTTACCATTCGCGAGGAATGCTGCTTCTTGCCAAGTCTCCTCGTTTAGTCACCATAAACTCAGATTGTATCAAAGGCACCAAAATATGCACCTACTCGAAGCACGTCTGCATAAGCTTATCCCATTGTTCTCGATCCGGAACAATTTGGTGAGTTTCGAAGATCTGACTTGTCAATGCTTCCTGTAAGCCCAGTGAACTTTTTGATGATTAAGGAGATGGTGTGACACAAGGCCGAAATGGATGATCTGGTAATACGGATCAAAGTTTCATGTATCGAACGCCCATCTGCTCTAACCGATTCTACACCACAGTTATATTACGGGTGATGGATGATTCCCCTGTAAAGGTTCGAATCTGAGGCAGCTTGCAGGCTTGACATTTTCCATGTCTTACAGACAATGGCCGTATTTTAATGGGATTGCACCTCTGGGCTGATGTATCAGGAAGTTTCATTAGGAACAAGTGCTTAATAGGAACGTTGTGATCCGAAGAACGCCATCTCCCACGCATATTGGTTTCTGTCTTTCGCAATTGTATGTATCTCTTGACCACACACGCCTGGCAAGGGATTTCTCCACCACATTAGAACCACTCAGGTCAGCCTTTTTAGATCAGTCTACCCATTTTTAATTCAAGTCTTCAAAGCTCCATTCAAAATATTGACCTTAATTTTTCATCGCTAGCTTTCGCTACATTCGTGCATAATGTTAGCTCATTGGCCAATTTTCCCCCAATCCCAGACTGACCATGCTTTGGTGCATTTGCCTCGTTTTTTCCGTTTGGACGGATGTTCAATCAGGTCCTGACCATCTTCATGCTTCAGAACCATGTCTAATCCTGATCGCATAAAACATTCACTTGCCGTTCCAGCCGAGCTGAGAATGGAAATATGATGGCCTTTTGAACCCTTCACTTTTGGTTTCGAATTGCATATGAAAGCGGGGATGGCCAAGAGATCATCGATTTCACTGTGAACAAGGGAACAGATAGCCTCCTGAGTATCCGGACACTCACCAGTACCTACAACAGGAGATTAATCGCACCCACATTTGAAGTATCCGGAGTTGCCTTGATATTCGTAATCGAAATACTATATTCGACAATGGTGAAGCTGATCCAAAACCTTGGAATCTTAGAAGTATACTCTCAGGACGTGCTTAACCCGATTTCTCATACACCGTCAAGCCTGAGGTCCATCCATTCCTAATTAGGAAGTTGGTCTGTAGAACCATCTCTCATATTGAGTTATTGCTCCGTTGCTCTAGTAGAATACAGTCCTGGTAGTGTACACGACCCTTCATTGTCATGAAAGCTGGTCATTCTCAAAATGTTCCAAATGACAAACTAAAGAGCCAGTCTGGGTCCAGAATTTGCAGGTTACAACATCTTTAAGATGAGACGAGATGACTATGCTGAGAAGCTCATTATATAATAATATTAACATCAACCACCTGAGCACTCAAGACTTCCTCCCTAGGTAGGTAGTTCCGTTTTCCATGCGTATTATGGAGAGTTTTCTGGCGTTAAATATCATCCGTATCGATTCACAATTTGGTCAAGGGGAAACGCAACCTCGCTCCTTCAATGTCACTTGAATCTCACTCCGGCTTTTCAGCACTTTGTACAATTGTTTCGTGAACCACCTTGATACCTCCATTATGGCTGCTCTGACTTCTCGTGTCCCAGCTACCCTCGCCAGCCGTGCATGTGGGAGGTTGTTGTCGTGAAGTGGGAAGAATCATCTGCTCATCAATGGTGTTCCACTGTGTATCAGCTGGGAGCGACAGTGGGTGTAGGAACTTCTTGCGCCTGGCATAGCCACTATTCTCTCCTTCCGATAATGGGTAGGCAGGGTAGGCAGGGTAGGCAGGGTAGGTCTGGCCAGTCTTCGTGGTGAGATATAATCCTGTGCGGCGAACAAGACGCCGGAAAAGTGGGTAAATCATAGGGATGTTTCCAATCAGGACAGCCACAAATGTTTCACGGCATGCCCAGCTGCCAGCTTGTTCAGCACCGTTTGCACCGGCCTAGCGTGTGACCTGCATTAGCGCCGATATTCCCCAAGTTGAGGATTGTGAATCCAGGAGCGCCATACCGTCAAGATCAACATGCAGCGCAGAATACCGGCCATCATAACGAAAAGACCGCCGCTGAAAAGAACAAGGAGCTCAAGCTTTTCCCGCCACCGCAGTCGAGCTCGGAAGAGCATCTAGCAGTGATTAATTGGTGTGTGTCAGGGGACTCTTTTGATGCCAACTTACCGGAGCAGGGATACTGATGAGATAAATGTCGGTGCAGACATTCAGCACCACCGTCACGTAGATATCGATTTTCGATACGGCTGGCTGGCAGTGATCTAACGAGAAGGTTATCAATCAGATACACTTTTCTCAAGGAATCTTCTTAGATAGCAACACAACGCACTTCCAGGGTTTGGGTTGATTTGCCAATTCTTGTACATGGGGTGACAACCAAAGAGAATCGACAACACAGTCGCAATATAAGTGACGGCAATAAGGCCATAAGCAATATGAATTCGAATTCGCATGTTAATCAAGCCAGCTCTATTTTTAAAGATCAGAACTATACCTTGGCATCACAATAGAAGCAAAAGTAGCAAAAGTAACCGGGGGATGGAAAGCGCTGTAGTATAAATACTCACGTCAATCGAGAATAGAAAATGGCCATACATGTTTTCAACAGCCAGAGCAAAAGGGTGTAGAGAGACCAGCCAGTCACTTGAATCTTGGACCCTCCAACACGATGATGATATTCCGTTGAATCTGGGGATAAGCTCGCACGTTCTTCGTCTGTCATTGAATTGTTCGCGAGTCCATGAAACCACGCACCAACTGCATATGCAGCAGCCGTTTCAAGTCCATAAACAACCTACTATTGTGAGAAAGACTCGTACATAAGACAAATAAAACTTACACACGCCAGTAGCATAATATAATCATCTGGCTGGAAATTCTTCGGTCCGACCATGATCCATCTTGCGGTGGTTCGTAGGCCAATGATCACGATTGCTACCGCCAAAAGGCTGAATGCCTCTGTGTTGAAGTCACTCATTTTCAGACGTTGTAATAATCGGATTTCGTTCACGAATCTCAGGAGATTCCATGGGGAAAGAGGTATTCAAATAAACTAGAGGGGGACACGGCAAAGGACAGGACATCGGTGACTTGACCGGGCAAATTCTTGCCATTGGAACCAGAACAGACAAAGCCCACATCCTGGTCAACTTATAAACGCCAGAGCAATGCGCGATGTGCACTGTGCGTTCTCCATTCCCGTAGCCCTGGAGACTTTGGACCCATCAGAGCTCCAAATAGTTTCAAGGTTGTGATTGCCGGTATTTAGCGCCAACGGTTAGTACCTGAGAGGAGATTGATCCAATATAACGACCCTGATGAACCACTCGGGAACTTGGATGATCATCTCTCAATTTAATCGAGCCCGTGCCCTCCGTGTAACTGATTGTGCAGGGGATCTTACCTTGGTAGGTTTGAACTCATATTTTCAGTCTTGGTCAACTGCAGTACCACTTGATCGCTAAACTAAACTTTGCCTTTTCATCCCAGGTAGTTGTTGATGGTTTTTTTTTTTTTTTTTTTTTTTTTTAAGTATGCAGGGGCTTCCCAGGAACGGTATAGATGAGGGGAAAGGGGCAGCAGACCTCTAGGTTCCCCATATTGCTTTGTTCTGGAGAGATGCACAGGGTGTCAGTATTAGGACTAGTCATGGACTAGAACAGGGAGGGGCTTGTTCGTTTCGTTCGCTATATGCCTTCTGCCGATCAGTCGGTTAAAAAATTGAGTCCGACTGGGCCATCATTGGAACTATGGAGATAGGAGAATAGAGAATAGAGAAAAGAGAATAGAATAAATTCCAATTCTAACCTCCTTCATCCCAGCAAAAAAGGGAGAATCGGGATATCATAGATGGCCCACATTGATCAAGATTCAGAAATACTAATCTTATTCGCAGTTCCACTCCGAGCTTTAGTCAAATCGAACTCATCAGAAGTGGGGTTGATCGACTTTTATTGACGTTGATCTACGGTCTTAGCCTTACTCTAATAAGTAAATGACCTGTACTAGTCAACTAGGTCATCCCTAATGTTCATTGTTAGGTAGGACGTGCTTGAATCTTCAATGTTTTCGAGTGGATTTTGAAAATGACTTGGCTACTTTTCGATAAATATCTGCATCCTCAATCATGAGGGAATACTTCCATTAGTCATGCACTGATTCTTATATACCAAACACCAAGGGACAGTCCAATTCCGCCAATAGATAAGGTGCTCGCTCGCTTGGATCAAATCACAGAAAGAAAAATGATCAGTACACTCGTCACACGTCAGGCTCAGAAACAAAAAGAAAAGAGAAGAAAAAAAAAATTAATCAAACAGAATAAGAACAGACGTCCATCCCGATATGCCCAAGTCACACCCTTCGCCATAGAGATAAAAAGAAAAACATCAAAAACATTTATGTCGCCATGATTCCCAGGAAATGTCACGGCTGCATCTTCTGTCCAAGCCGTCCCATGATAGGTACAAATGGGAAAAAAGATAAGAATATGAGTAGAAGGGGGTATTAGTATAGGCAAGGAGTCGAATCCGGTAATTCTCCGGGAAGAAATCATTGTGCCTTAGGTACGCCCATTACTCAGCGGGCTGCCATCTTCACTTCGCCCTTCGCCCTTGACAAGGTCGCTGGCCGTGTGAGAGCCGGTGTCATGATCACCATCTTTTCCACATCCCTTCACCAATATATGTCGCTAATGAAACGGACAAATTAGCACATCAATTTCAAAGGGCATTTTCTCGGAGTTGAGAAAGAAAAGGGCGGGATAGACATACCTTCAAAGCATCCTTCCGAGAGAAACTTTTGTCGCAATGGGCGCAAGGGAATGGCTTCACAGCCAAGTGAATCCGTTTGTGGCGTTTCAAATCATGGTTCCGGTTAAAGCTCTGGGGACATTGGTCACATTTAAAGGGCCGGTCGGCGGCTGGGGCAGGCATCCCATGGTGGGGTGCATGCGCTCCGTATAGATGTTGTGTGTTGGCCACATGGCCACTATTAAATCCAGGTAAAAGACCGGGCTGCATGCCCCCCATCATCGACATGGGACCATTGGGATTATGCATGTTCGTCATCATGGGTCCATTCATGGCCGGTAGCGAATATGATGGCCACGGTTGGCGGGGAAATCCGAGAGGCGATTGAACGGTAGGACTCTGTGAGTGCATCCGTGCGGATGGGTGAATACCCAGCCCCGCTCCAATGGATGGTGGGCCGTACATAGGAGAGAAGCCGGTTGGGTGCGGGCCGGCCATATGGGGATTCGCGTAAAGCGAGTGGTGTCGGGCGTAGGGGTCATTGGATGGTAACGGTGCTGGCGATACGTGGCCGGGTTGGTAAAGAGCCATGGTGGCCGGAAGGGAGGGGTTGTGAGTTAGGGTGGATGGTGGCGCAGGCAGCGCTTGCGAAAATGATGCCAACGAGGGCGCCTCAAAATGATGCGACATGCCATCGGATGTGGGTGGAGAGGTGACTGAGGCTGAGCGACTTACAATGCCCGATGGAGAGAACGAACTACGGGCGGAATAGGTAGGGTTGGAATTCCAGCTTGGTGCCGCTCCTGCTCCATAAGGGCTCGTCCCTGACCAATATGCCGGAGGAAGATCGGACGATACACCAGACGAGGGTGCCTCGACTGAGTTGGTCTGGTTCGTCGCCGGTGGTGTAAGCAGATTACCCACACTCACATTCGCAGGGGGATGCGATATTGAAGGATGTGTTTGATATTTGTTGCCGGTAGCCAACTGGGCAAACGGCGGAGGGGGCAGTTCAAAGCTGGGTAAGGATGGAGCCGCTGGTCGCCTTGTATTCAACGGCTGACCACCCAGCGCATCCAGTGAGGCGCCTATAGAAGGAGGAATCGCGATCGTAGCCATGTTCACAGATGTATCTCGTGGAGTCGCGTAGATATCTGTATCCGGAATCGAGGCGGGAAGATTTGTGGTTAACGGCGCAAAAGAAGAGCCTGCAGATAGAGTCCAATCTCGACCAGGCAAGGCCCCAGAAGGGCTCGAAGGATCCAGGAGGGGCGAGGTTTCGATCGCAGAGGGTCGCGATCGAGAGAGCGGAGAGAAGTAGAGTCACAGACTCGATCTCACAGCAAGTTTATAGAATCCGATCCAACACCTAATCAAATATGAAAAGGAGATGGGGAAAAATGGGTAATAAGTCACGGTCGTCGGCGTATACGCGAGAAGTGCATGGTCTCGAAACGAAGAAACCTAAGACTTTTTCTTTTGAATTACAGTACTAGTTGCGGAAGAGGGGGAAGGAAAAGGTGGCGTTTAGAGGGCGTCGCAGGCTGGAATCTGGGGAAGATTATTAACAAGAGGAAGAAGCCGATTATATATAATGGAAAAGAAAATAGAAGAATGCCCAGGTGGGTTGACCACAGTGGACCACGGTCTAGCCAAGCGTGGGGAATAAACGGATTAAGAGACTCCTTACCCGATGAAAAATACCTGCCTGTCAACCACGTTGTTTTAAGACTTGAGAGATCGTATCACTCGAGGTCGATCGGATCTGTACTTAGGTATTTTATATCGTTTGATGTGTCTGCTGCCAGCCTTTTCACTATTTGTAGGACATCGGAAGGAACAGATAGTTGAAATGATGAAAAAGATGGATGAAATTGATTAAAAATGAAAATAAAAAATACCTAATGTAATAAAATAAGAAATATGGAATCTATCAGATATACTTCTTCTCTCCCAAGGTTCGTTGCCCAATCTACCTATATTCTTCTAAAGTCAATAGCTCCGTATCTTCTATCTGGTATCTTCCATCCATTCTCTCTCTTTCTCTCTCTCGCTCTCTCTATTCTATATCTCTCCTGTCATATCGTCTCCTTGCGTCGCGATAAATAACTGGTATACATCAATACGGTATCGGACCATATAACAGAATACGGTGAGAAATCCTGGCCAATCATGGACAGAACGCACGGATACGAGCCATGGTCTGGGAGCTTGTTCTGGGTAGTGGGAAGCGAGACTAATCCATCGTTCATTCGCTCCGGCCTAATGCTACTGATCAAGTTAGTCTCCCTTTCCTATTTTCCCCCCTTCTATTTCTATCTAACTAGTGATTTTCTGCGAGATTAATTATTCGTATTACTGGCATGACTCCTGTCATTTATGGGATTTATGGGTCTAAAACTGCGCAATTAGAACATGGGTTTCACTGCCTACCCCCTCTTCTGCCTCTTCTCTTCCTCTAATGAAAATCTGGTTCAACTAGCCAGACCAGAAACATGGTCCAGATCCACCAATTCGGGACAATCCACTCTATAATCGTTAGCTTCCTCATGGCTAATACTTTCGGATCGGAGTGGCGGAATGGTGACCCCCTTGATCGCTTATGGGGTCTTCTATCTCCACAGAATCTGCAAGCCTTGCATCCACGGACCATCAAGGTTCTTATCAACCAATCGAAGTACATTGTTATTTGCTTTTGAATCCTATTTGCTTCGTGGTTCTACTTTGTAGAGGAGGTAAGAATGTCCCTAGTAAAACCTTGGATCCCTCTTTAAGTCTTCATTTTCTTTTTGAGACAAGCATAACAACCGAAATGGAAATGATATATCGCGCATTTGCCTTTCCGGCACTCCCGGGGTACCTATCTTAGGTCCCCCCCCCCTTTTCTCACCTTTCAATCATACGGACGCATTTGCCTTCCTCCCCGGTACGTGTCTAGACCATGGAATTGAAAACAATTAATTAATCAGTAATTAAGTAAATATTCATCCCAGCAAATGCAGACAGTAAATACTCGGTCAGAAAAAGGGGCCCTAATCCGTTTTATCTGTGCTGACAGAACCTTGGCAGTATTGAAGTTCTACTGCAAACTTATTCCACATTCTACTATGTACATGCCATCTGAACTGGCGAACCTTGTTTGATGAAGTCCAAGTGCTCATGACCCACCGATGAGAGGGCAGATCATTTCGTGATCTGTTACGGAAGATGCACGGCCGATCTCCAGAGTCCCCGAAGCCGGTCAAATCCCAACTGCGCTTCGGGGACCCTGAGTCCTGAGCCCTAAGACAATAGCTGATTTGCGGTGGACTCCTTCATGCAACGCGGCTCCAAGTGATCAAGTTGGCAAGTGGCAAGTGGCAAGTGGATCCCATTAGAGCTCGAGCCATGCGATCGTCGCCTGCGTCGGTCCGCGCCGGTGTGGCTTCGGAGGGCTTCACGGTTGGCGTTGACACTTATTTCTGGGCATGGTTTAGACTCTTGACGATCCTTTGAAGGACTCCAATCGACCCAAAGGTCTATAGGGCTGATACAACTTGACCCAGTTCATGCGGATCTACAAAATTCATGCAGATCTAGAGTCCTCTTTCTTCCCCTCCCCATACATTTCAAATCGAGGGAGGACATTCTCCAGTTCTCCACTCAAAGGGAAATGTGGAGATATGTGAACCGTTCTCCTCATCGAGGTATACATTCTGTACGCACTATACACTGTACTTATATACCGAAGTATGTGTGCAGTCACCGATTGGGTTATAATTTAACGCTTAAAATATCCAGTAAAACTTTGGAATTAAAGACAGGCAAAATTTCCAATTGTCATTTTATCTGAGCACCACAGGGCCTGGAATTGCACCTTCAGATCAGACGGATGTCAGTTATTCCAAGGCTACCTAGGTATCTTGCCCAGGACCATTCTACAGTCCTCCTTAAGTGGAGTTCAGTCTCAAACCTCAGAACTTTATACACTACCTAGGTAGGTATCTACTGACTCTCCGCAAGGCATGAGCTCCTCTAAGCCCATATGTAGTATGATAATGCTGCTTTCATCATGTCTGGATAGTATCAACAGCCTTGTTGTGTAGTAGGTACTTGGGGCTATTAGCATGATCGGGCTGAGGTCAAAATATATCCGCGCCCTGCGATCGTGGTCAAGATTGAACTCTGGAAGTTTGATGTTCACACTCAATGCTTTATACCAGTATTAACTCCTTCAAGGATCATTTAATTAAAAGTATGACCAATTTCTGCTTAGTTATGATTGCAGTCAAAGTAAGCATTCGTCGATGTTGTCAATCCAAGATTTGAGGGTTGCTATGACGTCGTCACCTTAAACCATCTTCCATCTTCCCGAGGCCTAGTTATTCCCTTTTCCCTTTTCAACCTATCTAGACCTGAAGCTCAGCTCATATCCATCTCATCTCATCATCTCTCTGAATTATCTACAATGTCTGGAATTAGCAAAGCCTGCTGCTCGTTAGTCATAAACTTTTCAAACCCAGTCCATCATACCATTGTACCATTGCTGACTCTGATAGCATCCCTCCTGTGATTTCCAAGGGTTATCAGGCCAAAGGAGCCTATCAGAATATTAATGGCCTGAAAACATGTATGGTAGCTTATAACTGTGGAATAATTGAAGTTACTGACCAATTACAGATGTGACGGGCCCCGAGTCAGCCTCGAAGGCTATTCTGGTGATATATGGTGAGTGTTCACTCATCGTCGTGTAATACAAACAGCCTTGAAATACTAACTCTTATGGAGACATATTCGGTTTCTTTGACCAGACCATCCAGGGTGCCGATATTCTGGCAACTTCAAATGGGCAGAAATACCGTGTCTTTATGCCTGATTTCTTCGAGGGCAACCCCGCCGATATCTCCTGGTACCCACCGACCACCGACGAACACAAGGAGAAGCTTTCCAACTTTTTCCAGACCAAGGCTGCTCCTCCCAACACCCTTCCCAAGATCCCCAAAGTGGTTGAAGAGGCCAACAAGCTTGCACCTGGTGGTGCATTCCAGTCCTGGACGATTTTAGGTCACTGCTGGGGCGGTAAGATTGCTGTACTGTCTGCAGCTCAATACAATACCTTTAAGGTAAGCGTGCAGTGCCATCCAGCAATGGTCGACCCAAAAGATGCCGAGTCCATCAAGGTGCCTTTTTGCATGCTTGCTTCAAAAGATGAACCCGCAGAAGATGTTACCGCTTTCAAGGCAAATCTACAGGTCCCCAACCATGTGGAGACTTTTTCGACTCAGATACACGGTTGGATGGCTGCCCGATCGGACCTGGAGAATCCGGAGGTGCGTAAGGAGTACGAACGTGGATACAAGACTGTCTTGGATTTCCTCCATCAATATGCGTAGAGTGATCAAAGCCAGGAAGCAACTAGTTATTCACAATACATGCAGGAAGCAGTATCCGTACTAGAAGATGTCATGCCAAAATTCTCCAAGACTTACCACTAATTAGGTCAGATGATAGTCACAGTAGCATCAGTATTCCGTTACTAGCAAGTACAGTAGTAATACTAGCAGCAAAAATAGTCTCCACTCCGGGTTACTATTTTGCCAACAAAGTCGGTCTGGGTTCAAGCTTATTCTTGGAAATTCCTTCTGTTTCAATCTCATGTCTATATTCATGATGGTCTTTCTCGTAATTCCTTGAATATGGTACACAGTTATAACAATGCCTTCTTTTCTCACATTTCGCCGACGTTCCTTGACGGGGCTCAGCCCCGCAAACGACTTGGCTATTACTACGCAATCATCGGAACCCAGACTCCAGGAACAGAGACCCCATCAACAGCCGACAGACTCCGGAGTGCTCCATGTTTTATTCCGCAGGCGGAGTGAAAGTCATGTACCGTCTCAAGTTTCTCTAGTTTCTCCAGTCAGAGTGGTAAGATCTACCGCATAAATTGTCATTGGCCTAAGCTAACCTCGGGTAAACTATAGGGAGGAACTGCTCCGGAAATAGCGACCAAACAGACCAACCATGAAGATCAATCATGCAACCACAAGAACACGGAAGATTCACCATCGAGCCCTACCTCACCGGTCGCTCATTCTCATGGAGAGCCAAAGCAGCCAGGCAATATTCAAGACTACCTAGAGCTTCGGCTGGATGAAGCATGCAAGCCTCCAGACAAGCTCGACGGGACCGATCGGTCAGATGATTCGGGCTGGACAAAGAAGGAGGTGAAAGCTATCCTATCTGGAGCGCCCCATTTTCTGCTTGAGAGAGGCAGACATGGTCGCTGGTATCCCCAGGTGTTATTTCCATGGGATGACCACCACCCGTATATCCAGAGAATGAGGGATCGCAAACCACTTCTCCATCAATCCTTCACCCTGTGTACCCTCCATGCCCATCTGCCCGTTCTAGATGACTGGGAGGTCAAGAATGGAGTGTTAGTACCAGTTCACGACTGGCGTCGGACAGGTGGGTCGAAAAGAGCCGCTTTCGACGTAGGCGTATTCGAAGTTCCAAATATGCTCGCCAATAATGGACACGAGCCGGGAACCTTTGGATATCGAAACTTTTTAGAAATCCCGATCGCAGATGTCACTCAGTATACCTGCACCGCATCAAGGCAAGCTCCAGACATGGTGCATATTTCGGAACTGGTCGCCTCAGAAGCCCAAGAGTTAATGATGGGCTATAACCACGCATATTCACAATGCCAAAGCGGTGCTGTATTTGATCGAAAGAAGCTTATCCGAGAAGGTCCCGTTGCTTGGAAGCGCATTGGAGTGCGAGATGTTAACCTTTTGAATTTGACGAACCGCCTGAGTAATTTACAAAAGTTGCGCGACGATGTTATGAAAAATGGATCGAAGCGGACTATCCTAGACTATGAGAGCCCACGGCAGCTTCTGGATACCTTACATACCCAGTTTCTTCACCCTCACCCTCCCATGTCAAACCTTAAGGCAGGGTATCCGCATAGTCTGAAATCCCAGATCAAGGTACTGACAACTGTTCTTGCTACCCCGGGAGCATGGATTGACTTCAGTATACCTGAATGGCGTCTCCGTGCGGGTCAGATTCTGTGGGAAGTACCACCGCCACTGCCTTCCGCGAGTTCTGGGAAACCACAAGATTCGTGGATCAATTCGGGCATGGAACGAAAATGGTTACTGATTCAGTTGGTGCTTGCTGCAGAATTATTATTTCGTCTTGATGCCTTTGTCCGCGTTGGCATGCTGCACGATCCCCACGGGGGATTCGTCACGTCCCAAGAGCTTCAGCACTTTGAAAAAATGCGAGATGGAAAGGTGAATTGGGATTTGGTTGTTGTGCGGCGCTTCCTCGATAGTATTAATATTACATCTGCTTTGCCATCACCTGAGTCATCACCGACTGGATTGCAGTCACCACATGCCCAAGACAAGGCGGCTGGAAAATCCCGACACTTTGCCTTATTTGAATCAATTAGTCGACGGGTGTCATCTAACGCAGAATCAAATCTGAAATCAGCCTGGCAATATCAGCTTACCTCTCCGCACATCCAACAACAGCTGGACGGGCTTTATATATTTGCGGAGAACATTGGATGGCCGATGATAGACCGTCTCAAAGCTACGTTGGAACAGAAATTGAGAAGTGGCACCGATTTGGTCATTCCTCCGGTTGATACGGATGTCTGCTCCCAGGTCGAACGAGAGCTGCCTGCCCGAAGCTTTTCCTGTCGGCCCATCTGGCTCCGTAGTACTTGTGAACAAGATGGGGATCCACATGCCTTGGATCCTTTGGGCTGGATCTCTCGAAGCTGGCTCTCTGGGTTTGTCGCTCCCGGAGGAAGTATTCCTCATCTACTCATAGGTACAATATTGGAGAATGACGCGGATGCAATCATGCAGGTCGGCCCAATGGCCAATCTATACGGTGGATTTATCTACGACGGCCGAAGCTGGTGGAGCAAATCATGCATTATTGGACGTGTCTTGTCTGGCCTAGAGGGAGCCAAGACTTGTATGGGATGGGTGGGCAGCGACGTACTTCCCCGCGACGCTGTAACCTTGGAAACTCTGCAGCCAGGCTGGTTCGACGTTCATGCCCACCACATAGCACCTTCGCACCACCCTCGGATTAAACAAGGCGGAAAACTTGCTCTGAAGTCGACCCCACTGGGTACTGGAGACATCAGTCCAACATCATTTACCCTACCCGTTGATCCGCCACAGACAGGACCAGCACTAAGCGTGGGTCTGGGAGCCTTGGAATTTACCTTGACTACGCCGAATAAGAGGAACATTACTGTTAGCGAAGGGGCATCACTCTCCTTCTCCTGGAGCGGGACAGAAGTGACGGAACCTTCTTCCGTCACATTCTCACTCAAATACAATGTGCGCTTTATATCTACGATTGAATGCCGACCACCGCGGGGTATGCCATGCGAGGGCAAATTGAAGCGTCTACCAGGCCATCCCTTGCATCAGACTTTTCAATACCAGTATGTGCCGCTGGTATCCCTCCCCACTCGTCCCCCTCCACAAGCACAAGCGAAGGTGCCGGGAAAGGATGTAGAGATCTTGGTGATCGATGCGCGCGGAGATCGTGTCACGGAAACCTTTGCTCGAGCGTGGTGTACTTCGGTTGGGTGTCATGCGTTGATCAGTCGAGTTGGAAGAACGTGTATTGCCTGCTCTGTTCGAGAAGCCAGGGCAGTAGGTGTTTCAGTTGTAGTGCGAGTCGGCGAGTAGATTTTTGATGACTTTGTCCTGATTTCGAGCTACGAATCTTTGCGTGCATGAAGCTATCGGGAGTCCGGAGATTGATCTTTGATCATTTTTGGTCTTTCCTACTGTTAAATTAGTTTAATAAGAAATTTGTAATACCTTACGCCTAACATCGTATTGCTCTGGGTTACTCGACGTCGTAAATCTTGGAAGACCGAGACCGAGAATGTTACACGTGCCCTTTGATGTATCGTGCGGGGCTAAATCATCAAACAGATGTATGTGGAGAACATACTAGAAAGACAAGAATAGTGTAAAAGCGATCCTTCACTACATAAAAGGCGGAGAACTACGGATCACATATGTCATACCCCTCTCCGTACTCCATAAGACCTCCCACGAGTTGAAAAGGGGGACGCGTCAGTGGAGTTGCGAGATAAAAGCAATAAATAAAAGGATCGGATGGCCAGATGGAGTTAAGGCCCGAGAATGGTGAAACATATCTCCAGGTCCGAGTATGAGGAGGCCTCTAGATTAACCTATCCACATGGAATCAGACTGCGATCGGATATAATCTACCGTGAGATCTTTCTCTCTTCCACAGTATGTTTTACCTTGTTATGCACTCTCAAAACCCGGAAGTATGAAGAAACTTCCGTATGACATATCGGGGTAAGTAACCGGGAATAGGGAAGACCCGCTGAATCTTTCCCCTCAAACCGATAAAGGCCGAAGTTCGAGACTAAGGAAATGCACAGCCTCCATCTTATCATAGGTATTCCAGGGTGCAGGATGCATGTAAGGTGGAGTCATGCCGGCAGTTGAATTTGGCAAAAAGTCCTCTCCAGAGTACTAGGCCATATGAAGTTTAGTCCAAAGGAGGGAGACATCCCACGTCAAACAAAAGTAAGTCTTGAAACCCAGCTGAACATATCGGATTTGTATCCGATGATACTCCAGAGCCCCGTATCTAGGTACCTATGGGATGCAGGAGATCGGTTATAAGGCATGTCTTGAATGCGAAGGATGAAGACCTCGATTTCATCGAGTTTCATGCTTTTTCAACAGATATATGAGTCAGCCTACCAATTCGGAAGGCTAGAACTGGAGTCATGGACCCTGTTTCATCGCCGGAGGCTAAACCCAGTCTCAAAAAGTCCGATGCTCTGGGGCTTTAGGAATTAGTATGCATTAGTCATACTGGGCACAAAATATAGCTATTCATATCTATCTATGGAGTAAATAGTCGCCCAACTTGACCCGGTGATTTTCTTCATACCCAATTCTCTTGTATAAGGTTGAAAGACCCGTCGATCGGAATTGCAGAACCTTGGAAATAGCATGCGGGGGCTTGGGCTCATATTAATCGGCAGTCGAGCCAACTCCGTGCAAGCCCGAGTATGTACGGAGTAGAGGGCAAAAAAAGCTTCATGTAGGGCGTCTAAAATTAAACATGATTGGTCAAGTATACACGACGAAGATCAATGTCCACCAACAGGCATGAAAAATGACACGTTTTCTCTACCGATAGAGTGGTAATAGGCGATGGCCACCCCCTTTTTTTGTGGGCTTTTCTTCTCCAAAGGCTTAAAGGCTCAAAGTCTCAAAGTCTCAAAGGCTCAAAGGCTGAAGGGTTCAGCAGAGCCTTGTTTCTTTAATCTCAAATTATGCCTAGAATAACCACTACAGGTACTCCTTATGCAATACTCTATCCTCTATGCTTACATTCTCTATAGAAGCTTGAAGCTTCGAAAGAATACAACGGCGATCCCTGCCAAGACACATCTGTAACACGCTAACAATCTCGAGTTCATCCTTAATTAAACGTTGATCCGTATTATGACCCACATAGTGCATGTTTGTCACGAGGTAGAATTCCCACTTTGTGGAGGGTCAGTGAAATACTCCGAAGATCTGGACTTGTTCGGGTCTACACTCAATAATAAGATATTAATTTTAAGGTCGTGAATGGGCTGATCTCATTACACGTAAAGTACAAAAGGAAGTGGAAGTGAGGATTGACCAACTGTGGGTAAGGGATCCATGACTACGAAATGATAGTAATTCTAATTGGTGAACCAAATCTATGTGAATATGGAGTGGATTTCAGTTGAACCAAAGTTTGACTTTTTTTTCCATTCCGAATTAAATTGTTAGTTGGGAGACGAAAACGTTCTAATGTTCCAAAGTTCCAAAGTCCAACCAAAAGTTCGGATTGGATTTCTAGAAGCCCTAAAGTCCTGCAAGTGTGTGGTAATGTTGACATGAGGCTAACCCCCAGACCATGCAAATCCAAGGGGAAATTACAATTAAACAATTCATAAAAAGGGGCAAATTCCACTAAAAGATGTAGAAAGTAAAAAATGATGAAAAAGGAAGGGAAAAAAAAATAAAGAATACCCATTGCGTGCTGCCCAAGTGGAAACTGGAAACTGGAAACATCCATCAGACCTAGAAATTGATACATATCATTATGAACCTTGAATTCTGTTTTTAGAATCAATCTGTAACTGGGATTTATGTCGGTTTGGTTCCGATTTTCTTTACTCCGGTCATCCGTATAGCTATACTTCAATGAAAAAAAAATAATAATGAAAAAAAATACAGGCCCTGAAGTTGAACGACGTAGGTCTTCAGCCCCCTTCCAGAACATCAAGATCCCATTCAGAGTTAGTTGACCCAAGTCAAGCAATTGACAAGGGAGAATTAGCTTATAGGAGCTTAAAACGCAATTAATCAATCTCGCGTGAAGAGGGTATCAATCGATGGAGTGCCTGAAAGTCCAAAACGGCTCTGCGACCAACTTTCCAACCTTATGGTTCCCACTGTGTCAGAGCTTCCAGACCATGGTTCCTCGTTTCTGCCTCATTTACCATGAACCAGTACTAAGGGGGAAGGGGGTCTCTATACGCAATCAGGGGCTTATAAGGGTTACCTAATATTGAGCCCAATACAAAGAAGAAGAAGAAAGTGAAAATCATCAACCTGGGAAGGTTGAGGTGTATCGAGAATGCGTAAAAACACCCTGAAGGCTTTCTTGAGTATGGGGAAAGAACTAATACATAAAAAAGGTAAGAAGCTCCCCTGCACGGAGTTGAGCTTTTCTATACGGAGTACTAGATGCAAATATTCGTTTTGTCCATGTCCCTCTTAGTCCTAGTGTCTGATGCAAAGCCACATTGTTCCACGTATGCTGAGATATAATTCCCTAATTCCCTAAAAAATAATAAAATATTTAAAATAAAAAAGAAGAAAAAATACCCATAAAAAAGACCAGCGTTTCACCCCGCGATTGGCCTCGAAGTCTTGACTCCAACTACTCCTTCTCCATATACTCTTTCTCAATTCTTTCACCTTCATACACACCTCTGATTTCTTTCCCCTCAGAATTTGGACTTTTTACTAATGGGCTCATTTTTCATCTATCCCCTTTGCAATTTCATCCGGATCATAAACCTTTCTAGATCCTAAAACCCCATTCCCCCCAAACAAACCCAAACATTCACTCTTGGAACCCCCTTTCCTCGAAGCACTCTATTTCTTTTAATTATCATTGATTAATTTGCAATCATCGGTTTCAACCCGGAGTTCGCGTTCCAAACTTGAATTCAAACCATCGACTTCCCCTTCTCTCTACAGAACTCATTTACGAGCATTACGACCTCCTGCGGGACCCCCAAACCCCTCCCGATTCAGACACCTTGCGATTGTTGTGGACCTGAAACGTGTGCGATATCGTTTTTAGGTCCGTTGTGGCGTCGAGTGGACCATAGGGCTTGATTAAACAGTCGGCGCAGCGTCATTGTCTAGCCATTTTCGTTTTCTCAAGCTTCACTCTTATGGCCTTGTGAACTTTGATCATTTACCTCGATTCATATCAAGAACGCTTTTTTATTGTGACTCCAACCGCCTAATAAGGAATCTGAATAGCACAATTGATGCGCTTTGGCTTAATACGATAATAACTGTCTTGTGGGAACTATGCGGGCAATGATTGAGACAATGGAAGCAACACACACCTCTGGCTCTTTGGATAGCGATAAGAAGCGCAACAAGTTAGGATATCACCGGACATCTGTCGCATGTGGTGAGTACTTCTCTTACAGTTATAGAGTGGGCAAAGGCAATCTGCCCAGGTATGATGCCGAGGCTTATATTTATCTACAGTCCACTGTCGACGACGGAAAATCAGGTGTTTAGTCGCCGCAGACGACACACAGGGACGATGTGAAAATTGTATTCGGTTGCGAAAAGAGTGCCAATTTTTCCCAGTAGACCAGCAACCGCCAATCGAGAAGAAGGCTCGGCCCAGTTCGAGGCTGGAAACACAATCATCAGACCTTGCAACAACTCCCGTCGCCTCTTCACCTATCATGCACGCCGAAGCAGGTGTACCAGTTGATTACTATCAGTACCCGCAGGTTCCTTTGAGTTCATCTGCAGGTCAAGACATGGCAGCCTTTAGCCCTAATGCTTATGCGGGTACTCCTCTTTCGAGCTTCTCAGCCAGTAAGTCTTTTTTTCCTACCTTGATTTGTAGTACAGACAATTAATCGACAAGAAGATCGACCGATGGGACCTGGTGACTACCCAGGACATCCAGCGATGGAGAGTGGACTCTCCTGGGACGAATTTACGACGATAACTGAACCTCACATCATGGCCACAATGGCTGGAAAAGGACCGATGATGGCCTTAGCTCCTAATGTCTGGAATCCGGGGTCTATACCTAATGGATTGCCACCGAGTTCGCCTATGTCAGGAGGATCTCCTATGCCTGGCCACGCGCAACCTGTGAACCCAGCTATGTACGCTCTGCAGTCCGACGGAACCGCCTGGCCTGTGCAATCACCTCCACCACCATCCCGGGCATTGAGTTACCCGGGACAGCCTGAGATGAGCTCCTCATATCCCACCTCATATCCACAACAAATGCCTCCGGACCTCAAACGGCGAGTGACAGTCCCTACACAACAATCAATGCATTCTCCATCCGACGTATTGGGATCCTCCGCACCTGGATCTGAGATGCATGTACCCCCTGGCTCGGTCCCATACCCTGTCCAAGCCGGTATCGGATACGCATCATGGCCGATGAACGCCATGCCATCCGGCATGAACGTGGTATACCCAGACGCTATGCAACAACAATTCCACTCACCAATGGGGCAGCCGGGACATTCCGGCCCATAAAATATTGAAACGATTCCTCTTCGGGCACATCTTGCATTTGGCTCATTATTGACTCAACCTTTATATTCTCTTTCCGGCCCGGATGACTTGACGTTTTTTTGTACATTCTTAGACGGCGGCTTGGTTCAATTATAATACCCCGGTGGACATCAGATCGATTTCTGGGATCTCCCTTTTTCTTTTCTTTTCTTTTTTTTGTTGCATACATTACTTCCATTCATCTGCTTTGCAGCAGGTCACGAGCAGGCGCATGGGTTTTCGGGTGGTACTTTTTTCCTTCGATTCTATCATGGCACGCAGCTCAGTTAATATTTACATCACCTGTGCACTTTGTGCTGTCATACCACCTGCCTGGGCACCGTGCAAAGATCCCAAGATCAAGATCTTGGGTGATTGTTTCCATTCGACCAGACTGGAGATCGAGTGTTACGACTTGCTGGACATCATATATTATAGACTTTTCTTCTTTCTTTCCCCATATTTCCTGATTGGTTCATTTCCTTTGTCTACGGTATTTCTTTTTTCCTTTGTCGGTGGATATACTTCCATAATTGCATGGTCTGATCGCGTCTGTCATTATTTTGTTTTCTGAATACCCGGGCTAGGGAGCTTCGTGAAGCTGTCACGACATTTATTGACATCGAGCCCTTCTGTGAAGACCTCGGGATTGCATATATATATATATATATAACTATTACATATTGATATCGCACTTGGTACTATTGACGTCACTACTGTAATATAGATATCCTAGGAGATCAGAACGGAAATCTTATCATATAGCGAGTAAGATTTGGCAAGATTGGGTAAGATTAACAAGATTGGAATATCATTTCCGAACCATATCTTCCGAGGTCTCGATGTTATCTTTGAATAGATTTCCGCGGACCGAGGTATTTAGTATCTTAGAGATAGCGGTCACAGGCAACAACGCACTTATCTTTGAGCATATTCTGAGATGTAACCCATTGAACCCATTATTCAAGTCCCCAGGTTCCAAGGTTCCCATGTTTCCATGTAATATTGAGTGCAGATCAACATTCCGATCCATGTTCTTGAAAAAATGGGAACCTTGTAGTATTTGGTGGCACTATCACCGAGTCAAATATCGCGTGGGATGTGGTCGATAACAACGAACCAATGCATCAGTGATTAGTCTTAGTCTATCTCTCAATCAGTTTGATAGAGACTTGAGTATTGATGTCATTGTATATCTCCGACTAAGTTTGACTACCCACTGAGATACCTGAATCACTTGAATCACTATCTGACCATCTAGTCAGAGGTAATGTGATAGGATGACAAGATAAGGCCTGATACGATTGCAAATAATGGGGAAATCCTGGGGCAAAGTTAGCAAAAATTTGGAGATTACGGATTAAAGATAGTAGAAATGAAGAGCGGTGTGATAAGTATGTAGATCCCTCCGATCAGAACTTGATCGACTCCAGGGCTTATCTTCGATGCAAACTTATCAATGGCGTCACGCCTTATCGAGACTGTTGGGTGATAACATTGAAAGGATTTTCATATATAAAGGGGTTGTTATTCTCTTCCATTACTTCTCAATTTCAACTTCATATTCTTTTATTTTTTCTCCCCTTGATCGACATGGATTTTCCACTGCTCAGATTCCTCCTGTTGAGAGTGACTGTTAGTCTAGATGGACCCTTGCCACCCTGAAAATAGCATTTCCACTTTTATATGTTCCTTGGGAGGGCTTCCCCTCATACCTGGTTATTCAGGCTCACTACCACTTATCATCTAACCGCCAGTGCCGCAAGAAGAAGTAAAAACCAAAAAACAGAAGTCTTCCCCACCCTGATCACTTTCCAGCTGGGGTTAAAGTCGGGTTACGTCGGATGTCCAATCAAACTGGAGAAACTAAGCCGAAAACCTCGCCACCTCACTTTTTCCCATTTGCCTCTTTTCCCCCAGAAAGTCTCACTTTTGGAATCATACCATCATTTTCACCAGGAAAAAGGGAAAGAAAAAGAGTGGGAAAATAAAAGAAAAAGAAAAAGAAAAAGAAAAAGAAAAAGAAAAGACTATCATTCATAGTCATGTCGCTCATGAATCAGATTAAAAATGATGAATCATTGACCAGCGTTAATTACGCTTATCAATAGCTTATCGTTGCCCCGACTTTGCCATGTGGGTCTCGTGGGTCTTTTTAAGGCTTAAGAGGAGGAGAGATTTGAGGGACTTGGCTTACTTGATTTCCAGATCCGGTTTCAGGACCGCAATGAACGAACCGCTAACGAGTCTGAGCTTTTAGATGTGTTTTATTTTCGGGCTAAAGAAAAAACAGATGTCGGGAATGATGAACCAAGAGGATCGGATTTGACAACCGAGTGGAAGTATGTGAAAGTATGGAAGTAAGTATACTGGAACACGGCTTCTATTAGCTCGTTCCAAAAAAGTACCGAAAGATTGAAAGACGAATGAAGTGAAAGAGTTCGCCTTTGCCTCTTCTAATTACCTCGTAGGTTTTATTCCCCGGAGATTTCCCCGGTGAAATCTATCTTCGGTATTTGTCTTGTATTTACAAGACCATCGGGTAATATAGGGATCTAACATGGGGATCATTCCGGTGAGTTTTGAACCTAATACAAAAGAGATGGATACTTCTTAGCTGTTGCACTACGAATAAGAAAGGCGGCACCATACAAATGTAATCGGCCCGAGTCCGATATACGTTTTTTATCCGAAGAGAGGGGGTCATTCTCTTCCGGAATTCGAGCACAAGGGAGGGGTACACTCAAACATATCTGCAGTAAGTACCAACTCCGTAAGTACGAAGCTATTCGGGAGAAGGTCTCTTGAGATTTGAAAGAGGTGGTCGGAGAAAGTCCAGATGTAGGTAGAAAAGTGGGTACGGCAGATTTGACTAAACAACAACCATCCTATAGTGAGTGGGTCAAATTAAGCCAGAAGGAGTAGAGACTAGGTATCATAGGAACAGTAGACGGCTACCCAAAGTGGACTATCCTCCATAGTCTCGTCTCTTTCCCCCCAGGAACAGGGGCCGTGCGAGGAAATGTCAATTGTACAAATGGATCAACGTTCATTTGTTGGGTTAAATCCAGGAACAGTTAGAAAGAGACAAATACCATGCAAAGTACTTTCTAGTCATCAAGCGAAAGTGGCGTTTAATATATTTATATATGTAGTAGACCAGAGATGGGAATCAGATGGTATATATTTTACCTAGGTTATATATTTTACGAATACCGTACCTGTCCATGACTACTGTACGCCTTCAACCTTCACATATCAATTCTGAGTTCCCTCTCTTCCTTTCCTTCCCCTCCTTTCCCCCTCCTTCTTTTCTTCTTTTATCCTTTGGGTGACCCCCCATCTTGTACACTTCTCTTTCCTTTTGCTTTTCCCTTTTTCCCTTTACCACCTGGTCCTGTCACTTTCTGCTTTACCCCCAAATACCTGCACTACATCTCCCCCCATCACTAGTATCTCGGGGTATGGGCATCCAGACGGTCTAGCCCCTCCCATTCCCGTCCTCCGCCTGGGAATATTCAGAAAGAGGGAATTGATGAGAACATCTTGGTCGGAAAAAGCTTCTAGACCTTGTAAGTTCTTGATCCGCAGATACTTAACATGTACAATGGACTGACGTCGGTGCTGAGACCCCTGGTCATCTTGGCTGCATCTGCCAATAGCTTCCAATCATCCTCTCGTTTACGGCGGATACGGATTTAATTTTATAATCCCCGCCATCTTTTAATATTTCTTCCCCCTCCATCATGGATGCCATGCACCATAATGGATCTCATGGGTTGAATTTCCCCGGGATGGATTTCGATACACATATGATGTCCGATGATTTTTCCCTTAGTTCACCTTTCGCTCCGACAAATTCAAGCAACAATATGCTTCAAGATTCCATCTTCCCTGAGTGGAAGCACGGTGAGCGTGGTGAAAGCCCCGAGGATTTGCAACGAAAAGATCCCTTGGCCGCTCAAATCTGGCGACTCTATGCTCGAACAAAGTCTCAGTTACCGAATCAAGAGCGCATGGAAAACTTGACATGGCGGATGATGGCCATGAGTTTGAAACGGAAAGAGCGTGAACAGCGAGAACAAGATAAACGGACTCGGTATGTCGGCACTTCTTCTTCCCTCTTTTCTTTTCTTATTTCTTGCTTTCTTATTTTCCTGATTTTTTATTTTTTTATTTTCTATTTATTTTTCTCTAATAATCCGGCCGATTTGCTCATCTCTTCTTTTTAACCTTACCAGGTCGCACACGAATAACACCACTGGTCCCAACCCGAGCGGCATCGCGCAGTTGCATTTGTCCGACCAGGCGGAGAACGCTTCCTTCCACATGAATATGGATTCACACGATCCCATGAATTTGGATGATTTCATCGTTGCGTTTGATTCTCCCGCTGACTACTCACACCCCACTCCCGACCACCGCTTTACCGCTACCCCAACCGCTTCCACGTCTGCCTCCATCCCGATCAAGGCGCGCAAAGACCATTTGGCCGACTCGGCCGCCGCTTCATTCCCCCACCCTACTCAGGACCAGCGCAAGAATAGCGAGTTTGGCTACGTCGCTCGCCGAGTGCGCAAGACTAGCGTTGATGAGCGCCAGTTCCTAGCAGGCCTCGCTGTTCCCACTCGCAAACGACCGGCCGACTCGTCCCCGCAGGTGCCCCCGGTCTCGAACGACATGCTGGCCCAGAAACATTCAGAGTTGTCGGCAGCCTTGCCCGACTACTCTCTGGATCACAACCCAGTTGGTGGTTTTGCCATGCCTGCTAATGGTCCGCGTCGCCACCGACATCATCACACATCCTCGGGCATTCCATTCAGCTTGGATACGTTCGGTGTAGGCGAGGACAGTGCTATCCACTCAGCTGGTCCCTACCAGCAGCACTTCACTTTCTCCCCTTCGGAATCTCCCATGACGGCTAGCAACCCCTTCTCCAACCCATATACGCAAACCCCTCTGGCGTCCTCTCTGAACTCGACTGAGTTTTTCTCACCGCCTCCCTCCGGGTATCAGTCTGCGGTGTCGACCCCTCAGCCTATCTACGAGGGAGAGCAGTCTATGTTCTTCTCCGATACCCCCTTGGCCGAGTCTCAAGCGCAGCGTCGCATTCCCAACTACCTCCAGCAGCGGACGTCGAACCTTTCCGCATCCCTGCAGCCGCGTCACATGTTCAACTCGGCCAACGGTGATTACCACTCCCCCACTGCCGTGAGCGGGCCGCCGACCACAACCATACACTCGTCGGGCTTCTCCATTCCGCAGGCCCAGCATGTGGATCCATCACAGGTGCTTGGTTCCGGAGAATTTTCTTCGACCGCACCGGCGAACGGCATGTTCACATTTGGAGGTGACTCCGATAACGAAGACGACGATGCCACTGCATATGGTGACCATAGTGGCATGGCCATGCCTAATGAATTTTCATCGATGGATGATATGGGTGACATGAACTCGGGTCTCGCATGGGACGCTGCTTTTTCAGGCTCCGTTCAGTCATTGCCGGGTTTTGGTGGCCAACACCGCAGGGGACCCGATTTGATGGAGAGTCTACCGGAGTGGCACCATGGTAGTCTGGGCCGTACTCATGGCTCGGCTGCCTCGGTCAGTGATGTGCGCAACCGTGACCAGGATCCCCGACGTCAAAAGATTGCGCGAACTGCTTCCATCTCCAACGCTTCTTTGATGCGCCAAGGTATGAACAGTATCCCACCGACCAACCACCCGTCTCCCAATACGCCTCCCGAGTCGGGACTTAACAGCGCTTCCCAATCGCGACCCGGCAGCCCAGGCGGGTCCAAGAGTGGAGATCCTAATGCTGGACCAACCACTTGCACCAATTGTTTTACGCAGACTACCCCACTTTGGCGTCGCAACCCTGAGGGCCAGCCTCTGTGCAACGCTTGTGGCTTGTTCTTGAAGCTTCATGGTGTGGTTCGGCCATTGTCACTGAAGACCGACGTCATCAAGAAGCGAAACCGCAGCAGCGCGAACAGCATCGCTGTCGGCACTTCTCGTTCGTCGAAGAAGTCTTCCCGCAAGAACTCCATCGTGCAGACCCCAACCAGCGTGGGAGCCTCGCGCATGTCGGTCAGTAACGCGTCCGAGTCACCCCCGGCCATTATGGGAAATAATGCCCCCAATAAGTCCGGTGTGGTGCCGATTGCCGCCGCTCCACCCAAGACCGGCCCCCGGCCGGTGTGGCCCAGGCCCGCGCCGGTGTGCAGGTGGCCCCGCGACGGCAGCGTCGTCTCGAGAAGGCTCCCGGATCTGATCCAGATACGGATGATAGCCCGAAGTTGAGTGCTGCCGGTCGCTCCAAGATCGTGCCTTTAGCACCTGCTATGCCCCCCGGCCGCTGCTAACCCTGCCAACCACAGTATTGCCGGTGGACAGGGAGCAAGTCAGGAATGGGAGTGGCTCACCATGAGTCTGTGAACTGACTTTTGTTTTTCTTTTCTTTTCTCCTGTTCATGTTATTATGTCTTGGTGTGGAACCACCATCCTCCTAATGTTATCCATACGCGGCTAATGTCCTTTCTGGTGGTCTCTGCTTGAACCTTGCATTTTGCATCATCAATCATGTTATTGATATGTTTATGTGCTCTTGATGATCGTTTTGATTTGATTGATACAATCGCGTCTGTCTCCCCGGCAGAAGTGCGCATCTCTTGTTTTTATCTAGATTTTTTGGCTTATGGCTTCCTTGTTTTCTTGCGCTGCTGAGCAGTCTTTATGGGATGGTTTTATCTTGCGTCCTTTATTCAGATTAAATTGGACGATTCTTACGACTGCTTTCAGCACAATGTTATGACCTTCCATTGATTTGAGTAAACACAACTTTCTCTATTATCAACTGTAATTTTTGTCAAAAAAAATACCGACCTCTCAGCACACTATGGCTCGGACTTGAGTAGACGTAGTAAGTGATACATCTTTCATACGGGCTCTCCATAAGCGTTACACATATTTCCTCTTTTGGCATTTATGCCTGAGGCAGTTATCAGTATCACGTGTTTACGATAGAAGAAAAAAAAAGTGCGAAGCAACTTTCCAGACTCAACATCGCAATCATGGGTTCTAGCACAAAACGAAAGAAGGAGAAGCAAAAGGACTTCCAAGTAAGTGTTGATAAATATACGTCAATGTACTTGTTTACTGACCCGCGCAGAAACCCAAGCTCAAGGTTGGAAAGGCCAGAGCCAAACCGGAGAACTTTACCGACACCAGTTTCCGATCAAAAGGTAGATCATCTGCACAGCCATCACTTGAGGGAGACCTGTCCTGACACAATGCAGCAATTGTCCTCAGTCAACAATCTCTCCATCTCGCCGCCCCATCAGCAAATAGCCAATTCACTCACCACCTGTCTCTCCTCTCATCCAAATCCGATACACAACGACGAGATTCTCTCGCCCACCTGACAACCACCCTCGCATCCCGCCCCGTAAACTCCCCCCTTCCCCAGCCCGTCAGTGTAATTCTTCCATCTCTTCTCCCGCTCCTCCTAGATGCAAGCAACAATGTGCGCACACAACTCCTAAAACTCCTCCGAACACTACCAACCACCGACGTCGAGGACCACGTCGGCCAACTTCTTCCCTATGTCCGCGCAGGAATGACCCACCTAGCAGCCGACATCCGCCTCTCAGCAATCGAGGTCTTATCCTGGATGGTTGAAGCCGCCGGTGAGCAGGTAGTCGCCTGCGCAGGCGGTTGGATCAAAACGCTCAACTGCTTCATGTCAGTATTAGGCTGGCACACAGAGGAGTCATCAAGATGGTCATCCAACCGCGCATCATTTGGGAAATCAGGCAGCAAAGGCAAGCCCATGATCAAAGTGCTAGGCGCCCTAGCCGAGCTTCTATCCGCAGGAATCGGTGAGCCAGGCACTGTGGACGATCTACCCGGGCAGACGGAATCCTCATGGCAATTCCCGCTCTGCCAAACAGGTCAGCACATGTTGTCTGAATCCTCTGCGCCATATGCATACTTGAATCTGTTTGGGCAGCCGCGCGATGAAGAGGGCGAGATGTATGAGACCCGCGAGGATCGGTATCGGGTTTTTGAGAGCCGGTTTATGCCGGCGATTCAGCGCGGGTTGAAAAGTGCGCGTGAGGAGGGCGGCGAACTTGGTCGTGCTTCGTCTGGCGTGGCTAAGGTGCTCAAGGGGGCTGTGGCATATGGGCCAGGTCCGTGATATACAGCCGATGGTATACTCCCCCCTGCCATGTCAGGCTATATAAATATGCCACATGAAGATATCAGTCTGCAAAGAAGGCACCAGTTCCTATCTCAGAAGAGACTCTGAACATGCACATAAAAGAAAGGCATCTGTACACATGCCCAAACTGCCAGCCCTCTTCTTACAAAGACCATTTCTTCAGCCCAAGAATGACTGAATGAGCTACCGTGATGGACTTCAGCCATATGTTTCAGATATGATTCAAGAGATACAAGTACTTCGGGGGCAGACGGTCGATCTATCGTCACCTAGGCTCATAGCTAGGTAGGCAAGGACTGTATATCGAACAAAAACAAAGAATATAAGGCCGCGGCCAAGATATCCACCATTTCAACCTTGAAAGGTTTTGATGGCACTTAAGCACTAACTTCATTCCTGGGGTTGTTGAGGAAGCTTGATTGTAAACTTGGAAGACAGTTAGTGGAGAAACTCACCACCATATTGTTGCCAAATGTCTGAAAGTTAGCCTTCCGCGAAATCACCAAGAATATTGAAAGAATTGATAGTATTCAAACAAACAATAGGAACCTTGGAAGACCTAACTCCCTCCTGGGCAAATTTTGTATACTCAGTCACGATTTCGAAATCGAAGATTGACCACGTCAAAATTTGGGTAGCTGAAGCATTGCTGCGCACCAAAACGAAAACCATCGACATTAGCCACCACCAGGCAGGTGTCTATGCTTATTATGTGTACATCTAAAATTCTAGCCCATGTCATTCCATGGTTATTAGCGAGGAGATTATGGCTCGAGTCAAATCCATTGTATCATTAAGCGTTAAGGTGCATCCACATATGATATAGTCATGAGTCACATGATATCAGACAATAAGAACGTAATCAGAACAAATCCAACGAACATATATATATATATAAAAATGAAACGGTTTAAACCGCCATGACCTTCTCAGAAGATTGGAAACCTGCTTCAGACTTCTCCCCTGCATTATCAACCTCATACCCTTCCACAACAATCCCCCTCTCATCATAAATTTCATCCGGCAAGATCGCCCGCTCAATCTGAGTATCGATAGCCGGGAACAGTGCCGAAAGAGCCCAGTAGACACCCGCCGTAGCGAAGAAGCCAAGCAGCCAACCGAACTGATAAGGGTGCACACCGACGCCAACATCAATACTAGAATTAACAGCATTGATCAGACCCGGCAGGCTGGGCACAACACCTACAATGAACGCAACAACAGCGCGCCAATTAACGCCATGAATCGACTTCGTCATAAATGGCAACTTGAGATTATAGCGGTAAATCGGATTCCAAAGCTGATACAGCGCAAGCGTGTCATACTTGCGTTTATTAACGACCCAAAAGTCAAACATCATAATCGCAGCAATGGGGCCGAGGAAGACGGCATACGCCGACATGAAACTGAGGAAGTTACTGGCCGAAGCGAGGATCTTCCAGGGGACCAGGGCCCACGAGAACATGGCACAGAGGAGCTGACCACGGCGGATATTGAGATACTGCGGTGCAAGCGAGGTGAAGTCATTTGCAGCCGAGAGAGAGTTGGCCGAGATGTTGACGCCGAGCGAGGCTAATGCGAAGGAGAAGGCTGCGAAGAAGCGGCAGGAACGATTGCTCCAGTTGCTTATTAGGGTTGTTGGGTCCCATGGGAAATCAGAGAGATGGTAGTGGGCCTGGCCGGCTGATGAGGCCGCAATACCGATGAAGGAGATGAAGGTGAATACAATAGGCAACATTGGGATGTAGAGTAGTTGCCAGCGAGGACTGACGCGTGAGTAGCGGGAGAAATCCGACTGGTTCACACTTAGGGTTGCGTAGTTTCCAAGCACGGAAGTCATGTTCAGTAGGAACAGCCAGCTGTAGGTAGACCCGGAGACGGTAGCTTTTTGCTGAGCGAAGATGGCACCGCCGCCCTTCTCGGAAACAAAAGCCCAGATCAAGATAGCGATCCATGCGATGGGGACCAACACGGACTTGACCATGAACAACCAGCGCAGTTTATTTGGGTTGATACACAAGAAAGGGAATTGAAAGACGAAGAAGATTACATAAGAGATCATTCCATTAGTGGTGATACCCTGAGACTCGGGGATATGATTTTTTAACGTCAAGAAGCTGGGCCAGATAGCTCCTATCATGACGCGCACGCAGTTACCGCCATTAACGTTCTGGATAGCGAACCAGAAGACGGCTAGGATGACTCTGGACACGATGGCTACGTAAGAGCCCCAGAAACCCCAGCTCGCACGAGCGATGACGGGGAATGGGATGTGATAGATTGCGCCGACGGCACCGTTGGCCGAGATGACGAAGGAGATGATGAAGAATGAGACGGCGACAATGGCTAGGGATTCCTTGTAGGTGAAGCCAACTGAGATCATACTACTTGCAAACTGCCAAGTGGCGAGGTTGAAAGAGTCAGAGATCCAGTAAGCTAGGGATGGTTTAGATTCTAGCTGGGAAAGTTTGAATGTAGGTAGCTAAGGATTGAATCAACATACCGATTAAGCTCCATACACCCCATTTGCGAGCGAATCTAGGAATAGGATCAATATCCCGGTTCGTCCATCGTGAATTACCAGCAGCAAAGACCGAATCGGCCTGTGAGACGCGAATTCGAGGCCAAGATAGAGGCATCTAGAATCTATGCAGGAAACAGATTTAGGGCTGGGTAGAGAGATCTTGCGACAGGACCCCTGCATTAAGTTAAATAAGATAGAAGAGAGCAGAAGTACGGCGATTTCCGTGCAGTCAGGTAGAAAGTACCTCGAAGTAGAAATGATAAGGTGATAAGCAACCTTGCAATGTTGCAGCTCTGATAAGAAACCGACGAACCATATACTTCCTATCTTGATGCTTTGACCCTTTGGACCCTTGAATCAGCTCATGTCAATGAATCCTTCGGATAATGATTCCATTAAAGATCAGATAGATCGAAATCGATGTCAAAAACTATAGATAGCAGATAGAACATTTTGATTCTTACTGTCTGCTATGCTCATCGTGTTCTCCAGGAAGTCGAACATCCTTCCATCCCCGCCTATCACGACCCCCACTTTCGTAACGTCTAATCCCCTTCCAATCACTAATATTAATCCAACCGATCTGTTGCACATCACCAAAGCCACCGATCCAATATGCCTGCGTGACAACGAGTCTAGCCCAGAAGCTAGAATGCGGGGATCGGGAGTTTCCGGGCAGCCAGGCCTTTGCATCGGGGTGAGAAGTCAGAAAGCACTTCTCCAACTGGACTGCAGCACGGTCGGAGAGCGAGGGGAGAGGTTCCAAGTAGCCAAAGAGGGTGACCCTAGGAAGAGCAGCCGGACTGAGAGGGAGACCGGGGTAGACAGGACCAGCCTGGTCCAAATGGTCCCACCAATCAAGCTGGAGAGAGACGTTCGAGCCAGCCTGTATATTTCTGAAAGTAGTTCCAATACCAAGGCCCAAAACAGTCGGGTCCCCGTTCTCTCCATGTGACAACCCATCTGGCAACGCACCCTCGCAATCAGCGATATACTCTCTCAGTCCGATCGGGAGACCCGCCATGGAGGGGGGAGTACGAGGGGAGACAGAGTCCGGGAAGACGGTTGAGATGACACCGGATGGGGAAAGGGCCAGTAAGCGACGAGCCATGAGAGTGGATGTGAACCAGGACGGACGTGTAAAGGGCGAGGAATTTCCTTCCAACTCTGAGAAGAGTGTCACTGCAGACTGCGAGAGGACTACCTGTGTGTCACCCGGGATGGCTGATGCGGATATGCACAGGGAACAGAGAGCAAAGACTGTGAGGACTGGACGTAAGATCATGATGGAAGCCTCGGCTATTGATTCTGGTAGTGTGGTTGGTAGAGACTCTGACAGTGAATCTGGAGAGAGTAAATAGAGCAGAGAGACGATGTAACAAGTTAATAAGGGAAAAATGAAGGTGCGGAGAAAGCGGAGAAGTCGGCTGATCTTATCAGATGGCATATTGCTATTACTCTCATGGTATAGACTCAGTAAGTTTTTACAAGGAAGGATTGTAGATTATTCAATAAGATATTCATGATATCAACTATATATGGAAAAGACTTAACAAAGAAATCAAACCGGATTAAAGAATGCCATTTTCCTATCCTAATGCTTTCCGATCCGAAAACCACCGCAGATTCCAAGGGAGATGCAAAGATCAAATCCAACTCCCCGAAATATGAATAGTAAAATAGTCCCATGCCCCGCCATTTCACCATTTCACTCCGTAAAAGGGGAAAAAATATATAAAGATGCCGTGGAAAATATCACACGCGCATCAAACTGGTTTGCGAAGATTATGATAAATCGCACGACCCGAGTTAGACTGTTAGGGGGGTATGTACAGATATAAATAGAATAATAGTTCCAACTTCAGGTCGTCAGGAATTTAGGGGAATCATTGGGACGAAAGCAGAAAAGACGGGCTTTTTCTAGACCTTGAAAAAAAAAAATATCCAGAATTAGTTCAAGATATCCACCCGCACACTGGGATTGAGAGCAATCTTGCGGGCTTCACTTCCACAGCAAGCGCGCTTCATACCGGCCGGTCCGGAGACCAAAGACCCATCGACTAAAAATGAAGTGGCCATTCTCGCGTCAGGGACCATCGAGGATGGAGCCGAAGCACCCGTCTCGATCAGCTGGCGAACATGGTTTTGAAGCAACATGTCGTCCGATCCCGTGCGGCCACGCTTGCGGCACTGACGACGTGCAGGAGTCGCTCCGGACAGCTCACAGAGGCTTTGGGCGGCCTCGCTCAGGCTGGAATCCAACGAATAGTTCGAAAGATCAGCCGAGCCAGTCGCCGAGTAAACGTTGGAGTTGTACAGATCGACCAGAGCATTTTCGTCGACGGGAGTAGCCATCGCCAAGGTCGTGCGACTCTCCTTCAGAGAATTGCTAGTGCATCGTAAGGCAGCCGTAATGGCCAACCGAGATGGAGCGGGAGCGGCACCCACTCCTGATGCATTTGACGAGACGGACGATGAACGAGATGATCGGGATGAGAGTGTAGAAACATCCGACACCATCGAGTCCGGTGATGAAGCCGACGAGGTGGACCGAGCCAGAGAGGACCGACGCACCGCGTAAGTATCGTAGGGGAAGGCCGGGAGTAGAAGGACATAGGGGGACGTTGATCCAAAGTGGAGCGTGCAAACCCGATGTTCTGCGCCTGGGACATCGCACTACCGATAGACGAGCGACGCGGGTCGCAAGCGCTCATACCCACTGCAGGGGCGAGGACGACATGCGACTGCGGCGTCATCTGTGGAGTAGGGAGCATAGGACGGACGATCGACGGCGGCAGATTAACATAATCAGCCATGCGCGGGGCGGGTTCCAGGGTCCGCGGCAGACTATGTGAAGATGAGCGGAATGACTCAATGCTCACGGTGCTGCGCGGGGACAAGGAATCCGCCAAGCCCAGTTCCATGTTTTCCATGGCCGAGATCGGCGTAGTCGGCTCCCAAACGTTGATTGAATCGAGTTCCGGTGTCAATCGGGGCAGAACAGTTCGCCAGCACTGGCCTTCACTTGCTGGGGGGCCACCGGCTCCGGGGGTCAGCTTCAGGACGATTTCAGTCCAGCGCTGGAAGGTGGCTTCGGAGATGTGGAGACGCCATCCGACAGCCTGTAGGAACATCAACTCATTCTGATTAATCTCGAGTGTATTCAAACCCGAGATCTTGCTCCAGGCACGGGCCGAGTAGTTGCGATCTTGCAGGTACTTGGAGGCCAATATCAGCGCAGCCAAGAACATCCGACGACCACACTGCATGGCCCGCATCAGAGATTGGTTCTTCGGTTGTTCCTTAGTCAAGTCATGAGCCGGCACATGTGGCTTGATCTTGATCAGATAATAAAGAGCGACTTGTAAAGTGCTATAACTAGTACGCGAACGACGTAGAGTCTCCTGGATAAACGTGCGCAGGGGAAGAACTCCTTTCGTCCCGGTCGCGGTATCACAGCGGGATGCCGCAGCCGAGAGGGGCCAGATGTTTTCCACAATCTGCGACGCCGTATCTAGTAATTAAAAAGAGATTGAGCCGAGGAACGATTTAAGCTGTAGTACGGAGTCTGCTTACCGACGAGATTATCGACGAAATTCACTTTTCGCTCTGACTGCCTAAGCAGACAAGGCGGAGGACGAGCGCCAGGACCACTGGTCGCAACACTGGTGCGCCGAGGATGCTTGCGCAGCTCTGGCGGCACCACATTAGTCTTGCCAACAACTTCCTTGGCCAAGACCTGGGGGTACCTCTGATGACTACTGACCTGACTCTCTACATAGTTCTCAAAGTCGACAGGGTTGGAAGCAGTGGACGAAACGGATCCCTGCGAGGTACTGTCGAGCGAGAAGACTGAAGAGGTAGACGAAGAGGCGGATGAAGAGATCGAAGAGGTATAGGGGTGAGCGTGAGACGCTGATTGGCTTGGGTTTGAGATATGCAAACCCAAGACGTCCATCCCCGACATATCCGGAAACGCGGAGTGATTCATGAAAGGCCCGTTGTGGACAGAGATGAAGATATTGCGAACCGAGTTGTATCAAAGATGATCCAGGATTTATATGAGATGGAAGGGGAGGAGACCGTGTTTTTTTTTTTAGAAAAAAAATTGTCAAGATACCGTTTAACAGTGAACCGGGAACGAAGGCCGAGGAGACAGGAGCCGTCTTTACTGCGGAAGGCGACGGCAAAGCCTAGAAGATATGAAGAGCCAGAGTGATACTTGAGAGTATCAAATAAGAAAAGAGGTTATGGAAAAAAGAGCCCGGTGTGGGGGGTGAGGGGAAGGGAGTAGCAGGTATTGTTGTAGTAGAGGATAGTAACTGGGGGAACCAGGGAAATAAAGGAAAATCAAGAGGCGAAAAAAGGGTATCAAAGGGTAAGAGTCAGAATAAGATCAGGCACCGATCACGGGTGTTGCTGTTATATTTTTCCAACTCGAAATAAATGAGTCGAAATGATTTAAACAGAGCCGATGAGGCAGTTGGCAACACGGGCGATCGGGCTAGAAGACTCAGTATACATTTTGGGGTAAAGATGATAAGGGAAAGGAAGGAGAACACTCAACGATAGACTTAGGGTCTATTCAGAAGAGTGTTAAAGTGAGAGGCAAATTTGAGTAAGAAAGGGAAGGGGAAATGGGGAAAGAGTCAGAGGCGAGTCAGAGGGAAGAAGAGGAGATTTTAGGCTGTCAAGAACGGGGGGTTCAGAGTGACTAAGAGGGATGTGGCGAGGGTGGCGGAAGAGGGAAGAGGGAGGCGCAGGGAATAGAGTAAAATGAGGTATGAGTAATAAATAGAAATAATGAAATGGATGAATATTATAGAACAAGTGAGTCACTCTTATACTTCTATTCTTCTTCTTCATCTTCTTCTTCTATTTACATCATTTATTCTATTCTCTTATTCTTAGTCTTAGTCTGTTCCTGACATAAGCATATCCTGAGTCATAAATGAATAAATTGTACAATTTCAGTTGCCACGCTGTTCTCCCTCTTTATCCAATCAAATCCATCTATTTCGATCCACCTTCTATCTCATTGGACTTTAGGTAGAAATTATATACTTAGTAGATTCAAAGTACTAGTTGACTATGGAGAAGTATATTAGATCTATTCTCCGTTACATCTTATATTCAACTACATACCTAGTATCATGCTCTCTATTTCTACCTTTATCAAAGTACTCTGTACTTTTCCAACTACTGCAGGGATGTTCAGGGATGTTCAGGGATGTTTTCGGAGCTTGGTCACATGTTACTTATCAGTGTGGACCCATCGCTTATTAAGGATTCATATATCCGTCGGTCTAGAGAACTCCTTGCTTCTTCTTTGTACTACTTCATAATACTCCATACTCCATCTAAAACTAAAACTAGACATTCATCAGCATATCGGGTGAATGGATCTACTTGAATCCTTGTTATCTAAGATAATGACGGAGTAAGTCACTCCGTACTTCATAGATTAGAATCTAGGTAACTGTGCCCCACTCCTAAGGCATACCAGATGCCACCTGAAATATCCAGAATTTTCTATCTTCTACTCTCTATTCCATGGTACTAATAATATCATCATATTATATCATCTGATCAAATATGACTCACTAGGATCTATGATTTATTAGATGATGATAATACGGGGCGATCATGATCATCCTATACCTGCCCGATCTCGGCCAGAACCTCACGTAACACCACCACCAACCCCTGCACTTCCCCCTCTGTTACCTAAAATCAGCCGGATGCCTCCACCTATATAGAAATATTAGAATTTCACTTACCTGTGTTGTAGTGCAACAAGCTCACCCGCACCACCCCATCCTCCAAATCCTGTAAGCCACACACATCAGCCAACAGCCGGTGGCTATACATATGCCCACTCCGAAATCCATAGGCAGATCGGAACTCCACCATTTCCACCAGCTTCTGACTACCAAATCCCCGCACTATGAAACTAATCACAGGTACACGGAGGGCTTGAGCCGCCGAAGGTTCTCCAATGATTCTGATCCGCTCATCCCCTGCCAGAAAGGAGAGGAGGATTTGCTGGAGTCTTTCCTCATGATTCGCCATGGCTGCCCACCTGGCACTGGGGTCAGGCCCAAAGTATTCCACGACCTTGGGGATACTTTGAGTCATCTCATAGCTAGCAGAGGCCAGGTTGAGCTTGAGATCTAGAGTGTGGGTGGGCTTGAAAAAGTGACCCAGCGATTGGATATCGTCTTGAATGCGCGATGCAGCATACAACTGGGCCACGTGTGGACCATATACCTTATACCAAGAAAAGGACTAGGTGGGTCAGATACACTGCCATCAGAATTGAAGATTGTAAACACTCACGTAGAAATCCACATCGAGTGCCTTTACATCCACCTGTCGATGAGGAGCCAATGCGACCCCATCAACGCATAGCATTGCCTGCCAAAGATCAGATAAGCTCCAACAATGTAAAAAAAAATACGACCACTTACGCGAGGAAAGGCGTGAACAGCGTCGGCAATCTGCCGGATCGGGCTGATGGTTCCAGTAATATTGGACGCATGGGGGCATGAGACCAGTCTCGTTTTGTCCGACAGTAAAGACTGCAACTCAGCTACCTCGCATGTAGGATTCAGAGGATCAGTGGCAGACCACCACTTTATAGTCAAACCCATACGCTCGGCAACCTGCACCCAGGGCGCGCTATTGGCCTCGTGGTTGAGTTTAGACACGATCAACTCATCGCCAGCTTGAAATTTTAGAGCGACCGAGAGATTGTGCAGCAGCTGAGTTGTCGAGATGCCGATACTGATCTACAAACAACATCAAGACCTGTGCTGTATTTCCAAAAAGAAGACCTACCTCTTCTGGCTGGGCATTAATGAAGCTGGCCGCAGACTTGTAGCCTTCTGTGTATGCTGCTGTTGACTCTTTGGAGACCTTGTATGTAGCCCCGAGCTGGACATTCCTGTTGAGCAGGTATGAATGTATACTTGCAATGAATTAGTTGACTGATCGCTTGCCAATTGACCTACTATGCTTACGAGTCAGCCACACTGGCTAGGACTTGACTTCCACCTGTAATTCAACCCCTTTAGTACTGTGTTTCGCTGATTCTGACGGTCATCGATGAGCCCACCTGCATTATCCATGTAAACCTGTTCCTGCTGCAGAGCAGGGAAAAAAGTGCGGGCAACATTTACATCAAAATCTATAGAGGCCATGGTGAAAAGTAAATACTCAATTTGTGCAAAGAGATAATGGTCAGGTTTTTAAAAAAGGTCCAGGTGAGATCACGAATGCTGAAGCGGGGTAGGAAATAAATAGTCAGTGATCTACCAATTTCTTCCCCATGTTTACTAGGCCAACACAATCGACCTTCAATTTAATTCCATGGGACCTCAAGGTGCTGTCTACTCCAACATTGTGTTGAACTGGAATATTGACCTCGGGATATACAAATAGGCTCGCTGCTGAAAAGCAGCAGGTAAGCCTATCGCTTCCAACATCAATTTTAGAAGTTTACAGGCAGAGGAATAGTGTCTAAAAAGATTTTGCTTTAATGGGGTATCGTATAAGCATGAAAGTCAAAAAAAGCCGGAGAGTTCTACTCCCAATTGGCTATGTCTCAAAAGACATCAACAATATCTCAACAGAGTGACTAGGAGGTGGGATCCTGGACAGAGAGGCCCCGGACGAGGTCTGCAGGGTCCGCAGTGGAGACACGGGTAACATGGATAGGGCCAGGACCGTTAGTGGTCTTGGTGGCGCGTTCTTTCACAGTGATCTTGTTGAGAACACACATTATGTAATTCGAGGTTGGGAAAATGATCACCTCCGAAGATTGAGTGCGCATTCTAAGCAGACCAACTCGGTCCTCCTCCCTTGGGATACTCTCGGCAGGGAAGGCTTCATCGTGGAAAGCGAGGATGGGACGAGTGAAAGACTGAGAAAAGCGAGTTGCAGAAGTCACGTAAGCGAAGATTTCCGAAGCCATCGCCTCTGGAAACGAGTGATATGAGCCTGAGCCTGAATCAGCCACACCATTCACGTCAGCGGCATTGCGATCAGCAACAGGAGCACGATCCCAGTCAGTGTAGATAATAGCGCCATCCCGTGCGGACATAAAAAAAGTAGCAATCACTCCTGGGTTTCCTGTCAGGGAAGCAATGCGAGATTTCAAAGCAGCAATGTGGTTGAGGAGAGCAGTTTTGTCAAAAGAAGGAGCCTCTGGCTCTGGCTGCTGAGGTGTGTGCTGCTGTGCGGCAGGTGCGGATTGTTCAGGTGCGGATTGTTCAGGTGCGGATTGTTCAGGTGCGGATTGCTCAGATACAGATTGCTCAGATACGGATTGCTCCTGTTCAATAACGGGCTCAAAAGTGGGCTCAGGTGAGGGGTGGTCGGGCACTCGCCCATCCTGTTGTGTTTTGTTAGTCTCAAAAATCAATTAAGATTAAAGGTTTAGATCTCACTTCGGTATCCATAGTGGGGGAGAATATTGGTGCAAGAGTGAGAAGTGAGGGGCGCGTAGGCAGTAAACAAAAGCGCATCTAAGCGGTGTCTGGGGCGGTATTATTATGCCAGGAAGTACGTCATTTATATGCGGAGTATTCTACACTGAGTCTCATCGAATATGTAATTAATCTAGTAGGTAGAAGACCTATCATATAGAATACCTCCTGCACAAACAAATAACCATGGTAAATGGATTTCAGGTGGATATGAATAATAGATATAAACTATAGTTTATGCTTGAATGAGCTCCATCTCGGTGCTCTCGTCATCCCGAGGTCCTCACCATCCATTTAGTACTCCGAGTTTGTATCAACATATGGCAAGTCATCACCTGAGCAGTCTGATCTGCAGTCAGTCTGCGGAAAGCGTCAGCAAAATAAGCCGATCTTGAATTGTCTGTGCGTTGAGAGTCACAACAATCTGAGTTAGGAACAGGCTTTTGCCGTACCAGATGACGATAAAGCAGGAATCCGGTCGTCCGTTGCACATAAGCCTCCAACATGCCAAGCTGTCAATCCTGAGAAAGTTACCTGTAAGCCTTATCCAGATCAATAATTTCCGCAAACGCTGACATTAACGCAATTTTATACCCATTACATCTCAATGACATAAATTAACCTAGGTACCAATTAATTTTATATAGTGACGCTGAACACGTATCCAGTAAGGACTCGCTGGCCAGGTGGGAAGTTTGCGGATAATCAGGTGCCTTGGATCATGCTCCAGCTTAAAATTGAAACTTTCCGTTGAATGCTGTTGGGTCAGATCAATACCGCCACTAAAGACGGTGTGTTCCGGTCTCGGCAACCAGCGAAATTGTGACTGCAATTTGGTCATTCCATTACGCATGGGTGAGATACTGAGGTAATTCAGCCCAAATAGGGCCTTACCCCACCACATGGATATCCATTTCACGGCCCCCATAAGTCTAGTTAGGGGGGTCGCGAAAATACTTGGTCACAGCCTGAATATATAGGCTTATTAGATTAGATTGTGAGAATGCAGGAAGATTGTGCCTGTCCTATAATATATTTAGTCCGGAGATAATGGGAAGATATGTGTAGAAGATATAATAAGACGAGAAGAAGACTTTATATAGAGCTCCGGGTGACCCGTTGACGGGAGGTTGGTGGGACTTTCAAGGTTGAGATTAAGAGTAAGAGCGAGAGTGAGAGTGAGAGTGAGAGGTGAAGGGGGTTGATTTTGATCCCAAGGTTGATTTGATAGATATGGCCCTAGACCTAGGTATTAAGGAAAAGTTCGAGATGGCTATTATATTTTACCGCAGAACCTTGGGGCCTGCATGTTTATATAATGTTGATTTATAGAGGTATACAAAGGTATACAAAAATACAGAAATAAAACATAGATGGTATCACTGAAAAGATGAACAGGCATATGAAGATAAAGTATTGTGAAATGGTGTTGAAAGAAACAAATGAAGATCGTGACAAGGTCCAAACGAACAATGTATTATCATAAAAGAAATCAGGAAAGCGTGAGAGATAGATGTATCATCATCGGTGTCGAGCGATGTTGCGAGCGCCACTCAAGCTAGATTTATCCGACAGCCATCCGGATTCAATATCTTCAGTCATATTGACCAGCTGACGAGCGTGGACTCGACTATCTCGAGTGGAGCTTGAAGTCTCAAACCCACTGTTCTCACTACTGCGGGAAGAACTCATCCAGCTATCGGGCCGTGACGCAAATCGACCAAAGGCATTTCCAAGCCCGGCCGTGGGGAACGTGGGGGAAGTTGCAGATTCAGGCAAGTCGAAATTGGGTTTTGCACCAGCATTAAGAGCAGCCAAGAGAGCAGCTTGCAGCATTTGGTTCTGGCGTTCCAGTTTAGCCACCCGGTCTTCCAGGTGATTTGAAGCTTGACTAGCTCCACTCTGACTGCGATGACTGCTACGGCTGCCCTGAGACTCCTGGGACCGATAGGTAGACTGTGAATACTGTGACTGCGGTGACACAGCCTTGTCGAAACTGTTGTTGCCGCGGCTCTGCGGTGTTAAAGGTCGAGTGGCAGAGGATAAGCGCAATCTTCTGTGACTGGGGCGTACGTGAACATTCTCGTAGCCGCAGCGGACTTGATCAGTGCGTTGACCCTGTTTTTTGACTGAGCAATGTGAATGCACCGATCTGGTATTGGGACCACAACCCTCATCATCTGAGGATGGAATGGGAGACTCGGAGCGACAGGGCTCGTATGATTCAGGAATGCTCTCATATCTGAAACTGCCTTGAGAACTGTCGCTGCGAGAGGGAATCCTTCTGTGATGTATTGAACCAAATGCAGCTTCCATGCTCCCCGGTGATGTCGTGCCAGATTCCATGGGTGCAGTAAAGCTGCGGTGACCGATTCGCTCAGCAGAGGACTGTGTCGGAGGATCTGATTGAAGGGCAGCAGATGGGGGAGGAGACGGTAGTCCAAACGGAAGGTTTTTTCGGCCTCTAGGGGTATTTAATTGTAAACCCTGGCTGGCAGCACGTCTTACAGTCCGTGTAGGGGTTGTTTGTCCAAGGATAGGGGACTCAGCTAAGGAAAGTGCTTTGAAATCCCGCTCGTCTCTGCGTTCCAGGGGGCTTTCAGGAAGGTCTTTCACGTTCGTCAAACTAATACGGGCAGTATGGCGTTTTGGAGTCCGCTGTTCTGGCGGAATTGAGGGACGCTCAGATTTCATGGTAGCTGGTTTCACATCTTCATTGGCGACTACTTTCTCCGGGTAGGGGCGAGCCGGTGCAGCAGTCAATCTAGGGCTTGATTCAAGAGGATCCTCGTCGATGGGTGATGGTTGTAAAGATTGCAAGTTCGATGATTTGGATTTTAAACGAGGTTTTTGTGCAGCAGAATTTTGGGCATTTGAAGAAAGAGACGCTTTTCTGCTTATTGGGATCGATGGCAATGGCCTTGTTGGGGCTGGAAGAGGGAAAGCCTTCAAAGTTCCCATGGCTAGAGACGTTGAACGTGAGAACTTCTGGCCCTTTGCTGCAGTGGCCGGCTCTGTGAGAGGTACAGGAGCCAAAAGTGCTCTAGAACCAAGCTCTTCCTTATTCTGTGTCGTGTTTGATGCATTTGCCTCTTGTTTTTCATTTGCTAGAATGGATGAGTCTGTCTGAGCAACTGGCAATTCCGCATCAGAGACCGTCTGGTAATGAGGCGCAGCTGAGATCCTCCATGCATTTTTGCTCGAGTTACGTGACGGTGCGACAGTAGGGAACAATGTCAGGGAGGCCGGCGAAGAGGCTCCAGTGACAGGCGGAGCAGGAGGCGTTCGATCTGGGGCTTGCATAGATCCCTTTGCTCTGTTCTTCCCCATTGACATTCTTGGAGATTCCATACCGTGTGCGCTCTTCTGACTGGTTGATATACTTGGTGTGCCATGATATCGTTGTTCTATAGTACTTAGACTCAAGTTGCTGGTTGAACAGGTAGACCGCAGAGCAATTCCATCTCTTGATCCAGTGGCCTTAGTCTCAGAAACGGACGGCGATCTGGGTAGATTATATTTTTGCACAAGAGCCTCCGAAGAAGCTTTTGGTTGCAAGGGGGCAGATAAATATTGAGAGGATTTATTTCGGCTGTGGCGAGAAGAGGGCCGTGATGAGGACCGAGAAGGCCCAGAAGATGCTGCGGCCTGGTAGGGAGGGGGTACAGAGTCATCGAGGTCGGACATCGAGACAGCACCATCTATCATTGAACTGAAGTCATCCATATCCAATGAGGCTAGGCGTTTGATATCCGCGGTTTGCTGAGTGCCTTGACTTTTATTTTCAAGCCATGGCTGGCCAATGGTTTCCACGTCGAGCATCTTCGATTTTGAGAGTTCTTGATCGACACTGGTTTTTGGCCAGTGGAGACCACGCTCTGCCCGATCAATGCTTTCCTTTGACTGAGTGGAAGTGACCTTTACTTTGGATACTGGGGAAGGAATGAGGTATCCCTCTCTCTGGAGTGCCTCAATCTGCCTCTGGTTGTCGTCAATTTTGGACTTCGGTGATGATTCTTTCCTCTGTCGCTGAGTAAACTGTAAAAGCCGACGGTGTAAAGGCTTCACTTCCTTGCTCATCTGCTCTTTCTTCAGGTCCTTTTCCGAAGTAGGTAAGGCGGTAGTGTCGTCGGTGTCCGTATCATGCTGCTCATCCTGGCCATTGGAGCCAGTCTGGAAAAAGCGCACTAGATCCGATAGGTTCTCACTTCGAGTTGCCCTTTCGGCCATTCCAGCAGAGCGGGCCTCAGGTCGTGGGCCGCTTTCACGAGGTGGAGTAACTATCGCAGGTGGAGAGACTGGAACTGGCATGTTGGATTTGCTGCTTTTGAGAACCTCTGGAAGTGGATTGGGTCGACGAGTGGGAACAATTGGGTACGGTGCAATGGCACTTTCAATAATTGAATCCCAATGATGCATAGGGGTATCAATTGGTTGGCTTCCCAATCGGGCTGATCGTGCGGTTCATAAGGGGTTGTTCAACCGGGACAAACGCTGCTGTCATAAGTTAGATGAGAAAGTACAGAACTACCTGTAGGTTCCAAATCTACCTATTGTGAAGAGAACATAGGGAGCAGTTGATCAAGGTGAATATTGGAAATAAAGTATGGATAGTAGGGTACAGTACGCAGGTAGGTATGAAAAAGTCGAGAAGTGAGGGTTAAAACAATTTAAAAGAGCTCAGATGAGCTGTCGTCTGCTTAGAGAGGAGAAGAGGGGGAGAAATAGCTTGGGCCCACTGAAGCAGATAGCCTGGAAAGAGCTTTATACTTTAGATCTGGTTGAAGCCAAAACCATTGGAGAGTCGAGACACATCCTCTTGTGTTGTGGCTGTGGCGCTATAGCTAGGCAGCTTGGTCAAACATTGGAAAATTTCAACTTTGGCTGAACTCGAGCTCGACCTGCAGATATTAGTTCGATCTCTTCACGGGGGGCAGCACCGCATGGCCACGAAGAGATCATGTCGTCCCCAATTTCTTCTTCTGTTTCCCTAGACCTTCCACCTTGACATAAAATGTAAGGGATGAACTGCAAAAGTATAAAGACGTCAGAGCACCTTAGAGGATGTGAGATATCAGTTGAGGCTTGAGTGATCGCGTGGCAAAGATCATGTTCAAGGATGCCTGGAGCGGGTAGAATCTGGCTACGGAATGGTATGCATGAAATCTGAACGGTTGAACGGTTCCAAAATTGGTAGAATGTGATAGATATGGTAGATGGGTGGAGTTCCTACAAAGTACCAAGTTATACGCAATTACGAGGATCTGCTCTATCAGAACGCCCTTGCATTTATGATCTACCACTCCTTTGCCCCTTCACTTATTCTCCGACCATGAAGTAGTATCATTGCCTACATTATCGTACATGATATTTGGAATAGAAGAATCCATGGATGTTCGACTTATTTGAACGCCAAAGAAAACATCCACTTTAGTTGATGAAAATACACTAAAAACGCCACTAATGCATCCCACCCAAACGGGGTACAGGATAGATTAATAGAAATTGTCATCATAAGAGACCTCAATGGAACTAATGGCTGTCTACTTTCGTAGCCTGGGTCTAGGTCTGCTGCCCAGGTGCCTTCTTAGTATTTCATACGGAGTACTCCACCCCATACTGCGCCACATACTGAGGTCAGAAATAGTTGATCTTGGAGTGGTTTACAAGATCTAGCCACTTTTCACATCTATACAGGTCCACCTAAGAGTAGTAGATAAGAGTTAATGTCATTTGTACCGACCTCCACGACCTCCCCATGTCCTCCAAGGCCTACCTGAGCCTTCGTCTTGGGCGCTAAGCTGTGTCAATCAGATGCCCCTACTAGAAGAGCTTTATAGTATTCACTGATCTTAGTCCAAGTGATTTCCTTATTCTCGATAGCTATGAGCTTTTGTTTTTTGATATATGAGACATTCTGGACCTCTCCATGAAGTGGGTTGAACATGCAGTGGATTGCGAGTTCTGATGAAGTGGAAGTTTTCAATACCTAGATGTGCTCATTGACTTGGTCTTACAGCCATGATACGACATGGGACCGGTTCATCTACATCTTGTAGAGATTGTGTTCTTTCTCTCTGGGGAATCTTATTGTCGAGTATGTCGGGTCTGAGGTCCGAGACCCATCTAGCTGGGTGGTTAGTTGTGCAAGGGGGGGGGGGGGGGGGGCTAGGGTAGACATTTTGAAGAGTTTAGTGCGGTAAGGAGGCCCTGTAGATGGGCAATGAAGCTTAGGTCCTGCATTGGTCCGATCCGTGTCAGTGTAATATAGTCTTCCAGATTGAGTTATCAGACACTTGGTTGATTGGGTGGAAATATGACACTAAAACTAGGCAATGTGTTAACATCGGACTAGGACTAATCTAAATAGATATCTATAGTTGCTCCCCTTCTATAGATCACGGATTGGAGGTTTATATAGGTTGAAAATGTCTGATTCTGGGAGCCCTTAAAACAGATATAATTAGAATTATTATGTGGGCAAACAGCAAACGGACATTAAAGTAAAAATCGGAAGTCTAATACCGAAGTCACTCACATTGAATGGGCACTGTTAGAATTCACTTTTTATTATTGAGAGCTATAAATGATTAAAATACTTAGGTCAAAGTGTAGTCTCTTTATTTGAGTGTAACCAGGCGGCAGATGGATCATCATTCCACTTCAATATATTAGTGCACTCAATGCTAATAACTAGCTATGCTAGCCATCCATGTATTATTCCATTTCACTTTGACTTACTTTCACTTCCCATTCATCATGGGTTTCGTCTTAGGCGCACACTCACTTCTGTTTCACTCCTACACGTCCCAAGGTCTCATTTTAGTCCTGTGTTAATCTACCAGGCTATCTATATCCAAACCCTCTACAGCGCAGCTTCATATTCAATATGATTGTTGAGAAAATGACCAACTATGGCTAGTAACTATCGATAAGAATGATACTTATGACCTTACTACGTCTGATTCTGTTGACCAGACGCAGTTTTTCTAACAAGCAACTATTTGTGTCCTCCGTGGGGGCGAGGCTTAGGCCGAATGAACGGGTCCACTGGTTTCTTGGGTCGCATTCTCTTGGGAGGACCAGGAGCATCCATACTAGAGGACTTGGGGCCAGCGGAATTAGTACCAGCGGTCTTAGAGCCAGTGGACTCACTAGAAACCGAGTCTGTTCGCTTTCGCTTGCTACAGTCGCTATCCTGGATGGTAGTCACTCCACCCAGGGGATCTCCGAGAGAGTCAGAGACTAGGACTTCACGAATCTTGGCCTGGCCTGTCGGCAAGACCTGGCGCTGGCCCTGGCCTGGGGCAGTCAATCCATCCAAGGGACCGCCGAGAGAGTCCAGAGAGGCTAAGACTCGACGACCCTGGATCGTCGGCGAGACCTGGGGTCGGTCCGCAGTCGCTCTGTCCAGGGGACCACCGAGATCCGCAGAGACTCGGACTTCACGAGTCTCATGCTGGCCCTTTGGTGATATCTGGCTAGGGGCTGGCAAGACAGTCTTAGCCTTGATCACAAGGGGATGAAAGCTCATGGACTGCGGCTTTTGTAGCTGGTTACCAAGATTGGTGGTGTAGAGCTTTCGCTCTCGCGCATCCTCAATGAGGTTATTCCAGAACCTGCCCTGCATCAAAGCTTCAGAGTTACCGAGAACCCACAGCGAACACTTGGCTCGAGTGAGACCGACATTCATACGTCGAATATCATCCAAGAAACCAATACCATTCATAGAGGCACGGACACAGGAGAAAATGATGATCTCACACTCCCGACCCTGGAAAGCATCAGTGGTGTTGAACTCAACTTTGTCCAGAATCTCTTCACCATATCGTCTAGCGAATTGGCTCTTCATCTCCAAGAGTTGACCCTTGTAGGGAGTGATTATACCAATGTTATTATCGAAATCGTAGCCAGGAACGTCTTTGATCAGCCGTTCATACAACTGCATGGCAACATCCAGCTCTGCCTGGTTAACCAACGAGCGGCCACGAGGGAGACTACGTTGCATGCCTTGAACGTCGAAGAAACGATAAGGACTGAGTAGTTCGCTCATGTGCCAAGGACGCAATCGGAGGTCACCCATGTCGGGACCGTTCAGAAGTTTTCCATCATAAAAGGCGGCACGGGGGAATTTGCTGATGTCTGGGTGCATACGATATTGCACATCCAGAAGGTGAACGTCCTCGGCGTGGTTCTTCTGCATGCGGACGAACAAGCTTTGCCCGAATTCGTACTTCTCAGCCCTCTTCGAGAGAACAGTTGGGGGCAACTGCTTAGGATCACCGACAAGAACACACTTCGAGCAGCCGTACTTGAGAGGAATCATTGCACTCATCTCAATACACTGAGCAGCCTCGTCGATGATGACCGTCTCGAATTCCAAATCCAAGGTTTGAAAGATATCGTGACCAGATCCGCTGAGGGTGGTGCAGATGACATCAGCCTTCCTAGCAATCTCTTGCTGCATTGCCTTTCTCTGCATATCATTATTGCGAGTCTGTGTCTTCATGTTGTCATTGGTTTTATCGATAATGGCGCTCAGTTGTGCTTTCTTCTTTTTCAAAGAATCAATTTTAGGCATTGTAAGACCAGTTGATAGGCCTTTCTCCCGGCACTCATTGAACTTCTGCCATTCCGCATTCACCTGATTACAGATTTCTTTGTGCTCTGCACATAGTTTCGCCATGTCGACTGGAGGCCCGGATGGTTTTGTGTTGGTGTTCATGCGATTTTCAACCATCTGATCAAGTGTCACATCGAGCACTTTCGAGTTCACAGCCTCCTTTCGGCCCAGACGAACGACTGAAATTTGTTCAGTACGGCCATGCATGGTTTTAATGCCGTTCTTCAATCGGAGAACAATCTCATCAACAGCGGCGTTACTGGGTGCACAGATCAAGAGCTTTTTCGAACTCACGCCTCGCGAGGCGCCACTACCGGACCCCCCCTTTCGATATAAGGGTGGTTGTACCTCGTGCGGCGAGAACATTGGTCAGGAGAGCACCAACAAGCGCTGTAATAGTCTTGGTTTTTCCAGAACCAGGAGGTCCTTGAATAAGAGTAAATCCATCGTTGTCAAGAGCCGACTTGATTGCCTTGGCTTGGGCGACGTTAACATCGTAATTTTTAACCAATGGTTGCAATGTAGTGTCGGCATATTTCAGGATAGGCGAAGGATTGGCCATGAGAAGCTCAGAGCACAAATCATAGTACTCTAATGACACGAGGGAAGCGTATTCGCGCTCCGTCGATGTCAAGCTGGTGACCTTGGCTCCCCACGCCTTGGAATTTGGCCCCAATTTCGCCAGATATGGGTTGCGCCCAGGGTTCGTGCGATATGTCACCTCCTGCTTACCATTTCGGTAGTTGACGCTTTTAACACGTGCGAGGATGTAGGGTTCGAAAGAGTCTTGGGTCATGTTTCTGGAAGCGGAAAAGATTACCACGTCACCTTCACCGATGAACGTTTTTTTATCTTTATCCGACTTGCTCAGCGGCTTGGTGCTGAATTCGATCCACATGTCGACACTAAGACGTGACTCTATGCTGACCTCGAAAGGTTCGGTGACTTCTTCCTTTGCTCGTTGGAGGCCATTCCAAGCTTCCAAGAGAAGAAGGGGTTCGAACACCCGCTTGTATTCACGGGCGTCGCGGTAAGTGCCTTGAACCTGGACTAAGTCATGAGTGAAGTTTGGGGGGAGTTCACCGGTTTCATGGTAATCCCAACCGAGAATTGTATGCTGCAAAGATGAAAGGTCTGGGGCCAGACGAGCACGCACGTCCTTGATCGAGAGTTTGGCCTTTTTCACGGGTTGCTGCTGGAAGGCCATCTTCTTATTGTGTTCGTATTCCAAAACGGTACTCTGCTTCTTAGATTTGTCGCCGAATAACTCTTTGTCTAATTCGTCTTCACTCTCTGAATCTGTGTCAGATCCAGAAGAGACCATCATACTATCAAGCGGAATTGTATGATCTTTACCCAATGCCCCAATCTTCTTCAAACCAGAGCCTGCCTCGTTAGTCTGGCCCGTAGCTGAAGTGCGTATCTTGGTGAGTCGTGCCTTCTCAGCCAAGTCCCGCTTCTTCTTTTCCAATTTCTCACGCTCGCGCTTCTCACGGAAGCTAGCAGCGGCGTTCAAATCGGGCTTGGTGGGGGCACGTCTGATAGGAGCTGAGGGTTTGACTGGGGCTGTTTTAGGTTTCGTTTTCGCAGAGGATGCGACGCGGGCTTTATTCAGCTCAACTGAACGAGAGAATTCAAGGTGAGTGATAGCAGAGACGTTGTCCAGGTCTTTTTCAATCGGGTGATGGGGAGAGGAAGAAGAAAGAGTAGTGGTTGAGGTGAAGGATGTGATTGAACTCTGCTTTTTGAGAGCGGCGGTGGACGCGGTGACGATTGGTTTCTTGTAATATGATTCAAGTGACCGAACGAGTTCTGCCTTTTCAACCGAAGTGAGAATCGTTTTGACTGAGCCATCCACTGCAACTCCTTCAATGAATCTTAATGCATCTGGCTTGACTGTCACATGCTTTTCTCCCAAGCGTCGCAAGAGCTTCGAAACAAGATCAACCAAGGTGCCGGCTAGAAAGACGTCCTTGAGTCGCAGCCACTTTACCATTGCACTCATCGTGGCTGTGGGCGACTTCAAGAAATCCAAAGCTGACTTTTCGTCATCCCCTATAGCACCCACGAAAACGGCATATTGTTTAAATAGGAAGTTGGCAAATTCAATAGTGTCGCGGCAAAACTCCAGCATAACTGATTTTTCGTTGCCGCGCAGGTGCCAGGCCTCAGTCTCATTGAATATGGTCGATAGCGCTTGCCATAAAAACTCCCAAAGCTTTTGCAGAGCCGCAACCTCACGACGATCAACCAAATTACGCGTGCGAAGCATACCAGTCTGATCGTTACACAAGATTTCGACAATATCAGTCCCAGCATGAAGCATTCTTGGTGCTGGTGCAAATGTCTTCATGTTGGAAATTCGGCGCAAAGACCAACTGATACCATACATGGTCGTAACAAATGAGGACTCCAGCAAATACGAGATAGCATCTCGTCGGGCAGCTTGACCACTAACATTCTTGATCAGATCAACAGCCGTTTGGTAGGTGTTCAGGTCGGCAGCGAAAAGGGTGGAGATCAGAGCACTACACGTGTCTTGGCTTTGAAAGAGTATATTCAAATGGTCAGGCGGGAATTCAGATAGACGCTCAATGATCTGACATGATAGATGGATGAGATGACCATAGATCATGTTGAAATTGGTTTTTTCTGGATTAGCCCCGCCCTTCGAGGTGAACTTTTCCAGGCCCACTAGGGGGAGAATGGCCAGCAATGCCGACGTTGACAGGGGAAGATTGTCCTTCCGGAGGTTCCTGACGACGGCATCCCAAATGGGGGCTGAGTAAGTTGAAACGCCATGAGACAAGGTACCATGCTTGAGAATGACTTCATAGTCACTCTTCAATGACTGGCATTCTAGGGCTAATGTATTACGGACGACGTCCATGCATAGTGAACTAATCTCTTTCTGTCGCCCTTGTTCGACAGAAAATGTTGGCGGCTCTAATATGATGTCGATAGTATCAATCAGAGCATCCATGGTTTCGCTCAGGACGACTTTTTCGACCGAGCTTCTTGAATTTTCGTTGTCCGTGAAGATACGAAGAGTACCAAGAAGGCTTTTTAGACCTTCGAGGAAACAATAATATCGAGCCCGGTTCGGATACTTTGTGTCTTGAAGACTTTTCAACAATCTCTCGGCTAAAGACCTACATGCCGATGGCTGACGAGCTCCCTTGAGTGACGCTAGAAACGGGCTGATCCATGAGAGCATGTCTTGTAGTGCAGACTTCTCATACGGTTCACCGTCTGCGGTCTGCATTAAAAATGCGTGAAACTGAGGGTTGTGGAAGGTATGCTCTATGATAGCCTGGGGGGAGATAGTCTGCATGGCATCCCAAAACACGGTGGGTGCTTTCTCTAAGAGTGTCTGTATGGTGTTGAGGAGATATCGCAATCCCGGAGTTGGGATATGTAAGTGATCAACGGTTAGGCGGCATGGATCAATCTCTAAAGCACGGAGTTGATGAGTGATCTGCTCCTTATCCAGTCTCTTCACAATGAGCTGCATGCCACGCCACAACCTCTGGATGATAATAGCCGGCGGCGGTTGCTGGGAGGCAGCCCGCAGTGCAACAAGGAGTGCATCTCGGATAGCCCATTCAAATTCAAGAGTGGTTGGAGGGCGGGTGTATCGAGTCCATGACGAGATGGCCCAGAAGCTGCGAGTCTGATTCGAATCAAATAGAAAGCGTGTCACAGCCGGAACATATTCTGAGATCTTCAACGCCCGCCTGGTCTGGATAAGCTTGAACGGCAGATCGAAATGATTTTGAAGGAGGTCCTCGCTCTTTAGCATGGCCTCACAGCTCAAAGTCTCGAAGATGGACAGCAGTGCAGCGCGATCCAAGGTATCTAGTGCGATTTTCTGGGGCAGAACACTTTGTAGCTGCAGAGTTGCTGTGGGCAAATTCCGAGTAATGCGCTTGATATCCAACTCGTCTATTCTTCGAGAGAATTCCTCGATTTCTTCTTCCTGGTAACCCTCTTGACTGAGCTTGTCCATAAGCCAGATCTTGCCGGTGTAGTACTGCATGATACAGAGGTCACACTTCTCCAATGTGTCATCTAATTTGCCCAGGACCCAGGATTGCAATTCTTCCACGCCATCGGCATTGTATGCCAGTATTCGCATGCAAGAAAGGAATTTTTGTTTACGGGCTGTAGCCTCCTCCACCACATCCTTGATGGTCCTGCCCTGCTCATCCTTGTTGTCTTGGGTCAAATCGTCATAACGGTCATAATCTGTAGCGTTTTGTCTTGGACAGAACAAATGGATTTCTTCGGGAAGACCCTTGAGCTCTCTAATTTAAAGCATGATCGGTTATATCCTGCTGCTATTGGAATTGCGTTGACATATGAGTACTTACCTGATTGCATCCACATACTCCATGATCACAGTTTCACAAAGGAAGATTGTAGGTTCAAACAAAGATCTCAAGTCCACTCATAGCCTGCTCGGCAAGTCCAAGAGTGAGGGATCTCGGTGTTTCAACTAATAGTCGAGGCTTAAGAGAAGGGAGCGGAAGCCATTTTCTCCTATGAACTGGATTTCGCGCACGCTGCCAATTCTTCTATGAAATGGATTGTCGCGCACGTTCACAAGTTATACAGAAGTACACGTTGTCAAATTTCGAATCTGAGATGGTTTGGGTGGTGTACTTGGAAAAAAGTGTCGAGAAAGATTTATGCGAGGTGGGAGAGTTGAAGAGTCAACAAAGGTGAAGGTGTTTATAGGAAATCACTTTAGACTGGCAGAAAACAACCTTGGGCCTATTTATGATATGGGCGGTGAGACAGCACAACGCGTCGCCGTGTAAGTGGAAATGACGTCAACTGGTGTGGCCGAGCCCTGGAGAACCTAAGGGTAAGGATTACCTATCAATTTACCAAGGCATAATTACATTGTCTAACCTATGAATGATCATGGAATAAAACAAACAGTCTACTAAAGGGATCTTGATTGATGGAATATCGGTAAGGTACTTTCCTAAATAGGGCATTGAATAGAGTACATGAAAATTATCTCTGGCTCTGCTCCTTCACAACACTAGACGAATAATTAAAATTCAATGGAGATAATCACAAAGAAGCCATCAAATGTGAGGGAGGATGTCTTGCATGTTTTTCATGGGCACGCTTTTGTACATCGGTTGAAAAATCAATATCAAACATGGGAAGGAGCAGGAGTGAAAGGGGGAAAAGCAAACCGATGAGATTTGCCCGGCAGAATAAAATGAATGGAGGAATGAGGCAGACAAGAGAAAACTGAATGATGCACCGAGCCTCCAACCAAAAAATAAGATGCCAAACGCCTGCTTTCTATCAGGGGAATATCAAAGCTGTGAATGGTACGAGAGGAGAAAGGGAAAAGGGGGAAATGGACTTGAAAGGGAGACGCAGCATATGTTTCGTGAATAAGAGTGAAGCACTAGAAGAAGTAAAGGGCCGACCCAACAGAAAGAAAATAGAAAGCGTCATCAGAGTAGGGGTGGGCAATGAGACTTATTGCCTTATATCATGTTTGCATCATGCTCTCGGAATGGATCCTCGTGTAAATTCTCATTGATAGCTTCCTGGTATGGTTCATGATGGCGGGATTCCACTCTTTGCAACATGGCTGCAGATGTGAAATCATTGCTTTGTTCAAAGCTATGCCGGGCTCGCTCAAAGGAATGCCGAGTCCGGTCACGAGTTCGCCCAAAATCTACGGACTGGGGCCTTGGGTTCTGATCCAAGCTAGCGGTGTAGTTGGTCCCATTGCTTCCATTTTGGCTGCGGGGGTTGTGGGTGAAGACTTCCGCAGCTGGATAGTAGGAGGCATCATCATCTTGCTTCATCGACGGTTGGATGGGTTTGGACAGGTCTGAAGAAGCTGCAGACTGGTCACTAGATAGAGCAGATACATCACCGGGCTTTGTGGGCACGACCAACGTTTCCTCTAATTCCTCTAAATACTTGTAATTTCCCATAGTGACTTGCTCGCGGATAATGTCAACGTCGAGGGGGAAGAACACCTTCTGGACAGCGTTATAGGCAAAGCGAGGGAGCAGGGAGATCATAATTGTCACAAGCAGGACAACCCAGAAACTGAACGATCCATAGACCTCGGCGGCGGACTTGTAAAATGTTTCAGAGGAAGTGAATGATGAATAAATTCCGGTCCAAACAAAGATGAGGAGTGAGCTGATACCGTTAATTAAACAGGTGAACCAGTCCCATCTGTAGGTGTTCATCATGATGTAGGTGTTGCTAGCAATAACGGCGCAAGTTGCCACCAAAATGCCCATGCGAGATCGATCGCTGACATCGCGGCCGTTGTCGCTAGCAAAGTTGGCTGCTTGATAGAGCATATATGGCATGAAGAAGCAAATGACGGATTGGTACAGACCATCGGCCATATATAACCAGAACTTGAGTTGTGACCACTCCTTGCGCTCGATACCCCGCATGTATAGCTCGGGAACCGCCAGAGACACCCTATCGTCAACATCCTGGTCGAAAATACCCATGAATATGACTGGTAGTGAGGTAAAGGCCAAGTTGACTAAGACAATGTAGGTATAGTCGAAAAGGTAAGAGCAATCGAAGTCGTTATAAATGCAGTACCAAAAGAGAGCCAAAGTCCACACCAGATTCTTGTAGAAGAAGTTGGCGGTACACTCTCCGAGACGACGATAGGACCATCTTCCATGGACGAGGAGAAGGCGCTGAAGGAATCGGAATTGACCAATAGCATAGTCTGAGGACATGACGGCTTGTCGACCTTCTTCACCGGCAATACCAACACCCACATCAGCTTCTTGGATCATGGCCACGTCATTAGCACCGTCACCAATTGAAAGGGCCATGATATCGAGACCATGCCTGACCATGTTGACGACGGCTGCTTTCTGAGATGGACTGACACGACAGCAGAGGACAGCCTTGCACTGCTTGCACAACAATAGGAACCTCTGCTTGAATTCGTCGGAAAGAAGGATCTTGAGGGTCTCACCGTCGACAATGACTGCATGCGTCGGTGCTGGTGGCGTGTGGTCGAGGCGTGCAGCGATGAGCTCCTCGTCAGAGCCGGTTAGGTTGAATGTTCCAAGGTGATTTTCAAGTTCCATAGCTGCTTGGTCAGGTTTGTTTTCCGGGATATTGAGGACGATCAATTCCATGTTATTGTTGAGAAGGTTACATGAGAATCCAATGTTGATAGCAGTCTCGACCTTGTCACCAGTGAGAACCCACAACTTGATACCAGCATCTGCCAGTAGCTGAATGGTGTCTGGGACACCATCCTGCAGTCGATCCTCGATGGCAGTACCGCCAATAAGCATCAGGTTTTGTTCAATCTCGCTAGAGACCTTTTCCAACTTCTCCTCACGGTCGTGGATTGCGGAAGCTGCAATATCATGTTCTTTGTTCCAGGCCTGATACTCTTGCTCACTAAGCAGTCGGTCGGCAACACACAATGTTCGCAACCCTTCCTTGGCGTACTCCTCAAGATGCTCGGCGGTCTTGCGTCGGAGTTCCTGCTGCTTTCCACGAGCTAGACGGGAATAGATAACACTATCGGCACCTTTACAGAACAGGCGAATGGTGCCATCAGGCATGCGAATGATGGCGCTCATTCGCTTTCGAGATGAGTTGAATTCAAGAGTGTTGAGGACGGTGTAGGTGCGTTCCTCACCCATTATGTTCAGAAGCAGGTCATCACCAGAACGACCAAGAATTGTAAAGCCGCAGTCTCGGGCAGTACTGACCAAGGCGGCCTCATCAGGGGATTGTGCTTTGAACTCAATCTGAGGGGGGTCACCAGGGGTGTGTTCAGTGATAACGGTGTGACAAATGGCGAGGGACAGCATGAAATGCTCCGTAGCCTTCTTCTGTTCCTCTCCGGAACCTCCTTCGATGTCAGATACAAAATTGGGGGCGATGAAGGTCAAGTTTTCGTCACGAAGATAGGGGTTGTCATGTAGGCGACGAAGCATCTGAAGCATTATTTTTCCATCGGCGGCAATCTGTTCGCGAGCTATGGCAGCCTCCTCTTCTGCATTAGCCCCTTCACGGCGCCTCATACCCATTTGTGCTTCTGTGTAGGCTTCACCATAAGACACGCCGTTAATCGTCGCCTTCTTGAACTCCATGACATTTTGTGTCAAGGTACCAGTCTTGTCAGAGAAAATGTATTCCACTTGTCCCACGTCATCCGATATGTTCCAAGATTTAGGCACGCAATACAGGCCCAGCTTTTCATAGTACATGAACAAGTCACTGTGAATGAAGACTGCTTGGATGGTCCGAACAATTTCGAGAGAAATGTACAGCGAAATCGGAACCAAGTTCTGGAACAAAATAAGAGCCGTCCAGAACGTGACAATACCAGTCACAGAGGGAACACCTCCATAAGATCCATAGTCGAAGAAGTTTAAGGACTTGTCATCGGAGGCCCACGCGCAACCGTTAACAATACCTGCTACCAAGCACATGATAAACAAGATGATGAAATTGTAAATGACATTCCAGTTCATCTCCCTGGCCAAACGTGCACGTTTGGCAGGAGTCTCACCGGAGTTCAGCATGATCTTACTGTCACCACCGGTGAAGACGACCACACCGAGAACCCACTCGGTACTTTGAAGAGAGCAGCCACGAAGCAAAAGATTATTAATGGTGATGGGTTCAACCATCTCCTTGCGTGGTGCGTCGGGATAGTTCGGGTCGTGTTGTTGCCAGTGGATGGCACCATTGTAAGCGTACAGGTTGGCATGTGGTGCCTCACTCTCAATGGTGAACTCGGTCTTTTCACAGTCCCGGGCATGACGGACCTGGCGGCCGCAGTGGAGAGCTTGGCGGACCTTCAAATTGGTCTCTCCATCCAGCCCCATAGTTTCTACATAGCAGGCGCCATCCGGATCAGAGGTAGAAAGAATGACGATGTCGGCGGGAATCTGTTCTTCGTTGTATAATCGAACAAAGTCACCGACTTGAATGTTCTTCCAGTAGTCTCGCTTGAATCGAGCGGTGCCGGGGGTCTGTTTGGACGGATCCATGACACTTCCAGTCTTCTTGTCCGGCGAAATCGTTTGAGTACTATCGCGCGCTGCGCTGTCGGGGGATAGAAATTTGTTATCAATAATTGGCCAGTCTTCACGAGCCTCGGCTTGAACGTCAGTCATGGGGATGGCAGCCTCGCCAATGGCTAGGGAATCGCGTTGTGTGTAAATCGAAGCTCGTGGATCAGCGAACGAATTCTGTCGCTCGTCTCCGTCATCCTTCGGTGCTGCTTTCTTGACGAATAGGGACTTGATCCCACGGTAGGAAGAAATCGCACCACGAGTACAGGCTTTTTTGAACTTGCGCCATGTTCCAATGTTGTCCTCGGTAGAGTTCACATTACTCCATTCAACTAGTCTATAAACCGGCGAATTATTCACTTGATTATCGGAGACTGTTCGTCCCCAATCCTCGATAGCGTCTTTGATGGCGGTGATGGCGATAATTACAATCAGTGGGACAGCGTTCAGACCTGGATTATTGGCACCGAAGATGGAAAAACACTACCGAAAAGAAATGATTCATCAGCTTCGTCAATAAAGTTATTTTTAGGGAGTTTGTAACCTACGTTGAGAATAATGACGAACAAGAAGTAGATATTGGCGATGTTGTGGAACTGCAAGAAAATGTTCTTCGGCACAAACGTCAACGCTGTATACTTGGCGGTCCTAATCTTATTTCTTGGGTAGTCATGGATTAGTTGACCATCTTCATCGAGATCCGAATCAGGAACCGGGACGTTGAAGTAGACTGTTCGATTTGCGCCCTTGGACGCCTCATCTGTGGAAATGTCGGTCGTCCCAGTTGTATTGGTCATGTTCGACTTTCGCTTCTCCTCTCTCATCTCATGGCGCTTGTGAAAGCGATCGATAATGGAGACACGTTTCCGCATGCCGCCGGAGCCGGCCTCACGCGTGGTGGCCCATCTTTGTCGCTTGACCGGTTTTGTGATGTTGCTGGGGAGCTCTCTAATCTCACTCTCAACGGCTTCGAGGTTGTTGTTCTCCTCTGGAAATTGTACAGAAGCCATTTAGGCTGGTATTACACCCCAATGGAGCATAAAACTTGAGGGAAGGACTTGGGGGGGAAGATGGACCAGCAGGTACGGGTGGCGGAAACCAGTCCTCACGTCTCGTCCGATTCAGCCTCAAGTGTTTGTTTTCCAAATTTTATCAAAAGGTGCTTCTAATTTGAGGGAGAGGGAAGGTTCGAAGGGTAGAACGAGACCGTTGCGTGTACCAGGGCGGCTCGAGCGGGCTATCGACAATTAAGGGGTGCGATCTGTCGTAGATGTGAAGGAAAGGAACCCACCCGGGGCCATGCAAGATCGATAAAGGGAAGCAAATATAGAAGAGGGATGCGGGAGGGGAATTTTTATTATTACTTTTTGGAAGAGACCCAAGATGAAGATGTAGTAGTGAGAGTGATGAGTATGGAGGATTTAACTGGAAGTGGAACCATGTATCTTCCGTGTATTGAGATTTACGAGTTTACTTCGCATGCCGGGTTTGTAAGCGGGCTCTTGGCCCTTCAATTCTTGGCACTTTCTAAGATTTGTACATAGTATAAGAAAATATTGCATGGTATGTATTTTATCGTAAATTTCATCCCTGAAATCTCAGTCAGATTGACATTCATCTGATATGTATCGTGTATAGATCTGTATATAAAGTGTATATTCGTACCACGTGTACCTAAAGCGGACTCCAAGATCTGTATCTGTACGGAGTTAACAAGCCGCGTTCCGGTCTATAAACCATTTTGGTTCAACCCATTTCTTTCGTAAATTCCTGATTCTGACAGTGGCAATAGAGGGACTATTTCGGAACTTGACGGGTCCATTCTTTTTTGCTTTCTTCCTGATGATAGCCCTGGAACCATTCTATGAATGTTCCATTTGTTCTTCTTATAAAATCCTTAATCCAAAAACACCCCTTTTGCTTTCAAATAGTCGGAATCGGAGGGAACGAGGAACGGAGGAACGGAGGACTCGTACTATTGAATATTCGTTATGTACACAGCCACCTGGACATAACCAGTGCAGCGGTATCCTGGGGTTATAGTTCGTCATACAGATTACTACTTAATAATAGTGGACGCCCTAAGACCTCGGAAGCACAGGGACTAGGATTAGAGGGGCTGGATATGTGTAGGACTACTTAGGATGCCGTAGATGGAAAGAGGGGATTGCCCCCACTTTGCAGACTTTCCAGGATCTACACACAAGGTACAAGTACTTCAAGTACTTCATTTCCTCCATATGACCGTACAATGTTTGGAAGTATAAGACTAGTAGGAGCACTGGTACCCAATCCTGAAGTCCAAGGGTCAAAGAGCGTCTCAAAGAGTGAAAGGTCAAAATGTTAAAGCCCTCTTCGGCCGCAGCGCAGACGCACAGTATTTCATATCTTCGGAGCATCGAGCCTGAAACCGCCAATAAACACGGCACGAGCGTCCTGATCCACTTCGGATAATTTAGAGATCCGTTCCTCGGCCTCGGACTTATGCAAATCTTCTACGAAAAAAAAATATACTTAGTTAAGCACCCCCTTTTCTTTGTTATCTTTCTCGTATTTCATGGAATACTCAATACTCAGGAGTGGCCTAGACTACAAATTTGGACCCTTTGGAACGCATGATTTGGTAAATCCTTCACAGGTCAACTTCGGGTCCACTGGTACATATTTATGCAGATCTGCAACGGTTTCACATTGCTTACAAGGCTACTCGGTAACTTCAGCCTCGAATCCCACTTCCCGTCATATCATCAGAAAGTTCACAATCAATTTCTAAATGGAACATCTGCAGGAAGTCCTGTCAACTAAATCCATTGATTCATAACCACAACAGGTAGCCAGTACCATGACGGGTCATGGTATTAGGTATTGATCCTTGGGTCAGTATTTTGTAACCCTTTATCTATCAAATATATAGATCATTAAACTGAATCAGTTCGATATCCATGGATGTAACTAGGTATTATAACTAGCCCCTGAATTTCTAGAAACATAACAACTCTCAATATGGCGGGTAAAGACAAGTAACCTTTGAAGTCTGCCTCCAAGGTTCGAAGATTACCTTGGTATCAAGGGTTGCCAAAATTTGTTTATCAATCTATACCTAGAGAGTGCTCGGACATTCCAAGGTTCACTGTTCAACGCTGCAAGAGAGAATGTCACAAAGAAACCATAGTAATGTAATATTCAAAGACAGGTCTCATTACAGTGGGGATCCTAAATAAAAAGAAATAGCGCTTCCTTTCAAACCGTTTGATTCATGAATCCCAATCAGTAACATCACGTGACTTCGCATTCGAAGACGCGACGCGGTCTCAATGAAAAATAACATCTCTATCAACCACATCATGGAACCTGGCCCAAAGAAGCAGATTCCAATATATGACTATTTCAACAGACCACCCTTCTCACGAATCAACAAGGACCGTACGCCAGAAAAAAATCCTCCCCGTCCGCCGCCCTCCAAGATTCAGCCAGTGCTGATAAATTTAAATTCAGACGACGAGCAAGCACAAAATCAACTGGATGAGACTTTGTTTGAGTGGACTGAGGATAATGCCCGGAAATTTTTGTCAGAGCAGTCGTTTGAGAATGGTGATGACGGCCCGGAAGTTTTGTCAGAGCAGTTGTTAAAAGGTGGTGATGACGGCGGGATTTCGTCAGAGCAACTGCTCCAAGACCGCGAGTCGACTCCGCCGGTCTCCTTCAATGAGAGCATTCACTCCTCTCAGCGCATTGTAAAAGGCGGTAAAGAGATGGTGAAAAGCTCGGATGACGAAGATTCGGATTCTGTCAGCTCACTGGAGGCCGTATTCTTTCCCACGAAACTCAAAAAGCCCGCGCAAGATGATCCCAAGGGCCCCAAAACTGCTTTTTGGTCAGCCCCGAAGATGCTTACCAAGTTATCGACACCGAAATACAGAAACTCACTTGATTCGCTTGTACATGCTGCACTAGATGACAATGAAACTGAAGCGAAGGTGGCCGAACTAAAGTCTACCTGGGACAAGGAGCGACTTGAGCTGGAAAAGGATGGGGTACAAAAGAACCGGGAAACCATGCTGATTTCAGCTCTTGGTGACAATGAGAATGATGGGGAATTGCAACGCCTACGTGATGCGCTGCGAAGAACTGAAGCTCTGGATCATGATCGAACCTGGAGCTTCTTGGACGAATCACCTATAACGCCGGCAGCACCAAAATTCCCTGTGAATCTACTTGACCAAAGACTATATACGTCTATCTTACGAGGTACGATCAAGTATAGCATATGTAAATTTCATATAGTCAAGCTGATTCTATTTGCAGATCCCGCGTCTCGGGCACGCACTTTCCAGTCTGGAATCTTGGAATTTGCCTCACCAATAGCACGATTGCCAGATGAACTCATCATATGGATCTTTCGATCCGGTCTGTCATGATCCCTGAAATACATCCCACATAAATATCTAATATGACAACAGTATCCATTGAGCCTCTCAAGGAGCTGAGACAAGCTTATTGTCGGATATTAGCAGTTTGTCAACCATATCTTCGCGGCCAACATACCTTTAGCTGACCATGACAACAGCAACTACCTTCAGTCCACCTACGCTCGCTTATTCGTCCGTACGACATAATTGATCTCTTTCGACACCTCGGAGCAAAGTCTAGCGCATTAGATCTCTCCCAACCGATTATTCAAGATCCTCCCGAACGTAAGACACAATTCAACTATGTTCATCCCAAATGAACCGTCTGACCATTAGCTGTAGAGCTACACCAGGTGTCCCGACCGAAAGATCGATCGATCCTATTATCCACTTTCCAGTTGCTTCGAGACTTGGCTGAATCGTGAGTTTTCTTTCTCGCTCTGAAATACCATATTTAACAAGTAACCAGCCTTTCTCCAGATACCCTAGAGACTGCAATCCAGATTCTTTTTAGGATGACGCTCGACGTGTCGTTGACTGAAGATAGCGTTATCGGCTCAGAGTTGCAAAGTTGCCTTAGTGGTCTCCTAGAAAGTGTACCGGACAACGAGTGCGAAAATATAGTAAGGACCGTCATTTAATCATCATAGGAATCGCCGCTAACTAACGTAGGAACGTCGAATCTGTACTACGGCTTACGAAACCATTAAAGATGCCGAGTTCCAGAGCCGGCTATTGCAAAATATCTTACCCACAGCAACATGGATATCTCTTTTACGGTTCCGACTGGCCGTCTCATTTTTACTCCGAAGTCCAAGTCCATTGACTGAATCTCCTGAACAAGTTCTCGACTTGAGGCGACTCACCTTATTTTTGGTTGAGGATGACCGCTTCAATTCGTCTCTGTCCATGGCAAAACGGGCTGGTTATGATTACGGTGAGCTAGCTGCCTTAGCCAAACTTCTCGAAGTCGTTGTCAACACCTCCTTGTTGGATCTGAATTATCGACAAGAAAATGCGGAAGCAGAGTTCAACTCTGTGGTTGATATGTTTGTATTCCAGGTCAAGCGACTATTCGGGTCAATCGAGGATTCCGGAGCTTCGAATCTCAAACGATATGTTGCCAAAGAGGCTCTAGATGCATTGCAGGCTCGGGTGTTATATTCTGTTCGCACAAAACCTCCACCCCCCAGAGGCATTTTCGAAACGGCTGAGAAAAAGGATCGAAAAATCACCAGTATGTTGTTCAAGGACAAATGGCAGCCCACAAATTCGGATGGCACCAACATCCCCATTCGGGGACATGACCAATAGTGATGCTGTTTACGTTGTGCGAGAATTATGACATGCTCGAGGGGAATCTATTACTGAAGCCCCTGTGATGATTGCGATGACCTGTATGAACAACCATAGCGCGGAGCAACTCTTTTGATTACCGAAATTTCTCAAGTTATGGAAGTTAGAAACGCTCATGAAAATTGAGTTGGCATATTTCAGATCGAATGTATGATGTGCAAGAGGAACCCTCCTGTCTATTGAGCAAGCTCAAAACAAATAGTAGAAAGAGCCCGAGAACTATAAAACAAGAAAAACTCTCACGAGCAGAGTTTCATGGCGGCGAAAGATGTGGGACATATTCGAAACAATTCCTAGTCGTAGAATCGTCGATTCTCGTTCTTTCCAAAGAGGGTTTCTCGCACGGCAGGCAGAGCGTCAATTTCCAGTAGTCGCAGACGCTCCTCAAAGGTGTTGTTGATTTCGATCTTACCCTGGCCGCCTATAATGAAGACACCACCAGCGCTGCACCAGGTTAGCCAATAGACTCCAATATCAACTGGAATAACCTCGATTCAAACTTACGATCCTTCAGGCAATGGCTCCGACTCGTCCAGGGTCACAGTTACCTCCGAGCCAACGTTCTTCTCAAACTCCTTAGCCGCCTCCGTAATGGCCTTCTTCGTGATGTCGTAGTCCTTCTTCCGGGAGCGGACAGACACCTTATCCTCATTCAGGTAATACAATCCCTCAAGGACGAGTCCCTGTAGCATAGTCTGGTACTTCTTTTTATCGCTATCAGCCACGGTGGTAACCTTCTCACGAGACTTCTGGAAAAGCTCATCCAAGAGCTCCTGACGGCCACCGAGAACGCGAAGACGAGTCTTGTTGGCTAGAGTCGATCGGGTGATCTGCTGCGACATGGCAGCCTGCTTGAATTTCTTCTCGTACAGCGTGTCAATGGCGGCGGTCTCTTGGCGCACAAGCTTGGACTTTTCAATTGCGAACTCCTCGTCGGCCTTCAGTTGAATCTCACGAGCCTTCTCCAGAGCTTCTTGTCGGATGAAGGCGGTCATCTTGCGAAGTTCGCCCGCGACCTAATGATAACCCCCGAGAAGATTAGCCACAATGGGAACAGCCGATCACAAGGTAGCATTAGAGACATACCTGGTCATCGGAGAGAGCATGATTCTGTGACATGGTGAGTGGTATTCAGATAATTCTGAATGGGGAGAGTTGGTGGTGTTTGGGTTGAATGACGTGGGAGATGAAAGGGAGTGGTGTTCCCAATTTAGCTCTCGCTGCTCTCTCGATCTGATGCGGGCGGGCGCCAAGGCCAGTCTCTCCGCAACAACCCATCCCCTCGTCACCTGTTCTCAAATCAACCCTATCCCCTCACTGAGCATCCCTGGGCTCCTTGTTCTCCCTCGAGTTTCCCTCCTACCATAATGGCATATATCCTTCGGTAGTTCAGGTAATGCGCTCTTAGGCTTCATCCCGTCTCCGTCCAATGTACAATTCGCCAAGATGGGCAATTTAGGTGACTTATCGCCACAGGGCAGTGTCGCGGTGAGTGTGTTCGCATTATAACGACGCTGGATACAGCTGCTAAATTATACTCAACAGGTCGGTATTTTTGTTGGACTCGTTTCGACCAGCCTACAGGCCATCGGGCTTACCCTTCAGCGCAAGTCTCACATGCTTGAAGACGAGAAACCCACACATGATGTGCGCCGACCACCTTACAAGCGCCGCCGATGGCAACTGGGAATGGCCATGTTTGTCATATCCAACATTGTTGGCAGCACCATTCAGATTACAACACTACCGCTTCCAGTCCTTTCCACACTTCAGGCAGTCAGTTACAGCTTATTCCCAATCTAAATCGCCCATTTTACTGACAAGGAATACAACAGTCTGGACTTGTGTTTAACACCATATTTGCCACTATCATACTCGGTGAACCGTTCACCCGCTATTCATTTATAGGCACCTTCCTCGTATGTATCGGTGCAATCTTGATTGCAACTTTTGGGGCCATCGGAGAGCCTGCCCATACTCTGGCTCAGCTGTTGTATCTTCTGCAACGTCGAGCGTTCTGCGTTTGGATGGGTGGGACACTCCTCCTAGTTGCTCTTATTTTACTAGGCTCAAAGTTGTTGATGTATTTGCCTGGGTCGCGGGTGATACCCAGCCATTTCACATCCCATCAACAGCATCAACAGCGGCGCCATAATCGGATGAAGTTGATCCGAGGGATGTGTTATGGATCTGTCAGCGGAATTTTGTCAGCCCACTCGCTTTTGCTGGCCAAATCAGCGGTGGAGCTACTGGTTCGGACAATTGCCAATGGCGATAATCAATTTACCCATTGGCAGTCTTGGGTGATCTTGCTAATGCTGATCGGAATGGCACTGACTCAACTTTATTTCTTACATCGGGGACTCAAGTTATGCAGCACCAGTGTTTTATATCCCTTTGTGTTTTGCATCTATAACATTATTGCCATCCTTGACGGCCTGATCTACTTTCGTCAGGCCTCTCAATTAACGGGGTTCCATGCGGGCCTCATCGCATTGGGAACAATCATTCTCTTAGGTGGCGTGCTTTGTCTGTCTTGGCGGCTAGAAGACATTGACAGTCATGCAGGCGTTACCGTTGTAGGGTCCACACAGACAGGTCTTGGGCCTGGAATGGCAGTTGTGGAGGAGCACTCGCCGACATCTTCGGGCCTACTGGATAGTGCCGGCGATGAAGAATCGTGGATTGGAGAACGCGAGCCGCTGCTCCAAGGCAACAGTCGTGCCCGGTTCCCACGAATTCGAGCACCTAGTCTTCCAGTAATTCCACCCCTCAATCGACATGAGGCGGCCGATCTCAACGCCGCATCCATTTGGGCTGAACTGGATGACTCTGACTACCACTTTGCCCATCCTCTAGCGCGTTCTGCCACCGAGCAGATACGGGGGAGTCCCGGGAGCGGCGCGGCATTGAATGGCCTCAAGCGCCATCTAACTGTTGGTCCAATGTCTTATAATAGACAGAGAGGGACTCACCGCAATCGTAAAATATCTCAAGAAAGTCCATGGCGACGTATTTCAACACCTTGGGCCATCATCACGGGATCGCAGCGCAGACGACCAGATCAAGATAGCGGATACGGAACTATTCAGGGTGACGATTTGGAACCTCAAGCGTCCCCCCAGGCCCGGGAAAATTCAGCCAGTCTTCTCGTGGGCTCGAGGAGGACGCTGCATGGTGCTTGGCAATATGGTCGCCAATATCTACCTCGATGGCCATGGAGGAACCCGCAGGCGGGAAGTCTCCCTGACCGCGACGCCGACGCGCAAGACGGTGCATACTCTTCTCTTTTACCTCAGACCGATAGCCTCCCATGGATTCGAAGAATACCGGATCACGCTGATATCAATGGGCTTGCGAAGCCCCCATCGTCATTATGATTGGAGCAATCCACGACTTATACAGATCTTGAATTATTTTCGGCCTCTCAGATTCTGGAACTTTGAAATTCTCGAAATATCTAATGACATAAGACACTCTTATCCCCATTTTCTCGTCATATTCCTCTCATTCTATCTCCTCCTTGTTTCCCTCTCTTTCTGCCTGTTTCTTTCAACCCATGATACCGCCCTGTACATTAGAAATCCGCTTCTCCAAAGCGAGATACTCACCTTATCATTTCTTTTCTTTGCATCTTTCGAATACAGACTGAAAAATCTATTGTCTTCAGTCATTTGAACCGGTTTCCCAACCCCGTTAAACATACTACGATACCACCTTTGTTCTTTTTGTTCTCTGGCATACTAGTCGGCGTGGATGGCCGCTATAACTTTCCGGCTTTCATGTCTAATGGATATTTAACTTGCACACAACTAATCCAATCCTTCCTGGACGTGTCCCTATTTGTAACTTTAAAGTGTATATCTGTCGATCTATTTCTGCTTGTGCCTAAGTGGATCCGCCATGAATCTGTAGTCGGGAGCCATTCCTACCTGGGCACTGAGCATCCATGGTTCAATTGACTTAAAGATTGAACCGTAGATAGTTAGCTATCTAATTCTTAGTCATACGATAGGATGAACAGTCCTCAGAAGATTGAAGATTATGAGCCAGGGAAATTGCATCTACGAAAGGTCGAGAGAAGGCTACAAGGTATGTCCTGACGACGTTCCTGAAACCAAAACAGCTTATTGTTTTTCGATAACAGATACAAAAACCTGTGGAGCTGCGGGGAAAATACTGAAATACTGGCCAAAATTACACCGTGGGGAGTTTTAAAAAGACAACAAGTTGAGATTAGACGGAAAGAAGAATGGAAACCAGATCAACCAAAGTCGTATGCTTCCAACTTGCGAGTAAAGTAAGACAATAAAATAGCATTGCAAGAATCACTTTCGCCAACAAATCAATGCACCTCGAACACCACCGACCTCCACCAGATATTGCGGTGGAGGGAACAAGGGGAAAACAAAAAGTGGAGGGGACAAGGCGAAAATAAACAGCCAGGAATAGCGTTGAACCCCAGTTTTGCGTGCTTGCGCTCTTTTGGTCTCTTGGAAGGGGGCTTTGGAAATAAGGGTTTTTTGTGTTCGTGTATTTTTTAGAGGATTTTGACTTCATTACCTAGAAGCTGGGAGGTGTTGATTTTCCGTTCCACCGCTTTCTCGAGTTCAAAAGTAAAGAGACCAGAAACAACCAAACTTCGGCAAAGACAGGCAAGCTGGGAAAATCCAGCGTGGGTGTTTTGACAATGTACACTTCACAAGTTCAAGAAAGCAGAGCATGCCCGGAGACACATCGGCAGTTCTATGAGAGGAGATGAAGGGGATAGGAGGAAGATGGATCAGCAGAGACGGACGGGTATCAAATGAACGCGAGATATTGAGCGCGGGAGCAAGGAAAACATAAGGAAGACGCAATAGCACGGGCCCCGTCCACAAGCGCTTGCGCGCGAATTTAAGCCGTAGGTTGGTGCTGCGGGGGCATGCGGTTGCCCACTGGCATGCCGGCGTACTGACCATTAGCCTGCTGTTGCTGCTGAAGGTTCTGATAGTACGCCATCTGCTGCTGCTGCTCATTGGTCATGTAACCAGGGTGCATGCCTGGACGGGGCATGCTGGCTTGGGGCGCGTTCACGTTGTTGTGGGCCACGTCCTCGGGTGCCTCGGCGGGGACATCGACGGGATCAACACCATTTTCGTTGGTAGTAGGATCCGGCGCGTTCAGACAAGCCTAATATTGACCCCGCATTAGCTTCATGAAACAGGCTGTTTTGTCAAGTCAACCGAACTTACCTGAATGAGGTTCTTACCCTCAGCCTTGGTGACGAGGGGTTGGAGCTTGGGGGTAGTGAAAGTGTAAACTAATCCGGTCTCGGATACGACCAGCAGCAGCACCTGCGTGCCAGTGAGGACGGAGAGTTCGTAAGCCTGTGTTATAGCAATATTAGTTAGTGTAAGTCATTGAGTGAAGAGGTAAAGAGAAGCAAGTCCGACGCGCGATGGTTTGTTTATGAGTCTTGCGGGGGAGAGGAGGGGAGCTTATTACCTTCTTCATAATACCCGCCTTACGCTTGGAGAAAGTGATGTGGCGACGCGATTTATCCTGGATGAACTTGATTTCAATCTTGCGGCGCTCACGGCCGGGCTTGTCATCATCATCGTCGTCGTCCTCCGCGCTCATGCGGTTGCGCTTGGTGCCGCGGTTGTCGCCGTTACCGGTCTGTTGCAGGTCATCATGAACGGGAGAGAGTTTCTCATCACCGACAGCAGACATGTCAGCCATAATGAAAGAGATGGTGGGAGGAAGTTAAAAATGGAAGTGGAAAGGCAAGTTAGCCAAAAGGGGAAGGGAATCGTAGATACCCAATCGAGTAACGCGTTTTAGGATCGCAGGGTTGAGAGAAAAGAAGGGGGAAGAGCGAGGGTACCTAAGAAGGAAAGGTCGGAGGTGACGCCCCACTTATAGTCATGTGACAACTGGGCATTTTGAGTGGTGGATGAGACGGTAAAATCCACATTCCGGTGATTACAATACTGGAACCGTATTATCTATACGTATCAATTACTGTATTATAAAGGACTTGTATAATCTTCGAATTAGTACAATATATCTATAAACTCGAATATAAATATCATGGGACTGTCTTAATATTCTTTCCAAGGTTAGCCTGATCTCCCTCCCGCTTTAGATGATCAAATTGGCAATATCAGACATCTAGAACTCACAAATGAGCTCATTTGTGTCGTTTATTAAAGTGACCGAATGTTCTTCATGAACTTCGAATGGTTGGTTGTCGGGAGAATCAAAAGCTCTTCCTCTCATCGATGAGTCTTGAAATCAATCATGGGAATGAAATGTTAGCGTTGGATAATTGATAGCAACCGGGATGTAACCAGCTTAGCTTAGCTAGCTTTCAGCCCAGTTTACAGTGGTATAAACATACTCGAATGGTCCTTTCTCCAAGATTAGGTTCTCTGATCCAGCATTCTGTGCTGCGGTAGCAGTAAACATTGAGAAATCTCCAGGTATCTGCACACACACTCAATGAAGATTCCAAGGTTGATTCCTTCCAATTTTCTGATGTTGATCATTTCCATTACCTCAGGGCTACATATTATGACCATCAGATCCATGGAAATTTCCTCAAAATCAGCTAAAACTCGAAATCACTAGCAAAAGAAGCTTCATCGCCGTAGATGCCATGCCGGAAGACATTCTGTGATACAAGGTGTACTACTCTGAACATCAGACACGTTATCGTCATCGAGCAATGGGGCACTGGCTGGGTTAATGTCGGCCACTCACTGAAATGGGCAATATCGGCGGATCTCCGAAATGAAAACCTGTTGATAGTGCTGAGCAGCACTTTTGACATCCATGGAGGAACATTAATGTCACAACACCAGTAGAGTGGTTCTCACTGCCGTAGACCATATTCTGAATGTCTTTCTGGGTGTTCTCTGAATTATGCAAAACATCTCATCTACAGAGCTGTGGTATAAGATTTTCGGATGTAGTCGACGCAACTTGGGAGAGTCGATAGCAAAACGCGGAGGTCTAAGCTCTTAATTTTTGTACCCATAAGTAGTCAAGTTATAATTTTCTTCGCTAGCTCAAGTGCTTTGAGTCGACGGTCGATTGAGTCAAGAAGAGAAGAGGCAGAATGGTTCCCAGAAATCTTGTTTTCGACGTCTTTCGCCAGTTACACACGAGTAACGACTTCCAGCTGTGGTGCTAGCCTTTTTGTTCTCCTGGTAAGGTATGCAACCTGATACATTGCAGTACTGAGAACATATAGATATATCAAGAGTACCTAGATACCTGTTGGTTCAACCTGGGAAGGTTCCAAGGTTACGAACAGTCCATCACGTCGTTAGCGTTTGAGAATGCTCAGAGTAGATGAGATTGACTGGAGCGTGTGGGTCCAGGGTTAATTTTCTGACAGTACTCAGCGTTGTTGAAGGCCCCATTGGGGTTTGCCTCATCTAATCCTTCCCTGACGTCGGTGATGTAGGACGTTTCGTCCTCTAATTGAGCTGTCTTTGCGGCCATGAAGTCTGATATTGTGGTATTGCACGACGATTAGGGGATCTCTGAAATGTCAGGTGCCTTACTTTTGAAACGGGTTTGGTGAGCAGCTAGGCGGTTTAGTGTTATAAATGATGACACCAGCTTGGGGACCGGATAGTTAGTAGGAGGAAATTTCATTTTTAGAGAGTATAAACACTGGTGCCTTAGGACACAAGCGAATTAGACAGTGAAGTAGATGTGAAAGTGAGAAAGGGCCTTGAAGGTGAATTTCAGGGCCGAGAGAAAAGGTGAGCATTGGAGTGCAATAGATTCAATAGAGTTGCCACTGAGCAGCTGGTTAATTATTCTTTGGGAGCTTGCTAGCTTAAACATTTCATTGTCCGATAGCTACCTAGGTATGACGTATAATCTTAATTCCCATAAATAAACAGCTTGGCATATTCGAATGCAATTCACAAATACTCACTTCGTGGGCATTTTCCTATGAAGTTTTAGTATACCTAGCTAATTAACTATGACTGACGATACTGAGGTCATTGACGAGATAAAGACTTTATTGTCATTGAACTGAAGCAGCATAGGAAAATAAGCTCAACCTCAACGATGGGCCTCATCGAGTACATCAAATGAGTTAGGGCTTTGATGTTGAATGGTAACAATACAATGAATATCTTACTGGTACTGTAAATACAGTATCACCTGGAAGCTGCAGGCGAGTTATGTAAAATACCGTTCTGGCACAGTAATGAAACAGGGTGAGTGTGGCAAAGTACGGGACGTAATATGCGGCATTACATACTAAATACAAGTCACTCTTTCCTCCTTTTTCTTGTTATGATACAGTAATATACCAACCCCTGACTATAATTGGCTTCTCTCAAAGGGGCTGATCCTCCATTTACATCCGTTTTTAGCAAGCGCCAAACTCAATGACTTGTCATGGTCTGGACTCTACTTTATTTCTATCTTATCACTCCTTCATCCTTCATCGTAATCGTTAATCTTTAAACTAAGGAAGTCGAATGAAAGAAAATCTTGGGAGAAGTCGTATAGGGCTCTGCCGGCATGGCCCTGATCAAGCCTTCTCACATTCCACATTGCGCCCACTCAAGATTAGGACAATCATGCACACTTGATAACGGGAATAATGAACGGAATACCCCGGCCCCATTCAATCACTTCATTAGATTAGCAAGATATCCACCCATACTGATAAAATAAACTAGAATAGAAATAGAAATTAATCACCGCTTCAACAGTCGCAAAGGCCTAGTTGGTCGTACAGTGAGGCTTGCGGAGCACTTTGTCCTGTAGTTAGGCCATACTCTCTGTAGTATGTACTACGTGCCTGGGCGTGGAATGGGTCTGTCTCGGCCCCAGGCGGATTCCATTCCAAAAGAGTGAAATATACTGACTGTCTGTTCCCCCCGTTTTCGGTTTGGTGAAGTTTAACCTATTCATTGAATTATACTCAAACACTCCATACCTAGGTAGTAGACGTTATCTGGTGCCAAGGTTAGGGAGTATACAGATCACATGCAAGATATCTATGCACCACACGATGGGTGCTCCCGAGGAGAGCAAGCCCTATGTCACTATCTGAATTCCTGCAAGCCCCAAGTCTGATATGCAATGAGGCGGCAATTATCACTTAACCCACGTAACCCCCGCCTACCTAAGTAGATGTATCGAATGAGCCCTTCGAATAAACATGGAAAAATCACTCATCATATTTTCCGCATAATGAACATTAGACTAACGCTAATCACCAACGAAGACTCAAAGGTCTTCGGTTCGAGTCTATTTTACAATTAATATGCACGGCCTGAAATCATAGCTGAGCCCACGTCACAGCGAACATATCCTGGCGCGAGAGAAGTGAAAGACAAAGAGAGACGAAGAGGAAAATAGGAATAGAGAAGAGTATAGCTTCTCTATCCAGCAGCCAAAAAGGGGAGGCAACCAATTGCCGGAATATAGCGAGGACACAAAACCACCCGGTTAAGAAACTCACTCCGCCATTGCTAACGCCGGATAAAATGAATAATCAGAAACTGGAAGGAGTTTCATCCGGAAAAAGAGAAAGGAAAAAAGGTGGGGAGGGGGAGAAGACAGGGCGTGGTCGAGACAGACAAGACTCTTCATGATATAGTAAGATGAGGAGCATTCTGATAAAAAAAAAAATGAAAAAAATGAGACTTAAAAATGTGCAACGAAGTAGAAGATGGGGACCCCAAGGACCAGCCTTAATAAAAGTCACTAAGGGGTTCTGGTCGTGAGGTGATTATTGCTGGTATGTGCCCTTAATATAGTGGTCACTGATGCCACCGCCACCGCCGCCCTTGGGGCCGAGCCAGACAATCTCAATCACACTGTGGCCCTCATCTTCTTCGCGCACGTAGAACTGATGAACGGCGTCACCAACAACGAACGCATCGTGCATCAACCAACGATCCTTGGTGACACCTTGATCCTCGGCGGGACGAAGAGGTCCGAGACGGTCTTCAAAGCCACGGGGGTCTTCGGGCCAAGTCTTCTCGACCGCATCAAAGTCGATCACATCATCTGGAGCAGTCTCGTCGTAGGTGTATTTAACGAGGGAGTAGCCGTTGGTCAGAACCCAGAAGTGGCGGAGGGTCTCGCCAGTGGAGTTGTTCACTGTTTCCTCCTGATCGAAGACCCAACGGCGGAGCACAGACTTGCGACCAGCAGCAGCAGAAACAGCGGTCATCTTAACGACATCTTTGCTGTACCAGCTGTTCCAGTGGTGCATGGACTCGATCTTGCGACCGGACTCGTAGACACCATCAACAGGCTCCGTCATATCCATCTGGTAGAGTGATGGCCAGAGGGTCAAGGGAGTGTCACCAAAGCGTTGGATACACTGGCCCAACTTCTGATCACCGGGCTGCTCGCCCCAGGACTGACACTCTTCGTAGTACTTATAGAGCACATCCAACAAAGGCTTGGAGACAAAAACACCGGCACCACCGAAGGCGATGTGGCCGAAGGTATCAACTTGCCAGCTAGCCTCGGACAAGGATCCGATATAATGCTTCTTCTTCTCGTCGAACAACTTCAATTCCTCGGCGACTGTAGGGAGCGACAGGAAAAAGGTGTCGTCATCACTGAATCCAACCCAGGTGGTGTGGGGGCGGTGCTTGCGAATGTGCTCCGAGAAGGCCTCCACCATACCGAAGTAACGAGCAGTAAAGTCCAAGGGCGAGGCCTTAAGAGTCAAATCCAGACCACGGTTGCGGAAATAAGTTTCTTGCTTCTCCAGGTCGTCGTCGGACTCGGGAACCAACACGATCAAACCGGCCTTGGTATTACCGTAGGTGTAGAGCAAAGAGGGAAGTAGGCGGTCAAGACGGTCGACCGTGGTGGCCAAACCGAAGAGAAGCTTGGAGGTTTCGTCGACATCGTCATCAGCAGCAACGTCCACATCAATAATTTCCGGGCAAACGAAGTTCTCTGCCTTGTTCTCGGGAGAGACAACCATTCCACGTTCCATTTGGACCATCGGGGGAAGCACGGGCCTCTCAATCTCCTCGAGGGTGCGGAATTCGGTGCGAGGACCTACAATACGAGGGCGTAGGTAGGCACGGGTGTAGTTCTTGCGGGGAAGCCATTCGGAGAAGGGAAGAGGAGCCGCCAACTTAGGATCAACCTGGCAGGTAGTGCTTGAATCGGGTTGCCCTCCTGGCTGTGCAGCAGTATCTAAAGGATGATGCTCTCCGAGATTGACTCGGTCAATGGGGTGTTTGAACCGAAGGAAAGCATGTTGATCATATCGTTCTATGCACCAGAAGAAGATACCAATCGAGAGAAGGGCAATCAGCGGGAAAACCGTCTTCAGCCGGAAGATAGGCATCCTGACGGTATGCGTTGCTGGTTTTTCAAACATGTACGTTGTATTAGGGTAGAAAGGGGTTTGTAGGGTCGCAAAATCTGGCAAGCCCTGATATGTGTTCTTATCGGCTCAGCGATTCAAAAAGTGTCCGTGATGGTCGTGCAGCCAAAGCTGATTCCACAGGTAGAAGTGAATTAGCAAACGAATGTGGGTAAAGTCGATTTAGAGAAAGTCAGGCAAAAGTGCCAAAAATCAATGAGAGGCTGGTAGCGTCGGGACCTGCGACACGGTCCAAAAGGGGGAGGGGTGGGGAGGAGATCAAATAAAGGGGCAGTGAGAAAGTGCTCAATGCAGGCGTTCAAGAGCGGCGCGGCTGGACAATGAGTCCAGAGCGGGAACAGATCTTTGGCTGATAAAGAAGAGAGAAGTGGAGGAGGGAAAGGGAAAAAAGGGAGGAAATGAAGTAAAAGTAAGTGATTCCATTAACGAGAGGATCGGGGAATGCATGTATTGGTATTACCAGTATTTTTTGGATTTAAATACTTCCCGTTTTCAGTTTTGCCTGATCTAAGGTTTATGGATATATATGGCTATAACTGTTTTATTTTATATTTATATTTGAAATTTGATGATACATTTGACTGATTTGATTTGATTCTTTTGAGGAGATAGATAGCCTTAGACATACAGTATTATTCTTCATCTTTCTTCTTCTCCTTATACTCGTCATGTCGATCATAACGGGAAAAAGGAATGTTATAGGAAGAGATCATCCTATACCGACTCCGTTACCCATTGGGATTCAATACGATCAGCAATCGAGCACTGGAGATCCTCATTTTCCCTGAAGCCCTCTGCATTGATAGGCAGGTAGCCTCTTAGTTATTTTCTTTCTCTCGTACTCGAGGTGAACTAGTATTTGATATTCGTTTGCATCTATACCTAGTTGTTCCTAATGCGGTCAACCTTGGAAGCTACATGATCATCTCACGCTAGATCGAAAAAAGCCTGCGTGTGGGAACAGGGTCAAGGTCCGATATGTTCCTATGATATGAGAAACGTCGATCGATTACTGAGGTTTACTTCCCGCTTTGGAAATGTTTAGTAGTTCGGTAGTTCGTCCACTAGTATTGATACTACCAACGTCTGAATAGAGACCCTTGTGGGTTAATAGAAGAGAGTTCCGAACCTCATCAAGCCGCGTAATGTTCCCATCATTATGATACTGGGTTCAATAATTACTATAAAATCACGTCACTAAAACGTCAAACTCATATGAGAATACTAGACGATACAGACACTTGATTGCCATGTGCACGTCACACTGACCAGTTAGCGAACGGCAGAGGGGCTAAAAGTGGTCCCTCTAGTCCCACCGACGCGTGTCGTCGTTACCTTTTTGCCTCATCATTCATTCTGTTCCTCTTTGACTTACCTCTTTTCCAGCCAAATCTACTTTTGTCTGGAATGTTCATATTGCGCGAATTGAACTGAAGTTGTATTTAAATTCAAAACCTTGACTTCATGTTCGTATAAACCCTAGTTATAAATTGTTTAATTTGGTGGCGATACCTATCTAATTCCCACGGCGTACTCCGTTGTGGGAACCGAACCATTCACCTCCTGCGTTCATGGGCTCAGTCCTCGTCCTTTAGTCGTGAGAAATATTGTACGATTGTTCTATATATTCAATTTCCGTTTATAAAACATGTTTCACTCGATCAAGGTTATGTTGTACTCGGCGAATTTACCTACGTATTTTTGTGGTCATTTTAACATTTGAGCTAGAGCCATGTGTCTAGTACCTGTATCTATGTATGTACTGCGTACCTAGGTAGGAAATGACCTCGGAAATTGAGGGAAGGAAATGATCTTCCAACTACTAACTGATCATCCTAAGGGCGAATGGATAGAATTGGGCCTGGAAATCTTCATTTCTAACCTTGAACATTTGAAGTTTTTCAACCTTGGAACTGAGCCTGTCAAACATACACGACTATCTACTCATCAAGCCCTGAAGAAAAGACCAATAGATTATCTAACGTTGGCTTCAAGATGATATAAGCTCTAGCCCCCGCCTTGGCGATGCTGTCAGCGGAAATGAGTTGTGGACCTTGGATTTATGAGGGCACGACCTGCAATTTTACCAAGTAGTGAACCAGTATTTTTGTGTATCATCATTGGTGGAGTATAGTAGACCCTGGCGCCCCTGAATTTGAAAATTATGGGAACAGATCAACCGCCTGGAGAAAGAGGCCATATCTGTTAAGTATACCTAGGGAGTATCAAATAATCAGAATTTTCAATGACACTAAGTGTAAGAGAAAATAACTGCCCATGTTCCAGATTAAGGTATGTGAAACGGACAGGACTTGGGTGTAAACCCCTAAGGTATGGAGTGTAAATAGGGGTAGCGCGGTAAATGAGGCCATTTATCGCCATTTCCTTACCAAATGTCGGTGTTACGCCAAGGATCTAAGGTTCTCGCATTCCAAGGTTGTCAATTTCGCCTCCCGTTGTTCTAGAATCATATCGATAGATGATCCAAATCCTGTTGGAAAATCGGGGGAAAATCGGGGGAAAAAAAAATTCATCAACGCAATTTAACCAAGATCCCACGTTTTGGATATATCAGTGACACACGCAGGAGTGAGAAGCTGCCGCAGCTAGATGAAGCGCTAGATGAAGCGCTAGATGAAGCTATTCCATCTCCCTTGAATCTCATAGAATGCTTAGGTGGCTTCAAAATATAAGTACACACCGAATTTTCTTAGAATGCAAAATGTAGTATATTCATGGTATCTCGTGGGTTTTTACAAGGAACACCTGCTACCTATGTGTTTCATAAAGCTATGCTACAGTCATTCATCAGAGGCACCTTCACGATCATCAAAAATCATGAAATCATCGTGGTCGACCTCATCGCCTACAATCTTTACCCACGCCTGTTTGACCAGATCAATGGTCTCATCCTCGAAAGTTAGATCGAGGCTTGGCGGTGGGAAGCTATAGACATGAGGTCTATATTCTTGGATGGCAGAATCAGTGCCACCGTTAGTGAGACGACCAAGCTGGTTGTAAGTTATGGACCACAGGACGGTAGCCTGTGGACCCTCCGCCTTGAGAAGATGATCAACCGCAGATTTGATCAGTGTCTGACCTTCTGACCCGGGAACATTAACACTGCCGTAGATAATACCTGGAAAGGAACATTGTTAGCCGCATGAACGAAATACAAGTCCAATAAAATCACAAATTAAGAGGTGATGCTCGAGATCAGTTGAATAGATAAGTTTTCATCAATGCAGTTCAGGCAATGTAGATAAGTTAAGAAAATCATCATGCGAGCGAGGGGAGGTGAAACGATGACAAGACGGGTAAAACTTACTCTGCTGTCGTGGGCAATCCCCAGTATCACTCGAATGGACTTGTAGATACACCGGTGGAGTGTGAGAATCACTCAACGTATTGCCAGGAAACATCAGAACGGCACTTGCCGGTACGGGGCTACCCTCCACTGTGACGGGAAAGAGGAATGTGAAATTAGAAGAAACAATACTGATCGACCGTGCGATCTTGGAAGAAGGGAATGATTGCTTCTGCGCAAGATCCCATTCAGAACCGAAGACAAACTTGGTCCGAACAGACTCCTCGCTAGAAAGTTGGACTTGGACGGGATACTCTGCCTCAGAACTAGTCTCGTCGAAAGCCTTGATTCCCGTATTCAGGGCATAAATACCTCCACCAACAGCGGAGGCCCGACAGGCAATTTGAAGGATTTCTGACCCACCACCATACTTTGAGATCACGGCACCAAAACCAGGTCCTAGAGCGCCAATGGATGCCAGATGTCTCTTGACCCGCGGAACAGCATAATTAGCAGTTGTATCCTGAGAGGACAGTTGTGACAACGAAAGAGAGATTAAAGGATTATGGAGATATTGGGGGACACTGAAATTGGATGACAGGTAATCCCCGAAAGACATAGACAAGTTCTCGCCTCCATTATCTGTCTCTTCATCTTCCACCTTGCTGATATGGCGCAAGAACTTCATCAGTGTTCGCTTAGATTTCATACTGATATGGGTATCCGCAAATATATCTTCCCTGTTTCCAGGTACGCGATGAAAATCGCGAATGTCACTGAAATCTGAAATCTGAGAATTTGTATGGTCTGCAGAGTGAACCCACCAACTTCCAACAGCCATGAACTCCAGCTGACGGTAGACTTTGGAAGATATCAGGATAGAGATTAGCTGTGAGCGGGTGTAGAGAAAGTATGGAGAGAGAGATAGTGTATAGGCCCGACTGGCAGCAAGCTTTGGGCGGACGACTGGTGGGACTTCCACCAGATCGCTGCTTTCAGCAACGGTTTGCGATGAAGCAGTGAAAACCTTAACATCTTCGAATGGAGACTGGCCAGGATCTACCATTTCAGAGAAATCAGCAACCAGCGGAAATACAGGACACATTATGTGGTGACCCACGTTCGTTGACACTGTTCATCCATTCCTGGGCCTCCTCCAGACTGAAAGCAGCTTCCGATCCTCCATAATATGGGTTCTGATCCAAGTGGAGGATCTTCTTTCCCGACCGAGAAAGAGCGCTTACAAGGCGTTAGTCGATGTGGACTTTCGTCCCCAGTGGAAGTCAACTTACAGTGCTAACAAGGACTGAGCCAGCCCAGTCCCTGCAATGATAACGTCCCAAGACGTCTCCGCCAGTGTCTCCATGCTGTCAATCAGACTCGAGATCTGAACTGTAAAATGTAAGTCGGTAGATTAAAGTATCGAGTCATGGGCTCGATTATAATGATATCCTCTAAAGTATTTCTGAGCTAGCAGAAGAGGAGGTATAGCCCAATGGGCTTGGATAGAGAATGAGAGAGAAGGATGAAAAAAACCAGGAGGTTTTTCTGTGCGGAAGGCGGTGGAGCTGACCTCGAATTGGAAGGTATTACGCTTTTAGGACTAGCTCTTGCTTATTCATCAATTCCCACTTTATTAGGGAAAATTTGCAGCGTTGAAAGTTCTTCCTTCATGCCACCCCCAGTGTTCTGCACAGCTCGGCTGTTATTCCAATGGCAAACCGGGTTTCCCAGCGTCATACCTTCACTGGGCTTCGCTATGGGGGTTGCAGATGAGAATTCACTCTGTATCTGCTGCTCTTGATGGTTCATTTGACAGAAGCGGTTCGTTTTGTAGTGATACATTCATATGCCAAAATCTGAAATTTTATTTACTTTCAATCAACTGGCTTTCGTGATCCGTAGTTCTTGTAGTTAATTTAAATGGGCTTAAGCCCGACGTCACATCTGAACGATGCAGGTAAAGGTAGCATGCTTTACTCGCACCAGGTCTTTGTTGAAGGCTCTGCTTCATCGATGCCAGGTATGCATTCTCAATAGAGCAATACCGCGTAATAAGCCCTTTGCCATGGGTGAATCAAGATCCTAAAAATGGCGGCTTCACTCCTCGTCTTCCAGAATTCTCGCTCGAATTATTTTCACTTCATCCAGAGGTCGGTCTTGGCCATTGGTCTTTACCAGTCCCATACGCTGAATTACTCGCATTCCAGTCTTGATTCGACCAAAGATAGTGTGCTTTCCATCCAGCCATGGTGTCGGAGCAAGACTGATGAAAAATTGACTGCCGTTCGTGTTCGGGCCACTGTTTGCCATGCTCAAAACTCCCGCGCCAGTGTGTTTTAGGTCTTCGCGGATCTCGTCTTCGAATTTCTCGCCGTAGATAGAGCTTCCTCCCCGGCCGGTACCAGTGGGATCACCAGTCTGGACCATGAAGTTGGGGATCACACGGTGGAAGATAACATCGTTGTAGTAACCTCTTTGCGCTAAAGTCGCGAAATTCTTGCATGTCTAATAGACCATGGAATCAGTATTATTCGAGGAGAGGGGAGAAGAGGTGAGAAGAAGAGGGGTTGAGCAAACCTTAGGCGCATGGGTGTTGTAGAGCTCGACGGTGAACGTGCCCTGTCAAGAGGGTTAGTCGCATGTCAAGTCAATTGGAAGATTCAGGTGAAACATACCATCGAAGTGTCGAACAATATCTCGGTTGCCATAGTGTATGGCGAATTGTGGATGTTCGTTGCGACTGTATTAAGTGAGAACTTGGACTAAGGTTCAAGCAAAGGCGGAGGAGAGGAGCTTGGATACTATAAATTTGGCACCCCAATAATTGACCGCCTTTCATGTTCCAGCTTACTTTGTATATAGGTTTTTGCGCAGCAGTATAAAAGTGGATCAAAAGTGGAGTTCCAACCTTTTACTACCCAGATATGACCACCAAACATAAAGATATCGACTACTACTCTGCTTTCCTCGCTCTCAGCCCATCTAAGTGGCTTGCTTTCATATACCATAGACAGCCGTAAACCTTCGAGTTTCGAGTCGAGGTTAGCGGGCGGATAATATAGCTTTCGAATACCAATCGGTGATCGATATGGTATAGATGGAGTACGATACAAAGGCTTGAGTCGAAGCTCACTTCAGCTCGTCTACATAAACAACCATGCATATATGACATTTCAGCAATCCTCTTTAGAAGATAGCCCTGGAGGCTGTTTCCATTGAAGATCAGATTTTTGTCATAATAAGCAAACAATCAACGATATAATTTATATCATATCAAACCTCGGAAGAATGAACCGAATTCTCGCCTATGAGTTCTCCTAGAGAGAGTGAACTTTGGAAGTCTGCAAGGAATAATGCAATGCACCTAGGTAAAATATTACCTAACATTATCTTTGTAAACGTTGAATTCAAGAGAAGGTGCTATAAACCGAAGCCGAGTGTGGCATGCCATCGGACCACACCGTTTACAAACCTTGGAATGATTCAAAAGTAATCTTGAGTATCTGCCTCAAGTTTTACTAGCTCTATTTATAGCCTTGTTCTATTGACATGATCAGTTACATTGTTTGCAAGCTCCAGAAAAAGTAACTGGACATTATTAAGCTTTTGTAACCAGTCAACTTCATGAAAAGCTTTCTCCTAAAGCTCTTTCATTTCATCTTGATATCTCAAACCTTAAACTATATAAGTTTCTTTTCACTTTTCAGGTAGAGATCAGTCAGGTAGCTCTACCTACAGCTTTGGAAATATACCCGAAGAAGTACACTAGTCAGTCTTCCATAGTCTTTTTCTGCCAAACAAACGCAGAGCTAGACTTATCCACATTGTCGCTCGCTTAGCGAGCGTAGCTAGCTAATCGCTCGTTACTGAGAACGGTGAGCTCCAACGAACCGCTACTCAACACCGTAGAAAATCCACCGGGTGTAGTGGATGCTACGATACTGAATATTGCGGTTGTTGTGAAGTCTGCTTTTTCATTGATGAAAGAACTAGCTACTTATAGTATATGGGTGCCCCTCTGCCCTGGACGAATGTCAACATTCGTCCGAGACAGAAGAGACGGTGAAGACGGGACATTACTGTCGCGAATGCACATCGCTCAAGGGTGTCGTTTGCGATGAATGCATATCGTTCAAGGATGCCGTGATATACTAATCTAGTTCCAGAGTCACTGTCTCGGCAGAAGCTTTTTCGGCCGAAATACTTTCCGTCTGTTGATGGCCTTGTTTCTCGGCTGTCGCAACACACATACTTAATGATGACATCTTCTCCAGCATGGTGTAGGGCCAAGCCATTATGCCGAAGACTTTGCGCATGTAATAACGTGGAATTTAGGTGCTAATTCCCAGGCTGGTCAAAGCTATGATATAACCAGATACATGGGTGGTAGAAGTTAGGCATCGTCAAATGCAGCACCTATTCTAACCATCTTAACGTTTGATACAGCTCCACAGTAGCTACTGTACGGTAATGACCTTTGACGCATCTTCTGTTGGAAAAAGATTAAGTCTGCCTGCTTCATCTGACAATTTTAATGATGCCATATGTCATGCAAAAATGAATGTAAGTATTCAATACCGCCTTATATTCGTATAATACTTTTCATCTTATCTCCATGCGATATTGCGTTTCGTCTGATTGTCTATTTAAATTAGCTGGTTTTCCTAGATCTAGCTAGAAGCAAGCTTGTTTTTTATATTGGTCAAGTCATATTCTTCCATTATCTAGCCATTTGCTCTTTGGTTTGATATTGTATAACCCTGGAGATTGGGTACCTCCAGCCTTAGATAACTCAGGTCATTCTTAGAAAGGCATCTCCAATTCAATTCTTCATGCATTAACCCCACGATCTAATTCTACTATCATAAAAGAAGGGCTTCCGCTTTTAGACTTTGAGCACCTGCAAGAGAATATTAGTTCAGAGTCAATGCACGAGGCGCTATAGAGTAACTGTTGTGGCACTGACTTGGAAGTATGATCAAAATATAATTTCCAGAGTATATTATTTGGATTCTTTAAAGCGCTGTATTTATAATATACTAAAATTACTAGGTAGTCGCCTGTTTTTTTAGGGAGTGATTCGTAGATTACGAAAAATTGTAGTATTGAATTGCGGATAAAACGCTTTACCTAATCAGGTTTATGCGATGTGGAATTACAGTTGTGTTGTTTGTTTTAACGCCCCCAGATTTTGTCATGTGTTTTGATCTCCCCGTCAGCTTCGAACTCACTCTCCACATCCATTTGTGAGCCATGGGAATCATCTGAATAGCCAACAATAGGCCAGTCAATTTCTTGAGGCCACTCGTGAAGACCACTCGTGAGATCGCCGATCATGTCCGACGTCAGCCTCCTCGCGGAACTACTGGGGCACGTTTGCTATCACTTTGACCGTATAAAGCCTCTCCTCCCTACCTACGGCCACTTACTTGTCGCTTCTGTTTTCCCAATTTGGATTGGAGCACATTCATCTCTCTCTCGACCCTCTTCTGCAGCCAAACCTCCCAAGAAAATCTCCGATAATGATGACGACGATAGCGATATCGATGAAGATAACCAGGGCCCTGTCAAAAAAATGGAAGGATTGCAGCCCTCAGATGCTTTGATGTTTCCGCTTACAGCTGGAGCGACACTGGGCGGTCTGTATATGGTGATCAAGTGGCTCGAAGACCCTGCGATCTTGAATAAGATCCTCAGTTTTTACTTTTCTCAGATGGGTCTATTTTTTGCCATCGCCTTTTTAAAAGATACGTTGTTGGTTCTGCGGTCGATTTTCTTCCCAATGTACTATCGTTCGGGTGGCAAGATGTGGCACGCAAAACAATCTGAGCGTATATTCGTCAGCCAGAAGACTGGGCAGTCGGAAGGCACGCACATTCGGCGTTCACCACTTCCGGGAATGCTTGGTGCAATTCCGTTTCCAAAAACTTTTCTAGCATTTATGTGGACCTGTCGTAATGCTTCCTACCAGCGCCTCCGTCTTCGATTCTACATACGCGGTCTTTTTGACAAAAAGCCCCTCGTAGGTCTTCTTGACCTACTGAGTGGAATCTTCGCCTTGGTTACTGTGGGCTACTTTGCCTTTGTCGCAAAGCCATGGTGGTTGACCAATTTCCTGGGATTCAGTTTTTCTTACGGAGCTCTGCAGTTCATGTCCCCATCCACCTTTTGGACGGGATCCTTGGTCTTAGGATCCCTGTTTTTCTATGATATCTATTTCGTATTTTTTACCCCACTCATGGTCACTGTTGCCACTAAGCTAGATGTCCCGATCAAGCTGCTCTTCCCCCGACCAGCAAGCCCAGGCGAAGAGGCATCTGGTTTGGCCATGCTGGGTCTAGGAGACATTGTCATTCCAGGAATGATGGTTGGTCTTGCATTGCGTTTTGACCTTTTCCTCTATTACCATAAAAAAGGGATTCAAAAGGCAAGAGGGGAAGGCTCAAACGAAGTGGCTGTCAAGCCGCAGTACCAACGAGTAACTGGCTCATGGGGCGAGCGATTCTGGGCACCAACAGTGCGGCCGCAATACCCGGAGTTTCAACCTCCATACTCTGATGCGCGCTCCTTTCCCAAACCTTACTTCAAAGCTAGTATCGTTGGATATGTTGTTGGGATGGTCACCACTTTGCTCGCCATGCAGTACTCGAATCACGCTCAACCTGCCCTTCTGTATCTTGTTCCAGGTGTTCTGATCTCCTTATGGGGAACAGCATTCTTCAGGGGTGAAATCCGCAGCATGTGGGATTTCTCTGACGCCGAAGAGGAAGAAGAAGAGGAAGCAGGCGATAAAGTCAAGGGCTCCACCGGGGAGTTGATGGCCGACAAGGAAGAAACCGAGCAGGGAGTATTGGGCCTTTTTTCAAAAATGCTGTTTGGTGAATCGAAGTTGTCCACATCCAAAAGTGATAGCTCTAAGAAGGAAAAGACAAAGGAAGACGTCGACTCCAAAACGGCTTCAACCGAAAAGTCCCAGAGCCTTGATTTGTTCAAGACGAAGGTGAGTAAAGAGCAAGATGATTTGACGTTGGTGTCATTTTCTGTATCCCTTCGTCGCAAGCCGCTTGAAAAAGAAGAACCCGAAATCGTCACTTTCCCCAAGTTCATTGACGGAGATGAGGAACCGCCTCTGAAGAGGCGCCGCGGAAGTCCGCAAAAGTCCTCTGCCTGATACCCAGGTCTGTGTTGAGACACATTAAAATCCCTACTAGAAATTTAAGGCTAAAAAGAAAGCGGAAAATATGATAGTCATTCAATTCAATATGGCTCTTGAGTGATATTCGCCGAAGGCAATGTAATATTTGTAGCAAGTTGGTATCATGATTTATCTTCTACATTTAACATTGGTCAAGTATCTCCTTCATCTTATCCCACCTCTGGCCCGATAGCTCCACCAATTGTCGAAGCTCCTCGGTATCGACCTTCCATCCTCCATGTTTTTCCATATGCAAGATGACGGTCTTGCCATTCTTCTCTTTGTCAACAACGATACAAGCCCGCTCCTGACTCAAGCCTTCCTCATAGCCATCTGGATCTGCCAGAATCCAATTTTTCGGAGAACTGTTCTTCCGCTGGTTCTGGTTTTTCTGCTCCTCGACATCTGGGAGGACAACAGCTCGCCAGCTGGCAGCAGCATCAGCCTCAAAGACACAGAATGAGCTTGAAACAGGCAATCCCCGCAGAGAAAGTTTGCGAGCATCTGCAACATTGTCGGAGCATAGAACGGTCTCATGCTCAGTGTCCCACCAGGCCTTGGGGAGCTTGGTATCACGTAGAGCAGCTATAACAGCAGCCCATGCCGCATCAAAGGGGTTACCGGCAAGGGAAATCATCATGATGTCAATATAGAGAACCCAGAATGCTTTAATCTCCCGAGGCTTGCCATCGAGATCTTGATCCACATCCATTTTCTCGTTTTCATTATGCGGCTTTTGATCCTCTGTATCCAGATTCAGTGGCTGGTACCAAATACGCAAGTCATCTGCTTGAACCAAGCGTGTTCTGTGCAGGAGAGAAAGAATCTGATGAGATACTGACTGGGCTAGCGACGAGGGCGGAGCACCAGCAGTAAAGCCGGGCGCACAGCCAGTGCTCAAAGAAAGATTTGGAACAAGCAAGTTGAGGTCTTCAATGTCAGTGTCATCATTTTCATCTTTATTTTCCTCAGTGAGACGTCGGCGCTTGTTGGTATTTGTGTCTGCGTCGGACGAATTTGACACACTCCACGAGGCAATATCATCAGTGTGTAGAATTTCAGCACGGACACCGCACACCGCAGCAGTATCACCAATGCGCACAACAGCGCTACCATTGGCATGAGTTAAAGAGCCTGCATTGGCAGATGTGACTCGAAATTGTGAGGGAGCACGACCGTTGGCGCGGATGGAAGGTTGGTTGCTTGATGCTGGCGGAGAGAGATGGGCGAGAAGATAGGCGTGAGGTTGGAGGCGGGCGAATTGTGATGGAGGCAGTGACAGGGATGGTGGCACTATAGGTGCCGTTGTTTTGGAAGAAGCCATTACTAGCAGTAAAGATAGTACTGTCAATGCATAAAAGATCAAGCAGGAAAAGCGAGATCAAAATCGCATTATTCTGCCTATCGGGCGGTCTGATTTGAGGCCTGAGGCCAAAATCAGATCTATCAACACCTACAATGAAACACCAACAATTTATTCTTCTATGTGGAATTTCACATGAGTCATGAACAAAACCATCCTCAAATGATTCTTTCCTAATGAGTCTGACAAGTCAACTCCAAAAGCTCAAAAATTGGACTTTGGGAGTCTCAACTTGAAGTACTCAATGAAGAGGCCTGCTTACATCTTACTATCAACGAACTGAAATTAAGCGCTGAACTATGGTGTTGAACTCTAATCATAGCTTCGCCATCTATGATATTCTATGATAAGGAAGTATGGCTCTTAAATAGTCTGAAGTGGTTCTCGAAATGGATTATCTATACTGAGCTAATGCAGCCCAGTCACACCGAGTCACCAAGTCCACAATTGGCGCTTTTCTAATTGGTCTAGAAGGTGCTTAACCATCACATATCATCCGCAGTTCACTCAATTCCAAAGTGATCATGGCAAACACACAGACGGAGTGACAAAAAACTCATATATCCTCATGGCTCTCCAGCTTTCGATTGGCCGGATGTTGGAAGATTTCAGGTCATGGCCAATCCCACCCATCCATCACACTAGGGCTTGAGTGACCCGCCTTGCTTATAAGGACAAGGGTTCCCATTTTTGGGGGTTCAGTACCCCTTTGCCAGAAAATTTCAAAAGCTTCCTGTGGAAATATGAGCTTAATGTTGCTATAGCAGTACGGGAGGGCGACTTCTCATTCTCTAATATCACGATAAGCCAAAATAGAACGACAAAAGAACAGGTAAACTGAACATATAAAATTTTTCATGATTTTCAAGGGCTTATTAGATGCAAAAAGTTCAAGAGACAACCCACGAGCAAGGCTCCGCGGATAAGTAAACTTCACCATGGCGGAATCAATCACCTCTCTTGTAAAGAGAGTATATGTCGCAGTTACGGCATCGACAACTCCAGCCGAGCAGGCTGAAATGCTGCGAGACCCCTTTCTAAAATCTAGGAAATATGGATATGGATTCACATACTTCGCAATCATCCTACTGGTCCTTACGTCTTTCATTCGATTGTACCATATCTGGGGCGATAAAATCCGAATCGCCCTATACAGAGAGCGTCGATCAGGTTCTGAAACCCCAAGTGCAGACTTTGATATTTCAGCTGCTCAAACAACGACCTCTTCGCCTCCAAAGCGTGATTCGGTTTTACACAAGATACTTCCGCTTCACAAAATCATTGCGCTCATGCGCTGGATCTTCTACCGGCCAATACCGTCCCTCAAGATTGGCAAGATAGAAGTGGTGTTTCCATCTCTATCAGTGACGGTCATTGTTTTGGCGGCAATGATCTTCGTGACATTATACTGCTTTTTGCCACAGCCTTTATACTACTGGTCGATATCTCTAGGATCCCCACCACTTGCAATTCGTGCGGGCATGCTAGCAGCTGCCATGATCCCTTGGATTGTCGCGCTCAGTACCAAGGCAAATTTTATTACCATGTTCACGGGATTAAGCCCAGAGCGGCTAAATGGTCTGCACCGCTGGTCAGCCTACATCTGTCTGTTTCTTAGCCTTGTCCACATCATTCCATTTTACATCACTCCAGTTTGGACAGATGGTGCTGAGGTCAATTACCGAAACTTCATTACCCAGGGTATATATGTTTACGGGACAGGTTGGGCAGCAGCCGTGCCGCTTTTCATTCTGTGTGTTCATTCGCTTCCATTCTTGAGATATCAGATGTATGAGCTTTTTGTCATGATTCATATTCCTGTTTCTTGGGTGTTTCTGGCAATGCTGCTATGGCACACCAAAAATTGGCTTCAGTCTTGGGGTTATCTCTGGACTACGGTGGTCATTTGGATTCTTAGCTATCTTATCCGACTTTGGTATCTGAACTGGATGAATCCCTTTTGGTCTTCTTCGTTCATGATCGGAGAAGAATCGGCCGTAACATTGCTCCCACAGGGTGCCATCAAGGTGACTGTGCCAACAAGAATGCGCTGGCGCCCTGGCCAATACGTCTATCTACGCATGCCCGGGGTTGCTGTTTTTGATAACCACCCGTTTACGATTTCCTCACTCTGTAGTGATGACTTCCCATCTGCATATGGCGAAAAGTACCGTGATATGACCCTTGTTTTCCGGCCCTTCCAAGGTTTCACACGCAAAGTCTTGCGCGAAGCATTGAAAAATGGCCCACTCAAAATCTTTTCGGCATTTTTAGAGGGGCCATATGGTGGCATGCAACGTGAGATGGCTGCATTTGACGATGTAGTGTTCTTCGCAGGAGGAAGTGGTATCACCGCGATTGCTAGCCAGCTTCTCGACCTGATCAAGAAGATTCGGGATGGAAAGGCTACTATAAAGTCAATCAAGGTAGTTTGGGCACTGCGAAGTCCAGAGACCATGAGCTGGTTCCAAGAAGAATTGCGGATTTGCCGTGACAATGCACCCACCGATATCATGCAATGCCATTTTTTCCTTACCGGACTTGAACAAAATAACCAAACTGAGCGGGACTTGGTACAGGAGAAGATTTATAAGATGTTGCAAGGAATCGACAAGAAAAACGCAACCCACATCCAAGAAGAGGCTGCAGGCGATATGGAGAGAGAAAAGGAGCTACGCCACGAGAACGAAGACGGGATAACTGCACTACCAAGTGCACACATTTCCAATAGCCGACATTACTACCAGCCTCCAATGAATCTCTCAACACAGCAGACATATGCCCCCAGTCCAGGCTTTGACTTTGGATTTACTAGTCCACAGAGACCCATACCTCGTTATGCTTCTTTCCAACCGTCGCCGAAAAGAGATAACTGGCGGACTGACTACTTTCGCCCGAATATTCCTGAGATACTCAATGAGTACTCGAAAATCTTTGGCAGACGAGCTTGTGTCTTCGTGTGCGGTCCACCCAGCATGCGTGTTGAGGTGGCCAATACTGTGGCCAAGTTGCAGATGCAGGTACTCACAGATCCATCAAAAACCGAGATATTCCTGCATGCAGAGAACTACAACAACTAGTTTTGTCGATAGCTATACTGTTCTCGGTACATTTAGAGCTCGCGCGACTATCCATGTATATTTCTTTTGAATGATTAATGATTTGATTCCGGCTGAAGATGTTCATGAAATCTGGCCATTTATAATTAACATTGCTTCTTGTTGGCTCATCTAATTGCTCGTACTCCTAACCTTGGAAGATAAATCATGGGAATTCAATCAATTGATCACAATTCAGGCCGCGTGCATAATTCCTGAAGATACTCGGCTAGCCCTCAAGGGCTCCTTCTCTCAGGCTCTTGCTGAATTCATCTCGTGGGCCTTTTGAATGTAACCCCGGATCCGAGCACCTATATAGTCTTTTTGATGAAATAATTTAAGATCTGGACGTCTTGTATGATTGTCTCACAGAAACAAATATATGGACACAAGGGGACTTGAGAACAGGAATTGAGAATTAGGGACTGAAAGAAGAACTAAAACTATTTATAGTATATGCATAAGCTGACGATATCAAGAAGTATATAGCATAAACAAATAATATCAACTTCAGTGAGGCGGACTCACAACGTGCTCATCGGCTTTGCGCTTCCTCGACGTTCCTTCATTCTCAAGCAAGCGAGACTCACCTAATGTTTGAACTCCATGGTCCCCTTCATCTCCATCTTCTACCTCGACCTTTTCCCAATCTTCATCGTCTGCATCATTAGAAGATGTGCTTCTGGGAGCATTTGGATCGGCAGGAAGCTGTGTTCCCCCCCATTCCACATCTAACCGAACGATCCTTGCCCCAGAGGGCTTAAGCCGTCGGTAGTATCCTTCCACGACATCATCCTGCAATTTAAATCCGCGAGAGGTATACCACTTCAGCCCATCTTCATTCGCTTCATGCACGTGGGCCGTCACCGAACGAATATTATAGTGCTTGACAAGCCCCGAGACTTCAGATGGAGTCTTAGAGTCAGATGAGCCTTCATATAATAGAGAATTTAGGAGTGCTACTGCGACTCCGTGGCCACGATAGGGAGAGAGAAGATGGAGAGTTTGAATGTAGAGATTCGTAGCAGTTTCGTCAGTCCCCTGAGAGAGGTCTGGTCTCTCTAGTCGACAAAGAATACCCCCAATAACCCTGTCTGTTCCCATAGATGATCCGTTTTCCTGAACTTCAGCTATTGGATGGTCATGATAAATGGCGACGCGTGAGAGAGACGCGATGACAGGATCTGTAATGGTGGCCGTGTAGAACGAGTTTGGGTAGCGGATGGGCAACAACAAGCATGTAACCCGCGTCAAGGAAGGTATATGCGCGGTCTTCACAGTTTCTATCGTGATTTGCGGATGAGGAGTCGCGTAGCCTGCAGGAATCACATGCTGATAGGGAGAGAAGGACTCCTCGCGTTTATGTGTTGGATCAGAAGTCGAGATAACAGATCGCGGTGGCTGTAGTGGCGGCGGGTGAATGGGAGGGTAGTTATGTTGGCGATTTACCAGAGGAGAAGGCGAAGTAGATGAAGAGGTAGACCGCGATTGCGTCTTAGCAAAAAACTGGTATGCCATTGTCGTGATGCTTGTCGAGTGAATGCGGAGATGCGACGATAGACGATAAGCGATAAGCAGAGAACACTTTGATCCTGATTAACTCCAACTCGACGGAACCACAAGGCTCCTCAATCGGTTTAGTGCGATTGTTCCTCCCTCATAGCTATTTACCTGATCTATGCACTTCTACTTCCAAAAGGGTTGACCCTTCTCGACTTTGACTTCGACTTCCACTTTTTCCCCCATTGCTCCTCCCCTTATTGGTCCCACCCTGTGGTGGATCACCTCATTCACTCGATCCCAATCTCAAGCTTCCAATCCTGACTCTCTATTGAGTCGCTCTTTATTCTCTTTTGGATCTTCTATGTTCCTCTATCCTCTTCATTTCGGACTCATTCCGACACTGCGCCGATTCGCATCTCGCTGCATAGTTTTGCAGTATATGGACGATTAGGGTCTCACGTCGGCGCAAAAGTGTTTGACCGTGTCGCCGCCACGACTCCGAAAATGGCTGGCTCTAACGCTACAACTTACCGGCCGAGCTATCCTGCCGGCACCATTGCCAAAGTGGTATGTGTTTGTGTGACTCGGCAGTGTTACCTCATGATCTGCTAAACTTTTATCTCCTTTCGCAGTCGACAGACATCCTGAACGAGACATTTCATAATATTGTCCATGATCTGGTTGCAAAGGTCCACCGTGACGAGAAGATGGCGCGGATGCGCTCCGCGGTGGTTATCGCGAGACAAAAGGCCGAGGAAGAGGCGACAGTATTGGACGAGGTCGCGAGCAAATCGGTCGCCGATGAAAAGACCAAGGAATTTGTCATCGATGCTACAAAGCTGGCGAGTATCCACCTGGAGACTGATGCCGCCATCTTCGATCGCGGAAAAGTGCACCTAAAGGGCAATCCTATGAGCACGATCAAGGAGATTATCTGCCCGGAGTGTCGTCTGCCACGTCTTTCATATCCTCCAGTTGGTGCGGGATATCGCCCTCCCCCAGACCCAAACAAAATATATTGCCAAAATGGGCCGTATATCACGCTCCCGGGTCATGATGTGCATGGCAAGATGTTTGCAGTAATGCCAAATCCAAAGAAACGGAAGAACGAGAAAGATAGCTCAATTCCAGAGATTCCAACCAGCAAGTGCCCTCTTTGTCCTCGTTATTTCGTCATGAATCGGGTTGCGCAGCATTTAGATCGGTGTATGAACATCTCAGGCCGGGGCAGCAGCAACCGCAACAAGACACCCACAGATAGTGGTGCAAGTGGCGCCAGTAGCCCAACATCATCCGCCCCAAAGCGTGCACACACCGATGAGGACGAGGGCAGTCCCAGCCCAACTAAGAAGAAGAAGCTGAACACCACAAAGAAGGGTTCAATGAAGAAACCCGGCCCTAGCAAACTCAAGAACTCTTTCACCGTGGAAGAACAGGAAGACGATATCAAGAGCGAGAATGCAGATGCTTGAGTTGGCTGTTCTATTTTTTATTAATCTGGTGTCAGGATGGGATCATTTTGCTATTTTTTTTTTCGGTGGCGAATGGTTTTGCATTTTTTAGCAGTCAGTAGTGTCTTACAGATCGATTACATCTGAGTTGATGTCACTTTCAAAGTGAATTATGATACCTAAACCCACGATAAGCGTATAGGAGTAAAGTGAAAATGATAGTAAAATTGATAGATCATGCCCCATTCACTTTCCTCTCTAGCCAGAACCGGAACCGCAATTTAAATTGAATAGAATCTTATTGATAAAAATTGAATCCTGATACTAGATACAGTAATCAGAAAACAGTATAATAATCATCTCAGGTAAAAGCCCATGATATAGTTACTGAATCTTTACCAACTGTTTGGATACACTTAATCTATTCCTGAATTGTGACAGCATACATGATTAAAGCTTATCCACGCTCGAAGATGTCCACGATTTGGGTGTTGATCGTTGCCTGGTAGCTTTTTATGTCCTCGATGAGTAACTTGACCTTAGAGGATTAGGAACCTTGAGCTCAACATTCTAGAACCCAATCATTAGCCCCCAAAAAGGAAATAAGAGAAGCCCTGGAACCTTACCTCGCGATATTTCCCCTCAATAAGCATTTTCAAAAAAGACTTCAGAACAACCGTCTCGTCACAAAGATATTCAAACAACGCATTCGATACATCCGTCTTATACGTCGCCAAGACACTTTCCAATTCCTCGTAGACAATCGCCCACCCCCCATAATTTTCTAACCTCATCCCATAGAGAAGACTAGGAACATGGCACTGGAGTAGAGTATGGCTGGTGAGGTTCCAGACAGAGGACAGGTCATCTGTTAAAGTGAGACTACCGGGGATCTCCCAGTCAAGGTTATATCCTTGGGTTCGTAGCGTGGATTTGTGGAATTTAACTCCACCAAAGTCCCGAATAGCGAAGCCTTTAATTTTTCCGGTGTCACGGCAGAGACGTACCACGGTATTTTGGGCATGCGCCTCGAGAGCGATGCCGTGTCGGACAAGAGGGTGGAGAATGAGCTTGAATAGGGAGCTTAAGTAGCTTTTGTGACAAATTAGTACGTGACCGGGACATGTATACGTAGGTAAACCTTGGAATATAATTACGTCCGAAACCACACTTTCCGCTCCTCGACACTTTCAAGCTTGAATAACCTCTCTGGGTACGTTTTCCCATCCTTAGGGTGCTGCTCCATCAGTGCTGCTGCAACCACCAAGGTTTCATTATTGAGCCTGGCTCTCGGTTCTAGATCCTCCCTTAACACGCAGCTGAATTGTTTTGCGGCATCAAAATTTTCTTGACGCCCTGTAATAGCAGCGACCTCTCTGAACACCCACAGATCCACCGGAAGCAGTTTCTGCAGCAAATTAGATATTGCTAATCCCTGACCCGTTGTCCACGGTGTTACTGTCCGAATTGCAGAAGTAATTTGGCATGCAAGCGCTAACTTCAGGTGGTAGTTAAACTCTAACTCTGGCTGTAGGGATATGGTGCGTAGTGAAGCCTGGGCGCTAGCTATGGAGGCTCGTTCTGCAACAACGACGGCATTTTTGAAATTTTTGATGATAGCGGGCACTTGCTGTGTTAGACATGGTACTAGAAGTGTGTTTTTAGCTTTTGGATTGGGAATTCCGAGCTTGCGGAGGAGTGGTTCGAGTGTTGCTTCGAATGGACCGGTAGTACGCATGTCGCGATGGAGAACCGAAACAAAAGACAGTGAGGGTGCAATCATCTGCGGAATGTGTGCTGGAAGTACTGGCTCCAATGGAGGAGTAGCCCAACATGACCTATGGAACTATACTTGGTTAGTCTTCGTTTAGCAGTGATGTGGCAGAGCTTCACCAACCGGATGAGTTTGATGGCCAAAAACTATTGAACGTTCCCAGGCAATCATTGGGGAGTCTAGAGGTAAAAGAAAATGATATCTGCTCATTTCCAACCACTTTTCTAGAAGCTGTTAGCTCTACTTGTGATCCAGACATTGAAGTTGGCCCAATGTCTACATACCCTGCATCCTGGCAGTATCTCCTAACTGATCAGCCAGTGTCTCGAGAACTCTCTCTTCTGTGATATGTGTGAACCAAGAGATAATAAAGCGGAATATCGCTCCTGGTTCCAGTTCTTCTGTCTCCGAGGCTCCCTTGCCCAGAAAGACGGGTGGTTGTAGACATTCAGGCCGTAGAGGTGGAAGGACTTGGGTTCCCTCTGTTTTGATGAATGTGTCATGACGAAGATTGACCTGAATCCATATATCCTTGTCATCATTGCTCTTTTGAAAATGGATTTTCTGGTGGATTAAAATTGCAATTGCAAAGCCCTCATTCACAAGCTGCGCCAGAAGGCGTTTGGTTGTCTCGAAGCGGCTACGATCCTGGATGGTAGACACGGTCATGATGAATAGCCGGGAATTTGTATTAGAAGATTAACAATGTCCTTTGGCTTGCGGGATTCAAATGTTCTTTTTCTCTTAATTGTTAAGCGAAGCGAGACTGTTATTGAACCCACAGTTCCTTGAAGTGCTGCAATGACTAACAAGTTTATGACTGATCAAAAAACCAGAATTATCAAGTTTACTACTTCCTTCAACTCTTTCTTCTTTCATTTTGCTATCTATGGTCGAATCTACCTAAAATATCTATCAGTTCCAGATAAAGAAGTTATCTGGTCGCTGTTTAGGTTTTGGGCGAATTGATTATACATTAGGGTTATGGTGTAGGTCTGAAGTCTTTCGCCGCGACTATGGGTTCTCTACTAGAAATATATGAGCAGAGAGTTGAGTAGAGAATTAAGCAAAGAATTGAGCATATAACTAAGTATAGAGTGATAATGGAATATTTGGAATATAGAATTGAGCATGGTTCTATATTGACCGCCTCCACGGCAGTGGCCCCGGAGGGCCAGCGGAGCGGTATTTTAATAATGCTAGAGGGCTCAACAATCCAAAGCAATAGCCTGTGCAAAAGACTAGTATAATCCCAAAACTCTATGTTGGGACCCTAAATTGGACATATCAAGAAATGAAGAGAAAACGCGTATATGGATTTATTTTGGCCCGAAGATTGATAACTGTCACAGTCTAGCTAGATCAGCTATTCCAATCTTGGCATGTAGCCTTGAAGCCTTTCTGCCAGTGGCCTCTACTACGGGTTTAAATGTGAACCGGCATGGCCCGCTGAGATGGGATTTGAGATGTCTCATGATCGTCCTATGTAGCTATGATTTCATTCCGGTGCGTGGCCTCGCGTGATAAGTTTCAGGCAGGGTTTAATAAGGCTGTAATGTCTGTTCATAGTACCAAGTACGTAGTCATATCCATAAGGGCTACTCAGGGATTTCAGACGAAGTAGCTAGCTTACGACCTAGTGGAGAACTTTTATATTAATCCTGAACTTCCACTATTATCAATCTATAGAAACTGGCTTCCATGGTTGCGAGTACAATGACGTTGTGGCGAGATGACGTAGATTGGCTGATAGAGTTGTATTGATTCCTTAGCCTAACGTGTTTTTAATAGTATGTAGTTTACCCCACTTTGCTTTTATTTATTGTATTTCTTCCTTCTAGCATCCTGTATTATAATCAGTATCTTTTTTATCTTTATTCAATCGAGCTCAAAGTGACTTACAGCAGCACATTTGACCAGTCAAATCCTACTACATCATGGCCGCCGTCTCAATCAGCGCACCTGGTATGAATAGTGGCCTCTTGTTCAACAATGGTAACAACAATGCGCGCGTGGTTGTAACTGGTGACGCTGAAAGCCCGGAGTTCGTCCAGGACTGCTCCGAAGAGGGATTCGATGCAATCTATGTGCCACTAGCGGGTGGTGGAATCCAATACTTCGACAAATTGAAGGCTGTGAAAGAAGGTCTAGGTGTTGGAGAAAATTATGCGATAATCGGTATTTTTTTTCTCTGCAAAATTCAAAATAGAGTTGTAAGAAAGCTAACTTTTTATAGCATTTGGTGAAGCTGCTAGTATCTGTCTGGAACACTATATGCAATCAATGAATGCGAGCAGGCTCTGCGCACTTGTTGCATACTACCCCACCAGGATCCCTGACACGCGCAAAGAATTCCCACTTTCCCTACGAGTCGTCGTTCATCTTGTAGGAACACAAGTACAGGTTGTCACTTATCCTACCACCCTAGGGTTGCAGGGAAGACAACGCCGGAGGACACGACACCTCGATCCTGGTATTGGAACAAGTGAGCGCTTGAATTGGGCCTACCCGGCATACACCTATTGGGCCGAGAGTGGGTTTGCAGAAGAGAACGTGGACGCTTATAACCATCTGTCAGCGAGTCTAGCATGGACACGAACGTTGCAGGCTTTGCGAAAGGGCTTCTCGAGAGATGCTGACGGTGACTTGGAAAAACTGGTGGATAAACACCAAGAAGCCAAATACTTTAAGAAAAACGTTTCCAGAACTCTCGATACATATGACCAGGTCACGCCAGCAGTAGTCACCTATGCTTCAACTTTGAGTGGTGGAATTGGCACAGCGGCTCTACGCCATTTTTACGATCATTATTTCCTGGGCGAACTTCCTCCGTCGATGAAAATCCGCTTGATTTCACGTACCACCGGGGCAGATCGTGTAGTTGACGAGCTACACGTGTCATTCGACCATACCCAGGAAATGCCATGGATGCTCCCAGGTGTTCCTCCCACTAACAAGGCGGTCGAAATTATAATTGTCAGTATCATCAGGATACGCGGTGGTAAGCTGTCGTCAGAACATGTTTACTGGGATCAGGCTAGCGTGTTAGTACAAATCGGTCTTCTTTCCCCGAAATTGATTCCTGGCACTGTGACGGGAGTCCATCGTTTACCAGTTGTTGGTTGTGAGGCTGCGCAACGTATTGTCAATGAGGATCCTATGCTCGAGGAAGAAAATTATCATAACAAAATGATCCGTGCTGCAAAGCGAAAGGCAAAGGCAAAAACAAAAACACCCGAACAGCATAAAGCCCACTCTGACCAGATGGCGGAGGATTCCGGGGTTGAAGTCAAGAGCGTGGCTGAACAGGGGAATAGAATGCCAGAAAAACAACCTGCTACATCCGAGAAAGTTGGAGAGGCCAATGGAGAGAATAATGGAAACGGAAAGGCTCACGAGACCAAGCCGTCTTCTGAGACCAAGAGAGAATTAACTGATCGATCAGCTTATATTGAAGACGGTAGCCAAGATGAGCAGTAAAGTGACCTGGGGAACAATATTTATCAAGCCTTAAATCTATTGATTTACAGCCAGTTTATGATATTTTTAGTCAGTGAATTGTCTCCAATTTGAAAGCTCAAGACGATTACAGTTATCTGTAAGCTGGTTTATTGTTTCGAGACCTATCAAGCTCTATAACGTGTTGTTAGCTACTTAAATCAACCAATGAAATACTATCAGGCTACAGCTATTTTTTGATGCCAAGGGACGTAGAACGCGAGTATTATGCGTGATCGGCCCGCTGTTCAAATACGTTATGCCTTGTTCTTCCTAGCCCTAACTAGGCTTGGCGCCAATATCTATAAAATGGTGGTGGGTCCCCAGAAAATGACTTCACTATTGTAGTTCTTTCCTCATCCTTCTCATCCTTCCACTTGTCTCATTTTTTTATCACGTCGATCAAATATTCATTCAACATGGAGTTCCTTGGAGAGGGGATCCATGGCTTGATGACTGGTATTAGATTTCCCAAGAAGAGAAAGATCGCAGTTTCGGACGTGGTGCAAAAGACACGAAAGCTAGTGGTGGAAGAAAGCGCCGAGAGTATCGCCAGTCCAATCTTGGATCGATCATGTGAATTGTTTGATAAAAGAGTCACTTCGCATTCAGAGTTGAAAGATCCTGAGGGTCGAAAGATCGTGTTCATTTCCTCAGCTAGTACCGTAGTTCTTGAATAATGGTATTTAGATGTCCGATTCAACGTATTTTCAGAACCAGAATATCACTTCCTTTCAAATAGAATATTCATCAATTGATTGTGAAATATCAAATCATGCCTGGGTATTGGTGCTGCCAGTGGTTCCTCAGCCATTCTATGTCGCGAATTGTGTGACTCTATTTCTGCACCTAGGTAACTTCGAGGAAAGATAAAAGCTACCTATTTATGATGCGTCAATTTTGCTCCGGGATTCTCGGATCTGATCATATCAAATCATCATACTGCCAACTCTTTGAATCTTTCATGTTGTCTAGGTTCTTCACATCTCTTTGCTGATTAGTTTTCCCGTCGGAATATTAAGTCACACCTGGGTAGGTATATATGTAGCCTACGACTTACATGCTCGCCCAGAAGGTATGGATCTCATCGTTTCATTATAAAGAGGGGGTTTCAACTGCATCGTCACAACTATGACTTTGGGGAAGTTCGATATCTTCATGACTAGATACACTTCAAAGGTTCCAAATTCCTTGTTCTGATCCCTACAATATACCTAGGTATTCCAGCCTCGGAATTGACGTTTCTAGGCCATCACTGCTGGGTTTGGGGCAGGCGTTATCCGTGTCACCTAGTATATGTTGTGCTTCGGCTCCAATGGTGGTACTACTCATAAGGATCCGTTAGCTAATGTAAGAATGAAGTGCTCTAGAGTACCCTGGGGCCTACCTAGGTAGGTATGTACATTGGTCTAGATTCTAGACAGGTATAAAAGACTTCTATGTCCACCTCAGGTGGGCACGCTGCACCCACTTTGCCCATAAGCAATTCCAATATGAACCTTAGAAACCCGACTATCTTGAATCTATCATCAAGTCATTCTTTAGATTCTAGGCTTTTTCTTTAGTTTTCTTCCCATGTTGGCTTTTGGGTAGGTACCAACGATGACCTACAATTCAAGCTCGCTACATATGTGTGCTATTAATATTCATTATCTATCAAAACCAGTGATAAGAGTGGGGTAATAAAATTGTTGAATTTGATCACTCTCATAATACAATGTTTGCGAGAGACCAAAAATTTGACAAGGGTGATGACTACATCAGCCGTCTTGTGCAGAATATCAAATTTCAGGTTGTTGATGATTCTTGTCCGAGTATCAAACTGTAAAGTATATCATGATCTGGTCAAAGATATAGCCTCTCAAGGTGGGACAAAATTCTTCCGTTGTTAGAAATCTGGTTTTATTCGGTTGGAGATAGAAAAGGCTTTTGGCAGGTAATACGGTGGGGGCTTTGGACGGATTGCGATAGAATTCCTCCTTGGAACATTAAGCCGGGGTTTCTGGTACCTAAGTAGTGAATTTGGGCGCATGGGAAGCCCTGTCCTCCACGTCCGATGGTCTTATGCGATAGGCAGTGTGATAACCAATTACCTAGGTAGAATTATATAAATCCAAGTATGATAATGGGAGACAAATAGAAACTTTGGAAGGCGACAATCTCCACTTCTGCCTTTATCATCAGTTTACCCTAAAAGGAAGGGTGCACATTAGACGTAGGCTTGCTAGGCATATCCGAGGCTATAAGAACGAGAGATAACGGATATTGGCGGTGCAACCCCGTAAAAGACTTAACCCCGGGCCATTAGTCTACAAGAGGACCAAAGAATCAAAAATACCTACACAGGTACCCGTAGACCTAAGTAGCTCGTACAATGAATAAATATGTACATGTAACATAAGTACGCTTACCTTATACATACCTTGTCAAAACATGATGTCTGAGCTGATATTCCCCGCAGATACCTTAAATCCGGGGCAGTGGGGCAGTGGGGCAGTTCCATGAAAGAAACATCCGGTCTTAGCCGTCAAGTTAAATACGAGAATGAACATTTAAAAAGGCTGATTCTGGTGTCATTGACACTCGGTTGGACTCGGGTATCTTCGGTGACGGGGGACTATATAAGCTCTCAGCACTCAACCGGAACACTAAGCACACTATCCTTCATAATGCTCGTTCAACCGATGTTAGAATATCTGACCGTTGAGACGGTGGTGGTGGATTTGACTGCAATATTGGGAGTGTTGGTGGGTACATCCTATTTCCAAAGTTTCCATAGAGTAATCAAATCCAGAAAAGATATCTGGTCTGACTGAATACATAGACGATCGCATATGTTGTTTATAATCGCCTGATTCACCCCCTTCGTCACATACCAGGTCCATTTATAGCATCAATTACACCATGGGACCAGCTCTACCATGGTCTCATAGGCGACCGTCATCTATGGCTACACAATTTGCACGCCAAATATGGAACTCATGTGCGTGTAGCACCGAATTTCGTTTCGGTCAATACAGATCGTGGACTCCATGACATATACGGACATGGGAAGCGATTCCAGAAATCAGACTTTTACAACGCCTTCCCGGCAATAAAGGGCGTATATAATACACACAACGCCATCGATAAGACCATGCATGGACGCAAAAGGCGGGTGTTGAGCCAGGCATTTTCTGAGGCTGCACTCAAGGGCATGGAGGATGTAATACTCCTCCACGTGCGGCAGCTTTGCGCATCGATGGAGGAACACGGCCCGAATGAGTCGGAGAATAAAAGGGGAAAAGGTGTTGTGCGAAACATGGGCCGTTGGTTTAGCTATCTCTCATACGACGTTATGGGCGAGCTATGTTTCGGCAAGAGCTTCGATATGCTCATAGCTGAGGGACGCAGGCACATGATTGGTTTGGTTGATCGCGCAGCCAATCGACATTATGTTGTGAGCAAGCTACGTTTTCAAAAGTAGTATATTAATCTGACACTCGCGCAGTGTGGTCTATGGATGCCGCTAGACCGATGGCATCTCGACCAGATTTTCATTCGAAGTCTCACTAAGGACCGATGGAACTTCATCATGAATTCGCGTGTGGAGGCAAATAAGCGAGCTCATGAGCGAACCTCGGCCGGGCGCGAAGCGAAGAAGGACTTTTTCTATTATCTACTCAATGCAAAGGACCCTGAGACTGGCAGGGGGCTCAGTACACCAGAGCTATGGGGTGAGGCAAACGTTCTCATGATTGCAGGTAGTGACACGACCTCGACCACTTTGGCGGCGACAGTATTCTACTTGGTGCGAACACCTGAAGCACTTGCGAAACTATGCGCCGAAGTGCGCGGTGCTTTCACTGAAACCGAAGACATAGTCAGTGGCACTAAGCTCAATGAGTTGGTGTACCTCAAGGCATGTATCAACGAGGCCCTGCGTCTTGCACCTGCAGTACCTGGTGCCCCTCCACGTGAAGTTATGTCGGGCGGCGCCGTCGTAGACGGAGTGTACCTGCCCGCAGGTGTAGACTGTGGCACACCCACATACTCGATTCACCGCCAGGAGAAGTACTACCGCTCAGCAGAGCACTTCATCCCCGAACGCTGGATCGAGGAAGCGACCTGCTCGGTGCCAGGTGTGTCTTGGATAAACACCAAAGAGGAACTTGAGACAGCGCAACGGGCATTTTGTCCATTCAGCATTGGACCCCGTGGCTGTATTGGCAAGTCTATGGCTAATCTGGAAATGCGATTAACACTGGCTCGGTTGGTATTTCTTTTTGATATGAAACTAGCCGACCGCCAGGGTGAAGATGAGAACGGGCACTTGGCGTTGGTGGATCATTTTACCAGTGCAAAGGATGGACCAAATGTTGAGATTAAGAAAGTGTAATTATTTTGATATAACTCTATTGCAAAGTTGGTTTTTATTCAAATGTTGTTGATAGGAATGTAGAGTGGGAAGTGTTAAGTGGACACGGTTGCGTGTCTTGGCAACGACCATCAACCGATCAAGGGGAACAACTTCTTCCTTTATGGCCGTCCAGTCATGCCGTCGCCTCTGACTGTGACATTTATCCAGGCGACTCTTTTAAATGCCTTGTCCAATATTATGGCTCAGCTGATCGATCAGCGAAAAAACACCGTATGTCTGATCCTTTCTTCTAACAAAACACGCTAATATGATTCAAGGCTCCTTTCGCGTTGAATACAGTCGCGCTTCTCCAATTTATTGTTTATGGAATTCTGACTGTGCCTATAAATTTCTACTGGCAACGTGGACTAGAGGCTCGCTACCCTGGATTTCCATCTCGTGCTGAGATCGGGAATGCCTTCCGCTGTTCATCGCGGTCATGTTCTTTAGCCTCATTCTTCCGCTCTATCCGTTCTTTCTTTCTTTCTACATTTGCTTCCTCAGTTGAGGACGAGGTTTCTTCTTCTAAAGATAAGGAGAAAGATGCTAGCTGGACGCCTCGATCGAAGAAGTCTGGTCTGTACAGCTTCGTGATGAAATTTATGCTTGATCAGACAGTTGCAGGCGTGATGAACATTACGCTCTTTATAGTCTTGATTCATTTATTAAAAGGGGAGACATTCAAGCGGGTATGGGAGCTACTTTTGGAGGTACGTTCTTGTTATCCACGTTGTGCTGACGAGAAAGCTGACCCCGACAGGACGTTGGTCCTATCATGATAGCCCGACTCAAATACCGCCCTGTTGTTTCAACCTTGATGTACACGGTCATCCCAGTTGACCGCCGTGTGGTATTTGGCAGTGCTTCTGGTGTGATATGGGGAATCTATCTGTCCCTCTACGCTGCTGTTTAGTCATTACTTGCCCATTTCACTTTACTTCTTTTTTTCTAATATTCATATTTCAGCGGTTGTCAAAGAATTCCAAACCTTTTTCTGGGCTAATAGTAACACCTATTCGAACATACGGATTTGACTTGAGAACCAAATATAGTGTCTATGGAGTGTCTATGGAGGTAGTTTTAAACTGATCGGCTTTTTACTACTTGATAGATTACCTTAGGTAGAGTGGTACACTGACAATCTCCAAACATGTACATTTAAGTACCCACTTGAAGAATTATGAGCCTGCAATTATGACATCTTCGATCCCATTTCATACAAGCCCCGACTTACAGGTGGGACAAAATCACGGTCAAATCACTGCCCGGTTTTGTAAGCGGCGGTATGGTATATCTTGAGTAGAGCAACTATGAATGTAACGGCCTTTAGTGCAATGGGAAGAGTCTTCGGTGCGCTACCTTTGATAATTGATATATAAGTGGTTCTAGAGGTTAATCTTACAACAGGAAGATTAAAGCAGTCTTTTGGTTCTGTGTTCTGCATGATTGATGCAGTCATTCAGAAGAAGCGAACAAAACGGGCCAAAAAGGGCAGCGAGTACGAAGTGAACCGACTACAAAGACAGTCTTGGAATTTTGGAAGAGATTCATGGAGTGGTTGTTGAAGAGAGCAGATAAAGAGGTATGTGGATATATTTTACAAGGAAGCTAGTGTGGAACCTTGGAAGCTATAGTTATGCATTTGCTCCCAACTGTACCTACTATTCGGCGTTAGATAACATGTTCTGGTTTAGTAAGAAAGGACATACATAATACTAAATGCCAGATTGAAAAAACCGTAAATTTTGAAATTTGATAGGGCTTTTGGAACAGTCATTTGCATCTCTCCTTCCTAGAGCAAGGGAGTTCGGATATGCATGTTTATTGGACGTATCACCTACCAAGTGCCAAGGAACAGCAAGCAGCCCTAGAGGCAGATCAAAGCAACTCTGAACTTCATCATCCTTGCATAGTCCCCTGGCAGATGCGGTTGGCAGCGGCCCTGACCTCTAGGTACCGGCGAGTCGTAGTTTTGTCTCCACCTGTTTAGAAGTTTGCATTTGGTCTGACGCTAACAAATGTAAATTAATGCTCCTTAAATGAACAATAATGTAGATCTTGAGACCCTTGGAATGCTATACTATGACAAAGAAAGAGATTTAAAACTTCCGAAGGTTATCTATGCACTTGCGGTCATCAAATTGCAGTTATCCCTAATACTAGTATTCAAGGTTCTTGGAGGGGATGTTATCCTTTTCTCCTTTCACAAAATAATCTGTATCGAGGTTTCCCTTTATGAGACCTGTTCAAGGGCTAGTTGCATTGCCAACTCAAAGCCAGGTTTACTTGCTTTCTTCTTTTTAATCGATCGTTTCCCCCTTTTCAACCTTTGGCCTTCCCAAGCTCTTCGTTTCATAATTCCACTCGTTTACCTACCCTTACGCTCACTACTGCATAATGTCTACTTCACTTAATACAGCTGAGCTTTCTGAAAAAGATGCCTCTAATAACAGGTACAGTCTTTCTGAATCATACAATCAATCACAAGCGCAAAGCACCCATTCAAATCATCCAAGCGAAAAAGAGAGCACGCTAGTCAACGAACCAGTTTTTGATTCTACTATAGCCGACGATGCAAGCAGAGAAATCGACAGCCGTGAGGCCGATCATGGCCTTGAGCCGATGTCAAACTTGGCTACATATGAACAATATCAGGATAAATCGGATGAGGGGCCGAAAGAAGAAAATGTGGAATATCCATCATTTTGGAAACTTGTTCTCATTACAATTGGTCTAAGTCTATGCGTATTCTGTGTTTCATTGGTGTGTATTTTCCTTTGCCCTCTAGGGCTATCTTACAATAACTTGTCATAGTTGCTGAGTACTGTTTCTAGGACAATACCATCATTGCCACAGCCATCCCGAAAATCACCGATCAATTCAACTCTCTCGATGATGTAGGGTGGTATGCCAGCGCATATCTGCTGACGACTTGCGCTGTGACATTGATGTTTGGCAAGCTATACTCGTACTTCTCAATCAAATGGATCTACCTTATAGCGCTCTCTATCTTTGAAGTTGGCTCCTTGATTTGCGGAGTCACTCCAAACTCCGTGGGTCTTATATGTGGTCGTGCGATCGCAGGCTTGGGCGCAGCTGGTCTGATGTCCGGCTCTATTCTCATCATCAGCCAGAGCGTGCCTCTCGAAAAACGGCCCATATACACTGGTCTTATAGGCGCGATGTTTGGAATTGCCAGTGTTGCTGGTCCACTGTAAGCTTCCACGAAAGACATGAATGCAGGAAGCAATTTACTAACGCAATTTAGTATGGGAGGAGCTTTCACAGACCACGTTACGTGGAGGTGGTGCTTCTACATCAATTTACCTATTGGGGCAGTCACGTTCTTTTTCATCTTATTTTTCTTCAAAAACCCCCAGGTGATCAAGAAAAAGACTGGGTGGAAGCAACTAACTCATGAATTCGATCTACTCGGATTCGTCTTTTTCGTGCCTGCCATCGTCTGCTTGCTACTGGCTTTGCAGTGGGGAGGCACAAAATACGACTGGAGCAATGCGCGGATCATCGCTCTCTTTGTCGTCTTTGGTATCCTGATCATTATCTTTTTGGGTGAGCAGTATTGGGCCCAGGACAGTGCCACTGTGCCTCCACGTTTGATTAAGAATCGCAACGTTTGGGGCTCTGCTTGGTACGCAGTCGCCCTTGGAGGGGCTTTCTTCCTTATGATCTACTACGTATGTTGTCCCTTTCAGTTTGGATTCATCGAGAACATGCTCACATCTTCCCAGTTACCCATCTGGTTCCAGGCGATCAAAGGTGTTTCAGCCTTGAAATCAGGTATCATGAATCTACCAGTGATCCTTTCCGTTGTGATATCCTCCATTCTCTCCGGTGCTTTGATCACCGCATGTGGTTATTATACCCCATTCATGATATTCTCGTCAATAATCATGACCATTGGCGCCGGTCTCTTATCAACACTCGAAGTCGACTCCGGCCACCCAAGATGGATTGGATATCAAGCAATTCTCGGCATTGGGCTTGGTCTGGGAATGCAACAGCCGATGATAGTAGTTCAGACAGCACTGAAGGCAGAAGACGTGCCCACCGGGACGGCAATAATATTCTTCTGTCAGACACTTGGTGGAGCCATTTTCGTCTCTGTTGGCCAGAATGTGTTTCAAAATCAGGTCATCCACAACCTTGCCATCTATGCGCCGACTGCCAATGTCACTCAGCTCTTGTCAGTTGGTGCCACTGCGGTCCGGACTGTTGTTTCTGGTACACTTCTAGATCAGGTTCTTCTTGCTTACAATGCTGCTATAACGCAGACGTTCTATGTGGCTGTTGCGATGGGTGCGATATCGTTGGTAGGACCCATCTTCATCGAGTGGTTATCTGTCAAAGGCAAGAAGATAGAGATGACTCCTGCCTAGACCCTCAGCAATTTACTGCAATCTCCTTAGTGTCTCAAGACAATATTTTTTTTTTTTACCTTCTCAATACATCTTCTGGATGAGACATACATTTCAATGTAGTGTTTCAGGGTTTCATATGTCTATTGTGGTGACATTGGGAGCATCACATATACAATGCGTTGCCTAAATCACCCGGGTATCTCACAAATGATAAATCTCAATAGATAATTCTCAGGAAAGTACATTTCATATTCAGTTCGTAAACCAGTCAGATGCAAAATAATCGGATATAGGGTGCCTTTCCACGCCAGGGGATTCTGTACAACTCCAGAAAAACAAGACCAAAAGCTAATTATACATCCTGTCCGTCCAGATACGAACAGGATCAAGGAAAAAGATAAAAGAAAAGGCATGGAGCACATGAGTCGCTGATCCCAACAGATAGATCATGATTGATCCCCCTTTCATTTCATAGGCCGTCATGTTTTCAATGCCAGTTTCAACCGACGGTAACAACGCCATGGTGATGGGTCATGCGAAAAGGAAAATAAAGGTAGGGGGTACGGGTAGAGTGGAAGGGAGGAATTTTCGTCAAGTTGAGCCAGTTTGCTTGGGGTAAAATCAACTCCACGGAGACTGGCCCAGCCAGCAAGGAATAGAGTGTAGGATTTCAAGAGGCAGCGACTCGCAATTATTTTGAGTTGGGGGTAACCAAAGTCTGGTCTTTGCTCGCAACAAGAGCAATCAGAGCCGCACCGACACCGCTACCATCCTTGGAAATGCCAATGCGAACTTTCTTGTCACCGGCCTCGCCAACCTGAGGGACCTCGCGCAGAGCTCCACGCAGATGAGTCTCAAAGTCAGGGTAGAATTCAACCACACTGCCGTCGACACCAACGTCGACGACATCGTCGGTGTCGAGCTTGCCAGTGTGGATAAGAATGGCAGCGAGTGGTACAGCACTGAGACGAGCAGCACGCTTACCAATAGCATGAACCAGGATCTTCACGGCCTTACACTCGGTATCACTGGGGTTCTCAACCTTCAGGTGGTCCTTTAGCGCAGCCTTGACATCAACGAACTGTTTGGTAGTGTCGGCCTCAACCTGACTCAGCAGGCTGGTATCCAGGCCCCACTGGCGGTAGAGAAGGGAATCGGTAGGGATGGAGACCTTGGATGTCTTGCTGAGCTTGAATAGGCCTAGCTTGGTGTGTAGGTCCAGCAGTGCGCGACGAAGAATCTCGCCCAAGAACATACCCGAGACACGCTTTTCAAACATCTGAATACCAGGGTTGTTGCTGTCGGCATCCAACTCGATGTCATAAATAGTGCTGGGAAGAACGCTCAGCTGGTTATCGAAGCTACCCCACTCTGCGTTAATGATCATCTCTCCTGTAGAAGTGTCGTAGTGAGAATCATTCATGTTCTCAAGTTTGCTGACGTTTGAAAGCTTCTCAACGTAAGCGCCGTTGGTTCCAGTGCCAAATATGGCTCCCAGAAGAGTGCCGGTCTCTCCGGGGGAGGTGTATGAACGAGCCATGAGAGTACCCACGGTATCGTTGACCAGGGCCGCAACGCGAACTGGCAGGTCAAGGTCGTCAATGGCAGATTGGAGCAGCGCGCATACGTCATGACCAACAGCGTCGGGAATGTTGAAGCCCTTGGTCCATCGAATCAGAGTGCCAGAGTTGATTCCATCCTGGCGGACGGGGAAACTGAAGGTGAACCCCAGGTCAAACAAATACTCCTCACCGCGGTCTTCGCGTTTCCGGCGAAGGTGAGCCTCAAAATGCTCGTTGTGATGAATGCGCAGAAAAGCCTCGATTTGGCGAGCGAGGAAGAGGAATAGATCCTTAGAGGTACCGGAGGCCATGAGCTCACGGGGAATCATGATCTTGGACTGGGTGAGATTGAAGGTGGTATCACCATGTAGCTGTACAGAGCAAACACGGAAATTGGTGCCACCGAGGTCAACAGCCAGATACAATCCCTGAGAAGACATCAGTGGTATTCAAATCAAAAATTAACGTAAAAGTGCAGACTGTACCTTTTCCGTGCCATTTGGTACAGCGGTCACGAAGGTTGGAATCTGGCTTAATGTAGCACCCTCCTTAGCCAGACCCTCATCTGACTGACGGATGTACTCTGCGACTCCGCGCTGTACCTGCTCAGCGGGGTAGTCAAATTGAAGCGCAATACGCGTAGCCTCTTCCACGAGTGAAGAGGACATGATGTTGAGAGAGAGAAAAGAAAAAGGCAAAAAAGGGTAGAAAAGTTTTTGGGAGTTGAAGAAGGGAGGATCAATTATTTAAAGGAGAGAAGAAGAAGAGAAGTGGGATGATGCGTAATTATGTTTTAGGTGTATGAGGTCAGTTCCGTTCTCAGACCTTGGCAGTAACTTGAAGGGGGCGTAATTGCCGCCATGGTTCACCCTCCATCTTATTTTCTTTCGTATTACGGCACCGGAGGAAAACGGCTTCAACTCACATTTTCTTTCCTTTTTTCCCCTTGAAATTATTAGTAATTTTTTGGACCTTTTCAATTGATGATTGACGATGTAATATTCCTGGACACCTTGCAAGGTTCAAAAGGTTCCATCCCAGTGCTACGCAAATGGGTTATACAAGCACACGCACCTACAAACCAGTCGCACATGTTTTTTCTCTCTCTCGTATGACGGCATTTAACCCACAGAATGAAACTAGAGCGGAGAAAATGTGGGGGGCTTGTATCGCACTCCATGGCACGTTCTTCCCCGACTTCGCCGGTGAACGACTATGGCTTAGACCGACGCGGAGGTTGGGGAGAGCGAAAGGCTCTTGCTTTGATCCCTACATCTTCTTCGATACGGCCTGATCCCAGTATAGAAGTTAATCAACCAGACCTTCCATACTTTTATACTCCATATGGTGGGAGTTGCCCTAAGTTCTATCGGCATCGGGCTGCCGATGCAGAGAATGGGTGGGCCGAGAATACGGAATCCCGATCGTGAAATTGGAACGGAGGGACGGAGATACTCCGTTACGCATGGACTCTCCGGGGCAGTCAGTACTAGTGCCTGCAGGAACTAAAATGTACTCCATATTAAAGGAGTCTCGTGCCCCGTGTCTCGTGTTGTTGGGGTTCAGCCTAGTATAGCTTGGGAACTTTGTGCATTAATACGGAGCAGAATGGCATGATTTACATACTCCTTCGTATGGAAAATCATTAGTTTAGAACGCGGGGGTCAAGTAATTATTAGGGGCATATCAACCTTGTGACCCCCTGTGGCGTGTATAGTTCCGAAGAGGAGGATTTGTTGCGGCTTATACAGGAGTAATATTAGGCTACCACATGTTTTACTTCATGTCAGCATTTGATAGTCATGTACTTAGTTAACACCTGCATATCATCAGTTCTGAAATCTCAATTATCCATGTCAAAGGGCTGACAACGGATGACCGTCTAGGGATTGCACTTGCAAACTGCGAATGGTATGCCCAGGTGGTGCCATTTTTTTTCGCCATCTTTTCGTGCCCCCAATTGAATTCTACTGAGCCAAGTTCCTCGGGATAATTCTAGATGGACCCATTTATAGCAATTGTAGGATATGAAGTGGCTAGTATGCGAAATTGTGTAGCTTGATGCTACTCAGTGGATTTATTAGAAAATCAACGGTTTGTTGAGACTACTTCGGTAAAAAATTGGAAATAATCATACTATCAACTCCCACACTCCCAAACGACCGATCCTCTCACCAGCTGCCCTGATAATACATATCTTCCTTTCGTTGATCTTGATATCGGGTGCCAAGACTTTCGAGATCTGAATCGATCCAATTCCAGTTCCCTGGCCCTCGGAAAGATTGTAGTTACCCGTAGTCACAAAACCAATGAGATCTTCTTCCATGGGGATGTCCAAGTGATCAGTTCCAGCCTCTCCACCGGATCTTGAGAGCAGGACCTCGGCGAATTGTCGTCGCGCTTCTTCAGATGCTAGTGTGGCGATTGCTTTTATCTTATTTTTCTCATTGCCAAACTTGTGCTTTGAGCTCGATGCCAGCTCAAGCCATTTACGGCGCAAAGATGGTTCTGAAGGCAGGCGATAGATCCGTGCGTGGGGAGTAGGTGTACCACGGCTGGAAAGTGTGATATAGACTGTGGCGAGGGCTGAAGAATCAGGAGGTGTTCTAATAAAGTCGTTGATGATGCGGTCGGTATTGCTGGAGGGATGGCGGATATTGTGAATGTTGATAGGCAGAGCATCTTCGACGTTATCACGTTCCTGTGTAGAAAGTCCATTTCTATGGGCAGAATCCGGCGAGGCACCCTGGATGAGCCTTTTCCAGTCGCAATCCCATCCGTTACCGACCTCTCCTTTCGGGTGGTTTGCACCCAAGTTCAGAGTGTCAAATTCAGCTCGCCGTCCCTTTGGTCGCCGTTTCCACTCGGCATGGGCTTTCTTGGCCTCACTCTGGCCCCATTCCCAACCAGCGCGGGTGCCAGGGAAATCGCCAGGGAACCAAGGTGCATTTGCTTCAAAGGCGAGCTGCTGCTGCTCTTTCAGACCGCCAAAACGCGCGTTACCTCCGCTTGAGAGCGGGTAAAACATGAGTGAGTACCAAACAGGTACCACACATCTCCACGGTAGAAGCACGGTCCAGGATCCAGGTGTGCTGTTACCTTTGGAATGCTTCTGTGATCTTGTTGCTAGAATTATTATGGGAATCTTTGGATCACTGGGCTGCGAAGGAGGATTTTTGCCTGGCGCGGAGAGTGTACGTCGTCGGTTGATAGCCTTTTGGCTTGGGAGCTGTCGGGCAGCTTCTAGACGGCTGGGACGATCGAACAGGGAAGATGGGCCTTGTGTTTTATCGGGTGACCATTCACAAAGTAAAATGGCTAGGTCACTCCTAATGGATTGGTCGTCAGGAGATTTGAGGGTTTTATTGGGGTAGTGAAGGCGAGGGTCAGAAATGGCAAAGGACAAAAGAGCATTCTGTGGTAGTGAAGATGGATTTGAAACTCCAAGAAGAGAGGCCCAGGTCGCTTCTGGACTCTTTGGCACGGGGGCTTGGCCCTCTGGGCCCAGCACTGGCCGCAATGAAGCAAGCAATGCCTCTGTCGACCCCGGACCAGTTATCTCAATGCTACCAATCTCGAATCTGAGATCTTCAATCATGACAGGGGGGGTTTGCTTTTTTGATACATAGAGCAAATCTGTCCACAACTGTAGGAACGCAGATGGATGAATGCGAATCCAGAGCTTTCGCCGAGGATGCTTCGAAGCCTGGGGCACATCTGCATCAGCCATTTCAGTATCTTCAGATTTGCTTTCTACACACCAAATCAACGTGACTGGAGCAATAGGTCTTTTGGGCTGGTCCTTTTCAACAGCCCATGCTTGTAACGACCTAGTCCCAGCCCTCCACTTCTTCCCCTTGACGCCCCATGCATCTTCGCCAATGACACCAATGGCTCGCAAAACGGCTTCAATTGCAGAAGCAGTCCCTTCAAGCTGTATAGTGGACATGTAGCTCATATCCCATCCAATGGCACCGCGAAACCCTCGAGCTCGGTGGGTAGGTCGATAGCTCTTCTCAGTGGGAGATATGGGAAGTGCGAATCGCCATATTGGGCTCCTCGTTGTGGCCATATGTGCTCGTTTTGCATGGTACATGTGAGTCGGAAGCCAAACTTTGCTTCGTTGGCGTTTGCGGTATTTTGTGACTGAGGGTAGTGGTCTAGAGAGCTTGTTCTTCTTAATTTTGGGTATGCGTGGCGCAGTATTGAAAGCATGGCTGCCTTCTCCCTGCAAAATAGTATCATTATCCTTCTGTTCTTTATTTTTTGCAGCGGCTCGTCGCTGCTTGGATTTAGCATTCAGCTTTTGCAGTCGCCGCGCAGTGTCGAGCCGGATGCGCATTATCTGGGATGGTTTGCGTCGCCGTGCAGTGACAGTGGGAGTTTTGTCCTCATTCATCTAGAAAGTTTCCGGTAGTTGCGTTAGCAATAAAGCTATGGTGTAAAAGCTTACAGCTGCATACCTCTCGTTTTGCCCGTGCTCTCAACCTTCGAGGAACCCGTTTTACATTATGACTTGCGGTTCGTCGGCGCATCGAGCGGGGTACTTTTTGAAATGCTCGTGTAGTGAGAGCATCTTTTGATCGCTGCATACCTCGCTCAAGGGCCTGGATCTCAAACGCGCGCGCAGAAGAGTATGCAGCGACATCGAGCTCGCCTGTTGCAGAGAGGGCTGCATTGGTTGACTGGACAGCAAGCGAGCGTGCGTCAAAGGTCTTAGCACGCTTCCGAGCTGCACCTGTAGTCTCTGGATTAAACTGCTTCCTTTTAGCAGGATTCGATGCCATGATAGCAGTTTGAGATGTTGACGTTCAGCGCAGTTCAACTTTAAAAAAAAGTTCCCGAGGCTTGGCGCGTCATTGATCGGCCGAGCTCTTATAATTCTGCCCCTACTCAAGCTCTCACCGCCTAAGAAGTGAAGGATAGTAGTATTTCCATTTGTAACTTCAGAAAAAGGGTTAAAGATTATTAAATCATTCTTTTAAACTACCTGTAATTCGTTACCTAGGCATATCCTCAAGATTTTTTTTCAGCTGAAGCTACAACTTGAATGAACAGCAAACAGTTCAGTCACAATACTATATACATTCTCCAGACTCACAGAGCGCTCAGATGAGCAACTCACATCACAACAGCGACATGATCAGTCATATACTTGGTAATGTTCCCCAAAAAACAAGAAGCTATAATAGAAATAGCTCCAAAAGCAATACTGGTGTAGTATACCCACTTATAGGACTCGGCATAAGCCACTTGCCCAGCTGCAACCACCATCTGATACGCCGTTTCATTGCCAGCAATGCCTGGAATAGTCTTGATTTCGTCCAACAGTGAAGCACCAGTAAGTTCAATCACTATACTGATAGCCTCAACGCTAGTAATATTGAGCTCGGTTGTCATGACTCCTCCGATATAATGGGTTGCAAGTGGGACAAACTTGGAGACAAACACATTATAGTAGATGGTGTAGCCTATACCACCACCTACGACACGTATAGATAGCGTAAGAGCGGAAATAGTGGCAATCAAGTCCTAAAAGAAGTTAGCCGAAAGTTTCTATTGGAGGATGGGACGTGAGGAACCATACATCAGGGCAAATTATAGTAGTAATGATTGAAGCAGGGACCACAATGCCACCAATTCCAAGACCGGCTAGGGTCAATATTCCCCACATCTGGTAGAGATTGTCAACTTTCCCGATGGATAGAGCTCCGCAGCCTGCAAATAGTTAGTTGAATGCATGCATATATTGTCGGATGTCCCATACCTGCAGTCATCAAGATACTACTGATGATCAAGAGCTCCTTATTATGTCCTCGGAATACACTCAACAGTACGAGGACAATGCAAGCTCCTCCCAAGATGCCGAAACCGATAGGGAGACTGCGAACACCGACATCGACGGGATTGTGGCCGTATACATTAAATGACTCAGTAGGCCAAAACATGAGTACGGAGAAGAAGTTGGCTCCAGAGATAAAGGTGACGACCAGTGTCAGGCACAACGTTCGAGGCTCTTGCTTCAGCCGCGTGGGGAAGATGGGATATTTAGCTCCGTAAATTTCCCAGAACGTGAAAGCGACTAGCAGAGCAACACCGACGATCAATGGAGTAAGAACATGTGCAGATGACCATGGGTACTGATATCCGCCCCATTGTAACCCAGCCAAGAAGACGATGAGCCCTGTGATGCTCAAAAAGCCGCCGATGAAGTCAACACGACTAATTATTTCCTTTCGACTCAATCCAGTCGAGTTGACACGTGGAGGCGGAAAATAGAAAAGAACTGTGATTAAAAGACCGAATCCGCTCCATGCGCCGCAAAAGGCACCCACATAGCGCCAAGATGAATGGTAAGCGATGAGCTGCGCCCAAAGCACAGCTGGACAGAAAGGTAAGATGGTGAAAATGAGAGCGGCAACATAGACACCGCGCTTGCGAATGGGCGCCATCTCAGAAGTTGCAGCTAGGGCAGTCAGTTCGTTAACTCCAGCTCCGGCGCCAGCGATAGCCATGCCAGCTAATTAAGGAACAATCAGGGACTAGAACAACCAATATGGAATCGTGAACCCTTTGGGAGACACACCTATGAATATATTCATTTCATGTGCCGTGCTGCAGACGATCATTCCGATGCAAATCAAGGATGCGCCGATAATGGCAAGGTAGCGGCGACCTATCAGATCAGAGAGAGACCCAACGAAAGGACAGACACCGGCGAGGCTCAGTAGATTGGCGAGGACCTGTATAGATGTGGCAATGAGCTTTTGTGGCCAGAAATTCAAGATGGAGTTCACTTACAAACCAAACCCATCTATCGGCCCCACCAATTGATCCATAGATATATGGGGGGATACCACCTATAAGCTGTGAGCATATATAACTTGGAAAGAAACGATTCTGGATCATACCAAAAAGGTAGACTGGGATTTGACTTCCAGTCCACAAGAAAGCCATAGATGTAAATCCCATGAAGCGTCGGAATGTCATCTAATGAGTTCGGTCAGTACAGACCGCTCGAATGAGCCATGAAGTGAGATAATACTGGAATATCCTTCTCGGAATCAACATCCCTGGTCTCATTAGACCCTGAATGAGCTATCTCCCAATGACTATATCGTCTCTCTAGGTCATTGCTATCTTGGGGCATAATTCCATTCTTCTCTTCAACCAGTGGCGGGTTGAAGCTCTCCACTAGACCTGCCATCTTGTATAGATGGAATTTTTACAGTATTAATATCAGTCTGTAAATAGAAGTTTTTGAATAGATAGGCTCTTGCGAACAGGGCGGATTATCACAAGGTTAAATAGCCTAAATATGGTAATTATGATATCAGATCTACACAACGCACCCATTGATTGGGAGGAGATACTCATCAATTGATGTGATATAAGCATGTATCATCTTGCAAGACACCAGGGACTCTTCTATAAACAATATCATTCGGTGATACCGGTGGGTCTGAAGCTCTTTGTTCTCTTGCCCAGGCAAACACCAAATATTCCGACATGGCCTGGTCCCGTTTGGCCAATGAAAGAGGATTTCATAGGAGGGGTATAGCTATGTGTAGCATAAGCGATAGCCGGAACCTAGAATTCAAATTTGCGAATATACCGAGGCAGCTTAGCATTGCTCATGTCTGTTCTTGAAGGCTGACTGACAGCAAAATGCGGGGAAAACGTGGGGAAATGTATGACGCAGGTTTGATCTCCATTTACGGAGATTACTATTAAAGGTGTCAGCGCCGAAACCATATTATTGAAGGTCTGTGCTGGTTTTGTATTCATAGACTTATGTCGAAAACAATGAAAGCGCATTTTCGAGATATAATTGCTTTGTACGTACAAGCGAATAATTTCACCTTGTGCTACCTTGTGGAAGCATATCGGTATAAAGAAGATGGATATAGACAGAGAAATTCTTGCGTAGATCCCTGATGAACTATACTTGTAAGGTAATTCGGTTGGAGGTTTTCCCCGCGAAGGGGTATCTGTAGCAACAGAAATATACGAGGCGAACTTGGAACCACCCATGATTTCCAGGGACCTAGAAATGTCCAACTTCCGCCAGAGCGAAATTCCTTGGAACAACAAAAAGACCGCTAGCCTCGACACATACTTTCCCGGACAAGTCACGCACCTGGCAAGTAGCATATGCCTTCCGGTCTGTGCTCCGTTCTAGGTCCAGGGTTGTGTGTAGGGAATAGAACATGTTCGAGAATGTGGGGTGGCGGTAGTTGATATTGAGGTTAGCAGTAACGCCAGTACGTGCTGGGAAGTGTCGAATAGCTACACGTCCAAGATTTTCATCTATCACAGTGGCAAGGGCACCCCCGTGGACGAGAAGCGGAAACCCTTCGAGGCCGTTCCCCAAGAAGACGACACTAGTAAGATTTTTCTCCTTTTCGTTCCAGAACACTCTCTGTACAGAAAACAATCGGTTAGACAAGATTTGATCACAATGTCTCGGCACAGAGTGAGGGGCTTTCTTTGCCAATGCGGATGCATGTTAAAATGTCAAAACTTTGGTCTAACTTACTTGGACTCCCAAGCGTCTACTTCCGGCCATGGGACCAGATGTCAGACGATGGAGTTTTTGTTCAGGGCCAAAGCTTTCGTATGCGACAGTTTCCGTACAATCTGGGTTCCTCCGCAAGTCTTGCACGAGAGTAAGACTGTCGAGGAATTGTTCCGTCTCTAGGAACTTCAACTGATCCTCCACAGACCCCGGAATTGGCTGTGGTGCAGATTCAGTTGATATGCCAAGTCCCAGAGAGGCACCCACAGCCCAGAATATTCCTGCGTATATTAGACGGCGCGTCCATGGGGATCGCCTCCATCGGGATGGTTGAATGGCGGGATTCTGGAGCGCGTTTGTGGTGTTATTTCGGACGAAAGGCCGACAGGGGATTATATGGCAAGTGATAGGCACCCGGGAGGGTAACCGGAGAGTGTTTCGGGAAAGCATGGTTGCGTCTCTGATAGCATTGAAAGGAGGCTGTTAAATGCATGGCCGTGTCTCATATCACGTGACGTATTTTTATTATCTAAGTTTACATCGATATCTAAATAGCAGTTCTGGTCAGGGATTACAAAAGATATACCTAGGTATATTGGGGCTACCAAGTAATTTCATTCAATACTAGTGTTCTTGTGTCTGTCACAGTCCATGGTCTCCATCAGCGTTGGTTCGTGATCATCGTTTCTATTCATCTAGAGGCGTATCTTTTCGTCGTAAAGACTCGGGTTCCGTCGCTCCAGACAGTCAAATCAATCGAGCTTAGGTAGGTCAATGGCACGATACAGTAAGATCAGAGCAGAGTGAGTTTCACCTGAAAACCATTAGTAAAGAAGCTGTTGAAAAGGTTGAGTATGCATCACTTACCACCACCCGCAAGGGTTTCGATCTTCTCGGCTTCCACCTCGGTCACCTTGTCATCGTTAAACCACCACCACTTGCTGTCGTCACCCTCCCGGCGCTTGCTACCAGTTTGAGCGTCATCTGACTTTGAATCCTGCTTAACATATGCGGTGTAGTGACCACTATCCGCACTGGCCCCTTGATGTGTAATGACGCCACGGAGTTCGTATAGGCCGGACTGGTTTGTTCCACTGTCATCAGAGCCGTTCTGTTTGACCAAGTCATATAGCTCCTGTTTCGCGACCTTTATGGCAGCAAGCTTCTCAGCTTCGTGCTCAGCGTCAGTCTTGAAGGTTTCTTCTTCCATAGTGGTATCTCCGTCCTTGTCACTGGCCTTGCCCTTGTTCTCTGAAGCCGCCTTCTTCTTTTGCATGGGCTCCAAGCTTTCACCAGCCTCGCTTTCGTTGTTCTTTTGCTTCTCCTCACGCTGCTGAGACAGCATCTGGCGCTTGCGGGAACGATCAACGTCGAGCTCATCCTTGCGGATCTCTCGAACTTTGTCGCGGACAGGTACAAGCTGCTTCTGAAGCTGTTCGGTGCAAAATTCCACCACATCTAATTCAGCGGGGAATGTCACTTTTCGCATGATCTTGGCCTTCTTCTGAGTCTCACGCTTCCAGAAGAAACGAACGAAGTGCACAGTAAGATACTTTGGCAACCGAGCAATGCGTGACTTTTTCGTGTACAAGGCATTGCGCTCGAGAGTTGGGGACTGCTTCTCAATTTGCTCCTCCAATCCGGCCATGATTCCATCAGCGAGGTGATTGGTCTCTTTGCCAATGTGACAGTCCAGCTTGAAGAAAATGTCAGAGGACTCGATGGGTTCTTCGTCAACCTCAATCACTGCAGGATCATCACACTTGATGACGGACTCAAACTGACCCGCCAGATACTTGTCAACAAAAGAGATCTGGGAAGTGGAACCCCCATTTTCATCAGTGATTGTCACTTTGCTCCGCAGCTGGTTGAGGATTTGCGACCATGCTTCCTCGGCATCTTGCTGCGCATAGCCGTGGCCATTACGGTCTCGCTGGGCGAATTGAGGAAATACAGTTCGGAGGGCTTGCAAGAACATCAGTGGCGGAATACCTTCCTGCGTCTTGGACATCTGTCTGAACAGATCTCGCAGGGATGCTGCCAGGTCCCGAGTGCTGTCCAACCCACCGAGGCCAAAGTTGCTGAGGTCAGAGAGACCAGACTGACCAGAGCTGTTGCTAGGACGGTACTTCTGGAGTTCCTCTTGCAGCTCTGGAATGCCCCGCAAGGTTTGGAGAGTAGAATTCAAATAGCACGTATTGCCTAGGTTCTGCAGACCAGCTGGGGTAGCGCCCGCTTGTTGTGCCACCTCAGCTTCAGTCATGTCCTCCAGAAACTTCACTGCCTCCTTGGGTCGACCGAGACTTTCACTTCCCTGGCCAGGTGTACCCATCATCATAAAAGTCTGCCCTGGCTTGGCATTAAGGGCAGACAGTGGGGTGTCATCCTTGAGCTGGCCACCTTTAATGAGCACCTTTTGACGATCTGGCTCGACACCAGTTAGAGAGAATAGCTGGTATTTCAATGTTTCGCCGGTAGACGTAGGATCGAGCTCGACTTCGTGGCGTTTGCCTGAATGTTTGATAATGACTGAAGATAGATTAGTAACTGAAATAAAGTCATACTTCTCATCATTAAAAGCTCACTTGGTATAGACGCCATGTTTACAGAGCGTCTGGGGATATTTGATTAAGAGATAGGAAGATGTTGCGATGGTTGACGAGACGTAAACAGCTTCGGGGTGTTTAAGAGCAGGTTGCAAACACGACAAACAATGATCGCCCCTCAAGCGGGACCCCGTGCAACTCGCCCTCTGCCTTAACACCTCCGCGAGTTGCAAGCTGGTCTTCTCCACCATTTGTGGCACTGGATCTGGATTGAAAGGATAGGTTTTCCATTACAACACGTTCTATCTTCAATTGAATACTCCTCAGTTCTGAAAACTCTCCTCCGCAGCGATAACAACCCCCTCCCCGCATCATGGTATGTCTTCTACTTCCAGTGGAACCTGAAGCTGTTTTGTCTGATCTAAAATAGTCTCAATCTTTGCGCCCGTACCTCCAATGTGTTCGGTCATCCTTGACTGCCGCCCTTGCCATTTCCAACTTCGCCTCCCAGACCTCGGAGCGTCATAATGTCCCAGAGATCGAGGCGGCTAGCTCTCCTGAGCTCCTCCTGAACCCCTTGACAGTATCACGTAACGAGAATGAGAAGGTTCTGATTGAGCCTAGCGTCAACAGTGTTCGAGTCAGCATCCGGATAAAGCAGGCAGATGAGATCGAACACGTGCTGGTCCATAAGTTCACGCGTTTCCTGACTCAAAGAGCGGAGTCATTCTTTATCCTGCGGAGAAAACCTATCCAGGTTCGTGGCTGATGCTCAATTATATGACTGTACTGTTTGCTGATCATTTAAATTAGGGTTACGATATCTCGTTCCTCATTACAAACTTCCACACCGAGGCTATGCTTAAACATAAATTAGTGGATTTCATTCTGGAGTTCATGGAAGAGGTCGACAAAGAGATCTCAGAGATGAAGCTGTTCTTGAACGCCCGAGCTCGATTTGTTGCTGAGTCCTTCTTGACTCCTGTAAGTGCTCGAATCAGCCGCAAGGCTCTGGAGGTCTATGACTAACATAATCTTCTAGTTTGATTAAATTGTATGGTCTTACTTTCCCTTGAGATTCAAAGTGCGTAGCCTTATATTCCTCAATTCAGTAATATCCTCTACATCAAGGACAGATTGTTACTGAAAGAAGACATGGGTACCAACATTGATCACGGCCTTCAAGTCCCCACTGTTCCGGTAGCCTTTCTCTCGTCTCACGACACATCAGTCCTCGAATGAATCCTGATAGCATAATTGAATTCTATGCCGCAATATTGTACAATTGGGGAGTTTAACACCGGTTCCGCGTTATACCACTAAAAATTCCTGGTCTTAGTTCTCTTACTTCAATGTCGAGATATTAACATTGTATTCTCTTTGATGTTGTACTGTCAAAATTATCGTTGACAATTTTCTAGAACATTTCCCCGTGACTTTCCATGCACCTTGTGATTTCGTCTGCAATCAAAATAGCGAGTTGCAGCAAGCCCCAGACAGTCGCATAGTAATGAAACTAGTTGAGGCGGATCTGAGCTGGCCAGCTTTCGACCCTCTTTGAAACATAGTTTTGTGAAAGGCTCTCATGAATCTCAGTTACTAGGCAATATATCCGAGGAATGGCTTGTAGCATTCTTCTTTGAACTCTTGACTGACTGTCGCCATTCAACACTAAATTCTCCCTCATCTGAATCGGCTCAAATTTCAGTCGACATGCTTGGTTTTGCCGGGGTTTCCACTGCCTATCTACGTAGGCCAACCTTAATACTGGTAAGACCTGCCAATAATTGCCACCTTATCAGTGCAGCAGCTCCCAAGATCCACTGGTATATGAGCCTTGGAAGATGATTCTCATCAGGGCAATTCCTGCCTAGGTAGGTACCGCTTTTTCTATGGGCTTGAATAAAGCACTTGCTGGCTCATTAGCCATTCCTCTCTTGGTCCTCGTGTTGCTCTCATAGGATTAACAATTTTCAGCCGCTTCTCATCGAGGCTATCTTGAACCTTCTTAAGCAGCCAGATACCAGCCTTACTACCAACAATGGCTATGACTGAATCGGTGCCATGCTCTTGGTCTACACCGGAATACCTATTACACTGCTCTCTATTGACATTTACATGAGCGAACGCTATTCATGATTCGAGCATGTTTGGCTTCGGTAGTATATCAAAATACAATTCAGCGCCTGTTACGCTGATGAGTTCGGATGTTGAAAGGGTTCGGAGGGATGATTTCTGGGCAAACCCAGTACAAATGGTTATCGTAGCTGGTTACTTCAGCGTCAGCTTGTTCCAGCTTTTGCGGTGCCACTAGTTGTCGTCTTTATTTGCATTATCTCCTCGAGTGTTCTGATACGTTTTATTGGCGCAAAGCAGGAAGCTTGGATGCAGGCAATTCAGAAGCGCGTTGAAGACAAAGCAAGTATTATCGGGAATATGAAGCACTTGAAGATATTTGGGCTTACCAAACCAGCTGAAGATGCAATTGAAAAGTTACGCGTCGATGAGCTAGAGACCGGAGGAAAGTTCCGAATCTTTCTCGTAGGCTCCGTGGAAATAGGATTCACACCAGTTCTTCTGGGCCCAGTCTTTGCATTTACTCTCATGTCTGGACAACTCAACGTCACGACAACTTTCACCTCACTTTCGTATCTCCAACTCCTCTCGACGCCACTATCCCTGTTATTCCAAGTTCTCCCTCATCTGTTTGCAGTGCTCTCGTGTCTATCAAGAATACAAGCATTTCTCAAGAGAGAGACAAGACATGACGAAAGTCATGTTATTACACCAGACATGCCGTCTGAGAATGGCCACGCGAGTGAAAAGCTACTATTTGTTCGTGGAGATCAGGAGCGCAGACTTTGGCTGGGAAAAGAAGACGTTGACTCTGAAGAATATCAATATCTTCATGTCGCAAGGACTGACGATGTTTATCGGTCCTATTACTTATAGAAAGTCGACTTTATGCAAGGCAGTACGGGGAGAAACTCCGATCTGGTGAAGTCTTCACACGAACCAAGTTTCGCAAAGTTAGATACTGCGAGCAGGTTCCTTTCCTCCCCAATCAAAGTATAAAGACGCCACCATAAGCTTCTCAACATTTGACGAGGAAATATATGCCAACGTTATTGAAGCGACGATACTTTCTCAGGACCTGCTTCTTCTGAAAAGAGATCAACCAAAGTTGGGAGCAATGTTCTTGCTTTCAGTAGTGGGCAGAAAGAAAGAGCTTCACTTGCAAAAGCATTGTACGCACAATGTGATTTGGTTGTCCTCGACGATGTCCTCTCTGGATGCCAATACTGAGGATCACATTTTTCATACCCTCCTAGGTCCTTCAGTTATCCTCAAAGCAAGAGAATCAGTTTTGCTCCTGAGTACAAGCGCAGTCAAATATCTCCAGTTGTCTGACTATACCGTTGCACTTGAAGGAGATAGTACTCTTGTGGAGCAGGGTCGCTTTCACCATCTTATTGCAAATCGCCAATATGTCTTTGGACTTAGACTTGGGGATAACGTCTACGGATTGTCTAATCCAACACTAGTTGCACATTCCAAATTCAAGACCGAGATTCAGATTCAAACAAAGTCACTTGCAGATAATACTGAAAGAAAGGATGCTTCCTTGGCTGAGCCCCAAGACAATTCATCTTCGTATACTACTGCCGAGATATGGTACTTTTTTGTTTGTTGGTTTTGTCTTATTTGGTATTTTTCTACAATTTTCCTACAATCGAGACAAGCTATTGGAGCGAAGAATCTTTCAACCACACACAAAGTCTCTAAAATGGGATATATGCTCTCTTCCAGTGCCTGGCATTAGCCACCATACTGACAGCGAAGCATTTGTTGGCTTGATATTAATTATTCGCAAGTCCGGATTCCATCTACACGCCGAGCTTCCTCTCTCCTGAAACTGGCACCATTACCAACTTCCTTTCCCAGGACACTATACTCATTGATGGGCAGCTTCCAATACATCCTTACAGAACTGGATTGCTGTAGGGAAATTGTGTCATTGGCAACATACCTGCCTTAAGCCTTGACGTCTAGAGATACTACATCTGTAGGCTCTAAACTAGTCTATGAAGCTCAATTCCATTCAATTCAATTCAGAGTTCAATTAATCCGATCGGGCTATATTAGTCGCTTATATACCATGCATGCGCTTCAGCCCAATTCATGAAGTCATGGTGTAAATTTGTCTGATGCCTCGGCTAGATTCAATACTACTATGAGCTTACAACCTACTTAGAATTGATAGACCAATCAACCAAAATAGGTACTCCGTACTGAGTGCTGAGAAGTGAGTAGATCAGCTTATATAATGCTCACCGATCGGATCACGCATGCTCAGTTCTACTCAGCGAGCAAAAATGGCGAGTACTAATACGGAAAGAGAACGCCAAGAATTGGCGTAGGAATCTGGTACGCCGTACACAGTACGTATCTTGTGGCCTGGCTTGAACCTTAGAATTGCTACCCCGGGCTATGGATTCCTTTTCGATAGTTGTACTATTGCAGACTTAGCAGGAGTCTGTAACATCTAGATTGTATTGAATACTCTCAATGTGGTTGGAATTGTGGAATATAAAGCCGGCTCCTTTGTCCCATTCACTTCATGTAGATTTGGGTGAATATTATATCCAACCTTGGGACGATACAAGTGTGACGTCTCATACCTGTGACATAGAAAAAATTGAAATTTAGTAGGACAAAGGATTGATCATTAATGGAATAATGAGAATAGAAAGATGTGTCCCTGAAGAACCTTGGAACAGAAAGAGTTAGACTTGAATTGGTGAAGAGAGTGAAGCCAAAAATAGGCAGAAAAAGAACGGTGAAAAGGCGGCAAAATTTGAACATAAATAAAAAGCCGGGTGCTCTTTAAAAACAGGGTTATATATCCACCTTTTACACCCCCTTGACTCGTCTTTTTCTCTTTTTGCTTTTCTCAAGAAACAGTAGTTACGGGCGGAACTTTTTATTCCGACCTTGTTTTGTTTTCCGCTTTAAAACTACTTCGGAACCACAATTTCTGCATGACACCAAAATAAACAAATTAGCAACTAAACCATGCCTCAAAAATCATCTCAGCCTGCTCCCAAAGGAGCGCCGAAAGAGCCACCTAAACGGCGTGCTTCGGCTAGGTTGTCCACGTCCGACGTTAAAAGAATCAAATCCAATTCCGCTGTGTCGGGCCCTATGAGATCCACAAGCCAGCGGAGTAAGTACTTTGAATCTGAAAGCTCCGCTGAGCCAGGTGTTCATAGCGACAGTGGGGATTCCGCCTCCGCTTATGGGCAATCCTCAACGGACCAGGATTCGGATTCCGAACCAGAACCACAGGCATCTTCCGAAGAGCCAGAGGAACAGAAGACTACTAGTAGCAGCAGACAAAGTGGGGCTAATACTGGTATTGGGAAGCCAATGTCAGCTGCAAATCCACTGAAGGGCGAAGAGGCCTGGCGTGAAGGTGTTCGCACGGGCTTAGAGCCCGGTGTAGAAGTTTTCATCGAGAAGCCTAAGGCGCGAGAGGCTGGGAATGTAACATACCAGGACAAGACCTTGCATCCCAACACCAAGCTGTTCCTTCTGGACTTAGCCGATAACAACGAACGAGAGTGGCTCAAAGGTGGGCAAACAAGACCCAGCGCGCGCCCCCGCGGCTATGCGAGCGAAACTGACTGTGCTTTAGCGCATGATCCCGATTTCCGCGCGGCAAAGAAGGATTTTGAGACGTTCATCGATACCTTGACTCCGGAAGTTATCCGCAAAGATGACACTATCCCTGAGCTTCCCTCGAAGGATTTGGTATGGCAACTCCTTTCTCCTTTATTATCCTGTCATCTCCCTTTTTTGGGAAAAAAACTGACATAAACCATCAGATATTTCGCATTCACAGGGATGTTCGGTTCAGCAAGAATCCTGTCCCATACAAGGTATGCTTGACGCTTTCCACTCAACCCCTGTCCGCGGGGTCACCGAACACTTTGTGCTACTGTGATGATTAGTGCCATAATGACAGACGAATAGATTCATTTCTCAGCTGCGTGGTAAGTTGCTTTTCTGAGAAAGAAGTTGTGTATGGCCCACTTATAGTGATTCAGGTCTCGCACGGGCAAAAAAGGCCCTTACGCTGCGTATTATGTCCACTTCCAACCTGGCTCGTGTTTTGTCGGTGGGTTTCTTGTCCAACGCCCCAGTTTCAATATCAATTATGTTCCACACTCTCCCAATTCATGCCCACTTGCTCATCTTTCCACTTTGTGTATAGGTTGTGGCCTATGGAATCCAGAGGCCGATGCTCTCGCAGCACTTCGAGAAGATATCGACGAGAATTCCGATCAATGGAAGGAGATTCTCGGAGCTGAAGATATGCGCCGAGAAATTCTAGGCGGAGTGGCAGATGACCAAAAAAAGGTGGTAAAGGCATTTGCCCACCAGAACCGGAATTCTGCACTCAAGACGAAACCCAAGGTATGTTTTGTTTTCCCTTTCTTTTTTATTTTCCCTGCCGGACTATGAATGCCAGTTGTCTTTCCAATGTCTGGATCGTGCTTCGACGTTGTCACGCTCGGTGCGGAAGGTCTTCAGGGGTTGAGCGATCGAGATCGAGATCGGGACCGATGGGATACATCGGTCGGAGTCATCAAGAGTTGCAATTGCAGTGACTTGAAGAAACGCTGAGTCTAGACCGATACCTTAATGACCAAGGCCATCGAACTCAGGTTATTGGAGTTGTCTGTTCTGGATGCGTGTTGCCGATACTGTACGCCTGCAGGTCTGTACGCCTGCACTGCATTGCCTACTCAGTATACTCAATATACTCAGAACTGAGAAGCATAAATTCAGCAAGAGATGCAGGCAGTAAATGCCGGTGAAACTCAGCATCGATCACCTTCAAGATCTTCCCAAGTGCGGGACAACGGGCTGAGCCGTGTTTTGGCCTTAGGAATACGGATTTACATTTCATTCTGGTTCCATGGTTCAGTCCGGCAGTCTCCGCCTTGATTCTCAGGCCCTCAATAAATATATACCGCTGACACAAATCTAGGGCTATGAAATTGACAACAAGAATATTGAATTGCTACGCCTTCGCAGTTTCACGCTTGGATGCAATCTTCCAGATGAGGAAATCATGGAAAAGGGAGCGCAGGACCGGATCGCCACGCTTATTGAAATCATGGAGCCCTTCGTAAGCCATCTCTCTATTTCCCTCTTGATCGATCTGTTGCCCAGCTTAGGGTATTACCCCCCCCCCCCCCCCCCCCCCGGCCCATCTACCCCTCTTGACTAGCCGGTTTTTCCTGAGCTAGCCACTTAGGCCCGGTTTGGCTGTCTCCTTCTATTTCCTCCACCGAATCAGCTCTGCAAGATGGACACTGTCCGAACTGTGAAGAGAGGGGTTGCATACCTCTCTTCAATCGTACTTCTTTTTTCAATTTCATTTTAATTTCTGACCGCTCCTCATTTTAGGTGACGTATCTCAACAGTGTTGTGATGCCTGATCCGTAGTTGGATTTTGAGAAGAGACAAGTCGAATGGAAAGGAAGGACGAGGAAAATTACTACTTCAACTTTAGCAAATCATATACGCATCTTATTATTTCCGTCAATTCTTTGTTCTACGGAGTGATGCGTGTAGTTAGTTGAATTTATCCTACATGGTCAATGATCTATTCTTACTGGCCTGATAGCCGGTTGAAACTTCCGTTCGCAATTCAGCCGAGGCTTTCTCGCCTAAGCCCTCCTGCACAATGCTTCTTTAGTGACCTTGTCCACCTTCTACCCTAACGATGGATCCATTGGCAACAAGCCGTCACATTTAATGTCACAGAGCTGCATCAAAAAAACCACAATTCCATTTAATTAATTTGTATGTCTACCTTCCAATCTGGGTCTCCCTACAAACAATCTACCCACAAAAAAAAAATAGAAAAGAAAAGAGAAAAAGCGAGAAAACTTCGCAGGATCCCCAGAGAACTAGTTTCCCCCCATCGACCCAAAAAAAAATAAACGAAGTCCAACCCCACATAGTTCTAATAGCGGGTGGCCGGAGCCGGAACAGAAATGAAAAAAAGAAGCAGAGAAAGCAAGGGAAAAAAATAATGAAAAAAATGAAGCCCCATCCAGAACCAAATTCTGCAAAGACACCACATAATTGCCACCGCAAGTGCCCGCTCCCTCGGCCCGTTGTCGGGCATGCCCGCTAGGCAAACCTTGGATGAGCTGGTGCATCGGAGTGAGATTCCGCCGTCCCAGTTCCAGATTTGGGAGCACCTTCCTGGTCAGGAATGGGCTGTCCAAAGTTCCAATGTTTCTGGAATCCCATGGATTGAATGTTCCAATAGTGAGGAGTTGGTGGATGTCCGGTGACCTCGTATAGATGTTGGAATAGATTGGAACTGTTCTAGCAGCCTTGGATTTCAGATTTGTACTACCTACACAACCATGGATGAAGCTCAACCTTGGAGGGCCTAAGTAGGTAGGTAGGTAGGCATATAGAGAATGTAACACATGACATGAATGGCATGGATCACCTCGTACGAAAGTATACTTGAAGTTGGATTTGGAGCTAGAGTGACGTACAATGCAGCTGATTCCTAGATAAGAAAGTAATGCTGAGGTGGATACGTCGAGTATCAAGATCTACAAAACGGATACGCGTGTATGGCATGAGTCCAAACCTCCAGGTTCTCAGGATGTACATACTGCATTAATATTGCCCCAGATGGAAATTAAGTACCCTTTATATTTGTAGATGCACGTTCCACATGCTCAAACTGATGAAATAGAGTTTAGGCATTTAGGAGCCGGAATATATCCCGGAACTAGGTAAATATACCGAGACCCGAAGGAATTAGGTATGGCTATGTTTGGAGTTTTAACATTGCTAGGATAATCAAAATACGTTGTAGGATGACTGGTGATATCTAAAAGTGCGTTAATTTGAGGTCAAAGAATAGCGGTGTTATCCAAGACAAGACCGAGACATCCTAGCTAAGTATACTGCATTTGTTCAAGGTAAGGAGTAGACTAAAGACCATAATTCAGTATTCAAAATGAGATGAAATCAATCTTAAAATTATAATATGGGAAAATAAGAAAATGAGAAAATGGTAAAATAGTAAAATAATAAAATGGTAAACGTCATAGGCCGAAGCTGTTCCCGTGACCAACAAGCCATGCGGGCTGCGCCTATTAGTGCCCGACGGGCTTCAGGGATAGACGCGCTCCCGTTGTGGGTTGTGGACATTAGCCCATACCAAGTGGGCCTGTGAAATGAAGTACAAAGTACAAGGTAGAGAATGTAAAGGTAAAATTAAGAGACAAAAGAAAAAAAAAAATACAAACCCCATAAATCAGAAGTCGGGGTTTCCTAAAGTAAGCAATATTTGGAACCCAATTTACTAGTGCATCCCCAGAAGTGCATCGAGTGGCTAGAGATGAAGGGAAAGTCTGGTACACTAAATAGAACCGGGAAAAGCAAAGGAGTGGAGAAAAGCGGACGGAAAGACGCGGACGGGAATGCAGGCGCCCATCGATTTAAAAACGTGGCACATCATCAGCAGTGGATCTTCATTGGAATTTTACACCCATTACAAAAAGGGATTGGAATGTAGGAAGTAAGGTATTAGAGATTAGGGTTCCTGTACTCACTTTATATTCTCATATCATTGAAGAAAATAGAAATAATAATAGACATCATATTCAACTCCAGAGCACATGCATGAGATCGGCGGAAGGCCGGAGCGGCCCGTGGGACAAGTAACCCGTTCAAGAGCGGTGAATACCGAGTACATATGAGGCTTAGACTTGCTCATTACTCTTGCCCCTCTTTATTAATTTTGTGTTATAATTTCTGAATTCTAATCCATTGAATTTTATTTCTTCCATTATTCCATATTTCTTCCCCCTCATATTTACGCTAATTTCCTTCCCGTACAACGTGGTTGTGGCTCTCAACAACGCGGTCAGTCCAACGCTAATGCAGGTTTCCTTGGCTGATGGGCTTTTAGTTCCCAGTGCTACAGCACTGGGAATTTAGGCCCACTTCAGTCAGCACAAGAATGCTCACCTGCCATGGAGGAAAGAGTCTGATCCCCACTCCCTTTCACTTTTCAGCTGAAGTCTGATCACCGTACACCGCCTGGTTTGATTAGTACATACTTATAGGTTAGTACTCCGTACATGCAGTAGCTTCATGTACTTAACCCGAGTAAGTCCCAAGTCTCCAGGTCCTCACTTTATTTTTACTGTACTGTACTACTGTATATGGTATAGCCCGGTTTCATTTGTTTTTATTTCATGTTTCATATTTCATATATCATAGGTATTTTATTTTTGTTACTATTTCCTACCTAAATACCTTTCAAACTCTCTACACGACCCGAGCCGAGCCCATCTCCATGGTCAATCTATCCTGGTTCCGCGGGGCCGGTTGCGGTTGTACGACGACGGTCCGAGTCGTGCTCCTACAGGAGTGATCCACTGATCCAGTTTTATCAAATTCATGATCCATCTATCCCACCCTATCATTGATTTTATTATCTGCAGTCCACCTAGGCGGTCACCTGTAATTTTCATTTTCATTTTATTGCTTTTTCTATCTACTCTATCATCTATTATAATCTTTTTTATTTATCTATACATGACAGGTAAAACCGTCCTTGTTTCATTGCAAGTGGCAAGATGTTCTTGGCTCTTAAAGCCTGGTACCCTAATTTCTATATTCCATGGTCCGGCTTACTTGGTTCAGCTGATGTGTCCTAGCGTTCTCCAAAGAGGGTCAAAGAGGGTCTCTACCAAATCTACGGGTCTTTAGACGCCGCTTTAGCCCGCTCTGCCCGGGGATCCACCCCGTTTGTCTCTAAAAAAGTAATATATCACTTCCAATCAAATAATTCATAGCTAATTCTTCTCCGATCTGACAAAGTTCGGGAAGAGCCTTTTTTTCCCTCTCTCTCTCCCTCTCTTGAGTTTCCAGAATTTCCCCTTATCTGGTCGTGGGGTCTTTTTTTCATCGCTCTGTATATGCTCACGTCATAGCCAATCTTCTCTTTCTTTTCCCCCTTCCTCTTTCCTTTTCTTTTCTCTTTTTTCTTTTTCCGGAAATAACCTTCCAATTCTGAACTTGCAATTGAACAAGGATTTTTTCAATTTTGATCCAAATTGGATCTTGCTGCATCGTCCTAATTTCCCCTGCGTGACTGCGCGCTATGCTAGCGTCGTCCGTGTGATTGTCATTCCCCCTTTCATAACAACTCGACGTCACATCCCTGCACCCTTGACTCATCTCATCTTTACCTTCTTCCTTTCCCTTACCCTCTCTCTATTTCTTTCGCCATGTCCGGGCCCCCGGATAGAGATCCCAATCAGGATCCGAACAGACAAGATCCGAACAGACCAACCCAAGATCCCAATCAAAACCAAGACCCGAACCGACAGGATCCAAATCGCCAGAATCAAGACCCAAATCGACCTGACCCCAATCGACCTGATCCTAATCGGCCGGATCCCAATCGTAGACAGTTCCCGCCACACTGGAGGCCCGAGGATCAGCCCCAATACGTATGTGCTAAACATGAGTGATTGATCTTGATCACCTGTCGAGGCTAACTCACTCTAGGGTCCTGGATATAACTATCCCCCTCCGCCCACTGACTACTACTCATATCCTCAACATCCCCATCCTCCACCCCCACACATGGCTATGCATGCTCCACCTCCCCAGGATCAATATCGGCTGCCTCCAGTGGCTAGTCCCTCGACCTACCGTGAGCCATATGGACCACCGGCCGTAGTCTACCAAGCAGCTGCACCGCGCCAGCGAACTGCTATTGCCTGTCGTTACTGTCGTCGACGCAAGGTCACTATCGTCCACATTCCATTGTTAAATTTTGACTAACAGAATAATTAGATTCGCTGCTCAGGCTTCGAGAGCTCTAATGATGGCCGTTGCAGCAATTGCATCCGATTTAACCAGGAGTGCATGTTCACTCCAGTATCATCACAGGCGCAAGCCTTCGTTCCCGCCCACGCCGCGTATCCCCATTTGCGCAACCATCAACATCAGCACGATCCTCGCGGTCCCCCTGTTACCCTATACGGTGCTCACGGACAGCCTTTGCCGCCACAACATGGTCCGGAGTCTACCTTGCCGCCGCCTCAAGGGATGTATCTCCCCTATGGCCCACCCCTTGCGCCTCCAAACCCTGATCCGGTAAGGCCATTCATTCCATTCCCTTCCCTCAAGAGGTCTGAGGCTCGATTTTAATTGATTTGGTTTTTTTAGAGACAGCGTCGCGGTTCTGCTTCGGGGTCTGATTATCCGGACCCGACCAATCTGGCTCCTGTAACGACGAATCAATACCCGCTGCCTAATACATCAAGCCCCTACTATCCTTCTCCGGATCGCCGCACCTCCCCGCAGTCTGCATACTATGATTCGCGTCATTCCTCTTCGCCCCATGGTTCTCCATATCCGCCCATAATACAGCAGCAACCTCCTCTGCAGCCGCTTCAGCGGCAAGACTCCCCGCAGACGCGTCATTCTCCTCAGCAGACCCAGTCGATCCCGCAGTCTCAACAGCAACAAATCCAACCACAGTCTGCTCCTCAGCCAGCGCATCAGGCAGAACAGAAAACGCCAGCCGTTGATGGAACTTCAACACCTAGTCGCGGTGGACTCAATGTTCGCGATATCCTGAACCCGGACTCTTCTCGTTCCAGCACGGATAGCGATATGCTCAATGCGCTGAATCGCCGACAACCAGACAAGTAAAGGCCCAATTTCGATTGTAACTGGTGGAAGGCACCGTATGCGGGGTTTCTTTCTCATTTCCCAGACCACAAGGCGCATATCTATGACCTTTATGAGTCGCACGACTTTTTCAATTCTCTTTTCTCTTTTATTGTTCCAAAATCCTCAAAACCGATAATTTCAATTTTTATCAGCCAATTATGGAGGGGCCTAAGACTTGCTGGTCTGGAATGATTGGGATGGTAGCACAGGATTCAACTGCACCCTGATCGCAACCGCGGCAGCCCACACCCATCGGTCTATCAGCCAGCCATTTTATTGCATGACTACAGTCACATTCATCGCTTGTACTCTGTGATTTTTTTTTTTCATGGGTTGCATGCTAAATCTTTATTATCACAATCTTGGGTGGGCAGGTATTTTGAGCCATCTTTTTTGGTTACTGGTTTTTCTTTCTTTTTTTTCCTTTTCTTATTGGGAGGCAATGTCTTTTTCAAAGCACCGGGGTCGGCTGTGTCAATTTTTTCCACGCTTGACGTCTTTTCGAATCATTTTCTTACTATGGCTTTGATTGATTCTTTCGAATCTTTTGCGTGTCTGTTTACCACTTGGGAGGATGTTTGATCACAATTTTGTCCTTTTACCGCGCAACCTTTTTAATGATGCCATATTCTTGACTCGTCAAATTCTCGAATTATCTTCAACTTCGCTTGAATCCAGTCTAATGGGCATTTACAGCTTAGCTTGAATTCGTAGTTCAAACAAAATAGTGGGTACGACGGCCCGAGCCATGCACCCGGCTCAGTACTAGTAACGAACTAATTTAACTCCCGGAGTTCCATTCGAAACTACTTCTGACAGGTACCTAGGTACTTATTTGTATATGAGAGAAAATCAACTTCCAAAGTTCCAAACAAAGAAGGTGTGAGTAAAAGCTGTTATTATACAATAATGACACAACAATATTCATTTTGAGAAACAAATCCCGAGTGTATGGAGGATTAGTTTCGTTTCATTGTTATTCAAATAGGATGATCGGTGAAACTGATTTAATCTCTACCTACTCAATAGGTGCACAGTGTCCACGTTCAGACTTCTAGCCTGATCCATTTCCCGCGTGGCTGATGCCAGGTATGTTTCAGGGCTGAATCAGTCTGTTTAGATCTTCTAGGCCCTCTAGCTCTGTTTCATCAGGTCAGTCCAGATTTAGAAATCTGCATACTAGGCTAAAGTCCCGCCAATTGGAAAAATAGGAGATACCCTAAAAAATGCTCCACAACAGAATGATCTAAAATAGTAGATTGATGAATTATTGAAACCACTAACAAGTACTCTCGACAGAAGGTCAAGTCAAAGAATCAATAACAGGATAAAAGTAGCTAATAAACTATTATGGAAGAGTGAAAGGAACTGAATCAAGTTGGGAGACCGTAGGGCGGACGTAATAAGAACATAGAAACTGGAACAGTATTGCTAAACAAGATGATTGGAAACGGGGGTAGGTAGAGTTGGGGATGGGGAATAGTCATACAAACAGAATTGAGCATGATAGTGGTCTCAAGAATGAAAACACAGAATTGAAAGTTGGCCGGAGCAGGACCAGGCTCGACGGTATTCGGATGGTGAAGCAAACAGTCTGGACCGCGTGGATTGTGGTGAAGGCAATCAGGCATTGGCTTTTTTCATTTTGAGAACAGAAAATGTATTGATTCAACCAGGCTACGAGAGCGAATGGGGTAAACCCGATAAAGGAATTGATGTGGCTGGCGTAAGCGTGATGGAGTAAGGAGTTAGACAGGGTTGGTACTAGCCAGTACACGAGTCATTTGCTTGGCTCGGGCTGCATCCTCGACAATCAAGCCGCGATCCTGCAGGGATCGGTTGACGGTGTCAACGACCTTATTGAACGAAGAGGCGGCTCCGCGGTCCTGCTTGAAGCGAACCAAGCTGAGATTGGCCGGGCGACCGTGCTCCAGCACAGTAAAGAACTCAGCTGTAAACTCAACCTCGCGGATACGAAGCACTGGATGAATGTTAATAAAAATAAAAGCTGGGGTGAGAAAGATACGTACTGTTCACATGGCCAACTCGGCCCTGGACAATGTTGTTGTTCTTGTCCATAGTAACCTTCTCCATGCCATACTTTTTCCATTCACGCAAGAGTTTGTAAACCTCCTTGCGCCCCTTGAACTTGGATATTTTCAAAGCAAGAATGCGGGTAGCCGGTTTAACCTGGAAGACGCGAGCAAACCAATTCTGATTCGGGCAAGCAACGGAGCGGCGTTTGTTCATTAGTGGGCTGATTTGGTCGTCCTCGGAGCAGTCAGTATCGGCGTGGCCCTTGCAGAAAATACTCAAGTCTTGTGCGCAGTCGTGTCCTTTTTTGTGGCTTAGTAGAAGGCTTATGCAGTTGAGATTGGTCGACCTACCAGCTCCTGATTCGGCAGGGGCCTTGTTCGACTTCTTCGGAATGAGCTTTTTGAAAAAGCCACCAACAGAAGACTTGCGTGTCTGTTCAGTGACCTTCTCAGGGTCCAGCTCAGTAGATTCAGCTGAATCAGCTGTGTATTTGACAACGATTATTCCACCCTGGGAAATGGCGGGCTCCGTGTCCTTAGCTGGAGGGACTGGATAATGAGTGGTCTCATGTTGCGCACGGTGCTTAAACCATGACCACTTTTTGTGATCTGCGCCATTCTTTGGGGACTGTACCTCGTCGATAGAAGCTAAGCCACCAGGAGGTTGAACCTCACTAGGACCGGACGAGAAGTCTCGCGTGCTGACACCTTCAGTTGCAGCGAATTGACTCTTTTTTCGAATAATCAGAGGTTTTACTTCCTCCATGCAGGGGATGGAGCTTCGGGGAACTACCCGAATTGTAGCCTTAGTATCGCCATTGGGGTGGGTGTGGTCTGCAGGGGAGACATCACTGGGTGTACGGGCAGGGCTTGCTAGCTCTTCTTTGATCATAGGAAGTGAAGAGTCACACGTATGTGTAGGGAGTGGATTGATGAAAAGTCCCACATTCTCCGAGGTATACTGCTGTGCTTGACACTGACTTTGGTTGATGTCAATCAAGCGATCAAGATGACCGATGACGTTTGACAAATAGGACGGGACATCATTATTGCTATCTTTACCATGCTCGAAGAGCTTGCGGCGAGTCTCTGTGAGCTCATGGATGCTGTAAGCAACACCCGATTCTTTGAGAGCGTCAGAGAAACCCTTGGGTGCATCAGCTAAGCGTGGCTCAGGGCTAGCGATTGATACCGGGGTACCTGGAGTCTCATAGCCGGTGTTGGCAGTATCGGTGCTGACAGTGCGCATGGTCGTAACCGAGCTGGTGCCATTGAAGGCTTCTTCACAAATCTTACCAAGCTCATTAGAGCATTGACGAGCATCCTCCTTCCATCTCACTTCAGAGTCGCGGATTTTGCGTGCCTGAATCAAGCGTTTGGCGTTCATGCCGGCACGAACCACAGTGGGCTGCGCGGGGAGGGGAGGGCTACTCGGGAGCTCTGGCACATCCAGTTCACATGCAAGAGTCTCCAGACTAGTACAGCTAGGAGAACGCGTAAGGGTCGATTGTCCGATCTTCTGTCTCTTAGGCTTAGCTGACCCCTGGGAACGGTTGCGAGTGTGATGAAAAGACACATTGCGACGGTAACTCATAGAATGAGAGGACGTTCCTGGAGCCCGGGAGCTAGAATGAGGGATCTTGGACTGGAAAGATTTCATCGATGCAGGTTTGTGCTTGCGCTTCATCAGAACAGTGAACGGGGATGGCATCTCTGGCTCTTCCTCCTCTTCCGCAATTGAAGGAGGTTGTTTCACATCCGGGGTGACCTCGTGGATCACAGGGATATCCTGAGGGACTCTGTGGACAGTGATCTGAGCATACGGAGCATCAGGTAGCCGGGTGTTAGGCGATCTGAATGGATCGTAGCTCTCAATGCTTGCACAAGATTTGGGCTCTTGTACAGAGATCTTGCGACCAACTACCGAGCGCCGCTTGGCCAAAGTCATATTGGTGCGACCTCGAACGGCTCTGCCAGTGGGACGAGAAATGTGGTGATAGTCACTTGCAGAATACTGCATCGGGATACCTTCATAATTTTCGAGTTGGTCGTCTCGAAACTTGACTAGCTTGTTGTAAAACATTCGCTCGTGGGTCGGTCTGGTAATGATGGTTAGTAAGTTGGCATACAAGCCCTAATTTGGGGGGATTTACTTACTCAAGTGACATAAGTCTTTCTATGACAGCCTCAGTCTTAACATCATGCCACAAGATCTGTAGATTGCGCATAATATCCCAATCAATATCCAGACGAGAAGTGACAGGGGGTCCACAGTCATTGATCGTCAAAGCTGGAGGAGGGCCAATGTAATGAGGGGACATCGCATTGTGGAGTTTCTCATACTTGGTCAACAAAGGATGCGACCAAATTTCTTTCATAGAAATACGATTTTCTGGCTTCTTCTGTAGAATGCAAGTGAGAAGATGAGCAGCCTCGTGGCTAAGATTTGGTGGAAGCATATAATCTCCCTTTCTCACAAGTCGCAAGGTGCGGGCCAGGTCCCCACCGTCAAATGGAAGATACCCTGACAGCAGGGCAAACAGAATGACACCACAGCTCCACATATCTGCACGATCACCTCGGTACTTGTCACCCGAGATGATCTCCGGTGCAGCATAATGAGGGCTTCCACACGATGTATTCAACCAGTGGCCTGCCGGCTGGAGAGCAGCCATGCCGAAGTCTGCCAGCTTGATATTGTGATTTCCATCTAGCAAGATGTTCTCTGGCTTTAAATCGCGATGGCAGATGTTGAACCGATGGAGGTGGCAAAGGGCGGCAATAATTTGTCGGAACAATCGAACAGCCTCTTCCTCCGGCAGTGGTCCATTTTTGGAGACATATTCGAAGAGTTCACCTCCCTCAACATACTCCAGAACGAGATACCTGCAATCAGATACAGTCAGTAAGTTCGAATCCGCACCCAGATCAATTGGAGCAATGCTTACATCTCGCCACGGTTCTCCCAGACATCGAACAAATGCATAACATTCGGGTGGTCAATCAACTTCATGATGCAAACTTCACGCTCAATACCACAAGGCATCGTACGGGTCTGTGACAGTCCCTTCAATTGCACTGCATTGCGATCCATGGCAGCAATGCTTTCACTTTGCACCATGACAGCAGACTTCTTGGATACAATCTTGACTGCAGCTAACTGGCTAGTACCAGCATGTTTTGCAAGTCTAACGCGGCCAGTAGCACCCTTCCCTAAGGTTCTACCCAATTGCCATGGTCCCACATATGTCTTTCTCTTACCAGTGCCACAGAGTATAGAAGATGCTGAAATGACCGAGCTTCGAGGGTTATCATAATTGAAATCGGTGGTGACCGAGATACGATTCTCTTTGTTACCATGTGGAGTAGGGCTTCCAACAAGAGATGTAAGATCCGAATTCTTTAACAAATCGACATCTTCAACTCGGCCAACGCAGGGGTGGGCATTTGCGGGACTGCCGTGAACGTATATGCTTGTGGCATCTTGTAACGGCTGGCGAAATCGATGATCATCGGAGTGCTCCATGCTGAGCAGGTTTTGACAATCAATTGTTTACTTCTCACTCACGAACACGTGAAGGTGAAGTGTATTCAAAAGCGTCCCTGTATTCTGTCTGAATATTCTCCTTTTCGGGGTTTCGAATTGTTCAGTTTTTGGTGAGTCGTTTTCAGGGAACTGGCAGTGTCAGTGATAATCAGTAAGCAGGCGAGGATGTGTCTTCAAATTACATTAGATATGTTGAGTTAATGAAAAATCAGAAAGCAAATTGAGCGCAGTATTGTTATTTGTGACGCGAAGCAGTAAAGACTGAAAACCAGTTGAAAATTAGCGAGCGCGACTAATCAAAACATTGAATCATTGAATGAAAGTGAGTGTTCGGGAGTCGTGAACCCGCGGCAACACTGAAGGGAGAAAAATGGTTTGCAAACTTGAATGTCAACTGTGGGAGATGGGTTGAGGTGGTGTGGGGATTAGGGTGCATGCCGTAGCAATGTTATGGAATGAGAAAGATTCCTCTTTTTGCCACGCCTGGAATGCAATTTCATTTGACGTATGTTTGTAGTTCAATATTTTTGATCACAAGCATCATGCATTTGCTTCCTTGGGCAACTTATTCAAGTCCATAGATCCTTAATTGGTGAGGACTTTAAAATGAAAACGTCCATACTGTTACATATATCTTCATATTCTACTACTCATATCCTAAATACGCTTCAGAGATTTGAAATACCTATGAATTTTTTAATCATCATCCTGTCACGGCAGAGGATCGGACTTTAAAGAAATTAGGATGCATTCCAAGTAGATATCGCAACAATGGAACAGGGTATCGTTGGAACCAAGGGGTTTATACATTATCATCAGCATTCCAGTCCCTCAGGGACCCAGAGATATATTGGCCTAGACTTCGAGGTCCCAAGTCTTCTTAACAGTATTCTCTGTGAAGTGTACCTAGCATTAGATGACTTTGCATCATGTCGAGGGGTGCCTAATTAAGGTTTTTGTATAGTTCCCAATCCGCACCAATTAAAAAAACTCCTACAAAAATCTCCGTGCATATGATTCAAATAATGTTATTGAAACTGATTTGAACATGTCAATCATTTCAAAATGGTGTTTTTTAAATGATCAAGCTGATTTACTGGCTGATTGTTCAGATAGTAACTTTTTTTCAAAAGTCTGAGTCTAGTACAAGCCATTCCACCGGATAAGATAGATCCAAACTTATTTATGATCATATAATGATGTCATACTTATGGTATGTCAATGGTTTCCAGGGTAACGCTTCTCGGCCTGGGCATTAATTGATCCGCGCGTGTATACGCTAATAAAGCTTCAATGCCAAGGTCTTCCCCCACTTACCTTTTCAATAACTCCAGTGCCCACCGCCACATATGTCGAAACTTACTTGACTACATAATATGTCACTGGTGAACCTTTCAACTTTCAATCTTGAGAGGTTTCAAGGCTCCAAGGACTTCCGAGGTTACCCAAGGTTGTGTAACTGGGAATAATTTGCTTATTAATTACCTACATCCATAGTTACTTAGCTATTACTAATTCAGACTCCTTCCAGCTTAGTTAAGTATTACTCACCTAGCAAGCTTTCAGATTCAACTAACTACATAGTTCAATTATAACATAAGCCAATAGTTCTAGATCCCGTCATCATCAAATCCCGAGCCCCACAGCCCTAGAGGGCTGTACATTCATTTGAACTTGTTTTGAGCCCTCCGCTTACCTGGGTAAGCATTACTGTTCCGGATGTTAGTTCCAATGTTGGAAAATTGAAACTATTGACCGCCTAATGCCAGTATGACTAGGTGTAGCTGTATGTGACGCACCGCAGTATAAATATGTATATTTGTATCACATCCCATCCGAGCACGGTTGCGTCAGCTAAACTATTCCAACCTCGGAAGCTTCATTCATATTTCCTCCATAATTTATCATGGCAGATATTAAGCCTCCCTTTACCGCTGAAACAGCGTTGAAGAAAGTCAAGGCGGCTCAGAATATGTGGAATACCCAGTAAGTATGGATTCTGATTTTCGTCCAAGCTTTGATCTCAAGCCATGTGGAAGCCAGGGATAAAAGATCTCACATTCCTTAATTGTCCATGCCCGAGCGATATGCTCCTTGCGATGTGACTCTAATCTTATTTCGAATTCCAAGATTCCATTACACTGGTCCCCGAGTACTGACATTCCAATAGGGACCCCCCACGAGTCGCACAGGCATACACCCCGACATGCATATGGCGAAACCGTACCTCCTTCTTCTCCGGGACTGACGCCATTGTGGAAATGCTCACGGCCAAGTGGAAGCGGGAGCACAATTACCGTCTGCGCAAGGAACTCTTCGCCTTCACCGACGATCGCATAGCTGTGCAGTTCTGGTACGAATATCAGGATGCAGAGGATGGGATGCGCTGGAAAAGATGCTATGGGTTGGAAGATTGGACTTTCGATTGGGAAAGCGGAAAAATGTGCAAACGCATGATGAGCGGCAATGATATGCTTCTCGGGCCGGACGGAAACGGGGAAGGTCGCTGGTTTGTTGAAGGGGTTGATGTTAATGAGGTCGCGATTGGCAGCGAGCATTGGTGAGATATTCTAATGCTTTTATATATCTTTTTCAATCTTGGTAGGTTTCCGACCTTATGACTAGTTGACATCCATGGATCTGAAGCTTCATCAGTTTCAGCACAAGTGTATATATATGTACACAAATATATTCGCATCTCCCATTTCTGACACGTTGAATCATAGATCACATCTCAATATGAGGCGATCAACGCTTAAAGTACTTTAGTTCAAGCCATCGAAGTGGTGGGTAGACCACCATGGCCCAAGCTGAACCAACCCAGATACCAAGATCCGAGCCATCCTCACCGACCATATCCGCAATCGGACCAACGTAGTAAATTTGATCCATTGACACAATTGCCCCAGCCCAACCAATCAAAAAGGCTGACAAGGCGGCAATCCCCAAGGGCAACTTGGACATATCTGCCCAGTCTTCCCAGCGGAATCCGCTGGTCCAGCGGAATATAAATTGTTCCTCGAGGGCAATCACCAGGTAGATACAGACCCAGTAGCCCATCAGAGCGAGCCAATTCTCGAAGATTTCATAAAGATGGTTTCGGCCAGCCAGGGCGCAGACGGTGTAGATGACAACACCGACACAGGACCAGAACCAACGCGGAAGTCTTTCCGCATATTGGCCTAAGATTTGGAATCCAAGAGATGCCGAGTAAGTACCGGGAATATTGTTGGCGATGAGACCAAGAGACACAAGGACTGACAAGAACTTGCCAAATCCACCGAGACCATCAAAGCCGGCAACTAACAAAGCACCGGACGATATGTCATTGGCATCAGCCCAGCTGGTATGAGTGAAGGTTCCTGAGGCAAGGCCGACACCGAGCAGATTGGCAAATGTGAGGGATAGTCCAACACCAAGGAATGTCATCAAGAAGGTCTTCCACTTTGGAGTCGTCTCCGGGAAATAGACATAGAAGTCGGCGCCAGCGGGAGCCCACGCGACGGAGGCGGATAAGCAAAGCGAGAAGAATGAAAGACGATTACCAGCGATGGTTTGGGAATCACCGATCGAGGCAATATTCGTGTCAAATTTAGGACCTGCGCTACCAACTAGCACGAAGGCAGCGATCAATTGGGGAATCCAAGCCCATCTAAAGCCGAAGTTAGCTCTCTTACTCTTATAATTAAGGTATAAAGAGGATCTGAGTCATTTACCTTTCATAGACATGGAAAATGCGCATTCCAAAGAGGACAACCACCCAAGTGATGATGGCCACAATAATAATTCCGACAACAACAGTCATGCCTCCACCGGAGACAGCAGACAGGATTTGTCCACCCACAAGACAGTCAATCATGCCATAACCAAGCATGATGGCAATGTTAAGCAGGGCGCAAAGCTTGCTAGGCCAGTAGCCCATCAAGAAACGAGCCACAACCTATAAATCCATAATTAGTACCAGTATATTCGAAACTTGATTAAAAAAGTGATAAATACCATAGTTCGATTTCCACTGACAGGGCCGAATGTTCCCATATAAGCGACACCGGCAGCCCCCAGCAAAGCGCCAAATGTACCACACAGAGCCGAGTCAACGAAACCCAGGGAGTAGCTCAAGGGCCCTAGCATTCCCACAGCAATATTGTTCGCTGTGATATTTACGCTGAACCACAACAGAAACATTTGCATATAATCGCCCATAGCGACCGCCTTCATGCGCTCCTCCGATGGGACACGCTCAATACCCCGCGACTCCACAAAATTAAGGGAGGTGAAGCGTGCATTGAGTCGATCTATCCAATTATTCGGTAAAAATTTGGGATTAGATAGAGTGACTTCTATGGGAGATGGTAGGCCCTTTTCCTCATCTACCCTTTCAGCCATGATTGAATTTGCGAGAGAAATGAGAAATTTTCACCTTCAAAAATTGCAGAGGCTTAAAGTGGATGAAGTCCGAGAGAAATAAACCAGAGGGACTCAGGGAAAAAAAGACAATTTAAAAAAGAATTGTAGAGAACAATAGTCAGGCCACAAAATACCAATACAAAATAAAAAGAATAGCAAGGATTGACCCTTCCTAGTGGGACTGACCGACATGAAAGATAATCGACTTCATTCTGTCGGCATTGGCGGGATAAACCAAACCCCACTGCGCAGGTAAAAGGAACAATTAATCTTTATGAGCTAGATCTAACCTGGATAAGAAAGGCTTAAACCATCCTAGGATTTGGCTTTTACGCCATTTTGACTGTGCGGAAAAGTAGGTACTAACTTGGCTTAAACAACGTCGCATTCTAAAGAGTAATCTACAGGGATTCCATCCCACCATCATGGATAATAACGGCCTAACGGTTTCACTTACTTTGTAGTTTGCCCCGTACAAGTCAAAGTTTAGATTAAATTCAACGGCTTTTTCCATTTACGGAGCATGTTCCTTTTCTCCGACTCTGACTTGCCAGGTACCTATCAGTCCCCATCCGTAAGGAATTGGCCTAACTAAGTTATTATAAATCCAACAACCCCATATAATAAAACATTCATTTACTGACAAAATATATAGGTGTATGCTAGCTATCTACAAAACCTACTATCTGGTGTAATAAGCCCTGGCTACCTTTACGGCGGCTGCTCCGAATTAAACTATTTATCACCTCCTGATCAATCTCTATCCACTCCTGTCTCATTAGGTCGTGAAGCTCGATATATGCTATCTTTTATCGACTAATTTCCTGGATATGAGAACGAACTCTCAATAAGACTCAAATTGGGTGAATGAAGCGACCATTCCATCACGTCTATCCCATGCATTTCAAAGAACTCTTGGGCGATAAGAACTTTATGAATGACAGAATTATCTGCTGGAACACCATTCCAGGCTCATGAATGGGCATGAAGGCGCTTTTCTAGGCAATCGAGATATGAATTTGCAGTATAACCACCACAAGGAGCAGATTTATCTCCGTAATTATGAACTCAGTTCGCTCACTAATCCAGATACCTAACCATACCATCTGAGCAATATATTTGCCAGATACTTCAAAAATTTACCAGGTCTCATAGATATAACTCTCCAGTGAAACGAAAAACATATCGAGTGCTGTCATTAGAGCGTCTTTAGACTGAGCATTCGTTGGAAAACACAATAGACTTCTAAGTATTGAAATTTTGAGATTTTCGGCAGTTCTCGCAACTAAGTCTAGCATCTAGTTTCTTGAATAGGATCTAGCTTTTGAATTTCCATTTTCTTAACTTATAAGTACGTAATATTCTCTAAATAGTCGATTCAAAGACATTACTAGGAGCGTTTGCAACCAATACTGACAACGCTATTCTCTGATAGATACAATGGCGAGCTCTATGATTGGGCTTTGGAGAAAGCCCAGTCCTAGCCTTATACTTGAAATCCTGACGCTTTGAAAAGCGCTTTAGCGTCCGGGTAATGGGTTTGAGATGGACGCCAAAATCACGTGCAATTTGGGTGTTTTTTATTCCTGAATTTGATACCGATACAAGATCTGCTCAAAAAAAATCAGGATTTGGACGTCGATTCCCACTAACTATAGTGCCAAATTAACGCATTGTGGTGGAGTTATGAAATCCAGAAGTTGGTGGGGCGATGTGGAGGGAAAATTTCTAAAACAGGGACTAGACTTCTGAACCACTATAGGTACCTGAGTACCCTGAACAAAAAGAACGTTCGGGACTGACATTCATATAGTTAATTTAATTAGCCTGTAGTCCGTAGGTAGTCCGTGGGTAGTCCGAACAAAGTGCTTGGTATAGTGTACCCATGCCCTTCTTTTCTGAAACTCGGTCTCTGTGAACACCATGACAAATTTATTAAAAAAAGCAACCACAGTAGGTACTTTCTAGCTGACATACCTGATAATCGACGTATCGGATGACTGACTATCACTGACCCAGTCTGAAATCCAGACCTATCGAACGTGGTGGCTGGCCGACTAGCAGGAGGCGATATCGTACTTTTTTTTCTCCGAGATGAATCTCACTGCAATTTCGCTATGCTCATGCGGTGCTTGCCTCATCCTCCTTAAATACCTGCCCATCCTAGGCCAGAAATAGCCAGAATTCTCATCCGACAGTGTGCATCGTACGCATCATGGGCTCCCAAGGCGGTGGTTCAACGCATGATCTCATCGTCGAATCTTGGATTGAATATAGTATAGGAATAGTACTTTTCCTCGTGCGATTGTCAGTGTCAAAAGTACTCCGTACTAACCTTCAAATCTCTTGGCTAACTGACCTGTGGGCCGCAGATACGCTCGGTACAAACGACTGAAATTCCACTACCAGATCGAGGACTACTTGATGGTGATAGCAGTAGTACGCAGATCCTTTCTTGATTTGCTGTATTCATGTAATGGCGACTAGCTAACAGGATCTAGTTATGGTACACTGCCTTCGTTGTCACAAATATCAAAATCGCCCAAGTGGGGGGAAGTTCACTTTACGAACCGGGGCAGTATGAGAGTTTCTCTGCCGATGAAATTAAGCAGCGTGTTCTTGGATCGAAGATCGAGTTTGCCTCTGAAAACGTCAGTTCCTTGAAATTTCCAGATTGCAAACCAATTTCTGACCTTTCAATCAGTGCAATCTATGCGCCGTCTACTGTTTAAAGGCATGCATGTTACTAGTATACTTCCGGATGACGTGAGTATAATTGCAGGAAGATTGGGATATGTACTCCATGCTGACCTCTGGCAGAACAAATCTGAAGCAGCATCTAGCAGTTCAATGTTGTGCCGTCTACACCTCGATCGGCTGGCTCGCCTCAGTACTGACCTTGTTCCTCAACTGCCACCCTTTAACCGCCTATTGGGTCCTGCCTCCACCGCAGCGTGAATGTGCAACATACTTCAGATACGAGGTTGTTCAATGCGTTTTCAATATCAGCTCAGATCTGGCCATTCTAGCCGTAATTCTACCCCTACTATTTCGAACTCGAATGCCGTGGCGGAACAAACTTCCCTTGCTTGTTGTTTTCTCGATGGGAATCCTCGTGGTGAGTTATTCCTTCACCAAGAGCTGAAATAACCCTAATAGATTTCGGAATTAGATTATCTGCGCCATAATCTCCAAATACTTCACCTTTCACAATATATACGACTCAAGCTACCAATTCTGGTACCTGCGAGAATCCTCGATCGGCTTATGGGTAACGAACGCACCTTACGTCTGGTCTTTAATCCGATCCACATTTTCAATTCTCAGGGGGACGAGTGCGACAAGAGCGACCCCCACGTCGAATTTCCGATCCACAAAACCCGGCACAAATACCCAGTCTTCTCATATGGCGACCCGAGCATCAAGGTATAATACGGAGGGGATGGGAGGAAGCCAGGATAATATATTTGAGATGGCTGGACAGAGTGGTTCACCTCATTCTGGGGATGAGTCGTCAGGTTTACAACGCTGGACGAGTGAGATTGAAGAGTCGCATCCACGCACACATGACCCAAAAATTTGGAAAACGACAGAGATTGTTGTTCATCAGACTTAGGAGGGACCTTTCTAAAACCTTGTAAGCTTACTCCTATGCGTTTTATACATTATCCTTGCATATAAAATAGACTGCGGAGAGGTTTGAACCTTGGAACCGGGCAAGTTCGTGGTAGTTGATTAATATAGTTCATAAATATCTTCAACTATTTACAATGTGACCTAAATAGCCTTCCAGTCTAGATAAACAAGTTGAGCAGACCGCCCAGATGCGCTGAAATAATAACAAGTGGTATCCAAATATGTAAAAGAGGATCACTTCGGTAGCCAAGGAAACTGCTGTTACTTTTGACAACAGCAATTTTGCTCGGCGCCGAAGTGGTCGATGTGGGCGTAGAGGAAGAAGAAATCGTCGTCGACTTCACTGAGATCTTGGGTAAGTTGTAGAATGCTCGAATAATATTACTCGCTTGCTCTGAAACTCCGTATGTTGAAGCCATGAGATGTGTGGACAATGAGATAGGGGGTACGCTGGCGTCGGCGACGCGGACATTGGACAGTCCGTACACGCGAAGGTCTGCATCTACCACACCGCCCTGGTCGCGAGGGAGCATGGCACATGTTGAGGATGGGTGGAATTCAGTGCTAGCGTGGTTGCGCAGCCAGTCTAGCCATTCATCATCGGTTTTGACATCTGAGCCTGGTGCAGTTTCGCCGGTAAGGTTTGTGCTTAGCGGGCTTGTCTCGCCCAGAGTGCGTGCGAGCTTGAGGCCCTCGCGTAAAATCTCGTAATCTGCATGGAAAGTTTAGTATTCGCGTCGTTGAAGTCTCGATAGTGTGACATACCAGCTGGATTATTGAGGTAGTTAGGGTCAATGACAGGGTAATCCATTGGATTTGACGAGTTGATATAGATACGTCCATGACTGTACGGGTGCTGGAGAGCAGCGGTGATACCAACATCACCGTTGCCGTCGCTGTTTACGAACAGAAGCTCGATCTGGCCAATTGGGGTGTTGAATATCTTCGATGCAGTGGTATTGTAGATTGTCTTGTAGCCGGCAATAACACCAGCATCTGATGTCGTGTTTGGTGAGTACTGGTCAATATTAGATAGGATGGTAGTCTCCATCTCCTGGACACGAGTGCCGTAGAGAGCGGTGGAGTTGACGTATGCGACTGCATCATCTATATATGAGAGGTACAGTGTATCATTCTTTTCACTGCTATCGTCATACCAGATGGAGCCCGCAGTATCCATATCGGTACTCCAAGTTACAGTAGCGCTCTAGATAAATTAGTATTGTTATTCATCATGAGGATATGGACAAGTTCACTCACGAGATGGTCTTGAAGATGTTGGCCAACGCTAGGAAGTTCCGACACCAAATCAACACCAGCACTAGATAGAATGTCCTTGGGACCAACACCACTATACAAAAGGATGGCTGGACTACCAACAGTCCCAGCTGTGAGAATAACCTCTTTGGTAACATTGACGGTCAACTTGGTCACACCATCGTCAGTAGTATACTCGACAGAGTTTGCTGTGAGATTGTCCGAGTGTGAAGAGCTATCAAACAGAATACGAGTGACGTGGGCATTGGCCAGAACATCGTAATTTTTTCGGTCCGGAAGTGGATCGAGATATCCAGTGCGACTATAGGACCGCGTCCAGTTGGTAGGATTGATACACGAGGTTGACACCTCTGCACCCCAATTGTCACCACCGTACATCTTTGCCGAAATGGGAATACCAATGTTTGCCAAGGCTGGTGACCATTGGCCTACCTGCGCAAAATTGCTGCACTTCAGATTAGACTTCATTATATGACAATTCAAATTGGTTGAGCTTACTAGCCAGGATATGAGTAGTGGATTGGGCCGTTGGTGCCATGCTCCGAGGAGTCCCAAGTGATATCTGCCTCCTTAGCTATGGCGTCTGATGGCGGTGTGAACGTTTCACTCTTCTTCATAGCAGCATAGAACGAGTCCCAAGACCAATTATCGGCCCCGTCCATATCTCCTAGCATACTTTGCCAGGCATTGATCTCGATCTCACCTGGGCGGGTCATATACAAGCCATTAATAGCAGAACTTCCTGAAATACTGTCAAAATAAATGAACATCAGATGGAAGACACAAAACGCACCTCCAAGGACCTTTCCCCGAGGCCAAAAGATCTCACGATCCTCTAAGTTTGGCTGAGTAACGGTATTGAATGCCCAATTCAAAGGCGTTGTCCATAGTGATTGGAAGTATCCATATGCCGGGGTATCTTCACCAGAATCAGTTAGCCGTTGTGTGTTGTGCAGGGAGATGAAACACAAGCTGATACTCACCTATACGAGTGCGATAATCGTCACCATTGCCTCCTGCCTCAAGGACTAGGACTGTGTGATTTGAATCCTCTGAGAGACGGCCGCCAAGTACAAGACCAGCTTGGCCTCCACCGATAATCACAAAGTCATAAGAATCAGCAATGGACGTGCGCGGTGAAAGCGTATAGGCGGGAATAGCCAAGGCGATTAGGGCAGACAGGCTCGGTCGCATTACGGATAGAAGATGATATACAGAATAAGGACGCAGAGCACGAACTGAAAAACTAATAGATGTTTACTTATGAAAACAGAGTTCAAACAGTAAATAGCCCCTGAAGAGAGTAGAATATCATTGGTTATTCAAGGAAGCATGAACCTTGGAACGCGGGTGTTGTAGGGGAATTGTACCTGATGCTCCCAATTTTACGCGTCAAAAAGCATGGAACAAGCTAATGGGTGATGATTTGTGATTTAATGGGTTAATCTCCACTTGAATAAACATACGTATGCCTATCAAGTGATTATCATTGCTATTTAGGGTTCCATGTCGACGTAATATTGTATGGATATTCAATCTCGACCGGTTTTGCTTTTTCGCCTTCTTTGCTTTTCTTTCTTTTCTTTTTGAATGTGTTCCGAATGTATCAAGAACCATGACAGATTTCTGCACTGATCCACTAGTTCACGGATTCTTGCACCAGTAGCCTAATCTAAAGCTATCTAGGTACACCCTGGCCCTTTTAGTATTGACCAAGCCTAGTCCCCACGCTAACTTTGTACTTTGTATGTACCGGATTTCCTCTGCCAGTCCTTGGCGTTCCCCTTCCGTATTAGTGCTCACCCCTCGCTGCTTTTGCTCACTGAGTAGAGCTGGGCACGTGTCTGAGCATTATATAAGCTCCCTGATTAGCTCACTGAGTAGTACAATTTCTGACTTAATTTTCAGTATTGTTTGGTAACGGCTATTTATCACCTTCGTTACTTAGACTTGTGAGAATTTTCATTGCCATTGAAGGAGACTAACAGATCTCTGATCTATATTCCAGGAACACTCATTAAGAACTGCTGAGAAGGCTGTTAAAGATGCTGTCTTTCCGATTACTTAGGACCATGGGCTCATCCATCTCTACGATCTTTCCATCGAGACCAACAATTACATCATAGTTCAAAAGACCGTGGACACGATGTGCAAATGTAAGGACCGTGCAAGCACGAAACTGATCCTGTTGCAGAAGGTCTTTCACACGAGCATCAGTTTCCGCATCAACGCTGCTGGTGCCTTCATCGATCAACAAGATCCGAGCATTCGTTGCTTGTATCTTCGATAAAGCCCGAGCAAATTGTAGCAATTGCTGTTCTCCTCGAGACAGCGATAGAGTGTCATTTATTTCGACGCTTAACCCGCCCCTTTCGAGTAGTACACCATGTCAGATTCCAACACATTCGAGAGCCGCGATGATGTCTGTGTCGGAGATCTTTTCGGTGGGATCTAGATTGAACCTCACTGTGCAGCCAACCATAATGAGTGGTGTTTGTGGAATAGTGACTATTTTTTCTCGAATTCTGTCAGGGGAAATAGTGGCGAGATCAACATTGTCGATCAAAATTGAGCTGCATGTCACATTGAGCATGCCAAGCAATGTCAACAGTAAAGAGCTCTTTCCACTATTCTGAACAAGTAGAAAGTCAGCCATAGTTTGCAATAATAGCCCAAGTAGTAAGTTTATGAAGGATGAAATTTACCTCCCAGTACGCCCGCAGATACCAATTTTCTGACCCGGCAAGCATTTCAAGGAGATGTTGCTCAATACTGCTCCTTCAGAGCTATTCATCGTCTGTTAGTAATTCTATAGTTCATAACTATATGGGTCTTGTAAGTGACATATTTATACTGTGCATCAACCCCTGAGATCTTAATAGACCCCTGAGCCGGCCAGTCAACTGGTAGATCTTTCTCAGCTGAAATTTCACGTGGTACTGTGAGTTCAAAATCTTTGACGCGCAAAATTGAGCCAAGTCATATCTCCAATTGCGCCCAACCTGATATAAGAGACGAAAGACTACTACCAATGCTTCGTGGAGATGAGTTAGCGGGACGGATTATTTGATTATCACAAATGAGCGGTATCAGCAGAATGAAGCGCCATAAGAAAGACATACCAAGAATACTGTTAAGCGATACTCCGAGCAATCCTACACTTGTAGTATTTCTTAATGACACTGCTAAGCTGACGACAATGACTGCTTCTGCAGCGAAAATTAGATTCAAAACTAACGTGAGCCAGCGCTGAATGCAATGAAGCGTATAGTATGTGCACTGGGTAACGTCCAAAAGCGCGGAATTGACGATTCGAAATTCTGTTTCCCAGCCAAATGCTTGAATTGTAGCAAGACCCTCAAGAGTATCAAGAAGATGGGAGTACAAGGGACTTCGACTTTCTAGCTCCAGTAGTCGAAGTTGTCGTGATATCTTCAGATAGATGTGCTGTAATAGAAAGACGGCAATGATCAGGAAAGGTACTGATATTGCCATATATTTTGATCCGGTCGCAATTAGTGCAGCACTGGCAATTGATGCAAATAGATCTGGACTTATCAGCAACAATATCGATAACTTGCGAGCCATAATAGCTATAAGCTTTGTATAGGGGCCGACTAGAATAGCGGGAGTCTTACTTGAGACCGTGATTAAGACACCCACAGGCAGATCGCTTTCTATCAGGGTCATATCCTGGCTGAATCGGTTTAGTATCGACCCGATGTCAGTGGTGGCTAAAAATTGAGGCGTTGCCCTTCAGATGTCAGTAGTTGATTGATGTGACAAAAAGAAATCGAATGTACCTCAGAACAGTCTTGAGTATGACGTAGTGAAGATACCGCGCTGTTGAGGGCGAGATTAAAATCAGTATAGCCCTATCATGTTGTCAGCAACTCGTCATCCAGTTATTATCAATTGAACAAAGTGCCTCACCAAACATAGCCACCGTTTCCAACGGTATTGCAAATTGCCAGAAAAATATACACAGTAGTGTAAAAAAGATTGTTGGCTCCGCCATGGCTAGCCCATTGTTTAAGCCAAATTCTGAAAAAGAGATTAATGTCAGCTATTCACAGATAGATCTAGAGCGGTACAACTAAGAGTCCATGTATGACTAAATGTGCTGGAAAAGACATTCATGATCACGAAGAAGATAAATATTATAGCGTTCGTCCAGCCGACGTAGCGCAGATAATACTTATAGACAGCAAAGTCACCTGATGCCCTCCTAAGATCATCGATCTTATTCGCCTTGGAGATCATGGTGGCTTTATCTTCAATCGGTAGCTCTTGGGGTGCATTCGATCCTGCGGCTTCCACGGGGTCAGCTTGGTAAACATTACCTGTGTGATTACCTGTGTAGAGCTCTTCCTGGCAAATACCTCTATCCGAAAGAACATAGCTCTGATCCGCACAAAATAGCTGCTCCACTGCAAGGGGTTAGCCACTTAATAGCGAAAAAAAGTATTTGAGGTGATCTTACTCTCATGTGTCACTAGGACTACAGTCAAATCTGCTTTGCGGAGCGGTCCACCGGTCCCGAAAAGACGCGATGTGATAGTAGTCCTGGTTTTCCTGTCCAGTGCACTGAATATGTCGTCCAATAGCAAAAGTTTCCTGCGAGCGTATATTGCTCGAGCAAGAGCAATGCGATGTATTTGGCCACTACTGAGCATATAGCTGGATCCGTGTGCAATTTGTGTAGCATCTCCCTCACGAAGAGTTTGTAGGTCTGAATTAAGATCACAGGCGTGAAGAAAAGTCGCGTACCACTTTTTGTCGAATGCGCCCTCATTTAATGGGCCCGATGAAAAGGCTCCACAAACTGCATCACGGATAGTGCCACTTGGAACCCATGGTGTTTGCGCACAGAAGGCTGGGTTTCGAATGGTAGTTTTCATGAAGCCTGTCTCACAGAAAGCTTGGCCAAGTATAGCCCGAAGCAGAGTCGATTTGCCGGATCCAGCTTGCCCTCGGATAATAACCAGTGACCCAAGAGGGACTTCTAAATTGATATCTTTTAAAACAGTTTTTGCTGACGAAGATGGGCGAATCCCGAGACACTCCATGGAGATAACAGGTTTTTGAATGTCTGGTGAGCCCTTGAAAGTCAGGTATTGTGCTTCGACAATTTGAGGTAGTGTATCAAATTTCAACTGGTTGCAGTGAACAAAACCCTCCTTCATATGTTGAGGACTGGCTTTCAGTAGAAGGAAAGCTTGTATCCTATCAAATGATCCTGTCGCAGCCGCTATGGAGGGAATTGTGCTTAAAAACTTAGAAGCAGGATTAGTCAGGAGGGTGATTATTGACATACTGCTGAAAGCCTTAGCAATGTCCAGGTCCTTTCCTTCAGCAGCATAGACGACGAAGGTCAATGCTGGTGCTAAGGCCCACGGCAGATTCTGGACCATGTTCTTCCAGACCACACTCCATCGGTATTTGGCCATTTGATGAGTTTTTGGACTCTTTTACTCTGTACGAGCTGAAAAAATGTTTCCCCTAACCCTGTCGCTTTCACTGTTTGAATAGAGTTTAGCATAGAACGGGTGATCGCTATGCGATGCTGCACAGCATTCACCCATATTTTCTAGTGTGATCCTATATGCTTCGAAATGTAAATGGTTCCTCCACTCGATACTATAAGATCTCAGTAAATTGCAGTCACAGGAGAATTGAGATTGAATTATGAACCATACTGAAAACGACTATTAATGGCACCAGGCAAACCCAGCCCATACGATGCGCGAGTAGCGCAATACCTATGGCCACTTCAATTAGCCTCACCCAGAACTCATTCAAACTGATTAAACAATTGATGATCTGGTCAATATCGGTAGTCATCAAAGTAATCGTCGTAGAACGATCTCCGAGAGCACCATCAGGGATGCGTAAGGCATGGTCGTAGATCATCAAGGATGCTGCCCCTCGAAACATTGTCACAAACCGATAAAGCATCTGGTCATACATAACTTGTGAGAGTGCCAATCCCAAATATATCATGCCTGTGGCGCTGATGAGGCCGTAACCTTTATTGCCCGCTTGTGACTGATCAAGCCAGTTGAGAATAGATGTGATCAGGAAGGGCTGTGAGAAGGTAAATCCAACTAAAAGTAGTCGTGAAAGTACTGTTAGAGTAATTGAGCACTTGAAAGCTCGGACCATTTGCCATGGGAATTCGAAGCGGCGCTCAGGACGCTAGCGTAGAGCCCGAGCTTTCAATGCCTTTTGCGCCGTTTGCGCCGTTTCTGCGGACTATAGGCGCTTATCGAGAAGATCAAGATCCTCAGTCGTAAGTGAAGACTGAAATCCCCGTAAAAACAGACGGTTCAGCCACCACATGAACGATCGATTGACAATTCCACTCGTTGACTCTGGTGGAAGATCTTGATTCGAACCAATAAGGTGCTTCTGCTTTCCCTGACTTTCGAAAATCACCATTGCTGATTTTGCAGTAAAAATCAATGCGAGAAGATTTGAAACGGAATTCCCGGGGACAACCCACTGTAAAATATCAAGAGGCAACGTGGAGAGAAGGTATAAGGCAAGGAGTGATGATGGTCTAACCGATCGCTCATCTTCCAACCACGACAAGACCGCAATTTCCATTGCTACTACCATATTGAGTGCACTTGATGCCACTGGCAGATTTGTGTGAGTTTTCTTTGCGCAACCGATGAGCAAGGCAAGTTGAATCGAGGCGAGAACCAAAGCATTTATCTGGAAATCGACATTACATCACTGACTCTGCAAGAAGCTGGAATTGCTTACTAGCTTTACAAAATTAATTTTATGAGGTTGAGTGCATATGTCTCTCTTAACTAGGATTTGCAATCGCAGAGGAGAAATGCAACCGCAGGAACAAGGCCAAGTATTGCTTGCTCGAACAATATGAATTGAGAGACATTGCCGTGATATACCAAAACCATTGTCAGCTTGCTGTGAGCACTTTGGCATAATCTTGTTAGTGGTTTTTTTTTAACTGGAAAAGCGGGGGTCGAGGGTCGAAGAGTTACAGGTTCTACGCTAAAAGCCCGGGACCTTTACCCTTTTCGTTTGTTTATCTATACTGTACAGTGCAATACTACGATATACTCTCTGATGCAGGGTGTCATCTACAAGTGGTTAAGTCAAAATCAGAGTAGTAGTCAGGAAAGCTACCACCTAGATTAAAAAATCTGAGGACTATATCTATGTATTCGTCTTAAAGATGAGGAACAAGAAACGCTTAACGAAGACACCTTCAACGTCTTCTTAATGCTCTGATCACAGTTGCACCGACACTCAAGAGCCTGACTTTTACCAAATGGAGTCCTATGGTGGAATTAATTTCTCTCTACTCCAAGGATCTCTCTCACAGAATTCTGTTTTCCCAGCTAGAGGAGCTTCATCTTCATTCGATCGAGGTGACAGTGAATAGCTTCAAAGAATTTGTACAGACAGCAGCTCCAATATTTAAACGACTTAGTCTGGTGTTAGTTAGTTTAGTTGATGGGATAACATCAGCACCAGATCTAGGACCTCTGTTGGAATCAATGGAATCTAGTTTACTGCAGTGAATGGACTCGGGAAGTGAATGGAACCAGTGGAATCGGAGCATATCCAATTCCATCGCGGGAACTTAGAATGAACACACATCTTAGCGCACAAATTACTACACGTATCAACTTAGTAGTAATAGTGCATTGAGATCCCTGTAAACCGACAACCTCTAACTGATAACATTAGTAGTTGGATCCCTTCATTATCCACCGAAGTCAAAAATGAGATACAAGGGCTCTGGAAGCGCGTTTTTGAATTTCTGGCAGATCATTTCAAGCTATACTACGTCCAACTATCCCGCCTTGGGTACCGAGGAAGAGAAACAATGTTGCAAGATCACTTGTATACAGAACGCGGGCAGCTGAATGCACAGCCTCCTTCTAGCTTAATCCCCACAAACATCTATTATGATGCTAAGAGGGCGAGTATATTTTTCAAAGATTGGATCACGTAGCTTTAGATAGAGATGTGGCATCGGACAAGCTTTAAAGGTCCCAAGCTCCCAGGGACCAGTAATATCTACTTGCGTCAACTAGGCCAGGACTATAGTAGCCAGGTTACTTACGCATGCAGATTCAGTCCAATAAGAGGTTAGAATCGTGTTGTATTAAGTTGCCTAGTGGTGAAGCCACCCTCTTCCCCCGCAAACTTCATCACAAGGAATGTATAACGTGTTTCCGGATACTCCGGTTACTCGATCAAATTTTCAAATAATGCATCAATTCCAATTCCATATTTAACCATAAAAACACCATAAAAAAGACTACATAACACGACCAGGGCATATACTATAGTTATGCCCTGTTTTACGGGACTTTGCTATAACGAACCGGAGAATGCATGTTGCTATTGACTAGCTCGTTGCTAATGGTTATGGAAGACGGCCCAGTTCTTTTTACCATTTGGTAGTATGGCTGCTTTGTCGAAGGCTTTAGGACTTTCGGGGAAGTCGGTGAGGTCGTATATTCCAGCGAATACTTGCATGGAGTTGGGTCGAGTTGGCTCGTGGCGTGGAGGATTTTGGTTGGGCGGGTGCTTTTGGAGTCTAGTATCTGCTAGAGCTTGGTTACTCTCTGTCGGTTGTGGTCGAATTTGTGCTGATAGGGTCGATATGGCGTTGTTTATGGTAGTCAATTGGGATGGTAGGGTCGTATTTGGTGGGATGGGTAAAAAACCCCGTGCCGTCTTGATAAGCCATCGGTCATGCGGAGTTCGGGGTCAACGGGATCCCCTGAGGAACAGAAAATCTTTCTGATCGCCTAATCCTGATTAGTCTCAAGTTACGGGTAGCGTGATGTCAAGGCAAGACTGGCATAGAGGTTATTATAATCAGAGTTTGTAGGAAATTAGCCTTTACTTAGGTAGCGAAACACTTATACATTATGTGGCAATGAACTATTTTCTCCATAAGTGATTTGGGAGGGAGTTGCATTAGCACAGGGGATAGTCGTTAGTACAGTGTATAGTCGTATGTACAGTCATTCTCGAAATCGGCTTGATACACTCTTCGTCATTCTTTCTGGCCCCACCGTCACTAAGTGCTTATTGGACATCACTAATCTGTCACGTGATGATCATGAGCTCCGTGAGCTTGAGCCTAGACTGAAATTTACTGAGTCTGACCCTGAGCGCCCTCATAAAAGCGGCGGCACCTGAAATAGGAAAGCCCCACCTGGCATGGAAAAAGCGGTACGTAAAGCTACCTACCCCACTCGGAGTACGGAGTAAGAAGTCAGAAGTGGAACCGATGACACGCGATCTTATTTTTAAACATCCATGATGTCAATTACGGATACCGTGAAGTCGGTTAGCGAGTCCAGACTCTATACAAATATTGATCAATCCTTTCAGTGGGTCAGGATCTTGCATGCGACGGATCAGAAAAGATACACATCGAAGGATGCCGGATGGGGTAATGTGGCTGTTATCTTCCAAGGTTATGATCCACAGCCTCCGCAGCCCCTTTTTAAACTAGATTCATGGATACCTTTTAAATAGACAATAGGCCTACGTACTCACCTAACTGCCTCACTTTGATTAATCCACTTAGATCAGAATTTCCAGGATTAGGCTTGTCAGTTGAGTCTAGACTAAATGACTTAGGGCTACTCCTCGTGATAACTTAGACATCCAAGTCAGCCATCATAGAACATTATAAAGTTCTGCAGCCTCCTGCCACGTCTCCCTAGTCAGACTTCATGGTTTACAAAATTCAATCTGCATAATGCTTGCAAATAATGGCGGGAGAAGATCCATCTATTTTTTCTACTAGTGGGGCTAAAGTAGGGAGGGGAAAAACATAGGGTTACTATGAATTCAAAGATGTGAGAATGTTCCATGTTCAGTGCCCAGCAAGGAATTTTAATAGCATAGAGAAATCAAATGTAACTGGTAGCACTCGACCCGACTGACAGCCAATACATATTGTCGACTGTGATACGGCAAAATCATTTGGTCGATATTCCGGTGGTAACCATAGCAGGTTCTCCGAGTTAAAAGTGATCCATGACCCATCGGAACTTATACCATATTCTGCACGCGACGCTTCATCGTTACAAATATCAAGATAGGGTTTGACTCTGTCAAATAGGTCGAACTGAACAAACCCACCAACGTGAATGGTCCATAAGCACTGGCTGCTGCGGGTATCCCACGCCTTGACGGTTTTATCTTGTGAAGCGGAGGCGATGAGCTTTGAATCATGGGAGAAAGCGACCGAGATACATATGTGACTATGGCCCTTCAGTGTTTGTAGGCATTGACCCTTACTGGTATCCTATACTTTTATGGTTTTATCACCTGAAACCGAGGCGAGTAACTGGGAATTATGAGAGAAAGCGACCGAGGTAACGATTTTATTGTGGCCCTCAAGAGATTTTAGGCACTGGCCACTGCTAGCATCCCATATCTTCACTGTTTTGTCCCATGAGGCGGAGGCAAGGAGTTTAGAATCATGTGGGAAAGTGACTGAATAAATCTCCATAAGATGACCCATTAGGATATGTAAGCATTGGCCGCTGTTAGTATCCCACACCTTGACGGTTCTATCTTGTGAAGTAGAGGCGATGATCTTAGAATCATAGGGGAAAGTGACGGAGGTACACGAGGTACACGGATGACTATGACCATCAAAGGTCTGTAGACATTGGCCGTTGCTGGCATTGTATACTTTCACAGTTCTATCCCACAAAGCCAGTGCAAGAAGCTTTGAATCCCGGGAGAAAGCGATCGATTTAATGGAGTTATTGAAGCCTTCGAGCGCCTTTGTGCACCGACCGCTGCTGCTATCCCATAACTTGACGATTCTATCAAATGAAGCTGAAGCGATGAGCTTAGAATCATACGAGAAAATGACCAAGAGACATATATGGTCATGGCCCTTGACGGTCTGAAGGTCTTGACTGCCGCCTATCTCCCACAATTTAATAGTCTCATCACTTGAAGCCGAGGCGAGAGTCTTGGAATCATGCGAGAAAGAGACAAAACAGATATCTTTAGTATATCCCTTAAGGGTATGTAGGCACTGACCACTGTTAGTATCCCACACCTTGACAGTTTGATCATATGAAGTTATGGCGAGAAGCTTGAAATCAGGGGAGAAAGCGACCGAACGACTGTTTTCTTTGCTATAGCATCCAAGAGTCTGTAGGCACTGGCCGCTACTGAGATCCCATACCTTGACGATTCCATCGTATGAAACGGAGGCGAGAAGCTTAGAATCATGGGAGAAAGCGACCAAGGAATACTGGTCATGACCGTTCAGGGTATATATGCACCTGCCACTGATAGGGCCAGTATCCCATACCTTTACGGTTCCATCATTTGAAGTCGACGCGAGAAACTTTGAATTATGAGAATAAGCGACCCAGATAACTAATTCACTATGGCCTCTAAGAACCTGCAGGCATTTCCCACTGCCGATATCCTACACCTTGACAATTTTATCATTTGAAGGGAATGCGAAGAACTTTTAATCATGGATATAGCGAGTGAAAGAGAATGGTTACTCGAAACGATGAGCTCTTGATCAAAGGTCTGTATGCATTGGCCACTGCTGGTATCCCACACCTTGACAATTTTATCCCATGTAGCCGAAACGATGAGCTTGGAATCACGAGAGAAAGCTACGGATGAAACGTCTGTACGATGTCCCTCAAGGGTCTGTAGACATGCGCTCCAGTTCTTATCTATTATTGGCTTTTTAATCATCCATTTCGGTTCTTGTGCCTGAAATTGAATCCTTGTCGTACTCCCAGTCGTACTGAAAATTAGTCCTGAAGTGTATACTTGAAGTGGGTGACTCTCAATCGCCACTTTATGGTACAGAACAAATCGACATTCATCCTGTACTCTATCGATCAGCTATAAGATCTCTTCAGACTCGTTTGCTACCTAAAATTTATTAAAATGTTCGAATGATTTTTTAGTTACACCAGCTAGTAAAAACAGACCTGTAGTAGCAAGCTCTTGAGCTGTGGTATTGCGGCTATTCCCTTTGATAGGATTCTTAACAAGCTCAGAGCCTCAAGCCAGTGTAGGTAGTCATTACGTAAGAAACTTTCAATAGGGTCATAGGCGTCTTTCTTCGTGCTTTCGCTGGGCCAACAATCGCTAAGATGGTCAACCCAGTAGACACACGCGTATCGTAATGCGGCTAGCGGGTCTGGATTTGGCTGTGTCACTTTAACGATTGAATACCCGGGGTGAATTAGGCTATAGACATCAGGTTGTAGTGTTGAAAGGGCTTCCAATAGTATTGCAGACATGGAATAATGTACTTGGAGTTATCCATCAGAAAAGATCTCATGGGCTGCTTCTCGAACCAGAAAGTCTTTAGCAGAATGATGAATTAGCAGGATTGTGCGTTCTCGGAGTGTTAGAAAAGAACCACAGAGCCTGATAATCTATATTAAATCAAAGTCATCAAATTCGTCGGATATATCGATGCAACTCGCCAATTCATCTAACGTAATCGGCTGGTAAACGGTCGTGACAACACTGAGAATGGACTTATAAAGTCTAGAGTCATCTAAAGCACTAAGTTGGTCCAGCATTCACTTATTTCACTTATAAAGCTTATCAAGGCCGGGAGGAAACTATTTGACCTTGCTTTTAGCAAGCGTCTTTGGCACATCGGCTAGTTTCTCGCAAACTAAGGCCACCCAGAGGAAGGTACCATGCGCGTTTGACAGCAATTATTGGGAGACAGCATCGCGGGTCTCGTCATTATACCTCTTCTTTTCTGTAAGTCTCCCAACCTTGTTATCAATGAATCTAGCGACAGCCTTAGCAACGGACGACCCATTCAATTCCAGCATGAGAGTTATTTTTTGGGTAGCGTCAAGGGCCTCTTCGATGACCGGCCAGTTACGGCTGGAAACGATCCACTTGATGTGAGGATATGCCGAGCATCAATGATCATATAGGTACAAGTGTTCTGTAACAGCGTGTCCTTGAAGATACTGATGAGAATCTCTGACAAAGCCGCCCATGCATTAATATCTTCAAAGACCTGCTTCCCGGTCTTATCATAGAAGCGCCGTATATGGGGGATGAGTGATGGCTGCTGGTCAACGAGCATAAAGATTAGACTGCGGAGGATAGAAGTAGCGTTGTTCATAATAACTATCTGGCATAGCCGAAAAGGGTGCGTAACTCATATTGTTATTGAAGTCTCTATGCTTTATTTCAAGCTTTAAAGGACGCTTCCAGTAGAGGTCGGCACGGATACATATCCATAAGATTTTGGATTATTCGTATCCGTAACCATAGTCGAGAGCTTCTATCCGTAACCGTAACCGTAGAATTTATACGGTTACGGATACGGATTACGGATATTCGTGATATTATGCCACCGCCTAAATAAATCATACGATACTACGATAGAAACTTATCATCCGAAGTCCCTAATTTGATATCTAAATAGTTATTCATTCATTGATAGAATGAGTCTCTTACCACGCCCTAAACGCGCTCCACGACAGGATTACCTTGTTCTAAATGATGGTAGTGATGAGGAAGCTGATCCTAGTGACTGTATCAAAAAGCAACCACATTATCACTCCCCATTAGATAAAGATGAAGATGAGGATGAATCTATCTCCGAATGATTCAACGAGTCAACTCCCTGAAACAACCTCTTCTATAGTGTCTACTCCTTTAGACTCTTCTTTGCCCAAGACACCAAAATCCAAAAACCAAGCCCTTTGGAGTCAATTTATAATCCGCAATCTTCCAGGGAAGTTCTGGCATCCTAAACGGGGTAAATGGCCGTTACAGGACCGAGAGATTATATGTATTCATTGTGGAGAATGGAAGATCTTGGATTCCCAGAGAGATATATCAACTTCTAATATGAAAACGCATCTGATGAAAAAACATGGATCAATGATATCATCAGTAACTCAGCAAGCATCTATTGTTTCTATATTTCGGACAAAAACTAGTCAATCTATGTTAGAGGTATTAGAGGAGAATTTGATTCGATGGATAGTCTTGGAGAATATCCCTTTCACTGCTCTTCAGTCTACAGCATTCCAGCAAATCTTATCTTTAGGGTAAGCTCTCTCTCTCTCTCTTTCTCTCTCTTTAATTATCTAAACTCACTTAAGATAGGTCTTGATAGCTATATTAGATGCCTGACGCATATTATAAATCTCATTGTCCAAAAGATTCTATCAGAGTTGAAATCTGGCGATTATCAATCTTCTTTAGATGCCTGTGGTATCCTAAAGGACTATAAGAGCCTACCAGCTAGGCATTCTGCGCTAGCTCGTGTACAAATCTTAGCCCTGTAGGTATCTGGAAGTCCTCAAAGACAGCAGCAGTGGCAAATCATTTGTCAGACACTTGAATTACCTGATAAGCTCATTCGGTAAGCAAGATTCCTTTCTCTCTTTCTTATATATACTTATAGTTCTAGGTATGATATCGAGACACGTTGGAACTCGACATATCTTATGATTCAAGATGCTATCCTTGCTTAAGAGCAGATTAAACATTGGAATAATGTTCAGAATCAGCTGATACCATTTTCAAATGACGATTGGTCTAATCTTCGTGATCTTGCCATGGTTTTTTCAAGATTCTATGAGTTTACCCAACTTATCTCTCAGCGGCAACCTCATATAAGTCTAGTAATTCCTATTTACTATGAATTGCATGACCTCCTTATAGAAGCAGCTTCTTTTGAAGGCGACTTTACAGAGCTTAGTCCTGATATCTCTTCTACTGTCTTGGTTGTAATGCAAAAGTATAGAAAATACTATGATCTTATGGATATACAAGATATCTATTATATAGCTCTTGCTCTTGATCCATGTGTCAAATTTGCTCTTTTAGAACAAGAGCTTGAAGATGGGGTTATCCAAGGAATCATTCAGAGCATTAAGGTCTTTCTTCATAAGAAATATCCTCCTTTAGCTACCTCCATCTCTAGTTCTACTTCTAGAACTATGGATCCTCCTGCTCGACCAGGTATGAGAGCTCGTCTTCTACAAAAAGTACATTCTCAAGAAATATCTCGGGATTCTGATATTGATCGCTATTTTGATGAACCTCCTATTCAAGTAGAAGGATTAATAGAAGACCAAGATGACTCTAAATGGCTACTTTCATGGTGGAACGCTCATAAGGATCAATACCCCAGGATGGCAGCAGTTGCAAGGGACTACCTTGGTATTCCAGCAGCTGAGGTTTCAGTTGAAAGACTGTCGATCAACTACGTTGAAAGGACAGGGTTCACACGTTGCACTATATATACTGGAAAAGGGTATGGTTCGTCCTAGGTTCTTAGTATATACGTTGTGCAAAGTGGTGTGAAATGTGTTCGATTCATGTAGCTACTTGAGTTCCTAATATAGTTGTTCCCCCGTGACTCGGGGGTCTGTTTGTTCCGTTCCGGGTTTATGGTATTGCATGATTGCAATATCCATGTTCCGACAAAGACTTTTCAGTTCTGTAAGGGATATCCTGGGTGTTCGTCGACAATCTCTGAACAGTAAGATTATGAGAGAGTTAGTTTTGTTAAGAAATATATATAATATTGATTCCTAATTGAAATTTCTTTTACTTGAGAATTACATGAGATTTATAACCCTATAGATGTGGAAATATATATTAGAACTGCAGGTGGTTCTAGACACGCGATATAAGCTACGGATATTACGGATATCCGTACGGATAGAGGGCATTTATTCGTAACCGTAACCGTAGAGATTTTATTCGTATCCGTAAAACCGTGCCGACCTCTAGCTTCCAGATTCCAATGTAAATTATATTATGCTCCATTACCTTTTTTAAGCTCTATGCGCCTTTTAGTATGACTGGTTACTCTATGCTGTTGATTTCCACAATTATGTAACCAATATTATTCTGCCGCTTACTTACCGCTTTCAAGTTTCAAATCACTCCTTCATTCATTCCAATTAACATAACCTTATGATGAATTCACTAAGCCAATTCTGAGGCACCCGCCGGTTCTCGGATCTGATGGGAGCTTTTGATTACAAACGAGAGCTTTTCTGAAGGTGTCATATTTTTACCATATACCATGCTCAATCATCGCATTCGACATCCGTATCAATACTCTCAATGGAGTCTGCCACGGCCATTATCTGCGCCGCACTCAATCCAGAACTAAAGTTTCATTCCTCCTGAATTGTCACAGCTATACCAGGCTCAGAAACCATACTTTAATCAAGTGCATACACCGATGGAGGGAAGGAACCGGCCAATGACATTTGTGGCGGGCTCTCGTATGGGAATACCGGTGTGGACATGGGAGAACACAGCTCAACAGCCAGCTCCCCTAATAGTTGTAGCTCCGATCGTCGGAATTTGGCAATCAAATTCCGACTCTCGACCATATCTCCAAAAATCGCGTAGGCCTTTTCTAACTACGATGGGTATGTCCATTTAGAATCAATCGCCGGTCCCATGAGAAGAACTACGGTTGATACTAAGACGGAATCGGGGAGAAAAGTTTCCAGAAGGCCTTCAGATTGAAGATTACTCATAATACCGATTATCTGGTGCGAGGAATCTATGCATATCTGGATCAAGTCTCGGCCGCTCCGCGATGTCTTCAAGGCATCTAAATAGCTCTCTAGTCTAAGTTTCAAAAAACAGAAAAGTGTGGCAAGGAATATGCATCCATGGTAGAGAAGATGGAGATATGCAGATGGCATTGAGCTCCCATTTCCAGACTAATCCAGTTGCAGTAGGAGTTTATCTCGAAGCTCGTCTGCCATACTGGCTATGTTTGCAAGAGCTGATTTTGTGCAATTAATAAATATCCTGTTAAGCCTACCATCAAATGCGTAAACCGCTTGAATCAGGAGAGTTATCATGGTGACTATCTTTTCGCGGGAACTGCTACTATTGATTTTCGCAATCATTCGATAGAGCTTGATATGCATTTTAACGCCCGCCATCCGATGTATTGAGCCTGATGATGTGGGGAGCAGCGTATCCACATACTCATCACTAAGGGACTGAGTCAAGCCTATCAAGGAGGTCATTCCACGATCTAGAATGTATACAGTCCACCATACTCTGCGTCAACGCTGAACCGATTTCTCTTCCAGGTACTCGGTTAGCATTTGAGTATGCATGCCTTTGGCTATTGCCATTCTCATAGCCTGTCCGATCTAGCAAGTCAACGGGTAAGTAACAAATACACCAAGGGATCGCGGAGATAGGCATGGCACCTTACATAGTTGTGTGCAGGTGAGCGATAATTCAAGGCTTGCAGGCAAAGTGAAATACAGCACAAGATCTCCGTTGACTCAATGGGCTCTTGATAGAGAAAGATCTTATTTGGCAGCAGCTGTACGGCTTTGACAAAATATGCGGCCCTGGAGTTTTTTCCCCGAGGCTTTTGCTGAACAAATCCCTTACCAAAAGCCATCATGAGAAAATGGATATACCATAAACCAGAAGTGGGATTCGGCCTTAGTTGAGAGTACAATTCGTTGACATTGTGCACACATTCATCATCATCAAAGAGATGGTAGAGTTGCCCACAGCGAAATTTCACAGTACTGATGAGATACATGGCATGGTATCACTGGGGACTCGGTGCTGTGTAAAGATGGTTGGCCATCCCATTCGAGATCATATGTAGCGCCATCGAACAGCAGAGCTTCGGTAGGAAGTGGTTCTTGATATACATGCTCATGTGTCAAGCTCAGCACCCGAAGAGTAAAGGACCAGTCGGATGATGTTCCTAAATAAACTGTAAGAGTGCAAACTTAGTTTCGTTCTGACTTTGAGAGAAGATAGCTTTCGACGTACACCTTCGCCTATTTCTAGCTGACATGAATGCTGGTGGACCAGTGGATAATAGGGGTTTCAACCCTGAATCCGGCTCTTCTAGCTTAGGTTGAAATTAAGAATTTCTAATTTTCTCCTGAGGAGGCCTGGTTACTTCAGGTGCATCATTATGGGCGTCTGGGAGAGCAGTCAGTACAGAACAGAGATAGTGAAAATGCAACTAACCCGAAGATGTGTCTTTGACATGTTCTATACTAAAAGAAATGGGATAAAACCTATTGTTCTTTTGTAGACTCGCCAGCTTCTGTTCTAGTTCTTCAAATTATCTGAATTGCGTCAGCAACTTTAGTCAAACTACGCGGACACGGTTTCCAGAGGTCATAAATACCCTTCAGTTACAAAAAACTTTTTATCTCGATCATCAAAAACATAAGCCAGTCTTCGTTTGTTGCAATCCTGGCATGGTCACAATCCTGTACTCTTAATCTTATGCCTGCGACACCGAGTGCACCTGTGCCAGAATGAGGTGAGTAGGGATTGTATACTTGAATAGATGCTCTATGCCCAGTTCTTATTGTTTACGTACGCATTGAGAGACCTCTTCGCGATTCGTGATTTATTCCCTGCCATCATAAAAAGTATCAGAGGTGATTTACTAGCAAATGAGGGGAATATATGGCTGGCTTATCATGTTTGCTTCTTGTCCAATGGAAGCTCGACGTCATACACCAGATACTACGGATTTATATAATTTTTCTTACGCCTTCAGCGAAAAAAAATAGATTCTTTACATCTTGCTGGGTCTGTCAAACAGTCAACAAAGTAGACGAAACTGTTCCAGATTCACCATTTAGTTGAGAGATCTGACAGCTGCTGATAAAATTAAGGCTTGGTGAATTCTATAGTTAAAGCGTGGCCTTAAGAATCCCAGACCTCTAGGCTCTCCCAAGGTCCCCCTCAGCCAATATCTACCTCTGTAGATATAGTCAATAGGCATGGACTATTCCCCTTGACGTGAGGGACATTTACCTGCCACCCTGCAATGCCCTGCTGTGAACCAACTGACAAGACTGCGGTATGTTTCTGAACCTAGTATAACTAATCTTGTTTTTGTTTTTATACACTGCTGACTCTGGAGGCACCGCTCAACGTCTGCGATGAATATATGACCACAGCTTCCTCGTCCAGTAAAATGGAGGATTTTCAGTGTACACATGCTTTTCGAATAATAAAGACTATATATTTTGCAATATCTTAGCTATAGCTGCTTAAGTAATTGTTGATTCACTCACCTGGGAATAGAAAAGTTTAATTGTCTTAGCTCTGTTCCAACCTTGGAAGGTTCTGGGGTTGGTTTAAGCTTTGATAACCTTAGAATAATTAAATAATATATAAAGACCCTGCCTAGGTGGAATTTTGTATAAATCTTGTTTCACACCAGCAGCGAGCCTGAGAAGAGCTATAAGGGCTATCTGTTGATATTTATAAACTCACCGAGACAAGGGCTTTGGTGATAAAGAGGGATGTGGTAATTTTTTATTTGATTTCAAAGTTTCATTGTACTAAATTCTAGAGGAATAAGGATTATACATAGATAATCAATCCGAATAATAGCCTCAACTTGGGCTGTAGAATAGTAGAGAGCTCCGATGTGTCTCCAATGTACCAACTCACATCATCTCCCCAATTCTGCTTTCCTAGTTTCGGAGACTTCCATCTCCATCGTACAATAGACTGCTGAATTACTGAAGCCTCAAGAAGCTCCTTGATTCAAGACCCTATAATTGATTTTTTTTAAAACCATGGGCCGACCACCCGAAAACAAAATGAGAGAAGACTCAGTATTTGTAGCATAATCAACAATGAATTCTGAGTCCTTGTATCTGCAAACCAACAAAGAGCATTTTTGAGAAGAGGCCGATTGTCAAAAATGACAGAGTCTGGGGTAGCTTTCTTAGTCGTTTTTCATCCTTTTCTGTAAGGAAGCACTATCTGCCAATTATTAAGGCGCATGAGACATTCCGGTCTTGAGATCTGGTTCGAAAAAGAGATTCAGATTTCGGGCTTGAGTGACTGGAACTCCATGTAGGACGGATACTTCATCGCTAGTGAGCTGATTATAGGCGATTGACCATGATTTGGCCGTCACCTGCTGACCGACTCGTAGAGCTAAGCACCCAGCTCCTGCTCCAGCTGCGACTATCAATAGCTTGGAGTGATGAGGTTGATCATTTTTTGTGCGGATGCCAACAAATTTGCGACCAGCTAGTGTTATTTTGTAGAGAATCTTATCAACTGCATCCTTTTCACTAAGACAGAATCATACTCCTACAGCCTGTGCTGCATATAATACTGCAGTCAGAGCGTTGACTAGATTGGCATAATCATCAAAGGCTCATGTATCAGCTGCTGGTAAACCTGGCGGACATCATCTCCTCCTTTGATAGGAACAACATGAAGCTTGACTAGTAAATGCCTCTCCACCATTTCCTGGAAACTTCTTAGTGTTTCTACAGCGTTATCCAGTGCTACGTCCGATACACAATGTAATAATCCTGTCTGATAAAAATGCAGTGCAAACAGAGGGGTTTTCCAGGCTAATATTGCTCTCTAACAAATCAAAGATACTATTTAGCAAGCCGTTGTCATGATGCTGCAGGCTTCGGGCTCATACAATTGTCAGATCGGCATAGAATTGATCTTCATGCTCTAATCGCACGATCTTAATCAAATGGTTGGCTGAAGATGATCAAAGACGTGCATGGGTAGTGCGCATACTTCCATATATTGCCGCCCAGGTCTCCCAATCTCTGCCGACAATTGAAATATCAGATCCATCTTCAGATTGGTCGCACGGTATTGATCCGAAGATTATGTGTGATACGACTGTTGCAACATGCCCCACTCCCGCATTCTTTGCTGTCATCGGTATCCTCCGTGACTTGCCACATACAATGATATTTCAGTCTATGCTTGGTACAACCACAATGCTCTAGAATGGAGGTCATCCGACTTTACTCAAGGATCAAGTAGCATAATCTGGGGGTTGCACGGTTGGTGGCTTGATGTTTATGGAAGAGTCGGGCGTTCGTGGTCATATTAGATGTGCCTTACGTAAAGATGTGATAGTGGCATGTCTAATGGAAACAAAGTCGCATGTTAATGATACACAGGATTGAGCAAATAGCATGTAGATCACTGGTAGCTCGGATGTTCTCCGTCGCTTTACAAGCCCTCGATTATCAAAGAGTAGTTCTCTAGCAGACAGGATATAGTTATCCTAGTAGTCGCTGAGATTTGCGTCTGGTCGTGTGATTTTGGTCTTCAATTTAAGCTAACTAGGTAGTATCAATACGATAAATAATCTTGGAAAGACTCCTAGTATTTTTCAACTCCTAGTTTGCCCACATGCATCGTCTTCCAAGGGTTTTTCTTAGTTTAAGTAGCCCTAATTAACGATTTCTTTCCAATCCTTATAACATGAAACTACTTACCTGCTAGGAAGATATCCCAAGTTCTGTGACTTGTTTTTTCTGGATTTCACAATCTGAGCTATTTGACTCGTCAATTACCTTGAAAACAACAATAATTTCCCCTCATTCTAAGACGTGTAACTTGTAATAGCCTAAATTCATAAATGGGCTGATCTGACTGCTGCAAGACCCACGTTTGGATGCCTTCCTGGTTGCCATACGCTAATGAAAAAAGTCTTATCAGGATCTACCTGGTACCTCTAGGTCAAGCTATAATGCCATTGGTGTAAGTTATTAGTTCTAATGTATGTTATACCACGGAAGTCTCACAATTGGACCTCATCATAGTGTTGGCCTTGTCGGACACGGGCCCAGGCCCCGATCTTGTTTTACTTAGGCACATTATTTGTAGCAGATTTCCTTCCCCCAGTGGGCTTTTCTAAATCAGCTAGCTACCGCCGCTTTAATAAGGGCGCCCAGATTCAGGCTCAGCGAGTGAATTTTAGTCCGGATAAAGGCTCAGTAGGCTGTGACCAAAAGCGGCAAGCACTGAGCACAAAACGAAAGTAGAAAGCCAAGGAATGGGTAATTAAAGCCTCTACATATGTACATAAGATGCAGGATTGGATCTTGATAGCGCAGGGGATGCTAGTCGTGCGGGGTAAAATCATCAGCTCACCTTAAATAAAAGAGAAAGTACCTAGTTTCTCAGGATGAGGATTAATAAACAGTAATCAGATGAGTCGTGAGCAATGATCACTTACGTTGATAAGACAGCCCGTATTGGTCTACTCGTCGCAAGACGCAGTACTCTTCCAAAAAGCACTTGGAGAGTACCAGTGGATCGACGATTCATATCCACGATCACAGTGTCTGCAAATGATACTACTCCTGCCGTTCTTACACCTCCCCTTGCTACCCTGCCAGCCAGTGTTCTTCTGAGATCACTTTTGATTGCCACCATCTCTTCAAAGCCTTTTCTTCTGGACTCTTCTCTATGGGCCATTTCCATCCTCTCCAAGCCAGATCGAGGATTCTTGTTCAATGTGGACCGTAATCCAATTCTCCACAGTATTTTAAAGAATACATTCTATAATCAGTTCTGCGCTGGCGAGAATGGCACTGAAGTCAAGGCCACTATCCGCCAACTCAAGGACATGGGGTTTCGCGGTGTGATTATGACTTATGCCAAAGAAACTGTGTTTGACCGTCGAACCAGCACTAAGGAAGGTCCTACGATTTTGGATGCTGAAAATGATAATGGACTGTCATCCTCTCAAGCAGTTCATTGCGATAATATCGATTCATGGCGGAAAGGCACATTGGAAACTATTGAACAACTAGAAGATGGGGATTATCTCGCTGTAAAGTAAGATCTTCAGGCATTTCGTTTCGTCAAAAATCACATCTAACTTGTTACAGATTGACTGGGGCTGGTCCTACTGTCACCGAAGCCTTCGCAGCAGTACAGATGCCACCGAAACAGATGCTGGTGGCATTAAAAGAGATTTGCAACAAATGTAAAGATCGCAATGTGCGCTTGCTAGTTGATGCTGAGTCTCAGCACTTTCAATGGGGGATTATGCGAATCACCTTGGAGCTTATGCAGCAGTATAACCGAGATGGATTTGCCGTTGTCTATAATACCTACCAAGCATATTTGAAGAGTACATCGGATACATTAGCATCGCATCTGGTTGCTGCCCAGAAAGAAGGGTTCACTCTAGGACTCAAACTCGTTCGAGGTGCATACATAGCTTCTGACAATCGATCCCTGATCCACGACACGAAGGAGGAGACCGATACTGCCTACAACGACATCGCTCAAGGCGCACTCAGGCATAATATTGGAGAGTTTGGCATTAGCATTCCCTTCCCATCTTTGGACCTGCTTCTATGCAGTCACAATAGGGCGAGTGTCATGGCTGCCCACCAGCTCCACGAATATCGTGTTGCTGCCGGCTTGCCAACTGTCCCTGTTGAGTTTGCTCAGCTTCATGGAATGTCAGATGAGGTTAGTTTCTCGCTTTTACAATCTAAAGGAATTGATGGGGCGCCACAGGTTTATAAGTGTTCTACATGGGGTAGCTTGGGTGAGTGTCTGGCATATCTTCTGCGTAGGGCGATTGAGAATAGGGACGCTGTTCTTCGTACAAACGATGAGTACACTGCACTGAAGACAGAGTTGAAAAGGAGGTTGAGGGGAACTGTGTATTTATATTCTGGTAAATAGACACACAACTGATGATGATGCTGAGTACAGCACACTTCTATCCGGTTTCAGACTAAGATCATTCCCCTAGAAGTGGACACCCTAGTAAAATGAATCCATTTTTGAAAAACCCGAAACTATCAACCCTGCATACGTTAGGTTAATTCTAAAATCATATCCCGTAAAGCTAAAATAGCTATTTTATCTGATGCTTTTTTGCTTCTTTTTCAAGCTCCTTCTGTCTTTGACGCTCAGCTAAAGCTTTAGCTTCAAGCTGCGCAGCTTTGATCTTCTCTATGTCTGCAAATAGTGTATTTAAGTTTACATGGTCCTCCTATTCTTCTTCCTATTCTGAAGGGTCTCAACCTGTGAACTAAGCTTTGAAATCAGAGCTCCATCAGTTGCCTGTCTCGTAGTAAAAAGTCCAGTACCCTTGGCTGCTTTCTCAAGAGCCGTCCTTTAATCCTAAGTCAACTTTTACTGTTTATCAAGAATTTCTTGAAACTTTTGAATAAGTCGATAGCTTTAGGTTTATTAAAGATCACTTAGAATCGTGCTGGATTCTAAGCTAGGACGAATTAATGCCTTTATATGGATCCTATAGAAATAAACCAGCAGCTTTCCATCCACTTTGAAGAACTAAAGGTCTGAAAATTTGTTTTCTAGCTTTAGAGTAGGATTCCACGAATCGGACCTTTTATTGGTGCAGCATCGTCGATATAAGGTAGTTCATTGATTTGATTCCGATATCTGGCCTTGCTAGACGAAAATGTGCCTAGGTCAAGTGGCTATAGAATATGGCTACTATGAGCAGGTAAAAACACTCATTCGACATTATTTTGCTTATAAGTCCATAGAAATTGATAGCTACTGATATGGCTACCATGGCCGTCGAGAGTCATGCTGATCGAGTGTAGCTGTTTCAGGCAAAAAGATTGTCCTTAGCCATTCAATACTAGTTGAGTTTGATGTCCAGCCATTCTCTGATATAGTATAAAATCAGTTTGGGGTGTCGGTTTGAAACCATAAAGTCTATAGGTTTTTGCCTTTGAAGATAATGAGTGGGCCAATCGTTTTACTAGTAGGGCTAATTGTCGATCAACTACTTTGAAAAGACAGGGTTCACACGTTGCACTATATACATTAGAGAAGGGAATAGGTCGTCTTAGATTCTTAGTATACACATTGTGCAAGGTGGTGTGAAATGTGTTCGATTCACCTAGCTACTCGAGTTGCTAATATAGTGATTCCCCTGTGACTTGGGGTCTGCTTGTTCCGTTCCGAGCTGTGGTATTGCCAATATCCATGTTCCGACACTAATCGTCTCGATAATCGATACCTATTCCCGGCTCTCTGATGACTTAACATAAGTATGCTTCTTCCCAGATGCTGAAAGGACTTGGGAATTCGTACAGACTAAGAGCGATTCCACGCTCGTCCATATTCAAAATGTTATCTGGTAGTATAGAATATTACTCTTTAGTCTTTGCAAATAGCTCATAAAACTCTTGAATTGCTGCAGGCTGTGTCCCATGGATTCTAGACACATCGATACGTCTACCTATACAGGAATTGACGCGTGGGTTTCGCTGAATAAACTTTGGTAGCCATGCCTTCCCAAGAGGTTCATTATCGCCATTAGAACGTAGAATGCGAGCAGCCATCTCACGCGCGCAAGCATGCGAAGGAGGAAATCCTTGGGAATCCCGCTCAAGAATCCATTTAACTAGGAATTCCTCTTGGCCTGGAGATAGTCTTTGTTGATTTGAGTGGGCATCGCGACGAGAAAGTGAGCCATTCATTCGACGTGTAAGGGTAGATCTTGAGACACCATATGCGATAGCTGCTGCCTTTACAGAAGATATTTGGCCTGATTTTAAGTCAGAGATGGCCAGAGATATCTGGTGTTCGTTGGGAGCCATAGTAATAGAACAAGGTAGTGGAAAAATGGATGATGGAAAGTGGGGGGCGTGACGCACGTGCCCACTTCTAGGGTAATGATCTTAGCTGATCCCAGTATTTGATACATCAGAAGATTATGAAGGATCGGATGCCGGTAGAAGTTTCTAGACTTATATCAACTTACTCTGGGTTGTGCTTTATCTTGTGATAATCAATAACCATGAATTCAGCTTCAACTATCTTTAAAAGCTGCTCTGGTAGTTAGTTAGCTGCGTCGATTAGTCATATATCATGTGACTCGTGTCGATGTCTCATCTAGGCACCAAGGCACCAATATATTACCCCTCTGATAAAGGTGGGGCTTAGTTCTCGTTCGGTCGATCTTGCTAATCCATTTGTTTCTGTATCATTCTGGCTACCGATGGTCTTATCCGTGGCCTAATTTGTCCCACCAATTCGTCATATCGAGGATCCCGATGGGCCGATATGTGTAAGCGCCGGAACCCGGAATATTAAAACCGCCTTTTCCCCTGGCAACCTTATATTGCTTTCTTCCTAATCTTGTAATCTTCATCACTCTCTTCTCTTAAACCTCCCTTCACATCAATTCCATCCATAATCATGACTATCAAGGCCGGTGACAGCTTCCCCGAGGATGTTAAGTTCTCGTATGTATTGCACCCTAACTATGCCCTTATCTGCCCCTCCTCATTCTTGTATCCAAAGCCGAACATAAACATTAACCAATTGTCCTTTACAGTTACATCCCCTGGGCCGAGGACTCTGCCTCCATCACTTCTTGTGGTATTCCCATTAACTACAACGCCTCCAAGGAGTGGGCTGACAAGAAGGTCATCCTCTTCGCTCTTCCCGGTTCGTCACCGCCTCTTCTACCCGTTTTGATATCATAACCTCAACAATACTGACCGCCATTCTCCCTTACAGGTGCCTTCACCCCTGTCTGCTCCGCCAACCACGTCCCCGAGTACATTGCCAAGCTCCCCGAGCTCCGCAAGAAGGGCGTCGATGTTGTCGCCGTCCTGGCTTACAACGATGCCTACGTCATGAGCGCCTGGGGCAAGGCCAACGGTGTTACCGGTGATGACATTCTGTTCCTCTCCGACCCCGAGGCCAAGTTCTCCAAGAGCATCGGCTGGGCTGATGAGGAGGGCCGTACTTACCGTTACGCCATTGTCCTTGACCACGGCAAGGTCACCTACGCCGCCAAGGAGCGTGAGAAGAACGTCCTTGAGGTCACCTCCGCCGACCATATTTACAAGCAGTTGTAAATTTCCTGTCGGAAATGAATGAGTTAGGCGTGTCGCACTTTGTATTGGGTGGGGGGGGAGAAAATATCTTCCTCCTTCTGCATTTGGCGGAAAATACCATAGATTGCCCGCTGCTTTTTGCTCGTGTCTAACATAGAGGAATAAATCATAATGAAGCTATGAAGTGTCATCCGTTCAAACTTTGTAGGCGTATTGGTTAGTATTTACCTCGATTATCATAGTCTATATTTTGCTTTTTTGAGGGCTGAGGCCGTCATTGAATCCCGTGAGCCCATGTCACTCACTAATCAGATCCACTACTCATTAATAGCATCTAATTCATGTTCAATTCCGACGAGCACGGAGAAAACACCTTGATAGGTAGTTCCGACACTGGTTGAAGGTTCAGGCGATCTATATTCAGTGGGAAATACAGAAATATAAAATACAATATTTAAAACAAACAGACGAATTGGATATCAAAGTAAGGAGCAAGCAAAGCTAAAATAAAAACATGCCGCAATCATCTGCCCTTGGGAGAGTTGATTGCTACAGAGCGATTCTTCTTCCGGTCTCGCATTGGCAGACCCGGACTACCTCCACCGCCCATGCCTCGTGCAAGGGAGGCGAAGGGAGAAGAGTCATGCAATGCTTTCGAAAGATCAAGTGCTGTTGGAATCGCTCCAATTCTGCGAATACTGGGAGTATTCTCACCCGAACTATACCCAGGTTCTGATTGACGGCGACGATGACGTTTGTCATATGAGTGGCTCTTAGTAGAACTTACAGGGCTTTTCATACGAGGAGACAATAATTCTAACGATGGCATAGGCACATCTGCTGCGACATGCTCTGAGCAACGACAGCCACATCCGGTGGGACATGGCGGAAGCTTGGGATCCATACCCTCGGTAGGGTCTGTACTATCATATTGATCGGCAGGTCGAAGGAACCAGCGTTGATGGCAGTCAAAGCAGCAAACATGACCGCAACTAAGACACGGAACCAGCATCCCAGCCACCACTTCCCCGCAGATGATGCAAGGGAGCTTGGTGGGCAATGGCTGCCGAGGTTTGCAGTGAGCACAAGAGCTGATGGAAGGCTTTCGCCCATGGCGTTTGGATGGGGTGCCTATTTCCATAGTTGTCGTGGAGAAAATGGAAATCTGTAAAGCATGCCCACAATTGGCACAGTGACGCTGGAAACCAAGGCCTTCGAAATGCGGCGCCACATGACCCGAATTTGGCTCTTCAAATGAGTCTCGTTTGGGACTGCTACTGCTCCAGTACTGACTCATGTGCATATCCTCAGCATGATCAACCACCGAACCAATTTTTAGGACTTCACTTTGCTGCACTGGGAGATCCCATGTCAGTAGTAATTCAGCGTACGCGGCACGGTACGACTGATACAGCCACTCCTTGCTGCGATCAAGGAGGGAAGCCGACGCAGCCTTGTTACTGTCAAATGCGCTTTGGTTTTTGAATGTAACTTTAAATCGGGCTGCCGATTTGGGTGGTTGAGCGGGTTGGTCACTTTCAGTGTCAGAGTGAGCCTGACGAAACATTGTTAGTATAAACTTCTCATATTCATAGTACCAAGGACAATTCTCACTATTTGAGTTGTTGTCATACTCAGGCTCTCTCCGGGACTTAGTTTCTTGATCACCGGCGGCGATGCCGACGACGGTCCAAAGGTAAATGAGCGAGAGAATGACGAAGCAAGGACGGATCCAAATCCAGATCCACTTCGTGGATGAGACTGTTGGTCTGGAGAAATCGCCATGGGTACATTTTGACTAAAAGATTTTCGATTGGTGGCAATACCTCGCGGACGAGAGGCGAAAGGAGGAGTTGAGCCTGAGGAAAAGGGAGAGGGGGAATCCAGCCGCCAGGCTTCGTTGGGTGAACGTAATGCGGAGTGAGGATGTGAACGGGGTTCTTTGGGTGTGGATGAAGCAGGAGTTGGGCCTTGAGATTTGTTCTGCGCGGTCTGCACGGTTTGCACAGTCTGCACTGTCGATGTAACTGATGATAATTCCAGTGAATAATCCTCTTCGGCGAGCTCATCAGAGTCATTCTCTAGGCGACCTTCCATATTCGTCTCGAGGAGAACACAGGATAACATTGCAACCATCTGCACATCCCCGATGCGCTCGAAGTGTTCAAATAATGCAGGGACTAGCCAATGACTGCCCATGGGATGATTACCCCAGCGAATGACACTTCCAGCAACCTCTTTGTAGAGCTCCTTTTTCTCGAGAGTCTGGTTCCCATTCATTGCATGGTCGCCCTTGAAAGCGCGCTTCAACTCCATTCTTGTATCGCGCAGATTCGGTGATTTTTTTCGAACCTGCAAAATGAGCTTAATAAGACCCCATATTTGAGACAATTCATAGCAGCCCGCATCGAGGGCAACAGCGGCATTATGTGCACACACGTCTGTTCCTTTGCCACAGATGCGGTATTTGCTAGCGAGTTCACGCCTGACCGGCAGCAATTCACTCAAATCATGGATTGAGATATAATTCCGAGGCTTTTCAGCTGATTCTGTTGTTGCAGCACCACCGGTGGATCGCTGGGATTGATCTGTCGACCGTGGTCGATATATACCCATACTGCCAGCACTACGCCATGTCTGTGGCGGTTGAAACCGGGTCGGTAGTCCGGATAATATAGCAGAAGAGCCTGATGAGCTCGAAGTCTCGGAGCCTGAATCATCGGAGTACTCAGATGCACCATCATCTGTGCTCGCGATTGTACCAGAGGTCATGCGTGGGCCCGGAGAGCTAGTCTGCAATCGCCCGAAACCTTCAAAAACCTTGTCTGTCCTAGAAAGTCTAGTCATCTCTTTGAATCCAATATTCTCAAAGAAATCTGTTGCTTTGTCCTTTTTGGGGGGAAAAAGCAAACCAGACGGCCATCGTTTGCCCAAAGTGCACCGCAGCCTTTAGCAACCGGTACCATCACGTTGGCATTCACTGGTCGAAGAAGCTCCGAACTCATCCCTAATTCCTGGCTCTTTGTCATGCCAACTTCATCTTCGTCGCTAGATTCGCCCTCTAGCTCGCCATCAACCGGAGATTTGGTATTGTCCTCAATTTCGTCTACTATCCATGCAACGCTTTCTTCCAGAGTACTCTCTCCAAGAAGATAACGAACAGCCCCTTCTAGACATCCACGTTTCTGCGACATGTGAGTCTCAGCAATTGTCTTCAACCCAGCTGTGACCTTTTGGGCAAACTCATCCGTGACAGATGCTGTCTTTTGAAACTTAAAGGTGGGAATCGAGGTTTTGGGATAGCTAACTGGAAACTTTATGTCAACTTTGAGAAATAATGAGCTTCCATCAGCACCCCAAGGCCCAGTCAGAGAGATTGAAATTTTTCTTTGCCGGACATCAACCGAATCAAATGATACTTTGGTGAATCTTTCGCCAACATGGCTGATCTCGTCTCCGAGGGTTTCGATATCCCAGCCCGAGATTTTCACTCCACGCATCCAGGAAATGGGATTTGTGTCAGCTCTCAGGTTCGATCGTGGCTGCATGCCAAATCGTGTTTCGCGGCGAGTACTCCGCGTGTACCCACGAGAATGCGGGATTGATATGGCATTCATGCCTGGTCCACCCGGGTAGCCGCTATTTGAGAGCGGTTGATGAATGGATGATGCCGTGTCGAAATCATCTATATCCAACTCGGAATTTACGTCTCTAAAGCTTCGATAGACCGCGCCTAAACGTGTCACACCTCGAGTAGAAATGAAGCTTTTGCCTTTCTCATACCCTACATGCTCCAAAATCTCAGGGTTCACGCGATGCAGGCGAAGCTCTCTGTCAGTTCCCCAAGTAACAAGCTGGAAATCTCGATTATCAACACCATCAGTCACACCTCCACGTGATCTCCACAAAAACTCCTTCACCTGGCCTTTATGCCCAGGGAAACTGTGAATTAAAGGCAACTCTTCGCCAGGGTTGCTGTCTTCAACAGCTCTGCGACTGTAAAGGTGGAGATCGGAGTTTCCTCGCTGGGGCATCGCTAGAACACCAAATCCAAATGGTGTATTTCTGGCTCGCCAGACAGGGAAGGGTGTTTGAATCGTCTTCTCTGGTATATCGCCTTCAGATGTATAATCCCAGAACTTGATCGTTTTGTCGAGTGAACATGTCGTCAGCGCGCCTGGTCGGATTCGGTTCCAATCAACACCATAGATTTTTGTGTCGTGTGCTTCAATTGAACGAATCGGGTATGCGCCCATACGGTCATCCCAGATTCGAAGAAATCGATCATGGGAGCTAGCAATAACGTGAGGATCTTGTCGGTTCCACTTAACCTGAGTTGCACCAGTGAACCAATCAGAGAACGAGATAACCGGGCGAGAGGGAGTACGAAGATCCCAGCAGTGAATAAAACTATCGACGGCGCATGTGGCGAGAATGTCCGGGTGAAAGGTGTGAAAGTTAATGTCGGTAATAGCTCGAGAGTGCGCATGTAGTACGTATTCAATGGAATTCTGCCATGTTTTCATGGCCAAATTCCAGACCAAAGCTTTCTGGTTTGATGTACTAACTACCCAGTAATCACGTGAAGCGAATGGGGACCATTGCACATCGGCGACTTCCCATGGTGTATGATGAGGCAGGTATCGGGGCGGAGAATAGGGCGAGTCCAGGTCAATGACATGAAGACCTTCCTTGGAAGCCAGTACCACATCACGCCCACATGGGGAGATGGTCATAGATCCAACAGGCTGTTCGACATGGAAAGAGCTATCCTCATCAAATGTTGGGCTTTCAAAGGCCGACGTGAGTGGCCGTGGCTCCATGGAGCTTGACATTTTGTCAGCTACGGCCCAATGGGGGCCCTCGTAAGAATCGCGCAGTCAGAATTATATGCGCAGTTTAAAGCGACATGATAGATTGAGTAAATGGAGCCGCTATGCCATTTTAAGTAGCGTAACTGTGGAACTTTGAGGTTGATGCGAACATCATGAATCCAGAGCTCCGATAACGAGCAACTGTGGCGGTGTTTTGTGGCGGTGTAACTAACTCACGTGTTTCGTTACGGCTTCCGGAAGGGCCCCGCGCAAGAGCTGGCCCCTCCTTCTCGACTTTGTATACCCACCAGCTAGTGACTTCCTAGTAGTCTCTCGCTATCGAAATTATCTCACCTCCTACACCCTCCGGTGACAAGGACCCATCATGGCTTTGTCTAAGCGCATTATCAAGGAGACGGAACGTCTGATGGCTGAACCGTGAGTGTATCATTTACATCAGTATATCGATTTGTAGCTAACTTTGGACCTGTTTCCTCGTATAGGGTTCCTGGCATTAATGCTGTTCCTCACGAAGATAACCTGCGTTACTTCGATGTCTCTATCCACGGCCCTGCCCAGTCCCCATATGAAGGTATGTTTCAACCTGCTTTCCTCCCTTCCAATTCCCCATTAACTGAATCGTATCAGGTGGAATCTTCCGTCTTGAATTGTTTTTGCCTGATGATTACCCTATGGTTCCTCCTAAGATCCGCTTCCTAACTAAGATCTATCACCCCAACATTGATCGTCTGGGCCGCATTTGTCTGGATGTGTTGAAGAGTAAGACTTCCCTTTGTGCTGAAATATTCCTGTATTTTCTGACTTGTTATCAGACAACTGGTCCCCCGCTCTCCAGATCCGTACAATCCTTCTCTCGATCCAAGCCCTCCTTGGAGCCCCGAACCCCGATGACCCTCTTGCCAACGATGTTGCTCAGCGATGGAAGGAGGATGAACCCGCCGCCATCCAGACAGCAAAGGAGTGGACCCGAACCCACGCCATGACCTAGGATTCTGACCAACCGTGATGAGACCATGAAAAAAAGAGTGTGAGACGGAAGCGTGGTGATGGATAGACCTTCAATCCTTCAATTTGCTTGATCGTTGTGATAGGCGAGCTATTTTTCTTGAGCGTGGGCTTGTTTTTGACATCCATTTTGTTTTTGTAACAGTCAAAGGACTTGTATAGAATCAATAAATGTTCTGTGACTGCCATTATTGCACAGAATGCTTTAGCATTTAAGTTGAACCTCCAGATAAAAATACATTAGCTGATCACCATAATTCTTCACATAGAAGGTCAGTCTAATTGGCTAGGTATGAGAGTCCAGTGGCAAGGTTGGTTTCCGTGGTTTCCTTGTGAGAAGATAGAATTGAGACAGCCATGCCCTGATACTTCCGAGGTCAGTATCATAATAGCGCAGAAAGTTCAGATGTTCATAAACATGACAAAAGCAAGGTCTGTGAAAGATTCAAATTAACATTATTCATTCCTCGAATAACCAGCCTCGAAATAGAAGACGGCTGCAAGGTTGTATATAAATTAACTTACTCTACCAAGTAAAGGTTTAGAGTTGAAGTCTATCAAGATTATAGACGATAAGAGATAAGAAAGCATAGTCATGTGACTGATATTCCCGGAAGGGCAAGCGGATCACGTGTCGCACTTTAGCGAGGCGCACCACAATTGGACCCAGCCAAGGACTACCGCGATCTCCGAATTTCGACCATCACCAAACGCCAATCGACACATCGTCAGCGCATCCGCACCCGTTAAGATGCGTACCTACGACGACTCCTTCAGCGGCCAGAAGATCTACCCCGGCAAGGTACGTTCTTTTCAATCCATTCGGTCCCCGTCTGCGTGCGATAGGAGGAATCTGGAATTGTGTGGATTCAACGACGACATCGATCAAGCACCAACACCACCACTCTTTTAGATATGCTTCCACGCTCGCTGGGAATCGCGCAGACACATGGGGATTTCACTTGGTTAAAATCGGGTCGCTAATAATGATTTTTTGATATTACAGGGTAAGCTGTACGTCCGCGGCGACAGCAAGATCTTCCGCTTCCAAAATGGAAAGTCCGAGTCTCTTTTCCTCCAGCGCAAGAACCCCCGCCGTATCTCCTGGACTGTCCTTTACCGTCGCCAGCACCGCAAGGGTATCTCAGAGGTCGGTCACCCTTCACGTTACTTGCTATCTTTGTGTAGGATTCGTGTGATGGAACTTGAAGGCCGTCTTGCTGGATTCGATCGACATATTCTATTTAAAACATCGACATTCTGACAAGACGGACATAAGAGGAGGAAATTTGATATCACACGACGCACGCCCCGTTATTCGATATACAAAACGAGATACTAACTGTGATGTTTTCCGGATATATAGGAGGTCGCCAAGAAGCGTTCTCGCAAGGTCGTGAAGCACCAGCGTGCTATTGTCGGTGCTTCCCTTGAGACTATCAAGGAGCGCCGCGCCCAGCGCCCCGAGGCCCGTGAGGCTGCCCGCAAGCAGGCCATCACTGCCGCCAAGGAGAAGAAGGCTGCTTCCGAGAGCAAGAAGAAGGCCGAGAAGGCCAAGTCCGCCGCCGCCAAGGGTGGTGCCCAGCGCATCCAGAGCAAGCAGGGTGCCAAGGGTTCTGCCCCCAAGGTCGCCGCCAAGTCCCGTTAAATTTCTTCTAAAAAGTTGGATGGGAATGGAGGTGTTCTTTCGTGATGACGGTTGCGACGTGATGGAACTTTCGGTCATAGGGCTGGAGTACTGTCGGTGATGACTGGCTTAAGCCAATACCTGTTTCTTGAACACTTTTATGCAATACTGCGCAATGCAAAAATGGAACCAAAGGAACCAAAACAATAAATAAATCCACCGCAATATTTCCACGCTCAGTTTTCTCCTAGGTATAATCATCTGTTCTGGCGTTTCTTCCTGGTTCGGTAGAATTTGGTTTCCACACTGCGAATTGGAAATGTATCTGACCTCGTGTATGGCTTGGAGTGGAGAAGAACTCAGAACCCTATGTGCTGAATACAGAGTGAATATCGCCTTCGAGTCAATCGCAGTCTACAATGGAAATCGACTGCAATGCGGACATCCATCTACGATTCCTCTTCAATCCTTCAATCGCTAGTACGCCTATCTACGATCCAGCCAGTGGCAGATGTGTCACTATTGAACTAGATGTAGACAAACGCCCCAGCGTCTTTCCTCAGTTGGCACTGGTAGTTTTTTTCCGAAACAGCCTACCGAGGTAGACTACCTTAATGTGCCAGTAGCCAGGACTCAAAGACCAAATCAAGTATTTTACCTACCTAGGTAGGTACTAATAGGTACCTAAGTAAAGACATGCCCGAACCCCTTTTCACAACCCTGACACTAGTCATCGTTACACCCAGGTAGTCAAGTGTAGATACTGAGGTATATAAATCAGATGAAAGAGAGTGAGCGCAATATAGATTTTGAAATTTAAGTATGAAATAGCCGCTATTTAATGGATAAACAAATATAATGCAGTAGTTTTACAGTTGGGATTCTCAGTCTGAATATCAACCACATGTGCACCTGATGTAGGTCGCCAGAAGCGATATCTTCCAAGATAAAAAAAAAAAAAAATTGAAAATACTAAGCTCTGGGAGGTTGCAAGGCCGCCAAGGAACCAAAATCGGTATATTTCCAATATCAGCGATCTATAAGAAACAGATATGCACACCCGAATCAAAATGGAGGCAAATTTTCAATGTTTCCACATGACTGTGTTTCGAACAAAAAACTATACACCTGAATGCCAGACTAGGAACCGGTCAAGGCCCAAATGAACAATATCAAGCTTAGTAGTAGTGAGCCATCTCTAGGCCAGCGCGTTTGAAGTTGCACTTGATGTAAAAGCCTTCATTGGCTTCAGAGCAGTCAAGAATGCTCTATAAAAATGGGTCAGCATCTACACTCATTTATCAGGTAACAATATGTAGGAGATTTAATTACCTTATAACAACCAACCTGGGCAGCAATATAATCCAAAGCCTGAATGATTCGCAGACCAAGCTTCTTGCCTTGTTGACCCTGCTCCACGGCAATATCCTCAATGTGCCCAACCATGCCAAGCGAGTGGATGAACTTGCGCTCAACAATCAAGCTACCAGTACCAACGATGCGGCCTGACCCATCACACACGACGAGATTATAGTACTCGTCATTACGGGCCGCGATCCAGTCATATCGCTGGTTCCAGGCCTCCTCGCTAATATCGCCGACAGTAGTGAGGACACGCAGGACATCGAGGTAGCCGATATTGTAGTCTGAGCGGCGCATAGGCCGGATGGTGTAATCTGTTGGGAGGAGGGAGATTACCTCGGGGGAGATGAGGTCGGGAGCGAAAAGAGGTGTGTCATTCTCGACTACAGAGTTCACAGCTGATGGCATAGTGGGCTTGGAAGAATCAGGGATAGGAATTGCTTCGAAGGAGGTTTCAATTGGTATTGTGTAGTTATTTGTTAGATCGTGAGGGTTTCGCTGAAACGAAGAAAGTAAATTGGAGGACCGGAGAGGGATTGAAGTGGCGGGTTATGGGGGCAAATCTGTTAAGGCGAATTGACTGGATTTTTGCCTTCCCAACGTTCAAAGCAGAGAGTCTTAAGAACTTTAAAGTTAAGAAAGAAAAATGGATCGTGGCTAGGGGGGAGCTTAGTCGATCCAGTCATTTTATAGCCTTGGAACTGGCTATTATTACCTAGTAGCCCCACGCTTGGCACCACGATTATCTATATCTACGGAGGACCGTGGAATCTACACTCATATTTTGCTAGAAGTCTCAGTTACCTTTGATCTCTTCAACTCCCTGTCTCACTAGAGAATTACTAGATTACTCACTTCCAAAGTCCAAGATCCCCCCTACCCCCGTAAGAGGGTTTCCAAGCTTTAGGCTCGGCTAAGACGCCTTATAAATACTTCTCTATAATGGATCAACCATGGGTATCTTAAAAATGAGGATGAACAACTTATCTCATATTCCAAGGTTAATCTAGATTATGTGGTATAAGTACGGGATTCATCTCCAATATTGGAGTCTCTGACCTGCATGGATTTTAAGGGCTTTAGGGGTTACGTCGGAGATGCTATTTATAGTTTTAGGCCATAAATAGCCCCGCTAGAGGAGGCTGAATGACAACAGAAATACAGCTTCTTATTCAGTATACAAGCCCTATAGATAATCTTATATGGGCACTATTCAAACAGCAAATGCGCTGTGCACTTATTTGTACTCCTTGGGAGCGAGCATGAGCTCAGGGCGGACGTGCTTGTCAAAGTCCTCCTCGCTCAGAGCCTTGAGCTCCATAGCACTCTGCTTAAGAGTAAGACCCTTCTTGTGGGCGTTCTTGGCAACCTTGGAGGCCATGTCATAACCAATGACGGGGTTCAGGCAGGTAACGAGCATCAGACTATCATTTAGTTAGTATTATGTCAATCAAGGGCAAAGGGAGAGGAAGGGTGCATACCTCTCGTGCAAAAGGGAGTTGATGCGGGTCTCGTTGGCCTCCAGACCCTCAACGAGGTGGACACGGAAGCTGTCCATGCCGTCAGCGAGAATGCGGACGCTGTGGAGCAGGTTACGGATCATGAGAGGCTTGAACACGTTCAGTTCGAACTGGCCGTTCATGCCACCGATGGTCGCTGCGACGTGATTGCCCATAACCTGGGAGCATACCATGGTCAAGGCCTCGCACTGAGTGGGGTTGACCTTGCCTGGCATGATGGATGAACCGGGCTCGTTCTCGGGGAGGTTCAACTCGCCCAGACCACAGCGGGGACCGGAGCCGAGGTAGCGCACATCCTGGGCAATCTTGAACAAGGAAGCGGCCAGGGTGTTCAGGGAGCCAGAAGCCTCAACAATAGAGTCGTGGGCAGCCAGAACCTCAAACTTGTTGGGGGCGGTCTTGAACTCAGTGCCGGTTATCTTGGAAATCTCGGCGGCGATAGCCTCGTCGAAACCCTTGAAGGTGTTCAGACCGGTGCCAACAGCGGTACCACCCTGAGCGAGGAAGCGCAGGTGGGGAAGAGTGGCCTCAACACGCTCGATGTTGCGGTCCAACTGGGCGACGTAGCCGGAGAACTCCTGGCCCAGAGTGAGGGGAGTAGCATCTTGCAAGTGGGTACGGCCGATCTTGATGATGTGCTCAAACTTCTCAACCTTCTGCTGAAGACCGTCACGCAAGCTCTTGAGCGAGGGCAACAGGGTGTTCTCGAGTTCCACAACGGCGGCGATGTGCATAACGGTGGGGAAGGAGTCGTTGGAGGAGGCGGACATATTGACGTGGTCATTGGGATGAACGGGCTTTTTGGTGCCCATGGTACCGCCCAATATCTCAATTGCGCGGTTGGAAATGACCTCGTTAGAGTTCATGTTGGACTGGGTGCCAGAGCCGGTCTGCCAGACGACTAGAGGGAAGTGGTCAAGCAGCTTACCCTCGGCGACCTCGGCAGCAGCCTGCTGAATGGCCGCACCAACCTTGGGGTCTTTCGAGTCGCATGTTAACAGAGCGATCGCAAATCAAAGTCGAAGGGAATTCCTTACCGAGGCCGAACTTGACGTTGACTGCTGCTGCAGCACCCTTCAGGATACCGAAAGCCTTGACAACGGGTTCGGGCATGCGATCCTGGGGCTGGTTGATGTCGAAGTTACCCAGGGAGCTATTACCATAGATCAGCTCTCCTGCCTCCTACTCTATTTTTATGCGTTGTAATTATATCGTCGGGTCGTCTTACCGCTGGGTTTGAGCACCCCAGTACTTGTCCGAAGGGACCTAAGAGCAAGACTCGAGTCAATTCCTGCATAGACAGTATATAAAAGGTCCCATAAATCAAACTCACCTGGATTTCGCCAAAGGCATCGCTCTCAGTACGGGTACCAGCAGACTAGATTTAGCGCATCAGTAATTGTGATAAAATCCTTCCACATCCAATGTCCTACCATCTTGGTGGTGCTGAAAGCTCTCTTGTTGTTGCTAAAAAGTTGAAGACGGGGGAACTGGCTGAACTGACGACCAGAGCTCAAAGTGCGAGTAAAAGAGATCGAGCGAGCAGTGGTTGACAAAGCGTTGCGCGCTGCGGGGTTTGCAGCTTTGGAAGCATGTGCCAGTGTGGCCATTGAGCGGACCGCGGCTCGGGAAGTAGATGGATTCATAATGAATTGAAGATGTACAGTACAGGGTGGAGATACCCAATTGACCCTCTTGTCTGAGAAATAAAGATATCACTCTACGGACGCAGGAAACAAAACAGGGACTAGAAATTTGGCCGAAACTTCCCGACCTCGGAATCGGCATAGCCGGGTCTAATACCCCAGGAACTGTTGATGACTAAGCACTGGTTCTATGGACATAACTATTTATATCACATCTCATTCCCCAGCTCTTGTCGCAGCATTTCAATTACATTCGCATTGAATTGTCGCCCTCCCTCTAATATTCCATCTAGCACAGCCACCAGATGAGGCACCCCATCATACCGAACCAGCTTCACATGAACCCCAGCAGCTTGAAGTTTTGCGGCATACGCCTCCCCTTCATCACGCAAGGGATCTAGTTCCGCTGTTGACACCAATGCGGGAGCTAGCCCCTGGAAGCTGGTTGCGAGTATTGGCGATATTTTCCAGTCCTAGAGGAATGAGTGATCTGTTGGAAGAGATACCGGGGAAGCTTACCTCGTCGGAAGGTGGTTGTCTGGGGACACCAAGGAACTGTCGATGAAAGTACGCCATTCGTGCTGTGGGAAGCGCTGGAACAAATTCCATTTCTCGGTAGGACTCGTAGGGGCAATTTTCATAATCAAACTCGCCTTCTGGAGTAAACGTACTGTGCAAATCGCATACAGGCACTGTCAAAATCTGAAGACCTAAGGGGATGTTCGCATTGCGGCAAAGGTGGCTGATCACAGCTGCCAAATGCCCTCCTGCCGATGCACCGCCGACTGCGAGTCGATCTATATCAATATTGAATTCATTCTCTTTCGAACGGATCTAGATATCGTGATCAGTTCAATCATGTTTGACCATCTGATACGTTCGAGGGGGTTCATACCCAGTTAAAGGCTGCCCAACAGTCCTCTATGGCAGTGGGATAACGATACTCAGGAGCCAGTCGATAATCGACATCAAACGCAACAAGATCTCCGTCAAGACCATGTACGATCCTTTTGCAGAAATCATGATCCGCTGCAAGGCCACCAAACACCCACCCTCCGCCATGGAAATTGACATATGCAGCTCTTTTCTTTAGTTTTCCATGGGCATCCAATTTATTCTCTGGCTCAAATATTCTGACAGTAATCTCACCTCCTTTCACGAGACATTTTTGCTCCGTGATACGAAAGATGTCGGGGCCTGCAGCACGACCGTAGGAGATGGTATACCGGGTAGGGTTCTTTCGAATGTCCTCTATTGGGACTTCATGAGTGTGTAAACGGCCTGCATTGTACTTGTTGTAGTATTCAACGTAGACAGGGTCGAACCGAGAAACCAGCTCTGTAGGGATGCTGTTATGCAGTGGCTGAGATATCTCTGATATTCGAAAGCTATGCAGAGCTGGGTCGCCTTCCTGTAGTGGCTGGGCCATCTTGAATTATTCCAATTTTGATCTTATACTTTCAAACTTGAAAGAAACTTCCAAGGTCGAAATGATGGTGGTTTAATGAGGGGTAAAGCTGAATATATGAGGCATTTCTCTTGTTGTTTAACTGGTTGGTTCTCATTTATAGCACTCATTCGTTGCACAGCGCGGGGTTGTCGGTGTCAACATCAGCTCTTTTATATTTCGACCTTATATTTGAACGTTGACTCTTCCGATTTGAATAACATCTAGCTGACATGATCTCTCTGCAGCGCAGATAATTCTCTTCACCACTGTGTGTTTACTCATATATACAGAACCATACCGTGGACTAATCTCTACATATTTTGAACGCCCGCACTTCTTACGCTCAGCTTGGAACACTAAAACCTGCCCAGATCAACCAACTGATATTTTACAGCCTGAAAGACTAGAATGGCTTCATCAAGAACAATAAGCTTATTATTTAATGCCCAGATGGAGTCAGCATGCAATGGCACCCATGCTAGCTCTGACTGATCGCCTCCATGGATATCCATGGATGTACCACGTACCAGATATTAGCCCTAACCATTCCTTCTTCAACTTTTAGTACCATATCCCTCGACTCTCACAAATTGGGGATATTCACGGCAATTATGTCCTCGTGATCATGAAATAGCAAAGATTACCTTGGAAATTGAATGCCGGATTCACCCAGAAAAAACAAAAAGCCGGCATTAAGCGGGCGATCCACGGGTATTTTCCGCAGGCTAAAGATGCGATATCGGGTTGACTCAGCCTGCCGAATTTGTTCGCCAAATAACGAATCTGATCAGCTAACTCGTTAGCATCATCTCAATCTGACCATATAAAGTTGCAGCTATTCCTACATACTGTATTATTTACACCAATTGATCGAAAAAGCCACAAGATGACCACCCTTCCTACTCGCCTCACTGACTTGACTCCCGTCCCACCGGATGAGATCTTCGCCCTGGGAGCCGCATACGCAGTTGATCCCCACCCGCAAAAGGTCAGCTTAGGCGCAGGTGTCTACCGCACAGATGATGGCAAGCCATGGCCCCTGCCAAGTGTCGAGAAGGCAGAGAGGGAACTTTTGGCCGAGAATGATCTGTCGCGACACGAATACACTGCTATTGAGGGTGATGTCCCTTTCCTGCCACTGGCACGAGACTTGATGTTCGGTTTCAAGGGCGAGGATAGCGAGGAGGATGCCAAGGCACGTATTGCGACTGTCCAGACCGTTGCTGGTACCGGTGCCAACCACCTGGGCGCCCTTTTCCTGAAAGCCCACCTGAAGCCCCGCAGCGTCTGGCTGTCAAATCCGTCATGGGCAAACCACTTGTTAATCTGGGAGTTGGCCGGCGTGCCCCACAAGTCCTACCCCTACTATAAAGCGGCGACGCGGTCATTCGACTTTGAGGGCATGATGTCGACTTTGGAGTCAGAGGCTCAAGAGGGCGACGCCATCTTGCTGCACGCCTGTGCGCACAACCCTACCGGTCTGGACCCGAGCAAGGAACAGTGGATTGCTATCGCCGATCTGTGCGAGCGCAAGAAGATCTTCCCCTTCTTCGACTCCGCCTACCAGGGCTTCGCGTCCGGCTCTCCCGACGAGGATGCCTGGGCCGTCCGCTACTTCTTTAACAGCAAGCCCGACATGGAGATTTGTGTGGCTCAATCTTTCTCCAAGAACTTTGGTCTTTACGGCCAGCGTGTCGGTGCATTTCACTGGGTGACTGGCCGCAACGCCACATCCCTTCGCGACATCGTCTTCGGCAACCTGTGTCATTATATCCGTGGCGAGTTTTCCATGGGCCCGCGTGTTGGTACTAGCATTGTCAAGAAGATTCTGACCAATGATGATCTGGTTGCCGAGTGGCACGAGGATTTGCGCGCCATGAGTTCGCGCATCAAGGCTATGCGCACAGCGCTGTATAACGAGCTTGTCCGCTTGGAGACCCCCGGTACTTGGGAACACATTATTGAACAGGTAAGAGTTAAGACGCTAGATCTTGGAGTCAATTACTGATTTTTCTACAGAACGGAATGTTCTCCTACACTGGTCTTACTCCTAAGCAAATCTACCTGCTCAAAGAAAAGTACCACATTTACCTGATCAAGTCTGGCCGAGCATCCATCAGTGGCTGTAAGTTTTGTCTTCATGAACCGTCTAAGAAGTATAGCAGACTGACAGAACATAATAGTGAGCAGCAAGAACGTCCTTTACGTGGCCCGGTCTATCGACGAGGTCGTGCGAAACGTACAGTAAACTACTCATGATGATGAATAAGGCTGCCTAACAATAAAAAATTAGACGCTTGGCTATTGTACATACATTATGCGGCGCTTTCCTTACAATTACATATCATGAATCTTTATGGATCCATATCGAAGAGAGAAACTGTGCCTCGATTGGTACCTGATAGTCTACTTTTTGCTTCCATTCTATTGTTTTTGTCAATCATACCTAGTTATTAGGATAGAAAATATCAAGTGGCATTGAGACGGTATCTATTGTACATAACAGTGATACGAGGCGAAATATAGAGGACCTCGGGAGTATCGCATATTCATAACTAATCTGCTTGAAGAAACAGCTTTAAAGCTTGATGACGTGAAACTTCAAACGGTAATCGTAGACGCACATTGGTGCGCAAGAGAGGACGCAGAGCCATGAGTGAAGTCAGGAAAAGGAAATAAGACATGAAACCATTACAATGGGACTTCATTAAAGTCGCCTTCGCCTTCTTTGCTTTTGGCTTTGGGGCTTTCTGGCTGATCGTCTTCGGGCCTATTCTGTGGAAGTGTACTCTCTTTGCTTTCTTCCGCCTGTGCCTCTGGTTCTGGTTCTGGTTCTTCTGCTCTCTCGTCCGCTTCTGGAGGTGTAACTTGCACCTGGACACTCGGCTGAATAGGCTCCTCTGAGGGTTCGTCCTTCGCTGGAGGAGGTGGGGGCACTTTCTCTTCATCTTCTGACGAAACTTCTTGCGCCTGTGCCTGCACCTGTGCCTGACTGCTAGTTTCGCCTCCAGGGAAGGGGGTTGTTGGCGGCTCGACAGCAGGTTGGTCTTGTTCACTTCGTCGTGGCTGGAGGCTTGGTCGGCTCGCTGCAAGTGTGGAAGATGAAAGAACGGATGTAGTGCGTTGGTGGGAAGAACTGTGAATCACACCCAGCTGACGGGCTTTAGGATCGGCGTTGAGATAGTAACCACGGACACCAACGATAGTCCCTTGAGATTCACAGTCATCCACCCACTCCGGTACAACCACTGGAATGTTCATTTCCACAGCCTTCTCCCAGAGCGGGCCTCTTCCCTCCGAGCACACGAAGTGAGTAGTGTCAATGCGGACTGAGTCGATCAACTTGCCTCCAATGCGGTCGAGCGCCAACCCGAGGGCTTCCTTGCGCTGTGGATCGAGGATACCCGGGGTGATAGTGATACCGGATAAGTCGGTCATCTTGTGGGTTTGGCAGGTGAGTTTCTCGGATTGGTAAGTACCGGCAGTTGTTCGCAAGACCAAGTGGAAGGTGTACTCGTTGTGAATAGCCAGACCACTAATCTTTGTGCTGCGAGTCTCGAGTGGGCGCGGTATTGAGCCTGCCTTAGAGCCATTTCGGTACAGGGAGAGAGATCTTAAAGAGGCTGTGGCCAGGTCGATCGGGTCCCACTCGAGAACGAGAGAAGTTTGCGTCGCATTACGCAGGCGGAGGATAGGCGGGGAGGGTGTCTTGACACCGTAGTTATTCAAGATGCGCTTCTGTAGGGATTGGAAAGTTGTCGCGTTGGCTGTCTCTGCGGCATGGTTGCGCGAAACAGTGATATCGACAATGCTACCGGAGGATATATTGTTTGGGAGAAGAACGGAGGGAAATTCAATCTGATTATATTAGCACGATGCATTGTAAGTGACAATGCGATGTTTCGGGGACTTCGAAGGGGTCTCTCGGGCAGGGGAAGGGATGGGGAAGCATACGAGTCGATTGTCTTGGGTCAGAAGCACAGCGACGCCCGCATCTACCTTGCCGACTGTCAAAGAGATCAACATGGCGAGGATAGTCTAGAGAGTAAGGGAGGGGCAAGTGGTGGTCGGAGGTGTAAGGATGGTTGCAGAACAGATGATGCCGCCAGATAGGCAATTAGCGAGGCTTGGACAGGCGGGAACTAGCAATCACTATTTGCTACGAAGTATGTTTACTCTTGACCTTAACACCATCATTTATCTACGCTAAACGTCGTTTCAATCTGAAATAGTATTCGACCTTGGATATTATGAGTAGAGAAATGAATGATATGCAGTTAATTTCAATCCCAAGCGCCAATTGATACTTCCCATATTGTACAGTATAGTCATAATTATAGACATTCCATAGATACCATCAACTTGGCTTTTGAGTATGAGATTTCGATTCTAACTTTGACTTGATCGGACTTCGGCCACGATTCAATGCGCGCAATCTCAAAATATCTCCTAGGAGGCGATCTGCATCTTTTTGCAAATCTGTGAAGCTTTGTTGTACGCACGGCGGGCGAGCAATAACCTCCAAGGAACCTATCAAAGATTGTTTCCGACGGGGAGCGTCGGAGGGGAGTGGATGACCCAACTTGTCGATGCCCCGTTTGTTCAATGCGCTCTCGAAGGCAATACGCACTCGTCGTGCGCACCAGGAGCGGACAACGCGCTTGAACTGATGAAGTGGTGACACTGAAACTCTCCACCAAAGAGTTTTACGGTCACGATTTGCATACATGTAAGCAATCTTCGGCCCAATAGGATGTACAGGAGATGTCAAATAGCGTTGTGCAACTGGAGGAATGATATGAGTTGGACTGTATCGGACGACTAAGGCAGCGGAGCCGGCGGTCATCCATTTTGCGGGGATCGGAGCCATGGTGGCAGTAGAAGATTAACGAGCGGATGATGTATAAGGTGGATATGAAATGGAGGAGTAGTAATTTAACAGTTTCATATCGAATTGCTGAATAAAATGGCCATTGAGAACTTGGGGCTTGTCGGGCCCTGGCCTGCAGATGTTGATACCCGGAAAGATCCTGCTTATTCACCGCGGTTCGAACGGCAGAGAGTATACAACGAAGGAATAGAGATTAAAGTATAGAGAGTCTCAAATGAGAAGCTATTCAAAGTGACTTGGTATTAGCTCGACTCACCGTATCACCAAATATTGTTCGATAATTATTTTTCTGCCGCTGTGAACCTTGGGCGGTAATAATTTTGATGCCTTGAAGCCTTATATATAAGGAACCAAGATGGTGCTTTGTGTTAGTGCCTTATTAAGTAAGCGGCAGATTTGAGTTGACACAGATCCCCCACTCTCTTTCTTCTTCTTAGTTCACCTCGGGGAAACAGCCTCTTCTTTTTCTTCGAACAACCGAAGAAAAGACACCAGTGTACCGACACATAGCGTGACTTGAGTCCAGTGAAGGTCGCTCCCAACCGCTATGCCCAAGAACAAGGGAAAGGTAAGCGCGCAAAATATTCTGCCCCTCCTTGTTGGAATGTGTCATTCCACCACCATCTCCTAGATGGTCTCGAAATAATCTCATCCTGGGCTTATGGGAGTTGGTGAGAGTGACTCATTCTATATCGCTCTTTTGTGCCTTATTCAGCCCCCCCACAAATTTTACTGTTTCAGATTCTAACAACCGAAAACAGGGCGGTAAGAACCGTCGTCGTGGAAAGAACGAGAACGACAACGAGAAGCGTGAACTCGTCTTCAAAGAGGATGGTCAGGAGTACGCCCAGGTCGTGAAGATGCTTGGTAACGGCCGTCTCGAGGCTCTTTGCTTCGACGGAGAGAAGCGTCTTGCGCACATTCGTGGCAAGCTCCGCAAGAAGGTCTGGATCAACCAGGGTGACATTATCCTCCTCTCCCTGCGCGACTACCAGGATGAGAAGGGCGACGTTATCATGAAGTACACCGCCGACGAGGCCCGTAGTCTGAAGGCCTACGGCGAACTGCCCGAGCACGCCAAGATTAACGAGACCGACACCTACGGCCACGAGGAGAACGAGGACAATGTCGAGTTCGACGAAGACCGCGACAGCGAAGACGAGAAGGAAATCGATGTCGACGATCTCTAAGTTCGTCCCCTCAACCCCCCAGAGCTCGATGCTGTGTGTCCTGGAAGAGTGCTATAACAAGATCTGCTCTTATTGCGCTCTCCTGCGTTTCGCCAACCTTTCTCATGCACTGCTTCTATTGAGCACTGTGGCTCATCTACTCCTGATTCCCACGTGAGTCAAGAGAAGGGCTGCCATTCTTTGCTCAAAATTCTTACTATTCCTATTTTTAAGAATGTTCTTGCTGTTAAGATAATGTGCCTCCATTACGGCTCTGTATGAGAATGAGGGCATTTTCTCGCCCCCTCAGGCGCTACTGCGAAAATCCACTAGGCACAAAGCAATCGACGACGATTTTCGGAGTTTTTCGTTGGCAAGTACGGGTTTCTCATGACAGCTTCCTATTTGTCTCTGCAAAGCCCCGTGGTCATGCTACAGAGGAATCAAAAATGGGTGGCGTCACGCATGATGAACCTGCGTGATTGTTACCTTGCATCGCATTGCATGCTATGGCTTTTTCTCTTCTTAGCCTTGCTGTCCTTCCATTCCTTTTCGAGTGATAATGTCATGAAAAATGGTCACTAGAATCGAAAAAAAATTACCCTTACCTTTCTCCATATGTAATAGCTCTCGTAAACCTATAAGCAAAATAATCAAGTGCCTTGGATTACGGGGTGGGCTGTCCATGCTAATTCAACGGGCTTGTTGTATTTTGAAGTTGCAACATATGAAGATCGCTAATGTTCTCTAACATTGTGATATGTCCCTACATTCATGCACTCAAGCTACCCTCTCCATTCGTAGATCCTTTCACACACTCGCCGTCTCCAAACATCGCCTTCGCCGCTGCCTGCCACACAGTCTCCTGTTGAAGATAATTCTCGAGCTTATAAAATAGCCTACATTCTGCGGCTTCGTAAACGAATTGCAGCGGAGTTTGATCATCGTCCGGATCATACTCATTCCGCAGATTGACGTTTCCATTCCAGGAAAATGACGAATCGAGACTTGGGGTCGATTGATTGAACTTCGTCCACTCGGCTCGGGTCAAGAGCGGAGACGAAGTATTGGCCGAGCTCTGGATCAGCTCGTTCGCTATCTGGATGTATCCGTTGATATAGCCAACTCCAAGTGATTGGCCACCCTTTACGCCGCCAACACCTTGCATTGGAGACTCTGAAGGTTGGCCACCGAAGGCAATTGTGCGGACGCCTTGGCGCTTCATGAGCTTAACGAAAGTGGCACAAGTTGAGACACAATCACCGTTCGTAATCTGAATGAGTGTTAGGCGAAACCAAAGAGAGAAGGAGGTAGATTGGACTCACAATAGCAATGTCAGCAGCTGAGAAGAGAGATTTTGCAGGGTTGAGGGGAACAGATCCATAGCCATTGATGGGATAGACCGCAGTCGAGCTAGATGAGTAGTTGAAGTTGGCCAGCAAACTAGAGGAAGAGCTTCCAAGAACTTCATGAGGGCCATAAAGATCTTGCCAGGAGCTGAAGCCATTCGTCTGATTAGGAGTCACCATGTTGCGATACGCGAAAGGATTGCTTGAATCCTGTTTAGTGTATTGCGAATAAGCCTTAGTAAGATATTTCGCCGCATCATGTGCCCGAAACCGAGTCGCAGTATATGGGACGACGTCTGGGAAGAATATTCGAGCCATATCAATACCTATGGTCAAGTAACCGCCAGGATTACCCGTAACATCAATCAGAATGTTCTTCTTTCCGGCAAGAGTGGCATTGTGCAGAAAATCTATAGTCATCTGGGCGATCTCCTTGGGATTTGAAGAGAAAGTAGGCACGAAAAGGATACCAGTATCCTGAAGGCTAGTTAAATTGGAGAAAAAGCCCGCAATAGAGTAATCGGAGTTGCTCCAAGTTGTGCTAGGAAGCCCTGTCACTCCAGATGCCTCCTCAGTACCGGCGGTAGTGCTCGAGTCCAAGGATGAACTCTGCGGGAGGCATTTGGTTTTGAACAGTGCGGTGCCATTTTGATAGTCGAAAAATCTTTCTTTTGGAGTCGCAGTCTTCTGGATAGTCTGTGACGTCCCATTTTCGTACTTGATAATAATCTCCGAGCCATCTTTCCAGTCTGCGGTGGATGCCCAAATTCCATTCACGTCGACGGGGGTGCCAGTGATGCTGCGGACCAATGCTGGGAATAACCGGTTGTATCTGGAACCTTTTAGTAAGAAAAAATACATTTGGGTCAGTATAATAAAACGTACTGCGCATCAGGGTCTTGAAGAGTTTGGCCCAAGGCATACGATTCCAGGTACCGGGCTACATCAGTACCATTTATGGTTTTAATAGATGACACGTCCGTGGAGCCAGCCTCTTGAGCTTTTGCATCGTCTGTCTTGAGTTAGAAAGAGGTGGCCGGATTTAAATATGCAGTGTTACGAGAACATACTCAACGTATACACCTGAGGGAGAGACAACCCGTCGGTGGAGATGGAAACAAGAGGCAGGTCAATATTATAAGTGAAGATAGACTGTGAGCATAGTCCGAATGCCAAATGGCCATCGTATGCCGAATTAGCTAGATGATAGACATCCAGGTCCATTTCAAACTGGCTGGAATAACCGTTGCTGTTGGCTTTGTTTATGATGGACTCAATACCTCCAAGGAGGTCAGTTGAGGGCATCTTATAACCTGATGGAGGATCTGTTGGTATATATTAGCCGACTATATCCTAATCTTCATTTCGTTGTGACATCCATACCTTTGAGAATGTCAACAGTAGATTGAAATTCCAATATCTTGCGGACTTGATTAAGAAAGACCGCCGAACGATCAGGATCAAATGGCATGGACATCAAGCATTGGTGAGCCAAATCGTGAGAGACTTGAGCACTTGCTGCGACTGTTAGCTGCCATACTCCAATCGACCGGGGAAAGCCCACTATCTCTTTGATTGGCGTCCGCCACCGACTGAGCGATCTGCGCGCAAGGTTCGACATCGCGTGCATTCTTGCCGGCCTCAGCAATTGTAGCCAGCACAACTGGTACTAACAAAGCCTTTTTAAGATACATGGTTGTAGAATGAAAGCATGAGCTTGCAATCAAAGGCGAAACCTGATTTCCACAATAAGGGGTCAGTGGACCATTGCTTGTTTTGTCCTTAATTTAGCAGATCTGCGCCCAAGGATCAACGCCAAGACGAAATCGAGCCGTGTGGATTTTAATCTATCAACGTTAAGCAACTGAGCGTTAGAGGCCTCTAGTGTAACCTGGAGTTTGGCAAACAAATCGCTTTGTTGACTCCCGAAGTCACTTTAGGGCATCGATCCCGTTGCCTAGACTACTACTCATTCACATTTTCAACCTTAGAAGCGAATTTGGGTACTATTGATTGTTTGAGGGAACCTCGGAATCTCTCAAGTATTGAAATGGATTCCGTAGTGATCCTTATCCACTTTTAAAACCGGGTGTGAAACTGCGTTCAGGATGGAAAAAAGTATTACCTACAGAACGTAAAGCTGACTGTATCTGAGCCTTAGCCCTTGATAGAAATGATTTAAAACACATCGAAAGTCAATGGTGAGAGGAGAAAGGTGTCAGCCTGGGTCAGTATTTATGTGTAGATGATTCTGGGTATTTCAATGTTAAGGTATTTCAACAAAAGTCTGAATACAAAAAGATGTCGCTTCAGGGCAGAGTGTCTGTGATGCTGAAGTTACAGATCGACCTCCTTATCGTCTTCAATTTGGTCACACGGCCAAGTACCTCCTGAAATCTCGTAAATCAGACACCCTAAGGCAACCCTGTTCATTTTGATAGTCCGTGGTGATAATAGCTCTAAAGTATATCCCAATTGTTATCCTCAAAAAACAGTCCCTCCTGTCCCTAAGGCGATGAATGTTGCCCAAGCAGGCACTATCAACCTCGCAAGCCATTCGTGATGGAGTGGAATGAGAATGAGATACGAATAATACTATGATATTAGAATTAGAGAAATGACTTGAGAGGGTTTGGCTAAACAGACTAGCCATGTCTCTCAGAAAAATGCAGCTTCATCTAAGAATTATTGACTGTTTGTTTTGTTTATCTCGTGAGTCAGCTTCTTTTATCGACACCATGTAAAAAGTGAAGGATCATAGAGAGGAATTGGCAATTAGTATACACAGGCATAGTGTAAGATTGAAATGAGAAACCCCCAAACTCCAGCCTACCAGTTAGAGATTCCCCAATAACGCCATACAAGCATATGTAAAACAGGAGGTATCAATTACAGGTTTGTAGGTATACAAAAGAAGGTTGGCGTGCGCCGTTTAAGTGGAATTGTTGCCGATTTTGGGATCGGTTGGCGCCTCTTGGTTAGAGCTAGGCGTCTTTTCAGTCCTCTGGGCGCCATCGGCATCCAACGGACCGTCAAATGTAGGCGCCGATGTCTGTGTCGCGCAGACAGAAGTCTTTACGGCACTTGCTGCAGCATTTCTAGCTGCAGTATTGGACGCTGCGGCAGCAGCATTCTCACGGAGTCTTTTAATGCGTTCAGAGCGCGCTTCACCAGGAAGACTACCCCATACTGGCTCGATGGAATCGGCCCGCCAGTTAGAACGCTGGCCGCCGATGGCGCCATGCCTTGTGGACAACGGGGTCAAGGAAGTGCCCCCGACTCCAGATTCACCCCACATACGGACTCGTTGGAGCTTGCGCAGCTTGGCAAGTCCGTAGACACAAACAACCGCGGTGAGGGCAAAGCAGATGACTGAAACGCCCCCGAACCCCCAGTCAGATTCTTCGATGAAATTCTTCAAGTTCATTCCGTACAGTGCAGAGAACAGAGTGCCCGTCGCCAGACCCAGAGTTCCAATGCTGACCTTGAGATCGAGCAGCATGAGCGAATTGCGGTTTGCATCGAGAATCGCCTTGACTCTATTTTGGGTTAGGAATTTGGAGTAATTCACTGGAAAAGGGTAATATCTTACACTTCTTCTGTGTTACGAATATTTGTCACCAGGTTGTCGCTAGCCTGAACGATTTCATCACAAACTTTGTGGTAGGACTCAAGCAGCATTTCGACTTCTTGGTGGTCATCCTCATCTCGTTCCTTGCCTGTTGCCCGCTCGGTCAGATACATGGCGGCAAGATCGTCATCTGCCTCAAGCAGATCATCAATGGCATCTCGTACGAGTCGAGCCTTTTGCTCAAAAGTTCCGAGCTTCTTGGAATATATCAGGAGATGTCGAAGCTTATCTCGATCAATGTCTTCTTCAAGCGCACGAAGGACCCTTACAACTGGGTCTCTCACTCCGTTGAACTCCTCTTCCAAACCGGCTGTGACACTGATAAGAACCGATTCTAGGGCACGAAACTCATAAGGTAGAGACTGTGCACCCGTTACTTGTTGGCGCAGCTTGCCTTCTAGATCATAAATGAACAATGACTGCATGTAGGAGTCTGTCGAGCCGTACGCGTCAAAGACAAGGACTCGGTCCGCCTTTATCAGGACACGTAGATGTAACAAATTAATCAAAATGGCGCTTGGTCGGACTAGCATATGAGGTAAAGTGGAGGAATCGATCTTGCGTAGATCCCGGGGAAGAAGGCCGTACTATAACAATCGCAAATTAATACAGTCGCTCATGCTCCGAAGATAGGGTTTAAATTACTTTTGCAATAAGCTCCGACTTTCGAAATTCCCCATTTACGAGAATGACATTTCCATTTGAATCAAATTCCGTGCATCGTATCCGCAATTCGTTCGAAACCTTGGCCGACAATCCGCGACCAATATTGAAGGGGCTCTCCAATCCATCATCCAGTGACGTAGAGGTCTGATTGTGCCCATGCTTATTTTCTTTGGGCTTGCCTTTCCTGAAATCAAGCAGTCGTCGGAGGAGTGGGCGACGGTTGGTCGAGGCATGACGGGCAAGAATGAGCGGCTCCGAAGCGAGCGACAGCGATCCAGACTTCGGTCTTGGACAAAATTTGTTCAGAATTCCTGTATTTGTTACATATTCATTTCGTGGCCTGTCAGTACGGGCCCAGTTTGAGGATCTTCGCGATGATCCGGTGAGTGTACTATCGCATTGGGCTCGCAGCTTCGGGCGAACACATTCTGAGCTGATTGGATAACCGGTCTGTGATCGCAGATACCGCAGCAGTAAGGGCGATGGAATGGACGGCGAGCGCGGAGACAGCATGTCCTGTAACTTCAAAGACGCTCTCAAGAAATGATGATCTCAGTCGCGGCTTTTTTCGAGCGTGTCGGACTAAGATTAACCCGGGCTGAAGTAAATCGAGGACATGAACCGCTTTCCTCCAATAACTTAGGTCCCACTGCTCATCTAAGTCATTTCTTCCTGGCAGTAATTGTGTCCCTATTTAATATCAAATCCATTTATGATTTAACAACAATCGTTGAACAACTTTACTGTTAATCATCGCCTTTATAACGTCAGGTAAATTACATAATAACCTTAGAATAACAACTTTTTCGCTTCGCCCAATTGGTCATAGCATTGATAGTATGGGCCTAGCGATAGCTACCTGGGTCATTTAAATTAGACAACCTTGGAGCCAACCTACATCATTCTAGGGGGACTCTGTGAGAAAGATATCCAGATTTAGGACCAACAGGGCTCTTGCGAAGCTTATAAGCCTCAGAAGAAGGCTTAATGAGCCAAAGAGAGTCACCAACCAAGCCATCATTGCCACGGATATACTCCCATTTCAGCGCAGTGGCGTTAGCAACAGTCATCTTGCTAAACCCGTAATCCTTTTTGTTGAGCACGGCAGTGATGTTGGTCAGGGCCTGACCACTGCTGAACTCGCTATGGCTCTCGATATTACCCGCCATACCGTTGATGATATGTGTTATTGACTTGCCAGCGTTTGTGAAATAGGTGTTGTTGTTTACTATAGAGGCTGTATCGATGGTACCGTTCCTACTAATAGGATAAAGACGCTCATACCAGTGAATGTGGCTGAAGTCAACTGTAAGCAAAGTGTTTCTGGATAATATCAATGAGCATGAACTTACCCAGAGAAGTAGGCGTCAACACCATACTGTAGCATCAATGCTTCAAATGCGTCGCGGATGTGCAGCTGATAGGAGGAGTAGGCTGAACTGTACATGGGGCGGTGGCTCATAACGATGACCCATGGGGTCTTGGTGCGGTCTACGCTGGCCAGGTCTTTCTTCAACCACTTATACTGCTCGTAGGATTTGGTGTCTGATACATTTCCAACGTGACCGAAAGGACCACTATCTGTGATGAAAGTCTCTGACTCGGTAGGATGGGTTTCGTTGCCAGAGACATCTTCTGCGAAAGACCACTCAGGACTCCTGGCGTAGTCGGTTTCACCGTTCAGGGAGATGAAGTGAGCAAGACCGTAGTCGAAGGAGTACCAGAAGTTGCTGACGCCGCCAGACTCAGCGCCGGGCATGCGGAAACGGTGCTGATAGGCAGTGAAGTTTCTGTTGATTTTAATCAGCTATTTGTATCACTTTCGTAAGAGACTGAGCATTATGTGGGCCTACCTCTGCGAAGGCGGGCAGCTATAGTAAGTAAGTGCGTCCTCAGAAGCAGTGCCGTTTGTGATATCATCGTTCAAGTAGGCAGTTAGAACGTTGCCAGGGCCATCAAACTCGGCACATGCAGCCTCATGATTTCCAGGAAGCACCATGTATGGAATTTTCTTGGTGACCTTGCCCAGCCACTGCTGCCAGAGATCCCAGTTAGATTCGTACAAAACACTCATATCACCGCCATTGGGTCCACCCTGGTTGGGAATCTCGCCCGTGGGTAAAGGCTTCTTGTAAGCATCGGTAATAACACCGCCAGGAAGAGAGCTGTCGGTGCCATTATAGCAGACAGGCCAGGAATCCTCACAAGGAAGAATACCAGAATACCAGTCATCTGCATAACTAATATCACCACCGTGCCAGGCAAAAGCGGCGCCTTCATCGACAGCTTTTGCAAGGTACTTGTGGGTACCTTGAGCGTTGGTATATCCCATATCATTTAGAACAGCCACAGTGAACTCAGTGGGATCACCAGCCTTGCGAGCAGTGGTAAAGCTCAGGACCTCAGACTCTGTGGTACCATTTGAGGCCGGAATTTGATAAAAGTAGGTTCTGCCCGACTCAAGATGAGGTAGCGATACCTCGTGGAAGAACTGGCTGCACTGGGTGATAGCCTTGACTTCGGAGCAAGATGGGGTCCGATCATAGCTAATTTACAATAAGTATTAATCCCTGTAACTTTCGTTCGGTGGGCGAGTCAATTGATAGTTGGAAGCAACTCACGTGTGAGAATAACCCGAAGCAATCTTGCTTAAGTGACGAGGGCTGTCACCCCACTTGATAGTGGGTGCCTTGCCTAGTCCGAATGGTGTCTGGAAGTGAATGTGAATGCCATCGGGAATATACGACAGAGAAATCACGTTCACATTATTAGTCGGGTATGATGTGGTAGGCTTGACGGCAGGAGGCTCAACCAGGCGAGGGAAGCCTTTACCGTTTCCATTGATTGTAGGATCAACCCAGTCACCTACTGGAGTAGCTGGACCCTTATACTCATAGGCAGTGTCAACAGCTGGCCGGGCATTGACAGCGGCAGAAAGAGCTAATAGAATTGAAGCAGTGGTGGCCTTCATGGTGGAAAATGGGTGCCCATGCTGTCTCAACAAGGCGATGTGGGCAGTCTTTTATGATGGTATATTTGATTGCCTGCATCGTCATTGTCATTTAGATGAGTCGGATACTTTAACGGGTATTTCCTCCACGTGCATATGAGGTGATTATCCATTGGACAGACATGGATGTTTAATATGCATGGATGGGAGTATACAGATAAAGCTTTCCCAAAAGAGATCTAGTTTCTCCATCAAGCCAATGGCACATGGGGGCAGCAAAAGCCACTCATTGGCTGAAGACACGGCCTCAGCCGATCGTCGGTCTCATTTGTTTTCACCAATTTATACTAGTTCAACTGGAGAGTAGCACTTTCGCTATTACCTAACGGGCTTGATCATCTTTCAAGGGTGTAGACCTCACTCACCTCTATCCATATTCTTACTTTTCATATCGCTGCGTGGGAGTAAGGTTAAATTTAGAAGCCAGTGTCCTTTCATTGGCTTTCAAGTGCTAAAACTCGAAATTTATTTACAAAGCATTAGGGTTCTCTCAATTCAGTACTCAGAATGAAACTTTTGGATAACCCGCCATAACATCAATCAGAAGCAATGCTCAATGCTCGCAAAATGGCCATAAAATCCCGTAGGAATTTTGAAGGTATAGGCTCATTGAAATGAAGCAACTCTTACCAGTCGTCATCATCCTCCTTCTCATCATCTGCAGAGATAATTAGCACTTATAAAGCATAACTATATGAAGAAATTGTGACTTACCACTACCGCTAACACGTTGCTTTCTCTTTGATAAAGCATCTTGCAATGCACTGGCCAGTCCACCCTGGGGAGCACCTCCTGAGCTAGAAGCTGCAGCAGAATCGCTACCACCAGGAACCATAGCATTACTGCGATCTCGTTTCTCGGAATCCTTGACTTTTCTCAAACCTCCGCCACCAGAGGCTCTGATCGAAGCCAATAGATCATCTCGACCACCCCCACTAACCTTAGGTAATGGCGGAGCGGTACCTCCCGGTGCAGGAGGTGGAGGAGGTCCTCTGGAGCTGCCTCCAGCAGGGGGAGGTGGCGGTGGAGGGGGCGGGATCGAGGGCCCAGATCGCCCGGGGGTGGAGGAGGTGGTGGTCCTCCAGGTGCACCAAAGCTCGGTCCGGGTGGAGGAGGTGGTGCCGCGCCTGCCCCAGGAGGAGGAGGAGGGGGCGGAGGAGGAGGAAGACCAGGGCTAGGGCTAGGACGACCAGGAAGAGGCGGAGGTGCGAAATCCCCAGAGTCTGGTCGAGGAGGAGGTGGGGGTGGGGGTGGGGGTGAAGCTGGACCTCTCGGAGGTGGAGGAGGTGCCATTGCAGGAGTTGAAGGCACTGGTCGTGGGCCAGGCAGAGGCGGAGAAGCAGGCCCTCTGGGCGGTGGAGGCGGAGGTCCAGGAGGGACGGCATGTGGAACTTTAGGAGGTAGTTGAGGCGCACCGTCCCCACGAGGAGGAGGCGGCGGAGGGCCAGGAGCAACTGGGGTGCGACTAGGAGGTGCAGGCGGAGCAGAGACTTTGCGGTCTCCCATGAAAGGAGGAGGTACTCCGAATCGAGGTGAAGGGCCGTCGTCCATTGGAGTCTTCGGGGGTAAGGGAGGCGGCCTGGAACCATTCGCGACATTTGACGTGGCTCGTGGCCGCCTCGGTAGTGCAGGACCAGCTGGTTCAACAAGCCTTCCTGCATCGACAAGTGGAGGAGGTACATTGAATCTCCGAGCAAGAGCTGGCGAGGGAGACGGTTCGCGCGGCGGTGTTGAATTTAACTCATCCACAGAGCTGGTTTGACTCTTCCGTACTGGTGGTGGTGGTGGTGGAGGTGGTGGACCACGTCGGCTACCCGAGCTGTTTCCAGTATCTTGGGGGCTAATGTGATTTGCCTTCGGGCCCGGCGGTGCAGAAGGAGGTGGAGGTGGAGGGGCCCTTGGTTTTTGGCTCTCAGCTTCGGCGGCTTGCTTCTGTTCAATCCAAATTTTGATAAAGTCGGAGTTTTCTGCAATTTGGTCCTCTGTAATGCCCATATCCTTAAGCTCATCTAATAAGCCCTTCCACGACGGGTCGCTTGTATCAAACGGCAGATCTGCCTTTACTGGCGCGCTTGGCGCTTGAATCGGGGTCGTCGGCAGCGTGACAGGTATCGGCGACGCAGGAGCGGGAGGTGGCGTGGCGTTCGTAGCTGAGCGATGCAGCAAGCTTCCGAATATAGATCGCCCGGCTTTTCCGTTGGCGACCGGTGCAGGACCCTGGCCTCTAATTGAAGCAAACGGTGTCTTGATTGTATCTTTGCTCGCGTGCTTCTCTCGTTCCTGCACCTTCTTGATAAAGGTCTTGGCCTCTTTCTCGTCGGCGAAGGACAAACCTGCGGGGCAGTCTTCCAGTTCGAATGTGTGGAAGAAAGTACGATCCTGGTTATATGCAAAGTTGTCGTATATTTCCTGGTCCCAGATGACGCCCTTTCCGCTGGGCTGCATTGACGATCATGAGGTCAGCAAGCTCATCTCTTATCTGTCTGGATTCCAATTACTCACCGAGACGTCAACCAACTTGAGCCAAAAGGTTCTCCCGACCAGATCATTGCAAATCACGGCCGCACCTTGCAGGCCGGTGTATGTCCATTTTGAGGTGTCTGGATAGGCGACGTAGAGTCGTGCGACAGCAACCGCGAGGATCTTGTTGGCTGGCTTCGGGACATTGCGCTTCACTGTTTCCTTGTCGGCATCGCTGAGAATCGAGGGCATGACGTGTCAAAGTAGCCCGTGGTGATTGGGGGGAAAGGGGGTGGGGGTTTCAGGCTGGTCAAAGGCGCATAGCAGCCGAGCAGTGCAGTGTGGTTGAACGTGTGGCCCTAGCACGCCCCACGAATAGGATAAGGGCGGGAAAACGGGAATGGTTTCCGCACGAGGTACAATATTAGAACGATGGTCTGGGGAGGAAAACGTTGGAGATGGTGAAGACTGAAAAGGAGTTGACTGGCGGTTGCCTTGTGGGGAGCGGAAGAGGTGTAGAAGACATGATGTTAGGCGGGGAGAGGTGGAGTACATGAAAGTGACTTGGATTTGGCCCGTATGGTGGCCCTATACATGTGGTACCCCTAATGTACTATGTAAGGATTTGACTACTCAGGCCTAAATCTGGTCGTGTTGAAAGATTTTATCATCCAAATTACTTAAATTATGAATAGTCAAGTATATTCAGGTAGTTTACTCTCTACAGCTTGATATCCGCCCAGAAAATACATACTCGTGCAGCCAGATACTAACCCAAGCATTTCTTTTGAACCTTGAAAGCTAGAAAGATTTCAGCGATTATGGTTTCTTTAGGCTCCTCAGTTTATGTTTCGGGCTTAATATTAACTCAGTGTGACTTACATAGGTCATCTAGGCATCCTTGTTCTTAGTATTGCTCAATATTGCCACGAGTACCATCGACGTCATCCCGACAGGGATCTATATAACGAACTGCTTATTTCCAATCTTCTTCCTTTTCACAGCAACCACATATCTGATAATCTTGTCCGTCGCATCATTTTCGATACATTCAACACTTTTCCACAATGCCCGTCATCCCCGATCCAGCTGACTTCCCTTCCCTTGAACAGAAGGGAAACAAAGAGTCTCAGAACAAGTCGGAAGAGCAGCCTAAGAAAGCTTCAGCCACCGACTACTTATCCAAAGGGCCTCAGATTTCAGAGAGTAAGCTACAATATGATGGTAGATCTTTACCAGGCAATAACTAAATCTGGAATCTTCAGATATGCCACCCAAGGCCACCCGAGAAGAAATCGAGGCTCGCATGAAGGAACTGAACAAGTGAAGCTGTCAACCCTTGTAGGCTTGATATTAGTGCTCAGTATCCAGCTATGACGTTCATATTTCTTTCTGGAATTTCTGCTGATCATCGATGGTTTGTGTTCATGTCTTCGATACACGACATTTAATGTACTTAAGAATCAATTTTATTTTTCTCGTTCGTACCTGGTCAAACTCCCAAGCTTGCCCACATCCCTAGGTCAGAACACCTGTACAGTCTAATTTTTGTACATGATTGCCAGATGTTTCAACCTTGGAACCTCTTAAGTTTCCCTATATCCAGGATGGCCAATACCGATCCCTTATTTGTGACCAGTCACCTTATCAGGCTCATACAGGTCAGGTAGGGTACATCGCCTCTTCTTCTTCACGATACGTGGCAGTGTGAATATTCTGCATAGAGATAAACTCGGTCTAGCCATTCATGCAAGCTGTATATTGTATTTCGAGGAGTTGGTGGGCCCACATAGACAAAGCAACGATATATCGCACTCCGACTTGACAACATTATGAAGCACCTCTATTGTCTCCTTCACTTGAGTTTTGGGATTAAATCAATGGATTTGAAATAAATCGACATAGGGAGGATCAAGTCTCTTCAGGCTAGCGTCAAGGGCTTCAAAGATGTGCTTCCGGCTTAGCCCATGATGGTTGATAGCCGACGTTGTCTTTCTCATCATCGGTAATCATCCGACTAACATCATTCCCAATGGGTGCATTCAGCTTCGCGGCAATGAGGATCTTCCCAGGTTCCAGTTGTATGTCTTGATCGCCTTGCCAGGAATCTTTTCGGACTGGCCAGTAGACATTTGCGGTGTCGAAGAAGTTGAGACCGGATTCATAGCAGTGATTAAGCACACGTAGGGCTTATTCTTCCGTGGTAGTCGCATTAAGACGGCTGGCAGGTTCTCCAAAACTCATACATCCAACATCAATTACAGAAATGCGCATACCGCTGCTTCCGATTTGGAACATACTTCATTTTGAGTCTTAATTTCTGTACATGTAGCTGTGGCTCGAAATAGGGGTTTCCACTTGAATAGTATCAGTGTTAGATTGGATTTAAGGAGTTAAGATAATTCGTCATTGAAATAATTATTTGTACAGACTACTTATTTAAACACAAGAGCGACGTTTATTATATACCTGGGCCAAGGTTCTGACTGATTGGTCAATTTAATAAGTGGAGCCAGTGGTTAAGCTTCAGCGGGTAATCCTTAAAGCCAAGAAGAAAGAGAAACTTATTAGCCTAAATATAATGAACAGTGTAGCTTTATTTGACGATATTGCAAATTATTCATCGGAACTGGTCTGGACCAGCTATGAACCACCCAAAATATTGGTGATGTGAGAGTGGGGCAAGTATCATGATAGCCACGTGAAAATTGAGGCTGAGAAGTCCAGAAAGAAGAAAAGTTTCCTGGATAGCGGCCTTATCAGGATTTGAATTCTGATTCAGTCCCTGTTGCTGACGGATCATTGTCTGTTTCAAATGGGCAGTAAAACCTTTTGGCCTTGGAATCCACGGACGAGGAAAAGAAAAGAGCCCGAGGTGGTGAAAAAGTCTTCTGTCGAGTATAATTGAGGAGAGCTCAGAAGATCGAGAGAATGACCGCGTAAAAGCATAGCAGAAGTTACGCGATACCAGGGTCCAGCGAGCCGCAAATCCAGCAGAAACTGTCTGAAGGAAATTGAAGACTTGTTCACAGTCGAAGGGGGTGATATAGTGGGTGTCATGTAAATTGTACCTGCACCCGATTCTATACATACTGACACCGGTATCATTACCCTTTTACATAGCCAATGAACGTCACCTGGGTTATGAGCCTCCCTGACGGCGACGATTAGGGTAAATCGCTGGAAAGGGACAATCTACAGTCAGAATTTCACCATCTGGCAGTCGAGCATCCGCAGTCATTGCCATCGCTAAACTCCAAATTTTCTTTATTTTCGGAATCTGATTTAGAGGTAGGAAAGAGCTGGCGTGATTCGGTCAAATCCACGGGTCCAGCGGGTTCCAAACGCAGTTTAATCCTTTTCCGGCGCTCATCAACGAGTGTTCATTCTTCAAAGCAACAAACCAAAGGCAACAAGGTGGTCTCTGGCAGAGCCTAACGGTGCCTCGCGATCACCGACTTATTGTAGGTTAACGGGCAGTTAGCCTGTTTGTGGTATTCAGTGCCACACTTGAAGCCACTCTGCTCAGGATCCAAAATGTTTTTTTTTTTTTTTCTAAAAAAAAAAAAAAAAAAAAAAAAACTGACCGAGGGGATCTTCAGCATACTTCTCCATAGAGCTTTTATCTACCGGGTGAACCTCGACCCAGTAGGATTTATGTCATACAGACTTGGATCCGCATCAGAAAGTGCTTGTAGGTCACCACCCATGGCGCTCTCAGTACGGAAGGCGCGATGAAGTTCCTGGTTAGGCAAGAAGGATGTAAAAAGGACAGGACTTGGAGTTTGAGAAGGGAAGTATTTATAGGGTATCGGAAGTGACGATGTTGAGCTACATGGACATTTCATTTCCCTGTTTCATTTCCCTGTCCAATTTTCACTCTCACTCTCACTCGGAATCGAATTTTTGTACTATAGACACCCAGCTGTGCTAATTTGAAGCTTTCTAAATTATAACTCGTAGATGGCTACTAGTGTGCGTAAAATGAGACGTCTATAATATATTACTTGGGATATTGGAAGTTTACAACTTATTAACAAGGTAGGTACCTCGATACCTAGCTAGTTATCTACAATGCTTTAATTCCTCATACAAATGCTCATTTGAGCACTAGATATATACAGGGAAGATTGCCTCATTCACTCAGCCTACGAAGTGCCACCCATCCAGGGAGGTCAAATATTTATCTCTAGGTACCTAGATACTTTTGGAAGTAGGTCGGTATTGAAAACTAGGAAATGGAATATATGTTTTAATATCAACCACGAACCTTGGAAGTCTTGGAGTTTTCAGACTCGTGTTCGAGCTATCTTCTAACGTTACTTAGATAGCTTTTGCATGCATGAATAGTTCCGACGCCATGCCAAGGTTGAGATTCAGGGGAGCAAAAGTTACTGGCGCACATTTAGAGAGGTCATAGAGCTGTATCTAACATTTGAAGCTAAATCTTCCGAGGTTAGCGCATAACTCTGCCAGGTGGAGGGTGATCACAGATCGTTACTAGGACCGAGTGTGCAGGACGTGGGCATGAACACCTCAGGGAACCTTGAACCTTGGTCCTTATATAATTGGCTTATCGATCACTAATCTTACATATGCATGGTGACCTGTCCAAGTCGTAAGACCGAAATGAGAAATCACATGTACCAATCTGCCCTAGAGACAGAGAAATTGAACGGGCCGATAACACATATTACAAAAGCAATCAAATAGTTAAGTTCTGTCTCGGAGTTGGTCACTAGTGAGACGGGACCATGTCACTTCAACCAATGATAACACCATTGGAGCTATTAAAGTTGAAAAGACCAGCGGACTGGAGAACCTCTCCTTTTATCACAGTACAGAAGGTTCACAGGATTCGATCGATCTGGTCAGGTATTTGGCGGGACCGAGCTTAGAGCGGGTCAGAGGATTGAATGTTTTTCAGTTGAAATGGGAAATTAGCTGAAATAAAATGTAGTGGGGCCTTGTGGCTAATTCTTCCGAGAATGCCAAACTTGTGGCGTTTATTGGAAATCCATGTCAGAGTCGGAGTTTATACATTATTTCAATTTACTTTACAAGTCAATAAAGCCATGCATATCAGGCAGATTGAGTAGAGGAATTATATCAAAAGTAAACATTTGCGGTGTGTTTGCTGCAAACGTGGTTAATGCATTTCTCCTGCCACCGAATGGTATGAACGGTATGGACGCGTAGCTTAGACAACCTAACTGAGTTACCGGTCGGTTCACTAGTATTCTCCACAGGAACAGTATAGGGAACGCATTGGAGCTTGACATTCCAGGCTCTTGTTTTCCATAAAGTCTTCTCCGATATTCCCTTGGGTATCTATGTGGACGTTAGAGTATAGATGTCACCTACCAGCAGGTATCCGAGAAGAACAAGGTGCTGATAAATATAATTAGCAGTTTGGCACATGATTTCCAAGGTTGAGTAATCATTTAAATTAGTTGAATGTTCCACATTATGGTTGAAACAATCCCCTTGATATGGACTAGTTGGCTGCAAGCAACGGAACGTCGATCCCTGTTCTGGTATGTTGGAATCTGTAAACACCGCCCCTTTCAATGTTATAATGTGATACCTAAACAGTAAACAGTAAACAATAAACAATGGAATTTGAATGAGCACGAGTATGAACATGAACATGAGCATGAGCATGAGCATGAGCATGGTCAAGTGGACCTGAAATAATCGGAAACCCCACCAAACTAATAAGCGGATCAGTTATGGAGCTAGATTATGGATAGATTTCATGGTTGATACCTTCTAGATACCAATACAAAACCCTGGATACCATGGGGGGTGGGGCTAATTTATCATGATACTCTACTTTTCTGTATATGCTGGTCTGGTTTAGTTAGCAACAGTACATAGTACATCAGCACAGACTGAGAAAAGCAGATGCAAAATAGATTGAAAAGAGCTCGGGACATGTCCAACGCCACAAACCACTGTTCCATGTTTCTTATCTACTTTATTTATTTCAGTACCCTTGTTCTATGATCGAACTTAATTCTGCGACTATGGGATTTATTTCATAGGTGGATTGGATGATGTGGACTACTGAGTACACACTAGGCTAAAAACTAGTAGAACGCGTACCCGCGTCGTAATTCATGACATGATGAATACTTATAGAAGGATCCAGATCTTGGAATAGATTACCTAGTATAAGACTACGGAGTATACCTATGTAGATAAGATATAAGAAATATTTAAGAGATATGAAATACTACTACTCGAAACTAATGATCAACAAAACGTTGGAAGTGGAGTAGCCAAATTTTGGATTATTCCCCTAGCCAATTTGAATTCAGAGAAAAGGAAATTGGTTTACAGGGTTAATTATAGTAGCAGGAAAAAAGACCAAAAAGGCCAAAAAGACCAGACCCCCCTTCCTATTTGCTGGCATACCAAAGCTGAAGTTGTGTTCCGTCAGATCAATATCGGGAAAATAGGGGGATCTATAGGAAACACATAATAAACACAAATAAGCATTAAACCAAGCAAAAAGAAAAGAAAATATAAATAAGAAAAATATTGAAAAAGAAGTAGATGAATTCCTATGATTTCTGCATCCGAATTCATTTATTTCTGATTTCTGACCTTATCGCCTCCTGTCCTCCGTTTCCGGATTGAGCTTGGCGGGGAATCTCAATCCCTCCCAGCTTCATTAGGGAATATTCAAGGTCTTTACTGATCGCATACAGTGCTGTTTTTTTTTTTTTTTTTAACCCGAATCCGATCACTTAGCATTTGAAAAAATTACACCAAAAACCCCCTAAATCAAAAAAAAAAGAAAAGAAAGTTGAGATTGATTGTGGAAAACCTGCTTCCTGACTCCAACGAGGTCTCGACTTGAAACTTCCCATCCACATCCTTTCCTCATCCTTACACAACTTGGACCTTTTCTTACTTTCTCCTTCCGTTTCCTTCTTCCCCTCCCTTTACGCTCGCCCCCCCCTTCTTAGCCTTCTATTTTCTAAGCCGCACACGCTGGCTTGTTCGTGAGTGACCTCTCGGTGGCCTTTGTGCCTCTTGGCCTTTTGACCTGGGTCCTTCCTACCCAATCTCTCTCCTTTCCACATTCGACCATGGCTCCCCCTCCACGGCTTCGCATCCTGTCTGGTAAGTTACCTTCTGCTCAATCATCACGATGGGCCTGACAAAATATTGTTTAGTCGGCAGCAATGCGATTTCGGCCTTTCTATCGTGGCGACTCCAGGCGACAACCTCCTGCGATGTTACACTAGTCTGGAAGTCCGGGTTTGAATCCGTATCACAATATGGTGTCTCATTCAAGTAGGTTTGAGACTGACAATACCTTGTGATGGATTGATCACTCACCTTCACCTCTTTTTCAACAGATCAAAAACATTTGGCAACGAACGCTTCAAGCCTCGTCATGGTATGGTTGCGCGTCCCTTTGCAGTCCCCCTTGGCGGAACAATACCGACTCACGTTTGTTTCTTCATCTTCCAGTTGTTCGCACTCCCGAAGAAGCTGCTTCTCGTGAAAATACATACGATTATGTGATTCTCTGTGTGAAAGCGCTCCCCGATGTCTACGACCTGGCCTCCGTAATTGAATCCGTGGTCACCCCTCAGCACACCTGCATCCTTGTGAATACAACAAATACTATTGGCGTTGAAGCCCATCTCGAGCAAAGATATCCGACAAACGTGATCCTATCCCTGGTTTCCAATGTTGAAATCACGCAGACCGGTCCCAGCGAGTTTGAGCATCTGAGCTCATGTGAGATCCATATCGGTGCTACCAATAAGCAGTCATCTATTCCTACATCGATACAAAACGATATGGCCACCGCACTTTGCATGACTCTGGCCTCCGGTCAGGTGAATTGCAACGTGTCCCAGAATATTAAACAGGAGCAATTCGAGCGAATGATCGGGTAAGTGACAATTCTGGGATACTCTCAGCAGACCTCGCCCTTGCTCTATCAACTAACTTTGCTCAGTCCGATTGCATTCCACCCAGCAAGCGTGGTATTTGATACCCCTAATCATACCCAGCTCTTGGAAAAAGTCGGCGTCCGTCAATTGGTCAGTGGTGTGATCGATGAGCTTTCAGAATTAGCCTTGAAATCAGACTGTAAATTCTCCAACGACTTCCGACAGAAGACCATCGAAAAGATGATTGCGAGCGAGCCTCCAAGCATGATGTACCAAGATTTCATGTCCCGGCGCCCCATGGAAGTCGAGACTTTCCTAGGTTCTCCAATCAAGCTGGCCGCCGAACTGAGTGTGTCCGTTCCCCGAATCGAGGCATTATACTCAATGCTCCACCACATCAACGTAACAAACCAGAATAAACCCCGTGATTCCCCGCCTGCCTCTATGATGGGTCAGCCGCCTCCTCGATTGTCTTCTGCCCCTCCGATGCAACGCCCACCCATCATGAATGGTGCCACGCGACCACCACCAAGGAACAATTCTAGTATGGGAATGCAACCAGGCCAGCGACGAGGACCTCCACCAGGTATGATGCGGGGACCTCCCGGTGGTCCCGGTGGACCCGGTGGGCCGGCGCCCTCTTCAGGAAATCGAATTCCCCGCGATCCCTCCATGGAAGGACTGGAAGAGTTCAGCCACTTGATGTTGTACGATGAGGAAGGCGGCATGCCTTCCAATGGATACCCCGACGTCGGCCCTGGACCCGGTTCTTCTTCCGGCCCAGCAGACTTTGCGATGAGGGAGCGAGAGTTAGCTATTCGCCAGCGTGAATTGCAGCTTAGGGAACAGGAGATAGGCATGAATATGCGCCGAGGGCCCCCTCGTCGTGGACCGCCTCAATCTCAACCCCGCGCCCCAGCCTCAGTCTTTGACGAAGAGGACGAAGACTACTTTGACCCGATGGACCACATGCAGATTCCACATATCGATCCCGAAAGCGTGGACATGATGAGCATTACTTCGCGTCGTACACGAAAGGCTCCGAGCCAAAGCCAAATCCGCAAGAACCCGGAGCTTGTTGGCCCACCCCAGATGAACTCTGGTCGATCCTCGTCAGCAGGCTTCGGTCGATACTTTGGTGGTCGCAAGCGTGCCAGTGATCGGGTGATGCAAGAGATTCCAGGCTTACACGAATCACTCATGGACAACCCAATGATGATGTACTCTTCAAACAGATACGGATCTGTGGATCGTAACCAGATGCATCAGGACTCCCGAGCGAACTCTCTCACGGCGAGCCACATGGGCGATTACGCACCCCGTCCCTTCCCCACGAGCCGGAGAAATAGCCAGACCCCGGGCAACCCCCACCCCGGAACCCCTGGAAACGGACCTCGCATGGGTCGCCCCATGACTGCTCAAGACCATGCCTACGGACCCCCTGCTGGACCCGGTGGACCTCGTAACGGCCACCCGTCGCCACCTGGAAACATGCGGCCACCCGTCCGAAACCAATACGGTCCAGGTCCAGGCCCGGGCCCGCTCGGACCACAGATGGATCAACAATATGGGGTGAGCAACCACCCTTACCCTGCCAAGGTCCCTCCCAAGAACAAGAGTCTGACCGGAAGTGCGAGTGCTAGCGCGGAGAGCGGTGACAGCGGCGCTAGCGCTAATCTTGATTCTGAAGCATCAGCTCACAGCAGCCAGGCCAGCCTTCGTGAGCAGCAATTTGCCGCAGCCGTTCGCTAAAAGCAATAAAAACGGATATGAACCTCCCCTTTCGATATGGGGCTTAATTTCTCGTGTCTAAACTAGCAATTGATGAAGGTCTGATTTCCTTTCACGTTTTATTCCCTACCATGGAGCAGCCTCGCCCTCTTATCACGCTTCTCTTCCTTTTTTTCTTTTTCTTTTTTCTTCTTTTTGCATTTGTGTGTCGCTCTCCGGGATGTTTGCTGTTATTGCCGCCCCGTGGAATGAGCTTATTAGCTACTAATACTCTGCTGTTCGCTTCTTTACATATACATGAGGGACATAGGAGGTTTTATAGCTCAATGCTTTGGGTGTTTTATTCCGGAGCGTGGTCGGGATCTGCTGGTTGCAACATTTTCTTTTCCCTTCTCATCGATACTCATCTTGCCTTGCGGCATCACCGATTTCCTTTTCTCTCACGACGCTCACACACCTAGACTGGGAATTTTCTTCATCTATATCCTCCTGCAGCATATTGATATAGCGCGCGCTCTCGACTTTATCATTCGTCCAGTCCGCCCTTACCTCTGTTGCTTCTCTTCATGCCTGTACACTATCTGCCTTCCTTTTTCCCATTAACCCTTTGCCCGGGCTCAGTATACGTTCCCTATCCTTTGTTTTTGCGTTTCTTCTTTTGTTCTGTTCATCTTCTTCTTCGTGTCACGTTTCCCTGAATATCATCGGGTTGGCCTGACGCTATATGGCCTCTCTGATTTCTTCGGCATTGCACAAGAGCGAACGGTTTGATTTAATTGGTTGAGTTGGGTTTGACTGCTTTGGTAAGGTTCGCTTGACTGGAACTTGATGATGAGTGCGATGCCTGATATTGCATTGCCCTTTTGAACAAACTGTATCTTTCATGGAGCGCACGAACTGTTAGAAATTTCCAGTATATCATTGGCTCACTGAAAATATCTATTTTTCTATGTAGAACGTAGCATATCACGTGACTATATTCATAATGTAAACAACTCCCCGCGCTTCTTCCCCAAGCCCACCACCAACAACTATAACCTAAAACCAATTTAGGAACTTCGAATCCTGATTCCAAGCTTCAAATAAACTTCAGACGATTAATCCCATAATGCCTCCCCCACCAATTAACCACCGCCGCCAAGAGTCTCAATCCACTTACCGTGCGTCCATCCTCCCAACAGGCACAGGTCTAGGAAACAGCACGGCCCAGTATGGCAACACCACAGGCTCCTCAGCCTCAATGTCTGCAGCAAAAAGCCGCCAATACGCACATCTGCACTCGCAGCTCGCGCAGCTCAATGCCAATCTCTCTGACACTCAGAATTTGTTGCGCATGACGGCCGTACAGGCTGGTGACATGCGCTTCTTGGGAGGATATGTTGGGGCGATGTTTATGGGGTCTGCGAAGATTTTGGGCGAGGAGGGTGTCAGGGCGAATGCTGACCCCAAGACTGAGACTGTGGAGCTTAAAAAGGAAGCGACCGACGATGATTGAGGTTAGTACTACTTATAATATGCATGTGTGATTGAAAGTATCTATTGCGTATATGTATATATGGCTTGTTGTATAATCATAATTGCTAACTATACCTTAGTACCTGAATCGATTTGATTTCGATTTCTCACATCCGAGTAAATAACCCCCTACTCGACCATGAATGAGCCACCGAGGATGATTGCCGGTTCCTCAATGCTGTTATGTTCATAGCTGTGTTTCTTATCAGTTTCACTTTTGTTTTCATTTCTAAAGGCTGTGAAACGAACCTCAGTGTTCCCACACCTCCTGCTTCGAGGATGAATGCTGTATCTGTCAGAGACTTGCCCGACCAGCGCATTGCAAATGCACGAAGAATGTGTCCATGTGCAACGATCAGGACATCACCCTTGACACTATTCGGATTCTCAAAACAAGGCTGCTGATATTTCTCTCTGATATCGGCGATCAGAGCATCAAGTCGGCGGATGACATCTTCAGGAGATCTAGGGAGGAAATCTTGATTAGTGACTGGAGAAAGAAACCTCAGGCGAATGCGTAGCTTTTGTGCAGAGCGGCCATAATATGAAGTCACTTACTCTCCTCCTGGACACCCATCAGTCCAGATATTCCATGGCTCTTCTCCATTCTGTGTCCGGATAGATCGAATCTGGTTACTAGTCAACCCCTCGTAGTCACCATAATCCCATTCGCGAATAGAATCCGTAATCTCAACACTAGCATGAGTACGAACAAGCTCAGCCTCTTCGCTGTGCTCAGCCCAAGGCAAACGCTCCTTGAAACCGATTTTAAGAAGATCGAGTGTTCTCTGCGCACGATGACGGGGCGAGACGTAGCTGTATGAATGAGTTAGATTGAGACCCTTTGACCGCTCTTCGGTAAACACTTACATGTGGACTAGGTTCTTGGGAACTATCAATCTATCATCCCCAATTAGAGCTTTGCCCGTCGCCTGAATTCGCCTCTCGCCATTCTTCGTCAAAGGCAGGTCTGTTGTACCCGTGTGTCGGCCGCTAAGAGACCACTCTGTCTCGCCGTGGCGGATAATAAAGCAACGGGGTGCCATTTCGGTGTTTTTGGAGATTGCAGAATTTGGTTACAACTCGAACCTTCGGAGAGTCCGGTGAAGTTTGATTGTTTAGCGGAGCGTGCGGTGTAAGACAGTCCGAAGAGTGGAGATCTGAGTGCGAGGATTCAAGGCCGCCGCAATTAGGTTGCGTCATTGGAATATTGTGGATCTTATCCTTATCTTGATCTTTAGTGGGTCATATGAGGACCAGTTGACTATCATTAATGATTACTAGATATATTCTAGGTATATTCAAAGGGATGCAAGTAGGTACCCCCTACATTTGAACTTGTCAATAGCAGATGGTCATTTCCACCTCACTGCCACCAAATTCCTCTAATCTCCTCGGGACTTCACTGATATGAGCACTCTGCACCAGAGAAGGTTGGACCCGCGCTACCATTTATGAAAGGGCCGGTTACTTTTTGTTGATAAATCGACTCGTCGTTGTGACTTCCTTTTCTCATCTTTCCTTCCTCCACCAAAACCAGCGGACCATTCAACTGTTCTAGTGCCTGATTCACCGGTTTTCTTGATATAAGGAAAGCATCTGATAGTTATTGGATGAATGATACTAATCTATTAGACATTCTCGGACCCCTGGAAATATGGACGTCTGTCATCTCCTGTATTGGCAGCCCTCTAAACTAGCCTGAACAATCCAGCTATGTCTCCGATACAAGCTATCGCACTCCGAATGGGGGCTATCGTAATACCTGACGGATATCTCGAGCCTCCCTTTGAGTATGAGGGCCCCGCTGATGGGATCGATCCCTTGTTCGACTTTTCATGTTTGCCAACCTCGGATCCTGCTCCCCGTATTGGCTCTTCTATCGCTACTATTAAGCAAATTTTGCGAGATGAGGCAAAAGACATGACAGTGAGCAAGCTGGTTCGATTCAGCAACGTATCTCTGTTTCTGGATAACAAGACGATGCTGCCTAAGTCATCTCGCATATTCTACAACAAAAATTCTCGAGAGCTGTTCGTAAAGCTCGTGGTAAACCACATGAAATCGCGAGCAGGGGCATTCTCGCTACGGTAGAAGCTATCATTGCCGTGAGATATGGGTTGGTGTTCCCCCTGGACTGGTTCGGAAGCACCCGAGTCCATGGCACGTATTGCGCCAAAGAGCCCGATGAGTCCTTCTCCCCTGGGGGTTTTCCGGCTAATCGCACTGATAAGTGGCCTGATGTAGTAGTGGAAGTTGGTGTGTCCGAGGGATTGAACTGCCTGATGAATGATGCGAGATGGTGGCTTGCAAACTATCAAGGCCAGACCCAACTTGTGATCGTTATCTCTATCGTAAAGGATCAACCGAATATCACTTATCGATGTTTCAACCTGGTTCAACCACTTATGGGCCTTCGTCATGGACGCCGCCGCTATGCCTCAATCACACGACAAGGGATGACTCAGACGAAGGGGGCGGATGGTTCGGTCCATACTAATGGCGGTCCTATACTGATCAAGTATCAGGAACTATTCTTGCATCCGCCTGGGCCTAATGATCATGATCTGGCATTCCCAGTATTGGCGATGGACAAGATAGCCACTAAACTTTGGAAGAGCATGGGAGTGTAGAGGTTGCTAATTTCACCCTTTTTAGCTTCAACTTTTATTGTGTCTTTGATGATTGATCCTTGATGGTTTTATTACCTTTTTTTATGACTCAAATCTCATTTACTTCTAGCGATTGACCCTTTTGCTACAGATAACCCGGCGCGGACTTTTTGAGAGTACCTAGCCAGTTTAGTTTTAGCATCTTTCTATTAGTGTCACGATACATAATTACTTGGGTTGAGATCCTGAAGTCTGTCAGTATTTCTCTCCCTTATTGCGAAGTTTAATTACGAGGGATAAAGCAAAGCTGATTAAGTTGTGGTGAAACTTGAAAGGTTATACCGTTTTAATTTGATGATGAGAATGAAGATGTCCTTGATAGTATAAGTATGCTAGCGATATTATTCGTGCCGAGCCCTAGGCTAGAGGGCCGGCGGGTGAATGGCTATTGCTCCATTGGAATATGAGTAACTCTTTTGACCTATTGACCTAATCAATTTTGATACGGAAATCTATTCCGTTTTGCTTCTTATATCCGAGATTGCCACATCACCACTGCTCTAAGAGAACTCTGAAGTCCCGTAAACTTAATTCGACATTTTTTAGTCAATGACTCTTCTTCCATGTTTATACTATCTACTTGTTACGTCGTTTATATTGAGGTAGCTTATGAAAAAAAAAAACTATATCATCACGTGACTTGATATGCACACGTCCCGAGAGGAAGAATAATCAAAATATGGAAGAGTACGCATGGCCAGAATAAACTCATCAGCGCCTGTGCCATTGCTGTGTAATTTACCTTCAGCCCGGAATACTAGAATAGGGATGAGTCAAAACTTCCAAGCGAGCAGGAAATCCCCATTCTGGACATCATAATGCCTAAGCAGAAGAACATGCGCGATCTCAGCAAGCTCTCAGGGAAGCCGCTTGCAGAGACAATCGAGCCATCCCCAGCTCTACTTAATAATGACATAGAATCTGGCTGGCTCACTTCAAAAGATCTTTGGGAAGATGGCCTACCTTTCACTCCGGAGATCATCTACAACATGTTAGTTTTTCTCCTGGCCAATCCTAACATCACCTCGACCCATCTCTTCCGGGCAGACATACTTTTCGACAGCCTAGGCCTTCTCAAAACACCCCATGAAAATGAAAGGGAATTTGGCATGTATGTAAGCGGTGATGATAGAGCGTCAGAGACTCAGACCACTGCTAAACCTGTGATCAAGGTCCAGGATTTTGACCTGAAAAGGACTGTCGTGCGGCGATTGGTTCCACGAAATCCAAAATTGGACAAGCACTTAGACCAAACATGCTATTTCTACTCTCCGAGAGGAAGTCTTTCCAGCAGTTTGCTGGCAGCGACAGATGGACGTCTACTATTCGTTTATGTACCACATGTCGAATCGCATGTCGAAATGCCATTCTACCACCCTATGGTCAAGGGTCTCGCCTATCTTTATGACTTCAAATCTGGACCAGAGTCGGGTTCTGGGTCTGGGGCGATGTCGATCCATTTCTTGCCGTTCTCAAAAGACATTCCAAATCGACTAGAACGAACACTACACTCAATTCTCAATACAAACATCCGACTCGCACGAAGTACAAAGCCCCAACTTACGGTCTCAACAGAAATAGTTGGGAGAAACAAGTCTAAAGACAATATTGTTCCGCAACATTCAGTCCAGAACACATATACAAGGTTGAAGCTCCAGTATGCGGACCACCTCTGTGAAAAATGGGTTGAAGAAACCGAACCTGCAAAACACGTCTTTGAAGATCTATCTATTGCCGCATTTCTCATAGAGCTCTGGCGCAATATGTATGGAGTAGCTCCATCTGCTGAGAAAGCCCAGGAAGAGGATAAAATCGTCTTTCCTGGTTTCATTGACGTTGCATGTGGCAATGGAGTTTTAGTCTACATTTTACTGATGGAAGGATATGAAGGCGGGGGCTTTGATGCTCGACGCCGCAAGTCATGGAGCATCTTTCCTGCGAATGTCCAGGAACGGCTTCTGGAGAGAATCTACATCCCAAAACCTTTTATGGATGTGCATGGTCCTGGAGAACTGAGTGTGGAAACTTATACCGGAGATTTCCCACGTGATACATTTATTATATCAAATCATGCCGACGAGCTGACCGTCTGGACCCCCCTGATGGCTGCTCTTGCTTGCCCTACGTCCCCTCTCCCGTTTCTTGCAATCCCCTGTTGCTCGCACTCGCTCTCAGGCTCTCGTTACCGCTACCCGCCTCCAAAGAAACCGCTCAATGAAGCCAAAAGAGATTCTTCGAGCAAGATCCAAGATGATAATAAAGATGAATCTGTGGAACAGAACCCACAGCCTGCATCAGGAGACCTGAAGGCTCTCCGAGCGGTGAAGAACAACGAGAAGACCAAGGATGGCCTACAGAACTCTATGTATGGCTCACTCACTGCGAAAACCATGGCTATCGCGAAGGAGATTGGATACAGTGTCGAGAAGACTCAACTTCGCATTCCAAGTACGCGGGATATGGGCGTGGTGGGAGGCCGACAAATGGTTGCTCAAAGATGGAGAAACAAAAGTGGTGACAGCCCTGAATCTACAATAATTCCGGATGTAACGCAAGGCGTCTTGGAAATTGTTGAGAGAGAATGTTCCAGAGAGGGTGGTATTAAAATTGCTGCAAGGATCTGGTGTGAGCGAGCAAATGGTCACCATAAAGGCAAATGAAAAGCCATTTGTAGGTGGTATCTGAACTCCTTCGCTACGATCTTAACCCCGATATCCAACCCCAGAGCCTTAGAAGTGGGACTGTAGAGAATCGGATTTGATTTTTTTTTTGTTCGCATTAATCATCATACCTGTGCCCAGGTAGCGGTATTCCTTAATTCCAAGGTTTTATTACTATCTAGATACATAGGTAGTCAAGATTCAGGTGAACCCTAGAGACACGACTTTTAGCCCTGGAACCTCGGAATAAAACGGTATCGTAAGTAATGGATACATATACATTCAATGTTGAAATGCCCCTGGAATCTCCATCTCTTTTCTCAATTTCTTCTCTATAATTTTACTCTCAATTCTTCATACTGAATTTGAATGTTTATCTATTTTGAATTTTTTTTCATTTCATTCCTAAAGCCTGCTTTGGGAAATGAAGGCGGTGCTGGCACCGCGGACATTCTTTATATTACCTGCCTCATGGGGCAGACGCACATATTCCCGAGGTCTGAGTAGATTCAAATCGGCCCGGGGCAATGTTACTTCGAATTCCATCAGAAGTGCGGCAATCTTGAACCTTCGTAAGATGCCCAGACTGGAACTCTCACCAGCACTCATAGTCCGGTGGTTGCTCTTCAAATTCGACATACGGCGGCACTGGATCGCTATCTTCCACATTGGTTTCCGGTCGTGCTGGAAGTTCTGGTGGCCTTTCCTCGCATATTGCCTCAATGGCGGCGATATCCTTAGCACTAGGCCCATCGTACCAAACACTACCAGTGATCTTCTTTCCAGCTTTCGTTGTAATAACTCTTGTCGAACCTGCGAGCTTACTCTTAGATTGTGGGATGCCGTTGACGAACATGACAGAGTTATAGTCGACGCTATCAGAAAGCTCGTATTGCTCGTTTCCAGAAGGGTATGGGGCATAAGTCCATGCACCGTAAGATCTCGCAGAAGCTGCAGCTGCGATTCCATCACAACCGTCCAAAACTTTTTGTTTTGCAGCAGACGATTTAGCCAGAGAATAATCCGCCCTAGATAAAGATTAAATTGGTCAGAAACTCTGTATGCTGAGAATGAATTCAAGTAACTCACAGATTTTTGCAGTTCCAGGTGAGCTCATCTGCTAAATCAGGTCGCTGATTCTCATTAAGCAAGCACATAACACGTCCGAGCTCGTGAACAAGCGATCCGATAATTGCCTTTTTCTTTCCAATAGCGGTCGTGTGTGTATTATACCAAAGGCCAATCTTCAGATACTGGAAATCGCCAGTCTGAGCGTATCTATAGCCGTATGAAGAACTGTGATAAGTTTCATACCATGTGGAAACGATAAGCATTTTAGAGAGGTCGCTGGAAGAATCACTGTTTGGACAGGCTCCAATGTTCTTGTATGTAACCGGGATGCCACTGGAAGTCCATATGTTGACAGCTGCATTGAAATAGGCTTGGCTGTCGTCTGATACATCCTCGAAGCAGTATTCGATGGTATTGTCAGGGAATGCTTCGCAATATTTGTAGTAGAAGGAGGCGGAAGAAGCCGTAACCCAGAGGGCTATGGCCGCAAGACGCCAAAGGAGTAACATGGCAATGAGGAATTCTCAGACACCAAAGTTATGTATGAGGAGGTAAGAATCTTTCATGCGCAACCAGCTCGATGGATATCAGTCATCCTTCTATAGTGATTTATGTTCAGCCCCCACTGCGAGGGTGTGATTTTGATATACAACCTCGATCCTTCACGAATCTTGCCATCGCCTTCTCCACATGTAGCATAGGACTGCTTTGTACCTCATAATCCTTTCCCTTTCTCCAAGGAGGATCAAACTCTCTTACAAATGGTATCCTTCAAGGTCAGTAATCTCCTACCCCTGCTATATATGCCCACTATGAATTTAATGTCGCCAATTGTGAAGTATAAACGCTTGATTCACAAGGCTCTGACCAATTGCGTCACAAGCTTACTTGTGGAGCAGCCCCACTCTTGTATAAGCCCTAAGTAATGCCTGAGACAATCCTCAGTTTCACTCCGTAAGGTCAAACATGGCTCTAAAGTAAATAGAAGAAGGGCAAATCATTTTGAAGTTTCGAAAACTGATCAGCTTGAAGCTTCCAAGTTAAAATTTTGAAGTAAGTGAAGCTTTGAAAAGATAACTTGCTTTCAAAGGTTGGTCAATACGGTTGACAACCCCAAAAAAGTGGATTTTACATTCGGGTATAAGACTCAACTAATCTATCAAACCTTGCAGCAATCAGTTACCGCGGTTGTAAAGTTAAATTTATCAATTTGGCCCCAGCTGTCATAGTACCACGTACGTCGTAAGCACGATTTGTCGTCGAGGTCAGATTCACGAAGTATTGAATAATTCGTGCCATTGAAAGGCCAAGGGTTGACCTTGCTAGCGAATAGCGCCTAGATTGAGATGAATCTTTTCCTCGCTCTTCACCAATCGATTTTCTACGAGGCGCGTCCATCATTGTGAGAGACGTTTCTCTCGTTCAAAGCAGCCAGAAGTTCGTCCGCATTTCCTTTCTTGAAAGGATTCTCCCGTTGGAACTCTTCAATAAGCTGTTTATGACTCTCACTGCGAGGAGTAAAAGCACAAGAAAATGGCTCCGGGTGACTGATGATACCCGCTGTAAACTTAGCCTCCACATCAATTTCACGACCATCTTCACCAACAGCCTTGTTGAGATTGAAGACCGAAAGGGTATGCGCAACCATGATGTATAAGGAAGTATCGGCAAACAGCCTGCCAGGGCAAATACGACGACCAAAGCCGAAGCTTTGTGAATCGGGAACAGCATCCTTGTCATCAACGCCAAGGAACCGCTCCGGTTTAAATTGTGATGGATTGGAATAAACTTCTGGATCGTGGTTGAATCCCCTGTAATAAATCATTAGTAAAGTTTTTGCATCTCAAGAGTTGACAGGATATTCATACCAGATATTTGCGATTAGGACTGCATTCTTTGGAATCAAGAATCCATTGATAATATCGTCTTCATCAGCTCGGTGTGGAACGCCCAGTGGTGCAACAGGGTGCCAGCGAAGAAGTTCTCGTACGATCGCATTGATGTATGGCAGTTTTGGTCGATCTGCCACAGTTGGAAGGGTCGTTTCACCAAGGACATGGTCAAGCTCGGCTTGTGCCTTACCCTGCACCTCTGGGTAGAGTAACATGGCGAGGAAGAATGCTTCCATAGTAGAAACAGTCTGTATTTTTCATTAGTATCACAAATCCCATTCCATACTATACCTCAATCATGAGATGACGAGAATAATGCCAGAGGTAGGCTTGAACGTACCGTATCTGCCCCTCCACCGTAAAGTCCCACTGCGAGCCATTTAACCAGGTCGTCATCTTCTCCCTGGTCCAGCAGTTCCGACACAAGAGATGGGTTCTTACTGATGTTCTGGCTCTTCTGGTATTTAGTAAACGCAAATGGACTTTCCACGAGCCTTCTAAGGGTGTCATAATAGAATCTCCCTATAGTCTTGAATCCACCACCTGGGAACCACTCAGGGATGTAGATCACTATATTATCATGTTAGACCTGGCACCTGAAAAGGTGGGATAAACTAAACAAACTAACATGCAGGAATCAGATCAACTAAGAATGCACCTGGAATGATAGCCTCGGAGAATTGCTGCAGGGTCAAGTCAGCGAGGGCAACCAATGGGTCCTCTTTGGACGGTTCAGTAGTATATCCATAGGTAATTTTCAAGATCAAGCCGACGGCGGCACTAATTTGATGATTAACAGAGACGCAGCCTGATATTCACGATCCCACAAACCTTCGATTATGATCAATGAACTTCTTGGGGTTATCAAGAACCCGCCATAAGAAGTGTCTCATCTCATCTTCAATAAGACGATCATATTTAGCAATAGATGCCTGGGTTCCTATCGTGCGGGCAGCTGCTCGGCGGAAAGTCTTCAGAAAAGCATTGTTATCCTGATTCACAGGCGCCCTATCCCAACCACAACTGTATAATCATGAGCATCCGTTTTCCAGTTACATTAGCTGGAAGCACATACATCTGTTCTGCAAACGTGAAGTGAGGACGGGACGAGTGTTTGGCAGAATTCTTTTCCAGAATCTCATATGCAATTCTTTTATCGTTAATGAGGATTATGTTTTGTCCGAAAACTGAAACAGAGCTCAAGGGACCATAGAGATCCTTGTGTTTTAGCCAGTGAATCCATTCCTGTTGACCTGCGCCAGGAAGATCTAGCAGGTTTCCAATGAGAGGCTTTTTAGGGGGACCTGGAGGTAGTGGTGCTAGTGTCTTTTTCGACGAAAGACCTCTCAGGAAGAAGAAAAGAGCTACAGCAGCAGTAAGGACTGCTAGCTGTATTGTAACTCCCATGTCTATCTCTATTTCAATATCTCAATATGCCAAACCCTCAAGTATAGGTAGATCCGAGAAAATACAACGCAGAGGGGAAAGAGGAGAAAGCGCGAGTAATGATTTGAAATAGCTGAAACTGTGTGGACCAGCTTCTCTGACCTTAGATTGGTAAAATGGAGCACTATGGCCCAATATAGTAAGAGTCAAGTGTTCCTCCGTACCTTTGTTTCATCCTGACCTTGTCAATATGCAATCTAATCCGGCCCTTGTAACATTCAACGAAACAACAGTGCATGCATGGCCAATGGATTTATTAGATTTTGGCATATCATGCATGAGATCGGCACTGTCACTTCAGCCAAAAGGGTAAAAAATGCTTGATTTGAGTCCAGGGCGAAAAACGAACCGACGCTTTGATCCCCACGGTTTCAAGCCTCACCAATCAGTGAAGTCTAGAAGTATGGACTCCATATTCTATAAGAGGTTAGAGACGATTATCGTGTCGAAAGTTATAGACTTGGCAGTATCTAATTTGGTTTCGACTGAAATTTGAAGCGGCACGGGGTGGACCTTGGGACTACCTTAACCTTGAAGGGTTATCTGCACCCTACAAAGTAACGCGAATGGAAGCAGAGCAAATTGCATTTTTGGCTATTTTGATTCCGTTCTTATCTTGAAAAAAAGGGTCCTGTGCTGCTGTTCAGCGACCTTGTCGATAAGAAAAACCTCGATCCTGAAAAAGTGCGCCATATCAAAACGAAAGATTCACCAGTGAAAACGAAATTAAAGCGAGTCATGTAAGTATTTTCGTCTGAAAATTCAATACAAGAGTCCATCTCTACCCGGCAACTTAGGCCATGTAGGTTGTCGAGTCCACTCCCTCCTCCGGGTATTCACTGTATTCGTAATTAGTCGTCGGTCTCTTGCAAAAGTGACAGAAAAGCAATGGGGACATACGGCAAAGCGACCTCAAACCGTTTCTCGATCTCCTTCAGAACCTTCTCATCTTCTTCGCTGCTGACGAAAGAGATAGAAAGACCCTTGGTACCGAAACGACCGGCACGACCGACGCGGTGGAGGTAAGAGTCGGCATCTGCGGGCAAATCATAGTTGATGGCAAGGTTGATGCGCTCAATATCGATACCACGGCCGAAAACGTCGGTGGCAACGCAGATACGCTTGTTGAATTCCTTGAATTCCTTGTAGCGTTTGATACTTGAGAGGGGTCAGCAATTATTTACTAAGTTATTGAGTCTGAAGCACGAAACACGTACCGTTCCTCCTGGCTAACCCCGGAGTGGACAGCAATACTGGGGAAGTTGCACTCGCGGAGCAGCTTGTCCAGCTCGTTGGCACGAACGGTGCTCTTCACAAAGATAATGACCTGGTTGAACTCCAGGCTATCCAAGAGTTCATTGAGCTTGCGGTTTTTCTCACTCTCACTGAGCTTAACGTAGTACTGCTGGAGACCGTGCAGAGTGAGCTTGTTGTCGTCATCAACGTAGACTTCGAGAGGGTTGCGCATGAACTTCTTGCAAATCGGGCGAACATCTTTGGAAAGAGTAGCGCTGAACATCATGACCTGCTTGTCGGCAGGAGTGGCACGGAAGATCTCCTGAACATCGCGACGCATGTCTGATTCGTGGGGAAAAAATTAGTAATTGATAAAAAATAGATGTGGGGTCGGACCCTACCGATCTGGTCAAGCATGCGATCACACTCGTCTAGAACAAAAGCTTTGACGTTACGCAACGACAGATGCTTGTCCCGGACAAGAGCGTTCAGACGACCGGGGGTGGCAACAATGATGTTGGGGTAGGTCTCTTTGTTGGACAGTAGCTCGATGTCCTTCTGCATGGGGGTACCACCGTAGAAGACCGCAGTCTTGACATCGGGCAGATACTTGGAGAAACGGGCGTATTCGTTCTTGATCTGGTAGGCCAGCTCACGGGTGTGGCACATGACAAGAATAGAGCACTCTCCAGGAACCGCTTCCAGCTGGTGGAGGGTGGTCAGGACAAAGACAGCAGTCTTACCGAGACCAGACTTGGCCTGGCAAAGAACATCGACGTTCAAAATTGCAGTTGGAATGCATACTTGCTGGACTGTGAAAATGCAGATAGAAGATTAGACTTGTGTTCGAAGAGAGCAAGAAAAAAAAAGGAGTGAAAAAGTGCTGTCGCAACGTCCGTCCGTCTACCAAATTAAACCCCATGTCTCCCAAAATACCACCTACGATCATCCCGGATGATCGAAGGAAAGCTACGAAGCCTTCTGCTGAGAAGTCTGGCCTGCAAACGACATGAGGGACGCGTGTGATTTGCGATACCGACGATTGAAGGATCGCATTGTATTCCACCAGGAGAAATATTTGACCCCGAGAAAGAAACAAATATCCTGAATGAACTGCCGACCGTAGCCTTGGATGTGGGAAAAAAAAACCAACCCGTACGGCATATGTCAAGCAGCCAACCGAGATGGGACGTAGATTGAGAATGTTCAGGAACAAACTATCCCCATGTCGCTTGCAGATTGAGGAGCGATAGATTGCCGAACACTGACCGATGGAATTCTTCGCGACGATGGACGGACGTTGGAGCTTGCAACAATGGAGGAAAGCATGCAGGATAAATGATTAGACTAACCCTCCGATGGATGTTCGAAGCCGCAGTCGGTAATGGCGCGCAGAAGCTCGCCCTTGAGCAAAAAGTCGCGGAAACCAGTCGAGTGAATACCGACGTAACTACCCTTCTTATCACCACCGCCAGAAACGGTCAGATCGCCCTGCTTGTCGGCGCCACCATTGGCGGCAGCGGGGGCAGCTGCAGCTGCAACTGGCGCAGTTGTAGTCTGGAGCTCCTCGTCAGAGTAGTCGATCAGGTCTTCTTCAGCAGACATGTTTGCGGATGTTGTGAAGTGGGAGGGGGTAAAAAGAAAAGTGGGATGAGTGGAAGAAGTGAAAATCCAGAAAGTGGACGAGTCAGCTTAGATGTTGAATTCGCCGAGAATTGGCAGATCGGGAGTGGTTGGGAAAATGATGAAGGATGGGTGAGAGGGGATGAGGGCTGAACCAGACGTGAAATGTCATGTCACGTGCGCTTATGGCACTCCAAATGCGGACTAGTTCATGGATCGATTTTGTTCTCGACGATTCATGGCGTTTAAACCTCCACAATTCCACAATTACAATGGCCAAAGTGAAGATCCAGAAAGAGACTAAAAATGGAAAAAGTCACTTGAAAGCTCGATCAAGCTATCTACAGCTTGCATCAGAATATCTTCACAATTTGACCCTTCAAAATGACCAAACTGCAACTACTGTGACCAGCAAAACAAATAATATCAGCAGCCTTGCAACTGAAAGCCCGGTGAAAAATGGTGCAAACATTCAAATAAACACAAACTCTAGGGTTCTCAAAGAGAGACCTGTCAAAAGATCCCTGAACAACCTATCGAGGCTGTATATCTCCCAGATGCGAGGTGTATCCTTGAAATCACAGACAAGACTAGAGGTGCCTGTAAAGCGATCATTTTGCAAGCGCTGTGATACCATATTAACTCCTGGTATCAACTGCATCCATGAAGTCCAAAATGCTAGCCGGGAACGCAAAAAGCCATGGGCTGATGTACTGGTGATTCGCTGCCTTGTCTGTGACACTGAGAAGCGATTTCCTCAGACTGACCGGCGTAGTCAAAAACTCAAGGATCGCCAAAAGGAGTCAAATCAAGAAGATAAGCCCCTTAAAATATGAATCCAGATCTTCAATGGAATGTTATCTGCCATGTGCGAACACCTCAACCTTGTCTGATACAAGGTGTCCACCAGGCTGCCAATATGGGCTCTGTTGCTATCTCAAACGTATATTGAATCCAGGCCCACAGCTTCTTTCGATCAAGTATCTTTCGCATCCTCAGGCAACTTCTAATGCCAACTACACTAGAGTACTCGAAAGCTACACCTCACATCCTTTTCCACCTGTATTATCACGAACCGAGGCTCTTTCATTCCCCAATTTTGAACAGCTTATGGCAAGTAGCTTAAGGTTAAGGCCTAGCTGCTGTCCCGACTAGTCTACTCTGCACATTTTGAAAAGGAACCAAAATCTTGGTGGACGATGGCCGAAGTCAGATGCTATAGGACATACAGGGGAATCGAAACCACAAAACCAAAATATCAAAACAGAGGGCCAACAAAGATCATGTTTATGCACGCCACCAAATAAAGATAGAAAAATACATTAAATCCCATCATCATGGTAATCATCAATTTGCAAGTGGTCAGTAGTGAAATGAAAGGAAGAAAGAAAGAAAGTACTAGTTGAACAAATCCTATGCGCCATCCAAAGCGCACATGGAGTCACCGGGACCGAAAAGTGCTGCGAGATATGTATGCAGTTCTTCCAACTGCGAAAATAAAACGAGATGAGTTGTATGTTGATTGAATAAACGAAAGGGTGTCCGCGAGGACAGTACTCTTATATTGAGCATTTTTAGTTTTGAAAGTTTTATGTTCTCAGAGTCAGACTGAATATCAGCTGCGTTGAGCTGTAAGATGGGGGATCGGAGAAAGTGCGGTATAAGAGATAAAGTATGGAGGGTGATGTGATTGTATGTTGAGACAATGGTCCGTGTGAAGGTGGGGTTTGTAGGATGAAGGTGTATCAGCGTCGTCGACGGGACTGGTCCATCCGGCGATCCAAGCTTTCGATTCGGCCGCGAAAAGACTTGACAATATCACGAATATGGCCGATTTTGGCCAACTCGTTGTCCAACTCGTCAGCAGAGGCCATCATGGAACGAGTCCGGTCCATCTCAGCCTCTACCGCCTCGATTGTTTTCAACACACCACTGCGGCTGCGCTTAACGGAATCTGTGATTTGTTGCGAGAGCTATGTTTGAATGTTAAAAAGACCAGTCAGATGGTGATATAGAGGGGGAACCGAACAGTTCACCTACATAGTCGATCTGGCCACTGATGCGACGCTCGAGGTGACCCAGCTGATGTGATAGTGCAGAGAGACTTTCCGGGTCAAGCAACAAGCGGCCATGACTGCTCGCGGCACTGGTAGCGCGCGAGCTGGAGTTGCTAGTATATCCCGTCCCTCTACCCCTAGCAGCACCATTGTTCGCATGGGTATTTTGCAGAGCAATCTGTTGCTGTTGTCGAAGGATCTGGATTTCGGAGGAGGTGAGGCCAAGCGAGGTGTCGGGGATCGAAGAGGCTGAGACGGACATTTGGTGGGCAAATACATGCTCCGATTCCAGTCTACGAAGCGTCGATGAAACTCGTGAGACCGAGTGGACCGCAGGTCATGGTGAGGGGTTAAGAAGAACGGTGCGCGGTTCGATGGGATCTCATGAGGAAGGGGAAGAAGGCGGAAAAGTAATGGGAGCCGCTGGAGAGAGGGGCAATAAATCAATTTTCGGCGGCAACTTTGATCAGAGCGCGCGGCTCATGAACCTCAGTTCCACAGAAACAAGAGTTTGGGATTTGATTCAATGTTTTCACCTATGTACCTAGGCAGCCCTGGAGGTATTCTTGACTTTTGATGGGGAGATGGTACTACGTAAAATAAATATATATGTATATATATACGTATAGACTACACTGATTAAAAAGGGAAGGAAGAGTCATATTTTATATAGATAATTATAAAAATATCAATAGAACGAACGAATAAAGATTGCAACATTGGATATAGGGCTTCCTATTCCTGTTTGGTTCCACAACCTATAATTCTTCCTAGGTATGTAGTGCTGCAATGGAACAAGGTAGAGATATAAGGCGATATCAGTTTTAGTGCCAGAAAAGCCATGAAGTAACAAGGCTGAGATCAGAAAGTAAGCTGTCAATAAAAGTGAATAACGTAGGAACTATAAGAGGTCTATGGGGGAAGTATAGGATCCATCCAGAACCACGGATAGCTTTCCCGCTCACTCCGCCTTCGAATGTTAGCTTCAACCTGCTTCGGGTTTTACCCCGATTCAACGCCTTACTTTCTTCCTTTTTCCCCTCCTTCCCGATCTACCCAATCTACCCAACCTACCCAATAAGCCTGAACTTCCCATCTGCTGCCTAATTCATGAGGCTGCATCGACAATTACTACATCTACTTGGCGCAATCTCTACGACCAGGCTTGCAGCTACTCCCCAGAGACCAACCACGCGGTGGTAAAAATCCCTCTTCAAGTTTTTTTTTTTTTTTTTTTGTTTTGACAAATATCCCGACCATTGATCCGATCCTCCACATCTGTCTGCACGTCTTTTCTCAACCCGACTGCCCGACTTAAGGCGACCTACAAAGTTGGAGAGCTGACGCTTTGATCACAAATTCTGCCGTCTCTTACGCCCCCGAGCAATATTCGATCCATACACACCCCTGCACACCTTGCCGGTGCGAGACCAAACTGTCCCGAGACACATAAGTGGGCATACACCTGATTGGGACCAGGAGGCTCTTTGAAGGCCATTCGCGACAATACGAAAGCTTCCTGCTAGTGTTTACTGGAAAGGCTTTCGAAGCTACTGCTGATATGGCCAAGGACAAGGACAGGGATATGAACCCTGCCGCAGCGCAGCGAAAGCAGGACAAGCAGAAAGCCCTAAAGAAGGGGAAAGCCGAGGCATTGGCCCGTCGAAATGAAAAATTAGGGCAACAGAACCCAGAGCGACTTAAGCGACAAATCAACGACTACAAGTCACTAGAGGAATCAGGGAAGAAATTACAGGGCAGAGATAAGGAGCTCAAAGAAGCACTCGAGCGGGAACTAAAGGCTGTTCTGAAAGCACGTGAACTTCTGGGCGACAAGGCGCCCACTTTCCCCAAATGGAGAGATTATTCTGGCCCTAAAAGAGAGGATAGACCCAGACGAGAGGGAGGAGACGTGCTTGGGAAGCGGAGACGGGATGACTCAGAAAGTGAGACGAGTGAGCTAGAAGACGGTGTAAAGTTCCTCACTGAAGAGGAGGCCTTACTCATACCCATGCCGCAGGATTCTCCACCACCAGATACGCCCGAATACATACAGCGATTGAAGAGATCGAAGGAGGATAGAAAACCCGCCGCTGGGCGTCATCAACCCCCACCCAAACCAGTGATCGAGTCTAAGCTTGTCTACGAAGCCAAGCCTCAGCTTCGGGATTTGCGACAGGAGGCTATTGACGCATTTATGCCCTCATCAGTCAGGGCAAATCTGGACGCAATGAAGGGCCGAGGAGATTTGTTGTTGGAGCCTGAGGAGGTAGACAAACTTGAGAAGGCCGGTTATGGAGCTGATGCAGCCGAGAAAAAGACAGGCCCACAAACGGATCAATCGCCGGTAACAGCAGACCGGACATTGGGTGATGAAGAAAGGTCATTGGCAGAGCTAGAACGGCAGTTTAACGAAGAACTAAAACAGGTTCAGATTGAGGAGGTTACAGACGAGGATGCCTAATCCTTAAAAGAACAAGAAAGCCTGGGTTCCTTAATGGTGACCAAGGCATTGCGTCTGATGAAGCTATCATGAACCGAGCAACAAAACAAAACTGAACGCGATACCCTACCAGCTAATTCTGTCCATCGATTTGGGGAAGAAATCGTGAGAAGACTATTACAGACTGGAAAATTGATAGCTTTCATGAGTCAGTCGAGGATCTATATCTTAACTGGTAGCTTGACGTCTTCTAAGACTCATAACAATCGAAGTTCAAGTATGGAATGAATCAAAATAAGAATTTGAAATCCTTGAAAATGCTATTTTACACCGATAGAAGTAACCAAAATGTCGTTCGAAAACAGATGAATTGTGACAATGGAAAGTGAAAGATATGGGCCAAACCAAGAAAGTAGTTGGTGACTTTCATGTCAAAGACTGGAAAAAGAAAAGACAAGAAAAAGTAACTGAAAGGGCATTGGTAACATTGTAATTATGCAAAACCAAATGACTTGATATGCCATCGAAGAAAGAATGGTAAAAATCCGTCCAAGTGGTTGATCAAGAACCAAATGATGTACAAGAAACTTCTCTTGTAGGAAGGGCATTAGAAAAGTAGGGCATCACGGCGTCACAAAGGAAATAAAGGTCGAGTTCGATAAAAGGTCGGCGCAAGGTTGCTGAGTAAGAGTTGGATAAAGTTGACGGGAAAGTTGTTATCAACCCCATGTTTTGCGTGGCTGCAAGAAAGAACACAACTCCGTCGATGGAAGAGAGGTATGCGAACACGATGACAAGAATAAACGAAGAATGAAGAATGAAGAATGAAGAATGAAAAATAATAATAATAACCGTCTTTCCGAAACTCACCAGCCACAACGCCAGGGAACACCATTGTAATATAGTAAAGAATGAGAATTAACGGAGATTGCGAATAACCTTGCGTCCTCGAGTCAAGAAGGGACTGGGCATCTCATCACACTCGGGATCCCAGATCGCAGGGGGATCTGGAGCAGAAGATTTGAGACTTGAGACTGAAACAGTGGCTCTAGAGTCACTTGAGCAACGCTTTGTGACCTCGTCAGCAGTGCGTCCGCCAGCTCGTGCCTGTGCGAGTTCAACCAAAGTGCGTCCGCCCATGTTGCGCTGCATAACAGCCTTAAACATCTCTTCACCGCCAACATTGACCTTTGAGGGGACTTTCTTGATGGTTTTGATGCTGCCCTTCCGAGTGGGAGAGGCGTCTGCAGCAAGGTTTGCAGATGAGGGGACCTTAGCAAGACGTCGATGAGGGGAGATATTGCGACCCTCACTCGTGCCAGGACGGCTGTCTAATTGAGACGAAGATGGGCCGTTGGACATCTGAGGCAGGCGCGAGCCATTGGAGGGGAAAAGGGTGGGTTGTGATTCCAGCTTCTGCATGAGTGCGGCCGTGTTCTGTCGCAGGAGGGGTTGGCGTGGAGCCTTGAAAGGGTCAGGCTTCACCTTAGGACGAGTGGGCGAGGGAAGGTCGGGAGTGTCATCTTCATCATCAGAGTATGCGAGAGTAGGTTCCCACTTGGCCTTATTTTTTCCGGCTTCGGCGAAGATGTTACGGGAGGCTGTATTAGCCGAGGTGCGACGCGGAGACAAGGAGAGCGAAGCGATGGAAATGGGAGATGGCTCGGCCATTTGTACGTCGATTGGAGATTCGACAACAGCAATAGTCTTGGAGCGAGCGTATGGAGTGCGAGTCTCCTTCTTTGGCTGTTTCTTGACATTCAGAGTAGGAGAGTCAGACAATACCTGACTCGTATCACAGCTCAACTGACTGTCACTCTCATCGCTCATAGCGCCAGAAGATCGTGATCCGGAAGTACTGGCACTTGACGATGGCCTGGATGTACTTGAGCCGTGGGCGCTGCGACGACGTATGTCTTCACGAGGCTGGTTGAGCTTTTTCTGCTTCTCCACCTCAATGGCAACACGCTCTTGGACTTCTGCCTCGAAGCGTTTTCTGAGACGGTCAAGTTCATTTTGTACCTGACGGTTGATCTCCAAACGTGCCTTGACTTCCCACTCTCGCCGAACTGCATTTTCAACGTCGGTATTCATCTGCGCCTTGTCTTTTTCCGATTTGGCTAACAGAATCTCCATCTCCTTCACTTTCTGAACGGCAACCTCTTCACGTCTCCGCAGAGTCTTGCCAAGATCGACAACTTCCTTCTCTTTGCGCATAAGACGAATAATGGGAAGGTTGATCAAAGCAGCAGTGTCTGGTCGGTGATCGGGGTTGACTCGCAGACAGCTTCCGATGACATTTTTGAGCTCCGGGGAATAGAAGTCGGGGAGGGGAGCATATTTTCCCTCCCGAATCTTTTGTACCAATTGAATGTGGGTGCGGGCATTGAAGGGAGGTTCTTTTTGGCAGAGCTCGTACATGATACAGCCGACAGCCCAGATATCTGATCGAAGGGTGTATTTCTCCGCGGCACAGATCTCGGGGGACATGTAAAAAGGAGTTCCGACATATGTGGACGCAAAGTCATGGGAGTGCATCTGCTTGGACAGACCGAAGTCACCCAGCTTGACAGTGTTGTCACAACCGAGGAAAATGTTTTCGGGTTTGAGATCTCGATGCAGGATGGTGACTGATCCCTGCTTTCCCTTGAGTCCAGCAGCTTTGACGGGTGCACCCAAGATATTTGACCCTACATCCGCAGGATCCGATCCGTAGTGACAGCGGAAGAGTGCAGTGATGAGCTGCGACAGAATGCGCCAGACGAACTCCTCTTCAGCAAACTTGTTCGCCTTCTTCAGATTCTTGATAACCATACTGAGATCACCTCCGCCACAGTACTCCATGTAGAGGTATAAATCCTGGCTGGCTTTTAGGTGTTCTCGGTGATAATATGCAACGATGTTGGCATGACGAAGGGAGCTGAGGATGTTGAACTCGGCGGTGAGTTGCTCACGTTCTTTCTGCGACATTTTGATGTAATTGATCTCTTTGCGGCACAAAATCTAGGGAACCTGTTAGAAATTGACGTTTTCTTGTATATAGGGCCAATGAACATACAAAACCATCCGACTTGCGCTTCACTTTGCGAATGATGCCGAAAGAGCCACAGCCTTAGAAGAAGATCATCAATATGAAGTTCTAATTGATTGCAAGTCAGGAAGCTCACCAATCTTTTCCAAGATCTCATACTTATCCGCTTCAGCCAAAGCAATCGCCATGGCGCCGGTTTGAGAAGTGATGCCGAAAGACTCCAGGGGAAGATTGGAGGAAACTCAAAACAAATATGATGTCAAAGGTAGTGAGTAATAGGCATGAAAGAGAAAATATTCTGCTTTGTTAGTAAAAGAATTAAAGGGAAGCGTAGTAGAGGAGTGGTGGTGTGCAGATGAAGCTTCAAGATCCAAAGACAGCTTTGTGTTTGGGAGATTCATTGTTGCTGGGCAACCGTTGCGCTATGACACTTGCCCTAACGGAGTTGGGGCGGTGACGGTTTTTTCGACCGAAAACATAAGATGTAAGGCTAATCAAATTGAAACAAAAAGGATTCATCACAGAAGGAACATTTATTATCATTCTTTATACTTGTGTGATACACCAAACACTGATGAAGGATACTCAGATATCTCAATTTTGAAGCCTATGCACTATCTAGTTTCTAGTTACTTACCTAACTATTCACTTCACGGATGACAAATGTGGCAACTGTTTCACGTGATTCTTATCGATTGTCCCGCATGTTTCCTCATCCCACTTTATTTGTATATTTTTGATTTATTTCTTGTGATTTAGAACAATGGCAGAGCGCACTATCCTGCGTAAAGACCAGCTGGAAATCAGCTTACACAATGAGAAAAAGTTGATCAAAGAAGGTGCTATCAAGGATGATAACCCGTTGGACCTCAGTGAGCCTTTTCGGGAACTTTGCAGTGCTTGCCGTAAGGGAGACCTGAAGGTCTGCCAGGAAAAGATCACTGAAGGGGTCAATGTTAATGCCCGTGACCCATATGACTATACTCCTCTGATCCTAGTAAGTTTCCAGAATTAATCATGCTTTATAAGCCTACCTATACTTCAAACATGTAGTAATTTCCGATAGGCAAGTCTTTGTGGGCACTATGAAGTAGCACAGTTATTGTTGGAATCAGGCTCGCTTTGTGAACGGGATACATTCCAAGGCGAAAGGTATTCTATCTATGCTGCTATTACATGTACTACTTCCCTGTGCATTTGACAAAGACTGACAATTGAATGTTCATAGATGTCTATATAATGCCTTGAATGATCGTATCCGCAGACTCCTCCTTGAATATGACTATTCTAAGTCAACTGATCCTATACAACCTCTCGCTGCACATACATCCTCACTTCTTACTCGAGAAGTTCCCATAACATCCGATATTGTGGTGACAGCGTCTGATGAATCACTCCAATTGCACAAATTCATTCTGGCGGCCCGATCTCCATATTTCCGTAGAAAGCTAGAAACAGCTACGGAAACCAAAGCATGGAAACTCCCCAGCAGTATCCCCCCTGAGGCATTCCGTGCTGCGATAAAATATCTATACTTGGGCGAAGCTCCACGAGATCTACGGAACGGTCCAGGAACTGAATTCTCAGAGTCAGAAGTTTTTGCTGGAGTCGATAAGATTGCTAAGTATCTGGAGATTTCAAGCCTGATGGATAGTATCCTCGACAGTGGAGACAGAAGACTTGCTAGACAACGGAGGACCGTCGAGCTTGGCAGGGGCCGAGATCAACTAGAGGAGTGGTTTCGCAAGAACGTGCTTGGGAACAAGATCGTCGTGGATAAATCAAACGCAAATGAGGTGAAGTGGGATCAAAACAATTCGATTTTTGCAGATGTCCTGCTTCAAGCTGATCAACTCCCGGAAGAAACCGAGAAAGGCGATGTACCGAAATCGGTCTTGTTCCCATGCCACCGAGCAATGCTGCTTCGTTCCGAGTTTTTCCAAATCATGTTCACATCTTCATTTCGCGAGGCTCATATCAAGGACCAACTGCATGTTATCAATGTGGATTGCTCGCCCGAAGTGTTGGAGATCATGCTCACTTTCTTGTATACCGAGCGAGCTGATTTCCCACTTTATATAGCGGTTGACGTTCTGTTCGCTGCCGACATGCTTTTTATTGAGAAGCTAAAGACCAAGGCCGCCGTCGTCATCAGTACGCTAGGAAGTGGTGGCGTATCACAGTCCCGGGCGGCAAAGACTCGAGGGAAGGACGAGGATGATATCGATATCTATGAGATCATGAGGGCCGCATGGACGACGCGTGTCCAGCGTCTAGAAGAGTTCTGCGCTCGATTCTTTGCATATCGGTTAGAGGCTCACATAGATACACCGGAATTTGCCGAACTAATTCAGGAGTCTGCGGCGCGTATCCAAGCACGACAAGAGACCGACTCAATTGAACTGCTGGACGACATCCGCTTCTATCTCAATGAACGCTTCCGACTGCGATTTGACGATGCCGGTCTCGAAGGAATGATGGATCAGCAGACTCCGGCTGAAGATGGTGAGTTGGGTGCTTCATCGGATGATATGACGAAAATCGTTGAAGGCGTGGAAGCGCTGGATGTCTCGGTTGCTAGTGACATCATTCCTGAAGACAAGACTCAGCTATCTCATAGTTATACTCGAGAAATTCGGACTTTGGATGGCGTCGTCGTCGAGGATGAGTTCTCCGAAGACGCTATGAACTACCAGATCTTGATGGATAAGCTAGATGATCTTCTCGAGAGGTTGAACCTGGACGCTTAGATACCTAGGTATCCATACCTATGGCATTCTCACCGCTTTTTGTCTGTTGCTTCCAAGATCGCGCTGAAGAACATCATATCGTATCTACGGATGACAGGTAGATTTTAGAGCAATTCATAAATAGAAAGATAGAAAGTGAACTTTTGATTCTGGCAGTGAATCTTCCACCATTGCTACTCATTTTCTGCGGAAGTAGTATCAAATGAGATTATAAAATATTAAAGTATGATAATTCAACTACAGAGAACTGTTCTGATGTTTCAATGTTGCAGAGACTGAGTCCCATCCTTACTGGTATGCCAGTCTTGACTTCATTTCCACCGCTTTCTGCGTATATTATTTCATAGAATGATTATGGAACAACAACATCTCATCTCCTCCAGCTTCATGATCAGCACTGTCTCCGCTCCTGTTATTGTCACCTTGGCGTTGATAGGAGAGCACAAGAGGTGTGACACTGTTCATCCATGTTTTCATCCAGGCTCGATAGGTGCTCCACGCACTACCCAAGCAGGATAAAGATCCCAGAAACCAGACAAGTACAGGGAGGGTAAGCCACTCCCAGTAGATATCAACATATGTCATCGGTCAGAACCTTTCCGGTGGTGATATTCTGCACAACAATGTCTGCAAAAGAACTGGCAGAATCGCTAGTATAGGCGCTGAAGGCGTTGTCTCTGATGGCTTTTGACATGCCAGCGGCCAAGTTTCTCATGCTGCAGGTTAATCTGTCATCCGACACACAAAATGAGGAATTTCCAAAGACTATGGATTCCAACGTGTCTACCGTAGCGTATATTCCAAATCCTGATGCATCGGAAGATTCGAAGAAAAAGGTATCAGATGCGGTACTCAAGTATCCTCCAAACATAGTTTCCAAGAAAACGCCCAGAGCTTTCCATGCCTAGAAATTTATGCCAAATACCTGACCCTTTTTCATTCCAAGGCTCTTATCCCAGGCAGGGTATAGCGCAATATGGTAATTGGTATCAGAGGCATTCACATCGACCTAAGTGGCTAGTTCTTTTTCTTCGTAGACACCCAGGCTCACAGATGCTTGGAAGCTTCGCACAACCGGCTGCAAGGAACATTCTGTCGCCACGAATTGGGTATCATTTCCAACATTCACCGAAAGTCCTCCACCAGTATTGTTCAAATTCGATGCCATGATATACTGTATGACGGAAAAGCTGCTGTTTATATAAACAATTGCTAGCTTTTTGCTGATTGCTTCCACAATCATGGGCCTCTTAGAGCCCAACTCATGTTTATTCGTGATATACCAGGTAGTGAGACCAGAGTCCAGCGACCAAGTGCAATTCGAGCCCCTAACACTGGCAACATAGGTACAATTATTTTTGAGCTCTGATGTGATATTGGAGCACAATGCACGCATCTCCAGACTAGTTATTGGATCCTAGGTACAGTTTCCGGTCGGGCAAGTATATTGAGGGATGGTCCAAGGCTGATCGGTGTTCGAAGGATCAACCAAGCTGCTATAGACGTTTGTCTTGACAGCGGGATGCACAGTGTAAGCTATTATCATTATTCACTTAGCGATTTTCTAACCAAAAGACCCAAAGATTAAATTAATGAATACATACTGGAGCCACTCAACAGTCGTCCGAGTCCGGCATATCCTGATGTGCTTGCAATCGATGCAACCTGGGAATGGTCTACAACATTGTGGGAGACATAGCGCACCAAGTTCTGGATGAAGGGATCAAATACTAGGGCTAGAGTTGTGGCCAGGCCGCCGAGAAAGGCCAAATTTCTAACAAAATCTAATCAGTAACAAAAAATAGCATGGAATAAATATTGAGGATACCTACCGCCCTTTGACTAGCCACATCAGGGCAGCGCTTCCAACAACTCCTCTGCTTGCCGAATCAAAGGTGTCGAGATCGGATAAGGGTCTGCTGCGTTTTGCAAACCAAATCCATTTTGCTTGGCCAAGTCCTTGACTGATAGTGTATAATGCACACGCTTTGGCGATCGTACTCAGCCATGAAATCACAGAATTGAGCGAGACATGATTCCAGATCGGCTGCTCATGACCATCGTACTTTTTTTTAAGATGATGATAATAGCAATGATGATCAGGGCAGAGACAACAATTCCAGCAGCTTCCAAAAGCCAGTCTCCAAGGAATCCCAATGTGGATTGCGAGGGAGCTTTCTCGCAACTGCGGTGGAACTTGGAAGCCATCCTGATTCTTGATACTGTGACTGAGTAAATCGGTATCCGATGCATTTGGTGGGATAGATTGAAGCTGTACGCCCACTTCTTTTACTCCATTGATAGGTTGCTTCCAAGGGACCCTTAGCCGTTGAAACATACTGAAGCTTGAAGTCTCAAAAAGGGGTTGACACAACTTTAGAATACGCGGACCGATCCCGTCAAGATACAACTTCCAGCTGAATTTTAGAGGATCAGGGGAAAGAGCAGTGAGTTATAAAGACAAAAATTTCAGACCTAGGGCTGGGCAAGATTGTCTCGATGTTGATGTAATCTCCGCACCTTGGTCAAGTTTCATAATGCTTATTTTCTACATGTACTAAGTCCTAAATGGTCCCATTCCGCAGTCGACATGGAAGCGGCTCAAGAATTATCGTTTACTAAGTAGGCATCATAAAAGTTGTTCTAACGGAAATTATACCGCTTCAGGAATCAACCGAGGCTTCAATTACTCGAACAGGCCTAGCTTTTTGAAAACTGAGAGAGACTGTGAGTGCGGGTTCATTGAAGTGGGTCAAAAGGTATATCAGAGGCTATTGTTGAGGCTGAGGGCTGATCATTCAATGTTACCGTTCTCACTATTTAGGGCATTGGTTTAGCAGATAGTAATCTAACCTTTTATGAGCCGCCCGGGTGGTGACACGGCTTTATTTCTCCCCCCGAGGCGTTTTTTCAACCGTGAAAGTCTCGACTCTCAAGGCATACCTGGAGAGCCTCAATGGGCTATCTATCCCGTTGTCGCAATAAAAGTATTGAGTACTTTCAAATGCTTAAGAGCTCTTGGCAAGACCCGCCATGGTTCGGTCTATCACTTGACCAAAAATATACGGAGTATCTGAATGGCAATGATGCCCCGTCGAAAGTAGAAGACAGAAAATGACCGATAAAGTTGAAATCTTTGATCCACCTCGTCAAACAGCAGGGGAATTTACTCATCAAGCAACATGACTCGACTAATAACGTATCGATACATTGGCGATCTGCACCATGATCACGGGGTATGCTACACACAGGTCCCAATCACAAGGGCGGTTCTGATCGACATACAAATCGGTGCTTTGAAGCCTAAGTCATGATCAGTGAATTCGACGGTGTGCTATATTCTTGGAGGAACTCACCTGATATAGGACTCAATGCGTTGTAGAAAGTTCAGAAGATCACTGATCTCTCATTCTTCATACGCTATACTGATTGGACATTTAGTATATGTGGGTGCGAACCACATTGGTCCGAGTGGATTGATAAAGTGGTAAACCCACCAAGGCAGTACTGTACTGATGGGAAATGATGGGATCCAGAAACCACCCAAGTGTGATGTCGTAGTGAGAAAGAGGATTGTATTGATAGGATGGATGAAGGACCTGCTATAAGGGAAGTAATTGCGTCTTGGTATCTTTACCACAGGTTGCATCGACCTCTCGTTGTAAGAGCCATCTTTGTTCATTCGACGACAAAACATAGAGACGTCTGACTTTCGGTAACCCTGCAATAGCCAGCCGCATCGATGAACGATATCCCCAAGACGCATTTATTATATCGAAGTATCCCAAACTTTCGTTGTTGTAAGTGGGCATCAACATTATAGACATTGGATTATTCTAGATTGTATGGAGACAATTTGGGGACAGATTGATGCAATATTGCAAGTTACAGCCTTGCAAGGAGCTATCCCAAGGTGCCATGGAGCAATGGATAAAGCAGTGCCAGACTGCCTCGATTGCCGATGAATGGAGGATGTCATTGGCCGACAGTGGTAAATGCAATGCTGATAGTGTGGTCATTGTCCTTCATTCGGGTGTTCTGATCCGGTTTCAGCCGCACTTCTTTGTTTTTTTTCATTCATTCTTGCATCTAGGTCCCGTATTTGCGTTTCAATCATTCCTCTTCGTGCGGTTAAATTCGAGCGCATGTCTCGAAGGGCCTTCATCTGCTCCTCAAAAGTCGCTTCTTGGTGTTTGAGCGTGTTCTTTATCAAGCAGGAAGTCAGAAACCATAGAGATATCCAAAGTACAAAGGATGTAAATTTAAATTGGCAGTAGCGTTGTTTGGGAGAATGACAATCTCAGCTTACCTTGGATATTTCTTTGTTAGTCTTGATACCGGCACCGAAGAGAGTTCCTGCAATTGTAATAGCTGTGACAGCCCCAGTCAAAACCAAGTAACGCACGTTCTTAGGACTCGACATCTTTGAGGTTGCTGTCAAAGAAAGCCGCGGCCACAAAGATATCCGGGGCTTTTCTCACCGCTTACCGAAATAGGGGCAGTATTGGCTTATCACAGACGCGTCCCCCTCGCGCGCGTAGTCGCTCTGTCTTTTTTTTTTTTTTTTAATTCTTACATCGTTTGGATGTCTTACCCCCACCACCATTGCGACTCAAAATGTCGTCCCGTAGTTCTGTTTCAAGTTCTGCTCTTGCCGGTCAACGTTTGAGTGACGATGATGCTAGTGAACGTTGGAAATCAACGAAGTCCTCATCCTTGAAAAACAACCACGAATACATGAGCCCCGCAGAGGATATTGATGATAACAATGACGATGACGATGACGAAGATCAAAGTAGTGAAACTAGCAGCCAGGACAAATCGGCCATCGATGATAATGAATCAACTCTCGAATCTCGTGGGTTGACTAGCAAAAGTACTCATCTGAGCTCGCGTCCAAGCGCCACAGAAGAGTTGTCATCAAGCGACGAAGAAGATAGAGAAATGAACGATGCAGCCGATGAGTCAACACAAGCGTCCCAATCTCGAGATAGAATCAGCAAAAGTTCTCGCGCCCCCAATGACACTTTATCAAACGACGACGAAGATGAAGAAATGAGCGAAGCAACCAATGAGTCCACACGAGCATCTCAATCCCGAGGAATGATCGGGGGCTCTCGCACAACTGTACCGAGTGTCCCAAGAAGGAATAAATCACCAAGTGGACGCTCGCGCCTGAGTATTGCTCAGGGCGAAGGACCCGGCGAATTAAATTACGAGCATCCTAGTGATATGGACGTGAGCCCGGCTGAAGTCTTCAACCCGCGGGCATCAGCTAGCAAGCGGTCGCACCTAAGCGCCATCCAGGGTGAAGACACGTCAGAAGACGAATCAACACATTCCAATGGATCTGCAAGAACAGCCGCAACCCAAATTTCCGAGGCTCGAGGATCTAACAGCAAGCGCCCGCGCCTAAGTTACTCACAACCTGGAGAGAGCGAGCACGCAGATAGTAATGATGGAGATGAAGATGGCGAGTCGAGCGATTCAAGTGAAGCCGTTGAAAACTCGGCTCGGGCCTCTCGTCCGCGAGCTACTGTAACTGAGGGAGTTGGCCCTGGTGGCTACAAGGCGGGAGCTATTGTGCGCATCAAGGTCACAAATTTTGTGACCTATACATCCGCTGAGTTTTTCCCTGGCCCGAAGCTGAATATGGTCATTGGTCCAAACGGAACAGGAAAAAGTACACTGGTCTGCGCAATCTGTCTCGGTCTTGGATGGGGTCCTAAGGTATGGCATTTTACATAGCAAACACTAATTTTCGTTCCGTATACTAACTGCTATCAATAGCATTTGGGACGCGCTAAAGATCTGGGTGAATTTGTGAAGCACGGTTGCCAAGAAGCCACAATCGAAATCGAACTTGCTGGTCAGCCAAAACTACCTCGAAATGTAGTGATCCGTCGGAACATCAAAAAAGATGGAAACCGGAGTTCATTCACAGTGGACAACAAACCGTTTGCTCATGCACAGGTTCTGAAGCTCGCGCAGGGATTCGCGATCCAGGTCGACAATTTGTGTCAGTTTTTGCCTCAGGATAAAGTTGCAGAGTTCGCTGGCCTCACACCCATCGAGCTTCTAAATTCCACCCAAAGGGCAGCGGCCGGAGAAGAAATGGTTAATTTGCACAGCCAACTAATGAATCTGAGAAGCGAGCAAAAGAAACTCCAAATGGACAACACCACCGATAAGGAGACGTTAAAGAACTTGGAAGATCGACAGGAAATGGCGAGACCTGATGTTGAAAGAATGCAACAAAGGGTTCTCATTGAGCTCAAAATCGAGCTTTTAGAACTTCTACGCCCGTTTCCAGTGTACAAGGATTGGCATCGAATGAACGTGATACTCAAAGAACGCAGAGACCAAACAAATGCCGAGTGGGAAACGCTGAAGAAAGAGATTGAACCATCTGTACGCGCAGTTGGAGCCAAAACCAAATATGTTAATCAAATCAAAGGCTTCATGCAATTTCAAAGGAAGCAGGTTGAAGAGTTGTCCAAGACAGCCCAGACTCGCGACGAAAGAATCAACAACTTGGAAGCTTCAATCAAAGACCTCGAGGATCAGATAGCCGCTGAAAAGGTCAGGAACAAGAAGGACAAGACCGAAGAGTTGAATATAAATCAAAACATCGTTAGGCTGAAGCGGCAACGTGGGGAAGTCGTTGAGTTCGATCCCGACTATTACAACGAGCAGCTGGTAAGACTATCCCCTTTCATACGGCAATAGTTGATGCTAATTTTAGTTTCATTCCTGAAGAGGGAGAAAACGCGGGAGAAACGCGAGGTCGAATCCCAGGCCGCAGAGATTCAGTCTCGGCGAACACCATTGAATGACAAAATCCAAGAACTTGAACGTGTGAAGGGTCAGGCTCAAGCTGAATTGGACAATCTCAATTCCAAGTCAGGCCAACAGGAAGCCAAGCTGGCCGCTTTGTCTAGAGACTCATTGAAAGCATACCGATGGTTACTTCAAAACCAGGACAAATTCGAAAAAGAGGTTTTTGGTCCAGTCGTGGTCACCTGTTCAGTCAAGGATCCCAAGTATTCTGATGCTGTGGAAAATCTGCTTAACAGAAGTGACATGACGGCATTCACAACTCAAAGCTTGAACGACTTTCGAACTCTGCAGAAAGCCCTCAATGTGGATATGAAGCTTCACGACATCAGCATAAGGACATCTACTCTGACGCTGAACGACAGGGCTTTGCAACCCCCGATCTCAACAGAGCAACTCCAGGAGCTTGGGTTTGATGGATGGGCGCATGATCTCATTAGTGGCCCCGAGCCTGTTATTGCGATGCTTTGCAGTGAGAAGGGGGCAAGTCAGACCCCAGTAAGTTCGCAAGATATTTCAGACGAGGCCTTCGATAGGTTGGAGAGTGGATCCGTTCATGGTGTCAATATTTGGATGGCCGGTCGCAAGTTATACCAAGTCACCCGACGTAAGGAGTACGGTGACAAGGCCAAGTCAACCAAGGTTCGCGACCTCAGGCCTGCCAAGTCTTGGACATCAAAGCCTGTCGATGCTTCTCATAAACAGCAGTTTCTGGATACCATCCGGGCCTGTGAGGCCGAAGAAGCCGATATTAAAATAAATCTTCGTGCAGAAGTCGAAGCAATGACAGAACTACGGGCTACGCGTGATCGACTGGATAGCGAAATGGCAAGCTTTGCTCTCCCTACTTGATATTGATTTACATTCATTAACATCATCTGCAGGAAGAAATTCAGGAAGAAAAGAACGAAAAGCAAACTGCACACACACATGCCCGAGCTATTCCTGAGAAAATCGGTATGTTATGCACATACCACTTGGGAAAAATCATACTGACTCCTTTTTTTAGTCCAGCTAGAAGAAAAGATTAAAGATATTGAGGCCCGCAGACAAGGAGTGAGGGATAAGGTACGAGGCCTTCGCGTCCAGCAGGATGAGATTCATATCCAGAAGGCTGAAGCTACCATTGAATATGCCGTAAGTTCTATCCTTTCAATTGTCTCAAAATACTCTTACTCATTTTATCTAGAATGCCGTCAGAGAGCTTCAATCAGCATATGAGGAACTAGTGCGAGTAGAAGTTCGTCATCTGGAAGCGCAATCCGATCTTTCAGCTCTTGTACAGAAGAACCATGATAATGGAGTACTACTTGGCCAAAAGGTCAGTGCGGCGGAACATGCTTTGAACGAATTCCAAGCATCTGTCGAGAAAGGAAGGACGGTGAAGCGAGAGGCGAAGCAAGCCGTGCAGCAGGCAAAGGCACGAGACGGAGGCCCAGAAGTTTTCGAGACAATGGGCTCCGAGGATTACAACGTCGACATGTTCAATGCCGATCTTGATTCCGAGAGAGCGCGCTTGGAGCTGACCCACGGAGGCAGCGCCAGCATGATCAAAGAATTTGAGACGCGTGATAGGCAGATTCAGAAACTGCGTGACAAGCTTACTGGGTTCGAAAGTACGCTGTCCAATCTCCAAGAGGGAATCGATGAGGTTCGTGCAGTATGGGAGCCGAGATTGGATGCTCTCATCAGCAAGATCAGCGATGCCTTTGGTGATTCCTTTGCCCGCATTGGCTGTGCTGGACAGGTCGGCCTTGACAAGGTAGAATCACCCCCTGGTCCAAATGGCGAGCCCGGTGGTGTTGAATTCGACCAGTGGTCTATCCTAATCCACGTCAAATTCCGAGAGAATGAGAATCTGTCAATCTTGGATTCTCATCGCCAGTCCGGTGGTGAGCGAGCCGTCAGCACCATTTTCTATCTGATGGCACTGCAGTCTCTCTCCGCATCGCCCTTCCGAGTAGTTGACGAGATCAACCAGGGTATGGACCCCCGCAATGAACGTATGGTCCACGGTCGACTTGTGGACATTGCATGCGCATCGACTGAGGAAGAATTTGACGAGGATGGCAATTCCATCGGAGGCGGAGGCGGTGGTCAGTACTTCTTGATCACACCTAAGCTTCTCAACGGCCTGTCCTACAAGAAGGGTATGAAGGTGCTGTGCATCTTCAGTGGCGAACACATGCCAGAGGATTACCGTAAGCTAGATTTCGGCAAGGCCGTCCGCACCATGCACGGGATTAGACGCAGGAGCCAGGGACAAGTGATGCGCAATGTTGGTGTTGCCGCGTGAAGGAGATTGTCGAGATACATACCACCGCACTTTTTTTGGGACTTTTTACACGATTTTGAAATACACACTAAGTACCTCGGGACCTACTTTCTATTTTCAAAAGCCCCAAGATATACCTGCCTAGGTTAGTGTCCGTAGCTTACATGTAGTAAGTACTTCCATGGCTACCCAAGCATCAATAGAGAGTTGTAACTGGTTACTAAGCATTATCTGGCTTGTGTATGGTCTGAAGTGCTCACACAATGGACTCGACATAGATGGAGGTCTAGATATGGCTTTTGATAACAAGGTATGTCCACGGCTGTGCCCAGATCAGTCCTAGTATCTCGAACCTTGGAAAGATGTAGTACTTCGTGCCTTCGGCAATTTAGCCGGCAGTTTCGTTTTTGCCGACAGGAATAAACTTAGCTTCTGCGTATATTCCCACGACCATGAATATATATTAAGATTTGTACCATCAGAATGGTATAGGCGTTGATTCTTCCAAGGTTCTATTCAACCTTGGAAATTGACTAAATCACACCTGCCCAAGCGAGTGTCAGTGGAGAAGGAGGTCTCCACTTCACTTTGGGCCTTGTTTATATCCTTTCTGGCTCCATGCATCGGCCTGTCCATTTCTGTCGTCTGTGCTCTAACCCCTCTTTCACTAAGTTAGACTCGAACTAAAAACCAAACGAGCTAATTTGACTAAATTGGGCATCGGAGATGAGATGTGGAACTAAGTATGAGGCTGCAGGTTATGCGGCATTGTGGATCATAGAGGAACATTTGAACCTTGGAAATAATCTCGCAGACTCTGCTGACTTAGGACTAAAGATGTTATTCTGGGTCATACTGGGTCATACTGGACCATCCTGAACCTAAGACCTTTTGCAAAGATCATCCTCCCCGGCCATTCCTTGTCTCCTTGACTCCTTGTCATGCAGATCGACTACCGGGCGTTTCCGCCGCAGATCACTGGCCCCATTTTCGGAGCTTTTGCTTGCCAATCGTGTGGACGTTGTGCAACTCCTCGCTAAGGTCAACTCTAAATTGTCTGGGATTCGAATCCTGATGGTTGTGCCCCCCCTTGTTCTTGTTCATCCTGCCACGCTGACTGCGTTCTTTCTTACCCACCAATCATGCATGTATTCCCTCGATGATGAGTGCCGTGTCCATACAAGGCTGATCGACAATGCACCTCATCGTCCGGTGGGAGGAAATGATGGACGATTGGTTCGATATTCCACGATGCCGATAAAATTACAATCGACCGTCGATCCATCACAGGTGCCGCAGCATAGACCAAAAAAACCAAGGATGGGCCATGGCAAAAGTGCATTTGCCATTCTCCAATATCCCTACAAGTTTGCCTTACACTCTGATCTCCGCTAGTTTGGTGGGTCTTTGATCGCTTTGACTTACTCTAGAGATGAAACAACACTTCACCGCCTCGTTATCACGGATAAGTCATGGGATGACGCATTCAATAATAACTTCACTCAAAATTGATTGTACTCCGAGGTTGTATTGGTGACTCGGCCGCAGATGAATCCTGGTCAATGTCAATCAATTTCGAGTTGATTGCTGATTTGTAGTTTTCTAATTAGCTCAATGGCTTCTAGGGTGGCTTGATAGTATCCATATTTCCGGGATGATAGGAGGCGCAACCAGCCTCCCGCGGTCCACAAAGACCTCCCCAGAAGATGCATCATAACCTGGAATCGGTATCTGTGTAGTACTGCAGGCTACGTATTGAAGGCACCAGGTGATGCATTGTGGATGCGGGCGCTTGGAAAGACCATTCATACATTCTACGTCCCAGCCTTGGCCCCCCTCCTCAATCCCAAACCCAGACCTTTTGAAGATCAAACAATGTCATCATGCACGGACCGCTAACGGCGGGATGTGAGCAGTACTAAGGAGTTAAGTGCGGTTTGCTTGGAGCTTTTGAATCCAACGGCTCCAATAAAACGTGGCTAGGGTTCCGAGAGTCGGAGATATATGAGAGACCAGACCTGCCACAGCAACAACAATTCTCAATTCGTTACTCTTTTTGGGTTGTGTTCCGATCCCAGCGTTACACGACATGTCCCTAAATCTCGGGCATGAGCGGACTTCAGATCTGGACCATATGACTGTGGCCGAAAGGGGAGGGGGGGGGGGGGGGCGAAAAAAGGAAGATTATCGTGGGGATAGAGTCTGAGTCTGACTTGTCTGCATTGCTTGCCTGACTGACCATGCAGTGCTTTGACTCGGGGAAAGGGTTCAGGGCGGCAACTCACATTGGGGCCTAGAATCAGGCGCATCCAATCGAGGCTCTCGACCTACACCATCTTGTTTACTCCCCCCGGGCACTCTCCATTGTTTCCATCGAACATGGAGGGGGTTGCGTTGGCTACATGCAACCATGGGATGATATACTCCCTGCATATGGGAACATGGATACGATACGACCAGACCATGAGAGCAACAACACATCAAATTTCTCACAGACGGACATGATCCTCTTTTTGGGAACTTGGCTGTTTCCCACCCAGCATATCCTTGCAAAAAAGGAAGTACGAAAGAGGTGCGGAGGAAGCACGGAGTTGTGATCGTAGTATGTTTATTGGAGCGATGGCTAGAAGGATTCCAAGCATGAGCGCTACTGTACAATATCCGCGTATATGATGGGCCCCGGGGATCAGGATCTGCCGTTAGTACGCACGCGGTGCCATTCCGACAATTTTACCCACCCAAGAGTAGATCAGCATCGACAAATTGAAATTATCCGAAGTAAAAGTAGTCGGCACATAGACAAGCCGAACATGGAGAAGCGTGCTCCGTGCTACTAGTGCCTACTAGTACTTTGACAGTATGTCCCCTTATTACATAGGTACCTAGTATGCCCCCTATGAGGGGACCTGCCCGCACTGATGGGATTTTTATCAAATCCCCGCCAAGAAAAGCGGGATGTCCGTACAAGTCATGATGCTTACTTCGTACTTAGTAGTACTTAGTTTTTCCGTAAAATCCCAGCCCCACCAGGTACTATGGGATGGAACCAAACCCATGGTATCCACTAGTGAGAAGGATGAGACATTTCAAGCTATGGGTAGATCCCGTAAGACTGAACCCATGGAGATGCAAATCCTCAAAATTAAGGGCAAAAGTCAAGTCTATTTCTGTAAGTATTGGACATGGACATGGTTTAGAATGCATATGCCGCAAACTCTACACAAATTCCGTATGTGCCGTATTACCACATGCCCATGCTCTGGAGATAAAGATTGAATACGAATCAAACTTGAGCCCATCCAATCACATCTCTTTCAAAACAGGTACCACATCACTCTCAAGCCCTCCCGATTTCCCGCTCCAAAAAAAGCAAAGCGGGGGTTATGCCAAATGAAGGCGTGGTAACTCTCGCTAAGATCCTGGCCACAGCTAAGATCGCCTGTGACGAACGGGTCGTGTTTCAGCAAGGCTGACACACATGTTTTTATGTGATCGTGTCTGATCATCTGTCGATCGCAGTTGCACATGTTGGTAGGTCCCTGTACCAAGAGGTTTGGTTTCGTCTCGACTTTGCCTTTAGATTCTAGTTTCACGCAGTCACGTTCCCACAGATTTCTTTTGCTATACCTGGGTACATATCTCTTTTTTTGCTTTTCTCTCGTATAGATCCGCCGATTCCGTATCTATGAAAATGTAAATTGGAAATTGAGTTTCAAACCCGTAAATGAAAGGGTTTTTTGTCTTTGCCTGGACCACATTCTAATGAATGTAAACTTCCCCTGTTTCCGCTTCTTCCCTTTGCTATTCCGAGATTACCTAGGTACTTAGGTCTGGGTGAATTATGAATTATGCAACCGAGCGATTTTCTTCATGTGAAATCTTGTGCAGTAATGCGGAGTAGGGTACCTTACTAGTACTAGTCTAGGTCAGGTCATAGCTTTATAGCGGAGACGGTACTAATCCCACCTCGGCGACTATTATCAATCAATCTATCCGATTCCCGTGCTCCCATGCCCTTGGTACATAATGCAACGTAGACTTGGTTAGCTAGTACGTAACTAGTATCGGAGAGACTTCCCGAATGGAGCTATGGCCATCGATTGTCTGATGGTTGGATGATCCACCGGGACGATCCACCGAAAAAGGAAGGAGGCTTAGTATGACAGGTTTAACAGTTGTATGTAAATTTTTACTATATTATATAATTAGAGACCAAATACCAAGGTAGGTATGTGGTAGTGCGCAAGGTAGTGCGCAAATTGGATGACGAAGTAATAATATTCCATGGTACATGAGTAGTCCAAATGTATATTATAAAGCGTAGCAATTGCTTACGTGGAAGTTTAGTAAGACGAAACTCCCTTCTAGGCCCAGAGATAATAAAAAAAGAAATTAAAAGGGGTTATTTCGCGTGGCCCATGGGACCACGCAGCGCCCCGGATGATCCCCGATCGATCACCGCGTTGACCCGGGCGAATGGCTCAATATGTCTTAGTTTAGAAACCTCCCCGTGTTACCCCTGCTTCCTAAGGTTTACTTATGTCAAATTTAGGAAACACTACCGAAAGTAATTAGTCTAACCGGTTTTATCAAGGGCCGCCATTGTTGATGATCTACGAAGTACGGAGTACTCCGTACTTAGTTAACCAGTAAGGATACCTAGTATATTATTAATCAAGACTAAGACCCGGTTCCATACTGTCGGTACCTATTTGCCGCAGTTTGACTTCCGGCAAAATAGCATTTTAACTGAGGACCAATCGGATGCTGTTATAGAGTATAGAATATGATTTCTAGAGTTCTAGAGTTCTATATTCTTTATTTTGACTTTTTTTATATTAACTTGGTTAGTGGTTACTGGAATACGTGACTTGGAGTCCATGGGAGTGAATAGCCATTAGACAGACGAGGGTAAAGGAGCCGCAACCGCCAAACACTACGGCTTGGGGAGAGTGAGAAATGCCGAGTGGGTTTTTCCCAGCCGATCAGAATAAGGATCGCTGTAGGTGGATCTGAGTGCTCGAGCTCTGGAATATTATTAATTTTATCTTCACGGACATGCACATTGTACTTTAGTACTTAGTAATAGAGATTGCGGGATCATGCCGAAGCCCTAACTTGCGCATACTTGCATCATAATCTGACAACCTGATTAGGATGGTATCACTGATATCAGTTATATTCTAACGTAGTATTTTGTACTAATATTACTATTAATTACTTTTCCTTTCCTAAACGGTCACGCACGGAGCAATGGTTAGATGACTAGTGGATCCTCGCTTCCATGAATTTGGGTCGGATCCATTTATTAAAAACGGCCAATCCTGGACTGCAGAATCGTGCACGGTCCTTATAAGGCAACGGCCGTTCCAGAACGCCGATCAGATCGTTTTCATAAGAATCAAGACGTGATCTTCAGGAGACCCTTCGATGACAAAACTGATCAGAGACTACGGAGTAAACAATATTTCAAGGAGTCTCAGTAGTATATTAGGGCCTGAAACATAAAATCTCGTCTATACTCCTGTACTCTATCCCCCCTTCCCACAATCGTCCATACTCGTCTGCACCCTTGTCCACTTGTCCACCACATTTCGGAAGTTGTAGCCTTCTTCGTTTAATTAATCAAGTGTCTACCTATTAGAGAATACCTCTAGGTAGATGTGTAGATCGTGACCTGCTACAGGTATACATTATTATTCCATTACTCAGGATCCTCCTTGTAGATAAAGTATGAACTAAGTTTCTGTAAGCGAAGTTGTGTCCCAAGCGCTTAGGAGCCGCCACCCCGTCATTTTCATGTAATTCAAGTCCTTGCAATTCCCGAGGCCCCATCCTTTGAACGGAGCTTTGTCCCAACTAGGCTTAGGGTACATCTATATACCTTCCCTTTTTAGCCGTTCTCGAACCGCCACGCGACATGTCTCTAAATCTAAATCCGGGGGGGCTTTTTTCCGTTGGGTCGATCCCCTTGAAGCCGGCAAATGGAACTTTTTTGTGGTACCTAGGTCATTTACGCGTACTAGCCTAGGAAGTACTTTGAAGTACAGGGGTATTAAGTATGTTAGTCAACCTTGGAAGTACCTAGATAGAGTCAAGCCCTAACTACCTCATACTCCTCAAACCTGCATAATGGAGCCACTCTCTATACGAAACAAATACGATAAAAGAACAAAAGAAGGGAAGAGAAAAAGAAAGCAAAAAAAAAAAAAGGAAGAAAGAGAAGGATCGACGATCAGGTTCGGTGCGATCAGCCGTTTATGGGGCGTATGTGACAGGTAAGCAGGATCTGCACTAACCGTAGCCGACAAGAATGATCCATTTTACGGGGACTTTCCGGCCTACCATATTGGGTCTAGTGAAAACTAGGGTTAATCTCCGGTTACGATTTATTTGTGATTTTATTTATATAATGTATTATATTTAAATTTGTTTTATCATTTTAATTGAATTAATTAAGCTTTGGAACGAACTTAGTCCATATAAAAGGATTTTATTTTATTTCGTCGATCATCCACGCGAACTCAATATAAACCCTCCTCTTCATCCCCCATATAACTCATCCGGATCTTGAAATTATTATACTCAAATATCATCAAAATGGATCTGGCCAATCTTCTCCATGGTGCTCCGGCCCCCAAGCCCTACTCATACACATATATCCACAAGCGTCCACAAGCGCCCCTCTTTTCACCATTTGAGGAAACAAAGTGCTCACTGCCTTCTATCTCATCTCTACTTGAGGGTGCAGACAGTGCTCAAAATACTCAACAAAGCAGTGAGTCACATACTTTATCCATACATATCATCATATCATATCCTGATCATCAATATAGAGCGCCAACGTATGAGCCCATCAGCTCGGGATCGTGATGTTCGCTACGACGCCATCAACCTCCCACCAACACCACCCCTACGCCCAAGCTCAGGATTAGGCAATATCTCCTCACCAGAGTCGAGCAAGTCAAACGACCACTTCCACCGCTCCTCAATCTCAAGTACCGGATCAGTCTCTGCAGCCACAATGTCAGGTCCATACGCCTCACCAGCACCTAGCGTCTCATCATACACATCCACAACTCAAGACGCTGCCCCAATGTATTACCGCCAAACACCAACCTACCAACAAGCAACACCAACAATAACACAACCGTGCCCTTCTCCCTCTCTCATTTCCCCAGTCACCCCAGCCTGGCAACATCACCACTATTTCCCCCCTTCTTCAACGGCACCCTACCAGCAGACTCACGACCGCTATATCTGCCGTACATGCCACAAGGCATTTTCCCGTCCTTCTTCTCTGCGCATTCACTCGCACTCGCATACGGGCGAGAAACCTTTCCGATGCACACATGTCGGTTGTGGAAAGGCTTTCTCAGTGCGTAGTAACATGAAGCGCCATGAACGGGGTTGTCACTCTGGTCATTCGGCTGTTCAAGCCACTGCCCTCGTATCTTGAGGACTGGGCTTTTTACTCTTAATCTTTAACTTATATTACTGGGTGTACTGAACGATGTGGGATGGGATGGGATGGGAATTAGGGGATGGGCCCCGGGGCGTTCTGTTTGTGTTCTTGGTTCTTGTGATACCCTGGATGCCTGTTTTTGAGATATCCTCTACATTATCCTAGCTCTATAGATGAGAGCGGATTAAAAAATTTACCAAAATTACGACTCACATATCACATGTATCCCCCCCCCCCCCCCCTTCATCTTAACCGCGGCATGTACTTTTGTTCTAGATTCCACAGGATTCAGATCTAGGAAGTAACTTGGGACGTGCTCTTGGTCAATGCTTAGGTTTGTTGCTGTCAGAAAATTGTTCAGGGGTAGGCATTCTAAGCCCTGGACTGGAGTGCTTGTGTTCGTAAAGCATCCAATGTTACCCAGGTTGTCTTTCATATTTCTAGATCGGCAATAAGTAGTATCTAATAAATCTCTATAGCTTAATCCTGAAATAAGACCAAATCTTTCATTCATCCAAAACGCCCCGTACCAATGCAGCAAGACTAGTTTCATACCTCGCAGGATTATGATCGCTGAGCATCCCAGAACCAAAGCGCAACTCCCCAAACCAGGCATCCACATCCCGAATGAATCGCATCTGGACACGCGTCGCCGGCCGTCCCAGACGCGGGTATCCATCTGTAGATGTAAACTCCGGTGCAGGGGTGAAAGCTTCCCGTTGTAGCACTCGCATGGTCTCGACGACAAAGACCTCACCGGGCGGCATGAGTTTCGGAGCGTGCATTTCGTCACGGAGAAGTTGGAGTGTTTTCCACGCCCATGCGTCTTCGCCGACGCCATCGCCTGCATTTATTACTAGTGGCGGTTGGTCGACGTAAAATTTGTGGATGATGCTTTGGCGGAGACTTTCGTGGAGACGCTGGCGAACATGCGACTTTGCGCCGGAGACGTCGCTTTTGAAGGCTACTGAGACCGTGTGCATGTCGTGAAGAATGCCGAGCGAGAGGCCTGGGACTACGTCTTGGCCGTTTATGGTCGTTGTGATGAGTCCGCGCGTGGCGAGGCGGAGGAATGGCGACATTACTGCTGGCGGTCCGTATGCGTATACATGGATTGGACGACCGGGTGGGAGATCGTAGGTTGGCGGTGTTGGGTCGGAGAACTGGCGGCCAGCATCGCTGTCAACGTTCAAGAGGCGCGACCGAGTAGCAGATTGGTGAGACGTTGTCACGAACGAGGTGCCTGTAGGGTCGCTGCATGGCTCGGCGATCATAGTGGCCAAGAGGGCCGCAACACCGCCGCCGAGAGAGTGTCCGCATAGAACAACGCCGTAGTCGTGGAATTCCTCAAGAGCCGCACGTAGTGTGATCATCACTCGACCGCCGCCACCCTCGAGCAGCCGTTGTGCCGAGGCATGCATGCCCTTGTGGACTTTCCAGTTCTTTCCTTGCCATTTCATTTCGTCGTAGTCACAGGTCATGTCTGTGAGAATGTCCTCAAACCCCCATGTACCTCGAAGGGTAAGCACAACGGCTTTGGAGTCGTGGTCGATGGACAGGTAGTGCACGAGCGGGAACCCGTTCTCAGTATCCCCGGCTGCGTTGGAGCCTCCGGCTGGATCGCAGAAGGAAGAAAGAAGAATTGTCGATGCTGGTAGGCCCGCATGATCGGTAAACGCGCTGTGCTCGTGGGAGTCGGTGTGAGTACGGGGTAAGCCTTTCGTGTCCTTGGCCACTCCCATGACCTTGAGTGCTCTGGAACCGTAAGAGGCAGAAGAGAAGCGACAGAAGCGGCGGATATTCTGAACAAAATGTCTCTTTGGGAAAATACCTGGAACGAAACCATCACGATGGAGTGCTTGGATGGTCTCGGTATCCTCGTAGGCGCTCTTCCGCGGTCTATGCGCCAATATAAGCGACGTCTCGGACCCAGCAATGGCCATCGAATACAGGCCAGGAGAGTAAGACTGGTTTGTTTTATGTAGGGAGTTTGAGCGTAGATCATTGACTGAGACAGGACCGTCCGTTTCAGACCTTGTGATAGACAGCGAACTACTACTGCGAACATGGCCCCGAGCAGTGGCAGGAGACCCTGGACGGTAGTCGGCAGCACCATGCGAGAAGGATCCAGTATGTGTCAAAAAGGACTCCCGACTCTTTTCGTGCACCATGAAGTGTCCCGGCCCGGAAGTCTTTCTATCGTGAATGTCGCAAGACGGCTCTAGGGTCGGATGAGAGCGCGGAGACTGTGGGGAAGGTGGAATGAGCGATCTTCGTAATCCTCTGTTCGATGCAGGCGTAGATAGTTGGTGTTCAGACGGCGTTTTTTGAGGTCGTTTTGGTGGAGTTGGTTGTTTTGAAGCTTCTCGTGCAGTTGCTTCTTTCACCGAGGCAGCTCCTCTAGCTGGTTCAAGAGTGGTACTAGAGGGTCCGGAACCAGCAGATTTGGCAGTTTGCTTCTTGAGTGGTGTCCGTTTGACAGGGTCTGTTCTTTCGAAAGCAGCTGGCTTTACTCTCTGGGCAAACTTGGAGAGCGATCCTCTTCTAGAGGGAGGCTTTTGACCCTGGTCGAGTTTTGGAGTAGAAGCTGGTGAATCACTTTTAATGATAATATTACTTTCAAAGCCAGGATTAGATTGCGCTCGATGATTAGGAGACCTAGGCTGTTTCGCCGGCTGCGATAATTCCTGCAGAGGCAGCAGAGGCAGCAGAGGCAGTGAAGGAACTTCAGGGTCTGTAGTATTCGGAACGTCATGAGGTCGTAGCAATGTATTTTGTGATTTGTTCAGGGCAGTACGAAATACCACAGTGTGTCGCGGGAGCCGCTTATTATCTGTGAGGCTCACATTGGTGTCGTCCTCATGGTTAAATCTTTCTTCGATCATTGTTGTACCAGGAGGGGCGGCAATTTCTGTTATATCTTCATCGAATATGTCTACTGTAATTGTTCGAGCCGTAAGGACCTCCGATCTAATCGAAGCGTGACAGCCTCGGGGAAATTGACTCGTTATATAAGCTTGAATGTCCTCATCGGAGAATTGCTGCTGCCCGTCCATTGGAAAGGAAAATCTAGATCCTCTTGGGGTATCAGTGATGCTCGATCCTCTCTGGACAGCATTGAAGGGCTCGTCGTCATCGCCGGGCATGACAAAAGAAGCCCTGTTGGAATGTTCCGGTAGTATATCTTGGTCTATATTAGAAAACCGTATTTGGTTCGTCCCGACCACGTCGGCTTTGGCGCCGTTGTCCAAAATGACGGTGTCCCAAATGATCTCATCACCACCATTTTCGCGGTGGCGTCTTTCAGTATTCCTCTTGCCCCAGCGCTGCAACAGAGCAAGTCCAATGCAACCAATCAAGAGATCTCCCACACCAACCTTTTCGTTGCTGGTATCTCGGTCCACAGATCTGAACTCGCGTCGAATAAGTGTGACAATCGCTGCAATTGCGCTAGATGTCTCGGTAGACCCGAGAATAGCATCGAGTGTTGACAAAAGAGACTGGGAGAAATTGCTTAATGATGCTAGAGCCGTGGATGAGAAGTGAAATGTCGCCGCGGCAAAGAATGACGCCGAAGTTATGGAAGTATGTAATGATGCCAACTAGAGCGTAGGAGTATAAGTATACTGCATAGGAAAGAGGGTGGAAGAAAACCTACGCTTCGTTCTAGCAATGATTCTGCTTCTATTCTACCATGCCCATCCCCACTGCGGATAGCCACATCCCTCCCTGCTCGGGTAAGAATCCCCTCAATCACAGCTCGGCTCAGCTCGAGGCCGGTCAGCGTTGTCGCGCGTGCACTATCCAAAGCCACACCCCCAAAAAAGGTCCCTATACGCAGCGACAGAGAAGTTGACTGGGTCACGAATGAGACTAATGATGCGACTGGTCGTGGGAGGAGAGTGCTGCCTGCGGCCACCAGAGACTGGCTGGTCGTGGCGACCTCAGTTTGAGGGGCTTCTTTTTCTTTTTCATGTCTAAAAAGCATCATGACTCATGAGCCATGGATGACAATGGATAAATTACGAAAGGAATGCATATGCGAAATGATAGAAGTAGATGTACGGAGCAGTTCGCGTTCGCGACATCGGGTCTGACATGTGACATGTCCCCAACACTCCTAATCGGGCATGAAGTAGTGGATACTTTTTCCATATTTCTGTTTCGTTTTGACAACAGCACATACTTACCGTTGGGTCTCGATCGAATTACCATACAAATATGAGTTATCTTCGTCGATATCAGGCTGCCATGCTGGTCCAATACTAATTCAGTACTCCATACTGAGTGATACGTGGTTCGATTGAAAACCATTATGCCGCCGCATTCCACTAGCCTTTATATAATCTGACCTATTGCTTATATTTTCCTTTATCTTTCGGTTCTGAAGCAACTGAGGGTTGTGGTACTATTGAGGCCACCAAATAAACAATAGTGCTACTAGAATTGTGTATTATTTGATGAATTACACAAACTTGAAGCAAAGGGATGCACAAAATTACATGATATTTAAGCCCAGTATCCGGTTTATAGGAATCATCTTCTTCTGGCTAGAGCCTGGTCCATTCCCACAGATCCAACATTCTCTTCGAAGGTTGGCGCATTCTTCATCCCGAGGTCTGTATCTTCCGCACCATTCCACTCAATATTTGAAGGCTCCAAGGCGCTAGATGTTCGATTGGGCTTACAAAAGTCTCGTCGGCATACATTTGTCATCTTCTACGTTGCCCTGGGACCGTAGCATATCAAATTCACGACATTTATTACTACACAATCTGCTGCAAAAGAAGACCTGGCTGCGCTTGGGAACAGGCTTGTACAGGAAAAATTTGCTATTATGTCACTACATAGGAAGAAGAATATTCCCATGTCCCTTGCTCAGTTTGCAAGTAAGTATGATGAGACAGAAACAGCCTTAAATACAGCTCCAGGGGTAGCCAAGGGTATCTCTATCTTCAACATTAACAGATGTACCTGGATAATGGAGAAACCGCTCTTAGAAGGAAAAGATATACAAGAAAAGATTATATCTAGGCTTGGAAAATTAGAATAATCGAGAGAATTATTCATACGTGAAACCCATGAAAAGGTGATGGCCCCGACACTAATAAGGTAAATCAGCCCGGGCTGTGTAGAGAATAATCATAATTGTCAAAAGTCTAAAGGTCGTCAAGTTTGTCTAGAGGACCCTGTTTATTTGGAGTATTGGATTCAAAACAAATTAGTGGTCAATTCCAAGTTTCGCTTGCGCTTTCGCTCGCTCTTTCGGCTTCGCTCTCGGTCTCGGTTACGTATTCGCTCTCGGAAACCAAAATGGGTGGATATGGATGCAAGATCCACCACTTAAAAGCTTCTATTCAAATAAACTACTGGTTCAAAGCTTTAGAGTCTACATATAAGCTCTCAGGCCTTGCACTATTGGTATTTACATCCATGGGTTCCTGCATCTAGAGCCTGTTTTCTCCATGTTTGGAACATGTTTTTAGCTCATTCATCCGAGATGGCCATATCAAATTACTTGATATGGCATTATTTCAGTAATTGGAATCTAGATCATCCTGGTCAATCCAGGTACAAAGACCCGATTAGGACAGTGAACCCTTTGTTTGCGCCATCACGAACCCTAGATTTCAAAACACTGATAATCAGCCCCCAGAGCTGGGATTATTTAAAAGCTACCTTTATCCCCGTCATGGAGTCAGTACTTTCAATTAACTCATTACACTATTGAATATTCAATTAATCACTATGAAGGTTACCAATTCTATTGCCTTGGCCGGCGCCCTCATCGGCCTGACCAACGCTAACCCTGTCGTCAAGCGTGCACTTAGTGACGGTACGTTTACTACAGAACATCCATTCAACACCTGAGTATCTCTAATATCATTTTACATTAGCTGATATTCTCAACTATGCCTTGACTCTGGAGCATCTCGAGGCCTCATTTTACAAGGAAGGTCTCAAAAACTACACTCAGGCCGACTTTATCAGTGCTGGATTCGCAGACCCCTTCTACGCCAACCTGCAAGAAGTTGCCTCAGACGAAGTTGACCATGTTGACTTCCTGACCAAAGCTCTGAGTGGTATGTCCAATGAAAGTTGAATTAGAAGAAGCAAAGCTAACTATCCGAAGCTGCTGGCGCGAGTCCCGTTGCGGCGTGTACCTATGATTTTCCCTCTGGTATGTCATCTTTTCGCCTCACAATATCCTTTGTATCTAACACTTGAATAGTGGACGTGAAGAGCTTCCTGGCTGTGGCTAGTGTCCTCGAAGGTATTATACATTCTCTTGTCTAGACCACGAATTTGGCTAACAAATCCCTAGGAGTCGGAGTGAGCGCATATCTCGGTGCTGCAGCCAGTATCACAAATGGTGCATACCTCACTGCTGCAGGTAGCATTCTCACCGTTGAAGCACGACACAGCGCCTATCTGCGTGCTGCCACCGGAGAGTCCCCTTACCCCCAGGCATTCGATAATCCTCTCGACCCCAATGAGGTCTACACCGTTGCTTCCCCATTCATTATTTCATGCCCATCCAGCAATGGCGTGCTCCCAGTTAAGGCATTCCCATCTATTACCCTGACCTCCAACGGTACTATCGTGGACGGGTCCAAGGTGCAGGTCGTGACTGGTAGCGGCTTTGATGCCTCCAACGTCACCAGCCTGTCTGCTGCATTTATCACCGTGACTGGCCCCGTGTTCACTTCCTTGAAATCTAACGGTGGTGGCAAGTTCACCGTGACTGTTCCCAGCGGCATCTCAGGCCAATCCTATCTTGTCTTTACTAAGAGCAATACTACGGCCACTGATGACACAATTGTCGCTGGCCCGGCGATCATTGAGGTAACAAAATAATGACCGGTCTTTCTCATTTCCTCCTTGCATGACTGATGCGTTTTTGTATGATAGGTTGGAAAGAAGTGGAACATTTCTATGTCTACATCGTCCAATGCTTCCGCTACTGCCTCTTCTCTATCGTCTCCGATCTTCACGGGAGCTTCCATTCAAATGACCGGAAGTGTGGTCGCTGTCTTGGGCGCTGCTTTGTTTTCTGCTGCCATTATATTCTAATTAACCGAATTGAAGGGTTAGAATTATTATCTAAAACCACAGACTGCACATACTCGGAAGATTGATCTCAAGTGTTTATACCTATCATTTAATCGTTATTTCGTATAATAATGTCCATGGAATATTGCAATCGTACTTTCTAGGTTTTTATTTTTATTTTATTTTTTAGCAAACATTTCAATCACAATGAAGTCAAAATCAGACTTTTCTTGTCCAATGTCGTACAGATTCATGTAGGTTAAAGAAATTTTCCAAGGATAACTAGGTAGGAGAATGTCTAGTCATGTTGCCAAAGGATGGTTAAGTGAGAAGTCACATGATGCTACCGGCGACGATAGTGTGGGGAATGCTTAATTCAATCCCTGGACTTTTCAACATCCTTCCCCAGCCATACTCATGATTGGCCTTTGTGGCCTCCCATCGATTGGAACCATCAGACTGTAACGATAGTTGAGTTGCAAATGAATGAATCTTGAAAATGCCGCCGCTAAGAGCTCATACCAAATCTCGCAATGGGTGTGACAAGTGCAGAGAGAGTAAGCTGTTTCTCTATGGCATTGCGATGATATTCACTCTGATCTATAATAGGGAAAATAAAATGTGACGAGCAAGGACCACCCTGCGCCAATTGCAAGTCGCGTGAGCTGGATTGCACTTACTTAAAAGTGGCAGCAGCGCGTAATCGTGCCAGTGCGGATAGAAGATCCGGGGGTTCCAGCTCAAGCTCTAAAGCGCGGTCAATCAAGGGGGTTGACTTGGTTGTCTCAAACTCAACACAAGTCACCTCACTAGAGATCAACAATCTGGAGTTAATGCACAAATTCTCCACAGAAACATATCAAAGCCTGGCTATCTCAGAGTCTGAAAAGTATATCTGGCAAATCACAATCCCTCGCTTGGGACTTAAGCATCAATTTTTGATGAATGGCCTACTGGCCCTAGCCAGTCTTCATCTAGCCACATCTGCGGAACCAGCCGAAGCCTTGGTTTACTATGATAGGGGTCTTCTATTTTACGATCAAAGTCTGGCACCATTTCGAAACGCAATCGAAAATATTTCGCCCCAGAATTGTGATGCCACATTTTCTCATAGCATAGTCATGATCGCGATCAATATTGCATCGGCTGGAGTTAGAGCCAAAAGGGACGAGGGCTCAAGTATCCTCGAGAACATAGTCGATCTGGTCGGATTACTTCAAGGGGTGAAAAAAATTCTACAGGTCAGCCATTCGTGGCTTCATATCCAGCTTTTCTCTCAGGGAGAATTCTGGAATAAAACAACCACGGAGCTAGACGCTGATACGGAGGCTGCACTCACACAACTTGCCACATTAAACGATGAGATAATGATTGGAATTGATACTTCTCAACATCCTATTTACAAAGAAATTATTTCGCATCTTCGTCACTGCTACGTGAAATTTGTGCACTCGTCTGACCCTGCGCCTGTCATGTCATGGCTCGCTTCGGTCGAGAAGGAATTTGTGGAGAGTTTGCGTTACAGACAGCCTTTCTCATTGTTAATCCTGATGTATTGGGGAGTTCTTTTGCTTGGACTTCATGGAAAACGATGGTGGGCTCATGATTCTGGAAGGCTTTTGTTATCTGAATTATTGGAAGCCCTTCGATCTGCCGATCCTAGATTGGAGCATGCCATTGCATGGGTGAGGCAAAAGATGTCAGCTTGAATTATACAGATTAAATATATATTTTTTGGGAAACTGGGCAAATTGCGTCACTGTGTGTGGTTACACGGACAGCGATCCCTTCTGGAAGGACATTAGACTGTTCTCTCGGGATTTAAAGTGTGTCTGATGTCACGTGACAGGCTCCTTCAGGATTAGTACTTACGGGGTTCAAAGTCAAAGGTTACGACGTGTTCAACGACAACTGAGATCTGGTCTCTGTCAGGATTTTGTGAGCTGGCACTCATTATACCTCTGCTGTTGAGCTTTTTACGGAAATTCATAAAGTTGCAAGCTCTTGAGATGTAGACAAAAACATTGGAGATGTTTTGGTTTGGATACCTAGGCACTTAATAACTAATTTACGAAGCTTTAGTCGTCTATATAAATTCACTTGAATACACACACAGATATGTACCGACCTTTTAATTCCCAAATGAACTATTTTTCGCCTTCTCGAGCATTGGGCATGTAGATCCAAGCCCTAGAGGATCTCTAAATATTACAAATCCATTAGCTGCCCAGGTGGGTATCGTTCAGCTGAGATTCTAACAAGTACTTTGGCTAAAGCCCCGTAACAAATTTGCCTTGTAAGCAATGCCTTAGAAAAGTGTTCAGGTGACGTTGGCACCATGTGGCTTATTTCCGTACCCAGGTGCTAATATCAACAGTCTGGATCCTGGTAACCTTGGAACTTCAACAACTCCGCAAATCAGCAATTTTCTCTCCGCAACGGTTTACACTAAGCCATAATCTACAAAATCTATTTCTGATCAAGCCTAGATCATGAGCCAAATTGATAATGGTGATATTGACCGTCCAGTCGATGAGAATGCAAAGATCGCACTCAGACAACTACAAGAAGGCGGATTCGTGCGAATAGCAAGTATTTCTTTCTCTTCAATTCAAAACAACACGCTAACTTCATATCTAGAGACTTGATTTCGAAGATGAAGGGTTGGTGCTGGAGCACACTGAAACAGGAGTTTCCCCGGATAATGTCGCCGCACGAGTCCCATCATCTCCACTGATCTACTCATTCTATCACTTTCCTGGATCTGACGCTGTTATCTTCATTTACGTTGGCCCTACTGAATTTCCCGTGAAAAAGCGTACGCTGCACGCTGGTGTACGACGGGATCTTATAAGAGTCGCAGAGAGTGAGGGGCTCAGAATTGCTATAAAGGTATCTCCAGATCATTTCCCCCCATATTCAGATGAAAGATACTCACGGCATTACTATTTAGATCAAAATCAAAACCTTCAACGATATCAGTGAGGCTAGCCTGAGAGAACTCATTTCGGCCGAAGCTCATTCCTCACAATGAATGGGAGGTCATCTACTATGTACTACCCTTGTGGCTCATAGGTCAAATTATATTATTTTCTCGGATACAGGCCTATATTGTGACCAACCATTATTCAATAGATACACTCGATGTCCAGGTGGAGTACGAAGTGGCGAGCCAAAACAAAGCTTTCTAATGATTTCATACGCTACTGCACATAGTCAATCATCCTTAGAAGCTTTTCAAGTTCCAACATTAAACGGTTCCATTCAGCCTTCCAAGATTGCAAACATCCATACTTCCTAAGAACGTTCTGATTTCTCATAGGGGTCTAATACTAGTCGGCATACTACTAAGTAATTATGTTGGTGAGACAATATTTACAGTTACCTAGTTGTAGCGCGAAAAATATCCTTGTATCTGACTGCCAAGGTGCTGATCTTCTCCTCAGCCTTTTTTTAGACTCTTGGAGGTTATCTAGGACACCTTCCTTCTGGAGAATTGTCAGTAACATGTTTTTCTACTAGACTATCTCATCCACTTCGACTTTGGAATTTGAGACTATCAATTGAGCTATCAAATATCAAGTAATTTCCTCCAAAGTCTTCACTGGAGTTTCATCCTTTGCCTTGAGAGTCATTAGAATGATAATATGAGAAGGTGTATTGGTAAGTCTGCTGACGTTACTTGTTCAAGGTAACCATATCATAAGCCGAGCCTGAGAAGATTCAGCCAGTGTACAGCCTGATGTGGAATTAATGACAATTCAATACTATAAATATGGTCAATCAAAACGACGAGATTGAAATAAGGAACCTTGAATATACATCACGTGACTATGTATCCCGGCGAACCAGTGTTTATCTAAAAATCCGAAGTAGTGGACAATTTTGTTAGCAGCAAGGACTGACGTTCTGCCACATTCCACACTTTTTTTCATCCCGAAATCTTTCCACCTTCCGCATCAAAACATTCCCCCTCAGCTCCACCTGTCAACTTGATCAAGCTGAGCCATGGAGTACCACGCTGTGCCGCCAGAGGAGCGCGCAAGAGATGAAAATGGCAACCTCCTACCTTGGGGCTATCTTTACAAAGAGTAAGTGAAAAACACATGGCCTCTCCTCTACTCTAATACTGAAATTTACCTCTAGTGAATCTCGCAATCCCCGACGACCACCAGAGGAAACAGGGCCATTTGGCAAGCGCAGAAACGCCCGATATGAAGCACGATCCCGTACACGCACTGGAACCCCAGCAAAGAGAGAGAACCCCAGTGTAGCTGAGTTCGGACGGTTATTTGCCCAGCAGCAACAAGAAGAGGAGAAAACAATCGGCCTGCCTAAATCAACATCGTCCGGTAGCCTCGATAACCCACGGAAGCAGACTGAAAAAGTCGCAACGGAGTGCATTCTCTATGGCTACAAGGACAAGGACACCGAGTGGAAAGTGATCGATAAATATGAGCGCATCTCACAGGGCATGATCTGTGAGGACTACCCACGCAGCGACCCCAACTCCATGACCCAGTATGCTCAGCTACTCAGCGGCGGTGACATCGTGATCCGCGCAAACCTGTCCGCCGATGCGAACCGCAAATCAAAGCGCTACGCTGGAGGCTTCCACTGGATCAAGGTCACATTTGACTCGGCCGCCGCCGCAGACAAGGCGATCTTCTTCTCTCCGCAGGAGATTGACGGAAATGTCGTGTTCTGCGAGTTGTTTGACGGCCATGGCCCTTCAGATGATCAACCCATCCCCGCAGACTCAACACTAGCCAGGAAGCTGAACAACAAAGCTCCTCGCACCCTGACCTCCACACAGTCATCCTCATTCCTATCCAATAAGTATTCGGATCAACAGGACCGGTTCACATTGCCACGGTCCTTCGCCATGAACAATCTCGCAAGTGTCGTCGATTATGATGAGACAGAAGAAGGCCAGTCTTTTTCCTCTGCAACTGTCTCTGGCACTGGGACTACAACTACAGCTACATCTGCAACTGTGGCCGCGACCCCGACCGCAACCAGTACCAGTACCTCGTTCAGCGACCGAACCTCTTCGCTACAGCAGCGGAATGTCCCCAGCGATCCCAAGCCCGAATCCGATTTTATGACACATATTCCCACCGTCCGCCGGACGAAGCTACGCCCTCTCACCGAAGCCCTCCCTCCTCAACCCACCGTTACCGAGAGAGTGCTGCGTTCGATCCCTATCTTGAGCTGGTTCACTGGTGATATCGTTGGAGATGGCCCACAGCTGCGCGAGGACGGTACATTCGATTACGATAAGTCAACCACCTACTGGCGCTTTTGGTACATGGTGGACAGAGTTCTTGGCACCGATGTCTGTGGGCTGAGGGAGGAGTCTTGAAAATATGTCCGGTTCTTATAACTGATGGACAGTGAACTTGCTTAGATCACAGAAAAGAGTTGATGAGCATTAGTTTAGGCGTGATTGGATTTAATCTTCTGGGGGGTTGTACTCTTGCTTGTAGCCTTGGAAGTCTTTGGGGGCATATTGACGTGAATGAATCGATATGATCGAAGGCCTCTCTTCTACGGTCGAACAGTGTCCAATTCCATAATTGGTTCAATTTTAGTAGTTGTAGGTACAAAACCTTTTCCACTATCCAACCACATCCAATTCATGAATCATGAGCCATGAATGGGGGGTCAGGTTATTCATATTCTCGCATCGATAGGGGGAAAAAAATTCGATGGCGAAATGCATGCAGAGATCAGAATCCGCAAAGATTAAAGAAAATCCATGGTAGACCAAGAGATAAACAAAAAAGACCACCGGGACTGGATTGGATACATTTCATTGGAACTGATCATAGACCATGATTTTGATGAGGGCAGTCTATTTATTCAACCTTGCTCTCGAAGTTCTCGCCCTCAACGAGGTCGGGGATATCATCCTCCTCATCGTCACCACCCTTGGCGGCCTGCATGTTCTGGTAGCTCTCGGCGAGCTTGCGGAGTTGGGCAAGGCTGTCGGGGCCGAGCTGGTTCAGGATACCGGGGACGAGCTCGGTAAGCTCCTTCTCCTCACCGTTACCGTAGAGAGCGAAGGTGTTAGAGGGGACGGCGGCGTGAACTGTATCATTGTTAGTCTCGTGTATTTCCAAGGACTGGCTTTTCGAATAATTACCGCGGGGAGCAGCGAAGTGGATAACGTTGCCATCCTCCTTGAACATGTTGACCTCCTCGATGGCCTGGATGGGCTGGACATTCAGCTTCTTGAGGGCAACTTGGAGCTTCTTGTCATCGGCATCACCGGTGCGGTGAACCTTCTTGACCTTGCGACGGGGGGTACCCTTGCCTCTGTTAAATATAGTTAGTGAGATGATCCGATAGAATGTGGTTGAAGATCTTGAGTGGTGGGTTCGGGTGGATCGCGAAGGAAGGTTCCAGCTTCGAAAATATTGGGTACAATCGCGATATTTCGACTTTAATCAATATATAAAAGCCATGACAAGATTGACACCGATATCACAGCTGGAAAGGCAGTTTGTGTTGTGTTTGCACGAATATTTTCCGGGTTCGAAAGGAAATTGAAGGATTTTGTGAAGAGCTTAAGGACGGAAATGATACATACCCTGTCCAGATGAAAGTATGTCAGCGATTGTTCTTTCTTTTGGTAGTAAGGAGGGGACGGTTTATTCTAGACCAGTTGTCCAGCAAGCTTAAAAAGAGGTCGGGTTGGTACCGCGATTTTGACCTCGATCTCGATTTCGATACCAACAACTCTAACCTTCCATCTTCCATCGCAGCTAAGACATCGTGTTCTTGAAATTCCAGATCCCAGGCAGACACAACGTACCAATCCGCGCAGACGACTGCTGCATCTTAGCCAACTTTTCGTAATCCATTGTGACGGTGGGGGTGATTCTTCTTGGAGCCGTATGTTAGCCGATGACGGACGAGGAAAAGGGAAAAGCGACACGAACGGAGTCGCGAGATGGAGTATGGTGAGGGGAGTAGTACCGTTGAAGAGGGGTGGATTTTTAGATGGTCAGAATGAAGGTTGAAGGTTGATGATGCGCATCCCAGAATATTTGTGTGGGGAGTTTTCCAAAGCGGATTAACTTCGCTAACCGCCGCTGACTAGGGACCAGCCACCACTACAATTACAGTCTAATCTTTTACTATCTGTGTGGTTTAATAATATATTTATTTAAACTGGAAATGGAGTTGCTAGATGTTCAGATCTGTCAGTGATGTTGGTGTTGATTGTGGGTGAGAAAATGGCTTCTCGGCTATCAACCCTAATTATCGCACGGGATCATAATGTCCATACCAGAACAACATCAACCTGGAACAACGCGACAACTTAGCTTGATGAGAGTTGAAAACATCGAGTGTCTTCTTTTATCAATACCCATGCGTATTTCTGTTGCTTTGTTGTCAATTATTCATGTAATTGTGAGGGTTCGACGAGATTTGCTACTTATGAATCAATCAAAGTTTCAATAAGCAAAAGAACTGTCAATTTGAACAATTCATCATTATCCACATTTCCTCTAACTATGGAGTATAACATTCAAGTTACCAAGTCTTCTAACGAGTAGTTACGAAATACTAAAAGCTAGACATATTGTTAGAGGCCTGAGGCCATCATCTTGATATCGGTGCCTAAGGCAGCAGTGAATTAGATACGTTTCACCTCGGTTTTACCTTCTCCAGCCGACAACCTTGGACCACAGATATGACATCATTCTAGTGGTCATATTGATAGAGGGGGCATATTGGCGATACTATCATGCACGGGCAATCAAGTGTGTGATTTGGGTATGTCTCTATAAATCCAATAGTTGTCTGTGTCTCGGAGTGTCTTCAAAGCTCATGATAGTGATGGGTAGAGGCCTATTGGTAGCTCGCTAGGCGCGCCAAGACCTCTACGTAAATCCTATTATCGACATAGGAGTTACTACGTCTTCGGATGTAAAAAGAATGAAGAGATTTGAACATCAATTGGATGAGACAGAAGCTCTACAAAAGCTGAGACCACAGTGGAAGAAGGTGATGCGTTAGCTTAAAATGGTATGTAGGCAGCACGGAGGAATACGACGATAAATTTAGTTTTTAATCAAATTTGAATCATTTGATTTACTGTAGCTACTATATTTAACATAATATCTATAGTTGTGGCTGACAAATTTATATGTAAAACTTGATAACTAAAAAATTGTGCATCTGTTTGTTACTTCGCATATGAGGGTTGGATAATAAATTGGTGATTTGTGAAAGGGGCCGGTTAGTTTAAAGTAGTCACCCTAACTTTAGCAATGCTGCGCACTAATAAGGGTGTTGGGACCGCTCCTGCGGCTGTGAAAAATTTGCCTTCATTATCGAAGAGATACCGCGCGTTGATGATTTAGATGGAGAAGAAGAGGTCAGAATCCAGAAGAGTTATTTAGGGCTTCTGGAGAAGAAGAGGGGCCTGATAATATAGAAGCTGAGTTTGAGGAAGAGACTTCTGCGAGAAGAGTGTCAGAAAGGCGTTGTAATGGGGTTATATAGATTTAGAATTTAGAAAATAATTCTTTTCTTTCGGGAGATGAAGTATATTACCAATACAAAGACCTCACTATATAATGCAAGGTAGATTACAATAATACGCATAATACATGCTGAGATCCGGCTGTGCATGCCTAATAGTTTAGATAAAATCTATATGGATTGCACCAAAACACTTCCTGTGAACGGTTTGGTTATTTCTAAAGAACAAAATAACCTCATTGGTCCATATAAGTGGAGGTGGTTCATTAGGGAAATAAGGGTGTTTGGACTGTTTGCATGCCCCATTTGAGTCATGTATTATTTAATAGAGATTTATTTACCCCCTAACTAATTTGACCGTCAAGTTTAGTGACTTTTGATTTTGGTGCCAAATATTTGACAGGTATTAATCATCACGAGCTCTAGAAGCCGCTGGGCAACAAAGCTAGATACTGATCTCCTCATCCATCAGAGTGAATACTAGATATTGAAAAGAGCATCTTATACCTGAAAAGATATGGATGAGTTCGAGAAGCTGCGTGCTGTGGGTCAGTGCACGCCGCATCTTGCATAGATCTTAGACTATTGACCAATGATAGTAGGTCGATTGGAGCAATACTCGACATCTCGATATCAAGTCAAGTTCTATTTGAATGTTGCAGTGACAGCAACATACACTCTTCCTGAAAGCTTCACACTGCCGACAAAAGACTATATCTATCGGGCTTGTGAAACTCTCATAGGGCAACATCCAGTCCTTTCGGCCATCCCAGCAGCTGAAGAAACCCAGCAGCCCTACTTTGTGCGACTACCCCAAATCAACCTAGATCAGGCTGTGTCATTTGAACCCCGGAAAAACATCCCCACTGAATCTGCGGATGGAGAACCTTCCCCTGATCTCGATCTCGAGGCTCTTCTCGAAGTGCAGCACAACACTCCATTCGCCGAACTAAGTCCTAACTGGCGCTTATGCATTCTCACAAACCCTGTAAATGACCGGGAGTTTACAGCTGCATTTGTATTCCATCATGCCCTCGGTGATGGAAATTCAGGCAAAGCCTTTCACCGAACTTTCTTACAAGCACTGCACTCAGCACCAACTGCAGTTGAAACAAAGTCGCAGATACAGTCACCACAGGAACCTTTGCTCCCTAACATTGAAGCTCTTCACCCCATGCCTCTTTCTATTTTCTATTTGGCAAAACAGCTCTTCAAGGCGAAGATCTGGTCGCCCAGTGAAACCGGACTGTGGGCTGGGTCTGAAGTTCAGACACCAGTAACGACACGACTTCGACTGCTTCCATTCTCCAAGGACGTTGTTGCTTCGCTGAGGGGGCAATGCCGTAAAGAAGGCACCACTATTACTGCCTTCCTGCAGACTATGATTGCTAGATCCTTGTTTGCCCATTTGCCGGATGTTTACTCTCTACTGATCTGTTCCGGCGCTCTTTCGTGTCGCAGGTGGTTGCCGGATATTATTACAGACGACTCAATAGGTGTCTATGTCTCGGACTTCGAGGAGAAGTACCGCCGTACCAGCGTCATGTCTTCCAATGGTTTATTCCCATGGGATGAAACCAGACGATCCCGTCAAACAATCGAGGCTGTACTCGAATTGAAAGGACGTGACGCGAAACCCAACCTTCTAAAGTTTGTCGACAATTATCAGCAAGAGCTCTGCATGTCAAAACTTGGACAGAAGCGCGATAAGACTTTCGAGGTGTCTAACATTGGGGCTTTTCAGGCTGAATCTGATCCTGGGAGACCTTCTATTGGAGGTATGGTCTTTTCGCAGTGTGCTAGTGTGATTGGTAACGCTATTGAAATTTCCACAATTTCTGGCCCAGATGGGTGTCTTGTACTTGGTATCTCATGGCAGGATAGCGTGGTGGAAGAGAGTCTCATGGAGGTATTTATCAAGTCTACTAAGGATGAGATGCGTCGCTTGGCTGGATGTAGTTGATCTATCATGGTTGTTCTACCTCGTTATTACGTCTACTTTAATTTATTAATAACCTATCGGGAATACGGACATATAAATCCCATAATAAACCAAGAATATACACCATTTGATCTTTTGTATCCGATTTAGTAGTGATTACGATACTTGACTACTTTAAAACAATCCTTTGTCATCTCCGCGGACCAAATTCCGCGCAGGCGGTGGATCCAACGGAAGCTCAGTGTAAACAGGCAGGAACACTTATCCGTCTTCTTCCCTTCTCTTCTCTTTTCATAAATTACAATCAAGATGTCATCACGCGCCCCATATGTTGTTCCGGCTCTGAAGAAGCACACTGCGACGGTGATCATGGCCCACGGCCTTGGAGACTCGTAAGGACCCCGCAATCAAGTGCAGAAGCTCTAGCTAACACAACTCTCGTTTAGTGGGCAGGGATGGTACGAATCTACTCAACCAATCGGATTAAATAACTTCAATTGACAACTTCCATGCATACAGGACCTCCCTTGCTCAGAACTGGCGCCGTCGCGGCAAGTTCGAGGAGGTGACCTTCATTTTCCCGAATGCGCCCTCAATCCCCGTCACCGTTGTACGACCAATTCAAATCGTCCTGAGCCTCCATAATTTTACTAATAAAGGAACCAATTTCAATAGAATGGAGGCATGAAAATGCCCGCCTGGCACGACATGTCCGTTCTGGGCCGCGAGCTCAGCTTCGAAGACGCACCCCGCTACCAAGATGAACCCAGCGCCTTGCGATCCCGCAACTATTTCAACACTCTCATCCAGGACCAGATTAACAAGGGAATCAAGCCCTCGCGTATTGTACTTGGCGGGTTCTCGCAAGGAGGCGCCATGGCAGTGTTCACCGGCACTACAAGCGAGGAGAAATTGGGCGGTGTCTTCGGACTGTCGAGTTATCTGCTTCTTCACGACCGCATCAAGAACTTCATTCCTGAGGACTTCCCGAACAAGAACACTCCTTTCTTCCTGGCCCACGGCGAGGATGACCCAGTCGTCAAATATGAATTTGGTCAGCAGTCGTATCAGGCTTTGAAGGACCTTGGGTTGCAGGATGTGGAGTTTAAGTCATATGAGTAGGTCTTTGTTTCTCTCTTTTTTGTGACTGAGTAACTAATTGAGGTATTAGGGATCTTGGTCACTCTGCCGACCCGCTAGAAATTGACCACCTCGAGCAATTCTTGGCGAAGGTTCTTCCTCCTGTTGGAGATGGCGAAGCCGCCGGGCTCTGACTGTATGAACTAAATAGCACAGCTGTGTCTGGTCAGTGGGGAACTACTTTGATTCTGGGTTTCTTAATTCTCCTTGTCGCGATGGCGTGGTCAAAGTATGGCAAGTCACCGACGAAGAAAAGCGAGATGTAGTGTTCCGCATTCAACTTTATGAATTGAAAATCATTGATTAAAAGCGCTGGCCAGTCGATCTGGCATATGCATAAACCCGAAATAATAAAATTATAAAACAAAACAAAACAAAAAACTCCCCTTCAAGCCTTAGCAATGGTCTCCTCAATAACCCTCACAATCTCATCAGTGTTCTTCATATCAAACGGCACCATATGCTTAGAACCATGATCATAAAACGCGGCCTTAGCCGGCTCACACAGCGCATAAAGCTGCATACTCTGCGGATAAACGTGATCTAACGCCCCAACAACATGCGCAGTTGGGATAGTGATGGGATAAGCCCCATTTACGCGGCTCATACGCTCAAGTCCGGATGTAGCCCACGGATTCGCGCCACACAGGAACACGGCGACGCGGAATAACGGCGCCGCGCCCGGGTGTAACTCATTATGGTGGGCTATCAGCGATGCAGCGAGCGCTGCGCCCTGCGAAAAACCTAGTACTGCATCGAAGGGGCCTTGTTCCGCGATGAGGTGGTTTGTGTGGTCGAATGCTTCAGTCAGTTGCGAGCCAGGGAGAATTGGGTCGCGGGGGTAATGGTCGAAGAAGGGGCCGTCGACTACGCCTTCGAGTTCTATATTTCGAGGGTTTGGTCAGTAGCTGGTTGTGTTGTGTTGTGTTTGTGAGCGGAATTGGGTGAGGGGTTAATGAGGGGGTGGCTTGTTTTCTCTCACCTTCCTCAACTTTGGCATCTAATTTGCCATTTATAAATGTGAAAGTGTGGCCAGCTTTCTCGAGCTGTTGGCGTAGGCCACCGGTTTGAATCTCGAATATCTATGTTCGTGAGTTTCGTCGTTCAGGCGTGATGTACGTGCTGTCCGGAGTACATACTTGGTCATTGGTGCTTGCTCCATGGAGACAGAGGAACTTCATGATGAATGTTACGGTAGAGTGGGGATTGGAATTGAGGTTCTGTGAGAGTTCTCAAGTGAATATGAAAAAACCAAAGGCCAGGAGGATGATACCGGGGCGGGCAGCTCGGAAACTGGGTCTTGTTTCACTGAGTAACTGCGGGTCTTTAAGTGTCGTGCAGATCAGGACTGAAGGTTGATAAAGGAGCGCTCTGACGTGTTAAGGGGTCACCGATCACGAGGCAAAGGTAGAGAGTAAACAATAATATGGGGTCTTTCATCGATGTTGGTAGTACGGTGAAGGTAATAAGTACTGACCTATCTTTTGAATCCATTCTTCATCTTGGCATCGTCAACATGAGATATCTGCGGCTACCACTCCTACCTGGCACGAATAGTATACTATGATTAATTATTCTTGGGGCTGTTTCATATTCCATACCCAGTTAGCAAATATCAGCCAATTCCACGGTCAGACGTTCTCCTTGTCTCAATGCCCAGGTGCTTAGTCGATGTTCTTGTTTTATAGATAGGGCTGAAACCGAGCCGTCGGCCAACCTTACCAGATACCATAACCCTACTAACACCGGCTCAACTCATTCCTTGATAGCCCCCCTAGGGCCAACGAAGGTAAACATAGTTCATAAAGTCTGATTAAAAGTCCTCTGTCACCAAAAAGCTGAATCTAGCCATAGGAAACTACGAAAATATCGAGAAAAACAAACCAGAAACACAAGACCCCAGAAATGGTATATAAAGCTAGAGTTTGCCACCACTAGGAGGATATTGGGTCTTGATATCTCTCATTACTTCGTCCCTGATCTGAAAAGAGAGTTGGATCATAAGACTTGGAACATTGCCAGATAGAATTGAAGTCTCTAATTAAACTATGTATAGTTCCCAAGGTTCTATATCATACACAACATCCCTCTCCTTCCCAGGTCCCAAATTAGCTATTTAGCCGTAGCAAGCTACGTAGCATCAGATTAAGCTGTTTAAGCGGAATGGGCTTAGTTAAAAACTCATCAACACCACTCATAGCAGCATCCTGCTGCACCTGAGCAGACAAAGCAGCAGTAAGAATGATGATAGTAGTACGGGGCCAGCCCTGCGTCTTTTCAAGATGTCTCATTTCTCGTGTCGCCTAGTAGAGTTAGCTTTGTTTTTTTTTTCTGGTTTCTTTGGTAAATCACCGTTAACCCATCCATGTATGGCATTGATATATCTGTTATGATTACAAAGTTAGTGAATCTCGTATACAGTAGGGCAGGAGCGAGATTACCCATCACAACAACGCCGAATCGATTGGATTTGAATTTCTCAACGGCTTCTCGGCCGTTTGTTGCGGTTTGGTATACAAACCCGGAACCCTTCACACTTGTTTCCATGATCTAGAAACTCTTGTCAATAAAGTTCAGCAATATGTGATAGCTCAGGCAATACCTTCAAGTTGATTCTATTATCTTCCACTAATAGAATTTTTTTCGAAGGTGAGGGGTTTTCGGATGACCCATGTTGTTCTTCTGACATTTCTGACAACTGTATCTGCTCAGGAGTATGGGTCTGAATCATTTCCTGCTCTGTAGCTAGATCGGTGTTCTCGATTTCCAACTTCCCATCTAGTGCACGACCCAAACGGTGATCCGGGTCTCTCTGTCCTTCTTGCAGATCTAAGCAGTGCTCGAGGACAGCTGCTAGAGTCTTTGGACACACTCTGTTGTGGATTAGCTTTGAGTGAACGCACACTTATGAGAAGTTATAAACTTACGGTTGTGACAAAAAGATCGCGCGGTCCTGACTGTTCTCTTTCGCCACTCGCAAGCTACTAGCCTGTCCGCTAAGTACAATAAGCGGGGAAGCATTGCGTGACTCGATGGACCTCCGAACATCCGACTGAGACGATTCATTCGCCAGAGTGCGGTACTCATGTTCGGTGACAATCAAAAAGTCGGCCTTTTGCGTCTGAAGCTCGTCGGCGCTCAAAACATGTAAACCGAACCAATCTGTTGCCATTCGGCCTAAACTAGACTTGATATTGTTGAAGACCTCTTGCCGGATGCCTAGGTCGCCGCGGTCAAAGCTCTTTGTAAAGAACGATACCGTCTTACCAGATACTCGTTCCCGTAAAGCAGTATACAGGGATGGTAGCGAAGGCTTTTTCGTTGAACCTTGGACTGGGATGATCACATCGACCTCAGTACCGCGGTCTACCTCGCTACGGAACTGAATCCGGCCAGCTAGCGATTTGATAATCTGATGCACAAGGTGCAGACCGACACCAAGTCCAGGCGACTGGGTATCTTCTTGAAGGAATGGGATGTAGAGGTGGTTTCGAAGGAAGTCTTGCGACATGCCACGGCCGGAGTCGCTGATAGTCAGACGGACTGCAGGGACAAGCTCTTTACTACCCTGCACTGCCATCATGTCTTCTTTTATGAAGAGCCTGATATAGCCTGAAGGTGTGTATTTCAGGGCATTTCCGAAAAGATTCATCACTATTCGACGCCATGCACCGCTGTATATGGGGTGATACCAGTTGTCTTGCCACTCGATATCCACAATGGTGATGATTCGGTTCTGACTCCAGCTTTTATCAGAGAGGGCAGACTTGCGCCTGTGTTGTTTTGAAGAGGATTCGGTCTCTCGATTGTAGAACTCCGAGCCTGCTAACAAGCCCTCTACAACTTCTTGCACCAATGATGATAGATCGATATCTTGGATAACGCCAGGAATGGCAGCCTTTTGTAGAGACACTTTCGAGCTCGGCTCTTCTGAGGATTGAGGTGCCTTTATTGTATTGATCTTAGCGTAATCCAATAAATGGTTGAGTGTGTCCAGCAAGGTTCGCCCACAACTAGCAACAGTCTCAACCAAGCCTCGCTGAGTATGCGTCGTGACAGCTTCTTGGAGTAGCTCCACTGTGCCAAGAACACCATGTAACGGAGAGCGCAGCTCATGAGAGATAGACGAGATAAAGTCGCTCTTAGCTCGATCAGCCGCCTGCAGATCCATGCGTGAAATCTCAGCCATGACACTGTTGCTGAATGCAGCCATATATGTGAGGTCGCTTGGCTCGGACATCGTACAGCTGGGGTCGTTGGTCCACGCCATATTCACAGTGAACCATCTGCTGCGATGGAAATCCCACACAGGGTAGATAGAAATCCATCGAGCTTCAGGCAGGATTTTGTGGAAGTATTGAATTTCCATAGTTTCGCGTCGGATATGTTTTTCCTCTGGTGATTCTGCCTGGATAGTCTTTGTGCCATTTAAATATGCCTGATTCACGTTATTTACTAGTCCTTCGTGGCTCAATGCAATGGAACCATCTTTATCTAGGAGGAAGATCTTTCCACGCGGATAATGATCTATCAGATGATTCACAAATCCTCCTGGCAATGAAATGTAATGACTCTCTTGCTCGTAGTTGTCTCTACTGGAGGTAGATGATGTCGAATACCCCAGAACAAGACTCTTTGGTCCGTGTTTATCGTCAAATGCATCGCTAAAGTAGTTGTCGTTCAGTGAAGTGTTCTCGTCGAATATATTGAACTCTGCATTATCTCCTTCACCTGTTGTTGACCCGATCATCTGGCGTCGAGCGTACACACTGGCGTCGATGAACATGACCCCTTCGACTTCTAGAGCCTGTTTCATCAGACACGAGGCTCGGTTGAGGACTGATTGGACGTTTGATGGAGCTAGTGATTTCTTCAATTCACCTGTCGTTGGGGAGAGTGAAGCGCGCCGTCTATTCTCTTCTCTTTTCTCCGCGTTGTTTTCCACATCTTTTTCGTCTGCCTTGAATGTATGAACTGGTGATCGGCTCCTACTTTGTTCAGCACCTCGCGGATCAAGTTCAATATCCGAATGAGTGGAGGGTGTCTTAGGCGTTCTCCCACGCTGCAAACTAATTTCGGTGTCATCCTCGTCCATATAGTTCGTTTGCATCATTTCTGTCGTGCCGTCGGTCGTTATCTGAACCTTTTTCAACTTCTCATCAACTTCATCAAGCGGGTCTTGCGGGTCGTCTCCGTGCTCCGGACTGGTCAATCCGTCATTGAGATCTGATTTCCCTGTGAAAAAGAGACCTAAACCCCTAACCATCTTTTGATCGCGGTGCTCATCGCGCGTCGCACGCTGGCAAAGTAAGTGGTCCATAACAGTCCCACTGATATCTCTTAAAATCCGAACCTGCGAATCATCTAACCCTTCTCGAGGTCGATCATCTAGTACAGCGATACTGCCAATTACATAAGACTCTGGCGACATAATCGGAACAGAGACGTAGAATCGGTGATGAGGCGAGCCCGTCACCATAGGCGCGGACCGAAAGCGCTCATCCTGCGTGAGATCAGGGACTAAAAGGATATCGCTTTCACAATTGATGAACGATTCTATAGCTCGATTACACATTGGAACCTTGTTTAGGGAAGTTGCCGTACACCGAGCCATAAAAAATCCGACTCATCGCCTTGATCAGCCCGAAAGCCAAGTTTGGGTGTTGCTTCTGCGATGACATGTTGTGTTGTGCGATCGAATAGACAGATAAGGGTTCTTTTGGCGTTTAATTGTAGGCTTGTGAGTTGCGCAAGGGCTGTAAGAACGTTGTCGGGCGAGACATTGGGACGGTGGCCAACTGTTTTCTTTGCAAACTTTTCAGGTGGATATCCCCAGTATGGTAGGTAGCTGTAAAAATCATCCACGGATTAATTACGGTTCTCATGATTTGTACTGAAGTTCAATGTTCATACAGATGCATTTCCCGTTCGCGGGCGGCGTCGATATTGTATGCATATTTGCGTGGGCCTATATGGGCTCTGTCGGGCATAATGAAGAAAATGCAGGGTCCATCCGCTTCAATAGTCCCCTAAAATAGATAATAGTATACGGTTGTGCGTTACTTCGTTCCTAGTATAGAAAATATCGAGGGGAGAAGTAGTTGATAAAAGTCCACAAATAATAACGTCATAGCAGATCCTTTCTCCATAAAACAGAACCCCTGCAATCATAGATCGATACTTAAATCGATATTGTCGAATCCCAGTTTCGCCTCTATGAAAAGTGACGTCATGTGGGTTCGCATCGAAAATTTCGTAAGAGGCTAAGGGCAAGCACTGTCATTGGTCCGATCAGTAAATATGCAAAGCATTGAGCTCTCCTGGTCACTCACCAAATGTCGAATTCCTCATGCAGATGCAATTCGTGCATAATTGTCTTATGGCTTATTGTTCTGTACAACCGTGAATAGCTTTGTCGGCTGATTCCCGGCAATATGATATCATGCATCGTGATGTCGATCCGAGGTCTCAAACTTCACGGTTAACTTAAGTAGATCAGGAGTTCTTCTGTTCCTTCGGGTTTCGGGTAACTGCATATGACCTTTTATGCTAAGATGAGCGGTGTATAATCATGCAAAAGACCTCAAAGATCGGGGATCTGAGGTCTTTCCCCCTACTTTCCCACAATTTTCCTCCGAAATTACCTATAACTTGAAATAAGATCTCAATTTCGAATGAATCATGGAGGAGTTTCTCTTAAGTCATGCTGTTCGCCATCAGGCACTTGTCAGGAAATTTGTACCCCATAAACAAGGGGCAGATAAGAAAGAGTCAAGCACCAATATCGTCGTGGCTACTCGGATCAGACCCATGTTGGAGAATGAGATCTCATCAGGACAAGTTATTGCTACTTTCCCCCGGCGTACGGCAAATGGCGTAATGGGGTCTGCCGTCGCTGAATGTCAGTCTAAATCCTAGGTGTAGGATTGCTGTAGCTAACTTCTTTCAGTCCTCTTCGTTCAAGGTCGATTGAGCGTTTGGTGCAGAAAGCACTGCTGACGTGATCTATAAAGACTTAGTGCAACCACTTCTTCCCTTCGCGTGGGAAGGCAATGTGGCAACCTTATTCGCACACGGACAGACTGGATCTGGAAAGACTTTCACTATCAATGGGTTAAAGCGGCATATTGCCCAATCTTTGTTCGATGGAACATTGTCTGGAAAGCGAGGGTTGCATATTACTATCTTTGAACTTGTAGGCAATTCGGCATTCGGTAGGATAAGTTGGATATCACAAGGCCTGGACTGACTTCTTTAGATCTGCTCAACGACCGCGCTCCTTTCGCTATATTGGAAGACTCGTTCGGCAACACTCAAATTTCTAGCGCAAGAACGCAGTGTTGGAAGCACGACCGAGCTCTTGCAATTAATCGAATATGCATCGACTTTCCGACAGAACGTCAGTACGGAGAAGAATGATGTATCTTCGCGCACATATGAAATATGTCGGATGAGAATAGAGAATTTAGCAGCCGGGGTGATCAATGATGGAATACTGTACCTTGTCGACCTGGCCGGATCTGAGGTAGCCCGCGATATGGCCCAGCATACTACCGACCGAGTGAAAGAGACACACGAGATCAACATGAGCCTCTCTGTTCTCAATGATTGCATTCGTGGATTGGCTGATATCAGTGCTGCGCCGGGGGAAACATCAAAGCGATATATTCCCTTTCGACGGAGCATGCTGACAAAGTTACTTAAGCACCTGTCCGATCCTGTCGATGGTCGCGATTGTCGCACTGTCATGCTAGCTTGTGTCAATCCTAGCTTCTTGGACACGGGCGCGACCAAGAACACTCTTCGATATGTAGAGCTGCTTTGATCGGTTCCGCCAAGACAAAATAAGCGGGATCTAATCCGGCAGTGCCGATGTCATGGAGCAACAAGGATCTTCGAAATTACATCACAAAAAAGGTATGTCTCACCCCAGGAACACAGAGCACAAGAGCTTATCTATACCAGTCTGGGGATCCACCGATGGCCTTTGCTATCCTTGCACCTTATGAATCAGGTACTGAGATCTTAAGACTTCCTGTAAACGAGCTTGTCGAACGCTGTCTCTAGATGGAGTGACAGAGGAACAAGCCAAGGCTTTTCATGCTAAGATGTGGAGTCTGCACGTGGAATCCCAGCGCGTTTCGAAAGCGAAGGAAATTCCCTCTATCTCTCTCTGCAAAGACCCAGCTTCCTCAAAGTACTTATCGAGTAAAGCCATCACAGTAAGCGGAGATACCCGCTCTTACACCGAGCGTATCAGACCAGGAATGGTGGGTTGTTGGACTCCACCTGTGGACCTCCCTTTCCGCTCTGATAAAAACCTGGCTCTCATACTGAGTCCAATATTGCATGATATGCGGGGCAATCCTGACCAGACGCTCCAGGGGCAACATACAGTGCGGGGAGAGGACAGCTTCCACTCGGAGCTATATCTGCGCTCTGTTTCTACCATGCGAACTGGCTAGTGCATACGAGATCAATTTGTGGCGTCAGGTAGTGGTAAATGTGGAGGATATGTTAGCAGAAGTCCTGGTAGACTATGATCCTGCTACAAGCTATAATCACTCTACAGAAAGGCATTACCAGCCGACTCAAACAGAGGAGCAAGATTGAGCATATTATAACTATTTGGGACTAGCGTATCGGCTAAAATGAACAACGCTAAACTATATTAGGTTAACAATTCTCAAAGCTTCTGGAAGAATTAAAAGGAAATTACTATGTAAAAGATAATATTTTTTTATTATGAGAATTGGCTTTGCTTTAGCGTTGATAGTTTGAGCTGTTTGTTTCTAGACCTCGGCTGTATTAAACTAGAAATACATGGTTCTTCCCTCTTTCTTTTCTTCCCTTCTACACCTCCCCCACTTCCATTCACCATCATGATGAAGCTCACTCTTTGCCTTTTGGCCATTGTGTCAATGGCTATGGCCCATTTCCATCTGCAGTACCCTGAATCACGTGGTTTTGTTGAAGATACCATGAGCCAATTCCCTTGTGGTGGACTTTCCCAGTCCAGCAACCGTACTCAGCTGCCTCTTTCTGGATCGTTCCCTCTTGCTGTGAAAATGGGCCACAGCCAAACTGCTGTTGAGGTTCTCATCTCTCTTGGTAGCAACCCCGGTGATAACTACAACATCACCCTCGTGCCTACCTTCCAGATTGATGGCCTTGGCGAATTCTGCCTGCCTCACGTTGAGATTACTGAGAAGTTGCTGGGTGCTAATCTGACCAATGGTCTGAATGCCACAATTCAGGTCCAAAGTGATGGAGACCCTACTGGAGGTCTATACGCTGTAGGTCTTTTAACAAATTTGCTTTTGGAGTGTACTGATATTGATGAAATAGTGCGCCGATGTCCAATTTGTTTCTAGTGTCACCTACACCACACCTTCTGCTTGCTCAAACAATACTGGTGTTTCTGCCGTGGCTTTCACTGGAGCTGCGGCATTACGCAATGCCAATGAGTCCACCGCTGATGGCCAAGCCCAGTCCTCTTCAAATTCATCCACTACTTCCACATCTACCTCTACCTCAAAGGGAGCTGGTGTCCCATTGCAGACTGCTGCATGGGGCGTCCTTGGAGCCGCTTTTGCTGGCGGTTTGGCTGTGCTATAAACAAGTCATATCAGGGACTTACAAAAAAGGAATTCATGAGCTCATGCCGTCATCACCGTTCTTCAAGAATCAATAATTATTCTGTCACTAGCAGTAGTTTGACGTCTTTGTTCTCTAATCAATACCTTCTATCTCGTAGCTTATAATAAGAAGGCTTAAAATGACCTGAAGTAATCCAGCAAACTTATTTTCGCACTTCAGCTCCCACTCTTACGGTACTCTACCTTGACCTTAGCTATTCAGTGGCCATTCCTATCATCTCTTCACTGTAAGTTTTAATCCATTTCCCTCTTCATGTCTTTCATTTATATCACTCAGTTTAGCGCATCAGGTTATTTTACCAATTGATCTTACACATACAGCCTTACACGCCTGTATTTTAATTGTAAAAAGTTACCTGAGCACCTGAGATGGAATTTTGCCACATTTTCATATCAATCTACCCAGCGATCTCAATATCATTATCCAGGCCTTTCTCCAAGCAAGTGACGTCATATAAAAGGGTACCAAGATCAACTCGGCACGGAACAACCTTTCCCCTGCGGCTCCGCCATTGATCTAATTCGGGACAATGGAGGCATAAGTCTCCCAGTTAGTCTAATTGGAAGAACACTCCTCAATTCCCCTTAATGTTGTATCGTTATCATATGGGAAGAGGGAGAAATCCAGGTTCGACCCCTGGGCTGGGCATGATTTTTTTTGTATTTTTTCCTTTTTCGTTTTGCATGGCTGGCACGCTGTACGGAGTAAGAATACATCAACATGTCTTTCAATTTGATATAAAGTATTACGGCTTCGAGAGCAACCGTGAGGAGTATTTGAAGTTATTGCAGGGATTTGAAATTGATATGGACGTATTAGTTACTCAAAATAAGATTATGTCATCTATAATCCGATATCAAACTAACTCGGGACGACCTTTCATCAAAAAATGCCGGTTGGTCTAATGGCGTGAGCTCTCTCTCTGAATTGAGCAGAATCAGACGTTATGTTCTACTAGAGAAAGGTCTAGGTCTGAGTCCTCAGCCAAGCTTTGATCTTTTAAAATCACTTTCCCCTATTAGTTGGAAGCCATATATGAGTTAGGCTTGTATTTGATATTATTTCTTTTTTCAATGTATGTTCTGTTGGGTTAAGGCTAAGTATTAGAATGGATGTAGATTTTATTTTTTTTGTCTCTGAATAATTTGTGTATGGGATCAGCAAACACCAACAAACTACTTTCGAGGTCCATTACCTATAAATATGTTTGCCCTCCCTTTTTCTTCTTTCTACCAACACATTACATATCCGGACGTCATCCTTTTGAAGGTCTTGATGTATTCAGAAAATATTTGGAAATTTCTTGTCTTTCTTGGATGACTAGGTAGGCGAAGATGAACCACATCTATGTTATTCTACTTAACTATATAACCTTTATTTTCTTATGGTTCACCCTCTTCTGCTTTCTTGTTTCTTTTGACTCAGTATCTTCTTTTAGTTACTAAGTCTATGAGACTTGGATTTCTTAAAGGATAATATGAATCTGGAAGATGGGCCGAAGCTTAAACAGGTATACGACACCCGCAAGAGTTTTCCAATCTCACAACTACCCAAAGATTTATTGCCTTTCACGACATTCGGTTAAATTTGAAACGTACGTCACTTTCACTTTCACTTTCATTTTCACTTTCACTTCACTAGTATCGAAGAAAATAGAAGATGAAGCACATGATGGGACATCCTGAGGGAATACTAAGTCCTCTCCTGATGATATACCTTCTTCCTTACATGAAGTGGAGGGACCTAATCAAATGACATGACACATTGATGAGACACTAGCCCTAGTCCGTCCTTCAGAGCGTGCGCTCGTCTAAACACACATTTGTTTGACAACATGCATACGTTGCATTGACCATATTCAAAATCAAGAATATTAGTTCACCAAACAGAATGGAGGCGGAACTTGACCATGGCCTGCCAGAATGTCCGCTCGTTTGAACCAAAATTTGAGAGAAAGGATCCAATCGAGAAGAGCTTCGTTCCGGTCGAGAAGAGACTTATTCTGATTGAGAAGAGATTCATCCCAGTCGAGTTGGACGCATCAAGAATCCAAGGCAGCAGAAGGCACTATACCATCATCATTGGATCCTCCTCCCTAGAAAAGAATTGAGAAAACTTCCAAAAATGGCCAAATTGGCAAATTTCAAACCGTTATCCTGTAGCGGCTGTTGCTCGATCAAGTTTCGCAGTTGAAGCTTACGGAATATCGCCAATCGCCGCTATGCGCTGTCTCCAAATTGCAAGCCTTAGTACAAATTTGGATGACAAAACAGAGGTTTCTAATTCTAGCGCGGAAGGCGACAATGGACAAGACCTCCCGATAATTTTAATTTCGACCCCGATGGGTTCGGCTCACTGTGAGACAGGCGAGCTGGAAGATGACTTGTTCCCACGAAACCCAAAGTTAGATGTGAAGAAGCTTCATTCTTTTACTCCCAACGGAGACAATCTTCTACACCAACCTCTGCCGTTCCAGAGGAGAAATCAACTTCAACATTTGAAAAAGGAGCTCCAGGTCACATCTTCTTTGTGTATAAAGAACAAATCAGACACTCTACCAAGATCATGTCTCTTGCCGTTGCTTTGTGAGATGTTGGTTTTAGGATCGAGTTTCCAAGAAGAAACAGAACTGTTTCAAGTGGACCAAGTCTAGCTAGTTATATTGAGAATTACACAAATGATAACGAAGTAATAGTTACACGATAAGTAGGTACACAGCCCTTAGTCAGCCTTGACGTAGTACAAAGTACTTTGTGCTCCACAGATTATAGTTCATAGGAGTTACGCTAGTCCAAATATAGTTAGGAAATATGCTCATTTCTGCTCAAATAAAAATGATAATAAAATATCGAAATGAGAAAATACGAAAATGGTATAGCTGTATTCATCAGGATTAATCATATGATTCATAAAGGTCATCGTAATAATAGCTCAATGGCCATGTTCATTCCAGTGAATGTAGCGTCCAATGGCCAATTCTCCCAAAAAGGCACCGGCTAAGACCGAGCAGAAATATCCAACATTCATAGTCATTACAGCCAGCATCCTAAACAGTGAACAAATTAGTAAACATTGAAGATGACCGAGTTTAGTTGAAAATTGATCCTACAGCAGATATGAGACTCCGATGATCAATGTAAACAAAGCAGCGCGCGGTAAATCCACGCTGAAGCGCCAGGGAATAGGACCATGCGAAACCCTTTGCACAAGTTTGACGGTCTCCTCAACTCCCTGCGCTGTGACCAAAGAAGCCGTTTTGAGAGAATCCGAATCCGAGTCAATCCGTCCAGCTTCTGTGTTTTTTCCGTTGATGGCTATGTAGCGGCGATGGAGGTGGGCGGAGAGCCAGTGGCGCTCAAGAGTAGCCTTGAAAGCAATGAGACCACGGTCAATGATTGCGAGAACTATCAAGAAGATACAAGTTCCCGCATAGCTTCCGGAAGTGGATGGAGCCCAGGCCGAGGAAAAGAGGGGAGTTGTGTGGATGTTTTCGAAGGTCATAGTCATCGAAGTAGATGAAGATGAAGTATCCATGCCAGTCATTGAATCCATGTTGAAGTCTTGAAGAGAGAGTCAACAAGAATGAAATTGAATCAGCGAGAAGACTGAATAAAAACAGGAAGAAAGAAAGCGGAGGAAATAATGAAGGCGGGAGATTGAGCAGATTTCCAAGGCTCAATGCGGGGCCGATTTAGTGAGCACATTCTTGATAAGCAGAATATAATATCCTCTTCCTATCTTTTATCTTTAATCTTCTTCTTCTCTGTCTACATGTTGACTCCAACATCATGTCCATGTCATCAGGTGATATGTCCATGGGCTCCATGTCCATGGGAGATGGCGTCCCAGGTCTTTTCTACATGCAGAAGATGTACTGGGCTGTTGTAGGAAGTGCCATCGCTGCAGCCACAGTCGTGAATGTTATAGATCGATTAATCGCATGGAACAGGTAAGTAAAGCTGTTAAGAATGGGTTATTCAACGCCTAACGAGTCGAAGACTGCGAGATTCATCTTCAACCCCCGCAAAACCTAAAAACATTCTTCTCAACACCTATGCCACACTCACAGCAGCAGTGCGAGAGATCAGCTATGTCACTATCCACCCAATATCGCTGGGCAAATATACCCTGCACTTCCCACCACTGGGACCGGTCTTACTCATTCTCGCCAACATAGTCCTCATTTTGGTCCTCTGTTTCTACAAACTTGACACCGCAGACGTATGGAAATGGGAAGACATTGGCTACCGCACCGGGTTCATCACAATCTGTCAACTCCCACTCATATTCCTCCTAGCTGGTAGGCAGAACATAATCGGCTTCCTCGCCGGAATGAGCTATGCGAGATTGAATTGGTTCCACAGATGGGCCGCTCGCAGTCTTTGGCTGACAGCGACCATTCACATGGGATTCTGGTTCCGCGATTGGGCTCGTTACGACTATATCGTCTACCAGCTGCAGAACGATCCACTATCCAAGAGGGGGTTCATCGCGTGGTGTATCCTGACATTCATCGTGCTCACATCGTCCGCGCCGGTTCGCAGACTCAGCTATGAAATTTTCGTCCTGCAGCATGTGCTCACGTTTGTTGGCTTTATTGTTGCGGTATGGTTTCATGCGCCTCAAGAGGTCAAGCTTTGGGTTTGGATCCCCATTGGACTGGTAGTCTTTGATCGAGTCGCTCGGTATACCTGGGCTGCATATACTAATTTGGCCATCTTCCATCGAAAGACAAGTAATAATATACTTTGGAAGCATGAGGCCTCGTTCGCACCCTTGCCGGGCAATGTCACTCGAGTAACTATCCAGAATCCAAGCGTTCACTGGCAGCCAGGACAACATGTGTTTTTGACATGCCACTCCATCGTCCCGCTCCAAAGCCATCCGTTCACTATCGCTTCATTGCCTAGCGATAATAAAATGGAATTTTTAATTCGCGCCGAAAATGGCGGAACAAGACGCTTCTTCAAGTACGCTTCGAAAAAAGATGGTTTGCTTGGTATCAGCGAAGCTCCTTCGACGCGTGCAAGGGTGGTATTCATCGAAGGACCCTACGGCTCTTTACGTCCACTTCGTCAATTCGATAGCGTTGTCCTCCTTGCCGGTGGTATGGGTGCTACATTCATAATACCACTTCTTCGGGATATTGTATCCGCCTGGAAGGGGGTACAAGGTTCTAAATCTGGACAATTGGCCGCGACGAAGCGTATACGGTTCATATGGGTGATAAAGTCCCGTTCCCAGCTGAGCCTGTTCGAAACCCAAATACAAGGCGTGCTGGAAGACGTGGAGGGATGTCGCCGTACACATCCAGGATTTGACAAGCAGATAGACGTCAGCATCTACATGACCTGCGACGAGAAGTTAGACCCACCGGTTCCAGCCAGGGTAGCGATTCCAGACGAGACGATCACGAATGAGAAGATATTCGAAGAGAAAGACATCATCTCAATCCGTGAAGATATCACATCCACATCCACTGTAGCAGCAACAGGGAAATGCTGCGCTCCTGGCGGAGGATGCTGCTGCACGAAGGAGATCAGAAACGAAGACGAGATTGAATCCAGCAGGGTATGTAACTGCTCTGGTCCAGCGGTACCAAACACAACCGAGACAAAACCTCCTATATTCCCCAGTCTTACACTTCTATCGGGCCGTCCTCACCCACGCACAATTATACAAAAGGTGCTGGAGCAGGCAGAAGGGGAAAGTGCAGTCGTTGTCTGCGGCCCTCGCGGATTGGGTGACGATGTCCGCCGCAGTGTGGTGAGTCTCAGTGATGAGAGAGCGGTGCACAAAGGGACCGGAGCACAAGGAATATACTTGCATGTCGAGAATTTTGGCCTCTAAGGTGATATTTGTCAGGTGCCAGTTGCATCAGATCTCAATTTATTATATAATATGGAAAATCTTATGAGACCAAGATACAAATCAGTATAAGAACGAGTACATTCCATGTAGATTACGTACTGAAATACCGGAATTCTTAAAATTACCGCATAAGAAACAAATTCAAAACCAATCCTGATTGAGTCCCCGCGCATGACATCATGCCGCGTATCCAAAAATGCTTCACATCATCAAACCTCAAACATCACTTCACTACCAACTCAACTCAACTCAAACCAACCCCTACAATTCCCCCCAAACCCTCAAAATGTTCCGCTTCGTATGTCCTCACCCCATCATTATCGCAAAATGCATCGAACTAACAACAGCAGAGCAAAACCCTCGACCCAATAACCCTCTTCCACGCCCCAAAGCTAGCAAGCAGCACACGGGTGTTAAACATCCTAAAAACTGCCTCGATCAACGCATCGGAAACAGCAACAGAAGACCAAGCAAGCGACCACTCAGCACATGCGAGACAACAGCGCGGAGACTTCGAGCTAGAGGTCACCACTGACGCTCCGACAGCTGATCAGCTGCGCAGTATCCTTGATTACATCTCGCCTGTTAGCGGTGTCGGTGGACAGGGCGAGAAGACCGTTTACGGCGTTGCTGAGTTGGTTAAGGGGGCCAAGGATGCTAAGGATGCTTTGAGATTGTTTAAGGAGGATAATGGTGTTTTCGTTCGTCCTGTTGTATGTTTTTTTTTATCTCCCCCGTGCACTTTTTTGGTGTCTTCTGCTAACTTTATTCCAGACTGTTGACTGGACTAATGGCCGTGCTGTCATTGGCGAGAATGAGTCTGAGATTTTGCGCATGGTGCGCCGACTGCCCGAAAACTAAGGGACTAGGAGAATTCCTAAGGCCAAAAGTACCTGCAGCTATGTAGGTCTAGGCCTTTGTATCTGAGAATAACAATCATGCAATGATAAGAGTCGACACATTTCCCAATTGAATATCATTTATAATACGTATTGCGAAATGTAAAGTTGAATAAGATAATGGTCGGACGACACGTCGAGAAAAATATAGAGAATATAGAAACATAAAAGGATAAGTGCGATTAAACTCATACATACGCATAATACATACATATGCGTGATGCAAATGCCAAGAACAACCAAGATCCAGCTTGGAGTTCGAGGTTAGAACAGAAGATAGCAGCTAGAAAATCGTTCCAAAGCTGCCATCTGTTGCGATCGGTTTGCGGGGGGAGGTACTGCGTCCGGTGCTGTCCACGGCAGGTTTCCGATGGCTAGACGAAAGGTTAGTTATTATGTATCAGAGCGAAAGAGTATGAATGAAACGAACCGGAAGGTAAATCCTACGAACAAGCCCTTGTTCATCTTGTCGTCGCGGTCGGCCATATCCTCCAGCGCACGCTGCTTATCATGAACCTCCTTGTACTTCGCCATATCAGCCTCGTTGCTAAAGTCATCAAAGTACCCAGCATCAGTCTCCGAATCAAGCTCCGGCACGAATGGTGCTCGCTGTTCGCGAAGCTGATTGAAATCGACCTCAGCGAAATAGTCGTGTGCATGGATCTGCTTGATGTTCGCAAAACGCTGTTCTTTAGCCGCAACCAGTTTGGTGATGAGATCCCACGTCCGGCGGGACAAGAAGTAATTCGGGTCTTCATATACCGGCTTGCGCAGAATTTTCTGCCAGCGCTTCAGGTTCTGCCATGTCTCATCCACAGTGGCACCGGCAAAGGGAGGGTAGCCTGCCAGTGCCTCGAACAGCATGCAGCCCAGACTCCAGTAATCTACAGTAAAGTCGTACTGTTCACCCTTCAGAACCTCAGGCGCCATGTAATCGGGGGATCCGACAATCGACTTGGCATAGTTCACCTCACGCTCTCGCAGCGATTGATAACCCTGTCTTCGCTCCGCCATTGTTCTGTGTTCCATCGGCCGACCGAATGGAACGGATGTGGCGCCGACTTCCTCCAACTTTACACGCATGGACTCAATCTTGCCCGGACTCAACATACCAGCCGCCAGTCCAAAGTCGGTCAACTTAACATGTCCTGTCGAGTCAATCAGGAAATTCTCAGGCTTGAGATCCCGATGGATGTAGCCGAGGAGGTGAAGAGCATCGATGCAATTGAACATTTCAGCAATATAGAAGCGTGCATGGCGATTGTGAAGAACACCCGTGTTGTTCAGCAGCGTCCGGAAGTCTCCACCAGGCACATATTCCATAGCCAGGTAGATCTGAGTATCATCCTGGAACGCATACAGCAGCCTAACAAGCCACTCACTCTTGGCAGCAGTCAAAATATCGCGCTCTGTCAAAATATGGCGGATCTCGTCCAACTTGAACAAGAGCTTCTTGCTCATGACCTTTAATGCGCAAACCTCGCGCGTATCCTTTTTCTGTGCCAGGTATACCTGTCCATATCCACCCTGGCCCACCTGTGTCAGAATCTGGAAGTCATGTTGACGAAGACGTGTGCGACGCTTGCGTAAGTTTGCGCGCTCACGACCAAGATATTTCAGAAGCGCAGGTTCGTACTCCTCGGTAGGAGTGGCAGGAGGTTCGGGATATGCGGCTTTGAACTGCGAGTGACGAGTTTGGCGGTTGTGGACGTAGCTTAGGAGGTCAAAGTAATGATCGAGAAAATCTGTGCATGGTCTGGTCAGCTTCTATTTTTATTTTTATTTTTCAACATTACTTTTTGTAGGAAACTCTCATTCATAACATACACAGTTGGGTGACGTTTGTCAGGCGTTTCACACGTGGTTGTTGCAATTTTTCCATTTCCTCCGGCGTCAGCCCACGGAGCTGAACCTGACGCTTTGAGGTGTCGACATCCCGCTGTTGATATGGCTCGTGGCGTGAAAGGGCAGCGGCTGTTGGCCTCGGACCCAGGTCTCTTGGAATACGAGTAGAATTGGGGGGAGTATTCTCCTTGTTAGATTTACGCGTCGGACTCGTTGGGCGCTGGTGAATGACGCTCTCGTTGAAATCTTCGAAGTGGTTTTTATCCGTAAACATAGGATGGTTAAAAAGATTGTGAGTGGATTTAGATGGCGTAGTAGGTGTCAGCTTCATGGCTTTATCGAAGACATTGGGCAAATCGAATGCGCCGGGGGCATCCGGTTCTTGCTGGGACTACCCTGAGGGGTGTCCGGGGGACTTGTGAACCCATTGGCGGAGGGGGTGGAGGGATCAAAGTTCTCATTTCCGGAGCGAGTATGGAGTAGAGGAGGTAGATTGGGTAAATGTAGACCCCGATCATCGATATTGATCGCCATGATGAGTTTGGCTTGGACGGGTGAAGGTTGGAGGTATGGGTGAAGGAGTGTTGGAGTTGTAGAGTTGGAGGTTGGAGGGGCTTAGTCCCCCTTGATAAGGAGCTGAACTAAAAACTTTAAAACCAAATTGGAAACAAACGAGAAAAGAAAGGAAGGAGTGAATAATTAAATAAAACCAATCTGTTTCAACAGATTAAAGGGTTTTCAAGCTTTCAAGTTTTGAACTTCAACTTGATCGATATTGAATTTATTTCTTCTCTCTTTGCTGTTACCATGGCAACTCACCCCACTTCCATACAACTTTTTCCAATGTTCCAGGGATATTCCAAGGATCTTCCTCCACTTCCAGGTTCGTTGAATTTCATTGTACCTGAATCCGATCCACTTAGATCGTGCCTTGAGAAATTAAAATATGGCCCCATTTGATGAGATACCGAATTAACCCTAGACTAGTGATTTTAGTTCGGAGCTACGGACTGTTCTCTCGGTGATTATTCCTTGTAGCTAGTGACAAGTATCCGTAGGTACGGTATATATAATAGTCCTTTGTTTGTCAGTATGGCAGAATCATGACTGTGAATTCATTCTATCTGGAAACAGAGTATAGAGTCTAACTTCAAGAAATGAATGGTGGACCTACACGGCGAGTGCTCTATCTTTGAAATAAGTTGAATAATTACGGAGTACGAGAGGTCGCAAGTTTAGAGAAAGATATAATACGGGATGTATACAAACTACCGCATTGGGCATGTGGAGGGTTTCAATCCATGGATATTTACTTTACGGAGTACCACCTCTCCGGATCCATATTACTATTATATCCACCTGGGCAGCTTTTCAAGGTTGAAAAATCAGAAACTTGTTTCTTCAGACCTAGCGGTGTGAGGTCCAATTTTTTCCAATATTGCATTCCCACCTGGGCAGGTTATTCCAATGTTCAAATGTTGGCACCAGCCAAATACCAGTTAGCTAGCTAGCTAATTTTCGACTGCCAAATTTCTTCAAACAATACAAACTAATCAATAAAGAAATTTGTGACTCGGTGACGAAGTAGCAACTATCATTGCTAACGATGGAACCGTCAAGCCTACACTCTTACAAGGCGTACAGAGCTACACCGTTCAAGCTCAAGTTAGCGATGGCACCTTATTCGATTGAGATGCTAAAAGCTCGAATCTTACGTCGTAAATAATATTAGTAGTACAGCTTTTCAGCTTTATAGAGTATGGGAACTCGTGAAAATTCTCTCTAGAAAAGACATTTGAATTAAAAGGCAATCTGTACTCTTTTGCTTCTGTCTCGATGCGCAGTATACATATTAGGATGCTCCGCAGAAGGGTCCGACTGCTGCGCAACAAAGCTGCTTCAAATCTGCTTCTGGGGCTTCTGCTGGGCGAGTACCGGTTGCTGCAGGAGTTGAGTAACTCCTTTTAAGTTTGCTGTTTGTCATCTTAAGGCTGAGTAGACAGCGGGTAATGTTTCTTGAAGGTCTGCGACCACCATATGCTCATATAGTGCGAATGGGAATCAGTCGTCAGGCGTGATCGATGCATCGAGAAACCGTGGGCTCTAGTCCTTCTCGCTGCATGTATTGTAAACCTCGGAATTAAAATTTGCCCACGGCTGCACCTTTCCACAAACTCTGCATCGTGCAATACATAAATTTTGTGATAGAGAGCCATATTGAGGGTTATGACACTGATCCTGGCTGTAGTGCGTAGCCTTTGCAATTTCCAAGGGATTGATATTGTATAGAGGAGTTGCATAGTCATCTGTCTGGGGATGATGTGCCCTTTACATAGTCTAACCACTTTTGACCAAATCTCCGAACCACGATATATCAGAGTGTTCATGGCAGTGCTGACATATAATGAGACAATTATTTTAAATATTAGTTAAGCTTAAATTTCCAAAAGCCTTGTGGAGGAAATAGTTTTTGATTATTCAGCTCTAGGTACATCTTCACTCCCATCTGCGTCAATGTCAATGTTGGAGAAATAGCTTTATTTTAATAATGCAGAACAGTTACCCGTACAGTCTGCTGCTATCGTGTAGTCCACCCAGACTTTGCGATTATACGGGCTTTGCCAACTTCTATCATCCACTATGACTTACCAGATCTTACTGGATGTGAAAGCTTATATAGATTTTTGACAGGAGGACCGGGAACCAAGGTAGAATTGACAGTGTATTTTGGCTGCTAGAGACCAAATGATAGCAGCCATGATCGGCTTTTTTCCAGTCTCGCGTAGTATTAGGTCATCTTTAAGTCGGGAATACCGTGAACTGGCTGGGTATTATTTGGGTGGCAGGAAATTCCGTAATTGGGGTGTATAGTAGGTAGGTAAAAAGACAGGACGCTCGGAAGGTTGAGTCGACCACGAAGCGGGCTTCTGTGTAAGTGTTGAAGTGGCATCGTGAGATGCAGAAGAAAAACCGCTATAAGCAGTTAGTTGTCACCGATAATTTTCATCTACGATGGGAACAATGAGTGATTTACCATTTTGGGAGAATCCGTGTGAGCGACTCGTTGTCTCCACTCTATGATGCCTTTCTAAGTAAAAGAGTAGATGGAAGAAAAAAGGTATATGCACTAGGAAGCCGTATTATATAAAAGAGATACCTAGTTTATAAGAAGGTAAGAGTGAAAGTGAAAGTGAGATTTGAGAATGACCTCGCAGAGATGACTTATAAGGCCTCATTTGGTGGTGAAGAGTTTACAATGATAGATCTGGAGTATTAGTCAAAATCACTATGATCGTGATGGATCACCTGGGAGGGAGGACTATGTAGATGGGATCATGACTTCGTTCATTGGAAAAAAAAGTATATTTACAAAGAGAAGAATCGAGGAGAAAGAGCTATTATACAGATTCTCGATTGAACCGAATAGGCACAGACGATTCAGAACTAGAAGGGATATGTGACATGTCCATTTCACTCGCCCGGTTATTCGAACTCCATTTCGAACCCGGCATCGAAGAAATGTTTTCCTCGCGCATCTCATGAGCCTCAATAGTAGGCGGATCTTTGCGAATCACAGCGAGAAGAGTATTGAGTACCATGAACTCCATTTTCAACTTCAGCGCATAGACAACGGGTTTGTAGGTCGTTTGAACGGGGAAGTGGTTCGTAAACTCGACGACCAAAAGTGATGCATCGAGTAAAATGGCAATTATGTTGACGAGAATAACGTTCCGGATGACTCTCTGGCCACACGAGCCCTTCAGAATAAGAACAGGTCTCAGTTCCGTGAGTGTTTCCCAGATGTATAGGGCACTGATAATAGTCTCCTGGACCGTGAAGGCAGTTAACTGAAAACGCTCGTAGATATTAAACGGCTTGACAAAGCTCTTAACACCCAGATTGCTCCCGAAGAATAATATCGTGGTTGGGATATGCAGGGCGCAGAAGTTGAACACGATCATGTACAGTATCCAGCGGTAGTCGCGATCCACAGTTGTCACGAGGTGGAGTCGTGAATAGAGCACAACAGACTGGCCAGTGACCATGGCGTACCACCCGATACAAATTAAAACGCACATGGGGATGTTCGGGGCGAGCGAGAAATAGCGAAGGAATGCACAGAGGGTGTGGAGGATGATTCCCATGGCGGAGATCAACATGCTCCAGAAGTATAGGCCATTTCGCCGACGAAAGGTCGTGAATATCAAGAAGATGATTTCCAGTCCCATGAAGATAGCTAGGGAGAAGAGGCCTGCTATGACCATGGCCAGAGTCTTGGTTGCTTCGATCGGGCCGGTTTCCCCAGCCATGGCGAAGATCGTCAAGACTTAGAATATGCAGCTTGCGGGCAAGACATTGACTGAGATTTTCTGACCAACCCAGGTCATCGACGGCGATTAGGCATGACAAGGATGAAGATGAAGAAAAGGGATTCAGTCCTGGGGATGAACCGAAAGCCAAGAGCAGTTCTTTCCCTAATAAGAGCCGAGCTCCCATTAGAGTTTAGACATGTCTCCGCTGTACACTTCACTCAGTATTCCGCATTCCACCTAACATCTCTTGGCTCCACAATTCATTGGTGAGAATTATCCATGACGATTAGATTTTTATATTGCCACAATCATTTATTTCGGTTGTTTCGTCCGGCGGGCCAAACATGCGCCAATCGATAAGGAGGAACCCCTAGAAACACTGGAAACCCTATATTGATTAACATAAAAGAGAAGGGAGTGACATTTCTACTATTGGCACTTGAAGCTAAGAACACCGCCTCAGAAGGCTAGCTCTTGGGAAGACTAGTTCCTCTTGGGTGTTCTTCGGCAAAAAAAAATATAAAGGGGTCTCAATGACTAGCGTGCAATCAAGAATACGAGAAGCTGTCACCCGGTATCCAATAGAGCCTTCATTTGTGTAATATGTTACTTAGTAAGCAATGGCTTAGTCACTGCGAAAGTGCGAGTTGTTAACGGAATGAAAATCCGATCTACAGTACTTCCGAAGCGACTTTCTGTGCACGGCCGGATGCACCGGCGATCATCAATGCACCGCTGCTCAGGACGAATCACAATTTACTGCTTGCTTTGTGATAACATATGACTGGTTCGTGGAGAAATTAGACATGAAGACGGCTGTGACGATGGGTTAATGTTTGCGGAGTGTTGCTATGGCTGATTATGGCTGCGGATGAAAGTCGCTGTGGCTTTAGTGACGGGAAATGCTGCTTCAGGGCATGAAGAGATACTCAACGACCGAAAGCTGAAAAACAGCCAATGTTGAAATATTAATCGCGTTGGGCCTAGATTTGTGACAAACACAGTTAGATAAATAATCTTAGAGAATTATCATCGAAAGTCACTGGAAATTGTTCTCGAAACGCCGCGCTAGACTGCAATGATTTGCAGTGGACAGGTTATAACACAAGGTAGGAAGTAGTGGAGCAGATCCAGTTTTCGTTAGTCATTAGTCGAGAAGAGTCTGGGGAGAAAGACTCAGTTTCCTCAATGCTTGATATACATGCGAAATAGCAAGTTGAGATGGCCCAAGAATGGATCAGTAGATAGAATCAGCCTAGAAAGACTAATGTATGTGTATTCGTTAGCATGAAACTGATCAACATCATAGATAATGCTTACCTTCCCATTTCCACTCTCCCATGACATTCACCCAATGTAACCTACTTCGTACAGTTCGTTCAAACTGAATGTTCTCTAGCGGAGACAGAGCAGAGCCCCTCCTTATTGAAACAGAATTGGCTGCAATTGACCTCGATCGCCCGCGGCTAGATATTTCCTGCTCGTTGTGATTTGGACGACTACTGAATCCCCTCGAGTTTCCACTATTTGGTGGATGGAATGTGGAGCTCGATTTGTTCTTGTTCTCGCCTGAAAAGGGGCTAGAACGCCGATTGCCAGCCAAGTCCTGCTCCTGCTGCGCCTTGAGCGCGTCGCGTCGAGACCAAACTTCCCGCACAACGTCCAGACAGCGATCGATGCCTCCTAGCATGAGACGAGACTGGACGGTTGACCATCGTTCCATCACCCACTTGCGGTCATCTTCCATGTCAACTTCACACCCAGCTGCCAGAAGAGGGAACCTCTGGATAATGGTAGTTCGCGAGGTTGATGGTACTGTTGCCAACAGAATCAATACCCGTTTTGCCAATTCCACAGCAGACTCAGAGGGCATCTCTGGAACAGCTTGATGTAGATACAATAGGGTGGCCCAACGATATGCGTAAGCCACTTGAATACTGTGCTGAACCTCGGAGGTGGGATCTTCAGGGGGCTCAAACCAATGAGGTGGCTCCCACTGCTCCACAAGCGACTTGAGTTCCATGGCCTGAGATACAGTTGAGACAGAATTAGAGGTAGTTTTCCGCGCTCGCTGCACGAGTCTGGCAACGCGACCAATCAGTGGAAAAAGGGTAGTCGCACTTCCCATCAATGGATCAATCTCATGGACCGCATCGTCTGGGAGTTGAAATATAGCTGGATTAATGTCTGGAGTATCTGAATCATCCAGAGAGGTAAGCCGAGCCATAACATCCATATATGTCCAGGTGTTGTAGAGAAATCGAATGCAATCCAAGTCCTCCTCGCCCATGCCACCCTGAAGCCCGACATTGACGACCTGGAACATTAAAGACTTGGCGCCGCGCAGGTGTTGAATACAGGTGCGAGTATTCTGATTCCACGTATCAGCAAAAGCCAGTGCGATGCTAGTGGCCAAGGCAGTGACGGGCCGCATAGTCTGCCAATTTCGTCGCAATAGAGTGATACTTTGACGCATGTGCTTCACACCCTGGACTCGTAGAGAAGGGTTCTCCTTCATCGAGTGGAATGCTGATAGTGCGCGTAGAGCGTGTTGAAGGGCAGGAGTATCTTTAGCAAGTGGCCAGATCAAATTGCGCCATGGGTTTTCTGTCAACCCATCCTTTATCGATAAAATACCGCAAGTAAGCTTATCGAATCGCAGCGCCAGCATCTCCTGGCTTTCGGGTGCCAGAGAAGGCTGACCAGGAAGTCGTGATAGATCAAAGGCGTTATTATGAGGAGAGGAGAAGCCCCAGGGTCCAGAGTTTAAATTTGAACTTGAAAGTGAGTTCTGATTGGAGTTATATCGTCGAGTAATCTCTTCGATGCTTTCACTTTCATTGTCGAGTAACTGAGAGAAGTTCATTTCAGACGGAGGAGGGCGATATGAATTAGAAACAAGGGGCATTGGAATACGAACAGAACCACAGTCCAGCTCCGAGTCAGAAATTACTCCATGAAGTAATGATGTAGATTGCTGAGAAGGCTCAGGATATGAAAGAAAGTTCATAGAGTCAAAGTCAAGAGAGTGAGAAACTGCTATCCGTGAGACCGGATCCTCGCTGGAGGTAGACAATTCTGAGATGATAGGAAAGTCATCGAGAGAATGAGTATCACCAGAAAGATAGCTCTTTATACTTGCAGGAGAGCTATGGCTATATAGTGATGATTCTGGGGGAGTTACGCCCGATATTCTAGCATACGCTCGAGTCGGCGAAGTAGTCTGCCCTGAGGTCGAAGGAATTGAGATACTCTCGGATATCGTTGTTGAGATTGGAGAATCATGAGTATTTTTTACTTGATTTCATTAGCAAAAACAATATACCCAGGTAACTGTGCGATCTTTGTATACATACTTTTTTTAGGCTTGGCAGTTGGAGGTCGCCCAGCACTTAAGTTGGTTTCCTCAAATGGCCGCCATTTGAAATCCCTTTTATATCCACCACACGTCACCTTCCGCCGTTCACACTGATGGCAAGAGGGCTTTGTTTCATCGCACTTCAACCTCTTTGCTTTACAGGTTATACAACCTGAACGAGCGTGTAAATTGGGTTAGCGCTGTGTACAGATAACGCTGGGCTTCAAAGTTGAAGCCTTCAACATATTTTAAGAAAAAGCTCATACCATTGCGACTTTTTGTCTGCTTGGGCTTCTGGGTGGCATTCTGCACCTTTTTTGGCGATGAATGCTTTTCCCGCGGCGTTGCTGCCGGAAATGAGTCTGGCGAGTCAAGAACCGTGGACGAGGGAATAATCTTTTCCATCCCAGTTCAACCACATTAATTATACATCAAAAGGAGGATGTACAAAAGGAAAAGGAAACAGAAGATCGGGAAACTAAGCGGAAAACAAGTGATAGACCAAAGGGGGGGGGGGGGGGGGGGGGAATAAGATAAGACGGGCAACTTGCAGCGAATAAGCAAGAGATAGGGCAAGTTAGCAGTGATAAGCGTATGCGGGGATGCCAATCTTGGGATCTTGAATTTTGGAGATTCCGAACGTCCGTCTGAGGGGGGGGCACGGATCTCGGCTGAGAATACCGTTTCCGTAAAGATTGTATTGGAAATTAGCAATTCAGCATCATTGCTGGAATCACTGAATCTGAACGAGAAAGGTTATTTTCACCAGATTATTTGATACAAGAAGATAAAAGGGAGTCATACTAGTCACATCCGATCAAACAGGGATTAGAGAACATGTGTCTTTTCTGTGGTACTTCTAGTGCAAGAAATCGTCGATTGATGCAGTGTCTGCAGGAATATGCAAGATGTACGGATTACTCTATGCTTAGTATAGGATATTGAGATCGGACGAGAGATATCAAGGTCACGGGATCGGATGGCTACCGTGAGGGGAAAAGGCACAGGACTTGCTCTTTACTCTTCGGCGATTTCTCGAACCGAGCCCTAATATCAAAACATACTAGTAAATATTGCTTTGTCAGGTTTAACAACTACAAGCTTTCGTAGATGTATTGCTCTACTAACTCAGATTTTCCTAGATTAATCCATATGTCGAATATACTCTAAGACCTATCTATTCTTAACAAAATATGCCGACATTACTGTACCTAGGTAAATAACCTATGGCTTCAATACCACATGAGGTCCCCAACCCGTGAGCTTCGCCGCCTCCTCGAGAGCTACATCAATCGACTCCAATCCAAATTCTTTCGCCTGGTGTACTCCTATTTTCTTTCCTAGGGACAACAAACCCGATTCAATCATTTTGATCAGCTGTATGATATGTCGCCGCTCATACATAAACCGCCCTTGAATCCGAAGACTTCGAAACATCACATCCAGATAGTTCAGTTCAATATTACCTCCCATACCCCCCATAATGACACACCGTCCAAACGGTCGCAGTGCGCCGATGGCCGATGTCAACAATGAGCTTCCTTGTGCAGCTGGAGGAGAGAAATCGATATATGCATCTGCCCCGTCCGCCGCGGCTTTAAGCATTTCTGTATTTTGAGCTACATTCTCGTTGAGAGCCACTAATTTCAGTCGACCGGTGTGGCCATGCACCTCATCCAGAGCCTTTAGTGCAGTTTTATTACGACCAGCGGCGACCACAGTCGCACCCATAGCGAGAGCCACTGCAACTGCAGCACCTCCGTATCGACCGGTAGCAGGGGCTACGATAACCAATTCACCCGGTTTGAGGTCGATATCAGACAATCCACCGAATGGGACGAGGCAAACCGGCATCATTGCAAGGTCTGAAAGAGTAAACTTGTATTTGTCGAGGAGAATGGCTTCGTTGAGGCGATATAGATTCTCTAGTGGGAACCGTGTATACTCGGCATAAGTCGCATGGCGCCATTCCCCATCCATCAATTTTTGAGCAGCCGGGTATCCACCGCCATGAATGCCAAATAGAATGGAAACGGACGGGTCATCGCGTGCACGAATTGTAATATCACAAAATACAAGGTCGCCGTTTTTGAGATGAACGGAGTCGGGACCGACTTCTTCGATCCGACCGATAGCTGTGTTGCCTGGTGTCATTGGGAGGGATAGAGGGTATGGTCGAGAGCCATTGAGGACTTCACCCATGTATGGCACGATATCTGCAACGAGGATTCGAACGACTGCTTCTCCTGCCTTTGCCACTGGTCGAGCTAGGGTTTCTAGAACCATTGGCTTATCGTGAGCATATAAAGTAAGAGCTCTGTGAGTTGCCATTATGAAGAAATAATGATAGAATTTCTGATTTGGGAAGGTGCCTATGCTTGGAGATTAATTCCAAGTCAATTTCCATTCATCTCGAAGTGATATTTATAAGTAGATGGATTTCTATAGCAGTTCTAATAGCCGGCTTAAGTCCGATGATTTCTAAGGCTCCTAATATCCGGCTTATATCCGAATATCCAGACAACTATATTACCTGGTTAGCTACAAAACAGATTAATTACATGCTACCCATATCTGGATTAACGGATCACATGATTAGGGTTTGAAACAGCTTCGCTATATATTCGACATGGAAGGCAAAAGCGGTCACTCCTGTACTATATCGGCTGGAAAAAAACGAGCGTGCTTTTTTTTGGCTGGGTCATGGATTATTGAAAGAGTATCTAAAGAGCAAGAGCAAGAGCAAGAGCTATTATACCACTTCTAAGAGAGAAAAATAATCGAGAGCGAGCGACTTTGAAGATTTGATTTCAGCATGGTAAGGGGGAGGATAGAACGTCGATTGATCAGCACATTGTTGTTCCTGGAGAATTTGTACTGTATTATGGTATCCTCTCCGATAAGCAGCCTGAAGTGCATTTTCATAGAATCTATTCTGGTCATTGACATCGGCTCCTCGCTCTAGCAGCATCTGTGCGACCTTGTCATGTCTTTTAGCACAAGCAGCGCGGAGGGCACTTCCGTAGACTCCACTCTGGGCGTTGATATTTGCTCCTTGCTTTAGCAGCATCTGTGCGATTCTTCATATCATTTAGGACAAACAGCGTAGAGGGCATTTCCGAATTCTCCACCCTGGTTGTTAAAATCGGCTCCTCGCCCTAGCAGCAACCGTGCGATCTTGTTGTATCCTTTAGAAGCAATGCAAAGGGCATTTCCAAATCCTCCACCCTGGGCGTTGATATTAGCTCCTCACTTTAGTAGCATCTGTGCAGTCTTGTCGACGCGTGACTTGAAGGTTGAACTCGTCGATTCGAGGCTAGTTTAATTCGATCTTATTTTCTTGGCTTATCAAAACTTGCTTTAATGATGTCAGCAAAAATTATATCCAAGTGAAACAAGGGCCTTCGTGCCTTCGCATCGGAAGTTCAGGGGTTCGCTCAACCGCCGAACTTCAGGTACTTAGATAAAAGTCATTCCAATTTTTCTTCCAAACACCAGTAAATTCACCAAGTGGAAATATAGAATCACATATATCATTTCCTCCGTCCTCGACGAGAAGGTAGACAGTGACGATCTCCGAAGAAATGAATCCCTCTCCAAATCAAGATGGCGCGACTGACTTGGACTTTGAGAAGGTTGGTTCAAAACAAAGAGTTCCAGAATAGAAGAAAAGTGAAGCACCTGATGGTGGATTTTTGGCCTGGACTGTGGTGTTAGGATCGTGGTGTGTGCTATTTTGTAGCTTTGGATGGATCAACAGTAAGATTAAGGAACTTAAGGAACCTTGGAAGAGAATTCTATGAATATTAACTTTGACCCTAGGTATTGTTGTCTTTCAAGACTACTACAAATCGAGGCTATTAAGCGGTTACTAGGCGAGTACAATTGCCTGGATTTTTTCTTTGCAAATATTCTTTATGTATTGCATGGTGAGGTTTTGCGTGTATCATTGACTGTTCTTTTGGTCTCCGTGCTGATTCCTTCGTCTATTAGGGGCCAGTGTCTGGATATTTATACGACAACCATGGGCCTCACTACTCGATTCTACTGGGAACTTTTCTTCACGTCTATGGTTTAATGATGTGTTCAATCTCTACGAAGTACTATCAGGTCCTGCTTTCGCAAGGTGTATGCAGTGCTATTGGGGTATCGATTATTTTCCAACCGGGTAAGTGAACTTCACTTGGGGAATTTCCCTTTCCCTATAAATTTTATGCATGAGGGGATTATCCAAAAGAAATCAATCACGCTAGCGAGTAGTGTGATTCCAGGATGGTTTGCGAAGAAACGCGGAACAGCATATGGCATCATGTCTAGCGGATCAAGCATTGGGGGTATAATTTTTCCTATCATGATACAACGATTGATTACAGAGATAGATTTTCGTGGGCGATGCGTGTTGGAGCGTTTTTGATCTTATTTCTGCTGATCATCGCCAATATAACAATCCGGTCCCGAATACCCCCGTCCCCTCGACCACTGTCGCTGAGTGCATTGGTACAGCCGCTACGCGAGACAAAATGCTACTAGTTACCGCAGGGTTTACCCTACTTTCCTTTGGAATGTGTATTCCCATTGATGACTTGGTTGTCGAAGGACTGTTTGATGGTATGAGTGCCAACCTAGCTCAGTACTTACCAGCAATCATGAATGTCGGGAGGTAGGCGTGGAAATCCCCAATCCTTGACCTTCAAGACACTCGCAGGCTGAATATATATAGCTTCTTTGGATGCCTCAGTTCTGGGATCATTTCCGATCATATTGGAACTTATAACGTCTTCACCATAGTTTGCTGTCTAGCTGGGATCTTGGTTCTTGCCCTATGGATTCCTACCACTAGCGCTGCAGGCATCATTGTATTTTGTATTCTCTTCGGATACTCTTCTGGTGCATATGTCTCACTGGCAGCAGCTCTGGTGGTCAAGATCTCACCATTCCCACAAATTGGATACCGAATTGGCTTGATTTTCCTCTTTGCTTCCATCGGCGGGTTGACCACCAACCCCATTGCAGGAGCTCTATTAGCCCATGACAACGGGTCCTATAGTGATATGAAGATATTTTCGGGTGTAATTCTCCTAGTTGGGACGAGCTTGGTTTTTTGTGCTCGGCTGTACAACACGGGGCTGAAATTGATAGCAAAATTCTGATACTCACTTCGCCATTATGCGGAAAATTTGGTGTATCTGTCTCCGTTTTAGTTGAGCTTTTTATTATTCCCTTTATAAATGAGTGAGTTCCTCTCTTCTAAACTTCTCCCTGCCTCTTTTCTTTGTAATATTAATCGATAATATCAACTTAATGAGTACATCTCAATCGTGTGGTTTTGAATGCTTTGATAACGACAAAATAAAAGTACCTGGAGCTAATTTTGGAATTGAATTCATTAATTAATTCCTGAATTATTGCTTCTGTCACGAAATAGTAGGAAATAAGCTGGACGGATCCCAATCTGGAAAACAGTTCGAATCAAGATTCCAACCCATTGTCTCTTCGAGCCCCAAAACACTGCTAGGAACCACCTCCCTTCTGAATTTATTTGATTGAAAGCCGATGTTTTGGGCAATGGCTGAAGAAACCAAAGAGTCAAGGTGAGTAGTGGAACGATTAGAGAAAGAACGCTGGATGTCTAATGCTTTGTCTCGAAGCTTTTGTCATACATTATAATTGGGCCCAGGATTTGGCCAGTTGGGATCCTCTACCAATTCAAAAACCTATCAATTACTTGCCAGGCCCTATCGGCGCGGCGGGCTCCAGGCTGGACACATAGATGCCACAGGGTATATGTCAGTAGGTGATATTGAGTAAAAGTCGAGAAGAGCCATCGAAAATTGCTTAGAAGCTCATCCGTTTTCTGCTCGTTGCCGATATAGATAGTGTCGCATGCCAATAAAAAGTGTCCTTTCGGTGGCTCGTGCAGCTAATTCTTCCGTACTAAGGCCTCGGAGGTATTGCTGGCGAACAAGAAGGTCAATATGTCCTATCTGCGTCTGCCCTAGTAATAGAGCTGCTTTTTGAATAGGGATATTGGAATCACAATATTGTAGGTAGTACTCCTTTATGTGGGCCGTAATATTTCCCAAAAGTTGTTCTAAGCTTGCCATTTTGTCATTCCCATTTAGAACCGCTATAGAAAGCTGAAACACTTGTTGAGCTGCTTGGTTCATCTCTGCAGCCACCAGAAACAGAGTCATTTCTGTCCAGCCTGGTTCTAACACTGGAGCTTTCTCCATTTTTGGAGTAAGGTCTCGGTCGTCCGCATTTAGAGGCAGCTTTGTATCAGAGAAGCCACCGAATTCATTTGTGGACAGAGCATGGTCCTCGCTAGCTCGGGCATCATATCCGATAATCTGACACCATAGCCGACGACGAATCTCGCATTCTAATTGCGGAAGATGGAACTGCTTACCATCACGGTGTAGGCCAATGCACTGCGCCGTTCGAAGAACTATACCGTTCAAGGTCCAGCCAGACCTACCACCGTTTTGATTGCGATGGCATAACTAGTAGCATATAGTTAGCAGGGCATTATAATTCATCTTCAGTAAATAGGCATTTATTTACCAAATAGACATAGCTTGTAACGATGTGATCGTTGGTGAATCCAAAAATTCAGCCATATGTAAGGACACTTCCAATCCCCGCTGAAACCGTTCGAGCACAGATTGTCGGTCCTCTTTAAATATTAACTGGACGGCCTCTGTGCGAAGACTTGTCACAGCCGCGTAATAAATAGAGAATAAAAGGGCGATTTGGTCTGGAGCGACATGCTTTGTGTTGTTGATGGCAGCAAATATGATGGGTTGCGTAGTCGGGATGTGAAGCACTTTGAGCAGAACGTCCACATTATTTAAGTAGCTCTGCCACAGAAAGGTGGCATTTCCCCGAGATGGGAAGAGACTCTGGATGTTTACTGATAGCTGAGGGTTGGAGATGAGGCCATCGAATCCAGCCATTATGGTGGCCCCATCGCTGCTGTTAGTACTTGCCGGAGTGCTTATGGCCAATTGAAGCTCACCGTCCTATTTATAGCAATTATAAGTTCGAAGTCTAGAGGATAAGAGATCAGATAGTTCGAAGAGACAGTGGCTTACTGACTTTCTCTAGGACGCGCGAGAAGAGCAACTCGTTGATATATCGGGTGGAAGTGCCATCTCTCACTAAAACACCTTGTTTCGGCAGCGTGCGATGCGCGGTTGGTACCGGGGTATTACTATGCGCTTCAGGTGGCAATACTGAGGTTGAAGATGATCTGCTCTGTAGATCACGGGAGTCGTTTCGGTTGATCGTCGTGATGGCTCGCTCTAGCATCTCCAGACGGGTTCCAACCCCACCCGAGTGTAGTTTTGTGTTGAGCGGCGCTGAATCCGTCCTAGTCCTGGGTACTGGCATGTAGTATTGGCTCGAAGACATGTCGAGCAGGGCTTAGCCCGGTCGCAACGGACCTTGCGCTCATGGCATCGGAGACACGACCGCTCCACATCGTAACGTCTGACAACCTGTGGCTGTAAATTTTGATCGGTAACATAATAAATATTTATCCAGCTTGGTTGAAGCAGAGGGCAGTTCAAAGGCCTAAATGACCTTAACGCTGTGATGCCGAATTGCCGAACGAGCGAACGAGCGAACAACCGGCAATCCTTGCTAGCAATACAATACAAGGCTGATACCAAATTAGTTAGTTGGATACATCAGACATCAGGAATTTGCCATCTATGCCTCATAAATATGAAAATATCTTACATATTATTTAATTTAGAGCTAGTTGTAGAACGATATGTGCATTACCCTGTTCCAAATTTATACCTATTGCTAGCTTTAAAGTAGTAACTCATCGCCACGTCTCTGCTCTCTGTAAAGGGAAAAGAACATGCAGAATCATACCTAGCAAATATATTTCATGGTTTCATCGAGAGGTTACGTTGTAGGAAGTCATAATAACCTTGAAGCCCCATAGAAAAGGTGACAAGCACATATTCATCCACAAACCGCTCAATCAAGTCCTCTCGATCTTGTACACTGTTTACCATGGTTTCAGCTGGAATGATTCGCTTGAATCCCTCAGGTCCGGTCAACGCATAGAAGGAACCGCTGAAAGCAATGTAACCCACTACAGGATTTATCTCCCACCAGAGGGGATTTACTTTCGCCTCTACAATAGATACTGGGACAGGTATATTTTTGCTGATGACGAAAGTCCTGAAACCAGAACTGTCAAGCAAGCCTCGGTAGCGTACTAGGAACAATTCTTCGCCTTGGTCCAATAGGGAAGTAAGTACTGGGCTCTGAAGAGCAAAAGAACTGGGAAGTATCTCGAGTCCCATGCCGACACCAATGGCTGAATGTGTCAAATGCCAACTATCTCTGAGAGAACGTAAGTGTGTATCTTTGAAAAAAGACACCATCAATTGGTACTTATCACTGGAACTGCTCTTCAGCTGAAACTTTGTAGGAGGGTAATGCTTTGGAAACCCGATGAGCCGGGATGGAACCAATACTTCGTACTCAATTTCCGATCATTTTCAGAAAAAGAAGTATTATCGGAAGGCTGGCTTCGGTGCAATACGGAAGGTTTCTGGGCGCAAACGTGGGAAGGCCTACTACGGCCAAAAGACCATGATGAGTATTGGACTATGCACTTTGAAGACAGTGAGTTGTCTCTATTTTCCATACTGCTTGTACCCACTATATACTAGGGCACGGAGTTTGAACTGTTGCACTCCCCACTGATTTCAACCGCGAGAAACCTCATATACATTTGTTGTTGTATTGTCTAAGATTGCTAACTATGCCGTCAGTGGAGTTCTATGGATTCGAATGGAAGATTGACGAGGCTAAGATTCTCACAAGTCAATCAATGCTCCTTGCTACTGTGTATCATGACAACAATGGCCCTTCTAAACAACAATTCGTGGCGGCGTTGGAAGAGAATGTGACCCACACAGATAACTTCAGCAAAACCCATGGTGTTTCTTGGAGCATCGAGGTCGGTGCAAAAAGTAAGTTTTTTTGCAATTGGTACAAACAAATTGAGCTCTTAGTATTATCTGCTAACGGTATCAGTTAATGTACCGACTGTTGCCGAGGGGTCGGTTGAAATTGAAGCCGGGACTTTGCACAGTTGGACCCGGGGAAGCTCGGACTCGACGACGAAAAAATATACGTTTAATAGTCCAGTTAACGCCGAGCACTGGTGCCGTCAAAAGTCATCTATATCTTTGACAGTGAGAGAGGTAAAGGTTCCGTTCGTTGTCACATACAAGTCGGCTTCCACCGGGCAAAAAGTTCATACTGAAGGCGAATGGAACGGTACGAGGAGCTGGAGTGTGACTCTAATCCATACGTTGGACAAGAGGTATGACGCAAGGTTTTAAGGCTGAAGAAGGGGCCAAAAGGGGAGAATAAAGGGTCTAAAGGTGTTGGTAACTGAAAAAGCCTGGTTAAGGCAGGCAACGAATGATATATGCTTAATTTAAGCTGCTACACGGATCGATTATTTCACAAAGATCATTTTACTGAACTAAGCTGTAGATTCGAGTGCACACGCATACAGCCCAATCCGTCACGGCATCATGATCATCTTTACCGAAAGCATCACCAAGTGCCTGATAGACATGATCAGGAACTTGCAAGGAGGACACTACTTCCTAGGATAGAAATGCCAAAGTATACCAGTTCCAGACCCTAGTTTTCCTCTTTTGCCCCCTATTTCCTGCATATATACGGCATTTTTCTTACTTATTCACTCAGCAGATGACTGATTATAAGATGTGCCGGCTGTACATGCAGCGCTTTTGTTTATGATAGAGAGTAAGTGGAGCTCCAGTCAAAGTAAACATCACATCTTCACTCAACTTGGCTTATTGGTGAAATTGTATGTATAACAAAACTTCAAACCATGAAGGGGTTTATCATGTTAGGATGATTCGGACAGATGGCGCAGAGCGCTCAAGCCATTGTAGATGCTTTCATTCGATCCTGTCATCACTAGCAACCCATCGAAACAACGCATGTCAATTTCTGAAGACACCGCGCATTACTACAGCACCATCACAAATGAGATCAAGACGAGCAAGACTTTGCCTGCATCTTCACTACGCTAAATTTGCCGGAGATGGTCAAGCATTAAATTCTCACTTTGGGGTAGGCTTGCCACGCCGACATGGCTTCCTAGATGAATTCGGAGCTGGTCTCCTTCCAATTAAATATATAAACTGAACACATGTAATTTAATACCATCGATTTCCATAAGTAGTTCATATAATTCATAGTTCATAAGGATAAGTATTAAGAATGCATTCGTCCAAAATAATCAGGACACCTCCTTCATCTTCCCACAAACTGAGCAAGTCCACCATTGTGTCTCCATGAAAGTACCGCAAGAGCAAAGCCATCCCAGGGGCTTCTTACTAACATCTCGATCCAAAGATTTCAACGAGTCCTTGGCACTCAACCGATTGTTGAAAGCAAAAGTCTTGCGAGCCGGAAATTCATCTTTAGTGTCATCTTGAAGAGTGCGCTTCTTCTTTTGCGGAGGCATACTTTCATTCGATGTGGCTCCTTGGCTTAGTTCGGATTTTGCATTGGAGGGAACAGGTCTTTCTGTAGCGCACACATCACAGCACAAGAAGTTGGAGGGATTTTCTAATGTGCATGTCGCACATGTCCATGGAGACGAATAGGAGCTATTATTAGCACGAACTGCTGATTTCGAGGTACTTTCAGGTACTGTTTTTAACGTGTCAAGGTCAATGATTGAATTTGCAGGTGACATGGCAGAAAATTGAGGTCCTGCTGGGTTCTCCTGGCTAGGAGGAATATAAGAAGATCCATATTTCTCCCGTTCCTCTTCTTGGATAAGCTCGATAAAAGCCTGCATGATAGCCTCCTCATTCGCATCGTCCTCTTCCGCCTGCGTTCTGAATCCATTTCTGGATGCCTCCTCGGCGAGAACGTCACCGCTATCTGTGCCAGAAGCACATCCCTGGGTTACCGCAATACGACGTTGGGCAGCATCTGCTCGCACTTTGCGCATGTCCGTTCCGCGGAGAACGGGCGCGCCACCAAGCCGTTTCCCAGAATTTTTGGACAGAACGCGTCGTAGCTCGGCAGCAGCCCGAGCCTGGCGACGAGCTTCATCAATCGGGATTCTGTTCCCACCAAGGCGTTTACCTTGAGATAGGAAGCCTTCACCGGTGTATCCTTTGATGGCAAGTTCTTCATGTTCATCCCGGAGTTGGTTCCATAGTGCATGAAACTCCCGGTGATGTGGGCCATGAACAATATGGCAGAGCCTTGGATTGATTAGTTGTATTTAGACGAATGTGTCAAGAAGTACATACTCATGCAACATCGTGTCCACAACCTCTTCGAAAGGAAGAAACTGCCGTTCATCAGAAGGATACCGTAGTCTGAGACATATCTTTTGGCCGGAATTAACATTTATGCCTAGCAGATTTTTCTGTCCGGGGTAGAACTCGCAAAGGGCTCCCACTCTCCATGAACGCTGGCGCATAATGGGCTTGACTACTGAGGCAACCTTGCGCAGTATAAGGAGTGCCTCTGATTCTCGTGGACGTTTCTTCTCATGTCGGTATTCTAAGATAAGAGTGTCTTGTTCCCGCATTTTCAAAGTGGAAGTGCCTTGCCAAAGATGAGCTCTAGAGCCTTGAAGTAGATGGCGGAGGCTAACTATGGCTTCTTTCTGATAGTCATCCTCCAGGTTTCAACTTCAAATAAGTCTGTTGAGGAGAGAGGTTTCGAGGTGAATTCTAAGGTGGTGTTCATATAATTATAAATGCCCAGAATATCAAAGAAGGCCGAAGACTTAAAGAGAAAGTGAGGCCCATCTTCCATCCGATCACTAATCAAGGCACCGCGAATACTGCCAGGCGGTGAGAATTAGACGCTCCTACGAACTAAATATTATTTAATTGAATAATTAATTAGGGCGAACGTAAAAGAGGGCATATAATTTCTAAATTCGGCCCACACTATGTTCTCGTACATATTCAGATAATACCGAGAATCTGAACCTAGGATCTACTATCTAGGTATAGGTACAGTTTACTACCTTGAGTTAATATACTCTGTAGAATCCATAGAAGTAGTTCTGTGACGGTGTCAAAGGCCCGATTCCATTTACAGTTAGTCTATTTTAGTCAGCATTGGAATCCCACAATGGGATTCCTCCATTCTACAATAGATACACATACACACTTTGGTACGCATACTGCGTTCTCATTTGCCCACTAGAATCCACTATTCCTTGGTAGTCGACCTCCATTTGACAGACGGACGTGCTCACGTGCAACCGATAAGACCCGAGTTATCAGGATAACCTTATCGACTGAGCTTTTCTCTCTTCCAAGATTCTTTGCATCACAGACAAAATGGCAAGCGACGATCAGCAGTTCTTCAACTACGTGAGTGCAGATCATGCAGTGACACCCTGATATTCTATATGGCAAAAGTGCTGACTATTCGCGTCCCAGCTCTCGTCCATTCCCCATGACGTAAGGCGATACTCATTGGAAGTCGCTGATTCAATCGACCGTCAAGTTGACCATGCAGCGGCTGTGCTTCGAACTACTTTATCAGAGCAATCGTGGCTACCAGACCCTCTTCGTCCGTCGATGCCACGCTCTGCGATACGCGCAGCAGCAGTGCCTCAAGGCTTAACCGACCGGGTTCAACACTGGGTGATTCGCAACCGCGCGTGGACGGCGGCCATTCTTGCATTTGTCGGGACTGGATGTGTTCTGCTGTATGGCAATAAGAAGCTGAATGGCAAACGGAGGAAGGCGAGAAAAGCCGGAAATGGGGCTCGCAAAGAGATTGTTGGTATGTCAAGAAACTGCTCGTTAAGTTGTATATCCTAATCCTCGAAATCTAGTTGTTGCTGGATCGCCGCATGAACCTATGACACGTGCTATTGCTGCCGATCTGGAGCGTCGGGGATACATCGTCTATATAACTGTCTCCTCCGCGAACGAAGAACACATTGTCCAGTCCGAGAATCGGGCTGATATCAAAGCGCTTTGGCTGGACCTGACTCTTGTTTGTTCCATCCCTTTAGACTCATAAATTTCGCCTGCTCATAGATCAACTACAGGTATCACACAATCCTTCAGAAATCCACCCTTCGCTGCAAGAACTGCACGGCTTGATTACCCAGCTCCAATACCCCTCACTGGGGATGCCTCCCCATACCTGTCAACTCAGCGGCCTCATAATAGTTCCATCACAAAACTATGCAGCAGGTCCTGTCGCAACCATCACAGCATCCTCATGGGCTGACACAGTCAACACCCGCATCCTCTCACCTATCCTCACAGCACAGATATTCCTACCTCTTTTGACCCTACGCAGCAATGCCAGCACCATCATATTCGCCTACCCGACCATCTCATCATCTTTATCTGCACCTTTTGCTGGCCCCGAAGTCGCAACTGCCAGAGCAATCTCTGGATTCGCAACATCACTCCGACAAGAACTAAGTCTTCTTGAGCGCGCAAATGTCGATGTCGTAGAGCTCCGACTCGGAACCATTGACCTGGGATCGCATTACCGTAATCCCCAGAGCCAAATCACGGGCACAGAAGTCCTGGCTTGGAGTACACAACAACGAGTGCTATATGGCCCGCAGTATTTGTCCAGTATTGAGCAGAGAGCCGTCGCATCCGCAGGCCCTCGTGTTATCCGAGGCTCTCCAGCCTGGAACCTGCACCACACAATCATGGATGCACTGGAACCTGCTTCTCGGAACTTCCTGGGACGAAAGAAACAAAAGCGGGCAGTGATGTATGTAGGCCGAGGTGCTCGATCGTATAATTTTATTGGTACATGGATGCCGAGTGGATTGGTTGGGTTGATGATGGGCTATCGCAATGGACATGCAGGTGGAACAGATAGCTCCAACAGCAGTGAAAACAACTGGGAGCGAGTATGAGTCTATTTTCGCCGATGATAAAAATGTGAATATCCCGCCTCTCCGCTCTCACTTTTGCAGCTAATACTACAAACTGTACATATCTATCTACACTTCTTGCTATCAACGATCCATGAAATGGCGTCCTTGCACATTCAATTCTTCCAATCATAACACATAAGATACATAAATTTGTCAATCGTCTAGACTAGGAGTGTTCTCCTGATGAATCAGGAAACTTTCATCAGTACTTGATTCGTCTGCTGGGCGTGCAATTCAATTTCGGACTCACTTTCTACTTGCGGTTGCGGTTGCGGTTGCGGTTGCGGTTGCTCTTCGTCCGTATCCTGAACGTCCAATTCGAGGATGAATTCGCTCTCTTCGTGAGCTCGCAGAGGGTCCCGCACAGCCCTGTTGATCTTACCATGAACCAGCTTCCGACGCGACCAGATCAAGAAGCGGGAAAACAAGAAACATACCAAGATCGCAGCCAGAATGCCAAAGCAGTACCCAGTCACAAGGCCGCTTTTTGTTCCATGGTGAGGATCTAGGAAGGAGTAAGTGTAGAATCCCTGCGTGTGATAGGTGATATAGACAACGCAAAGATACAACAAGAGCAGGATCAGGATCACAGGAATTGCGATCCATGGATGTGGCGGGGTGGTGGTCAGTAAGATTTCGATCAAAGCGAAAACCGAGTTGAGGGCGTGCTGAGAGATCTATTTTCATCATTGTCATCAGCTTACTCAGATCCTTCATCTTTAAACCCGATAAAGAACACATAAAACAATGTCCAAACAATGTCGAAGTCACTCACGTTATGCCAAGTGGAAAAAGCACTGTCGAAGCCATCGAAGAGAATAGCCCAAAAGATCACTGTGACCAGAAACGGGTATGTAGTGATAGTAGTATACAACAACCCGTGAAGAGCGCGCATAAAACGGGGCCAACGCTTGAAGAGAGCCGAACTACCAGTGATGACATAGCAGGTAGTATGAAGGGCCGAGAACAAAAAATAAAAGCCCAGCCCCCAATAGCTCAACCAGGTGAAGTAGCTGAAGGTCCGACCAATGTAATCCTCCTGATTATGAGTTCCATACCAAGCCCATATGACGATGATGGTAGTGAAGATGTAGAGGGCAATTAAGGCACGCAAAGCGGCCAGTAGAATTGGTGGAAGGAGCCAGGAGGTTTCATAGAAGTGGAGATTATCATCAGTGGGATCGACACCGAATGAGATTGGGCGCATTATGATGTTCGCATATAAATTTGTGGAAACGGAAAAGAGTAGAGGATAAAGTTGATGAAGACGAAAATAGATAATAGATATTATAGAATATAGAATGAAATTAGAAATGAAAACTTAGAAATAGAAATTATAAGAAGAAGAAGAAGAAGAAAAAGTCAAGAAGTGAGTAGGTAGTGAATGTATGTATAGTTAGTATCTATAGAGTCCTATTTCGGCGAATATGTAAATATTCAACGCCGAACCCAGAGAACTCGACCTTTGGGATTCACCGCATTTGGTATCTCGTGATACTCACTATGAACCTTAAGCTGATATAAGTATCACTGATTCTTTCCGGTAATATCGTAGAACATTCCACAGATTTGCCGTTGACAACAATAGGCCCGCATATGGCACTAATAGTCAATAAACTAGTCAAATCTAGTACATCCCTGGAACAGATCATGGGCTTGTAAGTAGGGTATATGGACTGAATGGTATAGGTATGGAGTAGTGATATCGTAGTATAACACCATACCTATATATCTAATATCAAAATAACGACATATGATAGATCCAGTAAGTCAAATTGAAGCTACTTAAGTACAAAGAAACTAAATTAACTAAATTAACTAAATTAACTACTACTAGTCCTCGGGGCTTTACCTCTTTAAGAGACACGCCACGTCTCCCACTCCACTCCAAAGCTGTTCTAGACAGATTCTGTAAACCATGAAATCAAGCCGTGGTGGGGATAAAAAGGATTAGAATTTAATTGTAATAAATAGTAGTAGTACTAGTGTATATCATAAGTTATAACCCCTGAATTCTGCCATATTTTTGGAATATTATCTTCTACCTACCCCGTACTCCGTATTCTTCTCCTATTAAGGGCGGAACACTAGTGCACGGGGCGTTTTCCTGCGTGATCGTCAGGGCTTCGTTTTCCTCCCTTTCCTTACTGTGTACTACCTCAATTACTCTCCCAATTTCTGAATTTCTGAATTTCTCAATACATCTCATGTTCTAAAATTCAAGTCTCTTCTCAGGGCTGTCATTCCTTTGGCCTCATCCGCCCCCCGCCCCCTAGACTCACAATCCCCGCTCTCACATCCCGCTCTCGTATCCCGCTCCATGCGTTTGGACCGAGCTTTGAACCGACTCTGCATCGGATACTTTCGATCGACATCTTCTGAATACTCTTTCTCCAACAACTCGTTATGGCGACGCGTGGAAACTTGAGCGACTATCGCTCTCCATCGCACGACACCCTTCGAAATGGTATGCCCTCTCCGCGTATTCAACACTTTGCTGGCGAGGTGCCTCCTGCGCTTTCTCCGCTTGATGCATTCGCCGCTCAGGGTCGTCTCCTGGCTCGACAATTAGATGAGTCGCGACAAATGGACCGACGCATGAGTCGATTGCCCCCGTCCAGTGTCGCTCGGTCGCTATCTCGAGGCCGACCCAACTTCTTCCGCAGCCCTGCGAGTGAGTCTCATGCCGACGGTTTGGCGCGACGAAATACTACGAAACAAAACTTCGAGGTGGAAGAGCCGAAATATCGACCAGTCTCGGAACACCCCCGTTTTAGCTCGATGAGCCAGGCGAGTAGCATCTCCAACATTTCCAATGCGGATTACGACGAAGACGACACCACTCCGCGGACCACAATGATCAGCGTGAAGCCGGTTAACTATGTCAGTGGAGAATCGTTCGAGGAGGAGAGTACCCCGGTTGGCATGGCATTCACCGACCCGTCACACCCGTTTGAGGACTCATCGCGACTTCATGTGCCGCAGAAAATGGTCTCGCCGATGCCACCAAATTCACGGCCCTCCAGCAGTGCCCAGGTTAGACATGAGAGCTGTTCAGATGACGATAATAGCAGCTCGAACGCCGGATCAACCTTCTCCAAGCCGCGGAAGCTGTCCTCCGGCAGTGCGGCGTCAGTTCCGTACTCCCCCATGTCATATCCTGTTCGTCAGCACCCTCGTTCGCCGTCTATCAGCTCGGAAACGTCAAACAGCTACCTCGCCCGGCCATCATTCAACTTCTCTCGGCCGTTGAGTCGATCCAGCACTAGTCTCTCCGCCCCTGGAGCGCCCGAGTCGCATGCACCACCACCGGCCGCGCCACGCCATCAGCCTCATACGATGCATCGGGCGAGTCGGCCTACACCAATTCTTCTACCTCTAGCCACAGAGGAGGCGGCAGCTACGGTGCCGGCTGAAGGCGATCCCTCTTCCGCGGTATCTTCATATGTGTACGCCAAGTACGACCTACCCCGGGGACGTATGGTATCTCGAGATTCAGTGGTCTTTGCCGGCTTGCAAACACCACATTTCGAATGGCAGGAGCCGTTGTTTGAGAACTCTCCACCGCGGGTATCAGGTGAGCACCCGCGCTCAGCTCGCACTCCGCCGCCATCAAATCGCATCTTGGACTATTCACCGAAACCCCACTCGATGCACGAAGTTCCAGTCCCTACTCATGTTCCCGAACCAGTACCTGTCCCATCACTCACTCCAGAACGGGGCCGGGAACTGCGAAAAGCTCGAACTGTTTCGCCCTCATCTCCAAATTCCAGTCTTGCTCCGGCCATGACTTCTCTCGCCCCGGCATTGACTACTCCAGAGCGACCCTCTCGCCCATCCACCGAGTCCACACGGTCTACAAAATCTACACCACCCCCACAGAAGGCGAATGTCAAGACCGACACGGTTCAGCCCGATCATGTCAAGTCGGACAATGTCAAACCGGAAAATGTCAAACCGGAAAATGTCAAACCGGAAAATGTCAAACCGGAAAATGTCAAACCGGAAAATGTCAAACTGGAAAATGTCAAACCGGACAATATCAAACCAGACAATATCAAACCCGACAACACTTCTTCTACAGATGTGGCAAAATCATTGCGTTCGCAAACTGGCAGCTCCCATGGAACACCCGCCACACTCTCCGCTGACGATCATGTCACTCAAGGCATTGAACTACACGAAAAAGGATCGTTAAGCGAGTCAACCTATCACCTCCGAATCGCTGCGAAGCAGAGCCATCCGACGGGAATGCTGATGTATGCATTGGCTTGCCGCCATGGTTGGGGTATGCGGCCGAATCAGCAGGAGGGTGTTCGGTGGTTACGCAAGGCTGTGGATTCAGTCGGATTGGAAATGCTTGCTAATCCAGATGCCCCCGGCGCATCCAAAGCGAAGGAACTGCATAAGGCTTACCGGGCGCAGTTTGCCCTGAGCATCTACGAACTGGGTGTCAGCTACTTGAATGGCTGGGGTATCGACCAGAACAAACCCCTTGCTCTGCGGTGCTTTGAGATCGCCAGTCAATGGGGTGATGTCGACGCAATGGCCGAAGCTGGTTATTGTTATGCGGAAGGTATTGGCACCAAGAAGGACATGAAGAAAGCGGCACACTTCTATCGTGATGCCGAGTCTCATGGTATGAGTATGGTCGGCACAAGCTGGTACGTTGACATAATATCATATTCTTTCGAACTTTTAAATAACCCTATCACAGGATCTACAAAGACAAATACATGGGAGACGATTCCAAAGACTCCAAAGAGCCCAAGGAGTCCCGAAAAACTCGAACACGCGGGCGAACAGTGAGCGGCGACAAGAAACCTCGCAGTAAATCACGAACTCGCAGCATGTTCCAACGGAAGAAGTCTGTGGTTGATAACTAAGCTTCTTACCTTTCTTTCTCACCTGGCATTCGATTTTGCATCAGCAATGTGAGCGTTTCAAGCCGAACGTTCTACATTGTTTCACTTGACAGTCGTCTTTTACTTTCTTTCCAACTCTTTTCATTCCTACCAGTCCCTTTGATTTCACTTCAGCATATTCAACCTTTACCTGAGCCGCCTGGGCAGCTTGATTTCGAGCTCTTTGGGGATATGTTCCTTCAACCTGTCTCGCGGGCATAACACTTTATTTCTCTGGATACCCTCTACTTTATACTTGTACCTTACCTTATCCTTACCCATTGTGGTTTCTTGATTACCTTTTCTTTCTGTTTCTCTCTTCTTTATTCTTTTTTTTCTCATTTCTTGACCATATCTTCACTTTATTCCCCCTTTCTTTTCTTTTCCCTGGGTGGATTCCCTTTTTTATTCCTTTGTGTCATATCTTTTCTCCTTGCATAGCAAATGGATGCCGGTTCATGGAATTTCATGACAGAATCAAGGCCGTGTTTCTGGTAAAGTAGTTTACTTAGGAAATCGTAAACCCGAATATAAACTCCTGTACAAGGGAAGGTCATAGAATCCTTACCACGTCCTGTCCGTGTTACAACCGGTGCAACACCAGCCCTTTCAAATACAGGTACGGGAGCACGAATCGGAGATTATCTTTATCACCCTTGGTTCACTGAATTTCCAATTCTTTCGAGTATCAGGCTGGTTTGAATCGACATATGGTGAGCTCGACTCAATCTCAATCCACGCAGGAACCCTTATTTCCAGAATCATGGATATGAGACGTGATACCATTCTACCTAGATACTTATTGCATGTCTTAATAAACGGAATAGCAGATTAGGTCCAGTATATGCCCCGTTCCATAAGAACCTAGGTAATTCGCATAGCTCAACATGTGAAATCAACTCGTTTGAATTCAGCTTTAGAAAATCGTAAATCCACAAGCAAGAGTAATAATAAGCCGTAGCTACAGCTTCATAAAGTCTGAATATCTCCTCGGACTCGTTGATTGAGGCAGCGCAGCACAAATTGGTAATTTTGTCGTCTACACCTCCACGCGCAAGCATACATCCCACTCTCCATATATTTTTCTATTTTTTTCCCATTGCTCTTCCTCTTTCATTTCATTCACTCCGATCTTCTTTAGTAAGTAATCTTTTTTAATTATGTCGATTCGGTATGATGGCTTGGACCTTCCACTTTCTTTCGATATTGATCCCCCGTCTACACTGACTGCAATTGCGATTGATACTAACTCATTATCAATTCAAGTTTTCCCATCGATCACCACCACGTCGAGAACATGGCAAAGTCTAGCTATCGCCGTGACTATCTCACCCCTACGCCCCCCAGGCGCAGCTGTAGCTCAAAGATGAGCGCACACATGAAGAAGTACTGGCTTTTGCACCTTGTTGTCTTCTGCCTTGGCTTTCTCACCATTGCTCTCATCATGTAAGTCTTGCATGAGAATCATAATAGCTTGACACTCATAGACACAGGGTTTATGTTGCGTACCCTGCCATTGCACAGCACGATGTCAACGCTTCCACCCTCGCAATCAGCCGCATGATCGTCGCCGATCCCACCCCAAACTCCGTTGTGCTTAGTCTGGACCAGCAGGTTGGATCCAAGAGCGCCTTCCACCCTGACATGGGCGAATTCAAGGCTGATATCGAGCTTATGGGCGCGCCCTCTCCTTTTGCTAGCATTGTCGTTCCCCACTTGCATGTCCGCGATGAAGTTGCCGCCAACATTGTGGAGCAGTTTTTGGACCTGTATAGCACCTATGAATTCGCCGAGTACTCAAAGGCTATTATGCTTAACGAGGAAGTGACTTTGATCATCAAGGGTCGTCCGCACCTGAAGCTAGGTGCTCTGCCCAGCATCAAAATCTCATACCAGAAGACCGTTGTGATGAAAGGCAAGCTTCAGTCCCTGACGACAGACACCTAACTGACATGTCCAAGGTCTAAATAAGCTAAATGGTTTCAGCGTGGTTGACTACCACCTGGATCTGGGCTCCAAGGACGGTAACAACATGTTTGGACATGCTTACATTCCCAACCCCACAGTCATGACTATTGCGATGGTAGATCAAAACCTCTTCCCATGAACAGCTCTTTCTAATCCACTTCCAGGGAAACATTACACTGAACCTCTTCTTGGAAGGTACTTTTATCGGCAACTCGTACATGAACAATATCGTTCTCAAGCCCGGCAATAACACCGTTCCAATGGTGTCCAGCGTGAACGCAATGCAAATCCTCGAGTTCATGGCCAGTACCAATAACACCTACCACGATGGTGTCGTTCCCTTCCTCGTGACCGGCAACAGTAGTGTTTACCACGGCGTCGAACTGCCCTACTTCACCGAGGCGCTTCGGGCTAACAACTTGACCATTCATCTGAACGTGACCAAAAGCCTAGATGAGCTAGGTATTCACCTTTGATCGCCCTTTGAGTGTTTCAAGTGGCAGCATGAGATAAGATAATACCGAGTATCTCAGATGTTCACGATCCTGTACCCCATATTTCACGACAGAAGCTCGCAGGGATTGTTTTTTTATTTTTTATTTTTTATTTTGTTTTATTTATTAATACTGCGGATACTACTAGCGCTAATTTCACATCTCAATCACCTCATTCTTATTCGTACTCGTGTAGTTCATCCCTGAACTCCAGCTGTAGCTCTAACATGTGCCTTTCTCGCGAAAATCACCAGTTTCCTGATTAATGCCTCTGTGAGATAGAACGGCGGGTAAAAAGCCCTTTCTGCGCGCTTGTCCTGACCGAACTCAACAAACATGTCCAAAATACTCTCTAATATATCTATATCGCGTGCAAAAGTAGGCGCAGTAGGAACGATGACGAGGAAGCGGAACAATGTTATAACAGCCGTCAAGACGAACTGAGCGTGAAGCCTGTTTTCATTAGTAAATGCTATTCGAACGTCGAAAGAAAAAAAAAGGGCAGGACATACCAGAAAGTATGATAATTAATATAGTGGCGCACTCTGATGATATAAATCAACGTAGACCTCGTAGCTTCATAGCAAATTTCAGCACTAGATGGAGGCGGTGACCAGCTACTAGGGACAGGATCACTAGCGAAAGAATCGCTAGAGCCATGAATCTTGCAAATAGAAGCATAATATTCTAAATGAACAGTGACGCCCCGAATACTCAGATCGTGAAACAGGTAGTCTGACGCTGTTTCGGTAGCGAATAGATCCGGCCGGCACTGGACTGGATAATCTAGCTTTAGCGCGCTGAGCTCATCGTCTAGCTCGCGGATATGCTGGAGTCTCCGTGCTTCGGAGAGGTTTCTGCTTTGGGGCGAGTAGAGGAGGCGGTAGATCTTTGATTGGATGACGTTTAGGCGCAGGTCGGAGGGGTAAAGGAGTTCATTTGGGGTAAGAGGCTTCCAGAAGAAGTGCTGGGCGGAGGGTTTGGTTGCGTAGGCTGGTGGGAGTTCCATGTCGCAATTGTCTACGTTGATTAGGGGTGGTTGGCATTTGCGGAAGGAGAATGCATTGTCCATGCCGAAGCATAGCCAGAATAGGACGCGGAGGTGTCGGCTACCAGCGTCGTTGACAGATGGGTTTTTGTTCCCGGCTAGGCCATTCAGGACCTGGACTGCGATGGCAAGGAGAAATTCCGCAGATTGTGGTTTTCCGAGTGGAGCAAGGAAAAACGCCTGACACTGTTTAGATATGGGGGTTTCCTGAAATATCGAGTGACTTACTAGCATAATAAAAGCTTCTAGGGTCCTCAGATCCGGAGTCTCCATTAACATGTCCGGGACAAGTGTCAGAGCAGCCTGGATATAGGCTAAGGGCTCTGCATCGGCGAATCGAGGATCGAGACGATGCATGATAGTGATATTAGCTGTCAACGCAGCAAGACATGCGCGGTGAGAAGCCCGGCTTGTGTCAGGGTTATTCAGCACATCAGCCTTCAGCAACATCTGCATAGCGTCCGTATCTGCAAAAGGAAACATGGAGTAAAGGCTTGCTGTCTCGTAGTATTCTATGCATTGAGAGACTAGAGAAGTAGGTGGCCATTTGATCGGGATAGCCGGCCTGGCTGGCTTGATGGACTGCGGATCAATAGATTTCGACACAGACTGTAGAAAGTCGTCTAGGTCGAATTCCTCGCCTACTTGCTCCTTGATCACGGAGTAAAATCTTGCTCTCGTTGCTGAGAGGGTACTTCCCAGTCCGCAGTAAGACAAATGCCATTTCAGTGAAGAAACACCAAAGTCAAGTGAGTATGGATCAGGTATCCAATTTGTCGCTTGTGATAAGGGGGCACCTGGGGTTTGTGGCGGGGAAGCGCAATCATTGGGACTAGTTCCCGGGGTATTTTGAGAGCCGGTACTTAGAGCAGCTTGTAGCTGCTGGACTTTAGCTTTGGCATCATTAAGTTCCCTGGAAGAGTTAGTGGCGAGACTGATTCAATAATTCAAGAAGACGAACTGGCGAATGCCTTTCCGCCGTCGTGCGGGCTGTGGCGTAAAGGTGCAGGGTAACCCCGCCAAGAAACAAGTCTCGCAGACAGGCTGTGCTCTGTCACAGCGTATCTATGTATGCAGATAGCCGAGATTAGATTTGGATATGTGATTTGATTGCCCCTGATGAGATTAACCTACTTTTCGGAGGCGACATAAATCACATGCACTTCTTTTGACTGCACGGGAGGCCGCGTAAGATTGATCGAAGGACATTGGAGAGTCAATTCCAAGGTCGAGTTGAATACAGCCTCTGGGGTTGGAATTCTTTCACTGAGTCTGTCTGAATGTAGATTTATAACTAGATAAGCATCGAGTATTTTAGATTACGAAGGGAAGCTGTAGATGTTGTATTCCGGACCTATAGAATCGTAGATCGAAGCCAAGCAACGCCAAGCTATCAGTCAGCATTCCCTAATATCCTTTACTGCTTTTCAATTTTCTTTTCAATGATTTATAGCCGATGAATTGAATAGTCAAGTATGAGGTGTCTAAGATGTTCACTGCAAAATTAGTTCTGATAGGCGGACGCGCGTCTCTGGAAGACTAGTCTCCACATAACGATTATAAATAACTTTCGAGGAACACCCCCTCCGCTGTTAGCATTATACCCTTCGCCCTGCCGGCAATACCTAGGAAGGTCAATGGCTATTCTTTCATCAGACGCTATGAAGCGTAGTGAACATCTTGTCATCCATACAACATCCCGGATCCAAGTCGAACTCCAGGTATAATAAGGCCAAGAGCTAATCTAGACCCGCATGATCGACCTACAAATACGACTTGGGAAGCTGTGCACGAGACCGGTGTTTATACAGACAATCCTCGTACTTTTGACAACGGCATCGCCGAAGTTATTATCGGAATGCACTGATTGGATTGGGGGGTAATAAAAGGGGGTTGAAACACAGTAGGGAGTTGGGCTGACAGTACGACACCAGGGCAATGCATAACGGGGCCTTCCCTGTCCTGGACTTTGGGAAATGAGCTCATCTTTTATCCGTGAACACGAGAGAAGAAGAATCGTTAAAAGTTTCATGTACTGGTCCTTATTTGATATTAAATTTTCGGGCTATCAGGTATGTTTCCCCGATTGTTCCATCCCTGATGTGGGATAGTGTCCAGATGAATGTGATGCTGTCAATAATCACATGTACGGAGAATTGTATGTTCAAGTCTCATGTGTTTGAATTCTAGGATATCGTGGCACAGTCACGATGATAATGTAAAGTCGCTGATCAGCTATAAATGAGAAGAGAAGAATATTCATGCTCAAAACCAGATTGAGACAAAGTTTTCTAGATGTCTTGGAATGAAAAAAAAAAAAAATTACCAAAGATAGTCGGTAGACTTTGGAAGGAACAGACGCAGCGGCCCTCGAGACTCGCATGCGCTCTAGCTGCCCGATCTCTGATCTGTGAAATGGGTTCAACCCAGGAATGTAGAAACAAAGAATAAGAAGGGCGTAAACGGCGAAAAAAAGAAGGCTTCAGGGTATCAAATCATGGGAACCGTGATAACTCGACGACCAGGCCCACTCCATTTGGAAGGAGTGAACTGATCATCTCGAAAATTGCCATTGTGGCGTTCCCAATCCGAGTCACTATCGTCGAATGGGATACTCATATTTTGATTGGGCTTCTCGTCGCGAATTGACAATTCACCGTCGTCTAGCGCACGTCGAAAACGGAGCATGTCCTCTGAATCAACGCTGCGGATTGGGTACATCGTCCCCATCTCCATTGACTGTAGTGCTGCTCGTTGGATCTGGCGAATGTCGTCGCGGAGACTGGCTACTTGGCCTTCCAAAGTCCTGCGGGCTGTCTGCTCACGACGGAGTAGGGTGACGAGAGTGCTGTATTGCTCTATTGAAACACCGTTGAACTCGGATAAGGATGCGCTCGATGTGGCGGGTCGGACTGGGTGCACTTTCTTATCCGGACGGATTGTGCTCGTGCTTGTTGGACGGCTTTTTGGGAGGCTGGGTAACTCCTCGTGATCCTTAGTGCTCAAGTATCCAGGGGAAATCTTGCTGCGCCTAATTTCTGCAGGCGCATGCTTGTGTCGTGGTGGCTGCTTTGATGGTCGCTCTTTAGTTTTTTCCAAGTTTGATACAGGACCTGATTGCATGCGGGCAATAGCAAACTCTAGGTCTATCATCTTCACCTCAATTGTGTTCAGCCGCTGTTCCACAGTGAGACCGTCAACGTGCTGCATTGCGTGGACAAAATTGCCCACGTTCGGCGGTAGACTAACTTGGTCTGAGTCCAAGAGAGACTGTATCGATCCTCGAGTGATACTAGTCACTGTGGTCCCAGTGGAAGGCCTCGGGGATTGGCCGCCAACAGAGCTTCTCTTAAAAGGTGGAGATGCCGAACGAGGGATTGAATCATCCGTAGGTTTCCGGATTGGCCATGTCGAAAGATCAACAGGTTTCTCTTGCTCTACTAAGTCTTGTAGTGCGTCTGTACTTTTAGATCGAGGGTTCTGAAGGTAGCTATATCGTGAGTCTGGCCTAGTAGATCGGTCGTCCTGGGGATCTGAGACAACAAGAGAGGGCGCCGCATATCGTGATTCATCCTCGGAGAAGATCACACTGGGAAGTGTAGCTCGCCGTCGACGTGCCAGCATGGCATGTGGCCCTAAGGAACCCGTCCTTAGGAGAGATGGAGCAAAATTCGTCATCATAGCCTGATGTTGCAGATTCACAACTGAAAGAGGACTATTTCGCGGAGACTCAAGCGGTGCAGGCATGGCCAGAGAAGAGGGTGCTCGCTCCGACAGTCCTAGCCTCCTGCGATTAGCAGGGAAGTAGGACTCATTGGGACGTTCTTCCACGTCATCAGCCTGGCTCTGGCGTTTCCTGCTGAAAATCTTTCGCATGACTGTTTTCAGAGTGCTATCGGTACGACGATGCACGAGCGATCGGGAATCCATGGGCGGTAGAGCGGTGTCATAGCTGCTCTGCTCAGGAAGTGAAGAGTCTTTTGAACTCGGGCGTGAACCTGGGCGCTGAGCCGAAGATCGGGAAATCGATTCACGCGCGATTCCAGGCGATCCACTTCTACTGCTGGCAGTTGAACCTCTCAGCATCGCTACGGTGGAGACTTTCCAAGGATCAGGTTTGACACTCGTAAGGAATCCAAGAGTCCACGTCGGTAATCATTAAAAGAAATCACTGCGCTATGAATTTATATGTCGGGAAGAGAAGAAACGAAGAGGTATCTAGGTCGCTCAGTGGAACTCGAACCGATTTGAATAAAGGCTAGGGGATGAAGCAGAGGAGGAAGTTTAGATTGGAGCTACCGAATGCGAATTAGCGAGACAAAACATGGCTACAAGCGAGTAAATCATACAGAGTGAAGAAAGCAGATGATAATTAATACTGAATTCCCGCAAGGAATCGGGGCGTTATCGAAATCGGGCGAAGTATAGAAAAAAAGGGGGTAGAAAATAGAGGTCTCTAAGCCAACTATCAGACCAAGAAAGAGTGTCAAGAAGACAACATATGAAGAAAAACACAAAAGAAAATGATGTGAGAAAATGATGAACACAGAAAAAAGGGAGAAAACAGAAAGAAAGTACTCTGTAAAGAAAAGTAAGCTAAACCCCACAAGTGGTCTTCAAGCCACAGCCGAGAGCACCAAACCAATAAAGAACGATAGTCGGGCTGTAGAACCAAAAGTATTCAAGGTTTGACTAAAGTACTAGAATTTACTCTGTAATGAACTTTTTAAATTGGAGAAAACAAACCATTGGCCACCTCCACTAAGTACTCCGTATACGGGTCAGGCTGCCCACACCTAAGCCCAAATCCAAGCCCAAATCGAAGCCCAAATCCAAGCCCAAATCCAAGCCCAAATCCAAGCCCAAGCCCAATTCCAAGTCCCAAGTCCAAGTCCAAGCCCATTCTCGGAAACGGAAAAAAAGGGGGTGAGAATGTACGAGTATCTCGATTGATGCTCCACTTGATCCACGAGCTGAGACGGTGGAGCAAATGCAGGTGAACGGACGTTTTGAAAAGGCTTCTAGGCGCATCCAGAATGTCCAGCGTCATTGACTATTGTCCACTTTCTGAATAGGCTATACATTAGCCGGTGAGGTTAGTCCAGGGTTGAGGGCTGAGGGCTGAAGGGGGCTCAGGCCTCAGGGCTGAGATCGTGAACAACGCATCTCTCGGCTTCGGGTCGAGATGCGGTAAGTAATTAATTAGAATAGCTTGGAGGGGGAAAGGGACGACTGGCTCCAGTAATGCCATGTAATATTAAAGAGGGTCAAATCAAGAGGGGCGAACAGCATTTCTGAAACATGCATGTCTCTGTTCCCTTCACCGCCTGATTATGCAATGTTCTAGTCGACTGTTATTTACTCCTAATACTAGTACTAAAGCAGCTCCCCGGCATCAGGGTATCGCAAGTCGGCATTCTCCTCCAAGTAATCCATCCAATGTTTTAGAAAACTGCTGCCACTAGATTCAAGATTGTGTCAATGAAATATAATGATTAAAATTACATACTCTCTCCCGTGGATCACTTACCGACTGATGGTTTCCGAGTCCCCACAGATACACAAGTGCCGCTTGGGGCGGGTCATAGCCACTAATAAGAATTAGCCATAACTGATATCATACATGGATGAAAGGGAAAATACCATTGAGCCTTCGCTTCTCTCCAAGAAATCCAACTTCATGCTCAGCGTTACTGCGCACAAGACTAACAACAACAGCTTCCTTTTCGCGGCCCTGGAATCCATCGATGCTGCCCAGTTCAAGTCCTGGATACTTTTCTCGAAGCATCTGGGACAATATTGCCCGCTGGCCGTTGTACGGGGTGATTACAGCGATGCTTTCGGCTCTGACACCCGCCTTGATCAGTGTATCGACGTGTCTGGCAACGACCAACGCTTCCATCTCGTTGCTCTTACTTTCGCCAAGGAAGCGCTCCTTCTTGTCTTCATCGTCTACTTTCTCAGGGAAGTCTCCGCCTTGCGTGTCCCAGAAGACGAGGGGCTCGCGGGTATCGTCTGTATCTTGTGCGTCAGGTAGGTCGGCTAGAAGACGGGCTTTGACAGAGTCATCGGCTGTCAACTTCCCTTCGTAAAGCTCTTCAGATGGGAAACGCATGATCTTCTCATGCATTCGATACTGAGTGGTCAGCATTCGTTTGATGCCCGAGCCATGAAGTATCAGTAGGCGATCGAACAGTGTCCTTTCCAACGAGAAGCCTTTTAGTATTTCCTTTGCATCGGGGTTAGTAGTCTTGTCGCCGGACTTTTGGTTGGTCGATTTGACAGTCGGCGGTAATTGTAGATGGTCACCGGCGAGTACCACCTTCTCTGCAGAGAGTAGTGGAATCCAGCACTGTGCTTCTAGCGCCTGACTCGCCTCGTCTATAATAACTATATCAAACTTCTGGTTCTTGAGCTGGTGACCTCCAGCACCGTGAAGAGTAGCCAGGACAACACTGCTCTCGCCTACCAAGTTAGCAACACATTTCGACTCGCGCACTCGAAATTCTTTGCGAAGAAGTTTCAAGTCGTCGTAGATAGCCCTTCGTTCACGACCGCTCTTCGTCTTACGAATACTGGCCTGTTTCTCGTCAATTTCCTTGCGTACATCCTTCACAATACCCGCAGCATCGGAAGTCTGCGTGAGCACTTCAAGGGAATGCTCTAGCACGGATGGTAGCAGACGAGCTGGATGACCGATTCGCACAACTGGGACCTTTTTAGGAGCTAGTCGCTCGACAATGTTATCAACTGACACATTGGACGGCCCACACACTAGAATGCGTTTCTTGCGCTGCACCATCTGCATGATGAGTTCGATAATGGTGTGTGTTTTTCCTGTGCCCGGAGGGCCGTGGATAAGAGCGATGTCTTGAGAGCCCAGCGCAAATCGAATGGCTTCTTTCTGGGATTCGTTGAGAGTGGGATCGCTGAACTCGATGAGACCTGCGGCATCGTAGTCCGGTTGTAGGGGAGTGGTGTGGCCAAATGCAACACGCATAAAATGAGAATGATCTACCTCCGTCATTTTCGTCATTTTCTCCATCGTCTGTCTCATGCTATAGATGAGATTAGCAATATCTATTCTTGTGCATCTTGTTCCCTCCAACCTACCGTCGATACGTAACATCATTGGCAAGTTTGATGCTGGAGCTAGTCAGCTTCAAGTGTCAAATGCAATGAGCCAGACAACATACAGCCACAGTTTCTTCCCCCAAAGCTCCTCAACAGATTCATCGTCCTCCTTAGAGTGGCCTCCATTCTGACCAAAAGCAATCCAGATCCCTTTATCAGTAACCCTCGTAACAACACCCTCAGGCCCCGCCACCTTCGCATCTTTCGCGTCTTTCTTATCCTTGCTCGTCTTTTTCGCTGCAGTCGCGATGTCATTCACACGAACGACATCTCCAACTCGGATCCCATGAGGTCCAAGCCGCGGCTGTCCATCCGAAGCGCGCGAATCACCATCTGTAGATTTAGATGCGATCGCGGGATCTGGCGCGAACTCGCCCACGACTCTACCCCCAAGACCTGTGCGACATTGCGACAGTATTAGACCCGTTAGTGCGTAGCCGGTGGCTTGGAGGGTGCGACGAGTGGATGGTGATACTGATGCAGCTGTGCCTGCGAGGGAGGAGGATGCGACTTCGGCTTCATGTTCTTGAAGGAGGAGGTGGAGCTGGGTTTCGGCGAAGAGGGGAATAGATATTGGTGCGGGAGCCATTTTGGAGGAGGATAGAAGATGTATTTTAGAAGTTCATAAATATTACTCTGCTCATCGCGAATTGTTTGGACAAAAAATGTGTTGCGCAGAATTGATGGTGGGGAAGCTCTCGGGGATAAAATGAAGCTCCGAGCTACGACCAAGCTTATGCCCATGATGTCAACAGACTATTCATATTTGATAATTATAATCAACTGTTTATATTTTCGGCTGTAGCAAACCATCTCTCGTTTCAACTTATCTCAATCTTAACCTTGGCTTCAGCCAATGGATCAGGTTTAACAACCGCAAGACCCTTAACCTCACTCTTACAGAGCTTAGTCCCAGCAAGATAACACTCACCACACCTCCGCTTAACAGGTAAACAGACCGTCTGCCCAAGTCCAACAAGCAACTTGTTAATCTCATGCCACTTATCACGAGGTAACCAAGACTGCAACGCCAAACGCGTCTCCTCAGGGTTTTTCGTCTTGTTCCATCCCCACAGATTGGTAATGCGGTGGACGTGCACGTCAACGCCGATACCTAGATCTTTTCCCCAAGCAGCGCTCATACAGAGGTAAGCCATTTTCGGTCCGACGCCAGGAAGACTCATGAGACCTTCTGGTGTTGAGGGGATATCGCCGTTGAATTGATCGCGTAGGATTAGGGCGGCGGACTTGATGTATTTAGTCTTGTTATTGTGGAAGCCGACGGTGCGAATGAGTTCGTTCAGTCTTGTCGGATCGACAGCGAGGATATTCTTCAGGTTAAGCGTGCTGTCCTTTTCGCTGTCTTTCGATTTGATGGTGACGCCGTCTTCTGATTTGATATGCGATTCGACCACATCCTCCAATTTGATCTCATCTTCTGCTTTGATTTCGCCCTCAGTCTTGATTCCATCCTCAGCTTTTATCGACTGGCCCAACTCGGTATGTAGCCTCTGCATCGCAACGGCCGTGACAGTATCCTTGGTCTGCGACGAAAGCATCAACGCAATAAGAGTCTGGAACCTCCGATCTTTTGGTCCAGAAGGCCTCCAGTAGAGCTCCGCACAGCCCATAGTATCAACAGGAGCAGTAGGGTTATCAGCGCGCATCCTCTTGACAGTATTGTACATAACCTCCCAATCAGACGGCGGCTCGACAACGACCGCACCATCGACATCACGAGTTTTCCTCGCGGGCATACGCCGCGTCCTAGCAGTCTTAGGTTTCACCTCCTTCTCTTCCTCTTTGACAGCATGCAGGACAGACGGACTCGTACTGCGCTTTTGGCGTTTGACTCGTGGTTCGATCAGGTCTTCGATGTCTGCTGTACTGACCGATGAAAGAGAGGACTCATCATCGGAGACAGGCCGTTGGAATTCAGATATGATAGACTCGGTCTTTACGATCGGAGACTCGGTTTTTACGCTAGTGTCAGCATCGTAGGCGAAACTGCGCAGCGCAGTGTTGACCGAGGTGTTGCTTCGCGTCTGGCGTCGGGGATTAGACAGCGATTGTAAAGCTTTCGCCGTGTCCTTTGAAGCGCGCGAAGTGCGCATGATGAATTAGTAAATAAAGGGGATGGAGTGTGGCGATGACTTGGATCGTGGATTGGGTGAGCCGTGAACCGAGGAAAGTAGCGAGGTTCCTCCAGCCTCGGAGTTCAGTGTTACACTTTCGGACTCTTCCCTTAATAACCTCCACATTCTAGTTACTCCACACACATTCCAATTCCAGTCATGGCGTCTAGTTCAACGACACAACGACTCCTGCGCGAGCTGAAGGATTACGCTAAAACGCCCAACGAAGCACTATTACACCTGAGGCCGGTGGATGACGAGGACCTATTACGCTGGGAGGCAGTATTGAAGGGCGTAAATGGGTCACCGTATGAGGGTATGTCTTTGTCCCGGTTCATCTATTACTATCTACGTCTAAAATAAAGTCTTACATGATTACTATAGGCGGTCTTTGGCACCTTCGCATCACAATACCACCAAACTACCCTCTCGCGCCACCGACAATCCTGTTCACGACGCGCATATCGCATCCCAATATCTCTTTTACGACGGGCGAGATATGCTTGACACTGTTGACTACTGAACACTGGAGTCCGATCTATACGATTTCCACTACCCTCACTGCCATCCAACAGCTCTTAACGGATCCACAGCCTGATTCTCCGCTTAATGTTGATGTTGCCGCGCTGCTGCGCGACGGCGATATCCCTGCTTGGGAAAGTATTGTGCGATACTGGACGGGCGAGGAGCGTTGGCAGGGCTCTGGGAATCTTGTTCAATGATGAAACATAATCGCGAGTCATTTGAACTCGGTCGCGATAACCATTACAAATCCCTACATACTCTAGAGATATAAACTTACGCACTACATGACAAATCTATACCCTGGATGATATGAATCAGAGAATCAGTTCTTGAATGTTCTAAGTGTAGTAACAAATATGTTTTCGCCGATAATGTAATGCACCCTTTTAAACACGATGTATAGCCTAAGCTATACAGTTGAAACGGAAATGATCTCTCCCGAACGCCAAAATAGAAAAATAAGGAAAGGAATTTGTAGGATATCATGGAAGGATCGTGAGATGACCAAAGTCAATAGGCTATGCAAAAGGAGAGATGTTTCGCTGGAAATAAAAGCGCAATCAAAGAGTCAAGGAATGAAGTTGAATAGAGCGTGAATCCATTACAGAGCAATTGCGAACACGACAGCTCCGCCGACCAGTGCCACAATCTCGCGGGTCAGGCCTACAGTAGTCAGTGCTGCGGCACCGGTTTGCAATCCTGGCTTTGAGGTGGTAGTCGTGGAGGCGGAGGCTGCAGTTGGGTGAACATGCACAACTGTGACGGAGGTGATGGTGCTTAGGCTGCCATCGGCAAGAGTGGAGGTACTCTTGAAAGTTGAGGTGTAAGAGCTCTCAGTGGTGGATGTAGATGTAGAATCAGACGACGACTTAGAGCTTGTAGTCGTGGTAAGGGTTGAGGGGGCAGAAGTAGTGCTATGAGACGTAGAGGTTGTGGAAGTTTTGTCCGAGGTGGTTGATGTTAAGGTAGATGTAGAGGTTGAGGTAGATGTAGAGGTTGAGGTCGATGTAGTTTGACTGGTAGTAGTAGTCACCTCAGTAGAAGCGGGAGGAGAGCTTGAGGAGCTGGCAGATGACGCAGAGGAAGTTGGCTCTGTGGTAGTTGGCGCGGGAGTGCTTGATGACTCGGCCGAAGTGGCAGTAGTAGTGGTGGAATCGACTGTGGTGACAACCTCACTGCTGGTAGGAGTAGAGGCAGAAGAAGTTGAAGCAGCTTCAGATGTAGTAGTGTTACTCTCCCGTTTAAAGATCTGTAGCATGGATGCAGCATCTTTATCCTCTTCCTCAAGAGCCTCAACGGCAGTCTTATCAGTTGGGAACACGCCATCTTGAAACTTGTGGGACAAAACGTGGAGAGCAGCATGCACGGAATCAACATGAGCCAGCATCTCCTGAATAGATTGTTGGGAGAGGTCCTCATCAGTCTTTGTGGGATGATCCGTGGCCAGGACCAAGGACAAGAGCATCAATGACAAAAGCAGCTGGAGGAAGCTGACGCGAGGCATGATGGACAGATCGAAGTGGGGTCCAGAGTAGAATGTTTGAAATGATGATGTTCAGGATTGGAGATGATGAGGAAGATGGAGATGATGAGGAAGATGGAGATGATGAGGAAGATGGAGTTGAAAGGTGTGAGAGAAGAAAGGAAGATATGCTAATGATAAATAAGATACGGTAACATCAGATCCTTGTTTTTCCTTCAATACTAAAACAAGACCCGCTAAGACCAATCAGAAACTAGTTCAAGCCAAATATGACAAAGCTTTGAGATCTACGAACTCTTGTTTCGCTTCATCTCATCTTCACTGACACATTCCTCGAAATAATTTGATTTTATCCATAGTTATTCTCCTTTCATTATTCCTCATATTCTAGGAATGCTTCTTTGGAATTCTACAAAGTGGATACTACGGCTGAAAATAGTACCACAGCCCACTAGCCACTAGCCCACTAGTTTACTGGCTTACTAGCCCACCCGTTCTGTCATCATCATCAAACTAATTAGGAAATAGCCACAGAGTTACGCCGTACTACCTCCAACCCCTGAAATCACTGCAACCCAACACTAATTATGGAACCTCAGCGCTCGTAAAACATGTGGGCTTGATTCAGCCCAAATGTTAATTTCGAGTCAAGCGCTAGTTTCGTACATGTTTCAACGTCTATCAACTATTAAGCTTTATCAGCATCATCGATTTTAGTCCCTATTTTATGCCTTATAACTTCATATGGATACAAAAATAGATCTCAATATGCACGATCATCTATATGACAATGATCATCACTTAGCCAAGCCCATGGTTCAAAGGATCCACACTAGCAGTTGCTTATGTTTTTAGGCAAAACTATTGTGGCGCTTGTCATTGGTTTCAGTTCAATTTCAAGTCAATTTCAGTCAATTTCAGTCCTATGATTGTACCTACGTGGATGACATACATGGAAATTCAACGATATATACGGTGCCATACTCTAAATTCCCATCCATATGTGCGATGATTCTCGAGTCAGTTATATTCATATGCCAGCGGCGGATCTGGATCAACTACAGCGTAAACTGAATGGTACAGCCAGCGGATTCCTCCATAGGTCGTGAAGAACCCATAAATCCTTGTTACTAGGCCCCTTGCTCCAGGCTTTACTAGTAATACTATGCCCCTCTACAGGATAACTCCTTTTCCTATGGGTAGAGACCGAGAGTTCCAGAACCCTGTTGAACATAATAGAGTGATAGTATGCCTCGTTTGAAAGAGTGTATTGGTCGCTAGTAAGGTATGGGGCATAGTTCCATGTACCAACCAATCTCACACTTTCTGCATGTTCGATGTCTTTACAAGTCCTCAGGATATCAGCTTTTGCCTGGGAGTTGTAGCTTGCTCATAGGCATGTTAGTTTTTCCGTCCGATCACTTTTTTGCCGGTTCTCATCAAGCAGATACAGAACATGTCCGAGCTCTTTGGCAATGAATATAGCTGTAACAAACTTGTCGTTCTCGAGGTCAAGAAGGGAATGATCGTAAAGAAGTAATATGGCTTACTCGCTGGGATATTACTATCAGTCCAAGAATGGTCAGTTTTTTTTTTTTTTTTTTTTTTTTTTTTTTTTTTTTTTTTTTGAAACTGGGCTTGGAGCTTAGACGTTACTGGGCCTTCCAAAAAAAAACCCGAGAATCGCTTATTATGCAAGACCTAGCAACTGTTGTCATAGAATGTGTCATAGAACGATGCGGAAGAAGTTGTGACCAAGAGGGCTATAGGTGCAAGATACCAAAGTCGTAACATCTCAGCATACCCACTCGAAAACAAACTCCCCAGTCCGTATTTGATGATCCCTGGCTCGATGCTCTTCCATTCTTGGAAGGTTGTCCCTATCTAAGCATCAATATTTTTCTCATTCGGTCAAGGTGCCCGCCCACATCAGTTATCACCTATGCATTAGGATATGATTAACTTACCTTGGTGAATCTTGTCTCTTCGGCCTGACAGGGATGAAACCCCAGATCACGACTAGAACTGAGGTGTGTTATTGTAATCGCTGAATATTGTTACTGATACATTGAATTCCAGCTTCCCATTTCGGAGAATGAAAAAGGCCAAACCGATGAGCGCATATGTGTCTATAGATGCTGACATGGACATGTATTTCAGACACCCAGACTTGGTGTGTGAATTTTTGCAGTGGCCTCACTATCAAAGGCCCTATCAGCTGAGTTGTCGACTGCATTCCTCTTGATAATCTTGAAGATGATAGGACCATCCACACTATCTTCTAGCACAAGTTGGGTGTTTGCCCAGTCAGGATATTTCTGTCTACTGGTTAGCTACCGAATGAAAGAAGAATAATAGATATGGAGAATCGACTATTAACTCAAGCCACTGCTTGGTTTTCCTCTTTTCTTCGAAAAGCCAATGACTAACCTTCGCCCAAGCAAAAAGCGTAAGCCTCTTCGTCACTTGCGAGACGCTCACGCAGCCGATTATGAAAGGAATGAGCTGTCCAGTCGTTTTGATGGTGTTAACGCCATAGATATGGTTCCAGTGGATCGTTAGCTCAATGCAGACGATGAACCAAACGATGCTTAGAACGGTATAGGCGTTCCATATGAAACAGATAACTCGATGTTTAGACCTATTTCCACTGTGAGTTGGAAGCCTTTTCTCAAAAAGAATCTCCATCACAGTGTCACTCACTCGGCCTCTTTCCAACCTGACATCAATCCTGTACGCCTCACAGGCATTGTGGTATCTGCATTATCCTTCGTCACTTTTCCAGTTCCTAGTGAGACGCAGACCTTGATGACGTCTGGAAGACGGATTTCTTTTCTTTGCAAGCAGTGCATTAACTCGGGTCAGCACCGATTGAAAGCCCTCTTGATTACCAGAGCTAAACAGATAAATAAACTCTCGATATAGTAGCAGGTATGTATATAGCCAAAGATGTATCGTTAGAAGGAAGAGGAACATGAACACCGGGAAAATGCTAACAGCAATGATGATGGCAGCGACGCGGTTGAAAGTGACAATAGGGTTTTTGAGCTGCTGCCTAGAGAAAAGGAAAATATAGGGAGACACGCAGCCATTTCTGGGCGGTTGCTGCGCACCATTACCTGAATCATCAAACCAGAATGCCAAGTTATATGAGGCAAACAGGGCAGCTATCGTCATTCTCCAAATCACCCCCGACCAGGAGAGTCCAGGAGGCTTAAAATTCTTCAAACTCTTTAAGTATATCGACGGAAAAAAAATCTATCATGAAACACTGTCAGGAAGAGTGGTAGCTGACCATACCCGTAAAAAGAAATCTCTTACATCTGATTCCAGGACTTCAGTGCCAATTCCTCCAACACATTATGTGAATATGGCTCCTCGATTATGCGATGTAGTCTAATCCATTCAGCGTTCCATTCTGACTTGACTGCTCTGATCATTGTCTCCAGCTTAGCGAGCCGATCAGGGCTCATCAACCACAGACGTACGCCCAGCGTGCTGAGTGTAGTGATAAAAAATCCAAGCATAAACTGCAACATGATATACATCTCAATGGCTGATGAACCCTGCTGTGCTGCGATAATAGTTGCAACCAGTATAGCAAAGACAAATGTTGAGTTAGCATCGTAGGTGGCCTGCGCTGATTCTGGATCTAGAAGAAGACTGGTCCATGCTGAAACCCACTGCAGATAAACTCCAACCCGGATACCAAGACCATATAAATCGGAATTGCCTTCGAATGGTGTGCAGATATCCATTTGATCGGTTCTAGTTTACATCGAAAATGCCGCTGTTTTCAAGTGGTAGTAGTCTTTTGAATGAGACTATTCAGAGGGGGCTCAAGCAGCGCGAGAAATAGTTCACAGCTGAAAGAGGTGGAAAACATGATCGTCGATCGCGCTAACTACATTCATACTGATTGATATATTCAAAGATGCGTTGAGGTAGAAGAGGCTGTGAGCACAAAATCTGCGCCACCCCCTCATGCTCAGCCCCGAGATGACGGTCCTATTATAGCCTTATGGCTTCTCCAGGTATACCTATAATTAGCACAATGCATGGACAGCTTATTGGATCACGTAGTAAGAAAATATTGAGTCGAAATCAAGGTCCCAAGAGAACCGCTTTACTGCTACATATCTACATGACTCCATTGTCTTTACCAAGACATTCGATATCGAACGAAAAAGTTTGATTATACAGGTGCAGCCACCATAGTCTGAACCTTACTATCTCAAGTGAAGGCGACGGTCTTCGATACCAATAGTACACCCTGAGCCCACTACTGTCAAGATCATGTGGAAGTAATTAGGCAAAATTAGTTCTATTTAATGGTATATTCGCTGCGAGGCATTTTTCAGTATGCCCGCTTCTATAATGAAGATCCAACTTGTGAAGAACACAATCAAGCAATCTCCTTGAAGTGAACCAAGGTTGTCAAGTCAAGCAGTCTGCTCGAGTAACCCCACTCATTGTCATACCAAGCCATAATCTTGAAAAACTGTCCGCGTATCAGTAAACATGTTGAGTTTTCGGAGGTAGTATACATACTTGTGGGTTGAGCTCCGCACAAGCGGGTGCATCAATAATGGCACTGTATGGGCTACCATTGTAATCGCTGCTCACAAGCTCCTCATCTGTCACTTTGAGGACACCGGCCAATTCGGACTTGGAAGCCTTGCGGAATGCAGAGAGAATTTCGGCGAGTGAGGTTGGTGTTTCGGTGCAGATGGTAAGATCAATCATGGAGACGTTGGGGCTAAAGTGGGTCAGTTCCTGATCATTAGATCTTTTATATTATAGAGAAACTTACGTTGGTACACGGATCGACACTCCAGTCACCTTGCCCTGCAGCTGGGGCAAGACAGTAGCAATTGCCTTTGCAGCACCGGTTGATGTGGGGATGATATTGTTGAAGACTTGGCGACCTAGTTGCAAGCATTTGTTAGACACTTGTATGAATTACACTGATATATGAATCCCACCTAGACGACGGTTCTTCTTGCTATAGCCATCAAGAACTTGTTGGGATCGTGTAGCAGCGTGCACAGTTGTCAAGAAACCCTGTGTAATACCAAAAGACTCGTGAAGAACCTTTAAAACAGGAGTGACGCAGTTGGTAGTGCAGCTAGCATTGGAGATAACGCGGCATTCCTCATTCGAAGTATAGGTGTCGTGGTTCACACCAAAGACAAAAGTGGGTGAATCTGAGCTAGGAGCAGAGATAATCACACGCTTGGCTTGGCCGTAGGTAATATGTTCAAGGGCGAGGTCCTTTTTTGTGAATTTTCCGGTGCATTCGAGGACGTAGTCGACTTCCAGGGATGCCCAGTTCAGTTTCTTCAGGTCACGTTCTGATGTGAGGGCGATTCTGTTGCCTTCGATGGAGATAAATTTGTCTGAGATAGCTTTGATTTCGGTTCGCTCGTCTAGATCTCCCATGGATGAATCGTAGCGGATGAGGTAGATTAGGTCTTCAACGCTGACGCATGTGTGGTTGATGGCGACGATTTGCAGGTCGGAACGGCCTAGAGCGGCGCGGAGAACATTGCGTCCTATAGGTGAATGTGTTTAGTAGATGTTCAGCAGTTAAACGAAGTCATATCTTCCAAGATTCACTAACCAATACGACCGAATCCATTGATACCAACCCTACAACCGGAAGGTGAGGTTGTGTGGCTGGCGATATCGTTGATTGAAGGTGTCATAGCAGGAAAGACTAGGTATAACTACGCGAGTAAAAGAGTAAAAGAGTAAAAGAGCCTTGAAACCTTAAGGAATTGTTTGTATTCGAAGAAACTTTGAAGTTGATTCTACATGCGAGCTCTGGGAGAACGATTCTATAAGTACACTACCTAAGTATGGCCCCAATATAAGTCCGGGAACACCCGTATCAAGCACTAATAGTATTTCGGCTTCTCAGATCCCCTTTCCATCATTTTTGGAGGAATCAGTAATCTATTCCATAGAATTAAACTAATGCTAACCGAAACATCATATTGGCGGGTACCGCCATCGGATACACCACAATATCAACCAATGATATCACCGGTTCTCGCCGAAAACCTGCGCTCCATTCCCGGGGAGAACCTCCCGTCATACAGATGCTGTGACGCAGCCCACGTCTGGGTGGATGTTTTGGTGGTCCAGACTGGGGGTAGAAAGTACCGAAAACCGGAGGAATCATCCCCTACAACGTAATCCATTGGTTCTATTTGGCGATCTTTCTCTAACATACTCTTGTCCCTAGCACTAAATATGACTTGATTGTTGACCACTGGAAGTTTCTTAAATGTGATTTGCGGGTGAACACCATTCCCTATTGTCTCTTCCTCCGTATCGGGATTCCGAAGTATACCGCTGGGATCCGATTTCGCCGATCGGACAGGGGGAAGTCGACCCGGTACTATCATCACAGATTATTACATTAATCTGTAAAGCGCCTAGCTGAAGCTTATTTGTTATACGAAAAACATCTAAATATAATATTTTTGAAAAAAATGTACAGCCACCTGGGTTCCGATGAAGTCTGCCCAGGTGCCCAGGTAGAGACAGATAATTCATGACATTACGATAATGGGTAATGAGGCTAAAAGAACATTAAGGATAGATATAAGTCATTTTGAACCTGAATATTCAGGTTCTAATGGAGACAGTTGTTATTGGCAATAAATGGTGGCCTGAAGTGTTCGAGCAATAAAACTGAATATAGCGACTGAGCCCATACCTGATGAGACATCTCTACTAGCCGCACCATTCTCTCCCAAAGTACAATGGCGTATGTTTGAAATATGCAGATAGGCAATGTTTGGGTAGTTTGCCAAAGTGGTGTTCAAATGGGAGATCAATTTGGAGACAACTTGACGTCTGCATAATCTCTAACTCAACCTTAGAAGGGTTATATCTATACAGAGTGTATGCTGGAAAAGGAGCTGATATCAAATACAGTTCTATGATTGTATATCACCTGATGGCTCAGGTAAGAAAAAGAAGACGTGAAAAGATAAGACCCAGTCCAGGATTCGAACCTAGATCTCCTCTCAAGATTTTATCGATAAGAATACGAAAACAACACAGGTGATAGGTGTCTTTTTTTGGCTTGAGGGAGGGTACCTTTCCCATTAGACAGCTGGGCATATATTCATGAAAGCTTGTCCCGAAGTTCAACAATAGTAAAACATCTCTTTCAAAGAAGGAACATTACCTAGGTAGGAAGTTGAGCTTGAAATTAGACTTGAGTTTTGATTTCGACATATGGAAATATGGCGTAGATATGGAATTAGGGTTTGAGACCTTACCCAGGTGTATGACGAAGTGTGAGGAAGTGAGAATAAGTACATGCTCAAAGACGCCGTGAAACTATGAGGCTCATGTTAAATTGGTGAAAAGGTTCATTATTGCTCCCAAGGTCTTGACTCTATCGACACGAGCATTTCCTCAACCCCCTCCCTATGCTGAAGCTAGTTTCTTAATCTCTGCTACAACGGCATCAGTAACCTCCTTAGTAGTGGCATTTCCACCCAAGTCACGGGTCAGAACACCCTGCTCGCAAACATTTTCGACACAGTCCAGGAGCTTCTTAGAAGCATCTTCCTCACCCAGCCAGGCGAGCATCTCAGCAGCAGTCCAGAACGTAGCCACTGGGTTCGAAATACCCTTTCCAGTGATATCAAACGCAGATCCATGAATCGGCTCGAACATGCTAGGATGTTCACGTGTCGGGTCGAGGTTAGAAGTGGGTGCAATACCAATAGATCCAGCCAAAGCCGCAGCAAGATCCGACAGAATATCAGCATGCTAAGAGGATGTGAGTAACTTATCAGTGGATTCAATCGAGATAGACTCACCAAGTTTGTAGCAACAATGGTATCCAGGGACTTGGGATTCAGAACCATGCGAGTAGTCATCGCATCAACAAGCATCTTGTCAACAGTCACATCAGGAAAGTCCACAGCCACCGCCTTGGCCACTTCATCCCAGAGAACCATTCCGTTACGTTGGGCATTGCTCTTCGTGACAACAGTCAACAGCTTGCGAGGGCGCTTCTGTGCAGTTTCAAAGGCAAAACGCATAAGTCTCTCGACTCCGTGTCTAGAGAAGATTGATACCTCGGTGGCAATCTCCCACGGCTTTCCGACGTGAGACCGACCACCTTGGCCTGCGTATTCACCCTCGCTGTTTTCGCGGATAATGACCCAGTCCAAGTCTCCTGTGTTGCAGTTTCGCAATGGCGACTCAGTGCCGCGAAATACGCGGGTAGGGCGAACATTTGCATATTGCTGGAATGGCTGGCAAATAGCCAGACGAAGACCCCAGAGAGAAATGTGATCAGGGACATCTTCACATTCATTAAATTTCATGCTAAATCTATGTTCATTGGTGATTCACTTACCAGGTGCGCCAACTGCGCCGAAGAAAATGGCATCGTGCTTCTTTAATTCTTCGAGACCACCATCTGGAATGTACTTGCCAGTCTTTTTGTAGGTTTCAGAACTCCAGTCATAGTTTGTGAATTCGAGATTGAAAGTATTGAGAGTGGAAGTCAAGGCATTCAGAGCGGTGATACCAGCTTCGATAACCTCAGGGCCAATTCCATCGGCAGGGATGGATGCAATGCTGTACGTTTTACCGGAAGGAGACATCTTGAGATATATGCGAGCCCAGTTTTAGGAAGTTTGAGGAGGAGAGTCAGGAGAGAAGATATCAAGAGTTTTTAAACTACGCCAACCGAGACCTCCTTTGATACAAACCCCTCTATGGTCAAATGTGTGGCCAATAGGTTGTCACAATGGTGTCGTCGGAGATTTCCAAGGCCGGGAAAGTCGCGTCGTTGGCTCATCCCGAGTAGCTCCATTACCCGTCGGAGAAAGACAAGTCCGAAATACCCACAACCGGTCCGTCAATCCAGTTTGTTCATGGCGACACATTGAATATTATAGCTGATTATAGTAAATTGCCATCAATCATCCAAGGTCCGTCTGCAACACTCCATAGATCATTCATAAGGAAGGACGATGGGTCAAACGATGATGACTCTTGGCCTTGCATTCCCGGATAAAATGGAGCACTTCTGTTTGCTGTGTTACCAAAAATTAAGGACGCCGAATTTGGTGTATGAGAATAGAGGTCATCAACATGAAGTTCTATTCCGTTGCATTGAGTGGTCATATCCGCATGGAGCCTGGTTTCGCTCCTTTGCATGGGAGAGGCTACGGGCGTGTCAAATGCGTGTACCCTCGAAGAAGTGACTTGAGATACACCCGCACCTTGTTGTTCAAATAGAGAAGAAGTTCTTACACTGGGCGACAATCCTGAATTGTTTGTCAAAGCGGTCGAGCCGGAAGTTGACTCATGTGGCTGTTCAATATGGGAGGTGGGAACGTTCATCAAAGCTGACTCCATGCTTCTTATTGCCTCAATACAAGTATCGGGCCAGCTGCTTCCATGTAGAGCAAGGTTCTTCAGGACAGATATACCCATTCTGGCATATTTTAGCGCCGTAGGTATGGGAAGTTTCCCCTCACAAGACGCATACATGAGAATGAGGCATGCCATCCAAACAACCCAAGTAAATGATGGCCATGTAAGTGGCACGTCCGAAGAAGACATATATTTCACCAATGCTGAGAGTAACGACCGCGAAGAAGAGATGCAAGTCTGCAGGGCATTGTTATAATCCGGACTAGGTTCTTCCGCGGCGAGAAGTGGACGGTTCATAGAGATTATTGCTTCATGTCTAAGAATGATAAGGAGTAGTCGGTGGTAGGGTTTCAAGACCGATTCCGATCCCGACCCCTGGGGATGTGTTGTATCTTCTATAGGGTTGACATCGTCGTATACCTCATTCCACCATTGAGATAGTTCGCCATTAACATGAGACGCCTCGACGGTGCCGGGGTGACTATGAAGAATGGACTTGTTCCGAAGCTCTAAGATCAATCCGCGAACTCGAGAAAATTTTGCAAGGTAGCAGAGTAACCGCAGGCGCTGATCATCGAGAGGATTCAGGGAGGGAGTAATGTGTCTTTCAGATCCTGGATAACAAACGTCGATGTCATCGTCATGAATGCTGAGGGGGATTCCCAGGGCTTGAGAAAGGTATCTCTCAAGAGAATAAATGCACCAAAATAGACGACGGCGAATGTCAACCTCGTCGCCTCTGAAGCAGGAAAACCGCCCCGGACACCGGTGTAGACCCAGATGAAATGCAGTTCTTGTAATCACACCTCCTACCCGGGAAGCAGCATTAAGACGCAGAAGCGAAGTGAGCACAAGCTGGACCATGAAAGTAGCCTGTAACAACGGAAGAGTTGTTGGTTCAACTAGAAGACTTGGAATGTCTTGCATGATATGCCGAACAGTTTGAAACAAAAGAGTTGCGGGAACAGGCCGTAGTTTTGCCTCGGGTGATGTGATTTGCCGTCTATCTCCGAGTGAGATGGAGATTATAGATCGGACAATCACCAAATCCAGTTTGCTAACAGAGTTGGGTCCTTTGCAGCTGATAGTTTCCATGACTTTGAGAATTGTCGGAGCATGCAGGCACGGGAATATCGGATGCCAATATTCAAAGTAGCTGCGGGTCCAGTGGACGAGGTCATCAAAGGAATATGAAGCTTCTGGTGAGAAATTTAATTCCTCTTTCGACCATAGCTCGTCCGTATCGTGATTTCCGGTAACACGATGCAGTCGATCGTCTTCTCCCGGCACTGAGGTCCTGTCCCGAGATCTAGTCTGCTGTAAATCTGCAGAGCGGATAGCAAAGGCATTTTGAACATGCCGTATGAAATGAATGCCGCTGGAGCTTCCGATAAAGCTAGCAGAACTATTGTTTTGAGACTCTCTCATGAAGCCAATTTCACGTGGAGATGGCCTGGAAGTCTCCGTGGTTGAGGCTCGCTTACGTCGCTTGGCAGTTCTCGAGCTATACTGCCAACCGGATTCATTATGGTCGTGTGTGTTGATAGATGATGGGGAGGCCATTTCGACCGTACATCTTCTAGAGTCGAGACCATACAGAGTGACTCAATCAGTCATATTGCAAACTCCGTTATTATGTGGTCTGCTTTCGTACATATTGCATGTATGGCCTTGGCTTCACACTCAGTCAAAGATGAGGTTGATAGACGCGATTGGCGGATTAAGGTGGACCTAGCCTGGCGCACGTGATCTGTCCGGTGGTTTTCAAGTCCGGACGACTTTCTTATTCTTACAGCGGATGAACCTATCAGAGCAGCAGATTTGGTGGAATTCTTCAATTGACTATTGTTGATATTTAATTTTGTAAATCAAAATTGGCAAAATGGGACCATTGCGATCAAGACGTACTCGGCCATCAGAGAATACTTACGGGCTGGGTATCAACTAAAGCAACGCATGGTAATGTGTCAAGGGCTAATATCTCGAGGTGAAGCTGAATCGGCAAATGAAAATGAAAAGAGCACAATCTCATGCGAGGCTTGTCGACATCGAAAGTGTAAAGTTAGTATACACCTCATACCTCCGGGGTAGAGTAGAGCTGATTTGAGTCTAGTGTGATCGCAAAATGTAGGATAGTTTCCAAGTTTTGAATTTGAATCTGATCAGTTCCGTACAGACCCTACTGCTCTCAGTGCTTGAGTGATCCATCTAAATGTGCTTATCCAGAAAGTGGCAAAAGGTGGGTTGAAAAAACACATCACATTTAGTTTATTAAACTAACGGGTATAGGGGCTTGCCGTTGGGATATCTCAGCCAATTAGAGAAACGACTTACCGAGACGGAGACCGCTTTATACAGGACTCTGATGACATTGGGTACGATAGGGCCGGCAGACTTGATGTCCGCTTCAGTTATAGCAGATCCGGGGCATAAACCGAAGCTAGCACGTATGGATGAGTGGTCTCAATACTCACTGCATGGAGAGCGAGACCTGTATCGCTGGATGTCTGCTGTATCCGACCGATTCTCTGTCGAGCCTCCACTCGGAGTACATTTGCCAGAAATACCGGCAAGTGTATACGATAGACCAATATCTGCCGCTCATGACGTAGATTTTGGCACATCAGAAGCCACATCACAAGGAGAGCTTCGTGGTGTCGCTCCTCGTGCATGGCAACGGGATGAAGTCCACATGGAAAGCCCCTATGAAACCCACTTGCACCCACAGGGTCTTGACTCTTCATCGGCATACCTATACGATCAAGTTGAACCATCGGATAGTGGAGCATCACCAGATATTCTGGATCATGAACATGGGACAAAGGACGGTCATATAGAGGTTGAACAATCTCGCAAAGCAGATGTCTTGTCGAAAAGTAAACCATGCATCTATTTTTAAACTCATAAGTCCCTGTTCATCAGCATTTAATATGACCGGGGCCCTATTGTGTAGTGAAGACGGGGTCGCACTTTAACTGCGACAGGGTTCCTATCTACGGGGTATACGGAGTACTCCGGGCGGATTACACACTGAATAAAACATTCGTCCCGAGGTTACTTGATGGAACGAGTGTTTCCTAGATGTTTTTGCGTAAAAAAATGAATACACTTAGACTTCTTCATGGTGATATGTTGATATAGGTCGATTGAAAGCTGAAATCAAGACCCACTGCTCCGTCCTTATTGAGAAGGAAGAATTTAAGAGCTTGGACTAGTCCCACATCAGCCCACTTTAGCCCCGAAATTGAGTCCTTATAGGCCAATCGAAGAAGAGAAAAGAGGAACCAGATCAATCAGCTGCTGAGCCTGCCTCTGTCGCAGACGGCATCGATCCTTTCAAGCCAATCAGACTATGTCTCGAGGTGACCCGCGATGCAGGAGGCGTTTTCCTGGAACATGTCGATCCGCTCCACCAACGGAGAACCGCCTTCTTTAAGCCTGGACTGTGATGGTAGGAGTGAAACCTTATGCTCTACCTGATACATGATGGCAGCACTGGCTTTCGAAGTGTTTCATTCAAATTCAAATAGCCAAAAGGACCGTTATCATTGACATGTGCCATATTGTTTGATTTATGAAGTTACCCTGTCAATTCCGAATACCTACACTTCATGACGTTGCCCTTGGTTCAGTGGTGTAAATGCCCGAAGGTCCAGCCCCTAACTTAAGCGCCTGAAAGCACGGGCGTAAATGTGCCCAGTCCTTGGTCTGTATCCCCACGAACGGGATCAATAAAATAGTCGTCCGTAGATGCAGGAAGGCGAGATCATTAGGGGGAAAAAACCAATCCAAGAAAAAAGAACCGTTCGCCACGTTTGTTGGGCTAGACTGCTCGGTCCCTGGTTCGTGTAATCAAAAAGAGTGAAAAAAACTCATGACAACCTTTGGTACGCAGAGTTCGCCATACGGAAAAGTGGGTAGAAGTCAAGTGGGGATGAAAAGGTGACTAAGTAAAAGCCTAAGCGCCCTGAACTCCACCTTCCTCTTCTTCCACTACTTACTCTTCTACTTCCCCTTCTCTTCTTATCCTTCATTCTCTCTACTACATTCCTTTTCCTTTCTTCGGAGTTTCGTAGATACTATGATCTGTGATCTTTGATCTGCTCCATTTCCTTTTCTTGTAACCCTTTATTCTATACCCCTGCGTCCCTGGCTGAACGCTTCCCATTCCTTCCCTTGACCATCTGGGATTCAATAGAGATTCATCTCGCTACTTTGCTGTGCAAAAGTTCAGGCAAATCTCAATCATTCATTTTGAAAAACTTGTGTGCAAGTCACCAACTGGCAAAATTACCCCATCTGCCTTTATCTGATACCAGACATTCCTGGTATTGATTGCCCACTCCTCAACTGTCTCCACATCCGCTATCATCTCCCACGCGAGATCATCATTCGGATCCGACCGTAAAATATTGAAAAAAGAATAAAAAACAAACTCCCGAAAACGCCTCATCAATCATATTGGACTCTGATTTCACAATAACAAGCCCGACTTCGTTCTTCATACCCTAACTCATCATGTCGACACTCACGCGCGCGTTCACCCGACGCAATAAGCGGCCTGAAGTGTCTGCGCCCATGCCGTATCACGGCGAGGGACATGTTCGATTTAATTCGGGTACTATCAAACGCGACAATATCTCGGGCCCCGTTCAACTTCTTTCCACTACTAATATGCTGGCCTACAACGCGCCTGATCTAAGATCTCCCATCGGCTCATCGGCATCATCCTTGCAATCACGGGACGATGATTCTATCTCTCCTCGTAGCCTTGCTTCCTCTATCACCACTCAGGATTCTTCCTCTCCAGTGGAACCCAACCCTCTGTCTGCATATTTCCCCAAGCGGTCTGCAACTGTGACTAGTACTGTTACCAGCCACCCGCGCTCTTCTACGCAATCGTCTTCCTCGATGTTGTTTGACAATCCTCAGGCCCCAAGACGGGCCCTGTCGCATACCAAGAAGTCACACCAAGATCTTGCCCGCAAGCGCTCTCAGAGGAGGATGTCGCCACCGCCACTGCACTCGCTGAACTCACCGCGTAGTAATTCTACTACTCGCTTCTCACATGATATGATTCAGCCCGAAGTGCACCCATTCAGCAAGGAACTGGAGCAAGTAAACGAGGTTGCCGAGGAATTCGGCAACCTTCGCGGCATGACTGAGGAGGAGCAAATTCTTTTTACAAGGGGACTCAAGAAGTTCACCGCCAATGAATATTTGGTGGAGATTGAGATTCTCTACAGCAATATTTTTAATGATGTACGGAAAGGAGCTCGTATTGACACGAGCTCATGGCTATAAGGATCTCTAATCACGACCACTTCTTTTCACCCGGTTGATCCGGGCTATTTGGCGATGAATTTGACCTTTCCTCAGCCCTTGGAGGGCTGTTTACGACTAACTCTTATACTCTCTCTTGGACTACCTCCTTGTTTTTTGTTGCGCTATACCATGCGAGGAACCATTCTAGTTCCCTACCATTATTTATCCTGTCATCATGTTTTGCTACCATTTTATTATATGGTTTTATTGTCGTATGGTTATGGGCTGTGTTTGATGTGGGATCCGAGATGAGCCGTAAGGATAGGTACGATATATGACCTTTTATCTAGATTTAGTTTGATTCTCATTACCGGATCAATTGATCACAATATATTCAAAAAGTTATGATTCTGAAAAATCTACTGTATGCTGCACTTGCAAGGGTAATGTAATGGTAATAAAACCAAACATCTTTGTATCTTCCATGATTGTAGACCTCGGTACACTCACTGCTTTTGGCCAGGCTGCCCAGATGGTCCGTCTCTAGATCAATTTACAAGTAGAAGTCAACCCAAGACTTCAGTTGCAACACCAGCTCTGCAGCGACTCTTCGAGCAGTCTACCACCAGATTCAGGACGCTTTTCACTTGGGCAAAGTCAGTCGGTCAAAATTCTCCGTTGACGCCGTACTCGACCCTAAGACATGAGGTATCATTCACATGGTGCGCAATGTAGTCCGTTCAACATGCATCGGTGGGTGACGATTTGAGATATTGTGACAATTTGTCACGCACAGATGAAATATTTCGTCGTCTCCAGCTCGCCATGTTAGGTCTTTTCATACTTCAGTCTGAGATTAGCTTCAAGTGTTAGGCATGAGTGGATAATTGTTGGGGTGGGACCTCGGGACAAAAGGTTCAATCAATGCTCCGGGGCCGGCCCCAACGTGTTGCGCTTCTAATCTTATGCTCCTAGACATTCTCTAGGTGCACAGGACACCAAAAGAACAGGATACCAAAAGAACAAAATTGAAACAACAGGATTATTCCAACCGCCATGCCTTCAATAACAAAGCTATGGCTCTCCACTCTAAAGGACCCCAACTGCGTCTCCACGCCTGAATTCCAACAACTCATCACCGAGCTGCTCGATTTCTGCTCTTCGTACACGAATCCAACGAAAGATGCGAGAGCCCCATCCATGCACGCATTCTTCCAAGATACTCAGGATCCATCGAAGCTCTTCATGATCACCGGGTACCCCTCACAGGAGATGAATACAGAGGCAGATAAGGTATACGCGGAGCGATATCTGCCCCGTATGTTCAAATTCGTTCAGCATAAGGCGCTCTACCAGATTGACGTTGATGTTCGAACACTGCCACTGAATGGCCAGGTTGTCGTTGCCGTGGGCAAGAATCCCGAGCAGTGGAAGGATGAGAAGAGCGTTGGTGCCTGGGATTATTGGCGCGAGACACGGGGGATCAAGGTCGAGGAGGCGGATAAGCTGTGGGTACAGGTTGAGGAGTGGGATGAGAGTTCTGCTGGGGCTTCGACTTCGACTCCTATTGATGGCGGGGTGATGCGTCTAAAGAATATCGGGAGCTCGTGATCATAATTTGGATAGAAGTCGCATTTCTGAACCGAATGTATAGATCTTCCGTCGGCATTTTAAGATGCAGTTGTGCTTATTTAAGCCGTAGCTCACTGAACAGATCAGTCAACAATGACAATGTTTCAGCTGGTCGGCCCTATGCATTCCCTCGAACGAGATAGCTTTGCCAGCCTGCATCGCGTGCAGCAACGTAGTCATTTTCATAGTCATCTCCTACGGGAACACGAGTCCAAGGTTCATCATCATGGCGATTTCTGTTTTGGAAAGGCCGTATTCGTGGGCCGTGCTAGCGTATTGATCTGTGACGGGCTTGCGGGGGTGTCGAGGGTGTCAAAGGTGTCGAATGTTTAGGAGGAGGGTTCGTGGGGTCGCACTTGTAGTTGCTTTTTCTAATTGCTTTACATGTTACTGAGCGGGCGTTGGTGAGGAGGTCATTGTGGTAGTGGTTTGTTGGTGGAACTTGAATGACGCGGGTCGCGCCAAGTTGGGCATGATAACGACTCTCTTGACTTGAAGCTAGTAGATTCATGGAAATCGACCCGGAGTAATAAATGAGAAGTGGGGTTGTGTGAAACTGGGGTCCTGCATCTTGATCATAACCTGCTTCTTAATTGACTCGATAGAGGCTGGTATAGTGAGACTGGTTAGGGGGTACTCTCCTCCGCGCCCTTCGGCCTCGAGAGCTAAGTAGCCCGGGGCATAAGGCTCAACATCACTTGTCCACTGCTCTCGGTCACATAGGACCATTGAGTTTGGAAGTTGGTTAGCGTCCTTAGCTTGACAGAGAATATCGATGATCGGTAGGTCCATATCAAGTCTTATTATACATCAGTTTATTAGTCTAACATGTTAAGTCAAAAAATACTTACGGCGGATTTTGGTGTCTATAAGCACCGTCACAATACTTAATATCGTCAAAACTTGACCAATTATGGAAAGCGATTATGTATGGCGTTTTCATATTAAACGGGCGGACCTCAACGGAATCTCTCACGGTCCCGTTGGTTTCATAGGTGACAATTGTCAGGCGCCCAGTTTGCAGGCCTAGAGCATCAACCAACATGTATGGGCCGTAATAACCACAATAGAGCACCGTGCCAGTCTGTGTGAGAAAGATAGACCCGAACTGTGCGGTCTCAAGATCCGCCTAGGGTAGATAATCCTCTACTGAAGGATCGGTAGTGGTTTTTGGATTGAGGATCGCCTCCAACGGCATATAAGCATCGAGTAGACAGTGGCCAGTCTCGATATCATAGTTGTACAACAGGATGGCGAATTTCACCCATCGCGCCCGATTGGCAGCATGTTTCTCATCAATAGGGGCGAGAAAAACCAGAGTGGTGCTATAGCTTGGCTGAGAAGTTTCGTAGAGACGTTCCAATGCTTTGGCTGGGTATCGAAGACCTTCAATGTGATCATTATTCCTTGGCCCCTCCGTGCCTGGAAGACCCACAGGTGCACGAGATTGGTACGCCTAGATGAGGAAGAAAAAGAACTAGTTAGTGCAATGGACTTCAGGGATTTAACAGAGTTGGACCGAGGTGAATTCACATCACGGAATTCCTGTGTAGCCGAAGCCCACTTTTCCACCAGTTCTCGCCGGTGGTTTAACTCATAGTTCTTATCGGAGGAACCTGCGTTTGCTGCAGAAACCCAATTTTCCTGGCTGTATGTTAGCACGGAATTGGAAGTGGTAGTTGGAAATGTGAACGCTATGAAGATATATACCTGTACAAAGAGTAGCCAGCCCTTAACTTCCTCTTTGATCTGATCCCAAGATAGATCTGGTTCTGGGTATGGTTGGATGCAAGTGGGGATTCCCCCTGGCCAGTGTTGAACGGATCTCGGCATCATGTGAGTGATCAAGTGTAGGGGTCCAAGGAATAAATGATTCAATTAAATAAACGAGCACTGAAATTGCCGGAAGAAATACTTTGGCCAACCATGTACTAGTGAAAGTTTCACTAGCTTGATTAGCGGGGCGCCTAACTTGGTTGGGACCATCAGTTAGGACGTGGTCAACAACAATATAGTGTATTACCGGGCACTTTTGACCACACCTGAGTGTAAAATGGACACGATTATACGTCTGGAGCTGGCGGCTGAATACCAACACAACGCGCAGCCAAGACAGTACTCCCCCAAAGAGATACAGATCATCAAAGGATACATCGACAAGAACCTAGAACGAGGTTACATCAAGAGAAACATATCGAAGAATTCTGTCCCGAAGAAAGGGACGGATGAACTGCGAGTTTGTGGAAATTACATACCGCTGAACCGTGTTTCGTAACAACGAACCCACGCGCCACCCCCGACAGCGGCATATCAGAACAACATATTACGCGCAACACGGTTCTCGAAATACGACATCGAGGAAGCATCTGTCACCTGCAATAACTTTCTAGTCTCCGATTAGATGACCTCGGAGAGCCTCAGTGGGACTACATTATTGATCATCTTTTTGTCGTTGCGGTCACCGAATTGGAAGGTAGCTGGGGATGTTTGCAGGCAAACTTGTGGCCTCGCTTGCCTGAGGGATATCGATTGACCCATTAGAATAAGTACTCGTCTTTACAGAATTGCTTCTACCGCATCCTATGCAGTCTATGCAGCGTGAGTGGAAGTGCTAGTTAGCCCATAACTTGATAAAATCTAATTTTTTTTTTGTTTCCCAATAACTTGAACGTCACGGTAAATTCTCTTTTCATCCCATCCCTAATAACACGTCTCTCTAGGGCTACTTGAAAGCACTGGTCTTTGGGAAAGAATCATACACAAAATATTGGATCCTGGCGAAAATCGCCCGTGAATATCTAGTGTTTAAAGTCTCTTTGATATCGCCCGGGACATCTGTCAGTATTGCCTTAGTCGTTGAAATACCGGAAATATTCAAAATTTAATGACCTTACTATGAGCAAGCTCTAGTCAAAGATGAAGGGTTTTGAATTACAAAGAAGAGAGACGTTTGAAGACAAATGTGATAACCTGTTTACCTAGGTACAAATAGTAACGAAATTCTGTATTATGCCGAGGTTCTAACTTAAGAGAGAACAAATCTTCAGCAACAATTTTAGTCTAGCGAAATACAGTGAATTTTCCTCAAACATTGGAGACATGTGTAAGATGGTCAAATATAACTTTCCTAACCTCGAGTCCGTAAGCCATGAAGCAGCGTCTATCCACTTTTAACTACTTTGTATGTGCAACGGCCCCGGGCTCTTGTACCTAGGAATCATATTATTTGCATGATATGATCCCATAGGGTAGGAGTTGAACTATATTGGCCCCAATTCTATTTTTATTAGGCTAGTTTTTTTTGCCCTATTTAATGACAGAGTAACGGGGCAAGATTTAGTTTAAAGGATTTCAGAACCATCAAAGTTATCAGCATTACCTGCGTAATCTAGCATGGTGTCATATCGAATTCATTTTCTCATCCTCTACCATCCACTATGGATCCAAGTTAATTCTCGAACAATTGAAGGATCTGGGTCGGTTTCAAATTCTATGCAGAATCCTTGCCCAAGTACCAATATATGAAGGATTCTAAGGTTAATTTCTCTTGGATCACTGCCCCTGGTGATAATCTTGTCCTTAAACTATCCTTTAAATTTCTAACTGACTCAGCCACAGTCGGTACAATTGTCTTCAAGATGCATCTCAATAGGCTCCCGCTGATCTTGTTGAGTCTTTATGCGTTTTGGATATCGTTGACATACTCCGCCCCAACTGTCAAGACAGACAGCTCGTTATACGAAGCACGCACACAACTCTCTACGCACCAGCCGTCGGCCCGAGATCTTATTCAACGGGAGGACCATGTCTTGAACCATCTAGTACGTCGCAAGCTCCCAAAGGAAATTGCGGACTGGGACCTTTACGAGGCATGGGACAATGCTGTATTGTCTACGCCACCACACGTTTTCGCCATTCCTGCAAATATTCCAAAAGGAACAGCCGTTAAAGGAAAATCAAACAATGATTATAAATTTGAAACAGAGGAGGATTGTGTGATTGAAAAGAAGTATCTCAAATTAGGAGATGAACTTGGGCATGGATCATTCGGCACCGTCTACAAAGCCATATACACCGTCCCGAATACAGAATTTGGCGGTAGCAGCTCTATCTCAGTTGCCGTTAAAACAGCGCAGACTGAGCCAGGCAACATGATTCATGGAGCAATTTTGCAGAAATCGATCAAAAGCGACTATATCGTTCCAGTTTTTGACATTTTCTATGTCCCAAAGGACAATGAGGCATTCGCGATTATGTCAAAGGCGAGTGATGGTGATTTGGCAGATTATGCAGAGAAGTCTAAAGTTTCTAAGAAAGAACTCGAGAAATTGTTCCGACATGTGTTGTTTGGTGTACATAAATTACACTCCATGCGCATTATGCACCGTGACATTAAGCCAAATAACATCCTTCTGTTCGACGATGGATCTCTCCCCAAAATCGCCGACTTCGATATGGCAATCGAAGCCGACAAATCTAAGCAATTCGGTATTGGAACACCAGGGTTTGTGGCACCAGGTAAGTCACATTCATTCCTCTTTGAGAAGCAACTTCGTTCGACTAATAATTTATATGAAATTGTAGAAGTTATAAGACTTCGGGAATATGGTACCGGGGCAGATATCTTTGCGCTGGGAATGACCTGGATCGAAATCTTGAAACCTTCTCGATGGAATGGTGATGATTTGTTGTCGCTTTGGAAAGACCTCGTGGTCCCTAAGGAAAGCAAATCTAAGGCGAAGAGCGTATGGCTAAGTCGGAAAAATGTCAAAACTGTTTTGACCAAGAGGCTGGGGAGTTCGACATACTGGACCGAGGCTAAACTCAACCTGTTATCGAAGGTTCTTTGTGAGCCTAAAAGCCGAATTGGTATTGTTGATTTTATAAAAGGGTTCGATGCTATGATGAAAGGAAAATCCATAAATTTGGAATAAGATGAAGATGCTAATTCATGACTAGAGGAATAGAATATATTAGATAGTGAAACTCGTTACTGAGTAGCATTGATTTAAGACTGAAACTGTAAGAGTACTGTAGATAGGACCTAGCATCAAGTACCTAGGTAAGAGAAAAATGGTTAGATAGATCCAAAGAAGTAGATGGGTACAGTGATTAGTATTGAAAAGAGCACCCGGGGCATGCTCATCTACTCAGTGAGCAAGCACTAAAAGGGAAAGCTAAGCAAGGGGGAAGGGAATCAACTTTCTAGGTATATGCTCGTCAAGATAGCAAGAAATAGAGAGATGATTTGGGATAGACTTAGCTAGATTCAGAGGAACTTAGACGGCTATGTCAATAGCTTAGATCGGCGTGTCAATCTGCTTCCTCATTATCTTGCCAGTAGCGAGACTGGATAGAGTCTGGTCCGGCAACCATGTAAATACAGGATCTATGTTGCTAAATCCCGTGGAAGCCGATATAGGCAAAGTCAGCTAGTTTAGAAGAAGTAGAAAATGAGCACACGATGATATGATAGCAATATTACCCAATTAGGACTAGTATGGTAGGGCCTCGCGGTCACGGGCTCCGCAGCCCCACAGGCTTTTCCATAAGGAAAAAAATTTCCATGTCAATCTCAACTCGCATTTTGCAATCGTTATCTCCAGAAGATCTTCGATCTAACTTGGTGATTGAAACAGTTTTGGTGGTTTTATTCTTCGTTGTAGCGAAACCATAGTGAATACTCAACTCTCCTTGTCGTGCAATTCGACTACCTTCACGTCCCTTGACCGAGACCTGCTCTTCGTCACTGGGTGTTATGGGTCGATGTCTATAACTCGACACCTTGCTTATCTGGTGTCTTTTCCTTCCATCTTCTCTCTTCCTTAAACAAGGGATCGGACATGGTCTCTATTGCCACTACCCATCACACTTCGGGGCTTACGGCCCCCTCCCTCCCTCCCTCCAAAATGGCTGCACCTTCATCTTCCCCGGTATCTATTCTGAAATCCTCCAGCCTTATCGGCAAGAAACGAAAAATGGATGAAGTTGATCGCAGCCTCTCCCCTCCCTCCTCTATCGATGGGATCTCCGAAACTGCCCCTATCAGCCGCAAGCGACCCCGCGTTACATTCAATGAGAGCATCCAGACGCGCGAAATCGCCATCGATGAACTTCCACCCACGCCGCCAACGACCATCAAAAGCCTAGCTGTCATTCGAGAGGAGGTTCGTGGAGCCATCTATCGGCATGTCACATCCTCGGACACGGAAGGGTACAACCAGATCAAGGAAATATTTGCTGCCGACCCGAGAAAACCAGATGATGCATATGAAATGCCATCACACTCAACCTTGCGAAATCATCTTATGGCCCTGGTCTCACACATCTCCTCTTTAGACCGCAACTGCAGCAGCCTTGTGTCTGCCATTCTCGACAGCGAATGGGTGGGTCGCGATGAGGCCTATGTGAAGCTTTTCATTCGATTTCTGGGCAACCTCTGCGCTGCGCAAGGTACATACCTCGCTCTAGTGCTCAAGATGTTGACCTCAAAACTCACCGGCGTGCCCCATGGAACCGGTCGACTGCCTGGCTACCCCATAGTCCAACCATCCGAGATCTACCGACGCGTTCACCTGGCCCTGCGACATGTGACGCGACTTGTGCCATCAGCCAGTGGAGCACTGTCGCCGATTTTGTCTCAGCAATTCCCTTACGAAACCGACCCTGCCAAGTGTTTTATCGCCTACACTCGAAATCTTCTCCAGATTATTCCCTACATCCCTGAGCTTCAGGGCGATATTCTCTCTGTCATCACCGATAAACTGGTTAAAGTGGACGTTCAGATCCAGATCGACCTGGAAGAATTTGAAGATCTCATTGGAGAGGAACTGACCCATCAATCTTCCCCTGACCCTGACGAGGAGCTTGAAGACGATGATGATTCAGTGCCCAGTGACGATGAGGATGAAGAAAACCAACGCGTCCAGTTGATCAAAGAAAGCATTCATAAAGTTGACGGAATGATTGACTTGCTCTTCGACTACTACAAGACACCGTTCGAGACTGGCAGCGAGACTGACAAAGAAAACGCTTTGGACCTCCTCCTGAGCCATTTCCAGAGCATTATCCTCCCGACCTACCACTCCCGACACACTCAGTTTCTCCTTTTCCACTTCTCCCAATGCTCCCCAGCCCTCGTGGATCGATTCGCCTCTGCTTGCATCCAATTGATCTTCAACAAGCTGCAGCCAGGTATCATGCGCCAGTCAGCTGCCGCATACCTGGCAAGTTTCGTGGCCCGTGGTGCCCACATTGCCAGTGATGTCGTTCGTGATGTTTTCGACCTGCTGCTCATGCACCTGAACACCATGCGCCGGGATTATGAGAATGGCTGCCGCGGCCCTGACCTTCGTCGCTACGCTCCATTCTACTCAACCGCGCAGGCTATCCTCTATATCTTCTGCTTCCGCTGGCGTGACCTGACCAATGCATCCATTGAAGGAGACAGCATTGAGCAGATCGAGGAACTGGAACCGAGCCAGATCACGTTCCCGCCGAATGTCAAGGAATTCCTGCACAAGGCGATCTACTCGCGACTGAACCCTCTGAAGATTTGCTCTCCTGGTATTGTCACGGAGTTTGCACGTATCGCCCACCACTTCCAATTGCTCTATGTATATTCCCTTATCGAAACCAACAAGCGTCTTCGAATTACTGGCTTCCGAAGCATATCTTCCATCTCCAGCCGCGACGTTCATGCAGGTGACCATCTTGGCTACCAGCTTGATGCATATTTCCCTTTTGATCCTTATCAACTGCCTCGCAGCCGACGTTGGCTGGAAGGTGATTACGTTGAGTGGCGAGGTGTCCCAGGACTGGACGATAGCAATGACTCCGACAGCGGTGCCGATGACGATGATGACGACAATGAGGACGGTACAGCCACCGACGATGAATGAAGAGCTCTGGTGCAACAAATTTTTGTTTAAGCGGCTGCAAACAATCGGTGTTTAATCTATTACATCCTGTTCTGCATTTATTATCCCTTTTTTAGCAAGGCGTCTGGTGAATATCTGTTTTTGAGATGATTGGTTCTTTGAGAGAAGCTCACAACCTATTATTCTGATACCATATTGAATTGAAGTATTCTCGATTTACTCGCTCCTGTCAAAGTATGGAAGTAAGGTGTTGGGCCGCAGCCGACGTAAATCATTCCTCCGGGTATATTTGGGTATCGTTCAGGGTTATCATTAACTACCAGGACCACTGGTCCACAACTTGCTTCGACCAAGCCAACAACGTAGGCGTCTTAGGGGCATTGAAATCGCCTTCCTCGAAAGACTCAAACTTCACCTTTGTTGGATCAATTCCTGCGTAGGATGTCGATTGGGATATCGGAGAGGGAATAGCATTTGCTGTTTGTAAAGAGAAGAGAACGGGTGCGTTACCACGTCCAACTGTATCAACAGTTAGTAATGTTACTGGGATATGGGGATGGGACGGTCTTACCACTCGCCACCAAACCAAGCTCTGGGCTCACGTCAAAGTCGAGTAAAAAGCTGTTCGTATCATGGCTGTTCTTTGCGTACTCCGGGAATTCGAGGTAGGGACGGGTGGAAGTGTGCTTCTTAGTCAATGGCAGAGGATTATCCTGTACACCATTTTTCGCGAATCGCAGGTCGTACATGTTCAACTAGTCACGCACTGTCAGCTACTACATAACTTCTGGCAGGCAGAATAAATGAATGGTCTACGCTTACCATGCCACGACCTGAAACGAGAAGCCGATAATCGTCAACCTTGCGAATTTTCACCACCGACGACGGGTGTTGTAGCCGAGAAGCATAGCCACCACTGCGGTAATCATGCAAGAAAATTGAAGAATCTCTTGAACCACCTGCGATAACTGATGTGGACAGCCATTCCAAAGCCATGATATCCTTGGGATAATTGTCACGAGGACGAGATAGACTCATGCTCATCCCGCATTCGAGCGTAAAAATGGAAGATTGCGCGCCACATGCAAAGATGGCTTTATCGCTGCTGGGGCAAGCAGAAGAACACCATATTATCTCATTATCAAGTCTGATGGGCGAGTGTGGCTGCCAACTATCTAGTGTGTGGTTTGGACCACGGTCTGGAATGATATGCCGTATTCTCAATTGTGAACCCAACTCACCGTCTGTTGTTTTTCTAGTGCTGTTAGCGTCAAAGCCATAGATAATTCAACCTCGGGGAGATCCTACAATAGGCAACCTGCCGGGCTGTATGCAATTGACGAGATCTGAATGAGGAGCTATGAGTAGATGGAGATACGTGTTAAATGGGCCTACTCACTCTGACATCATCCGCGAAAATAAGATGTTCCCGTTCAGGACGATAGGACCATTTTTGAAAGCACTTCTCGGCGCTATCTTCGATATCCATTGGCCGCGAGAAACATATGGCAAGAACAGAACTAGTTCCAACATTTGCAGATGCGAGTAGATCCCCGGAACCGGGGATTCGAATAACATCTGTAATATTTCCGCCACGAGAGATTTTCGAAAAGCGGAAAAGTTGCTTCTGTTTCAATTGGCTTGCATAGAGAGAGGCCTGATGCTCCTTGGTTGCCGCCGTAGTGAGGATCGAGGAAGCAACCTCTCTCCCCAAGCGCAAAATAGGACGGAGCAGCAGGGGAGATTTAGTCACCCTTTCTTTCGACATACGTTCCAACATCTTGCGACTCTCAAGGTCAGACTATCAAGGTTAATAGCAGGCTCTTAGAATTGAAAAGATATATGCCTACGGCTTGCTCTGTGCGCTTCCTCTTCACGGCTTCAGTGGAGTACTCGGCTCCCGACACAGCAACGTGGTTGGCTTGTATCTTGAAGTATTTCTTCTTTGCATCATCTGTTGTAAATGATATTAGTGCGAGTTCAATATTAAGTATTTGAAAGGGGAAAGTCGTACCGTAGTAATATCCCGGGATGTCCATATCGACGATGGTGGAGAACTACCGGCAACAGAGGAAGTGGAATTCTCTTTAAGAATAAGAATTCAGAGATAAAGGTCAGGGATATGAATATTGATGAATCAAACGTTTTCAGCAAAAAGAAAGCTGTGAGAAATCTTGTTCAAATTAATGCAAGGACGGTGGAGAGGAAAGACGAAGTATAGGTAGTTGAAAACTTGAAATATTTGCTCGCTCAAGTTCAATAAATCATTGAGAGCCGAAATAAACAGATACAAGACGAGTTGTTTTTATTGTATCAGAGAAAACACGCGACTGTAGGAATATCAAAATCCGGTGGCAAAGTAGGATTATATAATCCAGTCTTGGCACCGTCGTTGCCCTAAAGAGTATCCTTCGTCGTTGCCGTTGCCTACGTTGGTGAATATTCAGTTGCGGGGCAATTATTGAATTCACTCTAAATTATAATTTATATGGCACTGATGTCGAGATCTTCTCAAATTTCAAGGAATGTTGACATATTGGAAGGTGGAAACGCTTATGAGTCCAGGATTGCTATTCATTCCCATTCCCGACATTGATATCAATTTTACTTCGTATAGAAATTCAGATCTTGATTTAAAAGTAATGGGTGCTTCTGTTTGATCTCCGCTGAGCTCAAGCTGTCGCGAAAAGACCAATCTCCAAAATACGTGGAGTACATGATAAAAAAAAAAAAAAAAGAGAGAAACCTTCAGGGAGTTGGTACTTGACCAGGGTCCAAATAATGCCATTCGATAATATCATAGTCATATCTGAGTAGCTTCTGGGAGACTGAATCTTTCTCTCGAGTCTTCTTGATTCCAATCACTGAAGATCTATGTACTAGTTCCAATATCGGTTTGCACTGGCAGTAAAAAGAATAGCAATATTCCCACATGGACCTTCTGCTTCATAATTGATACTTGGAGGATAGCTAGATGGAAACGTTAATATATAGATAGTGAACGATAACAGTAACTGTACCTTCCCAAGTTTGAAGTGTTGTGATGATCCATTTTGATTAGTCTTTGACTTACCACCCCCATTTCACTTTCGATTTTTTTTACCACCACCCTGCACTTGAATCATTCTTCAACTCTGGTCATTTCCAGCGTTTTTAAGTTTGATACAGCTGGGTTCCTCGCTTTGCTTGCGCTTTACTGTTCTTCTGCGATGGATTCCCCCGAGGAGACCTACCGCCACCGCATCCCCGTTGATCCCGAGCTTGGCCTGGAGCTTAAAGACTTGCCCATAGTCACCAGTATTGAAACAGAACAGGATCTCGATGTTTTGATTGCTGTCATTGAAGATGAGGATGGCAAAGAACCTGACCCTGAACCTCAGGTGATCGGACAGGGTGCAGAGAATGACTTTTATGTTCCGGAAACCAACCTTCTCAGTGGCCTTATGTCTAGTCAGGTTCTTGCATGTCGACAGGTCTATGGATGGAACCGTATGAAACAAGAGCATCAGAGCAATGTCATCAAATTTCTGATGCTTTTCGTCGGCCCCGTGCAGATTGTCATGGAGGTAAGTTGTTTGCCTACCATACCAAGCGCGTGTCAAACACGTAACAACCACAACCAGAGACTCACAGCTTAACCGAATAGGTGTCTGCAGTTCTTGCCGCTGGTCTAGAGGACTGGATTGACTTCGGTGTCATCCTAGGATTGCTTCTTCTCAACGCTGTCGTCGGATTCGTACAAGAATACCATGCTGGAAACATTGTCGACAGCTTGAAGAAAACCCTGGCACTCAAAGCCACTGTGCTGCGCGATGCGGCCATGCAAGAAATTGGTTCTGAGGAGGTTGTGCCTGGTGATGTGGTTCATCTTGATGATGTAAATTCAATCTGACCGAACAAAATTTCTTGAATAGCTTTCTAACATTATTCCAGGGTGCTATCGTTCCTTGTGACGGTGTTATTGTCACTGAGGATGCCCATTTGCAAGTTGATCAGTCTGCAGTCACCGGAGAGTCGTTAGCCGTTGACAAACACAAGGACGACAGATGTTTCGCTTCATCAACCGTTAAGCGCGGTACTGCCATGATGATTGCGACCGCGATCGGTGACAAAACATTTGTTGGAAAGGCTGCTGCCTTGGTCAATAAGGCAGGTTCCGGTACAGGTCACTTCACCATGGTCTTGAATGGAATCAGTTTGACCCTGCTTGTTCTGGTGATTCTTGTCCTGTTGGTTGTTTGGGTTGCTTCTTTCTATCAATCCAATAGTATCCGAATTATCCTGGACTTCACTCTGGCAGTCACCATTATCGGTGTTCCCGTTGGTCTCCCTGCCGTGGTCACCACAACCATGGCTGTGGGAGCTGCATACCTCGCCAAACGGTCTGCCATTGTTCAGAAACTGTCTGCCATTGAGTCATTGGCTGGAGTTCAGATCCTATGTTCAGATAAGACTGGAACGCTCACTCGCAACAAGCTTGCATTGGGAGAACCATACACTTCTCCTGGTGTCAGCACAGATGAACTCATGCTCGTGGCATGTTTAGCAGCAATTCGGAAGAAGAAGGGTCTTGATGCCATTGATCGCGTCTTTATCAAATCACTCAAGTTCTACCCCCACGCCAAAGCTGAAATCGGCTCATACCGCCTGATTGAATTCCATCCTTTCGATCCAGTGTCGAAAAAGGTTACCGCTGTCGTAGAATCTCCCAGTGGTGAGCTTATTGAGTGTGTGAAGGGAGCTCCCGCCGCAGTCTTGAAGATGGTTAAAGATGCCCATGCTATTGATCCTGAAATCGAGGCCACTTACCAGCAGAAGATCGCCGAATTCGCTAGTCGTGGTTTCCGTGCTCTTGGCATCGCCCGTAAACGTGGAGAACAATCTTGGGAATTCCTTGGGATCATGCCCTGCTCTGATCCTCCTCGCTTCGATACGGCTGCGACTATCAATGAAGCGAAGCGATTAGGCCTCCGAATCAAGATGCTCACCGGTGATGCTGTTGGAATTGCTCGAGAGACTGCTCGCCAGCTAGGACTTGGCACCAACATCTACAATGCAGAGCGTCTGGGAGTTACTGGTGCCGGCGATATGCCCGGATCTGAGGTCAATGACTTTGTGGAGGCCGCCGATGGATTCGCCGAGGTGTTCCCCGAGCACAAGTTCAGCGTTGTGGAGATTCTTCAAAAGCGTGGATACTTGGTGGCCATGACTGGAGACGGTGTCAATGATGCCCCCTCGCTCAAAAAAGCTGACACCGGTATTGCTGTCGAGGGAGCATCGGATGCCGCTCGCTCTGCTGCTGATATTGTATTCCTTGCCCCTGGTCTCTCCGCCATCATCGATGCTATCAAGACCTCTCGTCAAATTTTTCACCGCATGTACTCTTATGTGGTCTACCGAATTGCGTTGTCACTGCACCTGGAGATCTTCTTCGGTGCATGGATTGCTGGCATGAATGATGTACTGGACTTGCGCCTGGTAGTTCTGCTTGCCATTTTCGCAGACATCGCCACTCTTGCCATCGCGTATGACAATGCTCCGTATTCTGAGACCCCTGTGAAGTGGAATCAGCCCAAGCTATGGGGAATCTCCATCTGTCTTGGAATCATTTTGGCTACTGGTTCCTGGGTTGCGCTCGGTACCATGCTTCTGCGGGGTGAGCATGGTGGTATTGTTCAGAACTTTGGCTCCCGAGATCCCGTCTTGTTCCTGGAGATCACGTTGACACAGAATTGGCTGATCTTCATCACCCGCCTCAATGGACCTTTCTGGAAGAGCTGTCCGTCTATCCAGCTTGTTGCTGCCGTTCTGGCCGTCGATATTGCGGCTACTCTGATGTGCGTCTTCGGAGTTTTTGTCCACAAGCCTACTTCAATCGTTGCCGTGGTCCGTGTCTGGGCCTTCTCTTTTGGTATTGAGGCTTTGTGTGCCGTTGTTTACAGCGGACTGCATAAATCTGCTCGATTCGACGACCTCATGCATGGCCGGCTCTGGACCCGAAAGCCCCGTGAGCGATCTGAGGAGGACTTCAGTAAGTATTCCAATCCATTTGAGTCATTAAAATCATACTAACTTTCCCAGACGTCTTCCTGCAGCGAGTGGCAAGCCAGCATGAACGGATCACTTAAAACAACCGGTTGACATATCTATCGATTAGGATCAAGTGAAGGCAGTCAATAGTCACGATGGAGGGAGCCGAGTATGATTAAGGTGAGGCAAGAAATGAAGTTCAATGCTGTAGGCTTATTTTCTTTGTATCGGTAATAATCTCGATAACGGAAAGAATGTCATCCGATCAGAGAGGAAATCACACTAGTCTCGTATTCTTATCACTAAGATTGTTTGAATTATACAAAATACAGCTGAATCTCAGTTCTTCATATGGCAATCCATATCCAGTCCCCTCGTATCCCTCATAGCTCTCTTACCATTGCTCGATAGGGGTTCTGAGGGTCGTTCTCCTCCTCTTCAGCAGATTGAATAGTCTTCCTGACTCGACATGGACTTCCGACTGCCACAGAAAAAGGTGGAATGTCCTTGGTCACAACCGAACCTGCTCCAATGGTACATCCCTCGCCGATAGTGACGCCAGGCAGGATAACCACACTCCCACCAATCCAACAATCATCTCCTATCTTAACACAGTGTCCAAACTCAACAAACTTCCGACGAGACAAGACACTTGTTTCATGACCTGCAGTATAAATCCCAACATTAGGACCCATCTGGACCCGATCCCCAATGATAACAAGGGACGTGTCGAGAATTGTCACACTAGAAAGATGCTCATTAGAAATCATGTTAATAGATGCGTGTACATGTCTGTATGTCATTTTGTTTCAGGCTTTCAATCCAGACAGTAAGTCCCCAGTCTTGGAATAGTCCACTTACTTCCAATTCAAAAAGCAATCCCTGCCAATAGAGATATTGCAGCCATAATCCGGTCGGAAGGGAGGCTCAATGAAAGTCCCTTCGCCTACCCGCCCGACAAGCTTCTTCAAAAGCTCAAAGCGAATATCTGATATTTTTTCATATGAAACTGTCCGCGGATCAAGCTGGTTGTAATCCGCTGTCAAAATACGGCATTTGTGCCGTCCCTCGACGAGGCGGGGTAGGAGTGGGTTGTACCTATACCTCTTATCAGCTTAAGAAATCGATTTTACCTGGACGGATGCGTGTGAGGCATAAAATCCAGATCATATTCACTTATGATCCTCATGTTGAGGGTTAAAATACGCACAGCATGCCTGATATCATCTTCTCATAGTCCTCACACATAGGCACGCCGGAAAGGTCCGTAGCGATGGCGATAAGATCTTGTCTTTTCTCTGAAGCCGCCATCATGTAGATTATATTGTGTGCAGATTTTGGGTTCTTTGGCGATTAGAGGCGTTGGGAATAAGTTGGATGGTTTTGCTGCGTTGCTTTGACGTTGATGTTGGTCTGGGCTTGGGCCGCTCGGCCCCACAACCCCGTAGCTTTGGTTATAGTGGTCTAGCTTAATTAGCAAAGATGTCAGAGCTGGAGAAATCGAGTCAAAAAGCTGAATTAATTGTGTGCAATATTACTAGTAGTGGGTGGTCCGTTTTTTCCGGAAATTTTTAGCTTAAAAAGTAGAATTGCCCCGAACGACCAATTCCTTGGTCTTCCTCTACTGCCCATTCTATCATTCTCATTCTCTTAGAGCTCTAGTATAACCAAGAACGAATTCCAAGAGCTCAGAGAGATTCTTCAGACGCTAAACTGTCAACGGGATCAGCTAGGGAATTCACTCGAATCTGCGCTCTTAATGTAGGTCAAGTGCCATGACAGCCCTATATCTTATCCCATACTGTTAATAGCTTCCATTTAATAAGAAGGAAACCTTGAAACCATCAGCTTTTATTAATCGCTATTTGCACAGAGATAATACATCCTTCCATAACTGGCTAGGAAGAGAAGAATACCATTGATGGTATTTGAGGAGTTTCGGACTTTGGGATCCGGGAGCTCTGGGAGCTCTCTTCTAAATCCAGAAAGCCATTCCCCTCCCTTCTCTGCAGCTGCTTCCTATACATACGCCAAAACACCAGACTTCCATGTATTTGGGCTGCAGAAAATGCAATATGCAGCAAGGGAGTTGTTATCTTAAAAGCTAGCTGCCAGCGATCCCATAGACTCCCAAAGAGCCACATTGTAACGAGAGTCTCGCAGAATGTACCCGTCGCAGTAATGGCGCACGACAGTAGGAAGACTCGACTGAGAAACTCGTGTCTACTCGGATAGACTCGGTATAGAATTATGGCAACATGTGGAAAGAACTCAGATACGATGTCAAAGGCGCCTTTTGATAGGAAGATTCAGCGTCTGTCATTTTTCTTTATCAGTCAACGGGGATTATCGACTTACCCCAAACAGTGCAGAGAATGAACTCAATATCAGCATCTGGCTCTCTTTTCAACTTCAAGCTAATCGCAATAGCTGACTGCCCGATGATAATAGTCCCAGTGTGATGCAAAACCGCAACGGGAGAGAGTTTCACCCGATACAATAGCTCGAATATGTACATGGCGATCAACATCTGTGCCACAATTATAAGAATATCTCCCATTTTGACAGTAGATCCAGGCGCAAACGGCGTATGGAATGTAGAGTGGCAAAATGTGACGCTAATAAAAGGGTATGCCGCAATAATCAATATGAGGATTTTTGTAGGACCTGCGATATGGTGGTTGATAAATCCTCGACGATTTGTTTCCGATAGGTTCGCATAAAGGTCACCGTATATCCAAGGTAGGAGTTTCTCGAGACAGTAGAAGCGAATCAGAAAAAATAAGATCAGAATGATTGAAATGAGAAGACCAGAAAATGGCGCAAGAGTGGAGATAGGTTCAAGGGGTTTCGTTCCCAAGAGAGAGTGATGAGATGACATCTTGCAGAAGTTAATGATTCAGCTCTGTACTTGATGATAATATGCCAGATTATCTCAAACTTCCAAGGTGAGGCCCAGTGTCCAGGTGGAAATGGCCAACAGTGGTATGAGGACGCCAGAAAAGGAATTCTAGATCTCCAGCTCAGCTCAGCTTTGGAATCAGGTACTCAGATGTGAGTGGTGAATACTAGAATGAATAAATAGTCTTATAAAGTTCAGATTGCTCCTTCTAATTATTCATTTTTGTCAGATTCAACTATCTTTGCTCATCTGTACTCTCTCAGCTGAGGCGCAAGTGTTTCATACTCAGGAGTCAGCAATACTAAGTAAGACGCGAATTTTTTTGAAGCCCCTAGCATGATTTATCAACGGTCCCCTGCCATCCCGTGAGAAAAGTGACTAAATAGAGAAATAAAAAATGAAGTATCCAATCTCACTGATGGGCTAAGCTTTACTTGAGAAAAGCTTGGGGGAATACGGAGTTCTGGTTGGCTATGTTTTCCATTTGTCCCACTTTTAACGGATCCCTGTTTTATCCACAAGTCAAATTGGCCCTTATTCCAGGCAGCATAATACCGATATGAGGTTGCCTGGAAGTGCTTCGGTGAATCTCGGTGAGTTGGGTAGAATAAAATTGAAAATATGATATATATCGACCTTCACCGAAATTCCTGAATAGAACTAAAGAGAAGCTTGAGGAGATTAAACCTAGATGCATAGTTATTCAAAGTCGTGCGAAATGGGCGGAAACAGTATCTATGGATGTTGAATATAGCGCGATACAGATATTGAGAGCTGTTCTTCATTTGGTTCAATCTTTACTTTGATACCCAGGAAAATACAAAATAGTATCCTCGACATTTCAAACAAGCACTTTGGTCATTGCTGAAAGCTGTGTACATTTCGGGCTACGCAGTGAACAGCGCAAAGCAATCAGGCATTCAATATTCAGTATCTCAAATCCTCAAATCCTCATATTGTCAAATACACATTATCTGAGTAGCATCCTTTTAACCATCTCGACTATTCCGAGCTATTGTTCTGAATTATTGGCTGGGAGCTGGGGCAGTTTCTTCTGATCCCTCAATACTAGTTCAACTTCTTGTCTCCAACCTTGACTGAGCGCCCTTGAGAACGTTGATACTGCAAGTAGCCAACAGCACCGATTCCAATGATCGCGATAGTGAATATATTGCCTTTTGAACTATCAGCTTGGTGACTGAAATGAACAGCAAGACCTACCGATGACAAATTTGCCAACTCCGCCTGCGGCTTCCAATGTACCCTTGATCGTGTCAAGTACTAGATTGAGTACACTAGTTAAAAAGTCGATAGCGGTGGTGAAAACTCCACGAACCACAGCAAACGCGCTGTGGAAAAGGGAGAAAATGACCTCAAAGATGGACGCAACGAGGTCCTTGATGGAGACGATAATTGAAGACATCACGAAGGTTTCGTCTTTTTCTCGCGATTATTTGGGCCTGTTTCAGATGATGGTAGTTGATAAACGGCGGATTGAAAGGGTGAAAAGATGAAAGTGAACAAGGTAGGTGTATGTGTGATGACGAAGTAGCGACTACTTGTTTTGATTATCTTGGCTGATGACGTATTTGGATATTCCAAATTAAGGTTGCGGAATGCGGGGAAGATCTTGAACTAGGCATCTACAGAATCAGCAGCACTCAGGCCGTGACATATCAGTCTCTTACCTCAAATGACCTATTTAATACAGTATTAATGAAATATCATGTATGAAGCTATGCCACCTATATATTATTTAACCTAGAACATTTTCAAATGGTCGCAAGTAAATGATACAAACTTCTCCCAGTGTATATATGCTAGCACAAATTTCCCACAAAGCAGTATTCTCTTCAAAAATTGCTACTTCCAAGGTTAGATAACAAAATCATCCAATTTGAGGTGGACCCTACCTAGTTAAGCACTGCTGTTCCTTTCGGTCACACTAGACCCTACCTACCCAGCTCTGTTCATTTCGTATCACCTATGTAATTATACTAATTCTCTAATATCATATTTGATATTGATGTCTACGGTCAAATGGAAATATAGAGAATACGAGCGCCATTCTTCTCTTCGCGACACCAAGGATGCTAGCTATCGTACTATTTTCACTCGCAATACTCCAACGATGTATTCGCGAAATCATTCCCTTAGCCACGCTCCAAACTCGAACGAGGTCATAGAAGATGCACCTACTCGTCGAGACATTTTAAAGGATGCTTGAAACGCCATATCACGTCTCTACATGGCATGATAATGCCGACACCAGTGCCGATGAAAATGCCCATTGGTAGAAATGGTAACCGGGGTACAGATTAAGTTGTACCATACCAAATCACGTTCCGCGCCTGAATTTTCTTCCAATATATTATCAACCTACATAAACTATATCTCAGCCTTAAGCAACCAGGCTACAACAAGACCAATTATGCCAACAAACCCAGCAAACCCACCCAATGGCAGACCAACATACTCTGCAAAGCTGAAAGGAACTAAAGCTGAGTTTTCGGGACGTCTCATCTGCGGGTACAGATAAAGGGTCGAGGTAATCCCCAACCAAGCCCCAACCCAGCAGAAACCAAGAGCTCTCTGCCACAAGTGGACAGATTGTTGAGTCGATTTTGTTTCAACGCGGGGACAAAGAGACTTCCAAAGGCCTGTAATGCCATCTTCGATCATTATCCCCATAGGTGCTGAGGTAAAGAATAAGAAAGCGCCTGATTCCTGGCTTGGAATCCCCTGCACGGTATCTATTGCGATGTGCATTAGACCAGAGAGCATAAATATGATTATGACATTACTGTATCGATTCAGTAAAGAGCCTCTTGGTAGACCGATTACACGAGTAATAAATACACTCATTGAAGTGAGCGGTTGCCGTATTAGCTGATGCCAGAACTTTCTGTATGATTCTGTTAGCGTATATTCAGTATCATTGTCTTGGTAATCCTTTACTTACCCCCAGAACCCTCGTAAAGTGTACGCATCCACAGCTCTTCCGAAGAGCGGTGGAGAATCAGAAGGAGATTCGAAGCCCAGTCCCACAGTGAAAACAGAAAAGGCACGGTGATGAAAATCAATAAGAATGCGGCTGACGACAAATCCAGCCACAATATTAGAGACTATGCGCTCGATCCACTGATCTACCGGAAGATACCACTGAATATTCAATGGCATAGATTCATGGTTAATCTGCTTCAACTTAGCCTGTTCTACTGCCAAGGTAGAAAACAAATCAAGAGCTAGATATTGCCACGTAGAAATAGCCACCTGACGAATCAAAAACCGAGTTTTAGATGGCGTCCTCTCCCCATAATAAGTCGGCTGTGATGGAGCATTTTTACTTTCCCATGATGTGTTGATACCACGAGGCTGAGTCAGAATCTTGGCCACGTAATAGAGAGAAAGCACTCGTCCGCCGCTGCTGGGGATATCGGAGCCATCTCTCGGGTTGAAGAAGAGTATATTGAGAGCTTGAAAAAAGACTGTCACGAATAATCGAGCGAATTCACACCATATAAACCCTGGACCGAGAGCTGAGGCTAATTGTATAGCGCGATGCAGAATCCAGATTGAACATGGGATGTAGAGGTACCGGAGCGCTGATCGCTTTGAGGTTGTGATTAAAAGAGTAGCTGGAAGTAGACAATGGCTTGAGTATAGTAGGAATATTTCCCCTATATTTGTAGTGTTTGACCTCTCCATGACTGTTGGATAGATAGGAAGTTGAAGAGGAAAGAGGAAAGAGAAAAAAAAATGGTTGTGTACGGGCCGATCATAAATTTTTGATCAGGGGCAAGGCTCGCGTGAGACAGCAAAGCTACTACCGGTTACCACTTCTGCATTCCAGGTCATTCTAGCGCCAACGTTGTTTTCTTGGATCATTCAATGCGCAAGGCAATCATTTCAACTACCTAGCTGTACTCCGTCTCCCTTTAATGATCACAGACCGGACGGAAATTACACGAAATTAATTCAATTATGATTGATGGTAAGCTATACTACACTGCTTGAGGGGTAAAGAAGTGACAATAAGCTCGGAAGTCTGTAATTCTCGAATGCCAAGAGAGACAGACAATCTGAATACAAACAGTTATGGAGCGGCATGCTGACAAAGAAAAGATATACAAGACGCTGAACTTGGAAGGTAAGAAAGAAATGTATGGTAGAGAGGGGGATAAGTTCATCGACCTGTTCCCGATAGAAGGAACAGAGTGAAGGCAGAGAAATGAAAAAGTGAAACATCACTGGAAAAGAGAGATATGTGTTGATGATATGTGCAAGAGTAGTAATTAGGTTACTACTTGGAAGTCAAGTAGTCGGCCGCCTAGAGTTCGTTAGTGAGACTATTCGTAGATCATCGTGTATCACAATGACTTACCTTTTCAAGATTGTAGTCAAACTTCTCCAAAGCTGCAAGGGCTTCGTCGCGCGGATAGCCCATGCCCGTCAAGCGTTGCAAGATCAGGTCATCTTCGCCGGTGTCGGTGTTAAGAGCCCATCCGGGTGACTTGGGGTCTGACCCATTAGTATTTCCCTCGGAAGCAGGTTTGGAGTTATCAAGGGGTGCGAAGAGAGCATCCCAATCATGGTTAGCGGCATCGCCGTTGGGGGCAGAGGCGAGCTCAGCAGCTGCAGTTGGAACGTTACTGTCAAAGTCGAAGAATTCTGAGGAGCCTCCTTTATTAGCATCAGTGGCTGATGCAGCTGCATGATTGCTTTGAGACACGTCAAATGAGAAATCAAAGTCTGCAGTTCCCTTGTCGTCCTCTACTTCATCTTCCTCATCCTCAGCTTCCTTGGCAGGTGCAAGGTCCAACCCAGCAAAAGCCGCGTCGAAGTCAGTACCACCGGTCTTTACTTCGCCAAAAGCGGCAGCAGAGTCAGTTGTGAAGGCTTCATCGTGTTGGGGCAACCCTCCTACGATGGGAGCTCCGGTGCTCGCTTCTACCGAGTGAGGAGCATCAGGGGCAAGGGTGGGGTCCGCACGCTCTGGCAATAAGCCGTTGAACTCTGCGGGCAAAGTACTGTCGCCGGAACCGTCCTCATACGTAGGAGGGCTTTGCTGAGCATCTGCAGATGGAGGCTGAGGAAGAGATGAACCTGGAGTTGGGAAAGCAGCAAGTTGAGAAGCGTCGATGGTATCGGCCTGCTTCTCCTTCTTGCTAACAACAGGTTCAAAGTTGTCGTCAAACCCCCGAACACTCTCATCATCAGAGCTTTCCTCATCTTCATCCTCTGGATGAAGTTCTTGGATGGGAGGGAATTCGGAAGTAGCTGCTTGTGGGGCGTCATCCGATGCAAAGCCAGAGTGCTGAGGCTTCAAAGATGCGAAAGCCTCTTCAAAGTCGTTTGCATTCTCAGACTCAGAGCGCTTATGAGCCTTGCTACCAAATAGCTCGTCGAATGACAGATCTTTGGAAGCTTCCTCGTTACCAGTAGCTGTGGGGGAAAGTGCAGAATCAGGTGTCTCAAATGCTGCAACCTCAGCGGTCGAGGTAACCTCCGGAGAAAACTCGTCAAACGGAGATCGCGCCACGGTACCGTCAACAGCGGAAGTTGGAACGTGGCTGTATTCACTCGATCCAGTAGCCGATGGTGGGCCGAAATCACTAGCTGTACCCTCGGGACCGCCGAACCGGCTTGCAGGGGGAGAAACCACCGTAGATGAGGTCACAGACTGGTTTTCATTGAACGAAAAGCCCGGGATGAGGTGGGATGGTATGGGAGTCGGGGGATCACCGCTGGGGAAAGATCCAGGCAAAGATACAGGAGCCGGGGAAACAGACGGACTGGGAACATTAGAAGGAATGGGAGACTTGGCGAAAGTCTGCGGCGACTCAGCGTGGAATGAGGTAGGTGGCGCGCCGCTCAATGCTGGGGCCATGAATGACTGTCCAAATAGGCTGTCAAATGTCTTCTGCTGGTCCGTGGGAGCGTCTGGGGAAACAGCACGCTCACTAGGGCTTGTGGCAGCACGGCGGAAGAAGGGGTTAGTGTTCTGGCTTGCATTGGAAGCAGCAGGGCTAGCAACGTCGGCAGAAGGGCTGATTGCTCTCGCGGATTCCTCGACATGCTGTTGTGCTTCCTGGGACAGGCTGTCAATCTCGCCCTGCACTTTGTCCCGTTCACTTTCAACAGTGGCGAGCTGTTTTTTGTTGATAGCAACCAGACCCTTGTGTTGTCGGGCATCTGATCGAGCCTTTTCCAAAGCCGGCTTGAGCTTTGCAACTTCTGCATTGGCATAACGGATCTTTTCCTTAAGACTAGCATTTTCCTGTTGGTCGGAGGCCAGTGCGGTTGAGATCTGAGTGTACTGCGTCTGCAGATCCTGGCGACTGCCCTCGATCAGGGCGTACTCCTGCTGCAACTTGACGGTCTCAGCCTTGGAGGTCTTCAGACGCTCTTCCAGGGCTTTATAGTTTGCAACCTCTTGTTCATACATTGCACGTGCTTGCGCAAGTCTTGCTTCAAAGTCACGTTTCTGCTGCGATGTTTGCGAAATGTCATGCTCAGCAGTTGTGCGCTTTTCTTGCACATTGTGCATCTCAGTCGCAAGAGAGCCGATCTGGTTTGATAGATTTGCAAGCTCGGTAGTTTCCTGTGTGAGCTTACTTGATTCTACAGGATCACTATCACCAAGGAGATCATCTGCGGGAGGTGCAGGCGACCGAATGGAAACTGGTGTTCCCGAAGAAGCACCAGTCATCTGCGGGTGCAGAGTCTGGCCGAAGGATGATGTTGGAATGAATGGCTTGAAGGTAGTCGAAGCTGCAAGAGGTGAAGATCTGGAAGTTGGGGAAGCAGGGATATGGAATGCGGGGTTTGAGCCACCTGTAGACTGGGGAAACTGAGTCTGGGCAGGTGGGGGTGATGGTGAATCGAGGCCGAACAAGTCATCTGCCGCAGACCGTGGTAGAGGAGCGGGTGGCGGCGCGGGAGCTGCGACAGGAGCTGCAGGTACGGGAGCTTGGCGACGCATGTTCGGAGGGATCAGGGCTGGGGGAAGCACCTGCGGCAAGGGCTCCTTTCCACCACGTTGCAATCTAACAAGATACATGGCCACGGCAAACTCCTCGCGTGTAAGCTGGCCATCGGCGTCAATATCGGCAAGGTCCCAAATTTGTGCTAGGACCTCTTCAGGAAGCTGAGCCTTGATAAAAAATGTGACAGCCTGATCACCAGTGATGACTCCGACCTTGGCAGTATCAACAGTCTCGAAGATGGTATCAAAGTGTGCCTTCTCTTGGGGGCTGATCAGCCACTCAGCTCCAGTTGTTTGCGCAGACAATTGACCTGCAAAAGTTCTGCCAACGGGGCTCATTGGGCTAGCCGTCCGCTGAGGGCCAGTGAACTGCTTGGGGATTGACGGGACGGGAGGAACTTCGGGCCGCGCGTATGAAGGCCGCGCAGGCGCAGCAGGCACAAGTGCAGGCCCTCTGCGAGACGCAGCTTCGTATAAGCCAGGTGGCAAAGTCTGAGGAATACCGCGCAGGGCACCAGATTTGAAAGAAGTCAAAAGATGCATGGCAATAACAAACTCGGTAGCATCAAGTGCACCGCGCTGCTTTGTATCTGAAAGATTCCATATTCGACCTAGTACCTCATTCGGCAATCTTGCGCGTTCGAATATCTGCTTAGCGGCCTCGCCAGAAATCATTCCATTCACAATGTCAGACTTGTCAAAAAGAGACACGAACTTGACTGCATCTTCATGCTGGAGAGGAGGCACTCGGATGGATGATGAAGAAGCAGTCGGCGGAGGACTAATAGCGCGAGAATCCGGTATCGGTACATTCAAATCAACTGAAACGCCTTCGAATCGGGGCAAAGGACCAGCTATACATACCAAATAATGGAGTCAGTAAGGTGCAAAATGTAAGCTTTCAGATCTCTCATCTGACTGGCCATGCCACTCACCTTGCAATGCCAGCTCTTCGGACGGTATACGGCCAGCCTGGGCATGTCCAATCAATCGTAAAACAATGCCAAATCCGGAGGGAGTCAAAAGACCCCTATTCTCTTTATCCGCGAGCTGCCATATCTGTAGACGCACATGAAGGGTCAGTCATTAAGCCAAGGTACATGATAGCCCTTTCCGCGAACATACCTCACCAAGAGTACCGGAGGGAAGGTGTGTCTTCTCGAAAAAGGGGACGGCAGTCTCGCCGGTAATGACGCCAAGGTTGGTGGTATCAGCGACCTGGAAGAGCTGGTAGAAAACATGTTTTTCTTCCGGCGTGAGATTTAAATTCGGATGACGTTGTGCTGTAAGATTTTGTAAGCATCATGTCCGTTAGTTCCGCCAATTCGCGTGTATGATTTTTGCTGGTATTAGGAGGGCAAGCAGGCGGATAGGAGGGGAATGGGAAAGTGAACGGAGCTCGGCAGGTCTCCTGGATTGCGCCAGATCGATGCTCCCAGTGTTTATTTGGCTGTGTTTCAGGAAAACAAGAGAAGCAAGTGACAAGAGGAGTAATGCGTAAAGAATAACTCACGATTATCAGCCATGATTGCGGATGTGAAGGAGTTGACCCGCTCTCCTGCTACGGAGTAGACGTGATATTCAACGATAGGGAAAGTTGGAGAAATGGAGGTGGGAACGGAGCGCCGTTAGCTTAGCAGAACAGCACCACGGGCATGGATTCACAGCTGAAAGGAAGGAGAAAGAAACAAACAATCGAACTGTAAGGGACAAATTAGATTCAAGGGTGGATTGGGGTTGTTGTAGACAGAAGGTCTCCCAAGGCGGTCAGTCATATTAGCGCCCATTCCATCCGAACATTTGAACGTCAATTGATTATTTATACACAACAAGCTACTCTTTAGATATCAGTAGATTCACTTCAGTGACTTTAACATCCCGAGGTCATCTAAGGTTGAGTCGTTGGCAAATCAATCATAATTTACTATTTAATTGTAAAACAATATAGGTCAGTAATCAGATCAGAGGTCTTCAATGTTACTTAATTTATATACCTCGCCGAATTTCTCGAACATTGAGAACTTGAGCAAATTCCAAGATTCCAGAACATTAGATACATAGGTAAAAACTACCTAGACATCTCAATAGCTAGGCCTCCCCATTACCTCTTTCAAAACCTTGTGAGTAGGTGCTTAGATATATTGTGGCTGTCGTTTGACTCGTTTCTCTTCTCACCTTCTCACATCTTCATTCCTAAAGTTTTCTGAAATCTTCCAGCTGTATTCTTAAATCTTCCGTTTGTCTTATCGAATCCTTGGTTGTTCTGATCGTCACTTCGAATGTTCTGTTCAGATCTTCGAGCTCCGTCCTTTGTTTTTTTCGTTCACAAACATCACAAGAAAACGAGCCTTTCCGCTTCGAAATGTTTTCCATGATTCTACCTAGGTATGTTCTTGGTGACCTCGGCAATCAAGTTTCTTGCGATGTTGATGGGTAGTTGTGACGAGAGCTATATCATGTGAGCTATCCGGTAGATACCTTGGGGACAAGAAAAGACATACCACAGGGAGAGATGAGAGAGTTAAAACAGAATGAGAGAGCTAGAATATTAGGATGGTAACTAAGTAGTACCAATACTCCCATATCATTACTGATCATTGATCCCAAGGTTTCTGAATCCTTTATTTGGTAGACTAACTTTGTCGGGACGCCGCTTGTTACGATCTAGAATTACATTCTCGGATGCAAACGTAAGAGAACTCAACCCCATTCAGGGAAATTAAAGATATAAAACAAGGCTAGAGAACAGTGCTGGACTCAAACACTCATTGATCGTATTTGCAAGAAATCCCAGTAGTATCAGGAAAGCGTAATCCGTGCTCCATGGGCCGAGACTTCAGTCACAACCAACTTGTAGAACCTAGAACCGACACTCCGGGCGCGGGTATAAAGCATTCCTAATCTAGTACTCGGGCTCCAGCTCCTCTTCCTCGAGGGAGTCGCTGGCGACCTCCTCGTAATCGCGCTCGAGGGCAGCGAGATCCTCACGGGCTTCGGAGAATTCACCCTCCTCCATACCCTCACCGACGTACCAGTGGACGAAGGCACGCTTGGAGTACATGAGGTCGAACTTGTGGTCGAGAGCGGACCAGGCCTCGGAGATAGCGGTGGTGTTGGACAGCATGCAGCTATATTAATTACCGTTAGAATTTCTGTTTCTGCTTGTAATTGAATTGATAAAAACTTACACAGCGCGGCTGAGGTTGGCGAGGTCGCCGTTGGGGACCTGCTTGGGGGGTTGGTAGCAGATACCGAGCTTGAATCCAGTAGGGCACCAGTCGACGAACTGGATGGTGTTCTTGGTCTTGAGAGTAGCCACGGCCGCGTGGGCCTCCTTGGGGACGACATCACCACGGTACAACAGGCAAGTGGCCATGTACTTTCCGTTGCGGGGGTCACACTTGACCATCTGGTTGTGGGGCTCAAAGCAGTTGGTGGTCATCTCAGTGACGGAGTTGGCCTCGTGAGAGGCCTTGGCGGCAGAGATGACAGGCGAGTAAGCGACCAGGGGGAAGTGAATACGGGGGTAGGGGACGAGGTTAGTCTGGAACTCGTTAAGGTCGACGTTGAGGGAGCCGTCGAAGCGCAGGGAAGCAGTGATAGAAGAAACAACCTGGGCGATCAGGCGGTTCAGGTTCTCGTAGCTGGGGCGCTCAATGCCGAGGTTGCGGCGGCAGATGTCGTAGATGGCCTCGTTGTCGACCATGAAGGAGCAGTCAGAGTGTTCCAGGGTGGTGTGGGTAGTGAGGATGGAGTTGTAGGGCTCAACGACGGAGGTAGCGTTCTGGGGGGCAGGGTAGACGCAGAACTCGAGCTTAGACTTCTTACCGTAGTCGACGGACAGACGCTCCATCAGGAGGGCACCGAAACCGGAACCGGTACCACCACCGAAGGAGTGGAAGACGAGGAATCCCTGGAGACCGGCGCAAGAGTCGGCAACGCGGCGAACCTTATCGAGAACCTGGTCAATCATCTCCTTACCGACGGTGTAGTGACCACGGGCATAGTTGTTGGAGGCATCCTCCTTGCCGGTGATCATCTGCTCGGGGTGGAAAAGAGATCGGTAGGTACCGGTGCGGACCTCATCGACAACATTGGGCTCGAGATCAGCGTAGATAGTACGGGGGACGTAACGGCCCTGGCCTGAGTAGGTGGGAAAATGTCAGGTCATGATAATTGAGGAGCAATTTGAGTCCAATGGCGGGGAGAATGATCGTTTCCCCATGCTGTGTGGGATTTGTCTCCAATTCAAGAATGCGAGAAAATGGATAGTATCACTTACCAGTCTCGGAGAAGAAAGTGCTGAAGCCGTGGTCGGGGTCCTGAGCCTTGCGCTCCTCGGTGAGGTATCCATCAGGCTATCAATAGTGTTAGTCGCGGATATTCGTTTCCCGGCTAGAAAAGGGGTCAGCTGCCCGAGGTCGAGATCGGGCGCCACCAGGTTGAGATTGAAACGTACCTGGATACCGTGCTCTAGACAGTATAGCTAAGCAAATGCAGTGTTAGTTTTGTATAGTTTAAGGGCCCAATGAATGTGATTAGTTACCTCCCAGCAGGAGTTGGCGATCTGGCAACCGGCCTGGCCGACTGTATGACAATCAACAAGTCAGCGCATTGTCTATTTTTAATTGGAAATGACATCCACGACAGAATGGAATTGGAATTGAGTACATACCGTTCAAACTAATGATCTCTCTCATTGTATTGGTGGTTGTTTTCGAGTGTCAAAAAATCCAAAGAGGGGGAGGACCCAACAACAAACAGATGTCTAGAGGGGCTCAGGGGTTAGTTTCAATTTTTGATCAACCATTAAATGTAGGGGAGGGGTTAAGAGGGGTTAAAATATGAAAGAAGGGTTTAACACACCAGGAATGGGAAGAATGGAGATCGAGTCGAGAAAGAAGGAGAGCAGAAATGTTGTGGAGGTCGCCTGTGCTGTACAAGGGGCTTTCTTGTTGATCGATAGTCGGGTCGCGTTGGACCTTCTGATTGGTAGGATTATCGACAGGCATAATCTATGTTCACCGCCTCGTTCTAGTCACGTGACTACAAGCTGATTTTCATAACAAGTATGGAGTACCGTCTACGGACTTTATATCCAGAAGGAATCCTTAATTGGAATAGTGACCAGGGTGTTGTATCTGAATCACCGGGTCCCTTAATTGAACCACTTTAAAACAACATTCCAAGGCTCGATAATTTGAACATCACATCAATTGTAAATTAGTCCTCTCACCGCCATTGGTCCCAAAGCTGATAGTCATTATATCACCGCCAAGCTTCACTAAACAGCCATTCAGACCCATTCTCGTCAAGATCAACATGAAAGTCACTTAGGCATGAATCCTTGATCCCCAGAACTTTCCATTAGCAACTCTCCCCGGAACTACAATTGAATATATATTGTTCAATCACAACATACATCGCCACAATGCAATATTCTACTTTGAATATGCTACGAGTCTTACTCCCACTCTTTGCATGCGCCGTACACGCAAATGTAGAGAAAACAATATTTCTAGCACCGGAAGCTGCAATTGTTCCATCCGGAGAACCAGGACTGGATGACTTAGGCCTGGAAAGGCTTTCACCAGAGAATCCAGTGATCAGAACCCGACTGAACACGTCATTTCCAGTTGAAAACCTGGACAGTGACAGTGGCACAGATTCATGGTTTTTCCTAGAGAACCTAACTCCAGGGCAACGATACGAAGTACGAGTTTGCTGGCCAGCAACAGTAAGAATCATTATTTACTACCATCAAGAACCACATCTAACAATAAGCAGCAACCCACAGCCTTCGAGCTAGAAACATATTCGCTTGCTCGGGCATTCGAGAATACAACGCTCTTATCCGCGTTAAGTATCTTCGGTAAGACGCGTCTTGCATCACTTGATGCCAATCTACAGACAAATGCAATCCCTAGGCGTGCTAGTGGGCGCACCGAGGATTCTGGTCCGATGACAGACTCGGTCCTTTTTTTAAGGGTTCGCGCTGCAGCGGACTACTTTACTACGAATGAGACGTTGATGAAAACTCCTTCGCCTGTGTTGGTGGATCTTATCCTTGATCCGTTCTTGTGGAATGTGTTCCCTCGCTCGCTTGTACCGACTGCCGGATGGATTGTTGTTGTGGCCGTTGCCGCTGTTTTTGTTGCAAGGTGGGTAGCAGCCGAGCTTGGTAGGGTCATTGAGGATGCTAGACAGGCTCGGAAAGAAGAGGAAGAGGATAAAAAGGAGCAATAGGATTGTAATGTATTAATACTTCTGGGTATCAGCGTTTCATTGAGAAGATCATTCATTATCGTTTCGTTCATACTCGCACAAAAGAGCAGAGAGTAGATTGGACCGGATCAACTTGGAACCAAACACTATTGTTCTGATTAAGTCCAAAGAGAAATACATGTGGCAGAGGGTGACGGGTAGGGGAATACAACAAGAACAAATCATTGAGCAATAGAACCAAAGCAAAATAAGGCAATACGAGAACGCCAAAACAGATAAGCAACAAAGTCAGCCTCCAGAATCTACTATATGGTGGTTATAATGACAGAACATTTTTGAGCAAGATCCTCACCCTCTAGATGTTCCGATTCAGCAAACACCGATCATAATAAGTATTATATGGTAGTTACTTCATGATTCATGAGTCAAGATGTAACTGAAATTAATCTTCGAAGAAATTCAAGATGGCACGAATACCCTTGGAGCCGAGGCCGTGGGCTGGGTAGGCAATCCAGAGAGGAGCCTCAGTGGCACCGAGCTTGGCACGGAACTCGCTCTTCCGCACAAGGTGGAACTGTTTGGCAAGTGCGTCGTAAGTGTGCTCCATCATTCTGATCTTGGTACCTTGCAGATTGTGACCAGCAGTCATTTTGTTGGTGGCACCAGCACCGAAGGTTAACGCCTTGACACCGTTGTGAGCAGCTGTTTGAATAGCCTGGGTGATTATGTACTCGATGGCACCATTGGGGGAGCCAGGGAAATCCAAGCTGTACTTCAATTGCATGCCGTGGTCAGGTGCCAGCATGGCCAGGGCGACAAACGCGCAGATCTGTCCACTCTTGTCGACAGCGTAGAAGTACCAGCGGTGCTCCGAATCGATCCAGGGCCGAATCTCGGAGAGATGGACCTGCGTACCACTGCGGTTCGCCAGCCACTCGGCGATACGCTTATCAATCTTGGCCCGAATTTCCTCAGAGGGTAATTCACCATGGGGTAGGGACTCCACAGTGATCTGCTCGGTCTCCGCACGGCGGATCTTGCGAGAAATCTCTCCGTCAATGGCAGAAAGGTTGCGAGCAGGGTCAACGCTCTCCTCGGAAATACAGGTCAAACTGCGCCATCCCATCTTTTCACCGAGAATCTCCTCGACCTCAGGAGAGCATAGAAGCCATACGGGCTTGAGGTGAGTGTCACGACGGAGCCACTGAAGGAACATTGTGATGGTACGGTTGTACTGACTGGGATCACACAAGGGATTGCCAGGAATAATCGCGAAATTGCTGGTGCTGGGAACATATGCGACAGCAGCACCAGTGGCCATATCGCGCCAAATCTTATACCGGTCATCGAACCAGGAGGTCGAAGTGGCATCACCGTAGTTGGCAATCAATTTGGCCAGGGGTTGCAACTCTTCCTCATTCGCAGCTACACGGCGAGGGGGAGAATCCTTGATCCAGGCTGTCTCAATAGTGGATGCTTCGGGGTGGCGGAGCTGCTTGACAGGAGGCTTGGCCGGCAAGCTCTTCGGGTCGCGGTGGAAGAGCGAAGTCAGACGAATGTTACCAGTCTTCAAGACCAGCATCAGCAGGCGCTCGAGACCAACACCAGCACCAGCATGAGGAGGGGCGCCCCAACGGAAAGCCTCGAGATACTCCTCCATATCATCGGGGTTGATTCCAACACTGCGCATGTTCTCCTCGAGCATGTGGGCATCGTGAATACGCTGGCCACCGGAAACGATCTCTTGACCACGGATGAACATATCGAAAGAGTTGGTGAATCTATCGTCCTCGGGGTTTGGCATGGTATAGAAGGGACGTGCACCACGGGGGAACTTGTCTAGAACGTAGTAGTCGGTGTTGTACTTTTCTTTAACAAGCTCACCCAGACGGATCTCATCACGAGTCGCCAAATCCTCATCTAGGGGAAGAGGGTTGCCCTTATCGTCACGCCAGCCTGAATCGTTCAGCATTTGAATGCCGTCCGAGAAACGGATAACAGGAGTCTCGTCCAACCACTTGACATCATCTGAGGGGAGTTGGTGCTTGACGATTTCGATCTCCCGACGATGCTTGGTGTAGATTCCACTGAGAATGTTCTTGATGGTGGCATCCAAAGTCTCCAGCATCTCGTGGTAGTGCTCCTCAATCTGCATCTCCAGATCCAGACCAGTATATTCTGTCAAGTGACGGTGAGTGTTGGAGTTCTCTGCACGGAACACAGCACCGATCTCATAAACGCGACCAAAATCAGCTGCAATGGCCATCTGCTTTGCCAGCTGAGGAGACTGGGCCAGGAATGCAGGACGACCAAAGTAGTTGACCTGGAAAACACTGGCACCAGACTCGGTAGCGGCTCCCTGGAGCTTGGGTGTATGAATTTCAATGAATCCACGCTCATCCAAGGCGCTGCGGAAGAGGTTACAGGTGGCTGATTGGAGACGGAAAATGGATTGCGAAGTAGGAGTACGCAAATCGAGCACACGGTTGGTCAGACGGGTGCGGTCTGGGATGTGACTGCGACGACCCTCCACCTTCTCCTCCTCGGTTGTTTGGATCTCGGCTTCATAGACACTGAATGGAACAGGTTCCTCACGCTTGACGAGGAGGTGCACGGAATCGATCGACAACTCGACATCATGAATGCTGCAGCCCAGAACGGGAACTTCAGGCTTCTTGACAGTACCACGCACACGGACAAAGGACCCGACACGGAGGTGCTCCGCCCAATGTACCATAGCAATGGACTTGACACCGGATTCTTCATGCAGAACACCCTGGAAAGTCGACATCTGCTGGCGGAAGACCAGGAAGACCAGCTTGGCACTCAGGCGACGCACAACGTGCAATCGCGCAGTAAAGTAGATCTCTTGGTTCTCCATTGTCGCCGTGATATCATCCAGTCTTGTACGTTCCTTGTGCGGGCGCTCTTGAGACTGCATCAGAGGCAGTTCGCCATACCGAGCCTTCATGTCGGCGGTCTCATCTGCAGCAGCTTTGGCAAGGTCCTCCTCCCGGCGCTTATGGTCAGATTCCGAGAATTGCTCCTCACTCAAGCGACTCTTCTGACTGCGGCGCTGCTGACGAATCAATCGTTTTTGCTGGTTCTTGCTAAGCCCTCCAGCTGAGGAGTCATCGGAGAAGTCATCGGACGAGGAGATGTACTCCTTATCACGGAGGAAGTTTCCTAGAATGCCGCGACGAGGGGAGTGTGAATCACGCGAACCATTTCGCGAGTGAGAAGTAGGAGTCTTTCCAAGTCCCAATTTAAGGATAGGAAGGCCATGGGAACCGTGGGAACTTCCTAACTCTTCATCTGATGTATTCGGGGTACTTTTAGAGCCTCGAATGGCCTTGGACAAGGCCCGCTTGATCGACATGATGGTCAATGCCTGAAAGGTAGAGGGGAGAGAGTGGGGAGGAGAGATGAGAGGGAGGAGATGAGAGGGAAGTGGATAAACTACTTTGTATGAGAAAACGAGCAAGAAAAATAACAAGAAGTAAGATGACCCAAGTGACCGGGAAGGTGGGGGTAAAAGAGGGGCGCTGATAGTCAAAAGGCCGGAAGCGGCGATTTGAAGAATGTACCTTTTTTGATACCAAACAAGCTAGAATGGAAGACGGGTTCCAAATCCGGCCGGAGGACAGGTCAATATCAAATTAAAGGCGAGATATGCAGTGGGCTGGAAGTGATCAGGTTGAAGCAAATATAAAAGGGTGAGAAGAAGATCCGATCTCAGTATTAGGTTCCCGCTATGACATCATTTAGGGAAAGCCGGATTGTGTTTAAAATGCTTCATTTGGTTTTAGTTTTGGTGGTGAAAATGTTGAGTAGCCAGATCTGAAATATATCAGCTTTGTCCAAACAAGATCAGAGCCAATGCTAGTTAACTATGTGGTTTAGTCATAAACTGTTTCGTCATCACGATAAACCAATTCCTTATCGTAGAATTAGTTCATTGTTTGTAGATTACAGTATTGTATTCTCGTTACCGTATTATTTCTTTTCCGCATGGGATGATGTTATCACCTCTTAAACTTGCCGAATCTCCCGCTTTCCCGTTTCCTTCATATCTCTTCTTTAGGGCCTATTCTCATTTTACTCCCCTATTTTCGGCCCTCTGATTACATTTCCAAGCCTAACTTCCTTATTTCCTCTTAGACTCGTGTGGGGGCCCTTATTTGTCAGGCCGGCCTCCCCGGTATTCTCTCTCGCCAAACTTTATCAAGTTTTCTCCAAATTATGCCTTCCTCTCGCGTTTTGCCATCTCGCGGTTGGCTCTTGTTCCAGGCTGTGGTATGGCGCTTCTTAATGAAGATAGGAATGTTCCTGCATGACATTACACCTCCTCGAGTTCCCCGGCCTCGGTTTAAGCGCACCGTCCTGACCGATTCCCATGGTCACTCAGTTGTGATCCACTTCTACTGTCCATCCGACTACGAGCAGAAACTCCGCCTTGGCCATCGTTATCCGGTAGCTGTGAATTTCCACGGCGGAGGGTTTACAATTGGCGGAGCGACCGACGATTCTCGGTGGGCAGCAGCCGTGGTAAAGGAAGTCGACGCTGTCGTTGCCAGCGTGAGCTACCGGCGGGCACCAGAGCACCCGTTCCCTACAGCCTGCGACGACGGAGTGGAAGCGATATTGTATCTTGCGGCCAATGCCATTGAACTAGGCCTGGATGTTAGCCGGGTCGCGCTGAGCGGGTTCTCAGCGGGTGGTAATCTAGTCGTGACGGTGCCTCTGCGTTTACGAGACCGCATCAACTCAGAAATTAAAGAACACTTTGGTCCTGCAGAATCAGCTGTGCAGCTGTTGGACCAGACTGCTAATCTCAATATTGTGGCATTGTTCGCCTGGTACCCGATTCTAGATTTCCTCGAATCGCGCGATCATCGCCGAGCGATGAGTCTCATGCCCAATAAAACCCTTCCGTCATTCTTCACCACCTTGTTTGACGAATCATATCTGCCCGATATCGACGACCGCCACTCTCCCTTTGCATCACCAGTGCGTGCCTCCGATCGTATTTTGGCTGAAGGAATACCCAAGGATGTTTTTCTTTTCATTTGCGAATGGGACATGCTGGTGAACGAGGGTCAGCTGTTTGTCCGTCGCTTAGAGGCCCTGGGCAAGCGTGTGCGCTCCATGATGATTGAAAAGGCCAAGCATGCATGGGATAAGTCGCCTAACCCCTTCCGGGACCAGGAAAGTGTAGATGTTCTCTACCGCGAGGCCTGTGCTAACATGAAGGCCATTTTTGACCAGTGATGAATCATCAATAATTTCTTTAGCCATTGTTAATAGGGGATTGGGGTTGGCGTTTGGACCAGGCATTTATGGCGTGGGCGTTTCATAGTATGACAAAGCTAGATTCTTTCAATTACTCAATCAACGGCTTTTGTACTCTATTCAATCGGGAATCAGTAACTTTAACAGGATACCCTAACATTTCAGAGGTACTGAGTTGTCATAAGTTTCAAGGTCTCATTACACTTCAATACGATGTGACAACTCTGAAAAAAACCGCCTGCATAGATTAGCACCACTTAGGACGGGGCTATCTGAGCACTAATCATTGGCTGGCATTGCAGCCCAGCAATAGGAACTCCACAGGGATCCAGCCCGTCTATCTAAAGTATAAATTTAGGCTGATCCCGCACTAACTGTCTCCACTGATGTCACCACGAGCTTATCAACCTAGCAGTTCTTGTATTGAGTAGAAACTTTCAGCTTAATCAAGGCACAGAAAGGCAAACCGTGGATGGTGTGACTGTGGAAAGATGGTCAACATTGCTGATTTTTAAATTTATGACCTCTTTTCTAAGCTTCTATCGTGCTACACAATACAGTTGAATAATCTTATCTAACAAACATACTGATCGTCATGACGTATACTTTCCACATATCAGACTCAAATCTTATCGGATATCGGACTAATAAAACCGACTTGACTGTTGCAGGGTTGGAGAAGCTTATTCGAACAGGAAGATGGAAGCCGACGTTGATTTGGCCGATGTCGCTCCATCTAGTTGCTACTTTGTGCATAACTACACCTGGGTATACTGTCCACGTGCATAACTCTATGCATCCAGCACACTACAATGAAGAATTTCTATATGTGGGTTTATAGTGTCAAAATCTTCATATTTCTTTGTTAACTGAATTTTTTATTGATATTGGCTAATTTTTGCAGCCAAAACGCCACAAACGGAAAACGTTCTATTAAGATCTGAAGCGGAAAAGCCTGTGTATCCGAGGTCAGCATTAAATGATCAATCAATGGACCTTAAAACCCACCCTTGAGAAACCTTCTTGAGAAAACCTTCTTGAAAAACCTAAGGGGCACCTCGGATGTGTAGTTCCATGTCTAGAGCCACAGCACCGACTAATGAAACCAGATTTAAGGTAAAAATGGATTCAAAACATTCAAAGTTGGACAGCCATTGTTGCCCTATCAGTCAAGATCGAGATTTTCACATCACATGCATGGTTTTTGATTGAAATCTTCTAGGCTGATGATATCGATATCGTTAGAGAATTTTATCAACTGGAAGGTTTCGAACACATACTGTTATCGACAATATTTGCCGCATTGAGGACAAATATGCTTCCGGCAATCAATGGTAGCTCCACAGTTTTTGCAGACGATGGTATCAGCGGGCATTTTGCCAGTACCTAGATCCCTAGGTGGTATATCATATCAGTCTGTCTGAAAACCTACCAGAGTCTTCTTTAACTTACCAAGATAGAGTCGTATCAAGTTGTAGGAAGAAGAATGCAAAACAAAGAAAAAAGGGGCACGCATGGGAATCAGAGCTTATTTATATCAGAGACCTTTAATCAGTGCGGAAACCTACCTCGCTTTGTAGAATGTGATATTCACACCGCTGAATTCGTCGCACATTTCGCCAACGGTAGACAAGCCCAGTCTGACAATGGCTGCATATGTATCGCCCCGAATCAAAATATCGGAAATATGCATATATGTACCAGAGAATCCCTGGCGGTAGACTTCCACCGCTTTTTTCTTTGGCACAATGGTTGCTCAGACCAGGCTCAAACAGAAAGGAAAACTTTTCCAACGCGATCATATCAGTCCGATTTGTAATGGGCTAGGAAGGTCTAGACTGCCGGATCAACGAAGATGTACTGGCTTACCACGCGCTGTCTAACTTCATTCGCTTCAGGCCTTGGAATGTTGACGGGTTGGAGGTATATAGCATTGCTTTGATACATGATGTGACCTTCTCAAGGCTGGTATGTATAGATCTGAGGTCTGGGATGGCTTCCCATGTGATTTAGATCCCCCAAGGTTCCATAGCTAGGCTTAGTAAAGAGTAAAATTGCACGTGAAATATCCGATGTTTATTGATACTTAATTTTTTGTTCTCCCCTTTATGAAAGCTAGGACCCTTCAAATGTTTGATTGAGACGAGTGGACTCCAAGGTTGTACCCTTCCAGAGCATCACAGTGCCAGCTTTATCGATGCTGTAGGAAGGCAACTCGAATTTCTGATATGTCCTGCATCATTGGCTTCCAAGGTGATGCTCACCAGGGCATAATATTGTATCTCGGGCGCTAGGTGATCTCAATCAAGGTAAAGTTCCCTTGAGTTGGACATACTTCCTCGGTGTGCCGAGGTCTGCATATACCCATGTGACCTCGGGGGTTCAATGGCTTGTTTGTTATATGTCCAGGCGGAGTGTACCTAGGTACTGCAGGCAGGCACTGTAGGTGATAAACAGTCCCCCCTCAGGCAGGTACCCACGATACCCTTGAGCTAGTTTGTTAGATATAAATGCCTCAATATGCCCAATTCTGTCTTTGATACCACTCATCTTCAGTCTTCAAGCCTGAGTAGAGCTTTAAAGCCGACACCTCAACATGGACAAGCATGAAATGAGAATGCCCCAAAACGTGCCAGAGATATCTGCTCAGGAAGATATCTCATTGTCGCTGTCTAGTACTGAACAAATGACGTCCGAGCCTCCAGGGCCTTCATTTCTCCTGATAATGAAACTGATTCTCAAGGGTAATCGTATGCCTCGCGAGGCACAAGAACAAGTTAACCTCCAAGGTCCTCGCGCTTTAGAAAAACCATGCATATTGATATCACACCGCTCGCTAGACTGTTGTGAAACTCTGCATGATCTAGTTGACATCGATAATCATAAACCAGGCAGGGAATCTGGATCCCAGTCTCTGAATTCCTTGGCGATGAACTGATCTCCTATAGACACACATGTGTAACTGGTCAAGAGGATTGAGGTTCACTACGTAGTACAGACCAATTGCTGTGGACGCAGGAACGTAGCGTGCAATATTTCCTGTTGCCTAGATCGTCGCCCACCTGGGCAGGCAAACCCTTTTTTCTTAGTTGTTAATAAGGGGGTTCTTACTTAAGTAGGTAGCTTATAACGAACGTTGAAGAAGATAACCTTGGGAAGTTGTCACCCGGAAAGCTTTAGAGCAATTGTTAATGGGACTCCCCAAGCCATAGTGCCCGAGTGAATGGCATATATGCATCTTTCAAATATCTTTATGGAGGTTTGATCTGTCTGATCTCCATATTGCTGTTAAGGACAGGTTCTTTATCTCAAAGCACTGTGAGGGCTTTGGTATATTTGAAGGCAGCATTGAAAACTGTTCTACGGCTGAAGATCAATTTCTCAACTTCCTTTGCAAGTAATATCCGTGATCGTTCAAATTCGGGACGACCTTCCATCGAATGACTGGTGAGTCTAGTGGTTACACTCTCTTATAACACAGGTAGGATAGTGGTAATTAGCTTGAATGCTTCATGGTCAGAATTAACTAAGATAAAAGAATTGAAACTGGTTTTGTGATAGAGTAGATAGTCAGGTTGAAGATCAATATGCGGGTCTAACTAAGCTTTTCACACGATACGGCCCACTGATCTACGCCCCACTCATCTTAAAATAAACTACGTGAATATCAGTTAGTATGGTTGAATAGTATATTGTCACTACTACGAGGACGGTAGAGGCAATTTCAGTGTTAAAATTCTAAACTCGGTCTCGTAGAACAGCAGAAAGTCACCAATGTCTCCAATCTTAAGCTTCATACTTAGCAGAGGTGATTAGAGAGAACGGGTATAGTATATTATATTTCTAGAAAATTCCATTCTTAAGCTCAAGCCATGCTAGAGGCCAGATAGATCCTAATCCAGACCACCAGCCAGCCACTCTCCAACTTCAACTCCAATCCCCTTAGCAAGCTCACCAATCCAATCCCCGGAGACATTAACACACCACTTCTCACCCGCATCAGCGCTCGTATTGCCAGTGCCTATGCTAGCGAACCCGACATGACCCGACGCAGGAACGACGAGACGTAATCGACGAAGCGTGGCTAGTTCAGCATAGATTTGATCAGCGACTGCGCCTGTTCGGATCGGGTTTGCGGGTGGGTTTGGGTCGATGGCGTGGTAGATTGCTAGCAGACGTTCTAGTGGGAAGGGACGTGCAGTGAGAATTGTCGAGGGGCCTGTGATTCCGGCACCTCCACCGATGGCGGATGTTGTTGCCGAGGAGGTTGCGAATGCGGAGGAGAGGGTTGATTTCGTGATACGAGTTTTTGTGCGTTTACTCTTCTTTGGGGATGAGTTGTCTCGTGCTGCTGATAGTTCTTCAGCTTGGGCTTGGGAGAGGACTTTTAGACGGCGGCGGTGGTGTGCTCGCTTGTTTCGTGCTGATAGAGAAGATGAGGAGAATTTGGAGAAGAAGATTGTGTCGAGGCGTTGGGGTGTGTGGGATGCGAGATATGCAGATGTTAGGATTAAGGTGGAGAAGTAGGGTAGGGAGGGAGAGCGGAGGAGGCAGCAGTTGCTGCTAATGGCTTTCGGAATGTAGGCTTCGGCGCGGAGGGTTCATCTGGCACGATTTTGTGAACTAGTGCGGACTCGCCCTGATGTCTGAACAACGCGCGGTTCTTAACCAGCAGCCGGGTGAAATCCCATTCTGTGTTGCCACTTGGAGGGGCTTCGCCCTGCACAACAGGAGCGACGAAAAGTGGCCATAGTCGATCACAGATTGACCGGAAATTGGGTATAGAGCCAGCTGTTGGTCCGACCAAGGTTTCGTACACAGTAGCCACAAAGTGTGGGTATATCCGCGAAGAGGTTTCAGTAGGTATGCCCTCTACCACAGGGATGGGGGATGCTAGCAAGATGTCGATAGCTTCCTTGCGCGTATAGGGAGGGAAACTGATATGTGGAACAGCGGCGATCTGCAGGAACAGCGGTCGTGGAGTAGAACCAAGGATGAGAACCACGCAAAGCGTCGGGATCTGTGAACGAGGTCAGTATTGGGTGCAGCTGTACTCTTTGACATAATTCATACAATTTCACCTAGGCGAGCTAGTGCCGAAAGCAAGGTAGGTGGTGCTTCTCTTTGTTTATCTATTTCATCCAGCACGAGCACAAACTTTCCTTGGCGTTCTGGCGATCTGGCTGCAAGGCATTCATCTAGCAACACGACGAGGTTGCTGACGTTCTCGCATCGTCCTTTGCCGAACTTTTCCCACTCATCTTTCTGGTCCAGAGCTTCGAGGGTATTCCATAATATTTTCGTGAGGAGATGTCGGCCTGTAACGCACTCGGTGCTGCGAACAACGGCGTGTGGGACCCCAAGAGAGGAGAGGACACCACGGACAACGGTCGATTTGCAAGTTGCTGATACACCATGGACAACAAATGTGGGTGGACTAGGGATGTGAGGCTATCATAAGTATCAGAGAGGTTAGCAAGCTGGGAGACTCAGTCTTTAGAAAAACTTACATGGAGTAAGGTCGCAAGCTGTCGTGACTGTATTTCCCTACAGGGCCATTGAGTGCTCAGGAAGCGAGCAATATCAATGGGCTGCTGCATTGAACTGCAATCCCTTGTGCTTAAGAGTTTGGATTATCTATGCGACTGGCAAGGTCGATTCGAGTCTGTACTCTGCAGCCTCGGTAATCACGTGATAACGTGACTACCCAGCTGTCGTATGGATGAATCTTAGCGCGGTTTTTCTGCCAATACAGTCTCCATAATTACACCCAAAAAAGGAATAGATTCATACCAAGTCTAACCAATTAAATCTTATGATAGCTCTTCTAACATTTGCGCAGATGGTATGGCTTCTCTTTTTTAGACCAAAGCTCCTCTTCAGCAGTGTTTTTTTTTGATATATGAGCACCAATATAGATAAAGATAGCAATAAGGATCTGGATCTCGGCTGGCACTGTTGGTTTTCATGGTCGTGTATGAGGCTTTCCGGCACCTGAGTTGCTGCATACTTATTACTATTATTAGATAGTAATAAGAAGATATCAGGTGTAAAGAATAAGGAGAAGAGGTTAAGAGGATTGATCTTAATCCTATCAGGTATATTGGTCTTCACATGAAAAGAAGGCATCTTAAGAGGCTCAAGCCCCTTATTCAGCTCACTATATGGCTTCATCTCATCTAGACTCAGCTCACCTGGGTCGATTGGTGGTGGAGATGATTTAATAATTGGAGAAGAAGGAGCTACAGATGAGCTGATGAAAGGATAGCCTTGATAGTCTTTATGTTCCATTGTAAAACAGAGCAGTCTTAGCAGAGTAGAGTAGAGATAAATATCGCGTTCAAACGCGTCTTACTTTTCATCGTACTTTTTTTACATAGAAAAATAAGAACCAATCAGAGCTATTTATTATAGGTGGGTAACCATTACAGAAGCGGTCAGAGATATCAGCCAATAATATATATATTTATCTATCTATCTCCACTTTGGTATACGCTAAAATTCATCCATACGACAGCTGAGGGATAAGTAAGGAGAAATTACATGAGAATCATAGGGAAAACATGATCATGAAATATGATCTTTATTCTTAAAACTTCGATAAGAGTGCATATTCGTAGCTCGGAAACCTAATGCTGGAAAGCATCGACTGGCCTCCAGGGGCACAGACGAGAAAGCATGTCGGCGCGGTTTCGGTGCGCTGGGTGAAGTGGCCTGGGGTGAAGTGATAACAATGCAAACAAAATATCAAAGGTACAAATCTGATGATTCTTGACGTCTGCTTCCGTCTAATCGCGAGGTCGGTGGTAGGTGTTTCGATGGACATGGTCATAGGTTGGCTTCTTACTGTAATGTCGAGATCTCACCATCACAAACAGGTAAAAGCAGAAAGGAAGAAAAGAAAAGTACAATCAATTTTAGACAACGATTAGCTCAGATAAGATAAGAAAATTAGAAATGAGCTAAGTTTCAAGGTACCTAGAGAAAACAAATCAAAATGTTACTGATGCGCGTTGTGCATAGGTATGCAAGCAAGATTACAGGTGAAATATTTAGAAACATTTGGTCATAATAAAATTTACTAATAATTGGTTCTGATCACCTTCAGTCTAGTGTTGTTTTGATGCGGCCCAATACGTTACGCCGGAAAGTATCGACTGGCCCCTCTAAGGGACACAGAAGAGGAAGCACATCGGCGCGGTAAAGAGGCAAAAAGAAGACAAAACACTCACTGGACTGAGTAGAGAGGTAGAAGCAAAACAAAAAAAAAAAGAGAATAACTGGGACAATCATGGGCAAAAAATCAGGTGCAGGGTGACTGCAACGTGATGAAATGACCGAAGAAATCATCATGATCACTGTCGAAGGATGAAAAAAATGTAACTATCTGAAAAAACCAGATTGGGATTTGCAGGCGGCATCGTGATGTTAAAAAAGAGATACGTTGAATCATCAGATATTCATGTCGTCATTTGAGATACTGATACAAATAAGAGCCGAGGTCTTAAAGAATTAGGGGGTCGGCACCCGATGGCTTATTGTCGGTGGGAGAGGCAGCAATAGGGCTGCCATTCGACGCACTGATCGCCGGAGTAGGGGGCCCCTGGATCAGGGGCACGGGAGTGCGTGAAGCCACGTTGTTCGCCTCATTCGGTGTAACCTGGCCATTGGAAAAGATTCGCGAGGTTCCAGGTTGTGAATGGTTAGAGCCGTTGCGGGGACGTCCGGTCAGGGACGCATTCGAGCCAATACGAGGACGACCGCCCTGGGAGAAATCGGAGCCGACACGAGGACGACTAGCCTGTGATGCGTTCGAAGTAATTCGAGGACGACGCTGTGCCTCACGATCCTCACTAGCAAGGTCAAATGCTGCGAGCTTAGAAGCAAGACGGCGCCCATGAGGAGTGTGGCGAATCGTATGGAGCAGCGGGCGAATCTCGTACACCAAAGTCTCACGCATATCGTAGTCGCAGGAATCGACTGCAGTCTGGATCACATAGTTGGCATACGCATCATGGAGTAAAGTGTTCATGCTGTTCTCTCGCATGAGCTCTTGAACCATTTCGCGACGGATAAATTTATCACAAGTACGCAAACACTTTTCCATAACGTTAGAGCTAAATTTCTGTTTAGACAATGTGGTGACGTGTCCGATGAGCATCCGGCAAAGGGCGTGGGTGAATCCAGGCTCACCCAGTTCGAGGATGTATTGGACAACGTAATTTCCATACGGATCCTGAACCAACTGATACGCCTTCGCAGTAATTTGGCCAATAAGGCGAGCTTTTTGATCACCAGTCGCATGATCAATGCAGCGCTGCAAAACGCAGCATCCGTGACGGTGACTGCCGACAGTGAGACAGTGGCCTCCGACAGCCTCATAAATAAACTCGGCTTCGGATCCATGAAGTCTGTTCAAACACTTCTGAATAACGTGATTACCGTTGAGGTCTTGCACAAGCAGGACAACATGTTCTTCAAGAGCTCGGACCACAGTCTCAGTCTGCTCATCAGTGGTAATGTACTCGATCATCTTTTGCAGGGCACGAGTACCATGCTGGTTCACAGCGATGTGAACCAGCTCAGGAGCGGAACTGTGGACCAAAGCAGTGCGCTGCTCGTCATTGCAGAACTCAAGGAGTTTCTGGACGAGGTAGTTACCGAACGGATCGGTCATCAGCTCAATCATGTGCATTTTGACTTCATTGAAAATCAACTGTAGGTGATCAGGGTTGCCCTCCTCCAACTTTCGTTGAAGGTAACGGCAACCATGTTGGTCCTTGCACATGGCCAAAATATGTCCTTCGTAGTGGGAGAGTGGATGCAACGAGAAGCGGCTGGTGTGCATCAACTCATTCTCAGTCTGACGAGCGCGGTTATCTGAGAACCGATTGGTGTGCATCAGTTCACTTTCGTTCTGACTGGCGCGGTTATCTGAGAACCGGTTGGAAAGAACCATGTCACTCTCGTGGTTATCTGAGAACGGGGAGTTACTCAACTCCGTGTCGTTCTGACGGGTGCGGTTGTCCGGGAACCGGAATGGCGGCCAAGCACCATGGCCGCTGGATGGCATGTGAGGGCCGGACTGAAGATTAGCCGCTTGGTAGCCGTACTGTGGAGGACCGCTGCGGTAGCCGTATTGGACGGGATTGGTAGGTCCAAAAGGAGCAGCGCTGGCCTGGAGAGTTGACCGCCCAGAGCTTTCAGAGCTTCCAGACGTGCTGGGACCAAACCCAAGCCCGTCACGGTTATCACCATTTTCCATAGCGCGGTTGGTCACAGGCTGCGCGTGAATGCGTCCCATACTGACAGAGTGGTTGTGCGGGCCTTGAGTACGCGGCGGCGAGATAACCGAATCAAGTGCACCTTTAACGGTGGGCAAATCGTTAGTAGAAAATGAGGGCTGCACAAGGGGTCGGGCAATGTCACTCGAACGATCGTTGAAAACGTTGCCCTCCAACGAGTGGCGCGCATGGTGGTGCTGAAATCCGTGCTCAACGCTTGAGTTTTGTCGACCGTGCAGATTCTTAGGCATGCTATGATGCGATGAACGGGTTCTGCTGTGAAAGAATCCCGAGGAGCCCTGTGCGTGTGAGTTCACGATATCGTGGGCATCTGGGTTGGCCGATAACTGAAACAATCGTTAAAATCATCTTCTCGCCGCCGCGTACTCAAGGCCAGCACAACCCCACTGCCAGTATGGGAATGCATCTGCGACTCACCATATTTGTGCCATCTCGGATGAGAGTAGGGAACCGATCATCATCTGTAATACCGAGGATACTGGTGATGTCTGGTGTGGCAGCTCGCTCATATCCAGTCAGACGGTTCATGGAAGACGAGGACATGAATGGTCCGCCACCGAAGACGTTAGGAGGGTTGCTCAAAGGCAACGAGTTTCGGTGGCTAGGCATTATGTCAGAAACAATCATGACAGAGAGAGAAGAGAGAAAAGAGGAAAAAAGAGAAAAACAATGCAATGCAATCGCGGAGCGAAGCTTATGGGAAAACTTACGATCCATGTCGGAATGACGATGGAGACCCGAGAGTGAAAGCATCCTCGTCGGAGTTGCGGCGTGTTCCAGGGATTGATCCAGGTAAAGAATTGCCATTGAAGCGGTCAATTGAGTGGATTGAGGCACGAGAAGTATGCGACGAGGGACGCGAGAACGCGTCGAAGGTACCGGGAGACGAAGTCACTGAGAACCTGCCTGGTCGAACCGCACTGGTTACAGCCGACTCCCGCTGCTGCTGAGGAGGCGTGCTAGGCACAGTCGGCCCCGGGAAACTGACCTGAGCTAAGTCCCGTGCAAGCTGCTCCATCTCTTGGTTTTCCTTCTCGTGCTCCATATCGAGAAGTTTCATGTCTTGCTCAAACCTGAGTTTTTGCTCTCGCATAAACTGGATATGTAATCGCTTTTGCTCGAACTAGAGATTGGTTAGAGAAAATAGAACTTTGTCAAGCTGAACAGGCAAATCGTAGTAAATAATAATAGATAAAGCAATGATAAGAATGGAGGGAAATTGTGAAGAATGGATGAGACGATGGAGAGGAATCGATGAAAAAACCAAGTGACGGGAATTGGGAAATGGAAAATGCGTTCAGATGAAAAAAATTGAAGCATTAGGAAGAAATGTAACAAGAGACGACGACATGGAGACATCCACAAACAGAATCGAGATGATGATCGTGGGATCAAAGATGTAGAAATTGGTGGGGAAAAGAGGTTGAAGAAGAGAAGTGGGAGGGAGAGTGGGAGAAGTGGTTTAAATGGATGAAGGGAAACACCTCGGGCCTGAAAAATAAGGAGACCACTTCGAAGTAAACACAATGGAAATGGGAATGAAAATAATGTAGACGCTCATCCGTCTAAAGACATGATCAAGAGTGAAAGTAGTGACGCTATTCGCAAATGATGTCATATAACATGACAAAGAGAGGGGACGAGTAGACGGTAGTAAATGTGATAAGAAGCGGTGAATGATGAGTTTTAAGCTTTGGTCATGGCTTCTCAGGAGCAATTCGAGGACAATATCAAAATGGGCAGCAAAACGCGAAAAGACAGAAGACTAATTGGAAGAATACACACCGAAGATAGTAGATCCAGGGGATCTTGGGTAGAATTATTACTTAAATAATTCCATGAGGTAGTCAACTTGCTTGCATCAGTTGTAAATCGACGTTGCAAATTGGAACGAATATCTCGGTCTCCTTGCCCTGAAAAGGGTACGAAGGTTGAATGGCCCGGCGATAGGGGAGATAGGGAACTATAGCCTGGGAAGGTTGTTTCTGACGACTGTGGAGATCGAGGAGACGGAAATCGTAGCTCATCAAGCCGCTCACTAAGCCCATTCTTGAAAGCCATAGTGGATAGGGGAAGGTGTTCAACTACAGTTGAAGTGTTGATCAGCACATACGTCTGAGTGGAGCCTCTTTTTTTTTTAAGAAAAAAAAAAATTGGCACGTTGATCAGTCCTAGATATCTAGGACAAGCCACAAAATGAGGTTGACCTTAAGATCGAAGGGCTGAAATGTTTTGTGGTGTGGGTTGGTGGTATTCGAACAGTAAGGGGAAAGTCGGAGGGGTTGAGGGGTGGTCGGTGATCTGCGCTCGTAAAAAGGATTCCTACTCACAACCACGAACGCTCGAAGGGATGTACAAGTATGATCGGGATATGGAGTCCAAGATGAGGCTATAGATTCATCTACGAGATGATGGTGGACGCAGAAGAGGAAAAATCAATGGTAAAGTGTACCTGAAAATGCGGAGATTAGCAGGGGAGTTGGATTGGAGATAGGGTACACCTACAGACAACCACAATAAAAGGGACAAACGAGTGTTAAGTCCACAAACACAATCACCCAACACTATCCCAAAGGAACAATACAAAGCTGTTGTACACGGAGAGTGGAGGGGATGTGTGGAAGGAGATGAGGAAGAGAGAGAGAAGAGGAGGAAAGGCTGGGAAGGGCGAGTTCCAGTCAGAGCGGGGAGACACTTTTGTAACCCTAATTAGGATTGGCTTATTAAAGCCCTTGTTTTGCTTTTTTTTTTTTTTTTTTTTCCATTTTGTCATCCCATATTATTCATAGATTCTGATCATTCCATACTTCGTACCAATTTTTTATTTCTTATTTTCTGCTCTACTTTCTAAGGTTGGTGAAGCTTTGAACTTACTAGTAGGACTAATACCCGAACGGGAATAGTAATAGAGTAAATTACCTACTTCTACCAGATTGACAACCACAGCATATGATCATCCAGAGTTACTCGATGTTTAGAAATAAGGGTATGATTGGAGAGGCTCTGCCTGTACCACCAAAAGAAGCTGTCCCGGGGAAGCACTGGTATAGTTGTGTATAAGTTAACGTCTCGAACCTCCCCTGTCGCAAATTAATTCCCGTTATTTCCCCTACTATCGATGATTGGGAAATTCACCACCTGGGCATATTATCTTGGTTCATATCCCGTCAGTCTGCAAGGGGGGAGAATGCGCTGTTCAGCGTGGCAGTTGCAGACCATAAGTATCAAGTTGACCAAGTGGGGGCTCACTGGATGGTGCAGGAAGGATGTGACAGCGGATCTCCCTCTAAGATAAATTAGCCACCGAACGGGGCAAGCGTGTGTACCTGGATCGAAGCCCTAGTATTCGGTGGATTCGCTTCTTTTCTATTTATTCTATTTATTTTATTTTTCTTCTTTTTCACTACTTTTTATTCCTCTTTTTTCTCCCCTAAGTCTCCACAATATTGCACCATTTCATTGCAGAAATAAAATAGGTTCTTCGTCCGTTCTCCGTTCTCCGTTCTCCGTTCTCTATTCTCCATTCTCCATTCTCCATACTCCATTCTCCATTCCTTATTCCTCATGGTTCGCGCCAAACTAGTTCGGGTTTACTACTTGCTACTAACCAAGGTTCGCTTTGTTTACGGCAAAACTGAGCCATGGATTAACCGGCCAAATTAAAAAGCCAAAGGCGACCTTCTTTCTTTCCCGTCTTTTTGATACTAAGATATGAGAGAAGCGGTGAAGATGATACGGTCATAAAGATCCACTTCAAATGACGAGTATCGGAGATTCTGCACGAACACCGGATATGAGATCTTCTCCGAGATTCCTCATCTTCCTTTCCTATCTAGGGGGGTTAGAGATCAGATCTGGACTAGTAGTCAATTCAAATTCTTTCTGCTATAATACTAGGTTCCAGGGTCGAGCCGAGTCTAGCGCCTATTTACTCTTTAGGGCCCAAATTGCACCAAATTACCCTTTTTCATGCCCAACCCCCAAACTTGCGCTTTGCACCTCGACCAATTCACAATCTCCTAAGCTGATTTGTTACACTGCCAATCAATTTCCCGTAATTATCAATCATGGCTCTTCACTATTGCTTGCTCAGGTGGTTGGGGGCTTCCCTGATTAGGTACCTATGGAATTGACAAATCATCTCATCTGAAGCATTCCCCCGTCCTCCGGCTTACTAGAGCAAAAGCCCCATTTAGTTATAAAGGATCATGCGCAGTTAGTTGTGATAAATCACAAATAGCCCCATCCTTCAGCCTGCGCATCTCCCAAGTCCAGACTACCTAGGTAAAGTACGTTCGTAAAATACATTTCAATCCAGGCTGGTTCCATCCACAGCCACGTGTACGAGAAAGGTCTATTTGTTCGATAAGTAACCAATTTGTATCTTGACTCCACGTCAACTATGGCGTTCCGGGAATTTATTCCCTACCGACACGGAGTGCAGCTTGCATACCGCCTAGTTTGATCTTATTTTACTTTTTGGAGGGGTTGAGGGGGTTGGTGGCGATAACTTTTTGGAAATTGCGGTCAAGCCATTTGCCACAAACATTCCCGTCCTTTGGCCCCTCTAATACATATTTCGAGTCATGACTCTATATTAGCTAGACAATACACAGTGCCACAAGCGCTGTGGGCGCTGTACAACCAACCTATTCCCTGTCCCATGCAGTATTCAGATTCTGTCTCTACAGTACACAGTATATAGTACCACGAGACGCTAGATACTGCAAAGGCTGGGGAGGGTTTATCACATTGATATCTACATCCATTGATGTCCTGAAATACCTATTATTACGTAGAAATTAGCCTAATTCAGTAAACGAAGATTTACTTTAATACTTTAATTAACTTCTAGATTCATTGAGGTAGATCATGTGCAACTAAGGGCAGTAGGTTGTAAACTGGTCGTCCGTGCAGAACAGAGGAGCCACGCATATGCGATCTCAGGGACCTCGGGACCCACTTGATTCCATTTTGGATCCTTGGAACCATAATAGCTCCAGGAGTCGACTAGAAGTATTAATAGCATTCAATAGTCATCTGGTTCTTTACGTCTTATATCGGGATCTTTAGGGTACTTGTACTTGTACACCAATAGAGAAAGCTTTACCCGTCATTAAGGTTTGATTGTCAATCAACTTAGATCCATTGAGGCCTTCCAAGTTATCATTGGACATTGTAAATACTAAAGGCTCGCCTGAATTCCAACATGAACAAGCTATCTAGATCTTTGCCTCAGAATTGTAGGAAATGAATACTCGATAGTGTCAATACAAACCCAAATTATAGTTTTCGTGCAAATAAGGTATTGAACCCATGTGGAACGGCCGGGGCCGATAAGTAACCTTACAACACTACAAACCTTGGAAGCATACCAAGACTCTGGAAAAGTTTAACTAGACATTATAGGTAGTTGGCTCGGGGTATTGGACGTTTTTGAATATACTCAGGCGACATATGAAATGAATAAGTCATCATAGACAGGGTCACTACTAAGCACATCTATAATCAAAAATGTGTAGCTCTTCAAAGCATCAGACTTCCAAGGTTCTTTCTGGGTCAGGAATCAACCGGCCATCTCAAAAACTTTTGCACTACAAAGCCCGAATTTTGGAAGCTGAAAAGCAATACTCGGGTCCTTTCTGATCAGGACGGGGTTTTCAACCTAATTGATGAAAATCATGTGATATTCCTGAAGTCGATGAATATCACAAATATATCAGTGGACCCTCTAGTACTACCTGGGACTTGCCAAAGTTGGAAATTCTATATGGTTTATTTTATGAATTTCAACAGAAATTATCCACAAGATCATGTCCAGGTGCCTCCACAGGTGAGCTAGCTTGGGACCTCGGTATATATGTCAAAAGGCACACATGATTCACAAATGGCCAACTAGCCCCCAGAAGCACACTAACATGCAACGCTCGAACGAAATAATAGCCAAAGATAATTTAAACATACTCGTGCTAGTGCATAGATTATGCATTCTTAGTTCCCTTGCAGAAGCCAATCTCGAAGAGGCATAAGCCCCGATGGCTGTGCGCGCCTTCGGATATCGGATAATTATTTTAGTGAATTGCTATTTCAACGACATATCTATTCACTCAATAAAAAAACTATTCCGAGGTTGGAGCAGGATCCAGAAAATTAGAGTTAATTAGATGGGATAGTACGAAATATAGCCCTGAGATCAGCCCATCTGCTTGAAGCAAAATTTTGGATGTGGATTTGGTGGCATGATCATCCATACCAAAGCCAAAAGGAGATTTTCATCTGCCCAGGCATTTATTTGACTCATTTGATTCGCTGAATGCCCCTTATGCGTAGCATAATGAACCTGTTCTTCGGGAATCTGTCAACACCTGTAGGCCCCTCGTGAATGTACACAGTCCACGGGTCCCACTAGCAGCAAATGGCACGACAGCTGGCCTATGATATGAGTCTAGATGGAAGAAATTCTACCCAACAGAGAGAATATAGACAACTCAAGTCTTATTCAAGGCCAAGATAGGGCCGAGATAGGGCCGAGTGTAAACGTTGGTTTCCAATGTAGGTGCGGCGACATCCTCATTTCAAGAAACTTTCGAAGACGAAGAAAGGATCTTGTAGGATATTCTAAGGTCAAAATCTTGGAGGGAAATGAAAATGAGATAGACTCACCCGGGATAAGGTCCAGTTTCCAATATTGTAAACTAAAGAATTTTCATTCTAGAATACCTTGCTATGTTAGAATTGTAGGAACGAAAGGGTTACACCTCCCGAGTTATCACTACCTTACCTAGGTAGGTACCTATTTTATCTGCATATAAGTTACATCTTATCAATTCTATCAAGCGGATCAAGCATAACCATGAAAGTCAGCCCCATCATGCCCAAGTCTCATCTGCAAAACCCATATGCCGTGTTATAATGGTCAAGTTAACATGTGCTCCTCCTACCCGGGTAAGTCTGAGCTTACTAAACTGCTAGAGTATAATCAAGGAATAGTTTCAACAGGAGCGTAATAATAAAAAATAGCATATGAAAACACTCGCACTTTAAAAGGCAGTTCCAGGCATTCTGCTTACTCAATATTAACGACAAATGAAGTAGGAAGCTATTAAAAAACCCCGTAAAAATTGCAGTGCTGAGCTTCTACTTTTTCCACATAAGGTAAGCTATATTGGAGCTAGATTCTTGCGCAGGAAATCATTGAAATGCCAGACGAATGAAATTTTTCGGGCTGGCACCGTTGTCGTTAGGCATTCGCTGAATTCATTTATTTAGTCGTTCCGAGGTGACTTTTAAGCTGCTATACAGAGACGCTCGGGGGACCGGATATTATTATATCTCAATCAAATGGCTTTTTGTCCACGGGTATTGCTTGTGCTAAGATATTTTGGAGGTCGTCTTATCCACCTCAAAAGTTCTCCACGCGCCGTCTTATTAAGACCTTTGGGACGTGCAGAGCAATAAATGTTCAATACCCCATATCAAGGTCGCAATATCCTTTGAGGTTGACCCAGCCTTGTCCTTGACTCAATATACCTCGGAACCTCTCTAGGTGTAGACCCAATACATATTCATCGAAATTTATTCCTTTCTCTCACTTACACTTTCACTCTCACTTTGCTGAGGCCAGCTCTAAGGCTCCAACGCCACTTCTAAGGTTCCGGTTCCGTCTTACAGGTACACATTTCTCACCCTCTAAACTATTTGTTGGAATATGGAACAAAGCAGTCATGTGACCAAATCGCTACTTTATAATAGATAGCAAACTTCGAATGAAACTCAGACTTTACAACCACTTGAAGAGGACACATAGATATCATAGGGGCGTAAAGTGTTACCTGTGATAGGTGTCAGAATTGGGCGTTAGCCTCTTGTCTACCATATCGAATAGCTATTCTACACTTGGTACTGGTGTACCGACACTATTCTTTCCTCTTCGTCCATCTTTTTACATATGTTGACATGTTATACGTCAAGGGTTTATAGTCAAGCCTGCCCAGGTGGCCTCCAATGTCCTTTTGCAATCTGCAATTCGAAAAATGACAGTTAGCAGGCATATCACAATAGTGTACAATACGAACAAAGATACCACGGCAGAGATTCTTCATGAAGATGGAAGCCTGAGACGACTCTTGTTGATTATCGGTATCGTACTTTCAATAACAATATTCTTTCCTTTCTGATCCGATCCATTTTACCATTCATATGATACTGCAGTATGTATTTCGTCGAGCCCTTTTGAGTCATATACAATACGGTTGATCAAATATTCCTTATCTCGTCGCCAGCTCTATATGCTACGCATGGGCAGCTCCAAGGTACCCAGACCCATGATTGAATACAAACTATCAAGAAATGGAAGAAGAAGATCGAAAAATGTATGGTGGGAACATCTATAAGAGTTATGAAATCTTAGTTACGAAGGAGGGTACCCTTACTGACTAGATACAAAAGAATATGACGAAGAGACTGGAATGCTTCGCAAGGGTGTACGTCCCATCCCTGCCGGTCATACTTCAGCTGGTACCAACACCATCAACGTGCGATTCTAAATGATATACTGCCAAGATCGAGAATTATCTACGTCAAGAAATGCAAGTGAAAAGACTCCATTAGAGATATATTGATAAAGGATGGTGATAAATACAGTAAAATCCAGTCTAGCGGCCGAACCCTCTCATTTTCCCTAGTTAATTCTCGTACGACAAATACTACTGGTCGCGTATTATCATTTGAGTCTGTACCCCCCATATGTTAGGGGTTTTTTAGGGTATTTAGAATAGCCGGTTTTCCTTTTACTCCGGCGGCTCCATGTTGTAAGGAGACCGGCCGGGTTGACGGGAGTCTGAGGTTTTAGTGTCGTTCATTAGTTGTCAGCATTGAAATCCGATTTCTATAATCTATGAACTTGATCAGCTACTGAAATTTATCGAAACATCATGCATTAAAAGAGCTGAAAGACACATAACGGAAAGCTGAAAGATCTAACATTCTGGTTGTCGGGCTAACGCCCATCGTTCGCAGATAAATTCGGGCTGCTACAGGGAACTGGCCTTCGAGTTTCGGTGATTCTTAAGAGAGTATTGTGCTGCCCGTAACTGCTCATCTGCCTTCTCAATGTCTCGTCTGGCTTCCACTCTTACGGTCTTCCACCGGTCAATCCACTTAGCTAATTTCAATGCAACCACTGAAATAATTGAAGAAACTACCACAGAAACACCGACTGAAGAAAAGTTGCTATCAGTATATACCTATCTAAGTAATAATCTCACGATTTGACACTCACATATTATTGGAAAAATCCATCGACCTTCATAGCTGACATTGTCTCCGTTGTGCGGGAAGTCGGAGACATTCAATGCAAACAAACTTGTCAAAAACGAAGCAGGAAGCTAATTTTCGCGTTCAAATTGTTAGCTTGATATGGAGAAGTGAGAGCTGTTCAAATCTTACAAATACAATAGTGACCAATGTGAAGACCATGATGGCTACTCCTTGTTTTGCAGTCTCCTCGCTTTGCTTCCTACTATTCTTTGCTTCAAAGATATTGGCTTGCTTTTGCTTGAGATCAAGGAGTAGATGGATGGACTTCTGAACAAAATCCACATCCTGCATCATTTCCACGATTTCAGCATGAATACTGGATGGACTGTTATAAGTGAATTCAACCTGTTTGTTGTAGTTCTCTCCTCGTAACTGTTTGAAAACGTCATCTTGAGCACGAGTAATACATTTGAGAATGTTAAGCTCATCGCAGATATCTTTGATTACCCTGAGGAGTCCCGTTTCATCGATTATATCGTCATATGTGGGACTGGAGCTGCGTGTCTCTCTTTCTCGCTTGACTTTGTTACTCAAGTTGGCTCTGACATCCAAAGTTTTATCAGTAAAATGCTTTTGGCTTGATCTTTTTGTTCAGCTCACTTTCTTCCAGAAATGAAGTAGTAGGAAGCCTTCATATAGGAAACCAGTCCAGAACCCTTGTCTTGGTCATAAATCGACGCCTGTTCGTTCTTTTTGTCTTCCACCAGCTTTTTGGAAAATTCCAAGAAAAGTTTGGCTTCACGATCCCGCTTTTGAAGCTGTCAGTTGGTATATGCTCAAACAAATCATGGCTTATATAGTGTATATTAAGATAAATGATATCGTGCTTACAACTTCCTGAATGGACTTCCTGAATATTCCCAGAGGAGAATCGTTGAGACTTTTGATCCTCTCATCTGGTGTCTCTTGAAGCGAGCCTATAGGGATCTCCACATTATGAAACATGCCTGTGGCGGTGCTGAGAATCAATTCTTGAAGAAATTCGGCCGACCAAGAACAGGTATCCCCATGAGACTTTATTTTCGATTCGACTCGCTGACGAAAGTTTTCTGGGAAGACGTCATTTTCTCTGGTTGTACTAGTGATTAAAGTCTCTACCCAAAGACATCTTAGTTACTTTCTCGATTAGGCGTGGGGGCAACAAACTCTCATCGATGATCCAAAGCCAAAGCTGATTAACGACAATAATTTTATCAGGTTGGTCACTGGAATTCCCATCATCTTCTACTCGGTGAATGAATTCCTCTAAGTCATAGAATCGTCTCTGAGAAGTTCCTGATCGTGTGAAACGACCGACGACTTGGTCTTTGTCTCGATCCCTCGTGTCGGTAATCGAGGAATAGTAGTATTGGTCAAGGGTCATCGATGAATGCTCTCTATCTTTAGAGTCTTCGAGTGACACTGAATATTTGATTTCCCACTTTGAGTCGAAACTCTCGTGACAAGAGTCAGAATTATCAGGTCCTGTATTTGCGGTTGTCCTTGGACACTCCGAGCAAGACAGGTATGGCATCTAGCTAAAATGTTAGAATTGAAAGTAAATGGACTGAAGCTGGACTGACATAAATAGCAGAAGATTTGAAAGGGATTTCTTGCTTTTCCTTCCTGGACTCTTTTGCTTCCCGTTTTTCGCCCTGCTCATGCATATACGTCTCCTACCAAGTGTAAGTTCGAAATTTACCCAGTCATGAATACATTGGGCCTTTAACTCACCTGAACAACATATTGGGGCTTTAAAAAAGACTTTCCTCCCCCAGCACTTTGTTCGACTCTACTTTTCTGAAAAAATTGAGCTAGAGGCCTATGTGTTTTGTTTAACCACCCTCTCTCATTCGAAATGCAGACCAAAAGATTCTAGTATAAATTCAGTCCCCGTGGATGACAATAGTCCTGAAATAACTTCTTACCTTCATACATGTGAACTAGCGGCGAAGTTAGTCATATTTTAAGATATTGCATATTGACTCCTAGTCATCTTACATCATTTATTGGGATGTGTATCCATCTCATGTCCGGCCCTTTGAAGCCAGAAAACGCCGCAGCCGGGGAATTTTGCTCAATGTTTGAGCTGATTTCAAACTTCTTCAGGTCATCTTTCAGTTTCAAGATTTTGTCATATTTGCATGGACGCATTATTTTCTGGGGTCCATCATATATGATGTCTCTGACTGAACGATGTTTAAGTTGAAAGATAAATTCATCCTTACCATGGAATAGATCCACTACTGTCCCATTCGGAGAATTGAAATCAGAGGGTAGTGGCTCTAAGTGCGGCTGATGGAGATCGTCCCAAGGGGCTCGAGATTTTAAAATTGGCGGCGGATCGCTCAGAAGTTCCTTGATGATATTCTTCTCCGAGTTAACATCCGTAGTGCTCGCACAACTTTCATGTGAAGTGACACCGTCAATGGTCATATTCCCGTCTGTCATGTCTTCAAGTAGCTGTAGAGCTTCTTTAATCTCTCGTTCGCCGGTATAGCTTCCATGTGAAAGAACCCACCAGACAACTACGGGGAGCTGGAGAAATACTGCTTTCAACAACACACTCGCTCCCAACAGTTTCGTTGATAGCTGAGTATTATGGAATTTCTCCAAGTACTTGGATAAATATTTCTCGTGTCCTGGGGGCTCAAATTGTGCTGCCAACTCAAATATATAATTCAAATGATCTGATTGAGAAGAGCTGAATAATTCATGAAGGTCTTTGAGAGCATGATCGAGGGTTTTCCAGAGGAGTAGTTCGATCTCGTTGCGACCTGGCTTACCCCCCTTGGCTGATAGAGAAATTAGATCCTCTCCTTTTGACCGTTCGATGAGAATTTTCACAATATCTTTATTCGAACGAATTGCCGTTTGATCTTCCAAACCACTTGTGTCACTGTGCTCCATTTTCTTCGTCAATTCCGAAGCTCGATCTATGATAGCTCGAGCGAATTGAACATTTGAATGTTTGATTGCCAAGCGCAGAAGATCTCTGGTTAATTCTATGCTTAGCTCTTGAATCCGCTCAAGTAGCTTTCCCGTCATCCCATATGTAGCTTTAAAAGCGGCTATGGAAATCCAGGAAAATGAATCTGACTCCGACGGCAAGGGTTTGGAATCAGCTAAGCAATTATCAAATACTGCATCATTTGTGTGTAAAATTGCCCAGAAGAAAATCGCATTCTCGTGTCCCAGCCAGCCATTAGGTTTTATAGCTGCAGATTCATGCTCACGGAGGTCTTGTTGAGCCATCCAGCTCAATATACAGTTTGCAACTGAGCCTGCCTCATTGTCGTTGGAAATATATGGGTCAGCACGTGGGAAAGACTCAAATGCAAGCCATGAAGCATCCAGGATTTTCAGAACACCATAGTAATAAGACTTTCTTGCGGCATCATCCAAAGGAGTGGAGCCATAATGGTTTTTTGCAAAGATAGTTTGCGCTCTCCAATTCTCGATCAGCCATTTCAGACGCATGCCGGCCTCAATCATTTCGCTGTCCTGTTCATGAATGGCTGCCAGGAAAATGTCGACGAGGTCATTGTTTTGAGTTAGGACAGCCAGGTGAAGTCCATTGTACGGATCACCCTTCATTGATCCTATATTCGCGCCTTTTTCAATAAGTATTTGTACAAGCTCTTTGTGCCCAAGTTGAGCAGCAAAAGCCAGAGCAGAACATCCTTGCTTGTCTCTCTTTTCCATGAGTGCATGATGGCCTTTTTCAACTAAAACCTCAATTAAGTCCAAGGAAACATTCTGCCATACAGCGTATATGAGCGCAGTCGCTCGATAGTCGCTTGTCTCAGCCATTATATCGGCTCCTTTCTCAAGTAAGAGTCTCGTGGTTTGCAGGCGATTCCATCCCACTGCAAGCATTAATAAAGTCACATCATCAGTGTCCACATCGTTGCTCGGAAAGAGATATTCAATTTTTGTGTCCAGGTCCACATCTTTGCCGAGTAGTTCTAGTAAACTATTGACCTCTTTCGGACTATCATCTTTCTCAATCAGGTTTACCAGTCTCTTCCAGATATCTCCACGGTATTCTTCCAACTCGTCTGACCTCAAGCCTTTGGGGTGGTCATCTGATGGAGTTAGCTCTGACTCTTGAAATATATTGAACTTGTCGAACGATTGAAGATACCTTCATTGCCTGTCATTCTTATCATTTTTGGGATAGTTTGGATGACAATATCGCTTTCAGAAAATTCACTGCAAATATGAAAGGAATGAGAGACTCCGGGATAGAAATCAAGCCTGTTCATAATTAATGCACTAATCCTTAACTAGTACCTGTTTCTTTGTAAGCCATTATACCCATCTGGACCTTATTGGGCGGCCTTCACGATCTAAAAAACTAGGTCTTTATGATATAAATCAGGATCCACTTATCACGTACTAGGTAGGCTCTATAACCAATAATAGACAGCATATAACCGCCAGTCCGTAACCTCCTTCGACTGAGAATGACAAATAACTCATGTGCCATGGTTATTGTTTGCAAATCACAACAAAATTAAGGTAGTCCCGATTAAGGCGGAAACATCACGGTTTTCCTGCAATGATGCCACGCATAATCATGGCAATTCCACCATCACCTGTGTTGTTCTATACCGGATAAATACAGTGAACTACTGCGTTAAGTTTATAATTAGCACTTCCGGTTAAGGTCACCGTGCGTGGTTCTATAAAATGCCTTCATTTCCCCTCAACTTTGTTTTTTTTTTTTTGAATCCCCTCCCAATCTCCCTCCTACTCCACCTTTTGAGGCATTTTTGCTATTGATCTGGATCACCGAGCTCCCAATCCCGGGAGTTGGCCGCAATCAGTGTGGTTAAAAAAAGTATATTTCTGATGACTTCTTCAGTGATCAATATATCTATCCTCCTTTGGTGCTCTAAGATTTTGCTATGAATATATTCGGGTGCTGAATTCGCTTTTTAGTTTCAGAGCCGCTGTCGCTCGCTTGGCGATATTCGAATATCTTGTCTGAGAACGGTGAGCTCCAACGAACCACTACTCAACACCGTAGACAAACCACCAAGTGTAGTGGTCTCTACAGTACTGAATATTGTGGTTGTTGTGAAGTCTGCTTTTTCATTGATGAAAGAACTAGCTACTTATAGTATATGGGTGCCCCTCTGCTCTGGACGAATGTCAACATTCGTCCGAGATAGAAGAGACGGTGAAGATGGGACATTACTGTCGCGAATGCACATCGCTTAAGGGTGTCGTTTGCGATGAATGCATATCGTTCAAGGATGCCGTGATATACTAATCCAGTTCCGGAGTCGCTGTCTCGGCAGAAGCTTTTTCGGCCGAAATACTTTCCGTCTGTTGATGGCCTTGTTTCTCGGCCGTCGCAACACTGGAGCAACTCTAAATGTCATTAAAAATAGAGAAACAAGCTTCATCATTTCGTGCAGAACGCGATGCCAATTGTACTAATTTGGGTGCATAAATATCATGTAGGCCGTAATTCGTAAAAGTTATAGTAGGAAAAACTTAACGTTCGACCCAACCAAGGGTCTCTAAGTCGATCTGATTTGTATCAATCAACTCCTTCAGTGCGTTTCCACACTTCTCCTTCGTCATCGTATCGGCAGGATTTGATCCTCCTGCGATCCACTTGAGCTCCATCTGGCGTCGTTCATATGTTTGACGTAGTGCCATGATATCGATCATAAGTCGTTTTTCTTGTGTAGTCCCGAGACGTGTGACTGTATCATATACTGAGCGTGAGTCTGTATAGAGTGTCAGGGGAATTCTGGGTAAATGCTCCACCGCACGCAGGATTTTATTTAAGGTTTGGTTGACTACGAAAGCGATATCCACTCCGTGTGATGTGGCATATAGCTCGGCGGCGAGCACACTCCTAGTGACTCTATGACATTTGATGGATGACCAGTGTAGGATATTGGCATTAATGACCTGGTTTTGTCTATATCCATCAGCCATAGTGATGATATATCCGATCTGGCTGCTTGAATCACGATTTCTTGCAAATGATACGTCAACGAATGCGATAAGCTGTAGCGTGTCTTCTTGAAGCTTAATAAAGTGAAGTCCTCTCGCTTGATTATCGATTTGCTATTGGATGCGCCTATTTAATCTCTCCGCATCTTCCTTTTTTGGGTTGATGACTTAAGCTAAAAAGGATAAGTCATATATGGCTTCTGGTTGGCAAACTAATGCGATATAAGCTCCACGAGCGCGTTAAGAGATATATGCATCCTTTGAAACGATTTTGGTGGCGATGGTCTTTAGGCGTCGGCATTGATCGATTTGCGAAATTGTAATCCTGTTTTTGCCTTTTCGGATGATGCTGCCGTTGAATTCAAGTGGATTGACCTCTGTGAGCTTTTGAAGCGGTTTCGATAGAAGCTGCGCCTTCTGTAGTTCGTCCTCTTCCTTCTTAATGAATATAGCATTCGCGAGGATCAAAGTGTCGTCTATCTGTATTCCGACAATTCCAAAGTGTTTCTTGCTGTAGAGGAGGCATGCATCATAGGTAGATTGCTCCATTCCTAGCTTTTCAAGATGATGCTTATAGTATATCTGAAACCAATGATTGCCTGCTTCCGGGATTCTATAAAAGGGCTTTAAGACTTTTAGGACGGTGTCCTTTAGTAAACCAAATTCAGCAGGGGGTCGTATATAGAATTGTCGGTTCAAGTCTGATGTCGACTGCATATATGCCTGTGAGATATCACGAAGGTATAAATCTGAATCGTCTCGCATCGCAGCGATAGATAGAATTATTCTTTAGCTAATATGTTGAATCGTAGGTGCTTGGGTTAGAACAAATTCTTTTCTATAGTCGTTATATGCCTACACCACGAGTCGTGACTTTTCTCTCGCTTGATCTGTTCCTGTGTTTTTGATCTCATCGACGAACCTAGAATTAAAGAGTCGAATTCCTTTAGGCATTTCTGTTCGAGGCACGAATTTGAAGACTCCTTTAGCTAGTAATCCATTGATTTCGCTTTATCGAGAGGCGCGAAAGTCTGGCGTCGGGGTGTTCAGGAAGATAGTATTGATTTCATCTTCCGAATCTTCTTTATCTGTGTCTTCGTCTTCTTGGCGCTTCAGACGTTGTGTATGTCTTGGTTGTTGTAAATTCCTGCCTCTATTATCGATGATGACGCTAAATGGTGGATCCTTATGCGGCTGTATATTAGGCTATATATTAGGCTGTGCATCTAGACTATCATGTTGTATACTATTATTCTATACGTCTAGTGGTGTATTGGTTTGCTGGTCTTCTTCTAGGAATGGCTTCACGATAGTTATCCGGAACGATCTTGGGCCTTTGACGCTGCTATCGACAACATATATGTCTCCGTCGATTGAGAGTAGTGGGAATGGCCCTGTCCATTTTTTCTTCTTTTCTCTCTAGACAAGAACAGGAGAATTTAGTGGCAATCCTTGTGTAGCGGCTGTGATGGGTCTATTTCGTATGTTCATGGCGTCTTGAATTTGTCGTTTTGCTCATAGTTTCTTGACTTCCTATATCGCTCTTGTAATAGCTGCAGCGCGCTGTATGACTGTTGGCGATGGGGCGTCTAGCTCCGCGAGTCGCGGAAACGCTCCAAAAACGAGTAGTGTAGGGATAAGACCATTTGGTCCGACCGAGTCGTTGATCGCTTTCTATGTTATCTGGAGAGCTAGTTCCTTATCAACATTGGCTTCCCCTATTCCTATAGAGTCACTAAGCTCTCGTCTGATGATGTTATAGACTCGTCGTACCATAGCATGGTATCGCTCGACTTTTCCCACAGAATTATGCGCTTCGACTAGAACTATCTTTGCTGTGGTTCCCATAGTTTTTTGCAAGATATCTGAATTCTTTACTGTCGAAATTGGTTCCTACGTCGTTTATGATATTGTCTAGGGGTCCTTAGTAAACATCGATCCAATAGAGTCGTAATGCTTCCCACGTATGTTTGGCTGTCATACCTTTTCCTTTTTATAACCATCTTCCACTTTAAAAGCTTATGGCTTCGTCGACAACATGAAGAACTGGATCTCCATCGATACTTATTACATCAATAATGATGCTATGATTGAAATATGCGTCGCCGTCCTTGTCTTGAAGGGTAAATCGGAATCGTCCTGGTGATTTCCCGAACTTCTAGCAATGTTCGTAAAACTTGGTGATATGCTTAAGCGCATTCCTCTCTACCTCATGTCCTGCTTTGCTTAGAATTGCTTCAAGGCGGGCGACGGCAGGATGCCCTAGTCATCGGTGAATTCTGCGTAACTTAGTATCTGTTAACAGACATTCGGCAGATCCTTGAACAAATGCTGTGATATATGTAGGAGCTGCTTTCTAGAGAAGGAATGGATGCCCAAATTGTCGTTTTACTAGTATCCGAAGGCCTATCTTCCCTATTAGGACATCTTATAAATTATTATAATAGATCCCTAGACGATCTAGATCAGCGAGGCATAATAGGAATGGTGTATCTGCGTTCACGACGTGGAATTGAACTATTCCTATAGGTGTTTTGATGTCTATTGATCCGATTGATCCACTAGTCCCGATGCCGAATTGAACATTGATTTGTCCGGCGGTCGATTTGTCGAGTTGGATACTAGGTTCTAGTTTCTATAAAGCTAGAAATTGACTATACCCAGTTGTTGAGTTTCGGGATGCGCCTATGTCGATCAGAATACCATAAAAGATGTCTGAATTATACCACGATGTGGTAGTGGTGTATATAAATGGATCACTCTTAGACTCTTAGATATAAGGGCTTATTCTATATAGATAAGCTTGATTCATAAGTTAATTGTGCCAGATCTATATATCTAATATTGGCACCGGCCTAAATATTGTTAGGAACATCTCGGAGTTATCATCATTATCACTTGATTCATCGGATTCGGATTCTGATTCAGGTTCGGATTTAGAGTCTGAAATAGTAGTTTTAAAGGCTTCAATATCGAGTTCTTCACCTTCGCATATAACCATATATTATCGAAACTGTCGTTTAAAATCTCCAGATCCATTGTTTCTGGTGAATCGTTCATAATATCGTTTCCTAGCTACTACGCGTTCCTCTAGTGAATGGTCCCATGATCGGCATTCCGTCTTTCCGTCGACCCAGCATCTTCCTTCAGCTCGTGAAGATGAAGAGTCTCTTTTCTAGGTAACCTGCTTCCGTCAATCTAGTCTCCATTTCTTATGGAAGGTTCGATTAGTAATCCATGCTTTATCTGATATATCCTAGATATATTGTTGAGTCCTTTAGCGCGCGTTTTCGTAGGCCGCGATTAATGTCTTGAGACTCATAATCATCATGTTCGGATTAGACTATGGTATAGAAAGTGCATTTTGATAAGCCGGGATGTTTTAGCAACAGATGCTAAGCTTTTATGTAAATCCTTCTTCGTTTTACATATATTAACTAAGTGCTAGACGAATTCTGAGTAATTATTCAGTCATTTATTTAAAATACTATAGGATTATCTGCGACGGATTTTCTTGGATTGTTTTCGAGAGTAAGATATTATTCCATTAGACCATCTTCTAGGTCATATGAAGTGGACTCTCAAAGTGTGCCTTGATTTGCCTACATGTTTCTATAAAGGACTTTGAAGATAAGCCATAGATATAATAGAATTCGCTGGCTTAGCCGGTAAACATTGCTGAAAGCGCTTTTTCGTATGCCTCTAGTGGTAAACCAGAGTGTCGGCAGATGTCTTCAAAGATAGCGAGTTTCAGGTTGAATAAGTCCTCTAAGCCACTATACTGTTGCTCTTTCTTATATGTTTTTCGGATATTCATTGCTTCCTTCGAGTAATCTGTTCGTCGCGGGTCTGGTTGTGGTTCTGGGTATATGTTTTCAGGTCGTCGTTTATTCTATGTTTCCCAATCTAGTTGAAAAGGTGGTGGACCTCTATTACTATGATCTTGGCTTGGTGGAAGTTTTACGTAATACTCCGCTCCTGGTGTGACTTCTCTAGGTCCTGGTAACAACGGATATCGGAGGTTTCCTTGCGTATATTCCTGGTGCCGGGCGTCTTGAGTAGAAAACGGGTTATCCATTCAAGTCGGTCGGACATAAATTAACGTGGTGTCCTCTCGTTCTATTTCCTGTTGTAGTTGTCGTATTTCGTCATTTTCCGCTGATTGTTACATTTCGTCCTTAATCCTTTTAAGTTCCGTATTAACTTGATTTAGGTTATTTAGAATAACTTCAGCAAGAGATTGTTCAATCTCATCCATCGTCCAGTTATACATTTCATATGTTTACGCAAGGTCGAAGAGTACTTGGCTTAGCTCGTCTAGGAGCAATGGCTTAACATATACTCCTCCTTGCATAAGGTATTGTCGAATATATGCTTTCAGTCGTACAGGAACTTTTTCCCATGTCTCTATAGGAAAGAATTTGAAGTCAGCGATAAAGTGGTACCATAGTCTTCGTCTGAAAAGTTTCTGTCGTGTATAGAGGAACATCGCAGTCTCGATATACTCAGCAACTTCAAGGAGTGAGGCATTATTAGGATCTTCGTTCATTCTTTGGTCGAATTGTGCGACTCTCTCCTTCCATTCTTCCTCCATAGGTCTGAACAGTTCCTTGATCTCATCAAGAGGTGTAAGGCGTATAGGAGGTGTTGGGGAGACAGGGTATTGGCCGGGTGTTGGATGTTGTCGCATAGGAGTTCTTGGGTTTAGGTGTTCTGTGTCGCGTTCTGAGTCGGGGGGCCTTCCTAGAGTAGCCATGGTGGAGGTTTTAAAAAGGGATGATGGAGGTGGTGGTCTTTGATCAAAGAAAAGGATGGGTTCTTAGTTCCCTGATCTATAAATAAAATTGGGAGTGAGAAAAGGTTCTCTAAGAGTGAGAACTGATCAGTGTCGCTCGCTTGGCGATATTCGAATATCTTGTCTAAGAACGGTGAGCTCCAACGAACCACTACTCAACACCGTAGACAAACCACCAAGTGTAGTGGTCTCTACAATACTGAATATTGTGGTTGTTGTGAAGTCTGCTTTTTCATTGATGAAAGAACTAGCTACTTATAGTATATGGGTGCCCCTCTGCTCTGGACGAATGTCAACATTCGTCCGAGACAGAAGAGACGGTGAAGACGGGACATTACTGTCGCGAATGCACATCGCTTAAGGGTGTCGTTTGCGATGAATGCATATCGTTCAAGGATGCCGTGATATACTAATCCAGTTCCGGAGTCGCTGTCTCGGCAGAAGCTTTTTCGGCCGAAATACTTTCCGTCTGTTGATGGCCTTGTTTCTCGGCCGTCGCAACAGCCGCGTTATTTGGCCCGTAAACTTCATTATCTTTGGCTCAAATAAATTGGACCTCGAAGTTTCGATTCTTTTGTCCAGTTAGTAACCCCTTACTTGTTATTGAGCAGTTATTCATCAACTATATGTTTAGTATAGGGAGCTATATTGCTCTACAATTACTCCAGAGTTGGCGAGTGTGCGTAACCCAAATGATCGTTCTTCGCATGCATAAAACAATATTCTCTGTACGGGCAGCGAAACATATATTCTATATAGTATACCGAAATGGATGCGTCACTGGTTGTATGCCTGATAGCGCTCGAGGCTCTACATAATAACTGTGCATTGGCTTTTAAATTTAATATAAACGAAGTTTATAGGTTAACGGAATCAATTTGCAGCTGATAGCTAGAGTTGTGCTAGGACCGCGTTTACAGTTTGATCTACATCTTCTAACAAATGCCAGTGCCCAATACCTTTCAGCACTTCAACATGGCCACCTGTGTGCCTAGCGTATTTCTCGCAAAGAGACGGTGGACTAATTATGTCTTCTTCCCCAGTCACAAATGTGACAGGTATCTGAAGACCCCAGTGATCCAACGTATCTTCAACAGTAAAATTGGCAAGTGCCGTAATCGCCTTTGCATATCCCTCGGCATCTTGGCCAAGCAAAGATGCCCGTATCATGGCGACAGCCACGGGATTATTCTGTTGGATGGAGGCTGGAGATCCAGCTGGAATGATTGCATCCACGACGCTCATCAATCCTTTTTGACGAACCAAGGCAGCTAGGGCGAACAACTCAGTAATCTCTGCGTCGGAGGTTGGGCTCTGGGGAGGGCCCATCAAGATAAGTTTAGAAACAAACTCTGGATGTTCCACTCCAAGCTGAAGACCAACTAGAGCGCCTAATGAATGTGCGATTACGGTCACGCCCTTTTTCACCCCAGTAACTTGAGCAAGTTGATGGATATCGTCTGCAAAGGACTTAATCGAGAGGGTACTGAGCGCTGATGTCGGGGAGAGACCATGGCCTTCCAGATCCAGAAAATGCAAGGAATGTGTTGATTGCAGCTTTAAGACAAGAGGATAGAAATACGCCGAGGATCCGCCTAGCCCGTGAATGAAGAAAACTGGAGGGCCATCTTCAACTCCTAAACGCTGGTAGAAGAGATTCTTGCCATTGATCGGTGTCAATCCCGAGTTGGTGGGTGCCTTTTGATTAGAGACAGGAATGTGGGACTCGGCGTGTTCGGCAGTGGTATTGGCAGCATCTATAGCAGCAACCTTATTCGTCAAGGTTCCTAGTCCGCTGACAGAAATGCTAATCTCATCTCCAGCCTTCAAAAACTTCATAGGGCGGAATCCAAAACCAACCCCAGCCGGAGTACCGGTAGCGATCACATCGCCAACTTGCACTGTCTGGGCGGCGCTGATGGTCGCGATCAACTTGGGAATGCTGAATATCAGTTCGTCAAGAGTGGCCTCCTGGCGCTTCTCTCCATTAACCACGGTCTGGATCGTCAGATTTTTTGGAAGGCTCTCCTTAGGAACGGCGATAGGACCCATTGGACAGAATGTATCGGGAGATTTACCGAGGAAGAATTGCTTGTGGTCGCGCTGACGTTCTCGTGCGGTCAAATCGTTTATTATGGTGTATCCCCAAATGTAGTCCGACGCGTTTTCCTCGGAAATTTTGAAGCCCGACTTGCCAATAATGATGCCGATTTCACCCTCATAGTCGGCAGTTTTGGTAAACCCCGGATGAAGGAGAATAGAGTCATTGGGGCCAATGATGGATGTCGCACGCTTGGTGAAAATCACCGGGTGTGTTGGTTGGTCGTTTTTATCGCTGGCATCGTAGCCTGAAGAGTTGAACTCGCGGGCATGCTCGACATAGTTCTTGCCCACTGCAAGAACGTCACGCCCTGAAATTGGAGGTAGAACTTTCACGCTAGAAAGAGGTAGAGGTTCTGCGCCAATAGCTGTAATTCCCTTCTCCCCTACCGTGATCACTTGGTACAGATTTGTCAATGGTGTGCCGGAAAGGAAGAACAATGGTGTGATAGTCGAAGACACGGTATCTAGGTGGCCAATTCGAGGGGAAGAGCCGCTGAGCTCTAAATATGCCACATAGTTGGTTAAGATGTTGGACGTTCGTTTGTCAGTCATTTTGAACAGATTATTCAATTTGAAGATTAACAAAGCTGTTATATACGAAATAGGGATGTCTGCGAATACAATTGACTAGTACTCGCATATTCGTATTTAGTTATATCCATGGGTATTTGTAAGTTTGGGAATATTATGTAAGTAAAAAAAAATGCTTGCAACTAAATTACTAAATAAGTAAATAAGTTGTTAATAACTATTCAAATAACTATTTAACTACTTAATTAAATGTTCGTAATAATTTGAGTACTTAACTATTTGATAAATAAGATAATAATTGCGTCCCGCGTAATTATATCAAAATTTAGTTGATCATAGGGGTCATAGTAAAAGCAGGGTTGATTGAGTAAAAATTGGGGACCTGAAAGTAAGTAATTATTGAATATTTGCGGGGTCGTTACTCCGAGAATCATTTGGCGTTATCCGGAGATTGCGTGCGCTTCAACGCGTATCTCCGATAACCTCAGGCCACATCGACTAGAAGTTAGGTTCAATTTCCACTTGAAACTACTACTGATATTACATCGGATATACGATATTACTAGCAAGCAAACTTGAAATAAAATAGTTATCATTCATAAGGAACCCCTGCCGGCTCCACGGTACCGCACAATTGCAGGTGTTCATGATCGGCCTCTCCCTCAACAACCTTCAGTTGACCAGGGATTTTTCTATAAAGAAGTCAGTAATTAAGTAAAATTTGTGGCGTGGTGAAATCAACGATACCGATAGAATGATTCTTTTATTAGTCGAGAAGGGCTCTCGCCTCGATCGGGACAGGAAGTTGACCGGCAACACTCATGCCACGATAAATGTGTTAATCTCGAAGAGCAGTTGGGTGCTTGCTTTTCTTCGACTTTTTTTTCTTTCGTATCGATCCGGAAACAGAGGATGCTGGAGATCGACTGTATGTAGATCCAGAGTGTGAAGACCCAGAAGCTGTGTGAGTCGCTGAAGATAACCTTTCATCGTCTGCTAGAGACCGTTTCCTCTTCTCCAAAATTGCTGAGCTCAGCGAGTTGGAAGGTGGGTGCGACGGTGGATTGACATTGGGTGTCGGTGTTGCTGGAAAGACTTGAGGGGGTTTATGGCGTTCTGGTGACGAATTGTGAACCTGAACGGATGGAGGATCCTGAGCAGAGTTGACAGCCTTAAAACCTGATCGAACCAGGGAGCAGCCAGGTTGATTCGCCACGCTTGATCCACGTATTGAAAGTTCAAGTTCATGATCGGGTTCGTTGATTACATGTTGAGAGAGCCGTTGAAGCGCATCTTTTTTCAAACGACGATGGGCTTCTCCGACCTGGATTTGCACTTCCTCGACGCGCTCACCCAATTCGCTCAGTCTCTTGGTAATTTTTTCCTCAAGGAGCACGTCAATTTTAGTCAACCACTTGTTGATCTTTTTGATTTCTTCGACTGGGCCTTGAGAAACTTCCAAAATATGCTCTAGCTGGGTTCTCAATCTTGCCAGATTTTCTGCCGTGGTTTCGTTAAACTTGTTCTGGGCTTGAAGCCCTTCAGCAAGCCGTTTGGAGAACTGATGGATATCCTCAAACCGCTCCTCCAAGTTGGTAGGTTGCTCATGAGCTTCCTTGGTCTGAGTTAGGATGTCCACCTTGTCCTTTTCATCATGTTTTTTCTGAACATCCATACATTCTTGGAGCTGATTATTAATTGTGTAAAATTCATCTTCAAAACGCACTTCTGAGCTCTTAAAGGCACTCTGCAGAGCCTGGATTTCCGACCTCATTACAGAGTATTCTTTAAGCTGATTAGTGAGGTTATCAGAATTATCTTTCTGAATTTGCAAAATTGGCCCAAGCTGGGTATTGGTGAATTCAGACTGAATTGGCACAAGTCGCCTCATTATTTCTTGGCTGAACTGTTCCTGTTGGCTGGGCGACAATACGTTGTTCTGAGCATTGCTTTGGAGCAGATGAACCTTGTGATTGAGCTCAGCAACTTCTTGATTGAGCTGTTCCTGCTGGGCGTGCGACGATCCAGAGGTCTGAGGATTGCTTTGAAGCAAATTAACTTTGTGATTGAGCTCAGCAACTTCTCGGTTGAGGACATTTTTCACCGTGCTAAGTTCACCAATCTCCTGCTTGAGTTCATCTTTGAACGCTGTAAATTCATGCTGCAGACGGGGTCCATTAGGATAAAGCTCAACTATGGCACGGGCCATGCGCCTGACAATTTCCTCCGTGGACATATTGTTGTATCGGGTTTCCAATGACCTCACGGCAGTGTTCAGCGTATCAATAAGACTGGAATTTCGCGTATCGACCTGCGTGAATCGAGACAGAATTAACTCAATTTGACCCAGCCTTGAAAGGTTCGAATGCAGAGTTTTTTGGCATCCATCAACGGTTTCATGTACCGTACGGATCCTACTTTCCTGGACTTCAATCTTTTCTGAATTAATTTTAATCTGATCTTGCCTGAGCTTCAAAAGACTATGCACGACATCAGTCGCAGGAGTCTGTTGAAGCATCTTCGCATAGGTTGCACATTGTTGTTCGAGGGTCCCTATCCGCGAGTTGAGATCGGGAAGTTTTCCTGTAGCATCTTCCAATTGCTTCGACTTATTCTGAGCATCGGATGGACTTGTTGTTTGAGAAAATCGCCCTATCCTATCAAGTCGGCTCTTGATTTGAGCCATTTCGGCATCAACCAGAGCATTCTTTTCATGTGCCTTTTTTATGTCTGCATGCACAGATTCCATTTTCAAAGGCAGTTGCTTGATCGATATGTCCTGGAGATTTTGGAGTTTGGTGTTGAACTCATTGTTTGTCTTGTCATGTTCCTCAACAGACTTCTGCAATTTCTCGACGGTAGCGGAGAATGTTCCAGTATCTTGAGTCTTTGCTAGCATGGCTTGTTTCAACTCTGCGATCTCGGCTTCCAGTTTGGCAACTTTCCCACTTTCAAGAGTAGAATGCGTGCATGTTTGAGCGGGCTGAGCTGAAAAAACTTGTAACTTGTCTATCTCCTCACTATAGCTTACAATCTCCTTCTCATGCAATTTGATAGATGCGTCAATAACCCGAATCCTTTCTTCTTCAGTACGGATTTGGTTCGAGAACATGTTCGAGGCGGTTGGAACCCTTTTCAAATTCATGGCACCATCGGTGTAGGTAGCCAATAGCTTTTTCCGCTCATCCTTCTCTTTCTTATAGCAGAGAATATGAAAATTTGATTCCGAAATTTTTGCAATCAGGGACGAGAAAATGGTTCCATTAGGTATCGATGACTCCTGTGGAACATAAGGCTCAATATCTGACCCCGCTGTGGGATTTGAGGGCATGTTTGGCAGAGGCAAAGACGCATGACGCTGGGGAGATGAGGAATTGGATTTTGGCAGACCAAATCGAGATAAGAGCGGAGTTGATGGTGTGCATTTCGAGGGGGTAAAGGTAGATAAAGGCTGGTTTAAAACAAGGGATGGTGGAACCGAAGAAGTTATCTCTCGAAGAACTGGTTGTTTACCTTTCAATCGAGGGTCCGTCGTTGGGGGTGGTGGTGGTTCCATGGTGGTCATTCAATATCATCACATTGGAATTCCAATTACCTCTAAGCTCAAGACAACAAGGCCGAAATCGGAAAAATTGGCAGCAAAGCTAAACATAGACACGCGTCAAAAATATTCCTAGCCAAATATAGAAAACAAAATTACATCATAAAGCGCGTTCACACTCGATTTGCGGCGTGTGTTGTACTGCACGGATTCGGTGGTAGGATCTTTGTGATGGTTAAAATGATTAGGAAGTGGTTCAAGGGGATCAGAGATAGAGGTTTTAAAGAAAATTGAGACTCAAGCGGTATGAATTCTTCAAGGTAACAATCAATGGAGTCTTATTCCATTCACTCAAAGAATTACTGCCGGGCGGTGAGATGTCCTTCCGCGATCTGATTGTTTCTTCCGCGACAGCTCGTCCTGCTGATTTTAAATCTGCTTCCCCAACACCATCCAAAAGATTGTGCTTTGTTAGCATCAATTAAAATGGCTGCTGTGAGTGTCCCTGGTTGGATTGGACTTGATGCTTGAGTTGCTAATTATAAGTAGCCAATTTCCACCGTTGCGGAGAGCAAAGAGCTCCGGGGGTTGAACCTCATCGCCGCCCATTCGCATATCAGAGGTCTTGGTGTGGATGTGGACACTTTGCAGCCACGGGGTTCATCCCAGGGTCTTGTAGGCCAGGAGAAAGCTCGCAAGGCGGCAGCAGTGATTCTACAGATGGTAAAGGAGGGCAAAATCGCGGGACGTGCTGTCTTAATCGCCGGTCCTCCTAGCACTGGAAAAACTGCTCTTGCGATGGGTATGGCCCAATCGCTCGGACCAGATGTGCCTTTCACAATGCTGGCAGCCTCTGAAATCTTCTCGATGGAGATGTCAAAGACCGAAGCTCTCACCCAGGCTTTCCGGAGATCGATTGGCGTACGAATCAAGGAGGAGAGCGAAATTATCGAAGGTGAAGTCGTGGAGATTCAGATTGACCGGAGTGTCACTGGGGTAAATTTTTCCCTTCATGGCCATGGGCATGCAAAATGTTTCCGAATGCTGACAGACACAGGGCAACAAACAAGGAAAGCTCACAATCAAAACCACCGATATGGAAACTATCTACGATATGGGTACAAAGATGATCGACTCAATGACCAAGGAACGAGTAATGGCAGGAGATGTGATCTCAATCGACAAGTCTTCCGGCAAGATCACAAAGCTCGGTCGGTCTTACGCTCGCTCGCGTGATTACGACGCCATGGGTGCCGACACCAAGTTTGTCCAGTGCCCGGAGGGAGAGCTTCAAGTCCGCAAGGAGATTGTTCACACCGTTAGTCTGCACGAAATCGATGTTATCAACTCGCGCTCACAAGGGTTCTTGGCTCTTTTCTCTGGTGATACTGGCGAGATCCGCAGTGAGGTACGAGACCAGATCAACACGAAGGTCGCAGAATGGAAAGAAGAAGGCAAGGCAGAAATCATTCCTGGTGTTCTTTTCATTGACGAGGTTCACATGCTCGACATTGAATGCTTTTCCTATGTCAACCGCGCATTGGAGGCTGAACTAGCACCTATTGTTATCATGGCGAGCAACCGCGGCCAGGCCCGTATTCGTGGAACTACCTACACATCTCCCCACGGTCTCCCACTTGATTTCCTTGATCGGGTTGTTATCGTGAGCACGCATGCGTACTCGGGAGATGAAATTCGCCAAATCTTGGCTATTCGTGCCCAAGAAGAAGAAATCGACCTCTCCCCAGATGCACTAGCTCTTCTGACTAAGATCGGCCAGGAGTCAAACCTCCGCTATGCAAGCAATATCATTACTACTTCTCATCTCTTGAGCCAGAAGCGCAAGGCAAAGGAAGTCAGTGTTGATGATGTCCAACGTAGCTTCCGTTTGTTCTACGACCCTGGCCGGAGCGTCAAGTTCATCAGCCAATATGAGCAGCGTTTCATCGGAGAACAGGGTGGAGTCAGCTTCATTGCTGCTAACGGCGACGCCATGGAGATTTCATAATTTTTTTTAACTACTCATGAAGGAGCAAGGAGATTGGTTAGCGGGCTTAAAAACTACTTGAGATTTCTGATTATTTGGTTATTCTCGCATCGATTGATGTATGAATAGGGACTGGCGCTTTTCTAGGTTATTTGTGTTTTTTTCTTCTTCCTGGAATTGAAGTGACACCCTGTTTCATTGCTCACATTAGACAAATCTGGCTGTATGACTCCATGGCCCTGTATTTCCAACCTGACGGAATTCAACTCCTTCTCCAAAGTAGCCGGCACTTGTCCAGGAATCCATCATGACGCTATCGTAGGGACCATGTGCATCACCACCATCTCGAGCATCGGACCATCGATATTCCCACATCGTAGGCCCTTGACCATCCGCCTTACTAGATTCTGAAGGAGGGTCAATCCAATCGTTTCCTGTCTCCTTGCGGTATTGTCGAGTCAATAGCTCGCGCTCTAAATCATAGATATCTGGTTGGCCTCGGTGCATGAGGATATCGGCGGCACCTGTTAGAGCCTCGATGGCCTTTTTCCGGCCAGACTCATCGGAGTTGTCTTCATCCATTTCGATGTCTTCAACGACGTTGCTCTTCTTGTTCTTCTTTTTCGTCTGCCACTTTGGCTTTCGTTTTATGCCTTTCCCAAGACGGGCAAGAGCTTCCAGTATAGTCTCGGTGCGCTCCATATTCGTGATAAGTGTCTTTAGGACATCAGCCGTTAGAAAGCTATCATCTCTCTTCTCTTTCTCCAGTATTTTTTCCTCGCGCTTATCCGCGGCCTCTCTGGCTTTGCGAATCTCCTTCTTGGAAACACCGTCGAGCCATTGATCATAGACAGCGTCTGGGTCTCGGGCATTGCGAACAAAATTGCCCGCGTCATCAAACCGACCGTCCTCTTGCTCGTTCTGCATGTTAAAGCCGTCGAGGAGTGGCGCGTTCTTCTTTTTTGCGCCTGCACCAAGTTCTTTATCCAAATCTACATCGAGCCTGGCACGCTCTGCTTCTCCAACCTCACTCTCATCACTGCTTTCCTCCTCGTCGGCTTGGTCGCTGGCATGCATTGTTTTTCCGCCTTTGGAGGACCGAACCTGTCCCTGGATCTCGTCGTCTTCTAGGAAGCGAACAGATTTTCTATTGCTGTGATCTTCTTCTTCTTCGTCCTCTTCTGCAAAGTCTGCCTCGAGCTCGGCGGCGATGTCATCCTCGTCAATTTCATCGCGCGCACTCTTTGATTTATCTCCGCGTGCTTTGAAACCTTCGTTTTCACTGTCAGAGTCGTAGCCATCGAGCTTCACCGCACTTCGTCGTACGTTTTGACCACGGCGGCCAATATTGTCGGCATCTAGTACCGCATCCTCTTCAACGTCATCATCGTGCGCAAGGGCTGAGGGGTTGCGAAGGTCGAATCGCGGTTTCTTTTCTGATGGACCCTCGTCATCATATCGATCGTAAGGTAAGTCATTACCCCGCTTAGGTGGAAGATGTGATCTATCCATATTCATGTAAAACCTTGAAAATGGGTGGAGAGAGTCGGAATTGTCGATATGAGGTTTAACGCATAGAGCTGTCTGGGCATCAACAAGTATTTCTGGCATAATCACCTCACCGCCCTAATTTAGCCGAAGCTATCATACTTACCGCCTAATTTCTTAATATTTTACCCCAACTTTGAAATACCAGCAATTGTACGAGAGAGATATTTGAGCCGGTAGAAACGAAGATTTGAAATTGTATATTGACTATACACAATTTTCTTTACTTTCCAAATATTTTTATTCAAAGTGAAAATCTATAACCTCGTAAGCACACCTGAGGTCGAGTGGTTTTACACGGATGATCTGCACCGAACCAAGTCCTCTCCTGTCCTCTCCATGTCTTTAACCTGCAATTTCACTTTCATTTCCCTTTATTCGGGGTTAATAAGAGATCTCAGTTTCTACGTACATGTCTTTCTGTATATCAAAGAGTACTAATCTCACAGTATTATACAGGCTTTAAATACAGGTTTTACTGTTAGGTCGCTCAAAATATCAAAAAAATACATGCAAGAAAACGGTATCATAACCTACAAAACTCATTTGCGTATTTTTGTCACGTGACCTTCAAAGCTCCAGTGGGGTTGGAGTCGGAGCGGAACATCATGGAGCGAGCAAGTAACGTGCGTCACTTTCATGTTGCTTTGAACTTATCCTCTTCAACTTACTTTGTTTCCCGAATCAGAAACTACTCGTTTCGTTCTCATTCCTCCATAAATAATGGTGGGTTTATCTCATCCAACTGAATAGTATTTCTCAATCTGTGCTGTTCCTAACAGCTTCTAGTTTCGACCTGAGTATTGGCCCGACGACCCCATGGGCGGTGTACGTGGTTCTGCGACCCGCCGCTTCGATGAATACTATCGCTGTTATCCAGTTGCTATGCTTCCTGGCCCCGAGCGAGAAAATGTGAATCATGGTGGAAAGGTCATTATGCCGCCAAGTGCATTGGACAAGCTTACCCGTCTCCATATAACGTATCCAATGCTCTTCGAGCTACATAATGGAGCGAAGGAAAGAATGACCCATGCAGGTGTTCTTGAGTTTATTGCTGAGGAAGGCAAGATCTATCTTCCGTTCTGGGTATGTGTGACTGAAAATACAGAACCCCTCGAGTCCAAGTACTGATCAAGATATTTTTTCTATGACAGACCATGCAAACTCTACTGCTAGAACCTGGCGATCTTCTCCAGATCAAGTCAACTGATCTCCCTTCCGGTCAATTTATAAAGCTTCAAGCTCAGTCTACTTCGTTCCTTGACATTAGTGACCCGAAAGCCGTCCTCGAGAATGCATTCCGAAACTTCTCCTGTCTTAGCAAAGGCGATGTCTTTACTTTTGCTTATAACGACCAAGTCTACGAGATGGCTGTTCTAGAGACCAAGCCAGCCGGATCCAAGAATGCGATTTCTGTATTGGAGACTGATCTTGAAGTCGATTTTGCCGCTCCAGTTGGATACGAGGAGCCCAAGCAGCCCAGTGGTACTAGCACACCTGGTAGCGTCATCAGTGGGAAGCTTCCTGCTGGAGGTCTGTTGCATCATCAAGGCACTATGGCACAGGCGATTAACTACACAGCTATCGCGCCCGAATCGACCGATGCAGCTAACGGAGCCCGGGCTGTGTCTTCCAACTTCTTGGCAGGAGGTCAACGGCTCAATGCTAGGAAGGGTAGCAAGGCACCGACTCCAAAGCCCAGCACTCCAACCCCCGGAACAACAAACCCCCAGCATCTTCCACCCACCCGTAGGACCAATGGCCCGCAGCCTCTCAGACTACCTCCAAATCAACTGTTTTTCGGATACGCCGTTACGCCCGCCAAGCCGCGTGACGAGAATGGACAGGTTATTCGAGAGGACCAACCTACATTCCAGGGCATTGGTCAAACGCTGCGAGGTAAAAAAGTCGATTTGAAAGACTCGGCAACTCCCACTTCCGGGAGTGAAACCGATCAGAAGAACAAGGACAAAAATAAGAAACTGGGGCGGACTCTAGGCAAACGCTGATGCGAGAAATAGAAATCAGCTCTATTTCCAGATATACGGAGAGCCTTTAGACTGCTTGACCGGATCTTTGTTTTGTGGCATAGCGGACAGGCGTTTTTGAATTTTAATATCCAATAGTCGTAACTAGTACATCCCTAGACCAACAGGATATAGAGAACCTTGGAATACCCTTTATTATTCAATTTTCACGTAAAATGGACCCTATATGTAGCAAGACTCAGGCATAATCAACCATCTCTTTGACATATTTTCCTTCATATTGCTTCCCTCGCTCCGCGCCCCCACAACAGAAAGCAACCTTCAGTACCCAGGTACCATCATTTTACCTACACTTCGTTAAATACACTAGATCTGTTTCCAGGATGACAACACCCCTGGATAACCCCCTGGCACCTTTCAACAAACTGAGTCCCTCGGTTTATATGCAGGACCCAGCAGGGCCACAGCTGACCGGTCAGCCGCTGATCTTCATTGCTTTTTGGATGAACGCACCGCCACGTGCACTGGCAAAATACGTGCTTCAATATCGACGTCTAGTACCATCAGCACGCATAGTATTTGTTCGTGCGTCGTCAAACGACTTCATCTTTCAATCTGGCAAAAGATCCCAAGAGAAACGCGTTACGCCTGCCGTTGAAGCACTTGCCTCGGCAACTCGGGCAAACCCCGTGTTCGTGCATTGTTTCTCAAATGGCGGCCTTTTCAGTGCAGTGAATCTCCTACAGGCCTTCAAATCAAAAACTGGACAGGCCCTGCCAATTTCTTTCATGATCGTGGATAGTGCGCCAGGTACTGCAAACCTGTCTTCCGCTGTCCGGGCCTTTTCTTTTAGTCTACCTCGGTCATGGATCCTGCGAATGATCGGAAAAGCTCTTCTATGGGTTACTTTGGGCTCTATTTTCGTATTGCATGCTGTGACGCGATCACTTGATCCTATTTCCTACGCCAGTAAGGTGATCAATGAACCATCTCTACTACGAGCCGTGAATGCAGCCAATAAACCGACTCGCTGCTATATTTACTCCGACACAGATGATCTAGTTGATTGGAAAGCGGTCGAGAAACATGCGTCAGACTCGGAAGCCTGTGGCTGGCTCGTGCGTCGTGAACAATTTCAAGGCACAGCTCATGTTGGTCATATGCGAGCTGCACCGGATCGGTATTGGGCCATTATCAAAGATTATCTGGAGCACACTGTACCTGCATGAAATTCAATCGTGCTTCCAATAGGTACTTGCAAACTACAATGGCAATAAATGGCTGGCTGAAGTTCCACTGCATGGTACAAGCTTGGAAATCAGCCTTCTTGCTATGCACAACTATTCTTAATTATTGTATCTAAGACCTTGCTTCTTCCTTTCTTTCAGATGCGGATCTCCGCTATCATGATCTGTATTTCTATGACGCTTTACCTATGGAATTGAGTTTCAAATTCCCCAGGTATGCTGTTAAACCGTCACTATGACAGTCTAAGCCTACTTATTCCATGCTCTCGGAAGAAAGTTCCGTATATTCTTTACTGGGATAGATGATAGGAATACATCATTTTCTTGCACCGATGTCAATTTCTTTATAAAAATTCTCTTCTCGCTAGGGCTCTGCCCATTGCCATTAATTTTTTTCAGACTAGATACACTCTTCCCAATTTACGAATATGTTCCAGTCCGTCGTGAGTGGATGCGGCCATCGAGCTACAGGTAAGAACCTGGATTGTCGTTTTCATCTCCCAGGATATGGCCGCCCATTGGACTTTGCACCTATGGAGAAAAACGTATATGGCGTTGAAGGCCGTAGCATGTTTCCTTCTGCCCTCGACGACCGGGATATCGAAAGGGGGTATACAGAGTATGCTATCAATCGTGAAGCTATGAAATGCAAAGCTAACTCAATTGCCTACAGACAGCCTGTCCAAACCCTTCGAGAGCTTGCTATGGTACGAGTCATGGAAAGGATAACTGACATTTCCGAGTGGTGGATAAAGGTACTCTATATTCCATCTTGACTGGCACTACATGATGTTTCAAGGCCTTTTAATATACTGATCAGCCCTTAGATAAAAGACCCTGATACTATCAACGTCTGGAAAGCCAGGGCCGTGGCAGGCGAAAATGAGATTACAGAGAACGGTGCGAATTGGATAATCGAAGAGCTGACTTTCAAAGCAATCATATACGAGATGTTTGAATCCGTGACACTGTACAGTGGAGATGTCACCAAGTCCGACACTAATGTGCCCAGCTCACTCGTCCTGCAGCTGCGTGATGCATCGAGAATGATTGAATTCCACGATACGGATCTCCAGTTCTATAACCCAGATGCCAAAAAACAGCGTGATCTCCTCGACATGGCACTATACCCGCTCATTTACGGCAAGAGCCGGATCTTACCTGACAAAATCATTGGACTGAAGGATGCTATACAATATGCTGGGAAGGGAGATATCATCCCCATCCCGAAAGAGTCAACGATCACTCGGGAAGACATGGCTTGGCGAGTAGCCTCACGTGCGGATATAGAGATAAACCCGTACAGTCGGGATTTCCAGATCTTACCATCTGACTTTGAGCTTGGAGAGGATGGCAAGTGGCATATTATCTCATACATCAATAACCTCCATCCTGTCACGTACCGCAATGTGTACACTCTCATTGAGGAGGCGTTTAACTGCATGATCCCACAGTGGAACATGACCATGACTCCGCTCAAGGACATGCTGCATTCTCGTTCTCGAATTGAGTATCACCAGGCCGAATATACCTCTCTAACTGAGGAGGTCAAGGCCACAGCACCAAGGATTCAAGAGAATGAGGCGCAAAGTGCATTTGACGAGCGGTATGAGAAGTGGGCGATGGAGAATTACAAGGTAGTCCAGCCGGACGTTGGCCAGTTCATTCCTTGGGCTGTACCTGAATGTATGATGTCAAAGTTGCCTGCAGATTTACCAACCCCTGTTCGAATTGAGCGTGGTGTTGATCTGAACAAAGAGTACAAAGACCGAGGCTTGCAGGTTATCATTCGGATCATGGGCGTGGACTTGACACCAGAAGACCCGTTCCATACAAGCCCCTGGCATGTCGAGTGTGCTATGGTAAGTAAACCCAGGATGTCTCAAGAGGAAATTAAACTCATTCAACTCAGAACGAACACATTTGCGCTGCGGCATTCCTGACCGTCGACTCAGTGAATATGTTAGCACCCGGTATGGATTTCCGCAATATAGTCGACACATCAATGCTAGCTGAAGTCGAGCACGAGCCGAACGACTTTGTCTGGCTGAAGCAAGTCTTCGGACTAGAGAACGGCGAGCCGGCCGTCCAGATCTCAGGTACGATTCGCTGCACACCAGGCCGAGTAGTGATGTTTCCAGCCACAGTACAACATAGAATGAACAAATTTGAGCTTGAGGATAAGACTCAGCCCGGGTATGCGCGTTTGTTGGCGTTCTTTCTTGTGGATCCAAACATTCGTGTTATCTCCACTGCGAACATTCCACCTCAGCGGTTCGACTGGACGTTGGAGCAAAAGAATGTTGATACAGAAGGAGTGACGGCTGCCGTGGAGAGATTGGCCTTTGAAAATAAGGACATTAAAGGGGAGGTCGTGTCGCTTAGCGAGGCATTAGAGATTCGATTGGATGTTCTGAACGGTGTGCAAGCATTCATGAAGTATCAGCAAGTCGCCTTTGAGTCAAAGGTCTTGATGCTTTAGTAGCAGATTCAGATCGTTGTTTTTTCTTGTTCTTTCTTTCTTTATTTTTTTTTCTCTCTCTTGGGTAGTCTTATAAACTTTTGACATATGGAAGCTTTTACTACGGCACAAACCACTCTTTAGGGCTATGTTCGTTCATTCTACTTCACTACGGAATATAAGAAGAGTAATTAATCATAAAATCGCCGCGCTATGCCATTCGGGAGGTTCAATAGGGAGATAAAATAAAGTAAACCGGCCCCTTGTATGTTTTTTGAGTAATTCATCAACGTCCCTTGTCCTCAGGGAACTCATCCTCCAACTTCAGACGAGCAGAAACATTCATACTCATAAGCTCTTGAATGAGAAGTTTAGCTGCGTAAGGGATGACCATCTTCACGCAGGTACGAGAGGACTTGCATCCAGTGCACCATCCCAGGAATCCCATCAAGCCGCACTTGTCACAAATATCAACTTCGTGGCGATCAGACGATATCATGAGACGCTCGAGCAAAAGCTGACTGGTTCCGTAGGCGATCAGACAATCACGTTCCATCTCACCGAGACGGAGACCACCATCACGCGAACGACCCTCAGTAGGCTGGCGGGTAAGGGTGGCCTTGGGTCCACGGGCACGCGAGTGCATCTTATCCTGTACCATGTGCTTGAGCTTCTGGTAGTAGATAGGACCAGTGAAAACATAGAAAGGCAGCGGTTCGCCAGTGATACCGGATGTAAGCATGTCTTTACCGCCATAGCTGAAGCCGTGGTCGATCAGGATCTGCGACATCTCCTGAACAGGACTTCCACCAAAACAAGTACCATAGCCGTGCTGACCGGAGAGCACACCTGCTTTTCCTGCGACCAGCTCCAACATTTTTCCGACTGTCATACGGGACGGGAAACCGTGGGGGTTCATGATAATATCGGGGTTGATACCTTGGTCTGTGAACGGCATATCGGCTTGATCGGCAATGATTCCCACAACACCCTTCTGTCCGTGACGGGAGGAAAACTTATCACCAACCTCAGGGCGACGAGTCTGGCGAGTCAGCACCTTGAGGAGTTGAGTCTCACCGTCCGTTGCTGTAATCAAGACCTTGTCGATATAAGAAGGGTCGGGAAGCTTGTAGTTCAATGGTGTGGAAGTCCAGTTGGTGGCTCCCTGGCCTGAACCCATAAAGCCTGAAGTTTGTGATAGGTCTGGGGTGATCTTGTTGATCAAAACCTGGCCGGCTGTGACTTCTTCGCCGACGGCAGGTAGACCATCGCCGTCGATGAGAGTGTGCTTTTTAATCACAACGTTGTCCTCATACTCGGGTGCAGCCAATTGATCTCGCATGCCGTTGGGATAACTCTTAAGGGGCGTAGAGTATTTGCGAAATACCTGGCAACGTCCAAATCCACGATCCACAGAACCCTTGTTCAAGACGAGGGCATCCTCAATATCATATCCAGAGTAACTCATCACAGCGACCGTCGCATTTTGACCTGCAGGAAGTTGGTCGTACTTGACCAACTCAATGGTTCGTGACTTCACCATTGGCTTCTGCGGGTACACCATAATGTAAAGGATGGAATCGATTCGCTGGAATTGATTGGAAGCAATTGCGCCGATGGCCTGTTTACCCATAGCACATTGGTATGTGTTTCGGGGGGATTGATTATGGTGCGGGTAGGGAATAAGACCGGCAACAGCCCCCAAAATAGTGAATGGCTCGACCTCCATATGAGTTGTGGCGTCATTAATGTCCTTCTCATAGATTGCGATATATGAATCATTCTCCTCGTTCACATCGAGATACTCCACCAGGCCCTGGGCAAGGAAATCGTCGAATTCCATCTTGCCTTCTCGCAGCTTCTCCAAGTGATGCCGTTCAACCTTTGATCTGCCATTTTCAACAATAATGAGAGGTCGGCAAATTCGGCCATCGTCGGTGGCAATGTGAACGGCTGACTGGTGGTGATTGATAAAAATACTCACAAATTCTGAGATGCGACCCGAACGACGAAGCCGTCGGAACGCGTCGAGGAAGTACTTCGGACGCCGGGTCAAGGCCATCGGTGTACCATTCATAGAGATAGTATAACTTCCACGAGCGTAAATCTGCACTCCACTGACAGTTGCAATATCTTCAGCTCCCAGCATGAAAATAAGATTGCGCACAGGGTCCTCCTCGTCATTGGTGGTAATGTGCGTCATAAGTGCCAAGTTCTTGACAAGACCACAAGCTTCACCTTCAGGAGTATCTGCAGGACACAGCATACCAAATTGCGATGGCTGCAGAGCACGAGGACCGCTGACCTTTCTTGTCTTCTCGAACTGACTGCTGATGCGGGTCATCATACCGAGGGCAGCAATGTAACTCAGTCGACTGAGAACGTGAGTGACACCAGCACGTTCCATACGGAAACGCTTCAAGGTCCAGTTACCAGTTGCAATGGCACGGACCATTCCCTGAGTGATGTGACCACCATGCATGCTCACGATGCTCCAAGCATCAAATTGTTCTGCTCTGTTTCGCTTGCTCAGAACTTTATCAATGTTCAACTTAATGTCGAAGGTGAACTTTTTGAACAGGTCCTCAAACAGCAAAGCCAACATCTGGCCAGCCAGTTCCAGCCGCTTGTTTCCAAGGTAGTCACGATCATCAACCATCGAAGGATCGACCTTAGCCATCAGGACACGACGCGCCATATGACCGACATAGATGGCCTTGGGCCGAAAGTTCATATCTTTGACCTCAATGTGTGAGATGATGACTGTAGCAATGGCTTCGATTGCTTCTTGCACATGAGTTCTGCGGTATGCGCCGGTCTTTCGATTGATTTTGATCTTAGTACCCAGCCACTCAAGAGCTTGCTGTTGTGTATAGACATCAAGCTTAATTGCTTCCTCAAAATTGATAGCGAAATCATCCTGGTATTGGCTATCTGATCCGGCGACAATCTGTAACATTTCTTGGTCGGTGTGAACACCCATAGCCTTCAACAAAACAGCAATTGGGACATCATCACTGAGAACGTTATGTCTCACATAAAGCCGTTGTTTTTTGAGAATAATGTAACTCTTCGACTTGCGCTCGTTGGAAGAACTGGTCACCGAGGCCTGGACAATATCTTTCTTAGTGTCAGTTTCCACGATGATTCGATTCTTGCTCAGTTGTTCTTGAACCAAAATGACTCTTTCCGTTCCATTCACGATAAAATAGCCACCGGGGTCCAGAGGACATTCGTTGAGAACTGTCATTTGGGCCGGGGTTTTGTTCGCCAGCACGCACTTGGAGCTACGAAGCATCACTGGCATCCGACCAATGGTGACTCCTCGCCGCATGACTCTCTGGCGACCACGTAAATACTCAAAGTCAACGAGAATTGGCGCAGCATAAGTTGTATCTCGAAGCCGGCATTCTTGCGGGGTGACATCTGATACGTAATCAATAGTACCATCCTGTTGTTCATCCGTACGTCGAGGTGATCCGATGTAGATGTTTGTGAACTTGATGTAAAAGTTGGCGTCGATCTCACTGCGAATAATCCCACTTGATTCCACGATTTTCTTCAGTTGGACCTCGATGAAGTAATTGTATGAGTCAATATGCTGCTTGACCAGGCCCTTGACTTTGAGGAAGGCTGGAAGGAGATTCCATTTGTCTTTCGCGGTATTTATAGGGTCTGTCAAGGATTTGGTGTAGTAGAATGGTTCCAGTAGCGCATCAAATGGATCTCTATGCTTGTATTTGGAAGGTTCCTGCTCATCACCGTTCGCTTGTGTAGCTGCCTGTGTCGGTTCGGTTGCCTTGGCAATATTTGGAACTGCAGGCTTTTCAAACAAGGAATTATATCAGTCAAAATGACCATTGAGTGGTTGAATTAGGTGCGTCATGGTTTAAAAAAAAACTTACCTCGGCAGCAGGTTTAGGCGCAGATCGAGCCGCAGAGGCCTGTGGCTTTCTGCGAGGGGCCATTATGGCGAAGAGACCAGGATATCTATTATCTCAAAGATCTCAGGCGACTCAAATATTTAATGAAGTCCCGTGGTAAGCATTGCCAGCGCGCATAGAGGGGAAACTGAGGTGAAAGTCGAAGCCGAAAGAAATTTGGTGATAGATAATTTGAGGCTCCACTTTACAATTTCTCCGGTTGCCGAGAGCGTCCATTTGTGCAAAACGTGCACGGAGCCTCAACTGGTCACCTGACTCTGTGTGCTTGTCAAGTCGACTGGTTCAGACTGGCCAATCATTCAAATGCCACAAATGAATGAAACTGAATTACTAAACTAGGGATGAAGTTCGCCTAAAATAGTGATACATAGTGGGTAATGCAAACCCTACAAACCAGGCCAAATCAGGCTAACTAGGCCCAATCGAGCCTAAACCACCACCCATTTGACAGTGCTCGATATCAGATATGAACCTCTTTTGCTTTCTTTTCTTCTAGCCAACTTGCTCAAACATCTTGACATTTTTTAAACATGGTCGCTCGTCCTTCCCGGAATTTGCAATGGCTAGGTGATATCTCACCCTAGATTGAAGTGAATGCTAGTAGTAACATCACCTGCGAACAGGCTAATGAATAGGCTAAAGGATAGTTACTTTTCGTGGAAGAGCAATGGGCTCCTCGTGCGAGCGCCAATATCTCCAATTAAGACGCAGATTATGAGGCTAGCCAATGCCAAGTACTCATGGTAAACTGGGCAAAAGGCTAGCCAGTATTTCCGTGATCCATATCAACAGCGAGCTCTACCAATCTAATCAGTCTAAATAGATTAAGGTATACATCCTCTCTTGCCAATTGGATGGAGAAATAGGCCATTGTATGGAAAGCCTAGGGGTATTTCACGGTGGGCTTAACGATTCTGACTCGATTCCTGATTCCTCTAAAGTGCAAATCATCGATGTACAAAGCATCCATGGATCGATATGCTACCTAAGGCCTACCTCGAAATGGCTAATTTTGCACAGTCCTTTTCGTGTTGGATATATGGAACTACTTCATAGTTACAGCGGATGATCTGCTATCGTTTATTTTGGGCATAATAGTCAAGTTCGTAACACCTTCCGTCGACGTCTTCTCATCGAAGACCTCTTGAATATCCAAAAGAGGTTAGCGTCGGTGGACTTGATTGGTCCAATTCTGAGTATTTACCTAAATAGACTGGCATGACTATATAGCTAATTATGACACAACTTAGATGTGACTCAATCGGTGATTGATATCCTATAACAAGCTAGGGCCTTAGAAGTCTAGATTGCTCCAAGCCCTGGAGGTTATCTATGGGTATGCGTCTAGGATATCTAAAGATGAAGGCGGCAGGTCATAGGTAGGCTATGATAACGCACTATTGATCGATCTGAAAGATGCATATGGTATTCGATCATGTATGTACCAGACGCAGAAGGGCTGAAAAAAGTAGCTCTTTGTACATTTACAAAAAACCAAATATGTGCTTAAACTAGATCAAAATTTAAACTAATGCAAAATTACTACTTGAGTATGTTGGGTATAATCCTTTCCAGCAGTACCTATCCTAAGTTGACGACTTAGTACCTGCCTACACTACCTAGGTATTAAATTTCGAATTCTCCAAATTTCCCTTCCATGGTTACCTGGGTATGATATGTGAGCTAGGGGATTTTCCCTGGGTAAAGCAATAGGCAACCTTGGAAACACCTGGGAATAAGACTTATCCGCACCTAGGCCAGACAGTAAAAGACGGAAGAATTTCAGCCATCATTGCTTGGCATTGAAACATTCAACACCAGGAAAGGGGGTCAAGAACGGTCTAGATGGCTCGACCGTGAGATAAAGATACCTAATAGGTGTGCAAAAATCTTCAGAGTCAAATGATATGCAATTGGTGTCTGCCGCTCGTTCCGGTAACCCACACGGGCACTTGTCATCCATGGTATGGATCTGCTGAAACATGCATCGCTGAACAGATACACAACCATTTAAAGAGTAGCCCACGAAAAAAGGTCCACAGTCGGGCTGCATTAGTCCTTCATGATACTACGTTCTACCTAGGCATGGGTTCTACATCGGCATGAATCCTAGAGCTTTATTTCTCGGACCGACAAATTCGGCAAGCGGCCGCCCTACAAAAGAAAACATGGAATTTCTCACCACTACCGTGGACAGGGGCTTCACGGCAGCATGTCTACTACTGTTCGTATATATGTACTCACATAAAACTACCTAGGTATGCATGGTCCATGATTAGCTTCAGGCATGGGGGAATTGGAAGTGGGCAGTATCTCCAGAAATTGATTGATAAGATTGTTCGGCGGGTTCACGGTATTTTCCGGCTAACGTTGATCCCGGGGCTATACTGTGTATAATACTTAAAATTTCCGACATGCACAGACCGCTGAACCCTAGCCTTTTTATGCACATAGTCTACTAAGAACCTAGAATTTCTCCATACACAGCTATATAACATGTAGCGATGCGGTTTAACGCACGCTATATGCACGAAATTATTCTCGGTTGATCTTAATTATGCCGATGTGCCTTTACCTAATGTAGCCCACAAATACCCAAAAAGTACGGAGTAAAATTCTCGTTATCAGATGCAACAAATCTCCACAGTGGTCGGTCCACCTAAACCTCCCGTCATCCATTTTTCTGTTTTTTCCCCCTCTCGGTCAGTGGACTGATTTTTACCGCTTAGATCCTCATCGAATATTTTAATACACATAAGATAGACCTAATAAATCTAGAAACAAAACAACAATTCCGTTATCAGATCAAACCAAGATTGGGTTATCTTATCTGATCCCGGTCCCAACGCTCCAATGAAGTGCCCTTTTCTTTACCTCCAACCCCAGTAATTTGGAACCAGGGAACCTCAGTAAATTCTGTTTTTTGTTATTCAAAGCTCCACCACACACCCAAAAATTACCGCGCCAACAATATTTCTCACTTTGGTATTGTGCGTCTCAGTGTTTCGAAATTTTCACTTCAACATAATTGGGCAATGACATGTGAAGTAACTTCATACTTTACTTGGCACCGGAAGATTGACCAGAAACACGAGACAAGCCTTGTCTTGGCAGGATAATGTTGATTCGTAAAACCTTGGTAAACCACTGACTAGCTCCACTAAGACTCCTTTATCAGATTCTTTTCTGGTAATAACATCCCACCCTCAAAATGATCGTGCCGGCAATTACTCCTTTTGGAACCGATTCACATGTCTATCAATTCCCTGGCAGCCAGACTAATATATGATTACGATCACTCTCTACGATGGCCAATAAACTGTACTCAGGTTTTGATTTCTCAATCACAAGTGGACAATACCCGCTCTGAGTATAAATTGATAGCCAAGAACATAAAGTATCCTGAGTTCCATGATTGATAATTACAACGGGATCTATGAGTGGAACCTGACTACAAGTTCCGTAAAGTGAAACCTAAATCCTTGAAGATACTGCCTAGGTACCACGATGCATTCAAGGGTTCTTCGGGGCTCTGAGCAATCTTTACTCACGAGTATATATTCGATCAATCTCCGTCATCCCGCCGCCATTTCGAGTCAGAGGCTGGGAAAACATTCGGTTTACATTCCGACTCATAGTAATTGAGCAACCGGACTCCAAAATGACGTCCAAGGTTGTTAATCACCACCATAATGTTTTGTCGAGCAAATACTATGCAATTGCCATCGGGGCTATTATGGTCATATTTATTGCTTGCCATTGGATGAGAAAGGCATACATCACATATGGCCCTCGCAAATCAAGACCATCCGTACAAATTTTGGTGCGGTATTCCCGGTATGATCAACTCGGATACATCCTCACCGTATCAATATTTTTTCCAGTAACTAACGAAGGTGCAGAGCCACGTGCCGACTTTTAAGTAGCGCACCCTTTGGCATCAATCTTGACAGATGTCTCCTCTATCTCCTCTACTGGGCTATAAACTTGATTATTACCTTCACGAACCTACAGTATAACGCAAAACAAGTAAGTTCTCCCCCGGAAAAGCTGGCGTACAAAATCAATTGAATTCTAACCTCGTCTAGGTTGCGAAACGGTTCGGGTGGTGAGTCGCATTTTTACTTAAAACCTGGAGTTCTTTCAAGGTCTCAACTAATTTTTTCTTTCTTTATAGGGTCTGCTTGACCAATCTCGTTCTGCTAGTATTCCTTGCCCTCAAGAACACGCCTCTTGCTCCTCTATCCGGCCGATCGTACGAAAAACTCCGACCTCTCCACAAAGTCGCTGGTTATACATGCATCTTCTCTAGCGTTCTACATGGCGTCACATACCTGGGAGCCTATGCCGCAGCTGGCACCATTACTGTTAATATGAAAAAATCGGCAGACTATGCTGGTGGTATTGCCGGCGTAGCGATGTTGATAATCGGCTTCTCCACAATTGGATGGTTTGCCCGAAGATTCTACGAACGTCAGACTCTCAACCTAGCTTCATATCACTCGATCTAGATGCTGACAAGTTGAACAATAGTCTTCTATATTATCCACATACTTATGTGGATATTGATTATGGTTACTGTGGGGCTGCACAGACCTGAATTCGCACAAGATGCCGTGATCATTGTTATCTTCATATCAGCTTTATGGTTCGCAGATCGGTTCCTTCGCTCGGCGAAGATGTGCTGGAAATTCTTTGGCAATTATGCTACCCTCACCCCAATGCCAGATGGAGCAGTCCGAATTCATGTCCGCCGTGGCATTCGTATCACTCCCGGCTCTCATGCATATCTATGGATACCTTCTATCCGCCTCTTTGAAACCCATCCATTTACGGCCATTTCTACGGACTCAAATGAGTTTCTTGTTCGAAAGTATGATGGCTTTACTAATGATCTATTCAAAGCTGCCCAGAATAACCCGGGTGGAAGGGTTCGATGCTCCTTGGATGGAGGATATGGCCATACCCCGAACTTCATGAACTTTGACAAGATTGTTCTTGTAGCTGGTGGAAGTGGAGCGACATTCACTTTCAGCATTGCCCTTAATGTGCTGAAAGAGGCCGCAGCCAAGGACGTCACTAAGAATATTGACTTCATCTGGTCAGTGAGAAAGCATGGTACGTATAGTAAAACTCACGTGTTATTAATTGAAACTAAGTGATATATAGAATCACTTCTCTGGTTTGAACAGGAGCTCAGGGAGCTTGATGAGAACCCTCATGTTAATCTGTTCATTCACGTGTCACAGTATGACACACCGTCTAAAAGTTCCTCTAATATAGACTCTACGTCTAGTGTTGAAGAGTCCATTATTCAGGACTTCGAAAAAGGAAGTGAGAAGATCGACTCGTCAATTATTGTATCAGGTCTTCGTCCAGGACGGCCTGATATATTTTCTTTGGTTACTCAGTCTATCTCAGGCTGTCCATTGGAAGCTCGCATCGGAATAGGTGCTTGTGGACCTATCGCTATGATCAAGACGACGAGAGAAGCTGTTACTCAAAAGGGCTTTGATGACGGGCCTTCGATCACACTACATACGGAAGTAAGTTCATTCCCTGTTTCAGATCTTGAATGCAGCTAACATTTCACTAGGAATTTGAATGGTAGAGGTTTGGAGGGATAGACGTAGCAAAGCAGAGCTAGAAGTTTTTATGATGATTTACGGTTTTTATGGCTATACCTCTGGGAATTTAATTCATGCTTAAATATAGCTTCATAATTAATTCTACCCTCAGAACTCCTGAGGTCTGTAGGAAGAAAATGCCTGATCAGACTGGGAATCCGCAGATCCAAGTAGTGTGGGTGATAATTTAGCCTGGTGGAGTAGATTTATTCCGCTATTATGAGGCCCACTAGTCCGGTAACCATATATACTCCTAGGATGAACCATTCAACAGCCTTGAAGATTAGAAATCCAAAGAGATCTGAGTAGGTATTTCTGAGTAGGGAGCGTGAAATAAATTTCAAAGGTTTCTTCATAGTTTGAAAGTTCGCATATCATCCACTATCTAGAAGCCAGTCGGGATACCGCGCAATGGGCAGTTCTTTATTCCGTGCAACAATTTACCATGCAAGTAATAAAACCACCCCACAGATCTGAACGGAACTTATTTATCCCGAGTTTTCAAGCCGTGTCATATTAGAATAGCACCTGGCCATAACGCACCTTATGGCATGATTTTAAGGCTCCGGAATAGAATTCGGGACCGGGTATTGGCCCAGCCTCTGCGGCTTTTCGTTTACGCCTGGGGCATTTCGTTTGGAAGCTATGTATCGCCATAATTTCTCTTCTTCTTTGTTTTTGCAATGTTTGATTCTGGAGTTTGCTGTCTACGGGTATTCCACGGATTATTATTCCTAACTCATTGTCTTTCCTTTGTTTGAATGTCCCATTCCTGCTCATGATGTGCACTTTCAAAATCATGCAACCTTTGAATGATCCAGCAGAACTGCTTGCCAAAGCCGATTGAAAGTCATCAATTTTGAGCATTCGACTTACGATTACTGAAAATGTTCACAGAGAGCTACTTTTCCGATTTCCATTTATGCAGTCGTGGCGGATCCATGGATCATAGTATATCATTTGTGTATTCACGATGACATCCAACGTATGGTTGCAGGTGCCAGGCGCACTCTTCTCAAGAGTCATGTTGAGTGTACGCACTCCCATGCCAGTTCTATATGCAGGTTTATATAATCTAATAAGAAACACAAGTCTAATCACAGAGATTTGAGCACCAGCTTACAAGCTGCCTTCAACCCCCTCGCGACGACGGTTAGCTCCGCTCCGCCAGTGGAGGTAAATGGTCGGAATAACGCTGACTGCAATGATCATTGCACAGCAAATTCCCGAGCTAGCCGCGATCCCGACACTGTCGAACATGTATGGGAACCTGCGAGAGTGTTAGCAACCTTACAGAGACATTGGTAGATGAACCAAACTCACCAGAATGGGCCGATAAAGCCCCAAATCTGTCGAACCAAGCCGATGAAAACACCCACGCTGCCTGCCTCCTGCGGATAGCAGTCGACGGCATAAGTCATCGTTACGGTTGTGATAAGCTGATTACCAACAGCGCCGAGCGCTGTGCCAATGATCGGTGATACGTTCCAGTGGCCAGCGGCCGAGGTCTGAGTGCAAACAAGGAAGACAATAATACCGACGAGAGCTACCAGGAAACCGAAATAGCTCAGCCATAGGCGGAACTCTGGCTCAGCTTTGCCGTTGATGCGACGTGCCCGACGGGACATCCACTGATCGGACATGAAACCGCCCATCTGCTCACCAATGAAGGATCCGATGACGATACCTATGAATTGCATTCCTAATTGCTCAGAATTCAATTCAAACTTCTCCTGTAACAGTTGCGGTACTTCGACGGTTGACATGATGTTGGTGAACAAGAAAACCATTGCGTGCGTCCACGCAGGGATTAAGACGGACAAATGGCGGGCCAAAGTCAGGGGTTGGATGAACTCGAACCAGGTCAGTGGAGTCGGGTCGATACGTCGGACGGAAAAGTACTGTGTTTTCCAATCGGCTTCCACTTGGTTGACGCCGCTGCCAATGTAGCGGGTCTCTGGTCCAAGGAATAGGTAAAGGATGAACTGAACGCCATTGGTCTATCGCAATCGTGGGTCATTAGCACAATTATCCGCAGAGGATTTGCAGAGGGTGTTGCTGTCGTTGTACTCACTATAGCGAGGATCCAAAAGATCCACTCATAACCAACACGATAGGTGACGAAACCGAATATGAATGGTCCGATCGGGACACCCAGGGTGACCATCAAAGTCCAGATACCCATATAGCGAGCGCGATCCTTCTTGAAGGTCGTCTCCACCACAACTGCACTACCAATGGCAGAGGCAGGCGAGATAAAAAAGGCCACAAGAGCCCGACAAGCCGCGAGGGATGCATACGTGGTACTTTTGGCACAGCCAATGTTGAATGCGAAACTTCCGATGAGAGAGATTAGGAAGATCGGGCGACGTCCAAAGCGATTGGACAATGGCTTCCAGAAGAGCGGAGAGCCTCCTATAATGGCAATTTGCAACGAAGTCAAATAACTGGCCTGCTGCAGGGTAACACCGAGATCAGCAGCTATATCCGCATATGCAGGAATTATTCCTGCAGCTGTGAATGTCGCTATGCATGCATGGAAAGCCACCAGAAGAAGATTAACCATTTTCTACATGGTTCATGGTGCATCAGTTGTCAAATTTGCTAGGCAGTTCTCTTTCGGGGGTCACCAACCTTCGATTCTGGCCAGTTATACGGGTCAGCAGGACTCATACTGGGAATAGGATCAAGTTCTAATGTGCCATGTCGTTCTATCAAATATTCTTGATGAGCCTTTGGGAGTCTAGCAGCTACAGATTCTTCGTAGGTTACAGCTTGGCCGGCGGCTTCCGCCCTCTCAACCAAGTCAATGTCGGCCTTGGAAGCCATCTGGTCATGGCCCGAAGACCGGGATGAAGTGTGTTGCAGCTCAAAGGACCCCATCTTGAGTTAGCTACTCGGAGCTGGAAGAATAGAAGAGCAAAAAAAAAAAAAAAAAGCTGAGCTGAGCTGCTACGTGAAATGCTTGGATCTCTTGGAATTCTTGGAATTTTGCTTGAGTAAAAGTATGTCCACGGGTAAAACACGGTAAAAAAAAAAAGCCACCAGGGGGCGAACGGCCTGGACAGATTACGAATCCCGACATCTCGGTGAGAAGCTGCAAAGGAGAAAATTCCCCCGAACGGGATCGACATATTGACCAATATCTGTGGGGGATTTCCGGGGAAAACTAAATGCGGAGATATTCCAAGCAAATCACCGTGGTATTGACGAGTCATGGTGCAGCAATTTACAACGTTTTGAGCATCATGAGAATATTTGTAACATGCATGGCATATGAGCACGGCTATCAATGCCTACCAGATTCTCATCTGTTACTGCAAATCCGGCTTTGGCGTTAATGGCGAAGTACCGAGTTCCACTCTTTCCCCACCCCCACTAGTCGGATATCACTTTGATTGCAAGATCCTGAATTGTGGGGGAGGGATGACCGAGGCCTAAATCCGCCAATGATGGTTTGCTCTGAGAAGGAAACTGAAAAGTACGTAAACTAAGACCAGAATCACTGACCGAGAGGACGAAAAGATATTACGACGTAATGATTATCAACCAAAGTGGCGACTGTGGCGTTTATGGCGGCTTGAGGCGGTAAATAATTGATTAGTCATTAGACGCGAGGTGTCCTTCTCACGACGTGGACTGGCAGCATCAATTGGGTTGACATAGAATAAATCAGCAGAAATATTTACCTCTGTAATAAAAGCTGTATTTGGCTTTGAACTATATAAATTTCAAGAGATGTACTCCCCAATCTGCACGTAGTCAGCAAACTTCCAGTTACAAGGCCAGATATAAAGTGTCACAATCCCCACATTTTCTCTCCATCTTGTTTCCCTCGGCCAATGCCCTAAACTAAGCGCTAATGGATTCGAGTACATCTTATACCAGAGTCAAAAAGGTTGTCTGCCACGTGTGCCAAAAGAAATTTTCAAAGACTGAGCACCTACGTGTAAGTCAGTCTAGCCCCTGGAATTACAACGGGACATCTTACCACCTGGACAGGATCTATAAAATCTAACCGAATAACCGACAGAGACATGAACGTTGCCGTATGTTGCCTTCCAAGGTTCTTATCTGATATCTCATCATAATTCGATTATGATCAAGTCCTCAAGTTCCGTACTCCCGACTTTAGCCGACTGACGTGTCGCTCTAGATACCGGATTTAAGCCATATGTTTGTAAAGAGTGTCGCCGTCCTTTTGCCAGACAGGATGCCCTCTCGCGACATGAAAAGCTTCATTTGCGTTACATTGATGCAAATGAGAGCTCAATGCCGGCCTCTATTTTAGACTCTATGTCTTCGAGGGACTCCAGCAGCGCTTCTATAGCCACCGGAACGTCAACTTCGGCTACTAGTCACTCGTGGGAAGAGCCACAGATATCACAGCATACTGCTTTGGATAGTGCTGTCTCTGATCTGGACTTCGCCCTTATATGGCCAGATTCAGAGAATCTCTTCCAGAGTCTCATGTCCTCGGATACGACAGATCAATGGCAGATGCCACTTGGGACTCTGCCATTTTTACCCGTCGTGCAGAATGTCAATGAGGTCAACTTTGGATCACCAAACTTAATTGAGGATCGAAGCTCACCGGTGGATATGCCTTTTGGAGAAGGCCAACAGGCTGTTCGGGATGTGACAGAAATGGTGAAGAGCTCGGTAAGGACTTTGCTAAGATATTGAGAGCTACAGAATAGTATTACTAATTTCTTCTGAATAGTCTTTGAGTGTCACAGCCGATGTTAAGGCCAGTTCTATCACATCTGTCTTCCTTGATGAATGCCTGCACATGTTCTTTGCTCGATTTATCCCAACCTTTCCAATCCTGCACAGGGCCACCTTCGTTTTCCGTGAATGCACTCATCCCTTGCTTTTGAATGCCATCGCCATTGGCTCTTTGTATCTTGGTCCCCGAGACTCCATAGCTAAAGGAGAAGCATTGTGGCGACTCGCTCATACGGCTGTTGCCACATCATGGCAGTTATTCATCACACACATTGGCCCCTACGATGCATGTCAAGGTGTACAATTGGTGATATCCACTCTGTTAGGGCAAATTTATGGCGCCTTGTCCAAAGACCGTACCATCAGCATGACAAGCCGTGTCTTTCGCCCTCTGGGCTTTTTCTGGGCGCGGCACTGTGGCATGTATGACAGTGAGCCTTACTCTATGGAGAATCTCCCAGCAATAGATGCCCCTGCTGCTGAGAAGGAGCACCAGTGGCGCACATGGTCGGCACGAGAAATCCAGCAGCGTGCGCTGCTCGCATACTATGTTTTGGATGGTCTTGTCGCTCAGATGTCTGGCGACGGTGCTTCCGATCGTCACCTATCCAATCCTTTGAGCTTGCCAAGTAGCGAGGTGGCCTTTGATGCGTCTACTGCCGATGAGTGGCTGACACAAATGCACTCCCAGAAGCCAGATGAGTCTTCTTTCCGTGCTGTCTTCCGATCCCTATTTCCGCCGATCGGGAATTTGCGGGCTTTGGACTATAATTTCTCTGCCTTTGCCCTGCGCGTAGTATTGGAAGGTCTTCAGACTCTGATATCGGATTGTGACGATCAAGACTTAGCTGTCGGTATACCTGGTCGGTCAGACTTACGCAGAGCCCTTGCTCAGGTCCATGAGACCATATCGATGAGCATACACATATCAGCCGCACAGAGATTAGAACTCCTGCTCCGTTGGCACACGACTTGCCTTGACACTATGATCAACTCGACAGCTCTCTCTCGTCATATTTGCACGCGCTATAATATACCCCAAGACGTGTCAGGCGGCCGTCGAGCAGTCCGATCAGACTTTGACTTCATCAAGTTCACCACTACAGAAGATGCAAGACGTGCAGTCCTCCACGCCGTCGCAATTCAAGATATAATAGAACAACTACCACGCGGTCGCGCTCATGTAATACATATGCCCAGCTCACTTTTCGCCGCAGCCACAATCTACGTTGCCTTCTCACTTTCTGGTCTAGCTACTGTCAACTTGCCCTCATCGATAGTCTGGCAAGATGCCCTTTTATTGCGATCAGACCTCCATCTTGATGATGATGATATCCGACCGTCATATGGATCAAATACGCGGCAGTTTGTCGAGACTGTGCCGTGTATACCATCCCCTCAAATTGGGGGCTCAGTACGTAATCTCTTGTACGAGCTCAACTCTGTGCAGAAACTATTCAGTTGCCTCGCGTCGCAGTGGGGAATAGCTCATCATATGGGAGATATTGTCGCACAGTGGATTCAGCTGTGTCACTAGGTCCTAAGAATAGATGCCATTCTATTCTTCATAACTACTTTACTTGGTGTTCCAAAATGAAGCCTGGCTCTCCGCGCAAACACAAAAACCTCTATACTTACTTTAGCTCCTCACAGATATTGCCATACTTGAACAGGAAAGCCTGTCATAGTTCGTCGCCACATGCCATGGTGGAAGAACTTTCTCCAGCCTGAAGCGGCAGCTTGCTTTGCTGCAAGGACGCTGGTAATCTCCTTCTATTCGGCAATGATAAGTGGATCATCAATATTATCGCCAGCTTGGATCCTAGTGAGGATCGTAATGGCCTCCTCAGTATGATTCATCTTTGCAAACTATAGAGGGGAGCGAGGCAAGAATGGTAGGCCAATAATAAGCAGAACACAAAGCATGGATTGTAAAGCTCAAGCAAGACGGAAGGACCATCACAATGAAAGAGCAGCCATATCAACGATGAATATAATGAAGATACCCCATTCTATGGCAAGTTGTTGAATGATAATGACAGAGCCACATTTGTCCTTCTTGGTAATTTTAGCAAAGTACACAGAAACCTGGGATGATGTAATTCCAACGCATACGCCATTGAGGATTCTACCAGCCAGCAAAAGCCCAAATCCTCAGGCTCCGGCTTGGCTGTTCGAATCAGCCACCAGAAACAGGCAAAGAATAGAGAGTCGACGGCCAATTCGATTGGAGATTGGACCGGAAATTATTGAGCCCGTGACAGAGTCTGCAGCAAGGGCATAATTGATAGTACATTGGCGAATACCATGGGGGCTATGGAAGTGTTCGATGTACTGCTGTGTACTGATGATGGCACTCATCGAACTGATATCAAAACCGAACAACATACCACCCACTGTCGCCACGTAAGACTGTAAGCGTCGCTAGTTGGTGGAAACACTCCACAGTCGAGGCTCAAGCCGTCGTCGCTTTGACGAGACTGCTCACAGCCCATTGGCGACATTTCAAAATATCACCTTTTCGAATGCCTCTTGTAGACCTTTGGACCCTAACCAAGCCTCTAATGCCTGCATGTCACCCCGGTTGGCCCGCTGTCCACCGCGTTCGCCTAGCGAGTCGGTAATCTCCTCCATCCCCGTGAACACTCTTTGAATGTCCTCTTCACGGAATCTTTCGCTGACTTTTTTCTGATAGCTGGGAATGTCTCCCCATGAATTGGTCTTGATGAAGCTCATATAGGCATCAATCTCCTCCGACGCACCCTCAAGACATAATACTCCTGGCTTACCCGCCAGAACAAATCCGGTTAAAAAGTAGCCCGGTGCGAGATTCACCATATCGTCCCTCTTCTTACGGGTTGATAGCGACGGGAAATAGAACCAGACTCTCACAGTCGGACGTAGATCGGTCTCTTCCGAAGCTGCTGTTAGAGATTGCCTGTTTTCAAGAAAGCGACCGACTTCTGATTGGATATACTCAAATGCTTCTAGAGCGTCGTCTTGAGGAATTAAAGCAGAAAGCTTAGCTACCTCGGCTTTAGACATCCAGTCTGGTTGTCGAAGCAAAAAGCCTAAAGATGGCGGCTGGTCAATTGTCGGATCTTCGCATTGTAATGGCACAGAAATGTTCAAATGAACTGTTCTTTTTCCATCTTCAATTGGGAGCAGTACAGCGAGAGATATGCTTGGAGGAATAGCATCTATCGATATAGAACTTGGGTCCTGACACCAATCCCGGACTCTCTCAACGCACTGGAGTGTGGATTCAGGGATTTCTAGCTCGCCCGGAGAGGGAAACATAGCTGTTATGAGATCATATGTAGAAATTTGGGCCTCCATCATTTCCACCGGTAAGAGTGACGTTTGATTAACATTTTGGAAAGCCATTTTTCGATAAACTGTGTTTACTCCTTAATGAAGAAATTGTTGTCCCGATCGGCAAATGTAAAATTGCTTATGTAATATCACCGATCCTCCGGAGAATTTATAGGGACACCATGTTTCTTATGCACCGCACCGTTGGTCCCGTAAAGGTGTCACTTATTCCGCTTCATCGTCGCTGACTCACGGTCCACGGATTACTATAAGGCTGACACTTGTCCAAAAGTCTATTTCTATCTCAATGAAATGGGCCCAGCTACATTTCATCCTACTTTCAGGACTTCACTCACGATAAGTTCAAATAAAAGCAATATTGATGAACTATTTCTCAAATACAGCGAGTTCAAATTCTGTGAGCTACTCTGAAGAGCTATAGCCCCAAGTAATCAAAGGTCAAAGGAAAAAAGATGGTCGATTGAATGGGTTTTGTAAGTGTGGAAAGGTTGATAAGAAAACAACCTTGATTCATGTAAACCCAAGTCATCTCGGCTTCTGCTGAGTCCTTCGCTGTAAAGCCATCACTTTCAGATGCCTGATAAATTCATTTACAGGAAGGTGTGCCGCCACTAAGAGCCTTGAACTTGTCGGTCCCAAACGTTGAACCTGAATAATCTCAAGGCTCAAAATCCTCTTGAGTCTCATCATTTGAATTCATCCAAGTCGAGTAGGGGAGGGGACATAGCAATACATAGGCCAAGATCTGTGCGTTCTTCTGAAAGCCCCGAAGATATAAGTGGCATTGAAGGGGACGACGAAAGGGAAAGCTGACAATATACAAATGGAAGAAGAGGACAGGAATTCTCTCAACACCGCTTTAGAAGTCGATCAGCAAGAGATTCTAAAAATGATACAGGTGTCTATAATGATGAAGTTAGTCACTTATTAAAGTGCACACGGAACTTCTGCAATAAGTCCGATGGGAGAATTATGATGCAAGGCTGAGAGGCTGTTGGCCTATTCTTAAAACTAAAGGCGTCATTAGGAGGAAGAAAAGCTTTTGTGTTTAAGGGTAAACAACTTAGGGCGACCTATGACACACCATGACACTCAAGCCAAGAGAGGAATTGTACTAGACATAAAGCTGAGAGGTATGAATAAATCCAATAATTATGGAAACCGAGAGTGACTCCCCTTTACTAACAATTCTATATTCTTTGAAATTTATCTTCTTCTAAGTTGTTATACACAACGAATGTACGCCGTCATAACTAGAGTGTACTCAGTAGGCAATGTTCTAGCCCCAGATCCTGTGATGTCACAACTCCGACTTCCACGGAACTTAAGATAAAATAGATCCACATTGATTTTGGCGCTAGATCTAAAGTAGTTAAGTTAGTCCAAGGGACAAGTAGGTCCCATAGGGCTGATGAGTCAGCTACCCATACTCCGTAACAACTTTCCGCAGAGCGAGAGCCTTGTTTCTTATTTCCTCTCTTTTCCTCACTTTTCCTCAAACCTCGTCAAATTTCCTCAAATTTCCCTCAGATAATGGAACCCTTACAGAAACTCCAAGGAAATCCTTACAGCAGCCTTGAAGTTTCCCACCCCTTTGAAAACAAATCCGAAGTGCCCGATCCAGAAATCTCATCAATCAGGGTCGCTTCAGCAAACCAGGCTCTCATAACCATTGAAGACTGCAATTTTGAACAGCCAACATCCTTTCCTCAAGCTAACCGATGTGTCAAAGCACCTTGGAGACTCCCTCCTCACATTGCTGGAAAACCGCGACTGGTGTCAGATCAACTTTCTTTCGAAAGAAGTGTCTCATTGAACTGAAGATGCCAACTGAACAGCATGAAGTTGCCACGTGATGGATCAACGATCAAGTTATTGAATGGGTCATTGCCGGTGACCTCAGCGTAGCTGAGCGTCGAGATTTAGACAATGCGGTCAGTCCCACTTTAACAATGCGCTTCGGTAGTTATATCGACGATTTAAAATTCCTAACTACATCATGCACCCTGTTCAATCACTAAGCAATACCCCAACGGTGTCTTTAGATGTCGGTTAGACCAAGAGCTTACGAAGCCTTCAGAAAAATGCACGGCTTCTTCTAGAGGGGGTGGCCCAAACGCTAACCGGGTTATTTTGATCAAGTTCTCCAATCACCGATATGGCGTTTTTGCGGACCTTGAGTTATGGGGCAAGAATTTGGCTGGGTTGGCTCAGTGCATCGACACCTGGGAAATCTTCCCAACGCCAGCATCCCACATACCACAAGCAATCAAGCCCCTACCCTCACTCTTGAAAAGGGAGATAGTTGAATTGAATGTTCAAGCAGACCGAAACGGCGCCGACTAACTCCCGTTAGACATCGTCCGTCTACGCACTATTGCCAAGGCCAGATTGGCCCGTTCAGGATACACCGCTTTCCCAAGGCAGCGTGACCTCGTTCCATTTCTTTTGTCCTTTCCACTTGTTCCCCCAGCCTCTATGAGTCTATTCCCTAATGTTCTTTGCTTGGCTCTATTCACTTTCTATTTACCTCTTTCAGTGTTTTTGATTATTTTTGATTACTCTTAACATCTTATAGGTTAAGCTTTGACTTTTTTGGGGAGTTTATCGCTTCGAAATTCTTACCTCTACTTATCATTCTGCGCCAAATTTGTATGTATGAAACGCAGAAAGTTTAATGGAAAAGCAGTTTTCTCTACATGTTATGCATTTCTCTATTTTTAAACCAGGTTGACAAGAAGTAAAAAGTTAAAACGTGAAAATGAAATGCAGCCTGGCCGCAATAGAGCACCATTAGAAAAAGTTATAAAAGAAAATACACTCTACCTCCTTCATCCTCACCTTTGTACACCCTTGTCGTCGTCCACCTCATCCTCTTTATCGTTGTCGAAGTCTACTTCTGAGGAACTCAATTCAACTACCGATTTAGCTTGTAGGTTGTCGTGTGATACCCCGTACCTGTGAACCCCTTAAAGATGTGGGCAAATAGCAGAATTTATCTTATAACACTATGTAATTTTGAAACTAGAAATTCATACAGTAACACTGCCTCATCTTTCCTTCCTGGTTCTCCACTATTCTGGAATAGGGCTATATACCCAGATGCCTATGTAGCCTCGGACTCTAGATATTCAAGGTCCTGGAAGCAGAGAATTTCATATAATGACTATGGGTTTTCAAACGCTGAGGATATGCTTAGCTAAGAAAACGCAGCTATAACTATCTTACAACGCCGGCGATGTAACGGCTATGTTGACGCCGCGAGCACTCATGTGTTATCTGTGGGGTTGAAAAAAAAATCTCCCATTCGACTTTTTCCCATCTTCTTCACATTCTGGAATACAGTTTTCTTCTTTCAAAAACAATCATAACCACGTCTTCTTTTTGTTAGGTATCACTTACAATCAACCCTTTCATCCTTTCAGAGTCAACCCTCCTATTTTCCTGATGTCAGAAGATCTTCAGCTGCCCGTTATCCCTGAGATAACAAATACGGTCAATAACGCTCCTCCAGTTTGCTCGGATGAGGATCATATCGAGTTTGCGCGCCTTATTATCCCTGTGATGACACCTGTTGCGGTTGAAGACGCTACTTTGGTTGAGGATGCTCCATCTCCTCACTCGGACTATCGTGTCAAATCTGACTCGCTATCCATCCAGTCAATGGATTTTATTGCAGGTCCAGATCAGGTGCTCAGCGCAAGTGATAAATATACTCTCATCAGCTTGTGCCTTGACCGTAAGAAGTCTGGAACCTTCGCAAGCCAGTCAAAACGCTTTTGGCTGGACATATCTACCACTTTTTTCCACGTTTTTCACTCTTTGTATCAGTGGCAACTTTGCCGAGAATACATGGTGAATTGGGAATCTCGAGACACCAACTCCCCGGACCCCTATACAACCTCAAGTATGCAAGGTGAATCCGATCACTCCAAAACTTAGGACACGAAGGCAGCATAAATGCTCACCATCATGAGAGCGGCAGTGACTCCTCTTCAGAGGACGAGGAGTATAAAGATGGGAAGCTATAGGCCTTACTTTGCATTCATAATTTTCAACCAGGGGATATCTAAGTATTGATCCCAATTCATAACTTCCAAGATTATCACTGGAGCTTCACGACATCCCAGATGGCCTTATGCTAGTACATATGTAGGTTTGTACTAGTAATGCCAATTTTTCCAGAGCTATGGTCTTACATTTAGGAAGAAGAATTTAGTTCCAGGTTCGTACATATATACCTAGGTATAAAGTATTGGTGCTTGAAATTATCAGCAGAGATATTACTTAGATAATAAGTAGAGTACAGGGGTAAAAGCCTTGTAATCGAAGTAAGAACTGCTCATAGATCATAACAATATGCCTATCTGGGCACTTGCATTTCAGTAATTGATTCCAATGATGCGCTATTGTGCAGAAGGCCGGGTCAGGACACAAGATTCCTTGAAGGGTTACCAGGGAATAGTCTAAGTAAAGTGAGATGAGCTCCCAGTTCTTTTTCTGGGGTTATATACTGAGTTACTAGGGGCGAGTGAAGATGAGCAGACAGGAAATATGGATACTTATCCATACCAGAGTTGGGACCTTTAGAGACGCGCCCTACTCAGGTAGCTTATGACAATGTTGGAACCAATGGAATCTGGTTTGCTGAAGTGAATGAACTCAGGAAGTGAATGAAACTAGTGGAATCGGGGCATATCCGATTCCATCGCGGGAACTTAGAATGAACACACATCTTACCGCATAACTTATTACACGTACAACGTAGTAGTAATAGTACATCTAGATTCCTGTGAACCGACAGACAACCTATATGAATCTTCGTTTATAAAACAATTCATACTCCACTCAGAGATAGAAATTTGAGCAAAGATGAAATTGCAGAGATTTCCCTTCAATACATCTTGAATCTGGAGGTCATAGGATCGATTCTAGGAGCTTTTTCAATGGGAAGTAACATACCACCTGGCATTGAAACATCTGAATCAAGTATAAGTTCAAAGGCTCTCTTACAGGATTTCCCAGATATTCATTATTCTCCAGGGCTATTTAAGTGTATCTCTGACAGGGATAAATGAATTGTCGAACATAGATCCACGAATGGATGCACCTTACAAGCCTCTTCATTATGCAGCAGTTAATTGTCAATAATGGATAGAATTCTAATTTTTCTTAGGCATTCTTCGAAGAAAAGAGCTATCTTTAGGGGGTCGGATGTATTTATACTCCGACCTAGGTTGTTGATTCATACCTAAATTCATATAATCCAAGTTTACCACCTAGACAATTATGATAATAATTAAACTTTGTTCATATGCGAGAATTTCAATTTGAGTACAATTAATCTTCAAAATTGTGACTAATCATTCTTTCGGTGGCTGCTTCTATTGTATTCTTATAATTTGAGACTGCCCACCCTCGGGCCGGCCCGTCCCGAGGATGGAACCGTTAAGGTACGAATGCTAAAACTATCAACACCCCTCGACCTTCTCGAGCCAACGCTCCACTGTAATAACATAGTCATCGAGACTAAACAAACTATTATTGGTGAAATGCCGTGTCACCACTGCCAGTATAAAGTTAAGATTACTGTATTATCAGCATTCTGGGCAAAGATCGTGGTATGAACCAATTTACTCCGAGTTGTATGAAGGAAGTCGATTGAGAAAGTTCTCGGAGTCGATCCCAGGGCCTCCATATTCAAATTATTTGCTTATCAGTCGCTAATTTGAACAAATATTTGTGGAGCGGGTCGGATAATGCAGTATCCCCCTCTTGCCTTTTACCAGACGGGGCTCATTTCTGCCCAACATGCTTCACTATTCATTCTTTGGACCCAAAAATACAAAATAGGATCACCTTTTTTGCTTCTCTTTTTTGCTACATGGGAAAAAAAAATCCCTTATTGTATCTTGACTCGCTTTTTTTACACTTAAGGCCTCCGGAATATGGTATGAGCGAAGTTGGATATGCGTGGTCATAATCTTGGGTGTGTGGGACTAGGTACCTAATTAGGCTCCGTAGTTTCTACTAAATAAATCATGATATGTGGACCAGCAGGTAGCTAAGATTAATTGAGAAGAAAGTACATATTCAGGTATTAAACGGAATTTTATCAATTTGTTTCGACATAAAATTGATTCAGTTAACAAAATTTCCCAGGACAAGATCGTCAATTACACAAATGTCCTACATTGAGGAGTTACATTCATCGATGATTGCTGGAGAAAAGAAACAAACTCGGAGTCAGCCACATAGATTACCATTTCCAACCTTGGAAGTTTATGTTTAAAAGTTGATATGTTGAAATGCTATCTACCTAGGTAATTCAGATGTGGAAGAATAACCGCAAAGAAATATCCCAAAGACTCTTTAGAGCTGTAAGGTGGATGGGGTATCGAAAGGCAAGAACGCTAAGAGAACGAATTCCAAGGTTGTATCCAAGTTCATCATGAGACTAAAACAAGGTCAAATATCCGCCATAACTGATTCAACAATCTTACGCTTATATTGTGACAAAGCACGATCTTTCTTTTGCATCTGTGCTCGGAGTTTTAGATAGCGCTGTCTCCAGGTAACTTCGGTCCCCTCAGAAATGGCCTGGTCCAGATCATCGTCTTCAAGATCAAAGCCAGCAAGAGCGTTGTTTACAGAGGACTGGATTGGAGGCTCCCGATTTGTGACAGAGTTTGCGCGGAGACCAATTCCGGTAGATCCGGGATTGAGATTGCCCAGCAATATCTGCATTGAAAAATGACCTGAGGGTTTATACTCAAACGAAACACGGTAATTAGTTCCACCAGGAAGTTCATTAGAGGTATTGGCCCTGCCACTATCGTGAGGAGCCCCGTATGTATTTTCGACATGCACAAACATAGTCATTGGCTTTGCATTCGTAAAACCAAAATGGTGGCCCATACCAAGGTTTAAGACGAGAAATATCGAAAATATATCGATTGGAAGTTGCGAATAGACGGTAGACAAGTTACCAATCATCGCTGAAGCCAAGGAATGGGCTTCTTCGGCACTGAAGGGTAACGCCCTCCCTGTAATGCGGGCACGGAAAAGTTCATTGGATAATATGCGAATTATGTCATCCATTGATATTTTTGGAGCAGTGGTCGTGATTTCTGGGAAGTTCGTGGCGCCATTATGGCCGAATGCGCTTGCGTTATTCGCTTGCGGAGGGGACTCATCAGATGGGAGGCCTTGAGAAATGACGGCACCGTTCACTCCATTAACCAGTAAGGCCGGGGGCGAGGCAAGCCTTACAGGTGCCCCCATATGCTGTGGAACTTGCAGTTGAAGCTTACTTGGTCTCCCATTATTTTGAGGAGTCGGTGATTGGTTATATGACGAGTGTGTGACAGGATTCGAAGGGTGTTGATCAACCACAAATGGAGAAGATTGATGGGTAGGAATTTGTGGAACCTGGGAAGATTCTCGACTCTGATTGACATGGAAGGTTGAAAATGATCCAGTTGAGGGTTTGTTGGGTGGTCTTCCTCGACTTTTACCCACAGATAATCCACTGTTATTTGTCCAAGCGGATGACACAGCGGGGCCATGTTTGCGCTTGGAGCGATTTTTGTCACTGGAGGATGGAGTCACAGCAGAGCGTGGCTCCGTGTGCATGAGACTCTGAGATGGTTGGGTACCTCTTGGAATGATAGCAGACTGGGGATAGCCAACTGGAGACACCTCCCGATCCGGCAGTCTCCAGCGTAGATCTTGGGGTTGTTGATCAGATGTACTTGTGGGGGGAAATGAGGTCGTGGCTGTCATCCAGGGGTCATCGTCTGGAAATGCACTGAAAGGAATGGCACTTTGTGGGAAGGTAACTGAATGACGATGGAAGCCACTTTGCTGTAGAGCAGCGGCAGATGTATCTAATGAGGGCCGCTTGGCTGATTTATCTTCCTCCGATTCCCTCTCATCGGCCCTTTTCCTGCCGCGCTTAGGCTTCCATTGAGGCACGAGCGCTCGAATGGCTAGATCTTCCTCCAAAGCAACGCCATCACGAATTTCACTGACAAATGGACCTGAAGGGGGAAGCTGAGTGAAGTACGAATGAGGATGTCCCAAACAATACTCAAAGAAGGCATCAACATGCATTGCACGCATCCAACGCTAAATTTTATTAGACATACCATATAATTAAGATTTAGAGACATACCTTGAGCCGAACAGCATACTGCTGGACTTTCTGTGTACTTTGCTTCTTTTCCATTGACGGAGGCTCTACACCAAGCTCAATAGCTAGTTGAATCCAGGTTTTCAGCTCCTTACTCTCAAGCTTCCGAATAAGCTCAAAAAGTGTGAATACACTGAAGCTTTTTCCATCACTGCGAGGGGGACAGCGAAATGTCTTTCGGAGCTCAGATTTGTCGACTGAAGATGGGACATTGGGATTGCAATAGAGGATAAACATCACATAAGCGTCGTCAATTGTCTCGTCTGTGATTTCACGAGATGGCAAACCCCGAGATTCCGCATGGTCAACTGCGTCCTTGCCCTGATGCTGGCGCATGGGATCAAAAACTGGCGGGGACATGGACGGCCCAGACTGAGTTGATGATGGAGGTATAGCTGACCGAATTACTCTCGGCGAAGAACGCAAGCTTCGCGGTGTTTCTTTCCGATGCATTTGAGGGGATTTATTAGTTTCATTTTGACTGCGAGCGCTACCTAGTGATGAAGCACTTTGAAGCGTAGACTCGAGTGTCGGTGGGTACTGCGCATATTGTTGAACAACGATTTGAGACGTATTCAGATCGCCACAATTCGAACGATCCGTCGAGTCCATTGTTACAGGATAGGTTGGTTCCCTGAAGCCTACCGAGTCATACGACCCCGTGAAGCCCTGTGTACCTAGCTAATATGGTGTGTAGAACAATGGCAAGTGAAAGCGATCTCATGAGGGTTGCATCAAATAATTATCATTGCCGGTAAGGTATGTAAAGGTGGGTTTAAATTTATAAGTGTAAATTTATATTATGCTGCGCACAACAGATAAATCAGAATTAGAATGGGGGTCCAGGGGGGGGATTATGAAGTGAATCTGAAGAGCAGCGCTTCCAGCCACCTTGAGGGGCTATTTGTTTCGTTGTTTCTATTCTAGGCACAACTTAAATAGGAAAGGCGTAGTTGCCTTAGGGAGCGGGGTTTGATACCTAAGGTGTCAGTTAATCCACTAGTCCCAAATTGGTATAGTAAAGGTGTTTCTTATCGATAACATAGGCTGATCGCTGCATCCGACATGAATCTCCACCTCTCTTCTTTAACTATCAAGATTCTGCAACCTTTTACTTTTGATTGTGTCTCTTGCTTATTAGCCTCTGCAACGGCTTATCGCCGTTGCCAGCGCTTCTTACTATCTCACATTTCTTCCACATTTTCATCGATCATGGCACCTCGAAGCTCGGCTCGGCGTTCAGTTCGCCATACCCGCAAACCGGTTGTCAGCTATCATGAATCTTCAGACGATTCTGAAGATACTGAAGATAAAGCAGAAGAAATATATACTACTCAGCAACGCTCGAACGGAAACAGCGGGCGGCGTATATCGGATTCTCTACGCCCACGCGGTGCCCAACCCCCATCTTATCGCGAAGCCTCCGCAGCCTCCGATGTGAGTATGGAAGGAGTGATAGATAGCAGTGAATTGAGTGTCCATGGTGCTACCTCTTTTCATTCAGCATCAAACTCAGCGTCTGGGCCCACTGCACCAATCTCCGCTGTTGCTGTTCGTGTGTCGAAGCGTCCTCGTGGGTCAGCACCCCGTTCAGCACCATCCAAGCTAAAGCAGACCAAAAGGCCGCTTCAACAAACTTCCAAGCAGCTTGAAGGTTCCAGAAAGCGAGTTAAAATTAGCTTGGATGATTCCGTGATCCAAGGTCCTGGAGTGATCCAAACATTGCCATATCATGTCCTTTTGGCCATCTTTATGCACATTGCCCAGCCGCCTATTGCTGAACTAACCAACACAGGCACAGCATTGAGATCACCATATGCTGGACCTCTTATTGGGATCTCCCTATTATGCCGAGCCTTTCACGAACCGGCTCTCTCTGCGCTTTACTACAGTCCTCCAGTGACATATTCTGTCAAGGCCCATGGTCTCTTGAGCCTGCTTCAAAGCCCACGGGATTCACAAAGTATCAATTATGCAGGAAAAATCAAAGAACTTCATCTCGATGCAGAGAGCATTTTGTTTCTCAAGGGCGGAGCCCGGGGATATTTCGACCTGGCCGAGTTGCTTCAAAAAACCCCGCTTGTTCACACCTTACGGCTCTATCACCATTCGGATGCGATTTTTGGGCTACCAGATTGGGAGCTTTCAATTTCCAAGTGGGTCTACACGGAAAGAATATTCACCGCCATTGATGCGAGTGGGCTTCGCCTTCGAAAATGGGAGTGGAACGGTCGGTTCTTTGACTCGAAACAAATTATGCCTTTCATGCTCCGTCAGAACGCACAAGCCTCTTTTCAGAGTTTGAAAGATGTTCGTCTGGTTCATATCAGAAGCGATGGCCACAATGGGCTCAAGGAAATTGCTTTTGCCAATTCGCTCAAAGTCTTGCCCCAACTTGAACGCCTAGAATTCCACGAATGCAGCGCAGTGAACGAGGTCTTCCTCCAGCTGCTGCCATCGACACTCGTTTCCCTGCATATCTCTAACTGCGACCGCATTTACTCTGAGATACTTGGAAATTATTTGGAGTCCCATGGCAACAATATTCGGGAGTTGATTCTTTGTCACAACCGACATCTCAACATGGCCTTTGTAGTCAATCTTGGCAAATATTGCCCGAACCTGGAAAGGTTTAAGATGGATATTTCCATGTACGACACGTCTAACTATCATAATATCGAACCTCATTTCGACGAATTGCTGCCCAGTGGACAGGCTCCCACGTGGCCAAAGAAGTTGCAAGTCGTTGAATTGTTCAATCTTCGGCGCTTAGATGAACCACAAGCGGAGCTATTCTTCCAATCTCTGGTTGACGCAGCTGGGGATCTTCTCGATCTGCGGCACTTGAAGATTGGTGCCATTGTCAATATTGAATGGCGCCGCCGTGCTGAATTTCGTGAACGATGGATTCCCTATCTAGCACACATTTTCTTAAGAAATAGCAATATGAAATCCCTTCAAAATCGACTATTGCCTTCTACTGAGTCGAACCCGGCCGCTAGCACTGACATTCAAACTTTCCCAAAACACGAGCGCAGACGCCAGAGTACACGACTAGCAAATATCCACCAGATTACGCCAAGTCAAAAACTTATCCCTAGCTCGGACTCAGGGTGGATGAGCGGCACCGACTCGCCGTTGAAATGGAACAAGCAGTCTCATCACAATGAACATGTGCATGGAATGTGCAATGTTGTCTCTGTGCGGATCGACAATCAGCGACCCAACGACGTGCAATTCCATGAAGCTGACTTCCTTGACGATGAAGCCAGTGATGATAGTGAATGGGATGGAGAAGACCTTGACATAGAGGACAACCCTGCATGGTAGTGTCTCCCAATCATCCAGTCGCCAGATGTATAACATTCCTCGTTTTATGACTCATATCACAAGCAGGATATATGTTTAGGGGACCGTTTGAATTTTCCGTTTCGTTTCGCCTTCAGTTATTTGAGGGTATTTGGTGTTGGGCCCCAGGTGCAATATGGTCGAACAATATGGTTTTTGGTTGGATGGAGGCGCTGTTTTTCCTTTCACGGACTGGGGAATTCTGATTTCTCAATTATACCCCATCTTTAGTTATTGGAGCTGGAACCACAGCGAAATATCACATTATATGATCAGTATTTATAGTCTCGACAAGAAAGGTTAAATAGCTACTAAGTGATGATCGCCAAGCCCGGAACAGCCCCACAGGATTAGCCTCACGCATCTTGGGCAGCATATCACATCCCCTTCACTCGGGACGCTTTGAGTACTCCCACTCCCTTACATCTATCTCTTTTCTCTTTAAAATGCCGCAGGAGGCTCCAGCAGACACGGCAGGCCCGTCTTCTCCGCCACCCCGATTACCTGAGGGATGGTAAGCTAACTCTAACTCTTATCTGCCCCTCCCCCACTATACCAACATATTTCCAGGCTTGCTCAATGGGAAGGTGTCCAGCGCAAATGGTACTTCGTGCAGAGAACAACGGGCAAGTCGCAATGGGAAATACCAACTGAGCCCATCCTCCTCACCCCTTCTACAACCCCGACGATTATCGGAACCGGTCCCTCCCAACTACCCCCTTCGCGACCATCAACAAATAGCTATAATATGACAGGAGTGAGCCATACGCTAGCCGAGCGGATTGAATCCGCTGCAGATAGTGCGAGAATTTCCGTAGGGAATTATGCTCATTATTTCTGCAAAAAACATTGTCAGAGTGGCACTGATGGTGCAATAGAGCTCCGTTGACGCCCAACTTAATGGAGCTGATAGACAATCACTCCACGAATCTTTGCGGATGATGACAGAATGGCCGACTCATACGTACGATCAAAACGTTGCCTCCGGCGACAGTGCGTCTGGACTAGTACATCTATCCTCATCGATGAGAAGACTGCGGTACGAGTTGCTGACCCTGTACTAGGGACTTCATCCGCACGCAAATCCCGATCCTATGTCCTTTTATCCGGCACAGGCCTATTCCCGTCAGATGATGGGACAGCTACCGACAAGGACAAATACCTTGGGGCGCGTTTGGGGTGATACCATGACTTCTTCAGCCACACATTCGATTGAATACAACGCAGGATATAACCACGACTCTTACCAGGCCTTTGGCTCAGGCTCTCAGCCATCACAGCCTGAATGGCGAACTGGACAGAACACAGGTCTACCACATGCCCCGCCTCAGACGAGTGTGGAAAATTTTGGTTCGTCAAATCAGCCTCATGCATTTTATGGTTCCTACGGTGCCCCGCAAAAAACCGAACATTCTCCGGGTTATTTTGCTTCGCAATCATCGCAACCATCGAATGTTTCGCTTCCTGGGCCTAACTTCAGCACCAACCATCAGGGATTGCCGACAACACGCGACTCTTCCTCAGCTCATTCGCATACCGATATTGACCAGATGCAGTCCTCTCCATGCCACTCCATGACACAATCACGCCCCTATCAAATCACTACATTTCAGCAGCAGGGATCTCATCTCCAAGGATCTCTTGGACAGCCCCCTCCGCATGGATATCTACCGCATTCATCCAATTCGATGCATTACCATAATGAGAATATAGCACACACCCAGCATGGATCAAATTCATCAGTGCACCATAATGGTCCGGGAGCCCAGCTTGACTCTCCTTGCTACCAAGATTCTGGTTACAATTCCAGGGCTCATCATTACTTGCCATATCAGCCACATGGCACTCAACCTGGTGAAGCTACAGCACAGAATGCAGCTCGGCAACCTGATTACAACGATTCTCGTGTCCAGAGACAATGGGGAAGCGCAGATCCCAGGCTATCACGAACCTCAGCTCCTGATTCTCGATTCACCAATGGGTTGTAGGCCTTGTTCATGATACCAACGAATACTCGTGTATCAAGGCCATGAAGTCTTCAGCAAAGGGATTCAGGTTCACGAGCAACCACACGATTATGTTTGCTTTATGGCTTAGTCAGCGATATTGTATAGGATCTAATGTTAGAGATTATTTCTTTTGTCTTTTTTATTTACGTAAAAGCGTTGAGATTACTTGAATTTGCAAATTCAGCCATTCCAGAGCGTTCTTTAGTATAAAGAATTTGTCGGCAAATATATTCATGAACATCCTCGGATCAGGAATATACAAATACTAGGAACATTTCACACTCTACATTACCAAGGTGTATTATCGGTGTTGTCTCACGCATTCATATTCCGCGCTCTTTGAATAAGATAGTGAATTAAGGAGAAAGACAATAATTCAAATCCACGATAGTTCATATTCTTAATTATTTGAGAGATGGCTGTCATTCAAGAAGGCGCAAAGCTACCTAAGTTTGAGAAAAAGAATCATATAAGCCATTGATCTTGACTGCCCGCTCATTTAATTGAATCCCACAAGATATTTTCTTTTTCATACACCTTCGATGACTTTATGCAGTCTGGAAATCATCTATCTCGATGACTATCTCAGGCTTGACCTTCCTTTCCACAGGTGGGGTATTGGTCTTCATATTTGGAGGGGTCACCTCTTTGGAGGCCACTGACTGTTCCCAGTTCTTCACATGGCTATTGCTGAAGACTGGATGCTGAAAGCCATAATTATCCATACCGTCATGCGGGATACGGAATGGCGAGTAAAAAGGTCCAAACGGTGTTGAACTCGACGACGGCATGGATGGAGGTATAGAAGGATTCATTGAATGCGACACATCATGTGGATAGTGCATCTGCGGTAGATAGGCAGGACAGTTCACAGATATGACCTGAGGCCATGAATCTGAGTCTGAACTCTCAGCAAAAGCTTGGGTGTCAGGATTTGTCTGGCTAGGCTCCCTTTTGACAAGTTTGGGAGAGAATTCAGTCTTGAGTGTCTTCATCTTCACGGGTTCCCCATACTGAGTCAAATGGGATTGGTTCAAATGGTAGCCAGGCTCTATCTCCACGGGTACTCCAGACTGCGTCAGATGAGGAGGTTGATAATAGCCGGAGTGAGGATATTTGGAGTCAAAAGACTCCTCAATCTTCACGGCGAATCCAGGCTGGAATTGAAGATGGGCTGAGGATGATGGGTACAAATTGTTCATTCCTAAACTTGGATCGCCCTTTTGCTGCTTCTTGGCGCTTTTCTTCTTGGTCTTGTGTGCCGAGGGCTCCATCTGGTTTCGAAAACGAGAGTATCTCATCCGTGCAGCATGACCATTGGAGATTTCGAGATCTGAGGCAACCTTGTTCCAGTCAATCTATTATCGAATATGAGTGAGTCAGCCATATGATCAGTGAGGAGAATTTACCCGTCTCACACTCTTAAGGTCCAGCTGCTTGAGTATCGCATAGAGGAACTTGGGCGTTGGGCCATCTGTGTCCAAGACTTTGCTTCGTTGACCCATGGTTGAAGTTTGAGGCTGAAGTACCTAACTAGAGCCTGCTAGGTGATGGGGATGAGGGTGAAGCCAAATTGATGAGTTTACAGTGATGGGCTCACTTAACTGCACAAGGAGAGCCCATATATAGCTGATGGATTGGCATTATTAATTGGTACCTAGGTGTGTTTTACCTATGATGTATAGTCATCCTTTCATGAACTTTTCCTATTGGAATCTTGCAAATCTCCTATCTAGATGCTACTTCGTATTTTAAGTGGTGGACTGCAGTGTGCAAGGTTGGTTGCCTATACAAAAGATGACATTGTATCATACTTGACAACACAGTATTGAACGTTTAATAATAGGGTTCTCCATTATCATCTTCCTAAGAAATATTGACTGTACCTTTGTATTGGAAACAATAAAGCCTAAGTAGTTTCCACTGAGATGGAGATGTCAAATGAAAGCTCTATGACAACTCTAACCATGCCACGTAGGCGTCCGGCCTGCAACAATCAGAGCCATTAGAACAAACACTCATCTACTCCTGAGTTAAGGAAACTACTTTGATTTCCAGTTTGATGGCTCTTTAATCTAATTAGTCAAATAATTAAATAATTAAATATAAATGACCATTTATTTATTTATTAACAAACTAGTTAACTAGAAAAGGACATCATGACTAATCGGAGATAGATTAGTCAGGTCCAATCGGTGTATTTTCAGCCTATCGAGCTCACTATCTACATACTCCGTACGCATTTCAATCAAAGCCTTTTCTAAGACTCAATGATTAAAGAGTTCAAGGCTACCTTTGAAGCTGGAACTACAATAATCATACGATCAAAATGTCTTTGGTGGCTATAGGTGCTTGCTATGTGGACACCATTCTCACGTATGTCCCTCACCACGGTGGTTTGGCGGCCTCGGTGTTAACTCATGTGTTTTCAGCACACCACATTATCCTAGCGAGGATGACAAGCAAAGAGCCTCTAATGTGACTCGCCGAAGGGGTGGCAACTGCCCCAACACTTTAGAAGTTCTCCAACAATTGACAAATGAAGAACTGGAATTGAATCTGATAACAGTTTTACCGAAGAGATCATCGGTTGCATCACAACAGATTATTTCCGAACTTGAGCCAGATATCCATCTCGATCACTGTATTTTCAGGGAGCAATTCGAGGAGCCGGCCTCGTGTTATATTATCAAAAGCCTATCAACCGGCAGCAGAACCATTGTGACTTACAATGAGCTTCCGGACATGACTGTGGCGGAGTTTACCCAGGCATTTAATGACTTTTCTTGTGAGAAAACATGGTTTCATTTCGAGGTATGCTAGATGTTGATTCCCATCACTATGAATTCAGTGATCGTTGGAATCATATGCTTATGCCATTTTAGGGTCGAACACCGGACGTAACTCTTGGCTGTATTCAATACGTCCGACAGCGGTTTCCTCTTGCCCGTGTGAGTGTGGAAGTGGAAAGGCCAGGTCGACCGGGACTTCCTCAACTTGCACAAGAAGCAGACGTGGTGTTTTACTCCAAGGCGTGGGCACAGGTAAGATAAGCAATAATGAATATTGTCTTACCATTGTTGATGCCTCAAATAGAGCTGTGGATATACATCGACAGAGGAGTTCTTGCGACAGCAATCAGTAGAAACCCAAGGCCCGTGAGTATGAAAAATTTCAAGAGAGAAAATTTGAAACAAGCTCATTCTTCCAAAACAAAAAATATTAGATCATTGCTGTGCTGTACCTGGGGCGAAGACGGAGCAGGTGCCTTGATGACAGACAAGGAACGTTTTACCCACGTGGCTGCTCAAACTACAGAGAACTTTCGTGTGGTGGAGTAAGTCAAGAAAGTATTTTCAGCCTTTGAACGATATTAAACTGACATTAAGTAGCCCAATCGGTGCTGGCGATACGTTCATTGCTGGAATGCTGTATGCCTTGAACTGCAAACCCCAGTGGGATCTTAGAAGGCAGCTCGAGTTTGCAAATCATATTGCTGGCTTGAAAGTATCTCAGGAAGGATTTTCGGGACTAAACCGGGCATTAGGCTGTTATGATTAAACTACAGCCTCGATGCAAGCTAGAGTCGAGACCCACTTTATCTATCTTACCAACCAATAATATCAATATTTGATAGTCACCACACGTGACACTAGTAATCAGAGGCGGTAGGTAACAAAAAATATTCTGCCAGCAACTTTTCTCGGCACTGAGAAGCTTCTGCATTAATTCCATTTCAGTTAAAACAACTGAAAATTTTACACAATGGCGGCGGTTTACAAGACAGTTTCTAAGAAACAGGCCCGACAAGAGGCTCTGGACTCCGATGACGAGATGGATGTTGAGATGCAGGAGCTCTTAAACGATGCGGACGACACCACCGACAGCGAAGAGGAGGAAGAACTTGAACAGGAGGATCGTGTGGCTGCGGCCAAGAAGCTACTCGCTCAGGGTTTCATGCCCAAAACACGTGTGCTCATTCTGACCTCGCGAGGTGTATCACACCGGTAAGACTATCAGATTCAAGCAGTCGACATCGGTGTAAATTATCATTTTTCTGACGGCAATTTGCGCCCCTCCAGTCACCGACACCTTATGGCAGACCTTTGCGCACTCCTTCCCCATACTCACAAAGAGACAAAGCTTGATACCAAGAAGAAGACTGCTGGATATAACCTCTTGCTGAACTCTCTCGCCGACCTGCACTCCTGCAACATGATTTTCTTCCTCGAGGCCCGTAAAAACGGACAAGATCTCTACCTCTGGCTCTCACGCCCGCCCAACGGCCCTACTATTAAGTTCCACCTTAATAATTTGCACACCATGGCCGAGCTTGGCGCAGGCTTTGCGGGTAACTGCCTGAAGGGCGGCAGAGGAGTGGTAGTTTTCGATAAGTCATTCGATGAGCAGGGCCCCGATATGAGTGCCCCCGGTACTGAATACCGCGGTTTGATCCGAGAGATGCTCCGTGGTATTTTCTGTGTTCCCAAGCGCGGTGTCAAGGGTATGAAGCCTTTTGTCGACCGCGTTATCGGTATTTTCGGCGTTGATGGAAAGATCTGGATTCGCGTCTACGAGATTCGTGAGTCTGAGGCTGGAGGTAAGAAGGACGACACTGTCAAGCCAGTTCCTAAGAACAAAGACTCAGCTCTGCCCGAGGTGTCCCTGGTCGAGATCGGCCCCCGCTTCGTTCTTACTCCCATTGTTATCCTTGAGGGCAGTTTCGGTGGCCCCGTGATCTACGAGAACAAGGAATATGTTAGCCCTAACCAGGTCCGTCGTGAGGTCCGCATGGGCAAGGCTGGCCGTTACTCTGCTCGTCGGGACGTGCAGACAGACCGTGAGGCCAAGCGGACGCAGTTGGGTCTTTCTGATAACTCCTCGCGGAAACCGGATGCTTTGGAAACTCGAAAACTATTCGCATAGGGGCTTGGTGTGTTTTGACATTGCAAATTGTATCGACCCACTCGTGTGATGTTTCGACAGCATGTACATTTGAGGCGACGATATCACGGGTCTGCTATGGCGTCAAGGCAAATTTCTCGTTATTGTTGGTTAATATAAAAAGTATCTTCACATGTTTCATATCTTGGTGTAGTTTGCACTATTCCTATTCCACTATCTAAGCCTTTCCCAGATGGTTCTAGAACATTTGAACGAACCTTGGAAGTAACCTTGGGAGTATACATAAACCATGAAACCCTCATGGCAACGCGCAGCTCCACTTTTATTTGTTGAACGCATATTCTATTACCTTATTTTGCTTTAACCTCACTCTCACTCTCACTCTCACGTTTTCTGTTCATACCGCTCATCTAGAGAAGTCCGTTGGATCCATATAATAGCTAGGTATGGTGGAGCTTTAGGTGGAGAAGCATGCTACGGCGTTACTATGCAAGAAAGGTGAGTCGAGCAAGAGGCAAACAAGAGGCAAGATTAAAACCAAAGAAGATATTTGGGAAGTATTGAATGTAATGATTTCCCGAAAAGACTTCATACCAAACCCAACCAGAGTGACGCCCACCATACTCATTGCACCAACGAATTGAGAACATATCGGAATAACAGGTCCCGGAGGTAAAGTCAATTTCAGTGGGACGCAAGAAAAAAAATGAATTAGAGAAGCGGAGAAGAAAGAAAGAAAAACGGAGGTCCGATTATCGAGAGCGATAGCCCGGGTAAAACACCCATTTCCCCCGTGCTCTCTACCAGATCCTGCCTGTGTATCGTCTCCATATCAAATTAACTAACTCGCAGATCATAACCACCCCCCAATATCTTATCGTAAAAGTAAGAGTGGTTTTTATTGGGGGGTTCATCCCGAATAATCTAGCAGCAGCCCTGCTTCTGCTCATTGTCCTGTGGAGTAAACTCGATCACTGGACGGCGGTCACCAGGCTGATTCTGGCCTGACTCACCGGAGTCAAGGGCCTTGCTCGAGACAATGCGGTAAATTTCTATACTTGATTAGCGATACCAATATTTATGGCTGTTGTTGTCGACGACCAACCTGTGAGGATGTTTTGGAAGGAGAGTTCGACGTTACTAGCGTCGAGGGCGGATGTTTCAATAAAGGACAGGTTGTTCTCGCCTATTGAATATTAGCATTGTCATTTCAAGCTTGAGATTCCTCAGGAACAGGGACCTACTGGCAAACTGCTTGGCTTCCTCGGTGGGGACCGCACGTAGGTGCCGCAAATCACTCTTGTTACCGACCAGCATGATCACAATATTCGAGTCGGCATGGTCTCGCAACTCCTTCAGCCACCGGTTGACATTGTCGTAGGTCTGGTGCTTGCTGATATCATAGACAAGAAGGGCACCGACAGCGCCACGGTAGTAAGCAGAGGTAATTGCACGGTAACGCTCCTGGCCAGCAGTATCCCAGATCTGTGCTTTGATGGTCTTCGAGTCGACGGAAATGGAACGAGTCGCGAACTCCACACCGATAGTCGACTTGGAGTCGAGGTTGAACTCGTTACGGGTGAAGCGACTGAGCAAATTGGATTTACCAACACCGGAGTCTCCGATCAAGACCACTGGTTTTTTGGTTTTTATTAGTATTGCCGAGGACCTGGAGGGGCATGTTGAAGAACTGAGGGGCGGCACGAGGCGACATTACCTTTGAAGAGGAACTGGGGCAACCGTTAGCACCAAACCTAAACATATATAACAGGATTAGACTCACATCATATTCATCGTTGGCCATTTTGAGGTATTTGTGAAAGAAAGTGAAATGAGAAAAAGGGGTGGGGAGGGAAGGAAAACAAATAATGTAGAGGTGCTGATAGGGAGAGAGTGATGCCTCCCCAAGTGGAGTGCCTCCTTAAAGGATCACGTGATGATTTGTTTGCCGCTCGGCACTCATTATTATACGTATGCAGCTACTTTCTTAGTGGCTTTGTTGATATTATTGAATCCTACTGTTGAATGAATATTCCCTTTTCATATATAGTGGTCCATTGACGTGGGATTCTTCAATATTTGTATACATGCTAACTAATTCAAATCACTCGATTATATAATTCGATTATATAATTTATATGTGTACTGGCGTTTTGAGGTTTTTCTATCACATGCATTTGGGCAGTCTTTCACCTTTAACACACTCACCTACTTGCTTTACATCTTGATTTGTTGACACTTTTCCATCAACCCAGCCTGAGACTTTGAGCAATCTCAGTGACTCGGCACTTCAAGCAACTAAGTAGGTTGTCATGGACGACATTGAGATGCCGGATGCTGATGACAGCAATGATTCAGATGTCGATTCCCTGGCATCGACAGCTCCAAGTGAACAGTGTTCAGCATATGAGGTTGAATCAATCCTTGCAGAGCGCAGGGATGAAGATGGCCCTGAGTACCTTGTGAAATGGGCTGGCTATAATATTAATCGCTCAACCTGGGAACCGTTTGACAGTTTTGACTCAGAGGAGACATTGCGGGACTGGAACAAGAGAAAGTCCAATATCCAAAAAGGAACAGAAGCCGCCTTTGATGTTGCCCTCTTTGAAAGACAACAAGATGAAGAGGAAGCTCGCAAGGAAGAGCGGCGCAAAGCTCGACTGGCAAGACGCAACAAGGCTGCGAAACGCAATCGTGGTCATACTCCGGAAGATTCTGACAATCGTCCTATGCTGGAAGATCCCCATCCAGAGAGTCTCCCCTCAGCAATGATAACTATTTCCTCCCCAAAGCTCAATAATAGTCCTGCATTACTTCTGGACTTTCATCACGAGAGGGAGCTTTCAGTGATGTCCACATCCTCGACATTGTTTGTACAACAAGAGCCAACCCAAAATAAGAATGTATCCTCATCCTTACTTGGGAATACATCAGGTTCTGCACCTCGGCCCCCTTTACTGTCTGCAATCCCAGAATCGCTCCAGAAGAAGGTTACATCCTCCCTACGCGACAACAAATCAGGTTCAGGGTCTCGGCCTCCCTCATCAAATGAGCCTTCGACATTGAATCGTCGGCAAAGCACTAGTGTTGGACCCAAAGAGCAGCAAACTTTATCAACGAGAAAGCCAACTATTGCTACAGGTAGCCACCTTCCACGAAATGGTGATGCTTCGCAAGATAAAACATCGGAACCAGTTGGGAAACAGGCTCCAGTGCCTTCAGTGCTTGCATTGCCTGCAGTAACAGCCGTGACTTTCTCTGGCTTTGGCATCGGTCGGCCTATTATTGCTCCGAGAGGCAAGACAGCTCGTCGTGGCAGGTTTCCGGTACGGCAAGTACACGAGGTGAACCGAGTGCCTGATCCTTCTGCTCTCTCCATCATGCGGCCAGGTGAATTCTCTTCTCGTACCGGGCGTAATTTTGAAACTACGGTTTCATCGCATGCAGCTTTGAAGCAGTATCGAACGGACAATCCATCCATTTCTCCACCGTCCATTTCACCTGCAAGCGCTGCACCCTCGGTGAAAAGTGGCCCATATCGTCCCGAACCCCCCGTAAATGAACCTAGACTGGCTTCATGCAAGTTGCCACCTGCTTTGCCAATGAGAGGTTCTACATATCGTCCCAAGAATGAGCGTGTCTTGGCTTCACGAAGATCTCTAGCTGGTCCGCCAAGAGGAGACAGACAACAATGGGATTTGAGACGTGAGACAGACTTTACTTCGCCTTTAGAGACCTATAGCCGTCAAGACTATTTATATAGGACACGGGGGCTACGGGGACCTGGTAGTTCAGATGAGGTCTCAGTACCTACCATAAAATGCCGTTTTTCTTCTAACCGAAGCGAAATCATGGTCCGTGTGTTTTTAGGCCCTGAAAAGACCGATTGTGGTCCTATGCGAGTGTATGGAACACCACTTGCGGTTTACGAACCGCTTTCCAAGCTCAAATCGGGCCCAACGACTGAAATGTGGTTCAAGGAAGAGATGACTGCGGGAGATTTTGCTTTCTTTCAAGACAGTCGGGTAAGTAAACTTTTATCTAAAGCTGATTTTCCTATTAACACGACTTCTAGTCAATCAATCACAGACCTCTGTGCCACGCTTGGTTGGAAGGGTTGAAAGATGCCAATGCACCCTTATTCCGTAAGATGGATTCTCTACGGAATAACGGCCGTGTTGCAATTTTCCGGTTAGGCAATAACTCACAAATTTGGATGGCCTATTCGCCGAATTCCGAGGACGTTAACCGAATCATCAACCCGCACTCAACCGACCATCCAACTGGCCCTGTCAGCTTCACGGTTCTTGGTATATCTCCACAGCTTTCACAGATATTATGTGGGAATTTAAGCGAACCGTTACCCGCGGTCAACGCTAGACATTCACTGACCGAAGTTCCAGGCGTCCCTAGTGCATCTTCGGATCCCAGACGCCAAATTCTGGAACACCACGGAATATCGGACAGCCGTGTTGGAACAGGGAGTACTGAGGCCCCAGCGGTCCCAATCGAATCTTTAAGTGCCCCCCGGCGCCAAATTCTGGAGTTTCAAGGAGAATCCAACGACAGTGCCGGACAAGGAAGACTTGAAGAATTGAGCAGTATGGATATGGATATTTCTCCAACCGATGCGGCTCCAGCGACCATCGACAGTATTCATAATACATCTGCTAAAACCAGGGCAGCGTTCTTTGAGGGAAAGGGCATTTCCATCGATACATTGGCCCTCTCCAAAGATGGCAAGCCTGTGGGGGCTTTCTACTTACACTTCCCTGCGCACGCAGACCAGGAGCTCTCTTTGATCGAGGCTTGGCTCCAAGACCATAAAATGAAATTCTGGTCGAGTCGTAGTTATCCAGGGGACTGGGATTTTCTCGTTAATAACATCAGGCGTGGAGCAGTCATTGTAAGCACATCCCCATATTTTATCTTGTGCAATATGCTGATTTTAAGTTGCAGTTTCATGAAGATTATATTGAGATTGAAACTCTTAGACCCAGGATCCGAAACCTCCTGACAGCGGAATGGAACTTCTGGACTATCAACCTTTCGAAAAGCATTTGCTTTATTGATCAAACATTACACCCACAGGACAGGCATTTTCAGGCGATATTCCCCTGGGGCACTGCTATTCTAGTGACCGAGGTCGTCTTCAAGGAAATTTCACAGATGGCTAAGATAATCACTTGGCTCATGCTGCACGACCCATATGACCCAAAGCTTGGTCCTCTCCACTTGTTCCTCCCACCCAATGCTAAAGAAATAGTCAAAGCTGCTCAGGATAAGTCTGACCTCACTTTTGATTATGTCGAGTAAGTTTGCCACATTTAATTTCCGTGATAACTCTTATTCTAACAATTCACATTAGCCTGGGGATTGTCAGCTTGGCATGTGAGCAATCACACCATGGAGAGGGCATAGCCATGCACCACCTCCGCAATACGATTGACACGATCGATAGGAACTGCATTGATAATTCCGTTTCTGGGAAGGAAGACTCAAGTGTTCCTTTGGATGAGCAAAAAGATCGACTAGTCGAAGCGTTCGCAGGGTTGACTCTTTATTATAAAACACGGATTCGGAAGTCGTTTATTATCGCTGATGCCGGAGAAGAAAGGACAGGAATACGGCCGAAATGGGGTCATGTAAGGGTGCTTGGCTACGACGAGTTTTTCAGAGGATTTCTGGAGACGGAAGACTCTAAGATCAGAAAATATATCGCTAGAAAGGTACATGAGTGTGTCGATGAATGGCACTCACAGCACCCAAAGCTTACACATTTTAGTACCAAAAATGTCTGCCGCCCCCTCCACGAGAAGAAACTCCTCGAGCCGCCCCACGAATAGCTCCAGCCGCAGCATCGAAACTACCACCAGCAGCAGCGACCGCAAACCTCCCTTCTGTTACTTCAAACCCCGCACCAACATTGTCAGCCTGGACAGCAGTGAACTCTTCCTGGACACCTATGAATCCTCGAGGCTCAAATGGCTCTTAGAATTCTTCTCTTGAAAAGCCCAATATCTACAATCATCCATCTCTCGATGAATGGTTGTTGTATCTTTAATTTATAATTTTGAGAATGAGCGATGTTGATACGAATAGTTCATGAAATGTTTCCGTAACTTTAGAAATGTAGTTCAGTGGTCTCCAGAGAGACCAAAGATCCTGAACAGACTCAATCCAAAACAAGAGCCGGAAAATATTGAGATGGATAATTATTCCGGGTATGTCACGAGCCATACGGCCATAAACAATGAATAATTTAAATGTGTCCAAGCTATCGCTATCCAATCGCTTTCTTCCGATATTCCTGGAAGTTCGATGCTTGCTCGCGGCGCGTTTTCTCCTCCCACTCGCTTTCTTCCGCAGATATCATAGCATGAAACTTACCCCCCTGACCGCGGGCGAGGTAAATCGGTTTCTCTTCACGGGCAGCCACCGCGTCAGTCACCAAAACGAATTTGACGCTCGAGCCAGGTGCTTCAAACATTGCGTCGCTGAGAATAGTTTCCATCTCCGTGCGTAGAGCACGTGCACCGGTACCCATCTTGAACGCATTTACAGCAATCTTATGTAACGCCGGTGTGGTAAATCGTAATTCAATTCCCGAGAGTGAGAAGAGAGCTGTGTATTGTGCAACGAGGGAGTTTCGGGGTTCGGCTAGGATACGCAGAAGTAGAGGTTGTGTTAGGGTTGCTAGGGCAGCTGTTACGGGGATCCTGCCAATAAGCTCAGGGATGAATCCGTACGTTTGTAGATCTGCTGGGGTTAGTAGGTCGAGTGCGTTGAAGTAGGTTGGCTCGTTGCCTGGGCCTGTGGGAGATGCAGAGGTGAAGAAGGGAAGATGTTTCTTGTAGAGTGTCTCTTCTTCGGATCCTGGAAGGATTGGCTGAGGCTCAGTCTGTAGGCCATTTGACCCGTCACCTGAACCCGAAGATGCTCGGACGGGTTGGCCGAACCCGATAGAGCCACGTGATATCCGGTCCATGACGACTTTATCTAGGCCGACAAAGGCACCCGATAACACGAACAAGATGTTGTCTGTACGCACATTGTACACCTCGCCCTTGGAAGGACTACCATTCTGGGGTTGAAATGGTGTATTTCCCAGTGGGCTGTTAGAGGGATAGCTATTTGGAGGGCTGCTTGCCCTGGGATTCTTTTCAGGTTTAGCCTGGACTTGAATCGTGGTACCTTCGATGATCTTCAGTAGTGCCTGTTGAACTCCCTCACCACCAACATCCTTGCCATGGGTGATTCTGGATGCTGCGATCTTGTCTACTTCATCCAGAACGATTATCCCACGCTCCGCTTGCTCCACATTGTAATTTGCAGCGACTAAAAGCCTGTGGACACATGTTTCAGCGTCCTCACCAATATAACCCGCTTGTGTAAATGGCGTGCAATCGGATATGCTGAATGGTACTGAGAGAACGCTAGCGAGACTCTTCGCCATCAAGGTCTTTCCAACACCAGACGGACCCAATACCAATATATTGGATTTCTCTAACTGCAGCGGCGTTGTGTCTTCAAGCGCAGCTTGATCAAATGGATGTGTGACTCGGAATTTAGCGGTAGCTGAATATCCAGTAATATGTTGCTGACCAGGAAACTCATCTCCAAAGTAATAAGTTAGTGACATCTATCTCGAACTTAAAGCCAAATAATATCTACCTTCCAAGGGGTGGCCTTCGAGCGATTCCCTCCGCTGGCGTTTAGCCAGGAGCTCTTCAGCCTCCTCTTCACGTCTTTGTACCTCCTGAGCCCTCTGATAATGATTGTATATCGCCACACTCAATACCTTCTTTGCGCGATCCTGCCCCACCACATACTGATCAAGATACTGTTTTAGCACCTTCGGCGTAATGCGTTGTGCGCCGAATGCAGGTGTTGAACCGAGTGGACCGGAAGTTGGAAGTCCAGTCTCATAGATACCGGTAAACGGTTGACCTGAGAAGTCCGATCTTTTAAACTGGGACGAAGTTGGGAAGCTGTTTGATGCGGAGAGCTGGCGTGCTCGGTTGAACGATAAGCTTGGCCGACGTCGGATAGCATCGCGATGCGACCAGGCAAGCGGGGACTGACGAAAATGCCGCAGTATCATCGCCTGGGAGGTATTCGACTAAGTATGCACAGAAGCAGCTTTGGAGACCTGATAAACTAGGACTGTGAAAGAGTATAATAGAAATTGGATAGGAAGAGCTTCCCCGCACAGCTCCGCTTATCAGCTGAGTCATCAAGCCGACATCTGGGGGCCTTCAGAACTTAAACTTGTTATTGATAGAACAAGTTAATCTATTCTACAACCTTGAAAACCTACACAATGACTTGGCTCATTCGAAACATCTTGCCATGAATTAATTGATACTTAGGTTTGCTAGGTGTATTTCTGATCTGAGTACGCATTTGACTACGAAGTCAGAAGGAAGTTGTTTAGGATGCGACGACTAAGAGTCACTAAAAGGAGTCGTTTTTTGATTGACGATTGACAAGAGCTGAGATCCTGCAAAGTGTCCTTCAATTGGGAGCTTACCCTGACAGTTCGGTAAGGTTTCACTATTGCAGATAAGAGATATGTAGCATCATTCGATGACTGATCCAAAAATCTAGCGTTTAGCTGTCGGGGTTCCTGCCCCGTTCATAAACTGCAGATCGCCATGATCGTCTCGTATGATAGGAAACCATGTGTGTTCTTTTTTGAGGGATCTGAGGGGCATATCAAATGTTAATCGCCCATGAGGAGCTCTGATTGTGATTTTCTCATTTGTTATCCTTGAAGACCGGCTGCTGCTCCATCGTCTGGGAGATGAAGCTGCGCAAGGCAGACCAACGACTCGATGTGGAGTTGGCTTGGAAAGGTTCTTGATTATCTCGTCCGGTTGCAGATTGTTGGAGACCTGACATTTGGGCCATGTTCATCGCGAATCGGTCCCGCTCCACCTTTTCCAATTTTTCACGACGCTTCGCAGCACCTGGCTTGTGACGAAGGGTCTTTTGCTTGATAACGTTGACCTGACTAGTTGTACCGTGGGAGCTCTCGGCAGCCTCGGGAAGGGAATCGGCCAGTGATTCGAGGTTTGCGACCAGCTTATTTGAGGGACGACGGCGCTTCGGAGCTTTGGCTGAGCTTTTGGCGATCTTTGACATCAGAGTCGCATGCTTGATTGTGCGCTTGTCCCTTTTGCTGGTACGGAACTCATCGCCAAATGGATGAGCCGATCTTTCAGTAGTTTTGGTCTTTGCCATGACGTTAACGAGAAGAGTAAAGAAAAGGTGAAGAGAAGCGGAATGGCATAAAACAAAACCCAAAATTTACCGGATCTCGGCCCCACAATTCTCCTCTTCAACAGACGGCAGAAAGCAGTTCGTACTAAAAGATCTTGCATAATTTCTTTATCTCAGGATCTCTACTAGCCTTTTCCCCCGCGTTGTGTTGAAACCCATTACCCCGACCTCAACAGAATAATATACAGTGGATGTCCTTCCCAACCTCTTATCGTTCTTGTTTTAAACTCGGTCCCACCGTTCCTCTATCTTCACCTTTGGCCACTCGATATCTGTCATCTTCCCGCTTGTTTAAATCCCCTTTCCCTCCCATCCAACCTCATAGATCCTTCAAGTCTCCATCACTTTCCAACATGGCATCTCTTGGCGCATATCAGCGTAAGCACAAGATAACTGTGGTGGGCTCCGGTAACTGGTACGCAGTCTACTGCAAGTCCACGTGTTCGAGAAATAATACTGACAGTTTGTTTTTACTATTATTATAGGGGAACTGCTATCGCAAAAATCGTCGCCGAAAATGCTGCCAGCAACCCAGACATCTTTCAGGAGAAAGTAGAGATGTGGGTGTTTGAGGAAACTGTTGAGATCGCGAAGGACTCTCCACACTACAACCCCGCCAACGCGGGGCCCCAGAAACTCACCGAGGTGATAAATCGCTCCCATGAGAACGTCAAGTATCTGCCAGGAATTCCTCTACCGGCCAACATTCACGCGAACCCGTCCATCGTGGATGCCGTCAAGGATAGCACTATTCTTGTTTTCAACCTCCCTCACCAGTTCATCATCAACACATGTAACCAGATCAAGGGCAAGATCCTACCCTACGCACGAGGCATTTCTTGCATCAAGGGTGTCGATGTGACGGAGGAGGGTGTCAACCTCTTCTCAGAGACCATTGGCAAGACTCTGGGCATTTACTGTGGTGCGCTGTCGGGTGCCAACATCGCCAACGAGGTAGCTCTAGAGAAGTGGTCTGAAACAACTGTCGCATATGATCCACCGCGCTTTGATTCCAAAGCACCCACCCCCCAGCGCTCACCGTCCTCTTCCCAAGTCGACCTGGTGCACTTCGAGCACAAGGATGTCTCTGGTCAACTCTCAAAAGTGAAGCTCCAAGCGCTTCCCCTTGAATACCCCCCTGTCGACCATGCTGTCCTCAAGTCTCTCTTCCACCGCCCATACTTCCACGTACGGGTAGTCAACGACGTCGCCGGTGTTTCCATTAGCGGTGCACTGAAAAATGTGGTCGCTGTGGCCGCTGGGTGGGTGGACGGTATGGGTTGGGGTGATAACGCCAAGGCGGCCGTGATGCGTGTCGGCTTGATGGAAATGGTCCGTTTCGGCGACAGGTTCTTCGGAGCAACCATTGACCAGCGCACATTCACCGATGAGAGTGCCGGAGTAGCCGATCTGATTACTAGCTGCAGCGGTGGTCGTAATTTCCGCTGCGCCAAGTACAGCATCGAGCGTAACCAATCTATTGAAGAGGTCGAGAAGACCGAGCTCAACGGTCAGAAACTCCAGGGCACTTTGACTGCGGCTGAGGTCAACAAGTTTTTGAAGAAGCAGGGCATGGAGGAGGAGTTTCCTCTTTTCACTGCTGTTCATCGAATTTTGGAAGGCGGCATGACCGTTGCGGAGATCCCTTCGTACATTGAGCGGTAAACACTACCCCCTTGAGCACTCTTCTCTCGGTATAGTCCTGTTATTAATTACGACGAATTGGATTTCCTTTACAGTCCCCCGGTGCCCCGAACCTCGACTACTGTGGATTATGGCGAAAACGGTGGTATTGTTCGGGTTTCTGCGCGACTCTGAAGGACAGGAGTAATTCTATTTCTTTTTTTGGGTATAGACTGTGAATAGACCAGCGTTTTTTTAATTTCCGATGACTCTCCCGTAGATTTGTGTCGAATGGGCTGTTGTTGAATATTTGTGTACGACGTAACTCACAATTGTCGCACCGTCTCACGAGTTCCTTGAATCGAAGGGGAAAATTTGAATTGAATGGTGTCCTGCAATACGCCACAAACCTTGGAAGCTCTGTGACCTTGGAAAATAAGGCAACATGCAGTTCTAGAAGTAAGAAATCAGGGTCGAGATTGTTCATGAGTAACAAAGTACTCGCCAAGGAACTACTGGGGCCCCGAACCCAATGATGTCACCCTACATGCGGAACCCCCATGAGGGGAAATCTTGCTGTCTTCGTAGCCCCTCTTCCTCCTTTAATCTCTCTTTTAGTTCCAATTCAGTACTTTTCCCTCTTTTAAGACTTCCCCGGTATCTTTGTGCTGGGTAGTTCTTCCTTCCCGGGTACCTCGATTACTACCATAACCCTAACTTCGAGCTCTGTCGACCGCAATGGCAGCTGCTAAGCAGGTTTATCTGCTCCCATTGAAGGACGATGGCTCTCCTGACATTCCAGGGGGCTACATCTATCTTCCACCGGCCACAGGTGCAGGATATATCTTGCGCTTCATTATTGAGGGTACCAGCTCGATCTGCCGGCAAGGGAGCCTGTGGGTGAACATGCCAGAGGAGGGCAGTGCTTTTGACCGACATTCGTTTCGCCAATTCAGGTAAAATTAATCTTTCACTCCAGCTTCAAGCTCGAGTATGTATCAAGTGCTGAACATAAGTAGACTGCAGCCCAACTTTAACCAGAATATCCAACTCGACATCTCAGTCACCAGCGCGGGCTCTTATGCGTACTACACTACTTTCACTCCGCTGCCGCAATTCTCGGTTGAGTCTGTACCAACTCCAGAACCAACCCAGAGCCCTTTGCATTACATAGATGTGTCACCGCAGCTTACTTTGCAGGGGAAGAATCTGCCGCTCAATGCACTGTCGATTTTCTCAATCATATCCAAGTTCATGGGTCAGTATCCCGAAGACTGGGATAAGCATCTGCGTGGAATTGGCCAGCGGAATTATAACATGGTGCACTTCACGCCACTCATGCAGCGTGGCGCATCGAATTCACCCTACAGTATCTTCGACCAGGTAGTATTTGATCCTGCTCTGTTCCCAAATGGAGAAAAAGACGTTGCATCGCTCGTATCACGAATGGAGAAGCAGTACGGGCTCTTGACTCTGACTGATGTCGTGTGGAATCACACTGCTCACAATAGCAAGTGGTTGGAAGAATACCCGGAAGCAGGTTACAGTGTGGAAACCGCCCCTTGGCTAGAATCTGCGCTAGAATTGGACACTGCGTTGTTGCAATTTGGAGATGATCTTGAGAGTCTGGGCCTGCCCACTGAATTCAAAACAGTTAGTGATCTAGAGAAAGTTACTAATAAGTTGCGGGAAAAGGTCATTGATGGAATCAAACTGTGGGAGTTTTACGCCATTGATGTTAAGGCTGATACGAAAAAGATTTTGGACTCGTGGACAGCCGAAAAGATCGACCCGTCGAGCATCCAAGAGACTGATCTGCTTTCTCTCAAGGAGATGTCGCGAACAAAACAAGCAAAGATCGTCCACGACCATGTAGTTCCAGCTTTCAAACAAGTCCACGGGCGGTATGCTCGTACCGTGGACGCAAAATTTGGCGCTGCGATCTTGACAGTCCTGTTTGGCGATCATGACCAAAATTCAAATGTCGCCGAGGTTGAGACCATTCTGTCCAAGTTGCTTGATGATGTCAACTTGCCTCTCTATAAAGAGTTTGACACAGATGTGGCCGCTATAATGGATCAGCTATTCAACCGCATTAAGTACCTCCGAATAGACGAACATGGCCCACGCCTTGGGCCGGTCAGCAAGGACAGCCCACTCATTGAGACCTACTTCACTCGGCTTCCATTAAACGACATCACCAAGAAGCACAGCTCCAAGGCTCTTGCCCTTGTGAATAATGGCTGGATCTGGAATGCCGACGCAATGCGGGATAACGCCGGGCCCGAGTCGAAATCATACCTTCGCCGTGAGGTGATTGTGTGGGGTGACTGTGTCAAACTTCGTTATGGAAGCTCACCAAATGACAGCCCATTTCTTTGGGATTTCATGAGCCAATACACACGCCTCATGGCGAAGTATTTCTCTGGCTTCCGGATTGACAACTGTCACTCTACCCCACTTGCTGTTGCCGAGTATCTCTTGGATGAAGCACGTAAAGTTCGCCCAAATCTAACAGTTTTCGCCGAACTGTTCACGGGCTCTGAAGAGGCTGACTACGTATTCGTCAAGCGTCTTGGAATCAATGCTCTAATTCGAGAAGCTATGCAAGCCTGGAGCACCGAAGAGTTGAGTCGCCTTGTTCATCGCCATGGAGGTCGTCCAATTGGTAGTTTTGACGTCGATTTACCTACTTCAGGAAGCAGCCACGCCATTGCATCTGCCAAAGATGATAGCACGAATGAGATAATCACTCACATTCGACCATTGCCAGTTCAGGCCTTGTTCATGGACTGCACCCATGATAACGAGGTTCCTGCCCAGAAACGCGATGCGAGAGATACTCTCCCCAATGCAGCTCTTGTCGCCATGTGTGCATCTGCAACCGGAAGTGTGATGGGATATGATGAGATTTATCCGAAGCTGATCGAACTCGTTCATGAAACACGTCAATATGTCTCGCCATTCTCTGAAAGTGACACAGTGGAAGTTGGACATGGCGAGGGAATCGGTGGAGTCAAGAAGTTGCTAAATGATCTCCATATTATGATGGGGACGGAGGGTTACGACGAAACTCATATTCACCATGACGGCGAATACATCACCGTCCACAGAGTTCACCCGAAGACACGGAAAGGGATCTTTCTCATTGCGCACACTGCATTCCCAGGCAATGATAGTGGCGCTATCCTGGCGCCAACCCATATCGCTGGCACACAGGCCAAGCATATTGGCTCCTGGAGACTTGATGTCGATGTTGATGATGCTACCAAGACCAAAGTTCTTGCCAATGAGAAGTACCTTATAGGTCTACCAAGCTCCACTCACGACATTGAATGCACTAGAATTGAAGGAGAAAAGGATGTTACTATATCTGTGCTGGAATCGTTTGTGCCCGGCTCCATTGCTATTTTCGAAACTTGGATTCCTGAGGTGGAACGTGCAGCAGAATTGGAGAAATCTCTTTCTGCCAGTGCCGATGAAGCATTCTCTGATCTGAGTTTGGTTGACTTAAACTTTGTTCTTTACCGTTGTGATGCCGAAGAAAGGGATTATAGCGGTGGCCAGGATGGTGTCTACACAATTCCAACTCATGGTCCATTGGTATATGCTGGTCTGCAGGGCTGGTGGAGCGTGCTCGAGGACATCGTTAAATACAATAAGTTGGGTCACCCTCTATGTGACCATCTTCGAGAGGGCCAATGGGCACTGAATTATATTGTTCAACGAATGGAGAAGGTGGCCAGCAAGGAAGTGTTTGCCAATCTTCACCGACCTGCTGCATGGCTGCGCGAAAAGTTCGATGCCGTTCGTGGTCTACCTAGCTTCTTGCTTCCGCGTTACTTCGCCATAATTGTGCAGGTAGCTTACAATGCGGCTTGGAAGAGAAGTATCCACCAGTTCAGTGACAACGTGAGACACGGCCAAGAATTCATCCACCAGCTGGCTATGGTAAGCGTTCAACAGACTGGCTTCGTCAGCTCGGCCTCTCTATGGCCCACCAAACAAGTCCCCAGTCTTGCAGCAGGACTACCTCATTTTGCTGTGGATTGGGCCCGATGCTGGGGACGAGATGTTTTCATTTCTATCCGCGGTATCTTCCTCTGTACTGGACGTTTCGATAATGCCAAAGAACATATAATTGCATTTGGTAGTGTGCTCAAGCATGGTATGATTCCCAACCTACTCAGCAGCGGTAAATTGCCCCGGTATAATGCGCGAGACTCGATCTGGTTTTACCTGCAAGCCATTCAAGACTATACCAAGATGGCCCCCAACGGCATCAGTATCTTGCAGGAGAAAGTCCCTCGACGATTCCTCCCGTACGATGATACCTGGTTCCCATTTGACGACCCGCGTGCATACTCCAAGTCATCAACCGTTCTGGAGGTCATCCAGGAGGTGTTCCAGAGACATGCTAAGGGCATGTCATTCCGCGAATACAATGCAGGTCCAGATCTTGATGTCCAGATGAAGGCTGAGGGCTTCCAGATCAATGTAAACGTTGACTGGGACACGGGCATCATTTTTGGAGGCAGTCAAGATAACTGCGGTACCTGGCAAGATAAAATGGGTGAGAGTGAAAAGGCTGGAAATAAAGGTGTTCCAGGCACCCCTCGCGATGGAGCAGCTATTGAGATCACTGGACTGCTTTATAGCGCTCTTTCCTGGGTGACAAGCCTCAACGAATCTGGAGATTATCCTCACAAGGGTGTCGAGATTGGTGATGGCAAATCTATTACCTTCAAGGAATGGGCCAGTAAGATCAAGGATAACTTTGAACGCTGCTACTTTGTTCCTGTCGATGCCAGTGAAGACAGCAAGTATGACGTGGATGCCAAGATAATCAACCGTCGCGGCATCTACAAAGACCTGTACAAGTCCGGTAAACCATTTGAAGATTATCAGCTTCGAGGAAATTTCCCCATCGCCATGTCGGTAGCGCCAGAAATATTCACACCCGCGAAAGCTTTGACTGCCTTGTCCATCGCCGACTCTACAATTCTAGGCCCCGTCGGCGTGGCTACCCTGGACCCATCCGATCTCAACTACCGCCCCTACTACAACAACTCTGAGGACTCCACTGATTTCTCCACGTCCAAGGGCCGCAACTATCACCAAGGTCCCGAGTGGGTCTGGCAGCGAGGCTACTATCTCCGAGCCCTCCTCCATTTCGATCTCCTGCGCCGCAAGACGCCCGAGGAACGCATTGAATCCTTCCAGCAGATAACCCAGAGACTAGATGGATGCAAGAAAGCATTGCGGGAGTCTCCCTGGAAGGGTTTGACAGAGCTTACCAACAAGAATGGAGAATATTGTGCAGATTCGGTAGGTTTTCTTCTATATCACCCTCCATTTTTGATTATGCTAATTGAATTTATCGGAATCAGAGTCCTACTCAGACTTGGTCTGCTGGCTGTCTTCTTGATCTTTATTACGATGCATCCAAGCTTTCTTAGCGGCCCATGTGCTATTTTAGATAACTTCTACATAAATATGCATACGATAGCATTCTTTTTCTTTGTATTTCCTTATTCCATTTTCAACTTGTCACTCTGAATAGGCTACACAGTATTGAAAATACGATTCATTTTTGATTCATCTACCCTATGGATACATGAAAACCTTGGAAGTACCTAGGACCAAACGAAGTGCTGCTTTCACTCATTCCCGAGTTATCACCCTCACTCCACCTTACTCTTACTCTAATTTACTCTCCAGAGCCCACTCTCGCTTCTCTTCCAAGGCTATTCTCCTATCATGTGCTTCCTCGGTAACCACCCAGGTACTCCTATATAATGTGGGTTCCCACAGGTAAACTCAGGTATATTCTCTTCTACATCCCACCACCCACCCTCCACTCTTCACACCTTCAATACCGTGGTCAAGGTATAACGTATGACCCATTCACTACCCCCTTAGTCAGATTATAGGTCGGATGGTATAGTTATCAGCTGAGCTGTAGTCACGCTGTAGTCACACAGCATGTATCAAAGGTATTATTCTGCTACTTTTATTGCACCGCTTTCCAATCTATTGACAGAACCCTTGAATCACGTGGTAGTCTAACCCTAAAAGGGGATAATGGACACCATGATGCATATGGCATCAGACGACTACCTCCAAGGCGGTCTGCTTCCATTGTCTCTTTGCAATCCTCCGTTGGCAGGTAGTTAAAAATAGGACACGAATATCTTATTATTAGTTGCTATATCTATCTTTTTTATTCTATCATTTCATAAATGTTTTCTTTCTCCAACGTTGCCGACTTTACGCAACCCAGAAAGACCAATGACTAAACTAGTCACGTTCATTGCAAATAGAAACCAGAAAGCTGCAAGATATCCCGACAGTAAGGCTTCTGGACTTTGTCTGTCCTCAGCTGAAGAGGTTCTTTCGGTGATGCTATTAGAAATTAGGGCAACCAGAGCCAGACCAATGGTTCTACCGAATTGTGAGACGGTATTGAACACCCCAGATGCTAGACCTTGGGTCTCAGCAGGAAACATGCCCGCAACGATGAGGTTTGACACTGTGAAAAGAACATCTGCGGCAACAGGGTTCATGCACATGGCGAAAAATACACAGCGCCAGTACGTCCACGATGGATTCACTAGCGCCATGAGAAGTGGAGAAAGAGAGGAAATGACCGTAGCTATACTGATAAGAATATCAGCCCGGACACGATGCAAGATCATGCCTGTGATGACACTAACCACAAAGCCAACAACCGAGACTGGGATAAATCGCACTGAAGTATTGAGCACAGATAAACCCTGCACATCTTGAAAAAAGAAGTTAACGACTTGTTCAAAAGCGTTGAAGGAGCCCCAAATCATGAACACAATTACAGAGATACATGTAAAAGCAGCCTGCTTCCACAATGAATTCTTGATCAATGTAGGCTTAGAATGGCGCTCCTGTCGGCCTTCCCACAAGACGAAGCCAAGAATTAGCACGCCAAAGAGACACAAGAGCACAATGGTGACCGCTTCATTTATATTGGATACATCATCGGTTATAATTCTATCAAGAGCAGATCCAAGTCAGTAACCTTCTCTTTGTCTATTTTTGTTGATTTGAGTTCAACATACGCCAATGCATAAGATAGCAGAGCCAATGCTGGGCTTATAATGAAAGCTCCCGCCCAGTCAATGCCAAACACAATACGAGTCCACCACACGCCTTCTTGACCTTCGTTGTTCCTGGGCAGTTGCCACAACTACAAGAGAAAAGCTGGACCATTCGCAATAGCCGCGCTATGGAAACCCTAGCGCCAGCCAACAGTATCGGCGAAGATACCACCAAAAACGAGTCCAACCTCAAAACCAATTGGCTGACCAGAGCCCATCAAAGCAAGAGCAATATTATTTCTGAGCTTCCCAGTCAGAAATTGCTCTGTGATGATGCACATGGCAGATGGCAAACAGAGCGACGCCGCCACGTCAGAGATAGCTCGGAAAATAATGAGCTCGGTACCTGATCGCGCCAGTCCACTGGCCATGGAAAAGATGCTGAGGAGAAAACACCCCGCCAGAAATAGTACTCTATTACCCACCGCGTCCGACAGAGCGCCAGAAATGAGGAGTGTGCATCCGGTAGCCAGGGTGTACATCTGGACTGGCCTGAGAGATCCGGTACATGTCAGTTGCCTCGGTTTCTATAGTACCTTCCATAGATTCAAGGGTTTTTAGTGTTCTGATCGTACCACTCAACTTTGAGATCACATATCATAGTTCCATCCCAGGGCTCAGGTGTAAATCGGCGGAAATCTGCGGAACAGACACAGTGGCAAGGCCACCAAGGTAAGAGCTGAAGAAAGTGGTGCAAGATATGCAGAAAATTACTATAGGGGCATTTTTTGGTCCCTTTCTATCATTGATATCTGATGGAGCACCCTCCTAAGCTTTCTGTCCCAAATGAGGTTGAAATTCACTCCGATTGTCCATTTTAAGCTCAGCCAAAGTTCCGTTTACTGCCGATGCGGCCGACATAGCATGGACTGTATTGAGGTGCCTTGGAAGGGGCCAAATAGTGAGCGATATGGTCGGTGAGAAAGGAAAATCATTTGAAACACGAGGGCAAGGATGTTGAAAAGCCTTGCAAGCTACTAAGCGTCCCGAAGTAGTTCTGCGGCTCCACAACATGGAATACTTCGACTAGCAACACTTCTACAACGCCAAGGTACCAGGACCATTGTTGACACTCGATCTTCGATTGGTTGCTGGCTTGAGACCTTGGCTAGCCGAACGAGAAATCTTAGCACCCCGTCACTTCTGTCGATCCTTGCGGTGTAGATTACCTTAACAGGCTTGATAGTGTGGGGGTGGACCTAGTGATACTACATGGTGGAGTCTAGGACTTCTGGTCCAAGCGTCTTTTTATTTCCATTTTCATCTCATTTTTTTTATACGGCTGGATAAATTAAAAAAAAAAAAAAAAAGAAAAGGAGGTATGAGAGAAATGGAGTAAAAGAAGAGAAAGAGAGAGGAAGAGAGAGGAAGAAAAAACATGCAGGGAATCCCCTATCAGTTTCGAACTTGAACATGAACAATTGTATTCTGATTGATGATCCCGGTATATTCGTGTCGTTAAATGAAGGAGTATAGCTCGAAATAAATTACTTTGTAAAATATAGGTGAATAAATAGTTTATCATTTGACGCCTGTCATTGAACTTAGCGAATGCAAGGGCGAGACAGTGGTGTACACTCCCTTGGATTGAATGGATATACTTTACTTGCTGGTAAATAATATGTACCCAATTCATTGTCAATTGGTAGACGTAAACGGTCAATTCTAGCAATAGACCAGGATCCAGAGAACAGACCCTTGATCGACCTCAAGCCACCCATGTTTTGTGCATTCTGGACTTTTACCGTCCCTTCCTGGCGCAGGCGTACGCGTCATTGCTTGTTATTGGTATTTTCTTCGTCCTTCTTTTCATCGTTTTATTGGTTTTACTAGAAACCTAAGATGACAATGCAGTATGAAACACTTCGAGATAAAAGTTCTATATGGATTGAATGAATGCAACCCTAGAAGAATAAATCGCTCTTATTCAAAGGAGCGAACGTGTAGTATGGATATTCCTGGACCAGATCGATAGATAATAACATCTTGGAAGCTCCTTTTAATTTTCCGAAAAAATATCAATAGATCTGGAGCACATGCAGGATGTGGATTTCCACACAAGAAATCTTTGAACATTTTTGTACACGTGATGATTGCTGGGTTGTGATTAATGATCATGTGTGGGATCTAACGACATTTGGGTCCCAGCATCTGGGGCATTGCTTGTTAGTCGCCTGAATCTGAAACGCTGGAAGGAAGCCAGCTGTCTCGTCAGATAAATAGAAATGCCATACTGATGAGCAATTTTGAACAGCCATCTACCATTTTGCGGGCCACGACGCTACCGAAGCCTATAATAAAATCCATAGCTCTGACCTCATCACGAAGACCCTTGATCTGAACAAACTCATCGGCAAACTAGATCGATCGTCCATAAATTCGAAGTGAACCAGCAGGTTTCTCCAGCGGGCCGAAAAGCAATTGGCAACGAAGCCCCTCCTTGGTACCATTCTCAATACCCACAACTTTGAACGTGTAGCACAAGCCACGTTGTCAAAGAAAGCCTGGGTGTTCTACTCGTCAGCCGCAACGGATCTGTTTGCGAAGTAAAGCAGCAGTCATTGACTGAACCGGTGTGTTCAAAATTTTATTTTGCTGTGAGATAAGTTAAGTTATTTATGTGAGAAGTTCTGATTCTCTTTCAACTCTTTCACAATGGAACGAACGGTGGCAGAGAAAGATCAATTATTCTGTACTTGCCGGTTAGTTGAATTAGGTCAGATTGCCAAAATAGTAGAAATGACTCGAACTTGAGTTGTTTCTTGAATCCATTGCCGCGAAACTAAAATTCCAATTAGACATAAAGCCATTGAGATGATGGCAATTACCGCCATCGAAAAATAACCGTCGGCAGATTATCAAATTGAAGATCTTTTTGGGCATCTAGAGAGCCTCTTTGGAGAAGCATGCGAAATCAAAGCAGGGAACCTGACGAATATATCAAAAAAGGCAATATCAGCAGAAATAATAAGCATAGCCCCTCTATTTCGCATTCCCTATTATCACTGCAGATGGGCTTTCACCAATCAGCCAATCATCGCACGAATCAAGGAATTTTTGGCTCGGTTTAATGATCAAAATACTCAAATTTCTATAAGTGTCATCGGGAAATGCGCGGAGCTGAAATCCAGCAAGGAGGTGCGTAGATAGGCTGCATTTGCGATTCATTGAAATTCTAAATTTCTGCTTTTGATTGAATCCACTTTCCTGTCACTCGTAAATCGAATCCATTATAAGGTCTGTGCCATTGATACACGAAAATATTTCCTTGCAAAGTTCCAAATATTTCCTAATCTTCTTGCTGCTCGACTTCAATCATTGACCATATACATCTCTTAAGTCACGGTGAAGGTATTGAGATCCGTATGCCGTTGCCTAGTTACTAAAATACTCCTGGAATCATGTTCCATCTCACTTTTCTTTTATAAGCGTTCCAGCCTTGACCGTATTTTTTCGCGCATTTAGCCTCGTCGCTTAGACTCCTCATTATAAGAAAGATGATTGCAAAAGTTGATTCCGTCCAAGGCAACCAGTTTTCAGTTCCACAGGATCCTCCCATGGCAAATGTCATCAAGAGAGCACCAACGTAGTTTGGGTGGCGTACGATGCCCCAGAGCCCTGCACATAAGCTCTACGTTAATAAAAATAGCCCAAAAGGATATCTAGGAAGGGATGAATTGAAGGAGGTCCTTAACTCACCAGAACAGACCAAAAAAGTCTTTTGAGTAACTCCATCCCTGGTTATATACTCAACTTCGATGTATTCTGCCTGTTTCCCCCAGATACTGCAATTTCCTTGAGTGTCCCTGGTCACATTCTTTTGCTCGCTCGCAATAAAGTAGATTGTATAGCCAGCTCCACCAATCAGTAGCATGAACATAGCACTGCCATATGATAATCTGATGGGATATCGTACCAGGAACTGCGACTGAAGGGTGTACATAGAATGTAAAAAAAAGCCAGAGCCGAAAGTGAAGTAGTACCCGAATGGTTCTTTACAGACATCTATGCTTCGCAAATACCTGAAAGGTTCGAACGTTTTTTTCAAGTCAGCCATACATGTACATAATATATTGACGTTGCGGTGATTTTGGATAAGACATACCAATGCTCGTTCCATAGGAAGTCAATGCTCACGAGGGCTCGAATAAGACCAACAATTATTATCGAATTTGTGACAAGCCCGTACTTTTCATACTGCAGTGCAATAAACGATAGATCACTGACATCTGTTAGATCCTCTATTCTCTATATAGTATCAAGAGAGAGGGGTTGAAGTATACATAACTGTCCAGCCAATCATAGCACAGTGCCCATTGTAAAATAGCTTCACATCCCACAGTTTTCCGATTCGAGGATTAAGCTCTATCCCTTGGTAGATATCTGTAAAAGTGTTGCCTACTAGATATTAGAAGCTTGATGACATGGCCAAGTGTTTTTCAAACGTACCGCTGAATATTCTATCCTTTGAGTGGGATGGGGCCAGGTGTGCCTTGGTAAATGCCAGAACAGCCAATATCCAGGCATAATAAGCACTTGCCGATAAAAATTCCCCCCAATGGCTTGCAAGGAAAGTCATATCAATCATATCTGTAACCCAGAGAGTAATTAATGCAAGAATAGTCGCGATCCAACATTTAAATCCATTGGATTTGTAGTCAAGCTTTTCGCCAGACGGTGTTGGCTGACCTATATAGATATTCCCAGGAAATGTAGTATATAGTAGAGCCTGGAATGATACCCAGGCAGAGAAGACAGCCACGACATCAATGCCAGGGGGCCGGTAGCAGTTAAAGAGGATTGTTGGCTGTGAAGATAAACCATGTATCGCTTTGAAGATCGAGCAATCGTAGACGTCGAGTAGTATCCACCATGCGCCAAATATTGCTGGAAGAAACAAGATAAGTAGGAAACTGAGAGTTGCTCTCCCATGAGCAAGGACCAAATCCATGGTTTCTGGCTCCTGGTTTCTGATGCTGCGTTTGAACTATATTTCCTTAATATGACCTAACAAAAATCGAAACTCTCAAGAAGTACATTAAATGAGATTCATGAAATAAAGAGACGAAGTTATGGCGAGCACAAAGATCTGATTTTTGGGTTGGGCGCGGAATAGCTGGACCTTCCCACTCTGCAGACTTCGTCAGGAAAGCAATACCAGTCGCATGAGATATGTCATTAAGAGGTAATTTATCTGAGAATTATTCCTTGTAAGTCCGATAGGTGGTTTTTTAAGTCAAAATCAATAATAGTAAAGTTTTTTTGACACAGTCAATACGTCAATATACCATGCATTCTGTGCATACGATCAGCAAACTAGGCCGCCAATCAGGGCTACCGGTTGCCAATCGAGATTATTCGGTCTAATGACTAGCAAATGCCACATATGACAAAGTCGATTAGTAGACTTTATAAAACACATGGCAGAGCTATGAGCCGTGAGCCTTCGAATTATGAAGAAGAACGTCGGAACTATTGATCTACTTCCTATGTTGCAAGATGGATCGACTCTTTGAACAGTTATACGCTTGTCCTTGGAGGATTATCAATGCCAATCTCAGCTTATATGGCCTTCAGCCAAACTATTTGATTCAAAAAAATGTGTTATCAATGAAAGAGCGGTATGTTGGGATATACTGTTTGATTCAAAAGTATGTTCTCAGTCGTCCATATACGTTTCAGCAAGGCTGGTCAATTTTTGTCTTAACGATGTAAGCCTGAATGCTCTTATAACTATGCATAGACTGAAAATGTCTTATAGATCCCTTCATCTTCTGGTATTTCTTCTTTTTGGGTCATACGCATATATTTTTAATTTCAATCGTGCTTTAAGATACAACAAAAGCTTTCTCAAACACCAAATCAGACAAGAGATCAAGGAATCAATCTTTGCCATGTTTGCCATGGATATTTTTCATGTTCCTATTGTAATGTTGCAGATAAATGGTCACTCACTCCTCTACAACTCAACAGTGATTGGGCCTGGGTTGTGGTATGAATTTCTGCAATATCCTCTGGCAATACTATTGATAGATGCTGGAAATTACTGGCTACACCGGGCATTTCACAGTCCATTATTATATTCGCTTGCTCATAAAAGTCATCACAGGTATGATAAACCCAAACTAATCGAGATTGAAGTCTATATTTAATTAACTCTTTAGATTCGTTATTTCCACTCCGTTTGCGGCCTTCGCATTTCATCCCTTAGAAGCCTGCATCATGAGTCTACCAAATCTTTTTATTTCCTTTGTCGTACCATTGTGCAACAAAACATATATTCTACTGTTACTATATGGAAATTTGGAGACAATTATGGCTCGTAAGTTATCAAGCACCTTACCAATCTTGGGATTATCGACTAACATCAGACCAGATGATAGCACAGGAAGTTTCCATACTATACACCACATTAACGCAAAAAGCAATTTTGGACAATTAACCACCTTTTGGGATCACTTGATGGGCACTTACATGGATCCCAATTTATATTTACGGAAACATGGCATGTTCAAGAATCGAAAGGAGACAGCTTCCAAAATGCAATAAATAGCAAGATAATATAGCACCAATTCGTTCAGAAAGGAAGATTGTGCAGAATTAATCGAACAGGAGGGCCGAACCGAATTAGGTATTAAGGTTCTACAAAATGGAAGATTCATTTGGTCATATCCACATTATTTCAAGTCGCAAAGTCACACTCTAGCATTCTAATACAATAGTGTCGGTTCACGTGGACGTCAAGTGAGAGTCCAATCATTCATGGCTTCAATGAAAATTGAAACTAGTAGTCTTTTACTATAAAGTAGTCCCTATGCGAGCTGGCCACCCCCTAATTTGACGCGTCAATTTCGTATGTCTACTTTTTAACCACCCACCATGCCCCCAAAAATACTACCAAATTTACCAAAACTAAGCAGAGCAGGTGGGTAGAATCTTATTGATTATTGAGGCTCTTCAAAATGGTGAAATCTCGTCTCTTCACAACGCTGCATCTATATTTGATATACCACGTTCAACTCTTACGACGCGTCTCTCTGATGTGGAATATCGCGCTGAAAAACGCGCAAATAGCCATCAATTGACTGAATCTGAAGAGAAAACTCTAGTAAGTTGGATTCTCTCTTTAGATGGCCGGGAGTATTTCATAGGCAGTCTGATATAGATGGTCATATAATGAACCTTCTTAATTAGCCAAACTTACTTCGTCCCATAGTCAGACCATTATGCTTACACTTACCTTCATTTCTGGACATTCTGTTACGGAGTTCCATTCTCCTGTTGCTAGTGCAGTTCCAACACCTAATTCCTAGCTGAATCAACCTATGCATTTTGACTGCACTGCCTACAAGCGTTCCCCGTATCACTAGGTAAAAGTCTATCCAAGATACTTTCCTATGAAACTCTGTCAAAAACGCTATGGCTCTGTTACTGCCTTGTGGAGGCTGGACTTTATCGTTATTGAAAGGCTCGAATGAGTTGTTCAATCCCTACGGGATCATTGGCTCTAAATCAGTCCCGCCGCCTTGTTCTGAACGGTATTGGCAAGCCTTGCGGCTAACCAAAATCTGCTGCTAAATTACACAAACTTACCCTGGAGCGTACACAACTTTGCTTACATGATCAGCCTATGCACTCTATTTAGCATGTATATTCGTGGTCAGAACAAAGGGCGTCTACAAAAATGAAATTTTCACCGCTGAAGAAAAAAGGGACTCATCGACACCAGAAAACGAACGAGAAATCCAGGACCTACTACACTACACTACAGAAGCATTTTTCAAATAGCTTCACTCTCATATTATAATCAACTCACTTCAACCTCACTTCACTTCTAGAGACCACCTCAACGTATGTAGGAGCGCATTAAGAATGCCGAGAAATTTGTTTTGTGCAGCTACCATCAATGGTGTATATCCATTGATTCTCAAATTCACATCAGCTGTCTCTTGCGTGAGTAGAAGCTTGACCACCTCTTCCTGGTCATGAAGGGTGGCGCCAAATATCGGAGTTGCGCCGACATTGTCCGCCGAATTGACATCAGCCCCTGCTTGGATCAGAGTGGCGGCAACATCCACGATTCCACGTATGGAGGCAAGTATCAGCGGTGTAACACCATTCACATCACGAATATTCGGGTCGACTCCATCCTCTAGAAGCTCAACCACTACTCTCACCTCAGTCTCAGCTTCACTTCTCCAATGCTCTTATCACATGGTGCCCTATGTAACCGCCGAAGTACTCTATATAAGGCGGTTTTCTCACAGTTATATATTCTTTTCTCCACTATTCACACCTTTGACAACCTTGGCACATGATTGGGGACGTTGTACCACCACTCAAGGGAAAAGCCATATCAGATGGCCTTCCTCCACGACCACTGTCAAAGCCATTATGTTATGGCTTTGCCACTATCTTGTTGGCAATAACATGCTTTGTCACACATATGCGTGCTATACCAAGGGGAATGATTCATCCTTTCCCTCTGGGAAGGTTGTGGCGGCAATCATCTGGCTTCCGCAAGAACGCGCAACGTGCGCGCAAACTGGCGAAATTACATGAGAAGCTGCTTGGCGTCCTTAAATAACTTTGAAATGAGATTCTCTGGCGCGCAATCAATTCCTCGGGTCTTACCTAGGTACTTTTCAAAATGCAGCTGGCAGCTGCCCGTGGCAATCAACCCATATGTTGATACCAATGTTGATACCAAGGTAGTCATTCACATAATTACTTGAAAATATCTCTGCCACCTCGAGTATGCAAGGTGAATCTGACCACATCACGTCAAAACCCATGACAAAGCTAAGGCAGCCACTTAGAGAAGCAAATGGTGGCATTAATGCAGGCACTTGACTGGGTCATGAGTCCCATATAGATGCACTCACCAGCGCCTTTAGTGCTTTGCACCAGCAGTTTCTAGGGCGATGAAAACCTACTGTTGTGAGAACTGCAGTGGGCCGTCTCCAGAGGACGAGGGATAGGATGATTAGTCGTTGTGAGCCTCATTCTGTATTAACACTGCCCAAACCACCACATTCTTCGCTTAAAAGGTTCACGGGTATAGTCCTCGCATATGCCTGTTTTAATCCACATTCCTCGAGGTTTATGAAAGTGTAGTAATATTATAGATGAAGTGGTCTAGGACAAAAGTGGTTCAAAACAAACCTTGCCTTATCTGATCAAGGGATCGATTCGAAGCCACCTGATTTGAGATCACAGCCACATTTATTCCAGAATTCGTGATCTCGTACATTATTAATTGAACAAGTTCCAATTTTCAGATTCCAACTTCGTAATGATCGTGAATACGATTTGCATTCCTCGAATTGATGTCTTTCTGCTTCTGGAATCCATCATCAAGTCCACATGGCCTACTTTAGATCGGAGATCCCACATTCCAATGGAGGGCCTTACGGCAAAGCCTTGCGACAATCCTCCCTTTGCAATTTATTTGGGAATCTTGGGAAAATCATGTCGCCAGCAGGATAATTAACCCTTACCAAGATATGACTGACATTATGCACTTTTCACTCTTATCGGCTGTTGATAGAGTTCTGTTGCAAGATGGAATCCGCGCTCGCTGCTGCATCCGGGTTGCTCCACCAGCATTCTTCCTTCGCTTCCTCACCAATGGAATGCATTGTACCACTTTCAATGTGAGAATTTCAGTATCTAGTTTCGCTAGAGCCTGGCGAGTTCGCTTTTCGAACATGAGGGCTCATGTGTGCCGCAGTACTGCGCCAACCTGACCAGGTTGCCTCATTCACTCCCAGATGCTCGAGCTCCACTTTTCATGTGTGTTCGCGATCTCTGACTTGTCCCAAGGCTGAATCTCCATGACTCTTTGACGTCTCCACGGGTGATTTTGGGCTTGGGCTATTAACGTGGTCCATGTCTCACACGGACGTACCGACAGGGCGACTAAAGTCGCCTCAGATGGCGAGAGATTACGCCTAGCTGATCTCCACTGTAAACCATGGCACATGAAGTGTATAACCCTTGCCTCGTCTTGTTTACAATTGTTTACTTTTTTTCATAATCCCACTCTATCAGCTGTATATAGTCGACCGCTTTCAGTGACAGACTGTGGACACTGGAATACAACCGTTTCACATACTTTATTCCACTCACACATTTTTAAGGTATCCTCGAATCTGGAATTCTTCTGGTAAATACTACCATGCCTATCGCTGGTTGATAAGATCGTGATTGACAGGTCAGATCGGACATTCTAGGCCGATGCGTCGTTGAAATCCCCACGCATCTGCCGTGTGGAGCCCGATCTATACTTTATACATTTTTGGCCGCTTTGTGTGGAGAGAAAGCAGTCCATCAAGCAACATCCAGATCCTTTGCCTTCGCTTGGTTCGAACTCTTGCAGGCAGTTTTACATCGATCTACGTTCTTATCTTGGGCCTATACCATCAAAGGATACATATTTCCACGCCGTACAACACTCTGTGCATGTGGAAATATACATGTGAACTCGACAGGCTTTGGATATGCCATTACTGAGATCTCGCGATGTGCCAACGCCCGGCTACGAAATGTGCAGGCAAACACCAGCATCGAAGTTAAAGTCTTTTACACGGAGAACACGAGATGCTACGATAGTTGCGAATAGCTCGCCATCTCACACAGCGAATATAACCCCGCCAGAGATTCTCCTCCAGATCTACTCTCTTTTAACACCAAGAGACTTTGACAATGCTCGGCGCACCTGTTCACAATGGATGAGGGTCAGTCTCAATCGTAGTTTACTGAAGGGGATGCTGAGAAGGGCAGGATGGTGGGATGCATGGCAACAGGACTGTGTAAGGCAACGGGCCACGTCCTCATTAAATTATGAGAGTGAAGTCTGGAGGATGAGCAAACGTCTTGCGACCGAGTGTCTTTTGTCCGGGCGAAAGGCCAATATTGGGACATCAGGCTTCATGAAAACACAGCTTGTGAATTTCTCCGGACTTACACCCGGTGAATCAGATGCAAAAATTCGTGGCACTCGCTCTCGTGCGAAAATATCTACGGCATCAATTTTCAGTGTCAGCAGCTGCAGCAACTATCTTCTTGTGGCGAGAGGCTGCGTGATCTATGTCTTCCAATTGCTGGGCAAAACTTCCAAACCTGCGTTGATGGAAAGCTTGGATAATTGTGATCTAGTTCTGATATCTAGCATTTCGTGTTCATATGAGGTTCTCTCAGTCACTATGAATACAAGTACACCCCACTTCGTCCTTGCGGCTTTACTTCGGAATCGAGTCGGTATGATCTGTGATCTGAACGTACCTAATAACGTCTCATCGAGCACTACTGGTTCAATTTCATCTTCCTCCAATTCAACACGATTGCAGAAAACTGGACTCTTCTCTCCACACTACTTTTATAACATCTGCTCAGAAGTCCACCCTCCACGAACAATCGCTCTCTGTCCTGGACGTCGCACCGTAGCCTTCGGGTGCGCAGGGGGTATCGAAATTCACTGGATAGATGAAAAAACAAGCCAATATCAGCGCAAGCATATTCCAACGTCCCAGCCTTCAGAGGTCCTACACTTTCTCCAGACATCAACCGAAACACCGAAGGAAATGCGTCTTATTTCTTCTCTATCTGGATCAGACACCCACGAGTGCGCATGTCGCCAGTCACCATTCCCCGATCACTCCAAGATATGCCAGTTCCATAAAATCAAAGGCATTCATGCGCACAGTGGAAGAGGCATGCAGAATACATCCTCGCTCAGTCTGCTCCGCGCAACCCACTGCAACTACCATCGTGCTGTTCCTATAAGCGATGGTCACCACATCATTTTCATCGAGCCTCGCACAAAGCTGCTCTGTATAGGATCTGATGCTCCCACCGGTGGGCCGACGAGTCTCACTCGCGCGTTTGTCTGTATACCGCCCTCTGGCAAGGGCCGTTCTGACCGAACCAAAGAGGCCTGTCCCCCAACTATTTTCGCTGTGGGGTCTGACCTACGCTGGGGTCTTAGAGTAGTCGCTGCCTATAATGGCAGTATAGTTCTCTACTCCATCCCAGTAGACGTGTTCAACATCATCCGCAAGGAACGCGAACGTCAAAGTGACGGCGTGATGGGTTCGAGTGACTTAGCGCGTGACTGGTTCGCCAACTCCGAACGCTTCAACAAACAACACGAGAGCCTAGTCCAAAACCAGAATGGCGACTGGGAGTTCCTACTAAGTGTGAGTTACAGGCCAATGTCATTAATGTGGCCATTCAAGATATACGGCAAGGAAATAGGCCGGGTTGATAATCTCGTCGAGCTTTCCCTCCAGTCCTCCAATGGCGGTGCTCGTATCTGGGCATTTAATTCCTCAGGCGAAGCTACCATCTTCGACATTGATACATCCACTAAACACTATGCTGCCAATGCTTCTTGCAAGTCTGTCACTGTGAGCTCAGATGGGAACTTGGAATCTGCGCAATTAGTCTACCGCAAGGTCGCTTCTACGCCTCTGCAGAAATCATGCAAGCGTAAAGCCTCATCACTGCGAGATGACTTTGTTGGTCGATATGGTACTAGTCGCTTTGTACCCAGCACGGGACTGAAGAATAATGGATGTTCTCCCTCTGCTATTTTGTCTCAGGGAAAATCTCCTATCAAGCGTCCCTCCTTCGCAGCCTGTATCGTGGATCTCAAATTTTCTGAAGCTGGGCTTTGAGATTTGAGTATGGGAGAGCCTTACGAAGATTTATTTATTTATGTGTTACGACTTGATTTTTATTTAGCATATGATTTCCTTTGCATTTGTGTAGCCGAGTTGTTTTTGGGGGTATATCCTTGGATCTTATCTACTAACTTACTACTTTGAATATAAGATTGCATAACTGATTTGCGACTTCAATAAGTAGCCTTGAAGAATAAAAATTAAGCTAATAGATTCATTTCAAACTTTTGTTTTTTTTTTCATAACTTTAGAAACAGGACGAATGGCCAAGCTTATTTTGCGCCATTCAATTTTTGACAGCGAGTCCGTACAGCTTGTGCCAAGTTTTCCAAGACGGACTCAGTATCCTCCCAGCCAATACAAGCATCTGTGATGCTGACACCATACTTGAGACCAGACTTGCCCTCAGCAGGAACCTTCTGACTGCCTATAGAAAGAAGAATAATTAGAACCAACAACAGACGCGGATAGTGAAAAGAATATATAGACTTACCCTCATTAATATTACTCTCAATCATGACACCCATGATGCCAGCCTCGCCGGCAGAAATCTGCTCAGCGAGAACAGCGGCGACCTTGGGCTGATTCTTGTGATTTTTCTCAGAGTTTCCGTGGCTGCAGTCTACCATCAAGCGGGGTGGGAGACCCTTAGCCTCCAGCTTAGACTTTGCGTCAGCAATGCTGGCAGCATCGTAGTTAGGACCCCTCTTTCCACCGCGCAAGATGACGAAGCAATCTGGGTTACCGACTGTGCCGACGATAGATACAACACCGGGCTTGGTGACGGATAGGAAGTGATGGGGGTGTCTGACAGAGCCAATGGCGTCGACAGCAACGTCCAGCGAGCCGTCTGTACCGTTCTTGAAACCGACGGGGAAAGAAAGACCAGAAGACAGCTCACGGTGGACCTGGGACTCGGTAGTACGGGCGCCGACGGCACCGACGGACAGACAGTCAGCAAGGAACTGGGGAGAGATGGTGTCGAGCATTTCACTGGCGATAGGCATGCCCTTGTTGGTTAGATCGACGAAAAGCTGGCGCGAGACACGCAGACCCTTGTTGATCTGGAAGCTGTTGTCAATGTCAGGGTCATTGATAAGACCCTTCCAGCCGACTGTTGTGCGGGGCTTTTCTAGGTACGAGCGCATGACAATCAACAGGTCATCTTCGTACTTCTCCTTCAATTTTAGCAGGCGATCGCAGTATTCCAGGGCCATGGTCGGGTCGTGGATGGAGCATGGGCCAATGACTACCAACAACCGATGCTTGTCGGTATCTGTGCCCTTTACGATAGCCACTGCCTCATTACGACCCTGGAGGACAGTTTGGCGCGACTTCTCGGTCATAGCAATTTCATGTTGGAGGAGATTTGGTGGGGTGAGGGGATTGTAACCGAGGACTGTACAAAAGAGGGAAGTAAGTATATTATTTTACTCAATTGGGAGCAATAAGAAATTTAAAGGATCATACATACTGCGCGAATCCTCCAGGTGGTTGTGGTTTCCCACATTGGGGTTATCAATGAAGAACTGGGAGTGTTAGTGACATTCTAGAGACTACATTACTTCATTGTATATGACGTATTGACTTACCGACATCGAAGAGAGATAATGTTAGAAAGAGCCAGAGAAGATTGAGTAAGAGAAGAGTGAAAAGAGTAAGCACCAGTAATACAATTGATAAGATGGTAATTTCAAGAGAGGAAGAAATGAAACTCAGAGTTAAGCAGGTAAATATTAATCTTGGCAAAATAATGAGTCAAAACGACCTTGGAGACTGAGCCACGTGATTCGCCGGCGCCAATCAAGTCACTTCATCATATTTCCTTGAAATTTGATCAAACTGGATCGTGAAAGAGTCGATAGAAAAGAAAGTCGTCTGTACAAATTGTCCGAAAAAGCGAGCCACAAAGTTGTTAGTAAAAAGGGTTGATCTTAAAACAAGTGACAATTACTAAGGGATGGAGAGAAAACAGCCGATTCCAATAACTAATATCCGTCAGTTTTGGAAGATTAACCTTGATATAGAGCAATCTACCTAGTGTTACGGACCAAGCGGTACGGCAGGGGTTAGTTATACGATAACAACCAATCAACTTGGAAGCACGTTATGTGCAACGAAGCAGAAGCTGAAGGGTTTTGTGATGTAGTCGTTATACTATCACGTGATAAGGAAGGATATCTATCATGTTATCTTATCGCAAAAAGATCGTGATGTAAATATAGATCCAGTTAGTGAGAATTGTTTCGAGCGGGAACTATAAATCCTCATGCCGTTCAAAAGGATCCTCGCCCATCCACTCTACTGCCATTTCTATGGTTTCAGTTGTCATGAAGACCGTGGCCCCATTAAGCTGTTGATTGTAGACTAAGCCAAGGGTATGCGTCTGGTAATTCTTACATCATAATATTTACCGAATCTCAGAATCACATAAATCTCAATTTCACACGAATTTCTCTTAATACATATTTTTATTCTGTTTTGCACCTTTAAAACTACATATTCTGCCCTCATTTTGAATCCTAAACTGATCCTATATAGTGTAGTGAATATATACAAAAGAGATTTGTTAAATATGAATCGTAAATTTTTGCATTCACCGCAAGAGTGGTCCAAAAAAAAGATGAGTTGTAAAAGTTCTGCCGTAGAATATTCATTGGTAAGAGTTAAGATTTATCGCTCAAGTTTTTCAATTGGTTTGGAAATTTAACCTCTAACACCATCGTCTCGGTTAAGAGAGGAGTCGGGAAAGGGATTTCCGTCTGTCCGGTGTTGGTTTCGGTTGAGGTTGGGGTCCACACCGAAGTGGTCCATCATACTCTCACCATACGATGAAAGGTTAGTTGGATCGGAGCCGATTGCGGAGTCAGAGTCGTCCTTTTCCTCACTCTCACTGGTAACAACCAACTCCGGGTCCGCATCCAATGCAGATCGTGTTTCGGTGGCTGTGGTAGTCCCCCGCAAAAAGCGCCGGGGACTTCCACGCCGGTCAACAATGGAGTCATGGGGCGGTCCGAGCCGGGCGTACAGGTCCATGTTGCGCATAGGTGGACCTATTCCGAAAGCTCTTTCCTGAATCTCCCCCTGGCTGGATTCCAGGTTGGGTTCCTGGTTGCGCGACTGCTTCTTTGGAGGTTGCTCTTCAAGCTTGGAAACGCGCATTCGCTTGTTGGGCGGCGTACACGGGCTCTCCGCATTCGTCGGTCCCACAGCCTCTTCCCAGTCAACCTCAGCATTGTGCCTTTTACGGGAAACTCCATTCAATCGCCCGGGCCATCGCGTAACTGGGATTCTTGGCATCAAAGCCTCCAATCGTCGCACAGCCGAGTATCCAGAAGTGGCATCAGGGGTGTTCTCATCCTGACCGATTTGCAAACCAGGATCAGGAACTGACCATTTCTGCTCCAGGTATTCGCGCTCAGGGGTGGAGGTTTGGCGATTGGGGATGGACCCAGCTCCTATGGCTGTATCCGAATTCGGATCTCCAGCCATCGAAACGCCACTGAGACGCTCAAACTTGACAAGGACCGAGCCAAGCTAAGCGCACACATGTCAGCCCTGATGCAGCCTCATAATGCAGCTCTACACCAATACATACTCTGCATACCTTCAAATTTTGACTAAAAATTTGGGAAAAAAAACATAAGTCATGCGAAGGAAGAAGAAGTATATTTCAAATTTTTGATAACTGAGAGTTATTGAAGCTCTGCGCACAAATGAATCAACACTGTTGATCTATTTGGAGCTCAAGTTCAATGTAAACTGATAGTTGAAGAAATTGAAGTGAAGAAAATGTGGAAAGCGGGAGAGAAAGGTAAAAGAAAATTGATAAAGCATTTGAAAGCGGAGTTCAGTGTCCTTAACAAGAACAATGACTACCGAAGTGTTTGACACCTGTACATAGGAACAATTGATGTCAAAATTCAAGTCTTCCTCACCAAAGTACCGCTTCAACCTTGGAAAAGGCAGATTCGAAAGCGAAAGCAAAACGAATAGTCAAGGGTAGATCTTATAATCGCTTTCCTAGATGTGAAATTGTAAACTCATCAGCCATAAAGATCAAAGTTCAGATTTTTCCTTCTTCATTCCCCATATGGGAAGCAGAAGACATAATTAATCATCCCTGCCTAGTTTCTTATTCACTTCGTCTATTAGTATATGGCTGGGTGAGTTAAGAGTTGAATTCCTCATTAACTGTTTGCTTAGCTGGGAATTCAATAGCTGCTGAATATAGTAGGAATTCTAGGCCACTCCAAACCTACCTTCATCAACTTCTTCCACATGACCACTTCCCTGATCGCAATCATTTGACCATCTCTATACTCCTTCTGCAGAAGCCCGGATACCAAAGACATCTCTCCCTATGTTGTCACACGAGTCATACTTCACTTCCGTAACCAACCTAGATTTTTAAGTAAATTTAGAATGAAGGCAGCGTGGAATAGAATTGTGCTCGAAACTTTGCACAAAGTCTCCAAGGACTTGAAGCCTGGTTGGGCACAAATTTCTTGACTAATCACTTTCCTTGGTGTCAGTATATCAACTCTTCATCTGAAAAGATCAACTTTATGATTCTTCGTTATTCATCGATTCTCTCCTACGTCCTTTTGACTAGTATGGGAACCTAAGAGGTTGATGGGGTCCTCTCTGTCCTTGTGACCGGCACACCACATGGAAAGTTGCTTAAGGTTGACTTCACCTAAGAATTTGACGTGAAAGCCTATTCAATTGACCTTTTAAGTTACCTCTCTGTCTTTTCCAGGGTGATGTGAACATATAACTCCTCGGAGATATTGGAGTTAAGATTCTGCCATCTTCACTAATCCTCTCCACCGCCGGTTTAACCAGCATTTATGATGGCGCATGGTGGCCGCGACATGGGAAATCACAATATCGCAGGCCCACATCTGGGAATGACTTGGGATACCTATCCCTTATGCGGATGGCCTTTGAAGGACGACGTGCGGTTGGGATGTGGTCAAAGCGCCGGTGGATCAGGATGAGACCTCAGGTGGATCAGACTGCGGCAATCGGAGAACCACAAGTTATTGCTCCGTGGCTGAGCTTATTAATCACCTGGCAGGAAGGAATGAAGGAATGTATTCGTCCGTTTGGCGGACGAACTTCACAATGTTAATTCATTTTCCCACTATCCTCATACCCTGGATTCCTGGAATTGAACATCAAGCCGACTCGTGATGAACTAGTCACTTTGTTTGCATTATCACTTTCTTGAGCTATTCGAGGCTTCCAAGGTCCAAACCATCAACGTGGTTCACCATATCCTGGCATTCCTCAGCGCCAAATCATTTGCAACGAATTGAGTCTTGATCACATTATTTGCTGCATTTCTTTCTACGCCCAAATCTCAACTCTGAGCACGAATCCTCTCTGAGTAGGAATTATCAATTCTTGATTTGGCTCCGCCACCAAAAGTGGATAACAATGCAAATATCGCTATCTCCCCAGGCTGCTCGTGATGAGGGTGAAGCAACCTCTTTAATCAGAGCATCCACCGAAGACCCATGCTTTCCCCAAAATATCGAGTCGAAGGGAGAAACCAGCTTGTTAAAGCCAATGGGAACAGCAATGGAACCTTCCGTGCTTTATCTGGCGTATGGCTCCAATCTGGCTTCTGCTACGTTTCTTGGCATGCGTGGTATAAAGCCGCTCTCGCAGATCTCAGCCCTCGTACCGGGGCTTTGTCTTACATTTGACATGCTTGGATTTCCATATGTTGAACCATGCTTTGCTGGTACTAGATTTCGTGGTCTTGATTCTGAAGGCACAACCTTGACTTTTGGGAACGACGACCAGGATTATGAGTTCATCTCGACGCGCGAAGATCTAGAGAAGGCCACAATGCGACAATACACTTGGTCTAAGCCTTTAGTGGGAGTAGTCTATGAAGTAACATTAGCCGACTATGCGAAGATCATCGCTACGGAAGGAGGCGGTCGTGGATACCAAGATGTCCTTGTTGACTGTTACCCCTTTGCTGAAGACTATAAGCCAACAGACCCGGTGCCTGACATCCCTCAAACTAAGGTGTTCAAGGCACACACTTTATTTTCACCAATTAGTGATGAAGCCCAGAGCACGCAGTCTCACAAGTGGCGACTGAACCCTAACTACGGTCAACCATCTTCTCGTTATATTAATCTCATCATCACTGGTGCCAAAGAGCATGATTTGCCAGTTTCGTATCGGGATTATCTTGAAGGGATACATACGTATCATATTACCACCATCCGTCAGAAAATCGGAAGAGGGTTATTCCTGTTGCTGTGGGGACCTACCCTCATGTCCTTAATGTTCATCTCAAAGCTGATGGCTGGTCCTGATGGACGTTGTCCTTCATGGCTGAGATCACTGACGAGTTTCGTTGTCGAAGCAATGTGGACCAACTATCACTCTTTCTTCAAGCCAATCTTTGGTGACGGTGAGCGGACAATACATGATCCCTTGCCGATATAAAATCAAAATGAACTATTAACGCGTTGCCAGCGTGCGCCGATTACTAGTTTCTAACGTGTGCAATGAGGCCAAAGCCAAGCTCTGGACATAGTGCGTCGACTCGCATGGGGTCCATTGGGACTGGCAAGACTCTTCGCGAACAACACCATGATTGCTACCGTATTATCGTCGTCTTCATTCAACCACGGTACGGAACAAGATGAATTATTACATCGAAGTTACTCCCTCCTTTATTGCGTAAATTCAACCCATCAATCCAAACTAAGATATTGGGAGTCGCGGAAGCAGCCGCACTGGATCAATTGTCCGCTCGCCAAACATATGAAGACCGGATCCGAGTTCAGCGTGCTCATATTTCATGATAGATAGATCACTTTCACTTTCAACGGCAACTTCGTCACTATTGATCGTTTCCCAATACACAACGCCATGGTCCCGGCTGGGCACGAAGAATCAGAGCTGTATCCAACCCGTCATCTCGCAAGAATTGCAAGCTAGCGCGCAATGAAGGCTGCTGACTCGGGCTCGTATCCCCTTCATCGTCGCTCTTCTTCATCAAAGCTTTCTTTGGATGAAGCTCTGCCTATCCCTGCCAAGAACCCCCACCAAGAGATGGTTGACAACCACTCTTCCATTTAGCAAGTCCTGGGGTAGGCAGTCTCTCACAATGCCCCTTATCTTTGTCATATCTGAACAAGGCCCATGTCCTTCCTGTTTGTCGTCACGGGTTGGTCTAAGATTATCTACTGTTTGGACACCAGCACTCCAGCAGATGTGGATACCCTTTTCAGCGCTCAGTTTACTTTGAACTTGCGGGTAAACTGCATTGTCGATTTATTTGAGCGTCATGGCTCAATAGCAATCAGCTAGCGAAGACTTCAAGTTCCTAATCTGGGCAAGACTCGGTATGAATCGTTTGCCCGCACCTGTCTGGATCCAACTTCATAAAGTTGTGAAAAGCTTTTGAAACGAAATATGTTGGCGGTACGATTTATCTATTACTGAAATAGAACACATAGCCACATTCACAAAGGAAATTAAATTCAGTTGACTCCTCGAGCACATAGTTTTCGGAAGGGTAAAAAAAGAATATATCTAGGATACAGATACAGGTGTTCCGGAGTGTTCTAACAAAAACAAGGGTAGATTTCACCCTAGACAAAAAACATGACGGAAGAGATCTCTGCCAGACCGTATGAATCAATAGGGCAATGGTACAGAGAGAATGCTCCAATCGGCCAGACAGCCCTGTCAATCTCTCACGTTTTCAACTTATACAGATTGAACTGCATTTAAAAGCGACGGGGGGCAATAGGGGGGCTGTACACAACCTTTCTGGACTTGATCGGGGCCCACTTGTAGCGCTTAACCCAGATGCTGATGGCGGTAAGACCGGTCAGGAGAGCGATGGCCTTGACACCCATCTTCTTGCGCTCGTCCATCTCTGGCTCGGCAGCCCAGTTCAGGAACTCAGTGACATCCTTGGCCATCTGGGAGGTGGTGGCGGGAGTGCCATCCTCGTACTCGACAACACCGTCGAACAGGACACGACCCATAGCAATACCTGCCGTAGATTAGAATATGTAATAACCACAATTGAGTCCAAATGAAAATGTTCCATCACATACCGGTACCGGGGAAGTAAGGGTTGAAGTTCATGCCCTCGGCAACGCTGGCTCCAGCGGGAGCCTCATCAGGGTAACCAGTCAACAGGTTGAAGACGTAGTTGCAGCCACCGTGGCGGCCCTTGATGATCAAACTGAGATCGGGGGGCAGAGCACCGCCGTTGGCGGCACGAGCAGCCTCGTCATTCTTGTAGGGAGCGGGGATGTAGTCAGAAAGCTTTCCGGGGCGCTTCTCGATATCACCCTGGTCGTTGGGCTCGGTGTCGTACTCGTTCTCCTCGGCCATAGCCTTCATCTCATCGACGGTGTGCATGGTACCGACGAACGAACGCCATGGAACACGGGTAAGGGAGTGGCAGCTGGCACAGACTTCACGGTAAACCTGGAAACCACGGCGGAGACTTAAATAGAAAATGTTAGCGGCGTGCGCCGGAGAGTGACGAAATGGCGAGAAGGCAAAAACTCACGCGGCGTGGTCAAAGGTCTTGTTGAATTGCTGGTGAACCCAAGGGTACTGAGTAGGGTGAAGACTAATGATGGAAAAAAAAAACACGTTAGCTCAAATATTGCGAGAGCTAATCCCACAGTCCGGGGGCTGGGCCAGCGGAGAGCGACTAGACTCATGATCTCTAACAAAAAAAAAAGACTTACCCCTCCTCAGCAGGACTAGCAGCGAAAGCCTCCTGGCCATAAAGGTGGTAGTACCACGCGGCGGAACCAGCGGCCGCAGCGGTTGCGATCGAGGCAGTGAGGGTTAGGTAGAAGGGGGAGCTGGCGGCTTCGGCACCGGCGGCGGTGGAAGAAGCGCGCTGGGAAAGATGTCAGAGAATATTCCAATTCGAGTAGAATTCCAAGCAAGAAAGAACAATTGCTCCTTCCGATGAAGCTCAGTGGGCAACCGGGAGTCGATGAGATCGTACCGTAGACTTGCCGAGCGACTGGCGAGCAATGGCCCGAGAGGGCACGCGCAATAGACAACGTGCCGACATGACGAAAACAAACCCTCCAACCTAATTGATGGAAAGGAATTGAGTCGGAAGAGGAGAGAGGGGAGGGGGGAGGGGTGTCTAAGAAGAGATGGATCGAGGTTTGGATGAGGTCGAAGTCAAGTTTCTCTCTTGGGGTCAAATGGCTGTAAAACCTTCGATCTGATTGGCTGGAGAGCTAGCGTCGGTGAAAACCGCGAATTCATCGGAACAACACTTTTGGACACATTCTCTTCACACTCTTCTACCAGAAATACCTCGTCTATTCTATTCTTTTGATGAATATCAAGATATCACATTCATCTTCTACCATCACTACTCCCATCAATTCCTTCAGTCCATCGCCAAATACGTCCCTTTCCCACCCGAGCCACCCGAACCTTGACCTGATTGGCCCGCCTCTGATTATGCGATCGAACAAAATGATAAATTGAAATAATATAATCCATGTCGACCCTTAACAGATCCTTTTGATCTGTTCTATGCCCATTGACGGAATTTACCAATAGGCAATCCAATCTATGGTTGTGATTCTTCAACAGTTCGAAAAGAACCAAGCGCGGCAAATCATGGCTCAGCTCGAACTGCATTATCAACAGCATCGATAAAGTACTGAATATTACCAGGGTTCAGCCCTGCCACCGATATACGTCCGTTTTCCGTCTTCCATCGAGTTAGAACAGCCAATATAGCCAGGTCTATGACAGACTTACCATATAAATATGCCACTTTTCTTTCAAAGTCCGAATTTGACCTTTCGAAAGTCCTGTGTAGCTAAACATGCCAATCTGCGTCGAAAGGTGTGACCAAGAGCCGGGCGTGCCTCGCTCTTCCAGTCCAGACTGTATTTCCTTTCGTACTCCCGCCAATCGGCCACTCATTAGGCAAAGCTCCTCCTGCCATTGGGAGAAAAGGGCCTCGTCATTCAAAACACAGCTTGCAATCTTTGATCCATAGGATGGGGGATTCGAGATCTCTGCTCGCTGTATAATTGCGAGTTGACTCGAGATTCGAGTGGCGAGTTCTGTAGCACTTGAACCCGGTGCACAGATGAAATGGAATGCCCCAGCTCGTTCTCCATACAGACCGAGGTTCTTAGCAAAGGACTGGGCAATACAGCACTCAAAGTCTTGCTCGATGAAGTACCGACATACCCAAGAGTCACGTAGGAGATCACCCGAAGCAAATCCCTGATATGCGCAGTCAATGAACGGGAAGTGAGATCGCTCTCGAATGACCTGGGCAATTTGCTTCCAATCTTCTTGCGTTGGATCAATGCCGGTAGGATTATGGGCGCAGGCCTGAAGGACAATTGTTGACCCTCTAGGAGCATCCCGCAAGCTCTCTAGCATACCCTCAATGTCGATATTGCGCGTGGTAGCCAAATAATAGGGGTACTCCTTCACGGCGAAGCCAGCTTGTGCAAAGATCTGGTAATGATTGGGCCATGTTGGGTCTGATATGAACACCGTAGGCTGCGAAGAGCCTGAGTGAAACCGAGAGATAAAGTTTGCCCCAAGATGAACTGCCCCAGTACCAGAGACTGTTTGATATGAGCATAGCTAGATATCCTCATTGATTAGTGATGATTTATTGAACAGGGTTGTCCGACATACCCGCTTCTGAGCTATCGCTGGACTTTCTGTTCCCAGAATAAGTTTCTGAGCCGCGGTCAAGAAAGAACCAAGACCTTGGATTGGTAGATATTCGTGGTTTGAGTCAGGATTTTCTCGTAGTATTTTCTCAGCCTGTCACTGTTAGAAAAATCCAGCAGAATTGCTACGAGAATTGGAATATCACCTTTTTCACAACCGGCAGCACCCATGGTTTACCAGAACTATCTCTATAGGCACCAATACCAAGATCAATCTTATTAGCATCCTTGTCCTCGCGATACTCTCTCATCAGACGATAAAGAGGATCCTCAGCTGCTCCTGGAACATTTTCCAAAGTGAAAGAGCTGTAGGAGATAGAACCCATACTGAAAAGCCAATGTTTAGAATTCAGAACTTAGAACTGAGAGCTTGTTGCTTAGATACAAGATAAAGGTCTTAATTTAGTTCATAAAAGACACCAAAATCGTGTGTAAAGATTTAGCCCCTCGCAAACTATGGGGGCCGTGTATTCTGGTTGGTCATTCGGCGATTAAACTATCAGACGATGCCCAAACTCGTCATATCTGGATCAGGGCTACGTACTGTGCATATTTGCAATGTTTCTCCTCTATGACGCGATATGCACTTTTGGTTGGCTGTCTAGAATCAATAATATCAATACTTATGATAGGTCAGTGGATTCCCCGGACTTCAGAACTTAATTTAGGTGATAGACTGAGTATCAGATCTTTTGTTTCTGAGGTCTAATCCACGACGATGCCCGGTGCTTTTGCGGGGTTTACTAGATGATTTCTCAGTCGGCGTTCAATTCTGAGCCCGAGTGAAGACTTTTCTCGCACGAAATAGCCATTGTAAACAAATAAATATTTAAGATGTCCTGATCAAGCTATTAATATGTTTCAATTTCAAGTTTTATCTCCAGTCTACCTACTACGAGGTTTACGATCAATTATTGACAGATTCCGAGATGACTAGCCTCTATCATGAGCCGAAATGTACACTTTCAGCAGAACAACCTGGTGAGTCTATAAAACAAAAGAATGAAAAAGGTTGGCGGCAGATAGTACGCAACTTTACACCAGCGTGAGTTTAAACAAGAAGCGCCTATTGGAACCGGAGCTAACAGTCAAGAAGATGGTTTTCAGTGAATATGGGAACTGGAATAGTCTCAATTCTGTTGAACACTCTGCCCTATAATGGACAATGGCTCTACTCTATATCAATCATTGTCTTCGCATTGAACGTGTTATTTTTTATTGCCATTCTGGCTATAACCTTGCTACGCTACATACTCTATCGGGATATCTTCAGGGTGATGATTGCCCATCCGGTACAATCACTGTTCCTGGGCACCTTTCCAATGGGCTTAACTACTATCATCAATATGTTTTGCTTTGTTTGTGTGCCTGCTTGGGGAGAAAAGGCAGCTTATTTTATTTGGGCAGTGTGGATATTCGATGCAGTTGTGTCGGTGTTGCTAGCCATTGGCATCCCGTTCATATTGTCAGTGCTTCCTTTTGAAGAGTTATAATCTGAAGCTTGGATTTTTCCTCCACTAACACTTTTCTATATGGATGTAGCACCACACAACGAAATGGAGCTGATCTATCCTCCATGACTGCCGCCTGGCTTCTTCCAATTGTCACATGTGTCGTTGCAGCAGCATCAGGGGCCATCGTGGCTGATGTTCTACCAAATCCACAACTGGCTCTCTGGACCATCATCTCAAGCTACATTCTTTGGGGCATTGGCGTTCCCCTGGCACTCATGGTGATATGCATCTACCTCCAGCGCCTAATGTTCTATAAGCAACCACCAAAAGCAATGCTAGTGAGCGTATTTCTTCCACTCGGTCCTTTAGGTCAAGGTGGATTTGGGTAAGTGATCCCTATCTCCAGTTGTTAAAGTGCAATATCTTACTCCTATTAGTATTCAAAGACTCGGCAAAAGTGCACAGACAGTCTTTCCTCAAACAAATACTCTCAATGCCTCTGCGGGTGAGATGTTCTATTGTATGGGTTTCTTCATTGGAATCATACTCTGGGCCTTTGCACTGGTGTGGTTGATCTTCGCTGTCGCCACATTGATCAAATCGAGGAGATTCCCGTTCAATCTGGGCTGGTGGGCGCTAACTTTTCCATTGGGAGTGTTTTCTACCTGTACTTGTACCATAGGTCTAGATTTATCCTCGCGCTTCTTCTCAGTACTTGGAACAGTAAGTTGTGTCATATTTGTTGATATAGACCTCTATTGACTTTTATCTACAGGTATTTTCTTTGATTGTAGTGTTCCTATGGCTCTTTGTCTCTTATCACACTAGTCGTGGCATTATCCGGGGTGATATCTTCGTGGCGCCCTGTTTAAAGGATCTTGATAGGGTCCCAGATCGGTTAGGGGCCGCTGTTTGATTAGGTATCATATTTAGTTGTTGTACAGGATACAATACAGACATTGGACTTCGATGAAAAAAAACTATGTTAGAGTATCTAGTACCAAGGTAAGTAGGTAGAATTTCTTATCTGTGTATGTAGCACAGCTGTAACCTAGCCCTGAAGTATGTACCTTGATGTCATCTATGGCCGGGGGTATTGGCGATATGGATGTAGATCACAGAGGTATACCCGATGTAGATGATCACCTGCATTTAACTATTTAATTGAGTCTAAATAATGCTAGCACAGTCATTGCATTAGTTCAATTAACAGAAAAGGTTAAGAACAAGGGGTGTAGGAATATTCTGGGCGAACGTATTGGGTCCAAACGTAGATCCTATCTGCATGGACCAGGTTCTCAATCGCCGACTAAAAATCCCGGGGCCCCGACATAATAAAGAGCTGACCGCCAGTTTCAATTCAAGATAAGAATAGTTATACCGGCTAGTTGCGCCTATTATCGTCATAATAAAGCCAAATTTTCTTGAAACACGGCTTATAATTAAACAAGTTGAGTCCCTGGGTCCTTTCGTTAGCCATTCGTCAAGACCACGTTGTGATCCTTATTATAGATCAGGAATACTACTATTGACTGTATATTCTGAATTTCCCTCACTCTTTTCCATATCCATATTGGTCTCTGTTTCTAACAGGTTTCGTTACTTATGTTTCATTACTTAGGATTCGATAGGTGTTCTACGCGTACGCTGTAGATTTCTTTAGCCGTATAATTACTTCGGATAATATTACATGGAGGTATTAGAAATATGATCTAGATGTTGAACTCGTTGAACTAGTTATGGAATGAATAATAACTAACCTATGTCAAAATCCGGGATGGATGTGAAGAACGAATGATTATAGCACGTTGGATCAACAAAGGCTGGTGCAAGAGGAAACAACAGGTCCTGTCCTTCTGGAAGCGCAATGAGTGGTCTTATTGGCTGGTTCGTCCTTTCTGTACTAGTCGGTGTTGAATCCGCAGGAAAGAAGTTCCTAAGAGGCTCTGTGCACCATCGTTCCAAGACATCCGACAAGGCGTCGGCTGCAGAGACCCTCAGATGATTATAGGCAGCATCAGCTATATTCCAGATTCTCTTTGTGGTTTTCAGACATCCTAGGATAAGTGTTACACGATTATAGTGGTGATCAAAACACTCTTCGTTGTGTTTGATGGATGTGGCCAGTTGAATCATCCCACATAGGGCCAGTGCAGGAATGATAAAAGGGGTATGTTTCGGGACATTAGGGCAGAGTGAGATGGCATCGGACAATCGCCGGGATGCTTCGGTGGCTTTGATACTGTGAATGGGGCGATTAAAAGTAGAGGCTAGATGGCGCGTCGCAACGGGCCAGAACTGATCATCCGATTGTGATAGTACGGGCTGCAAATCACTCCTCGGAAGATGCAGAAGCATGGTGGCATATGAAATAGTCATGTGTGCCTGAAACATCATCTCATCAATGTTCCCGTATGCATCAACGATATCCAGTTTTTTGGCAGGCAAATGATTCACCCAGCTGACAAGCGCATTTTCAACAGCTTGTACATGATCACGATGATAGTCTCTTAGCCCATTAAGCACAAAAGCTCTGCATAATATCGTAGCGGCTTCAATGCGGTAACTGAACGATGAAAATACTGTTTCTTCAGCCGCGAACACTCTACGCTTGAAGTCCAGAATTTTCCGGGGAGTGGGTATCTCACAAGTGCCCGTATATACTGACTCCTCACAAGGTAGAGCAACCTCTGGTGCCATATTACTGCACTGAAAAGTATTATATTTGAATGGCGCTGCCATAAAAATATCAGTGAGATACAGCTCCCACCATGTCCGTCGCATGCTTTCAGCTTCGATGGAGTTCTCGGGGTGTGCCGATGCGGCGAAATCGTGACGGTTCATACCAAGCTCTAATGCTATATCCACACTGCGTGCGATGGCATCCTGTGCATCTTGCCATTCGCCATGAGCGTAGATGGCGATAGAGTATATTAGCCAAGCCTGGACCATAGATGGTGATCGTTCTGGACAGCAAGTCAACTCTGCGACAACTTTGTCCCTGAATTGCTGACTTGATCCCGATGGACTTGATCCTGATGGAATATAGTGCGAACCGACGAAATTCACAACCAGTTGTAGGAAATCGGGATATTGCCGGTCGTTATACATAGCACTGGGCACTAACATGGGGTGAGCGACATGGAAGTTTTCATAGAACAATCGCAAATAGCGATCATCATGAGACCAAGACTCCTGAGTTTGACTATGTGAAATCATAGGCCAGGGGATATGACCAGTCGAAACACTTGCATCAATTCTTTGACGTGACGTACTGACAGGCGTATCAGGCTGACTAGGGGATAGAATTAGAGACTGAGAAATTGTTAGATATCTGTTCAGACAATTGTATTTATTCCACTATAAGGATAAACTCACGTCGTGATTGGGTTGATTAGATATTTGGCGGGGTTCACGGGTTTTTCTGCGGCCACCACGTCGCGATGGAAGATATTGACAAAGATATTTATGTTCCAGGCAGCGCGAACATGATGGTTTCTGAGCGTCACATTTCAGATGTTGTTTTCGACACTCTGTACAAGCCAATAGAGCCAGACCGGTCTGTTTTGTAGATCTTGGAGTCATGATCAGAGGCTGGAATGTGAGAGAAGATCCCGCAGATGCATCATTATTGTCGTAAGAAATCAAGAGTGTCAATTGCAGCGTCTTGGAGAGATCAGCCTAATTCACTCAACCCTAAAGAATGGTGTAGAATCTACCTATTCACCCTCGCTGCTTTTGCTCATTGGTAGAACTGAGCACGCGTCTGCCCCAATGGGTATTACGTAAGCTGAGCTGATTTGCTGGGAATTGAACATACTAAATCCTTCGATACTCACAATATTATAGAGTATTGGAGGACGCTATGGCAATATATAACATTGCCAGTGGATCGATCTTGGCAGATTTTAATTAAGCATATGACTTACCTCGAAAGCTGCGACGAGGATGAGGAGTGGAGTAGAGTTACCGTATGTCGTACTACTTCCTACGTATCAGCATATTTACATCTAGAATTGAGAAGTGACAAGTCGCCGATACATGCTATCTTGATCAGTTGACCTTGAAACTGTATCAGAAATGCATCTGCATCAGGCCAATCCTCTTTGATAAGGATCATAACGTGATCTTGCCCCCGAATGGCCAACCAAAGGACAGGACTCGTGGACTATACCACAGGGCCCTGTTCTCGAAACCTGTAAGAAACCGAGACTAATCTCAATGAGGAATCGAATAACTCCAAGAAGAATAATTCAGAATTTTCAATTAATACTCCGTAGGTAATACAATATCTGAAGGAGCAGGACTGGCGACGCTGGCGCAATCGGCGATATCGGAAGCAAACTCAGGCGTCAATCGCCGATTCACCACCCAACGTCATATTATATTCGGGGATTGAAGAAGCCATAAGGATCCGGCCATAATCTCTGATACTTTATAAATGCCCCCTGTTCGCTTGATTTGACATTCTGAATAAACTACACAAATCCAAAGTCAATATCAATATCGCAATTTCTTTTCAAGATGTCTTCTTCCGTTGTTTCTTCAGTCCCGGCGATCGATAAGACCATATCCCCGAACTACCAGCCCTTCAAGGAACGATACAACTTAGAAAGTCTCGTTCAAGATATCAAGAAGTATCTGGGAGAGTCAGGCGGAATCTCTTCCGATGAAGTTGATTCTGCACACTTGATTTCTCTAGCAAAGAAGTACATGTCCGATCCAAGTGATTGGATAGAATATTTCTACAACGACACCAGCAGAAACTATACGCGCAATGCTATTGAGAACATCAATCAAAAGGCGAACATCGTAAGTCATTCAAGACTCAAGTAATGCTTATACTATGGACATATATTAACTATTTTAGCTTCTCCTCGTCTGGAATCCGGGCAAGGGATCACCAATTCACGACCACGCCAATGCCCACTGCATCATGAAGGTACTCTCAGGTCAACTCAACGAAACAGTCTATGAGAACCCAGAGCATGAACAGAATGAGGAAAAGAAACCGTTGACAATCAAGTCATCCACCACATTCGGAGTGAACGCGGTGACCTACATCTCCGATGATATAGGTCTCCATCGTGTCAGCAACCCCAGCAGCAGTGAAGTCGCTGTCTCCTTACATCGTGAGTTATACCAAAGGAAATTTACCCGTCGAGAATAATTACTGATAAGACCCCAAAGTCTACACACCTCCTAATGCGGCAGACTACGGTTATAATATCTTTGATGAAGCTACAAGCTCTAAAAGCCATGTACCACAGGCCCGAACTGCTATACCGCCACTCCAGTCTTGATTTTTGATGAATGTTTCTAGCGTTATTTTCTTTCTTTACAACTTCTACGGCGTTGGATCATATTGCTTAGCCCTTGCATATCATAATTAGCGATCTGTGCAAATGCTTGCATTGATATCCCGTTTAATATCCCGAGTTCCGTCAGAGGTCTTTTTTACATTTTACACTGAATTGAAGCCAATCCCTAGCTTACGACTTCCAATTCGTGTACGTCGAGGAATTCAAATATGAATATGTCAACCATGGATATCTCGATCTTACTCAACTATCTAAATAATAAATACCTAGGTAGTTGACTATGGAAAGAAGCGGACGTCGGGAACAATTACATTAGATATTATGGCTTCAGTAAATTGCATGCATTTCAGAAGACATAGCGGTTTGATTATTTTCAGCAGTACTCCGTAATCTAAATTAAATTTCTCTTCTCACCGCCTGGTCGTGTTATTGGATTGGGCGGTGTGGAGACTGCAAGCCTCGAACAATCGCGACTCCCTAGAGATATCATTAACTATTAATATTAAACCCATTCGACGAGCACAGTTCGATTTTAATCTGGAGGAGACCGGTCTTCTCTAGAATCGAACTCCGTGCTTTGCACCCCAGCGCCACCACCCGTTCCCAATGAAGAGACCAGACAGCAGATATGCCGCCGAACGGGAAAAAAGGAATGACGCCGACGCAGCCACGCAGAGATGTGCTGGCCTCTCTGCGTATGGCGTCTATGGAAGAAGTTGCGCGGGCTTCCTTACCAGCTGGTACGTCGAATCACTGAATGGATAAACAAGCCTTCTAACGCTACTAAGAGATCATGTCGTCCATTCTTGATCACCTCGGTCCTGTTGACCTCATCCACGCAGCGCGGTCATGCAAGCTCTTACACGAAATGGCATATGATGATACCAGATGGGTATACATGCTAAAGCGAATTGGGTGCTGGAATGAGACAGATGCTCGAAAACATATCGAAAAATCATACGGGAGCATTACGAATATGGATGCTGTTGGTGAGCAAGAAGTGGCTGAGGTAGTAGGAGCTGTGGCCTCCGCGATTGCGGCTCAGGACTCATCCGCGACAGATGTGAACGCTATCTCTGATGGGTTTGACAAGATCGAGATCGGGAATATAGCTTCACAGCCCAACTTGCTTGAAACTGATATGGAAGATCCAGATTTGGTGGTGATAAAGCAGGCGAAGTCCATTCGGGGTGAAGCTCGTCAGGAGTACGGGAAGATTCATGCCGTATTGGCACCTTTTTACAACGATATCGTGAGGTCTGGGCCGTCGACAGATAATCTGGTTTTCCAAAAATATACAGATGAGCGATCCCAAGCGCAGATATTGTCTCAGTTGCGTGACTTTGCCAAATCAGATATGATTGACGGCTGGGAAGAACGGGAAGATCGCCTGGAGAACACAGTGTCCATGTTTGAAACTACTGCTTTGAATGAGTTCCGGAAAGCCTACGACACAGAGGACGTTGATGGAAATATGCGAAAATACGGAAATGTCTTGTGGATGCTCAATGGCGGCAATTCCGCGGTGGAGTTGTTTATTCGCCACAATCATATAATGACTCGCAAGGAAGAGCTCGGATCGCCAGCCGATTGCATTGACTTGACCGGCAAATTGAGACTTCAGCACACACAGGCCTTTTTTACTCGCGTAAGTGTTGCTTATAATGAGGAGGTTACTATAATGAACCGCGTTTTTCCTCCGGAGCTGGACGTGGCGTCTGCCTTCATGCAAAAGGTCGGAAAGGATGTCCTCTCTCCATTTTTGACAGCTATATTTGACGAGCTTCATCGCACTAGCGTGGAGTCGTATCTGAGCGCGATTTCACTCACCTTCATCCAGTGCATGAACTTATCTGAAGCTCTTCTGCCCATCCGAAACTCCAACGATAAATTCGACCAGTATCTTGATGCTGTCGTTTGCAAGATCTACGAGCCACACATTGAACTATATCTAGCAGAAGAGCTCAATTACTTCCGAAAGGGGTGTGAGGCGACAGTTACCGACTGGGATCGCCAGCTTTCCGAACAAGCAGCCTCGACTGAATCATATCTGATGTCGAATGTCAACCGACAGGCTGATAAAAGAGACTTCCTTACATCATTTAAGAAAGTGATCATGATGCCAGTGAACATACTCCCAAGCTTTTCCAAGTCCAATGGAGACTCGAAACCAGATGCAGGCACTAGTGACAGCGGCACGCCCACAACTTCCAAGAGTCCCAACCGATTCTCCACGATCACATCTCCTGCTCCGGCGTTCCCCGAAGAAGCCCCAAGTACTGAACTTGCAGCCAAGGCAGCCATCATGAAAACAAAGATGGAAGGCATTCGATCTTTGTTCAGCATTGAAATCGCCCTGAGCCTGGTTCATACCGCAAAATCTAGTCTCGAGAGAGCCGCGCAGTTTGTGCGCCTCGGTGGACAATACGGTACGGCAGCGAAGAATCAATGCGCGGCAATCTTTGTCGCTCTCTTGCGGATTCTGGGCTACCGCCATGTCATAATCGGCTTCGACAAGGCGATCGATCATCTGTCTAACTACCGACCACGCGAACAGGATGAGCGTGATCAGTCTGGTGTAGAGCCTTTAGTGACATTCTTGGAGCTGGTCAACGTCGGGGACCTGATTTTACAAATGGTGGACGTTTTCTACGAACAAGAATTGATTGGTACAAGGCTGACAGATCGGAACGACTTCCTCGACCCTGCTGTGAAAGAGAAGAAGAAATTTGAGCAGCTCCTTGATGAACGTGTTGCTTCTGGCTTGAATAAGGGTATTGACGTCCTCATGGAAGAAGTAGACTATATCCTCGCCACGCGGCAGCTGGCTACAGACTTCAATCCGGGTGTATCGTCTGATCCCCATCGACAGACTATGGACGTGGGTGTGAGTGAAGCCGCCACGGCTGTGGTGGATATTGTCTCATCTCACACGCAGATGCTGGTGGGAAGTACGGATAAGAGCACACTGGATGTGTTTAACCAAGAAGTCGGCCTCCGCTTATTCACAGCTCTATGCAAACATCTCAAGCGACAGCGCATCAGTGTCGAGGGATCACTGAAGCTAATCAGGTATGAACCACCCCTACTTTATGAACTTATCAAATTGACTCAGCCTCCAGCGACATGAACCATTACTTCAAATTCGTACAGACACTGAGGAACAGCGAGCTACTCTTATATTTTAAGGCTTTCCGGGAACTTGCACAGATCTACCTGATCGATCCGTCTGATGCTAAAGAGCTAGCGACGCTTATTGCCGACGCAGATCGGTTCCAGGGGATCTGGCGCGTGGAAGAGGTATATGAGTTTGCGGAGCGCAGAGCTGACTGGTACCAGGTCAAGCGCAATGTAGAACGAGCCATGTATGGCATTGGATGTAGCTTGATGTAAATTATGACCGATACCAATGCATAGCGTGAAGTTTTTATATACTACTTCATACGTCATCCGAAGTTATCGACTATCTGACCGTATACCAGTAATTCATTGTCTATTTTTTCTGGCTTTTCTTCCTTCACTTTCCCTTTTTTCCCCCATTTCTTCTGGTTCATCCATCAACCTGGCTGGGTATGTAGGTAGCATCTGACGTCAACAGCGGCTACTGGAACATCTCGTCTTGAAATCACTTCCTATTCTGGTCCAGAACATCCAAATCCGGCCACAGACTCAGACTGAATCAAACCAGGCACAAAAAGCAAATAATGTCATTGGCAGGTTATTCTCACTCGTTTTGTTCCTGCAGGTACCGTGAAATTGATTGGATATGACGCTGTTATATCAACACATCACTCTTGTACCGCCGGTTCCTGAATCATGGCTCGGATGACTATAGATTTCCTGCTGGCGCCCTACAATCAAAATCAACCATTGCAAGGGCGGTGTATGTGCTATTATCTGCGGCGCCGACTTCCAAGCCAAAAAAAAAACATTCTGTTTTGGCAAGATCCGAATATTTAGCACACGACTCTTTTATAATGCAGTAACCAAGACCTGACGACCTAGATCCTGCTTTTCCTCTTCGCTGAAAATCTACCTGCAACGATGGTTATCAATCTTAATTCGTCAAGATGGCTCATATTAAGCATCTTCATTATGAGAATCTGCGCTAAAGAAGCCGTCATCGTCATCGAAACTACAAAGACAGTCATAGCAACACCAACTATCCCAACTCCATCCTCTTACACCTCCCTAAGCGAGTTCAAAAACACAGTCCTGAAAGTAAGCAATAAATATCGCAATGTCCACGATGCAGACGGGCTAGTGTGGAACGAAACATTGGTGAAATATGCAAAAGAATGGGCTGAAACGTGTATCTGGAAGCACTCGGTAGGTTTACTTTATTTCTCTTCCAATCTTAATAGATCGAGACAGCCTCTTTTAACTCCTTTGCGTATTCAGGATGGGCCTTACGGTGAGAATCTCGCGTTTGGCTACTCTAATGCTTCGGCTGCTGTCAAGGCATGGGGCGATGAAGGGGAATTGTATAATTTCTACAAACCGACTGGTTTTACTGAGCAGACTGGCCATTTCACGCAGCTGGTGTGGAAGGAGACGATGCAGGTTGGATGTGCTGCTGTGAACTGTGGATATACTGACAAGACACTGGCCGAAAGAGATGAGAATGAAGACAAAGGGAAAGACGTGCTGGTTACTAGGGCTCCTGACGGTAGCGAGAGGGCTCAGGGTTGGTATGTCGTTTGTGAATATACGCCGGCAGGCAATGTGGTTGGAGGAGAAAACAAGTACTTCAAGTTGAATGTATCGCCGAAGAAATACTCGGATACAACAACTGAATCAAGAGGATCAACAGCGATATTGCATAGTGGAGTGAGTTTGATGCTGTTAGCGTTCGGGGTTGTAGGAGTTAGCATGGGTCTCTATACATAGATCTAAAAGATTACAAAAATACTGGAGTGGAAGAAGGTGGAAATCGCAAAAACAGCTTGTTTCGTAGACATGTCTCATGCTGATCCACATTGCACATCAATCTATCGATTTTTGAGAGGCCCCGATCCTCATAAAATGGTTGGATCCAAAACGGGGACGGCATATAGGGCCTCAGCGCAGAGGACGCCGTTGAGAAAAAACATAGGAAAAGGAGAAATTGGAAAAACATTATAGAGGATGGGAAAAGAAAATGGTTCCTCAACCGATGACCTCCTCGGTCTCTTCGATAATTTCTTCGACAAGCTCCTCGACGACCGTGTCGCCCTCCTCGCCACCGCCAATTGGCGCGTCCTTGGCCAATTTGGCTGAGTCGGCATCCTCGGGCAGGCCAAAGGCCTCCTTCTCTTCGGACGAAATCTCCTTCTCCCGACGCATCCAAGCAAGCCACTCGCTGAGTACCCGCTTGCGAGTCTCCACAACAGCGGTGTTGGCGATGTCCACGGCGTATCGGTCCTCCTCGTCGAACTCCTTCGAGTACTCGCGTAGGTTCTTGCGAACCTGTTTCTGCTCCTCCTTGCTGAGGAGGGTAGCCGGGCGTGGGCGCCAGGCAAACTGCTTGAATTTTTCGGTAGGGTTCTCGGAGAGGGTAGTTCCGGAGAAAGTGTGCATGTTCCAGCCATTTTCCATCTAGAATCCTAATTAGTATATTGATCAAATTAGACCAAGTGGGTGAAGTCTTACTGAGTGAGTCCACACACTGGCACTGGTGACCACGAAACGACCGGTAGGGTCCCATTCAATGTCAGTGACACCGTAGTGTTCAACTGTCTTCATGAGCTGGAGGTTGGCAGCCAGGTCCTTCTCAGCCTCAACCTTCTCACCCTCAAAGTCCATATCCCAGAAGTCGATGTCAAAGTTCGACTGCGAGTGGACTGTGGCAACAACGACGAAACGGCCCTTGGGTGACCAGTAAATGGCATTGCTGTTCTTCTTTTCAATAGTGCGGATCAGCTTGAAGTTACCAGCAGTAGTACCCTTCTTCTCCGGGGCGAAGAAAGAAACGGAAGCCTTGGGGGCAACGACAGCGGCGCCGGGGGCAGCCTCTCCAGTAGTAATGAGAACGAAACGAGATCCATTGGGCTCCCAGGAGAAATTGATCACTGTTTCCTTCAAACTATCAACAACCTCAACGGGCACACCCTTCTCGCGAATGCGGAAAATCTCGAGGTTAGTGGCCATAGACTTCTTGGACTTGGAGTGACGGTCGACCTTAACACAGAGGTAGGCACCCTGGGATTGCCAGTGGAGCTTGACATCGGAGACATTGAAAAGGTTACGGGTACGGACAATCTCCTTGGAGGGGACAGTCATCAGAGCAACACGGGCCGGGTTGCTGCCAATCTCGGGGGTCCAGAAGCTGAGCAGTTGCTCGTATGTCTTGACGCCCTCACGGGTGGTGGTGGCGGGAGACCACTCGAAGTCGCTCACACCTTCAATTTTGATAGAGGTACGACCCAAAAGGTTCATGTTGGGCAACTCGTAGATAGAAATGGATTGTCCCTGGAGCATACGAGCAACGTACTTCTCGTCAGAGGACCACTTGAAGGCGGGCCACTGAACCTTCTTCTTAGGCTGAATATCGTCAACAGCGGGACCAGCGGCAAGTTCGTGCGAAACGAAAGATCGGAGAGGCTTGCCAGTCTCAATATCCCAAACGATAATGTTCTTTCCTTCCTCCTCGTAAGTAAGGATGGGGTCACCCTCCTCAACCTGGATCGGGCGAGAGGACCATGTTGTCAAGTAGCCCTCGAGGGGAGAGAATTCGATCAGTTGAACACATGGGTGAGGGAAACGCTTTTGTTTAGAGAAAGAGGCGCCACCCCAGAGTTGGACACCCTGTTGGTGGACTGAAGCAAGGAAGGTACCCTTGGGGGACCATTGGACGAAAAGTTGTGTCCAGTGAGCGCGATCGACAACGTTCTCCGGGGGATTGGTTTTGTTGTTCCAGAAAACACCGACTTTCTCGTTGCGGAAGAGGGCGAACTGATCACGGGCGTGGGCATCTCCCATCCAGGAACGCAGGTGCTCCTTCTCCTGGAAAGCCTCGACAGAAGGCGCTTGGTACTCCTCGTCAATGCGACCCTCACGACCATAGCGCTCGATATCCATCAGTTTGTTAACGGCCAGAGTGTGCTTCTTATCGAGAGGGACGCCGTGGAGCTGCTTCACGGCCTGAATGGCCTGTTCGGGGGTTTCGTACTCAACAAAAGCATATCTATATTGAAAAAAAAACGTCTTTAATCAATCGGCTGTTTGGCCTGTGCAATGTTCATTGTATACGTACCCTTCGGTTTTACCTTGGTCGTTCAGCGGCATAAAGACAGCATCTTCGGAGGTGTGGCCGACAGTGTTGAGTTTCCTCAACAAGAATTTGACGAGCTTCTGCTTGGAGTCTTCGGGTACAACGGGGAGCCCATCGATGACGACAAAGGTATCTAGGCCTTCCTCAAGTTTCACTTCATATTGCTCCTTAAGATCTGGCCAGCTAAAGTTAGAGAGGGGCACGAGCGGGTAATAAAAAGAATCTTCAAAACACACCGGAGAAGTCAACCTCCTCCTCTTCTTCCTCATGGAAATCCTGCTCAGTCAGGGTGTCGAAACTGGGCGCCATGATGGGTAATGTGAGGCGACAGCCGGGTAACTGATGGTTTGAACTTCGAAGTTTTTCAAGAAACAAATCCACAAATCTCCTCGCCGCCAAGCGGGTTCTTTGTGCGCGCTGACTCAGCCAATTTATATGTCACGTGCTATGTTAGTCAGCTTCCCCGGAGGTTGCATTTAATTTGCATTAGCTAAAGCATGCAAGTATAGCTACTTGGATGGATACTTGGACTTGGACTTCGTGTTATTTTCATTGAGCTTTATTTACTTGATTGCTACTTTTTACAAGGGGAATTTACTCTGGTCTTCTTTTTCCATATTAATATCTGGAGGCTTTTTTCTCGCTCCGGCCCGCGTCCCCGCCGCTCTTGAGCGCCAGTACGACGAGAGTAACTACACCTCAACGCTCATGCGCTAGCGCCATTCTACTACATACTATACTCAGCAGGAGCTTCCGGTGTAGCATTTTTACACAGTCTGAATATCATTTGCTTATTAAAATACACGATCTCCGGATTGACTGCAAAAAATATGTCGCGTATGTTGTCGCAGCCACGTCCCGACTCCAATTGCCAGGCTCCGTCAGCATGCCCAATCTCCTTGACTAACCGGGACCAATAGTTTCTCCCGAACTGCGCGATCAGTATACTGAGACCATTGACTCAATATTGGCTAAGAGCGATCTCAATACCATCTCTGAGAAGCGGATCCGCAAGGGTCTCCAAGATGTTGTTGGTTATGATCTCACGCCGCAGAAGGTCAGCTATTTTTTCGGCACCAAAGAAGTCATCAGACTAACAGTACACAGGCTGCCATAAAACAGCTTATCATGGAACGATTTGATATCCATGCCGAGAAGAACGGAGTGGGCGAATCCCCCGATGAGCCCGTCAGCAATGGGCCAAAGGACAGCGATTCCCCCTCAGTAGTCCCATCTCCGCGCCCATCTTCCTCCCCCGTGAAACACCAAGCCAGTGAAGAAGCTTCTGACCTGCATATCGCATCTCCGCCTCATAAAAAACGCAAACAGGAGGCCGATGTCGATATCGACGCCGATGCCATGTTCGCGGCCAAGCTACAAGCGGAGGAGAATATGCGCGCACGGCCAACCCGAGGCGGAAACACAAGGCGCACCGCGCCAAGTAAAAAGAAAAGCAAGGCCAAGACTTCCAAACGGGTCAAGGCCGAGGATGATTCGGATATTGAATCGGGCTCGGATACTAAGAAGGAAGTCAATCGAACTGGCGGGTTTCATGTAAGCAGAAATCTTCGGTTGTTCTGAATTGCATCGGTCTGATTTATTATGCAGAAACCACTCAATCTCTCCCCCTCTCTATCAGCACTTTTAGGAGGCCAAGTCACTGTATGTTCATGTTCTACCCCATTTCGATCCCTATTTAATATGCTGACTTTAAAAAGCTTTCACGACCACAAACGGTCAAGAAGGTCTGGGAGTATATTCGAGAAAATGAACTTCAAGACCCTAGTGACCGGCGACAGATTCGATGCGACGACCCCATGCGTGCGGTCTTTAAACAGGATCGTATCCATATGTTTACCATGACCAAGATTCTCAATCAGAATCTGTATAATCCGGATGAATAGTCATTGCACCTGGGAGGAACATCCCTGGTTGTGAACTGTCCAAATTGGCACTCTGTTTCATTCTAACGACCCTGTCTTTTGATTGTTTGGATTACTTGCGATGCATGGGGGTGCTTGGTTGGACTACTCCAAGTTGCTCCCGTCGAGGCAGCTTTTGATTTTTTGATTTTTTTGAAGATTGGCGCTTGTCTCCTTTCTTCAGTTCATCTCTATATAAAGACTTTGCTTTTTTTTTTTTTTTTTTTTGCTTTCTAGCCGGCGTTTTTGCGGCCCCGGGGCCCGAGAGGTCATAGTTATCGGCTCTGAGCAATTGCATTATATCATATCCCAATGCAAGCAGTATAGTCTGGAGCAAACGCTAAAATTGTTCTACATACTCATTCACACACACTCTTGCTCACTTTTACTCTTGCTGCCACTCTCATTCTCACTCTCACTACTAGCACGTAAGCTACTGACTTGCTTCCGAAAAATCGTTAAATTCACAGTACGAGGATTGTATCACCAAGTTTTATTACCAGAATTCATAATAGTACCCAGTTTTGAAATCGCTTATAAGAATGAGATTCAGCATACAATGTACAGAAATTGGCTGCCGCCATCGAACTTTATCCAAAGTGAAACAAGGTCTGCTTTCCCTTCTTCTTTTTTCCCTTTTGACCAACTGCTTCATCGTCAAACTCTGCAGGAGAAGTAGCTCCCGAGGGTTCATTGGATCCCCAAGCGGCAGAGGTCGGTGTGCGCCGTTCATCCCAGCGTGCAGCGGAGCCGCGCGATTTGCCAGCCATCATCACATTAAGCTTAGGAGCTGCAGGAAGTGCAGGGAATGCATCGGATGCAGGCTTGGGAAGTGGGCGAGTGGAGGTGGTTGGTGTGGAAGAAGAGGAGCGATTGGGGGTACTAGTAGCAGTAACGGATGGACGTGCCAGGGAAGGGGGTGGGGCGGCGACAGCCCATGGGGTTGCACCAACTGGAGTTCGGCGACTGGATGGGCCGGCAGAAGAAGAAGAAAGTGGAGGGAAAGGATTTGATGAGGATTGCACGGCGCGGTTCTTGCCGACAGCGGATCGTGATGACTGTGCAGTGGATGACTTTAAGCGTAATACGCGCATACCACCGGTATTCGCAGTACCCGGCATACCTGGGATATTTCCGCCCGGACCGGGGAGAGAAGGATAATCCTCATTGATGGCGCGCCAGTCACTCCATGCCTGTAAGAGACCTGTTCGTTTATCCTCTTCCTCGTAAATCTCGGCAAGTTCCTTAATGAGTTTACCCAGTTCAGAACTAGATGTATCAAACAAAGAAAAAAAGGCATCTATGAGGCCCGTAGCTGAAATCGAAGAAGTTCGGTAGCTGGAAACTCGAGTACGGAACTCGGCAAGCTTATGGGTATCATTGCGCAAGAGGTTTGAGGCCCGATCGACCACAGCCGTGTGGCGCAATTGCCGTGCCTGATCATGTGGACCGATTGGTTGAGGGTTAGCAGCTAAGCTGAGGCTCTCTAGCTCTGCAGCCGGGGGCCGTTGAGAACGCGATGCAGAAGACTGCACAGGAGTGGTACCGGCTGATCGATCCGGAGCCTGCACTGTCTGGGTATCATTTCGTGACAACTGGCCACCGAAGCTTCGAGTAGAGACAGACTGCGCGCTCTGGATGGCCATTTGTCGCTGATAGGCAAGTTGGTCTCGCCTCATTGGTTGTGCACTTGATTGCGGCAGGGGTTCTGCATTGGGATCGCGGCCCCTACCAGCACCACGACGTTGACGTTGTGGCTGATAAGGGCTTCGCATATTATCAAATTCAGAAAGGTCAACAAGTCGTGCGTCTCTCCTTATATCCTTAGATACTCCCTCTGGGTGTGACTCTAGCTGGTGGGCTTTGAGGTCCATACTTGAATCGAACACGACAAATTTCTTCTCCAGGCATTCCTTGTCCAGGCAAATGAAATGATCCTTCTGGAAATGCGTTTCGAGGGCGTTGTAATCAAGATAGTACTGTTGCTGACGATGCGAAGAGCGTCTGTCACAGATATGGCAACGCTCATGACGGTCTCGGCAATGAGCATAAAGCTCGTCGTCTCCATAGAAGCGTTGTCGACAGAAACCACACTCAGGGTGTCCCCTGAAACCACTTTGGTCGATAGCACCTGGTTTATCGTCGCCACTTTTCTCGTGCTTTTTTAGCTGGGCCGGAGTGAAGAGAGTATGTTCATGAGTAAAAACTTTTTTGTTGCGAGTGCACAGATCACACAGAACCTTGCTATGTTGAGTCTTCACATGGCGATGCAAATCTGGCCATCCCAAGCAAGCAACATCACAGTCCTCGTCCGGGCAGTTGTATCGTAGTAGAAGCACTGTATCCTCAAAAATATCATCCTTTTCATATTGAATGCCTAGGTTCTCGTCGGTTCGGGCAAAGTCTTGCTTCTTAAAATCTTCGAATCGTCGTACGGGGTCATCGGTAAAGATCACAAAACTCGATTCACTCTATATATCCAGCTTATGTTAGTATCACAGGCGAATAAGTATGTGACAAGCTAACATACCCGACAATGCGCACAGGCTTTATTCTTGTACAGAGCACGAAGCCGAAGGGCACATATGTGGCAAGTTCGGTGATTGCAAGGTGAGACTGAGGTATGTTCTACTGTTGAAGCGCAGATGAAGCAAACCTCGCCGTCATCGGCGTCATCGGTAGCCGCCGGAAGCGCTTTTGTGACCTTTGCGGTAGGCTGTGGTTGGGATTCTTGCTCTTCGCCATCCGTACCATTTTGCTTGGCGCGTCCGTTAGAGCGACGGCCTCCACGGCCACGAGACTTTGAGCCTCTTCCTGCACCATTTCCTGCGCTATTTCCTGCGCCATTTCCAGGGGTTTGGTGCGAGTTAGCGCGTCCGGAGGGGGGAGCCCCTCCAAAGCCGCGGCGGCGACCACCACGACCTTCATTAGACGACGATGGAGCAGGTGTGTTATCAGCCATGGCAAAAAAAGTAAAAGTTGAGGATAGGAGGGCAATCAGATAGCACTGGCAAACAGCCCTGAGCTGTTGCTGTTTAGCGTTGAAGAGTAATCCGTGCCTACCTTGATAGTGGGGGGTTAAAAAAAAGTTGGAGTTCGGCGCTGGCGCGCTGACTTATCCATCTGCATGTGGAGTAATTAGCCAAGTAGATCTCTATTAAGGTACAAACTCCTGTCTCCATGGCTATATGTGCTTATCTAGAGTAATAAGTCTGAGCACGCCAGCTTGTAGGTATTTATCTAAATACGTTGCTACGTCGTCAAAGAATCAATAAAGTCTTTTGCAGGCTATTTCTGCTATAGAACGATCACCACGTAAATCTGCGTTTACAGGCGAAGAAATCTGCTTTCAGCTTTGTCAAAGAAGAAGCGCAGGCCTGTAGCCTTTTGCTCCTTTTCTTTAGAGTTAATCTTGGTGTAGCCTTTGGTATGCACGCCCTCTTTCTCGCCAAAGAGTCAAGACTACTCTTTCCAAAAACCTTGATAGTTGAGTTTCGAGTTTCAATCCTTTCTGTGTTGAACTGCTTGCTGCTATGCTAACTCGTGAGATCTTTGAGGAGTTGACTTAGGGTTTCTATTGGTATACATTCCCACCCCGTTTCGGCTATTGATGTGAATGGAAGCGTGATTCCTAGGTTCAATTTCCGAAGACCTATCTCTCAGCTAAATTTGGTGAGTATTGTTCGAAAGAATCTTCGGCATATCTAATTTCGGCCTCATGGGCGATATTATTTGAAAGTATCAAAATTCACGGGTGGTGTACAATCGGAGACTTGATTCAATTTTTATTTTTTAAGCAATAAATTGCCTATGTATTCGCCATGAGACATGAAATACGCGTTATAACGGGAATATTGATGATTGGGCTTCAGGAATAAAGGTGTCCCTTGGAATTTATACCTAGTCAAATCATAAGTAATTGTTGGGATATCGGACAAACGACACATCACGAATCCCTGTTCGGAGTGCATCACAAACAACAACCTTGAACTGTATGCATATAACTGGGATGTCCCGTCTTCGCCGACTCTTCTGTCTTAGACGATGTAACACATTCGTCTCAGACAGAAGAGCAACTTGTAGGATAAATAGCTAGTCCTCACTATGAATGAAAGATCAGATTTTACAACCCCTTCAGACACAAGATATTATAGGGGCGTAAAGCGTTTCCTATAATAGGTGTTAGAAGTGGGCGTTAGCCTCTCATCAACCTTCCTATATCCACCGGTGTACCGACAGTAATTTTGCAATCTTCGAATCAATATGGCCAGCACTTAGTAGTTCCACCAGCTTAATGAAGCTGTGGGCTATTATTAACTCTAGAGCACTGGCTCCATCCTGATAGAAACTCCTCAATCATGATGTCGCCGATGCAAATGGATTATGTATCTGGGAGACTGGATCCTCTAATGGGGGTCCTATAATCTTGAGCTCTTGTAATGCTGTTATGGACCGCAAAAAGAACCAGGCCAGAGCAATCGGTTCAAGTCCTCACCACAATTAAAGAAATTGTGATACTACTGATATCTATTTTGTAATACTCATTCTAAGATTTCAAGTTTCTCAATTCCTGGATGTAACCCACCTATACATCACTCATTGCACTCCCATCATCCGATGGTCTGTTCTCTCTTTCCTCATACAGTTTATGATCAGATATTGCCCCTTTCCATCGTGGTAGAGATGTAGCCCTTTTTACATTGTTCCATTGTGAACAGTTCTATGGCAGCTTAGGATCGATATGACTCGTGTACGATGCGTTTCTACAAGGATTGGAACATTGATACGGTAACTTCGATGAACTATTATATTAATGTAGATAGGGTCATGTGATATCTATCCCCACGTCGGATATCTAGGACCTAATATCCCAAACACGATTGAGACATGCTTTCCCCAAATGCAATTGATGATTTCATAGATATCTAGATTAAACGTCATCAAAATGCATTATTGAACGTGGGGGTAGCTCGTTTATTGTCTTGCTGATATTGTGGACCATGCTTTAACAATATAATGCTTAAACAATATACAGATCTGCATACCCGTAATTTGGTCTTCACTATGCCTTACACTATCGTTAGGTCTATCTCATGTTACCTAACGTGTTCTTGGCATTCGGCTTAGTTAATCGACTTCAGAGAATCATTCTTACGCACAACGGTCCCTCAAACGCGACACACACCTATATGTTCGGGTACCTGAAGTTATCTTTCAAGCCCCCATTGATTATCGTGTTAGCCTATAGAGTAAATAATGTATTATAAATGAACTTATCCGAGATGAAACACTACAGGACCATAAATTGATAGGTATAATAGCTCTTTGAACTTTTAGTTGGCCAACTACCTTTCGATACCTGTTTTATTAAGCTCACAGTCCTCGTTCACCAGATGCTAGAGATGAAGTATGACGAGCTACTCAAAAGATGTCACGAGAAATAGGATATTATAAGAGCAAGAGACGACAGAATCATCACGGAAAGCACCGGGCCCAACCTTCAGCAATGGCTAGAAGAAGTATATTTTGAGGGCCCACAGAGTCTCGATCTCACCTAAGAGGATATAGCGAGGCTGGGTTAAATCACTGGAAAGTTATTGCAGTTTGAGCCGTCAGCAAGGATGTCAGCAAGACAAATTTTGGATGACCATTGGTTTAACGAGTAGACAGCCCATCAGCGGTCATTACACCGAGATTTTACGCGAGGGATTCACTGTGGATCGACCATTTACCTAGGATATTCCTCAGTTTTCTTTGGTTCAATTAAATAGTGGATAGATCAGACTTATAAGGAACAAGATGGGTGTACTACCTAGGTATCATATATTCCAAAGACCATGTGGTCAGTTGACAAATCCGCAACACGAATGATTTTATGACTCTTTCCCCTTTTTTCCAATCGCTTTGAAGCTCGCTAGATGGCTTTTGGACAACGCGTCATTTTTTTTTGGTTTTTTCGTCATTTCAGGAACAGCGTTTATGAAGATATCTAGCCTCAATATTCGGGGAGTAAATAAGTGGGGCGCAGATCAGTGGAGCATTTCTATTGTACTTGGGACCATTCGCCTATTATGGACTAGCGCTTTCAAGTCCCGTTATCTCCCTCTTCTCTTTCTTTCCTTTCTTTCCTCTTCATCCTTTGGTACACATCATGCGACCTGAAAAGTGAAAGCCATCTCCTGCAAAGTAATAACAGGTATGATATGGATTGACCAATTGACCATGGCTTTCCTGCCTACGGGTTATGTCGCCGGGATTGCACAATGGTTGATCGTAACCATGTTTCATTAAGAAGAGACTAATATATCACTTTTTATCCAATTGAAGGGATGTTCCCTGAGTATTTTTCTGGCTAGCATCTATCATAATATCCATGGATTTTAACTACTCGTACACAGTATCCCTAGAAACTATGAATAACATGATGAATACAGTCTCCAGCTTTCAGGCCAGCTCATCGTCGCTTTCGGTCATTTCCGGCTTGGAACCTGAATCAATTATAATACTGCCAGGGACAGATACAACTTCTACTAGGTATTGACTGGATTCATGGCCTCTACTTGAAGAAGGTCCACCTGGTCCTTCGCCCAAAAGTGAAGACACATTTTGACCCCGATGGTCTCCCAGTTCTGTTGAAGCCGGATTCATCGAATCCATCTCCCGATAAATAGCAGCCATTTGCATTACGAATTTATCCTGTAACCCCTTAAGCCAGTTACGAAGTGATTCGTCGTCCATCGTGCCATCCTGTGCAATGATAAGCTGCTCCCGGAGCGCAAGGAGGAGCTTTCGCTTCTGCGCAATGACCACTGTGCGTGAGGGGGCATTCTGGCGTTGAGCGATCTGGTCCATCTTCTCAGAAACATCGTTTGCAAACACCATCACTGAAGCGGGGAGATCAACCAGTTTGGCTAGTGTAAGACCATACCGACGATCAGGGACGGGACCTTCAGCGATCCGATACGACATCGTCATTTTTGCTGCATCTGGGGCAATATTTGCGGCCAGATGGAAATTCATCACGCCGCTCCGCTCGGATAAGATACGCGCCAGGTCATGGAAATGAGTGACAAACCAGACGAGCGCGTTGCTAGCTAGGAGTGCCTCAGCTAGGGCGACAGCGATTGCCAGCCCGTCTATGGGACTTGTTCCCCGACCGATCTCATCAACTAGAACCATTCCTCCAGGCTGTATGTGGCGCAAGATGAATGCCATCTCGCGCATCTCAGCTGCGAAGGTGGAAACATTTGAATCGAGGTCGTTTGTCGTTGCAACACGTGCGAAGAGCTGATGTACGATTGGGAAAGAGGCGTACTGAGCTGGTACAAAGCAGCCAGTGTGAGCCATCACCGTCATCAATGCTATAGTTCGTATGTAAGTCGATTTCCCACTCATGTTGCAGCCCGTGATTATCTGGAATCGGGACTGCGGCGCCGCATATGCGTCATTTGGGATGAACTTGTTCTTTTGGATTTTCTCGCGGATCGGATGGCGTCCAGATTTGATGGCCAGTGTGGCTGTCAGTTCTGGACAGATGTAATCGTAGCTTGTTGCCAGCTGTGCAAATCCTGCCAGCATATCAAGCATTGCGATTGCCTCGCTGATTCGAAACAGTCCTGATACCTCAGAGCACACATCACGCAGAAGCTCTTGGATCGTTTGGTCGCTCAAGCTGATAACTTCGCTATGTGCGTCTGTGATTTTCTGGTTAAGCTTGACCAAGCCTAATGTTTGACACTCGACCCGATTTTTCTTCCGATAAACATTGATGAAAACATCCGGAAGTGGTTCATGATCTGCTGTAGGGATGCAAATGTAGTATTGGCGAGCGTTGTCATACTTCAAGTCAAGTACGAGGTTGCATGACTCTGGGGGCCATCAGTAACAAGACTTTTCAGTCAAAGTGGCTCAGCTTACCTCCTAGCTTCTCGACGAGCTCTACAGCGTCTGCATTAGCCTCCTTGTATGCCTGTCTGGCTACATCAAGAAGACTATTGACACCGGTCTAAAAGATGTCATTATGCTGCTGAAGGCAGTCCAATCCTCGAAGCTTACCTTGACACAATATATGCGTTGATTTCGAAGATCCAGTGGCTTACTTTGATACTTAATATGCTCGTTCAGATTATCGTCGATAAGACGTTCAACTGATCTATGTCCTGCCGGGCAACACAGCTAATTTAATCAGCATGGGAATCATTCAAGTCTGTGGCAAATACCTACCTCTCGAATTGTCAATATCAAAGGACTTTGCGCTGTGCGCAATGCTTGATAGATCTTGCTGATCGCTGAGATATAGGTCTTGAGCATAATGACATTGTTGACTGATTGCTCGACGTATTGGAAAGTTTGTTTGGTCGGGATCAGTATGATCTACCAAGTCAGTATTTTAACAGGACCATAAGTGGAATTAATCCATACTGCAGTCAAAACCTTATCAGCATCAATGAATCCTTTCAGTGCCTGCTGCACTGACACAAACATTTCCTGCTTGGTGGACAGTTCTTGTACGGCATTATACCGGGCCATCAGCTTGACACGTTGAGTAGATGGTTGCAGTATATTCGCTCGCAGAAGTCTTGCTCCCATCTGAGTCAAGGTTTCATTCAGCAGCCCATACAAACTGTCCCTCGATTTGGCATTGTGGAGGTTCTGGATGAGCTCGAGGGAAGAAATGGTAGCCAAGTCGATAATCATGGATCCCTGTGATGTTTCGAACTTGATTCTCAGGGAATGCGAGGTGAAAATACGTTGTAGCTCAAGTTCGACATATTTCAAAACCTAATTTGATCAATTGAATTGCCAGATATGAGGGACGCCCAATCTTACCGCAGCAAAGCAGCAGGCTGCAAAGTAGTTCCCACCTAGTGTGACCTTGAGGGAATCAGCTTCATCCTGGAATGCCAGTCGGTCAAGATACTCATGGCCTGTCTTATCTGACCAAAACCTGCGGTCCAGAAAAGTGAAGATGGGATCTGGCAAGTTTTCCTGGATAATGTATCGCAATTTGGACTCTTTGGCTGTGCTCATGAACAATATCTCGCTAGGCTCAAATACACCGATCTTGGTAACTGTCTTGACATAGGTCTGGCTGTCACAGATCTGGCAGAGTACTACCTCTGCTGTCGCTAGGTTGACAAATGCGAGGCCAACCGTTGACGATACACCCCTGGACTCACTAACAGCACAGATGATATCTTGGGCTGCAATACTAGTGGCAATTGTGGTTGGGCGGGCTGTTGGACGCCTGCTGGTATCCTGGGAGGTTGAGGGCAAGAAGTTCGATGGGGGTTGTCTCGAAGCGATAGACATTTTGATAAACAGGATTGGATAAACTTGATATCATTAACTAGAATTTAACAGTTAGCTTGAAGGAGCGAAACTGTCTGTGATCTGACGTTGAAGTTGGTGGATTGAGAACGGGAGATGGTGACAAATTACTCACTACTACAAAAAACGGTATCAACTACAACTCTCTACTTAGGCCTGCGTAGACTTGCCGAAGTAATTCAATTTACCCTATCAAATACTTTCCAGACTGTGGTCAACATCTATAGCCCAATATTCAAAAATCAAAAATCTAAAAACTGAGCCTTATATTCAATCCGTTGAATCCGTCAAATCCGTCAAATCCGTCAGCAATTTTGATTACGTAGATCTGTTACCATCCCTAGTTGTGCCTGAATAAGAAAAATTGAGGCTGCAGCTACATATCCCGCCAGAGAAATATTGCCCAGGGTGAACAGATGAAAAAGAGATAGAATTAAATGTTGACGTTGGCTTTACACCGCCTCATTGTATATAAGTGGGTTCACGGCAGAATCTATGACTTTGGTCACGTGATATAATATCGTGAGCCCTGGAAGAATAGTTGGCCTATTTCTTTCTTGAACTTGAACTTGATAATTAATACAAGTATCATATCATTAGTCTGCTCTTTAATCTCCTTTGAATCAATTCCAAATGGACAGCAAAAATAGAATGAAAACGTTTATTGATCCGTTGAAATGAACCCCCACGATAACGATAAGGATAAGGAGATGGAAATTTTAATTTTTCTTCCCTCCTCAAACTATTTCTTCAACGAACAATGGCGACTTTATTGCCCCCTCCTAGCAAGCGCCAGAAGGTTGCCCAGGCAGAGAAAGCCCGGGAGCAGCAGGAGATTCAGAGCATTCCTAGCGATCTTGGCAGCATTCGTGTCCAGTTCTTCGACCAGGCCACCGGCAATGCCACTGGTCCCGCGGTCTCGGTCCCCGTGGCCGATGCCAATGTTAAGAACCTGGAGACGCTCTTGAACACCTTGCAAGGAAATGTAAAGTTTTCGGTGGATTTACAACCGGGATTGATTGCTAATCAGGCTTTGTTTAGGACGATGATGATGAGCGCGTGCCTTACCGCTTCACCTACCAGTCCGATAAAGAAGGCCAAACCATCGACATCCTCGCCAATTTGTATCACTCGCTTCTCCAGCCTGGAGTCAAAACTACCGAAGACACAGTCCCACTTTTCTTTACACCACAGGCGGTATTCCGCGTCAAGGCCGTTTCGCGATGTGCTGCCTCCATCGCCGGACACGGCGAGGCCATCCTAGCCACGTCCTTCTCCCCAGTCTCATCGTCGACAATGGTTTCTGGAAGTGGTGATTCCACTGCCCGAGTTTGGGATTGTGATACTGGAACCCCACTGCACACTCTCAAGGGACATACCAGCTGGGTGCTGGCTGTCGCCTACTCTCCGAACGGCGCCATAATTGCAACCGGTAGCATGGATAATACAGTGCGGTTGTGGGATGCGAAGAAGGGACAGGCTCTCGGAGGCCCATTGAAGGGCCACGCGAAATGGATTACCAGTCTGGCATGGGAGCCGTACCATCTGCAAGAGTCTGGGCGGCCCCGTCTGGCGTCGGCGTCCAAGGATTCGACCGTACGCTTATGGGATGTGGTGTCGAAGCGAATTGAGTCTGTATTGACGGGTCACAAGGGTTCTGTGAGCTGCGTTCGATGGGGTGGAACTGGACAGATCTATACTGCGTCTCACGACAAGACTATCAAGATTTGGAATCCCAAGGAGGGTACCCTAATTCAGACCCTGTCGGCGCATGCTCACCGCGTTAACCACCTGGCTCTATCGACTGACTTTGCTCTTCGCACTGCCTACCACGATCATACCGGCAAGGTCCCCGCATCGGAAGCCGAGAAGGTTGCTGCAGCACGGAAGCGCTTTGAGCAGGCTGCGACAGTCAACAACAAGATTGTCGAGCGCTTGGTGTCAGCTAGTGATGACTTTACGATGTACTTGTGGGAGCCTTCCAGTTCCAACAAGCCCGTTGCCAGATTGCTTGGTCACCAGAAGGAGGTGAACCACGTCACCTTCTCGCCTGATATGTCCTACATTGCCTCGGCCGGATTTGATAACCATGTCAAGCTGTGGAATGGCCGCGACGGAAAGTAAATCTATCCGAATCTTATCCTTTTATGAGCAATGCTAATCTAATACCAGGTTCATTACTACATTCCGTGGCCATGTAGGCGCTGTCTACCAATGCGCTTTCTCTGCCGACTCCCGACTCCTGGTTTCAGCGTCCAAGGACACCACCCTGAAAGTCTGGGACGTCCGCACAGGTAAATTGTCGACAGATCTCCCAGGACACAAGGACGAGGTTTTCGCGGTCGACTGGAGCCCTGACGGAGAGAAAGTTGGTAGCGGCGGTAAGGACAAGGCGATTCGTATCTGGCGAAACTAAAAGTAAAGAAGACTGGCTTAGAATGAAACGATACCCTATTACGCTCGTATATAGAAAAAAAGCAAGATCAATCTGATCAAATGTCATTATTGGTATATTCCCTTATAAAATCATTCTGTATGATCCAAGAAAACACCTTGCAAGCGAAAACAAAGAACAACTAAATATACTGCCAAGCTGGCACAACACCATCATATGTCAAAGCAATAGTCGAGAAACTAAGACAATCATTGACATTACCCAGGGGCACAGTAGCGTTCTGCGCAGCAGAGAATACCTGCCAGCGTTTATCCTCAGTAGGACAGGCCATCAAACCAGTAGTATTCCATCCGTTGTACACATAATGAGCCCAAGGCTTGCCAGGCTCATAAGCGAACCCTCCAATGTGAGATCCTTCTGGGATCGAAGCAGAATGGGCCTGTGTGAAGCTCAGAGCACCAGATGAAGTAACATAGACCTGTTGGCCTCCAGGGACCTCGACATCCTGTTTTCTATCAGTGCACTGTATACTGTATAGGCTTGGCCTTGCTCACCAGTGAGTTGCCACCAGGGGAGAACACAGTTCTGGTACCCGCTGGACAATCGGTTATCATGTCAGGACAGTATGATGAGGTCTGACCACCCAGCCAGAGCTTGAGGCCTTGCGCATTCATTTGCATGTAGTGAATTGGTGATGCTGAGTGGATTGCCATGACGCTGAAGGCTGGATTTGAGACATCATCTGGGATTGGAGCTGCAGTGGACCAGAAAGGGAGAAAGAAAAGAAAAGCATTAATGGACTTGGTAATGGTCATCATGATTGTATAGTACAGTAGATTGTAAGAGATAAACCCGGAGGCACCTTTCACCTTTATACCTAGGTGCACAGTATCACAGCCTTGGAATATGTCATTCTAACCCTCGGAAATAGCCATCCGTATGGTATATCGGACTTTCCTGCCGAGAGATGGCTTTCCCTGGAAGTGACAAGCTTGGGGCTGTGTACAATAGAAACCACCTAAATAAGTATGAGATCGCCATTGTGAGTAACCTTGGAACTCGATGACAAGATAACCATCATTAAATATAAAATAGTGACGTATATGTCTCATACTTCAAAAGAGCTTGTATCATCATGAGTAACAGACTTCGTCTGTTTCACAAGGCACCATCCCGATCTTATTTACCACTTAAATCATGGAAGTCCCTGTCTTACTTCACTTCTCTCATTCAGCCCCCACGCCGTGGAACTCCCGTCATGAACAGTTGCCCGCCTCATATCTCGCCGGAACTTCCCCTCAAAGCTACCTCCAACGGCACGATGCATCACAGCCGTATTATCCCACATGACAAGGTCCCCTACATTCTCCCATCCCACCCGCAAAACATACCGCGGCTGTGTGGAATGGTCGAGTAACTGCTTAACCAGCGCTGACGACTCCTCGCTGGCAATCCCCTCGATATGGTGAATATGCGAGGCGATATACATCGTTTCCCGACCCGATGCCTCATGTTTCTGCACTAATTTGTGTCGGCTCATTGAATAGTCCTCCGGATTCACATCTGCAAAGGTGGCCGGGGCAGCCATTTTACGCGAATGCCAAAGCGAGTGTGCGGCGACATAATCATTTGCGCGCAGATCTGCTTTAAGTTGGGAGGGCAGCTCGTCGAATGCTGTGCGCACGTCGGCAAAGTCTGTCTCGCCACCCATTCCCACTGGGGGAAGTTCATGAGCTCGTAGCAGTGAGTATCCTCCTCGTCGAGGGTTAAAACTCGAGTCTACATGGAAAAGTCCGTTTCCCTTGTTCCATTCCTGGCGCACGCTATTCCGTGGGAAGACACTGCCGTCTAGATCGATATTGCCAACATCGAATAGTCGGTCATCAGAAAGTCTATTAGGTCGTCCACCTGCCAAGTAGGGAGTCACATCGTCCAACTCGCCAAATTGAGCTGCAAAGGCGACATGATTGGCGTCGTTGAGGCCCGTTTTGCGGAATACACATACTCCGTACTATTCAAGAGCGAAGCCATCAGCTTGTCCGTTTCTTCTACTTTCTCGGTGGAATACCAACCTTAGTTATGGCTGCCAGAACTTCTTGGAATACATCTTCTTCCACAGTATGCAAAAATTCAACGCCGCTAATTTCTGCTCCGAATGTTGGGTGCAGCTTGGCGATGGATATGTGATTGAATGTATTTGCAAGACCTGGCATGATGATAACTTACAACTGAAGAGGTTTATGATTATCACAAGTCGTTTAATCTCATTCATTGACACTCTCAAAGTCTTATATACTTATAGCTACTCCGTAATTTCGGCCTGAAGAGCGCGCATAGATACCTGCATGCGGGGAGGAAATCTCGGGTTTCTTTCCGGATGATAACGCATTCAACTTTCCAATCCATTTTCTTCATATTCTTAGCCCTGATTCGCTAAAAAAAACCGAACGCCTCATGAACCTCGTTCTTACAATCCCCTCCTTTGTGCTGATAGAACCAGGCTCTACAACATTTGGAAATCATCTTGTATAGTTAACTATGGAGTGCCAAGACTTAACCTCTTTTAGTTGTATTGCCAGGCAATCTTGGAATCGATTAATTCATCATGGAATTCATCTTGCAGTGATAAGAAGATTCCGATTAAAACTTAGCATACATAGAAGGTTGAAGGATGAAGCTTTTTCTCAACAGATCTGAAGGACTCATCAATCATTCTCTAGACTTCAAGCTTCAAATCCATCAAAGTATTGAGGTCTTCTTCATCCTGACCTTCCTAGCAGATTTCAATGCATCAATTTGATGATCGTTTTCTTGAATCACTGCTTGAAGCACCCAGAGAGAAAAACGACCGCTTCGAATACCGAATACAAGCGGTGGGGCTACTTCGGAGTGAACAAGATCAAAATTATGATCTCTCACCACTAGCCCAATTATTTGTGGCAGTCTGCAATATTATCTGGCGAGCACCTGTGCGTTCATATTCTTGGTTCGTGGTGGATTATGTTTTTACTTCAACAGTAGTAATAGCGGTAGTAGTGACCTTACTATTGCTAGTAGCGATTGTGGTGGTAGTGGTCTTGCTGGAATCTGTGAATTTTGTATACTTAGCGGACCTAATGAGAGTATTGATGGTGACGCCCTCTTGTGGATCGTTTGCAATAAGATAAGTCCTCCAGTCTTATCATCATCCTAGGGCCAGTTATTTAGTGTAAGTCTGAGTATCGATTAATAGGACAGAGATCAAAAGACAGTGTGACACCTGCCCGGGTGGGCACAAAGGAGAGATATGAATACATACTTACCTCCACTGATATTAGCTGAAATGGCACTAATGTACCTTAATATAGAGATGGTGGCACTTTAGATGCTGTCCTCCGCGCTTTAAATTCCTAAACCCTGTTTTCAAACCTGCTTTAACACCAGCATTAGTCGAGAACTTGTGTAGGGTTTAAGATAAGGTGCGATAGGTGCCATTGTCGGTTCACAGGGGTCTCGATACACTATTACTACTACGTTGATACGAGTAATAAGTGTGCGGTTTGATGTGTGTTTCTTCTAAGTTCCCGCGATGGAATCGGATATGCCCCGATTCCACTAGTTCTATTCACTTCCCGAGTCCATTCACTGTAGTAAACAAACCAGATTCCATTGGTTCCAAAAGCCATGATGGTAGCTCAAGAATTCCTGAGGTTGTAAAGGAGGAGAATTTTACTTCCAGAAGACTTGGAATTTGACAAGGATGGAAGTCAACTTATATCTGTAGCGAGCAGCGCGTTGCGCGGTCTGCTTTATACGAGTTTCTCATCCATATATAATCGACTTTATATTGCTTGTCCTGTTGCGACAGCCGTATGAGAAACAAGGCTGTCAACACATGGAAGCAGAACCGCTGAAGGCGGAAAGTATTTCGGCCGAAAAGCTTCTGCTAACGCGGTAACTCTCGGTTCGGAATAACTACTTGGAAGAACTAAATTAGTATATCACGGGTCCTTGAACAATATGCATTCATTGCAAACGACACCCTTGAGCGATTTGCATTCGCGACAGTGGTGTTCCGTCTTCACCGTCTCTTCTGTCTCGGACGAATGATTACATTCGTCCAGGGTGGAGGAACCCTCATGTAGTATAAATTGCTAGTTCTCTCCATCAATGAAAATAAAGACTTCACAACAACCACAGCATTCAGTATCGTAGCATCCACTACCAGATTGGTGGATTTTCTACGGTGTTGAGTAGTGGTTTGTTGAAGCTCACCAACTCCTTTCTACTGCAGTAAACCCCACGCTATCTTACTGCAGTAAAACTCAACCATTGTTCTCAGTTACGAGCGACTAGCTAGCTACGCTCGCCAAGCGAGCGACAGTCGCAACATGGAGCCCACCATGTTTATCACTATTCTCAGTTATAAGCGAGTAGCTAGCTACCTCGCCAGCGAGCGACATATCATGTTTATTGTTCCTAATAACTTTAGCGGGGGTTAAGAATTAGACCTATACATAGGTTGGGTTAGGCTTCATTTTTTGACCCAAACTCACCCTATTTGGAGATCATCAGCACAGAAACACGCTATTTAATTGGAGTATATGAATTTCAACAATAGCAGCGAGATCGGTTGAGCCTTTCATACCTCACCTTTTCCTTTGCAGCACTCCCCAAGGCAATATATCCTGTGTTGTTTTGACCATTCAAATCTAGTATCTGAACAGGCAGATCACGGAGGAGCTTAGCCCTCTCAGCCCCCGATAGTTTGCTCCTTCCAGAAGGCAGATGAATATATGGATTATCTCTGGTCATAGAAGAGATGAAACCAAGAGATCTGGGGCAATGGTCTGGAACTTGAGGAATAACCCAATGAATGCACAGAGCTGCAGCAAAAGAGCCACGAGAATGAATGTTATAGCTCATGTCCACTCTATCTGGTAAACCATGATAGATCGCAATGTCGTCGCTGTATTCATATTAAAAGATGGTAGACCACTGTCAAATATAGACGTATTCACTGCCTGAACTGGTAACGTACTTCCTATGATAAATGGAGACAGTGACGCATGCCAGTATGTATTGAATGCGCTGGTGAATTTTGAGGAAACTGTCTGGTCGGTCACACTACTCCAGTTGTGGGCGTACCCAACTTGTCTGAAAACAGGGTATTGTCCGTAGATGTAGTTATCGGTAGCTGGGGCCTGCCGGGGATGTGTGTAGCCGGTAGAATATGGAAATTCACTCATGAGGTTAATTAGCGGCACAACGGAGAGTTCTCCCTCGTTAAAGGGGCTCAATGAATCAGGTCTGGTGTCCTTTTGGGATCGACGCATTCGATCCACGGCACAAGAAGCTTTCTGACATGAGATCCAAGCTTCAACCCCAACCCCCAGAGGAGCGCAATGCTCAGCACGCCATAAGGCATAAATTCGCAACATGTTGCCAAAAATTGCAGCAAAAATCATGGGGAAATTGGAGGGGATAATTTTGCAACCTGAACGATTGCCTCTCCATACGAAGAGGTCTCTTCTGTATTGAGACGAATGTCTAGAATCGCGAATACTCCGCAAAAATAAATTCAGCTGTATGTACACCTGATAAAAGATCTGCAAAGTAGGGACCTATAAATGCCTATAGATAACCACCTTTCGTCGACCTATCATCCTATACCAGACATCCTGCATATGAGCCCCTGTCGACTTCCCCAACATTCGCCGGGTTTTTTTCTAGCCATTTTCTATGATAAAAAATTGACGCATCAGGCTGAGAACTTGCAGTGATAAGATCCTCGGTCAGATCAAACAATGTGCCTCATGTTCGCAGCCACGCAGCCCAAGCTGTCAACTGACTCTCCAGCTGATCCGAGCATATAGGTCAGAGGGTGGCGGGGTCCCCCTTCACCCTAAGACCCTATGAGTTTTTCTACCGTATTGAGTAATGAAAACTTCACCACTAGGTTTTTTTGTAATGAGACGAGTCATGAAAAGCTTAAGGGGGCGCTAAAAATACTCATGGAGTGAGAATTAGAAGTGATCAGCAATAACATGTAGGAAATACTTCATTGTAGCAAACCCCATCACCCCGCCACCGCATCTTATTTTACTAATAATTCTTACTTTGTACTATTTACACTGAAGATGGTTTCACTTAGTGATAAAATAGCCAATTTGATTCAACCCCTAATAAAATTGATATTATAATAATGATGATGATTACTGTAAATAGCATAATTCACCTCTTCTGCACAACTTATTATGTCACAATACAGGCTCCGGCAGGAATAATACAAGAACTGGTTCATGCACTAGCAGGCTAGGACGAAGGTATAGCATTGAAGAGCTACGTCTAAACAGAGTTTCAGAGTTTACATGAGACCCGCTCTATTAGCCCGGGCTAGCACCGTGACATATTATCATTTTTTAGAGCTTTTTATAAATTATTAGAGAAATTTATAAGATCTTTACATAAAGGTCTATGTTGAACTCGTCTTATCTAACGTAATTCCGGTCAAGTGGTCTACGTTACGGGATGAATGCAGGAATTGTACGCTGTAAAGACTGGGGATGGCTCGTCCGGCTCCGCACAGGAACCAGGAGCACAGTCTTTCCAGAGAGGCATATTGTCGGGTATCAACCCGTTGCACTGAGCAGCAAGATCAAAAGTGGCGAGGTGCATATAACAATATATAGTCTTATCCAATGGTTTAATAGCAATTCAGCCAAGAGAATCATTGCGGGCATCGCGGGCATCGCGCGAAAGAGGGTGGGGCTCAACCGCTCTCAGCCTCTCACCCTGTTTCTCATATTCAAAGACTATTGGATAGGGTAATCCCTCCCGAAACAGTGCTGCCTTCCCATCTGCACATAGCCGCATAGTAAAGCTCGCTAATGTATGATTACTACACTAGCCCTAGAATATTTAAAGATTATTGGATAGTGTTATCTTTGCTGAAATAGCACTTTTTGGCATCTACAAGATTCTGTTGCTTTTGAGGCTTGATGTTTTCGTTTTGAGTGTATCTCCTCGGTCTTTTGAACTTATTTGTTCCTAGAAATCATGAGTGGGTCTCTCTGGTCTTTATCAGAGAAGAGCCGCTTGGCGCTTTGAAATGAGATGATCTGCTTCTATTATTAATAGACAAGAAACCAATAGCATGGAAAGCGCGCTAGTATTTTTGCGGCGAAGAGGATAAGTAGACAATGAAGCCTGCGAGCTAGATAACCAGATAATCCCGTGCAAACGCTAAAGTTGTCTCGGTGGCTCGATGCCTCGGGCATCTACTAGGAGAAGATGGAATGAAAAATATTTGAAGGATCACATCAAACCAAGAGCGAAGACCATTATCTTATATAAGGTAGACTGGAAGTTTATGATAACATTCCGAGAGAAGAACTGATGATCATGATTTGCTAGATACAGGATGAATGCGAATTTTTAAGAACTCGTACATTAGCAATGTGCATGAAATCAATACATCAGACTTCCACACACCACTAACAAACCATGATAGCAATTCTTGCGCTGCGGCTGATTCTCTGTGTATAGGGTCATAGACCATATAATAGCCAGGAATTCACTTACCTACTATATACATTGTAGGCCGGAAAGGCACTTAGCCAGTATACAAGGGCAAATTACTAATTGAGTGCATTCGCAGTCTACGTGACCGGCGTAGGTGCATACGAAGGAATCCGTTCCCATAGATTAGGTAATTCAGGTGGGTATATATCAATATTGAAGAGAGCATAACTCATCTCACCAAGGCAGATGATGCCGAAGAGCCTAATAACGGCATTTTGTGTTAGCTTACACCAAAGTCCAGAGGTCAACGGGCCGCTAAGTAAAGAGAGTAGTGGCTGACAAGCTGATTATTTTAATAAGCGGGTGCATAAGTAGACTTCAAGGGAAGAAGATGCTAGTCGCTATTCGCTCTACCAGATACCGAATAAACTTGGGTTTAACGGAGGGATGGTCAGTTATGATACATCACCAGATTCTGAAGGCCCATTTTCCCTTTTCCCTTTTCCCTTTGTTTATTTGTTTGATTGATTTGCATTATCATGGAAAGTTCTAGCTGTCAATACAGTGATGAGACATAAATTTTATACAGCCCTGAGCCTATACCCAATGTATCTAGTATGTTTTAGTACAAAGATTCGAAAGAGTAAAGGTGGTAGCACCAGTTTCCGGACTTACTGTAGTCCACGGGTGTGACTTTCTAACTTTATGAGTTATCGTGCGTTTTTTACATCAAACAATCGCATTTGCGATGTTAGCCTGGTTTTCATACTAGAGCTCGGCACAAATAATGTTCGAGCTTAGAATTTTCGTGTTCTTATTCTTTCATACGTTACCAATCTTCGAGATTGAGATCTGTGGCAACTCTTGACTTAAACTTCTCTCATAATAACACTCGGTAATACATAAAAATGAATATATTCGTAGCATGTATATTTCAAAAGTACCTGTAAATCTCCTTTCTGAGTTTTTTTAAATAGCGCTTACCCTGTACCCTTCTCTGCTAGCTATTTATCTACATAGGTACCTGTATGTAGCAGATTTCCTTTCCACGGTGGGGCTTTCCTAAAACAGCTACCGCCGCTTTAATGAGGGCGCTCAGAGTCAAGCTCAGTGAGTAAATTTCAGTCTGATCTCAGGCTCAGTAAGCTGCTCATGCTCGTCACGTGACATGTCACTGAGGCCCAATGAGCGCTCAGTGACTTCTCAGTGACTGCTCAGTGAGCATGATTGGCTGCTCCCTGCTTACTCAGAGATCGATCAGTGCCATCTATTGAGCACTCAGTCCTTTCCCAGGCTACACCACAAGGGTACTAGCGCCAACCAGGTGTGAATTTGAAAACTATTTTGTGATGGTTGAGGTGTTTATCTTCCTCTCCACTTGCATATAGATGACGTAAGAATATGAAGGGGAAATTTTGCCTTGTTTACTCAATCAAAGTTGCCTAGGCATAAACAGATATAAATATAAGTTAAAGGGGCATCCCATTTTGGACCATCATCAAAACTTCTTTCATTCTCTCTTTAGCTGACTTCCCTTGATTTCTCAAGCGCTTTTTTACTTTCTCAGTATGGGTAAGCGACAGTTTCATGAAAAAAGAGACATTATCGCAAAAGAGGAACGCTACAAACGCTTAGAGAAAAGTGGCTATGTTTTCGGTGCTTTTGCAAATGAAGATGCGATTCGAGATAAAGACAAAAGATTGGCCAAGACTAAGAGAACATACAAGCAACATGCAATGCTATGGAAAGAGTAAGCCCCCACCCAATTTTGGTATGACTAGCTCTAAAATTTTATATAAAAAAACTGACCTGCTTCTAGTTTCCTCGAGCAAAATAGGAAGGGAGGATACGAAGAGGACCAAGACTCCAATGTTCCTGATTATAAGCTCATTAAAGAGTTTATCCGCTGGTACATTCATTTTGCACGAGGACGAATCAGCAAAAGCGGACGACCAGTGGTGAAAACAGTTCTGTCATTTGCAGAGCGGTTTTTTGGTGGCCTCGAAGAGGACATGCAGATTACCATTGTGCTGGAAGATCGAAAAGAGATATTCAATGTGAGCCTATGTTTCCTTCACTCATTTCAATCAATACCATAAGCACACACTAATTTAAACCAGTGGATCAAGAGGTCACTGACAGCAGAAGGAACCATTGAAAACATCGAGTCTCCCAACCATAGTTTTACCAAAAAAGATTTCATCAGGACTGTCTCCTCCTTGTGGCAAATAGATCACCGCCATTTCATGCCAGGGTTACTGAAAGTCATCATTCTTCTGGCCCTTCAGTTATATCTCTTCACTGGAGCAAGAATTGGAGCCTTCATCCCGGCTCATGAGGATAAACTGGAAAGAGGCCTTCGATACAAGGTGAGAACACTCCAAAGATACCTTTATTTTTCATTAATACTCGTCACAGGACATTGATCTAGTTCTGTTTCCTTGCTCTACAGCACCTTGGAAAGTAGAATGGAGAGTCAATCAAGTATGGCTCAAGAACAATCGTGATCCAAACTATACAGTGTAAGCTTATTCTTTTTTGGTTGACCTAATTTTTTGAGAGCTCACATACCTATTTTTGAGATTTGGAATTAGAATCCGTGACACCAAGAGGCCGCAGTTTGCATCTGGCTATATCCTTCTGGCCCTGGCACTTGCGCACGGTGCTCTTTTTGGCATTAATGGTGTGGAGGACCTGGCCGAGTATGATCTTTCAATGGGGCCGATTCCATTACGCTGGAATGATGAATATCTGGAGAAGCCTGTCCTTAGAAATGTCACTGCTGATGGACCTCAAGATATACCGCTAGCCAAGGATGTATTTGGCAGATGCCTGCGTGAAATATTCACTGCTGCTGGTTACAGCAAGAGACCCAGAGTTCACGATATTCGAAAGAACCTTGGAAAAATGATTGAAGGTAAGAATGAGAAAATTCAACTCTGGTTTGCCATAAAATCAATAACGTTTGAAATCGGAAAACATGGATCAGCGCTGGTTTCACAAATATATGGCCATAAAGGGCCAGGAACATACCCTAAGGACTATTTGCAACATTGCTCTTCCATTGACATAGTTTCAGCTATTTTGGATGAGCAAGACCAATCGGATCATATTAAGTATTTTCAGGGGTTTGAAAGGTTTTATGAACCTGGACTGCCAGGCGAGCTACCGGCGGAAATTGAGCAAGGTATTATGGAGAAGCCAGAACTATTGGAGATCAAGAAACGGATCGAGAAGCTTGGATTCCAGGACTCCGATAAGGAGTCTAGAGCTGCGGAGAGATTGCGCTATAACAAGGCCTTAATTCGACACCGCCTCCTAGAGCTGAAGGAATATCAGACCCGCTGGGTCCAAGAGAGACGAGACCAAAGAATCCTCAGCAGGGGCAAAGAAGACTCAGTGTTCATTGAAAATGATATTTGCACACGAGCTCAGGTCTTGGCTATGCCCGAAACTGCCCGCATAGCGTCATTGATGTCTTGCACCAAAGAGCTTTCTTTTAACGAAATGCTTCTTTTTGTGCAAGATCTTAAAACTCACTGTTCTCGTGATTTTGATGTGGTCTATCTGCCCAATGAAAGACCGTTTCAAGGTCTCTGCCCCACAAGAGACTGCCAACAGAAGATTGAAAGGTGAGAATATCAAGTCTATGATGATACAATATATTCTGACTTTATCAGCCTAATAAAATCTGAAAGAAGTGTTCATATTCATAAATGTGTCCGGCGTGAGATAGCCATGAACATGCAGATCTCGGATACGCAGATGTGCTATTGCTACGAGTGCATGAAATGGCTCCTTTCAGATCAATGGCGAGATCATTGTAATACGCATCTCCAGGGTTGGAAAACCCAGTACTATGAAGTTATCGTATATCGCCATATAGTCATTCGCCCTGGCTACTGCCCCTTTTGCTTATGGAACACAGATCTTCTCGCAGAAGACCGGTTAAAATACTGGCTGCAAAGTGGTAATCTAAGGCGGCATATTGAAGAACAACATTTATCTAGAAATCAGTATTCCCCAAGCAAGCATACTTGCGGCTGTAGTCAAGCCTTTCACAATCAGCGCGACCTTCGACATCATTTGCATGATATACACGGATTGAACAAAGCCATATGGTCAAATCCATTAGCCACGAGAAAGAGAAAGCGCGCCTACAACATGAAAGCGAAAGCAAATTCAACGAAATAAAAGGAGAACTGCCCCAAAAACTTATGCTTTCATCCCTATTCGCCTCCGCGTCCCGAGTTTGAGCATATGCTGTCAAATGACAAAACTATGCCCGTGCATAGATTGCATTCTTCCGTTAAGCAACATCCTGAACAGAGTTCATGCTTATGGCTTAGTGAAGAATCAAGTGAAAGCAGAACAGTTGACCCAGTTGCGCCTTGCTTTTCCGCAGCAATTCCTTTACTCAGCTCTCTACCAGCAACTCCCTGCCTTGATGTTATTGATCCTTAAATTCTCAAGCCCAGAAATTTTGAAATTGAGGTTGAATTCCAGTCTGACGAGCAAGCACCTTTTCAGCTGGAGACTCCAAATTGCAATAAAGATGAGCTTGATCCAAATGAAGAGAAGCCGGATGACACAATACAGCTCAACTCTCCCACCCAAAGCTTTATCAATCCATCAAGTATGAACTGTTCGGGCACAAATACGAACGTGAAGCCAGCTACGAGTGCAAATACAGAACATATCATCATTTTAGGCAGCAATTCAGCAAAGGGTATACATGAGGAGCATTCCCAGCTACAGGGAAACACCGACGACAAAAACTCAAATGATGATCAAACTAATATTGGTGATGTTTGCCGACCGTTTATAAGAGCCAAAGCAAGAGCACGGCTGTACGTTAATAACGTGAAAAATCCGGATACTCCCAAGCTTCGTCACAGACTGAATAAAAAAGAAAAGCGAAAGCTGTTTCAGCTCAAGGATCAGAGCTTGACCTTGAGGCAGATTGGGCTTCATTTTACGGAGATAGAACCAGCTGCTCTGCGTCAAGCTTGGAAGGCCATGGAGGTTCCTCAACGATGCACTAGATCACGAGCTCATCTAATGTGCCATCGTCGCAGTGTTCATTGACTGCGGTATATATATATTCGAATACTATTCACTGTTTTGTACATTATGTTATCTACTGCTTGATTTTGACCCACATAATCTCAATTATAGTGTACGGCTAGGCTCCCCCTTTCATGCCCTGGATTGGCTTTGTGTAGATATGAGATCCCGTGGTATTGAATCCGTTCTCTAGTTTCACCACTTAAAATTCCAATAGCATGATTTAGTTACTTAAGCGAAATAAAATTGAGTAGAAATAGAATTTAGATCTGCTTGATATGTTTTTTTAGAGATTATACTTGTAGAATGGACGACATATATCACTAGCGAAGGTCAGAATCGAAGTGAAGGAAGAGAGCGAAACCTACGCAAACAACTCATCGCTATTTCCGTGGAAAACCTATTACGACCGACTGGTAACAAGATTAAAAACCGTTACATAGTTATTACAGATTACGCACAGCCACACTTGAGAATTAATATCCACATGTCTTTTTAGAATGTAATGTAACGTAAGTGCTGCTTTTTCGTTTTCATATTACGGCCTCAAAATGAGCGCGGTCTACATGGTCTATAACTGTTCTGTCGGTTTGTTATATTTTTTGGGTTTATTTAAGTTCACTCGGTCTGAAAAGACCATAGAATCTTGTTCTGTATCTCAACTTCCTATCGGTCGCAATTCTAAAAAAGAAACTGTTGGAACGAATATCAGCTGACATACCAAGATCATGTGATCTTGGCATGGCAGCTACTATATCTTCTTTCATCTGAGCATTTTAGAATGACACTTCACTTTTACCCAATATGCATACATCTATTATATACGTACAGAAACGATATCAATAGCTGTCTGCTTCGGTAATAACCTAGTCAACCGACAGAAACTTATACCCAGATGGTTGTTATAACTAAGGATCTGGCTTCTAGGACGCTTACTAGACTCGGAAAAGCAATTGCGATAGGTCTTGATCTCTTCAGAAATTTATACCCATAAGTAGTTGCTTGGTTTGTAGTAGGGAAATGCTCAAAATTTGGCTCTCGGGAGCAATAATGACTCTGGTGGTCCTCGGAGATTTATTTAGGATTGCCTTGGATATCGTCTCATGAGTTTTCCTTCCTCAGCCTGCCTGGAAATAGGTGAAGAGACTGAAAATCTTTATGTAAAAGGGCCGGCTGCGATTACTCTTTACAACTCACCAAGACTCATTCGATCATGCAGCAGTGCCAAAATCCAGCTTCAAGATAAAGACGTGTTAGCTATATACATTGATTTCCTCAAATTCCTCGCTTCCCTTCTCCAGCCATGTGTGGTCCTCGTTTTGTATCTTTTGACACTGCCACAAGACTTTGATTGCCTTTGCCATACCATTTCGAGCCTCCTGCAGCTCTGATTGCAGTTGCACCACCAGACTCTGACCGTTCTTTAACTCCTCTTCTAGATTATATGTTCTCTTCATCCAATCTTGGTCTTTGCTCAGGAGCTCTTCTGAAAAGCAAGAAGCGCGTTTCAATCTTTCAGTAAGCTTTTGGTTCTCTCGTTCTAGTCTTTGAATAGTTGCGGTAAAAGAACCATTTGCCATATCTGAGATCTGTATTACAAAAGAACCAATCAAATCGAGCTGCTACAGCAGAGATTGGCAAAGGGCCTTATGTAGCGTACACTCACCTCTTCTTCTGAATTGGAGACTTCCTTCTGCCTATTGGGCTCCAAGGTCCTAGGAGTCACGGCCTCGATCAAATGGCCCAATCCCCTTAGAATACTATCGTAAACACCAATTGATCCATTGCTTAGGCTTGTCTTCAATAGGTGTTCGCTGTCTTTTGCCACTGACCATGCGTAGCCATCATCGGCACCGGGCTGCAAACGTACCCGGCCTGGTGCAACCGAGATTCCTAATCGTTCGCCTGCGAGTTATGGTCAATAAGTAACAGATTCACCACGAAACAGTCACTAAATTTCTCACGGATATGAGCGGCTAGAGCTTCTCGGCATTCTTGCCTTCGCTTGGCGCGTTTTTCGTTGCTACTCAAGGTCATAACAAGTTGGTGTGTCCATGAATATGTGAAATATAGCGAGGAATTCCAATTCGACTTAGCCGCAACTTAGAGCAGTGAGGGTCTTTCTTTCTTAAAGAAGTCAAATTGGACGGCAGGGGAAAACTAGCTCCGCATGCTGAGGCCTATGACTTGCTTTTTTCTTCCACATGGTTCCGACATTGCGTTTAAAAAGGGAACCTTGCATACTGTATTGCCCATCCTGTTTCGTTTTGGCCCGCGCAAATCGTGATTCAGAACACATTATTCCTTATGTCTTTGAGTCTATATTGATTTACAATAATTTAGTATTTTGAATCATCAGATGATAGGTTAGCCCTCAGTTACCTGAAACAACTCTACTTGCCCTGAGTAAATGACTGTTGATTGGGTAGTAAGTTAGATATTGCACGGGATAATGGCCGCAGCTTGTGCTTCCGAAATGCTGTTCGACTGTCGGTAGCATGAGATTAGCATAGGACTTGATGAATAATTCCACGAGCCACCTGCTTAGGGACACGGCCGAACCTGGACCTTATTAGTCTGAGATCCGTGTCCCTCCTCTTCTCAGAACAAGACATCTTAACCAACAGATCTGAATCGCTACAAACGAAGCAATAAGATCCGAAGGCCATCCAACATTGACCTCATTTGACGAATCATATACATAATTCGAGTTAGAGGGATGTTTTGTGTATCACCTGACTATGGCCTTTTTTTCCAGATTATTAAGGTGGATTTTTGGAACCCATGAGAATATTCTTCAACTATTTCAACAGATAAATGAACGGAATAACTTCAGATAGAAGTAACTCTAGTGAATAGTTCATGGATATCAGTCTAAGCAATTTAACGCAAGTACTTATTCCAATATTCCAATGGAAATTTCGAATCATTCATTCGCCTTTTTTTAGTGTCCATGAGCACGGGCTGTTGGAACGAAGATCGACTCCTAGGGACTCAGAGCTGAACACTAAATAAATGTACTTATGCATTTATGGTCCTTGCATCTTGGTTGCCAGTTGAAATCACCTAATCGAGTCTTGGCAGTGGTTGATCCACAAAAGCATAGTAAATATGAGAAATCTCAATGTTATATCTTAACCATCATAAATTCGATAAGGTTGACTTCTTCTGTTGGGACATATTCCTGCTGGCATATTTACCCCTTGCATGATGCTGGGTCACATATGCTTCCACTTGTGTACTTTGATCAAGTGGGACGTACAGCCATATTCGAAAACAAATTCCCTCTCCAACAGACGAGCGTTGTTTCTCGGCCCGTACAGGGAGGATCGAAATCAGTTTCACCACTTACACACAGGAATTCTTTCCAAAATTGTTGTAGCATGTGTATTGTAGTTGTATTGTTGTGGAGTTCTATGGGTCAGGACCCAGTACTATTGACACAGGGCTAACCCTAATGCAGCAGTAGTGCGTATCAGAGTGACATGACAATACCGTCAATACAGGTGATCCAACAAGTTCGAGAAAGATTCCGTGTGCAAATGGTGAAACTGATTTCGATCCATGCTGTATCTATCCTCTGGCCGAACAAAGTTATTAGAGAATACTCCAAGCATCCTAGGCGAGAATTATTGACTATGTTGTCATCATACGCCTAGCTCTTAGGGTACTTAACTAAAAATCACTGAGCAATCACGGAGCAATCAAGGAGCATAGGCTAAGCGTAAGCTATGCTCTACGTGTAAGCTCAATTAAAAGCCACCCAATGATAATACATACTAGAGTCTTGAACCAATTTTTTACCCACTATGAGGATTGGAACAGACAAAATTATTCTTTCCCTTGAGATATTCGAAATTCCTGAGTGTAAAAGAAAAGCGCGAAACAGCTGTGCGGTGCATTTTGATTTGGACCGGTTTCCATACACCTGGGCATTCTCTATTAGCATCACTGTCCCAAATCTGAATGGTGATACTCTGCCAATAACTTTTGAACCGAGACCCTGGACGGAAGATTACTAGAGGCCGTTTTTCGAAAGAGCAGCATTCGAACATAAAAGTACTTTTGGACGAAAACTTGTTTTAACAACAACAGTTCATCATTCATCATTTCAAAATTCTGTTGATTAAATTACACTGACATGATTCAAATTTCTCCAATTTGATTTATATGTATCGTTGGATTACATGCTTGGAAACAAAGGTAATTCTTTCATAGAACGTGTAACTGGAGCTGCTATTTTTGATAAAATTTTGTCTCTTTATGTGCCAAAGATAAGAATCGAGATAAGAATTGAACGAATTGAAAGATTTTGCCCCGTTCACTAAATTGGTCGAGACAGATTTGATTCCAACTCATGGCATACGGGCAGATAAGTTGCGCAAAATTCCTCAGTAAAATAAACCATACGATGAATTGCAGATCAGGATTACTACCTCGATTTAAGATTTAAATCCGAGTATAAACGCCATTCAATTTGTTCGTGTCTGTTTGTTTAAAAGAAAAATTGGGAACCTGTCGGTTGACTAGGTTATTACCGAAGCAGACAGCTATTGATATCGTTTCTGTACGTATATAATAGGTGTATGCATATTGGGTAAAAGTGAAGTGTCATTCTAAAATGCTCAGATGAAAGAAGATATAGGGCTGCCATGCCAGGATCATGTGATCTCGGTATGTCAGCTGATATTCGTTTCAACAGAACCCTTCCCGAGACCACTTAAAGTATTTTAGACATTTTGAAACCATGAAACGTTGTTTATCTTTTCTAGTATAATAGAGAATAAACAGGGATTAAACCTGAATTATATAACACGTATTTTTGTGCTCAAATTGTTTTTCCTAGCACTTGCAAAGCTATGGCAAAGGAGATAATTCCGCTACTGTTCAAATCATGACTCATTTTTTTGTTAGCAAAAATGAAAAGCAGACTTTCACTCGAGCATCAGATTTCGTTTAATTGAGAGTGTTATGAGCTGACGAACAGATTGATTCGTTAAAAATTGAGAATGCGATGATAACCAAGCAGCATTCGAAAGTTGATTGTATCGCTTATCTGGCATAAGGCATCAGACCTGATATAAAGAAACTTCATGCCGCTGGAATTCTGGTGTTGTCGGTAGCTAAGAGCTGAGGTCAAGATATCGGGAAGTGAAATTCCTTCATATTGCGCTTCATCTGCCATGGATCCCTCCGTATGTATTATTCATGTGAAAAAGGGTGCTCATAGACTTACGAGGCTTAGGAAATTCTTCGAATAGTGGCAACCCTGAATACGCGACTCTTACGGGCTGAGCGTGTCTCATCGAAATACGAAGAGGAGCTAACTGCAGCGCTATTTTCATTGGAGCAAGCTCGGAATGAATTAGAAGAAACTATCAAGATAGCAGAGCTTCTTTATGAAACAAACCAGAGAATTGGAACAATGGTTGACTTCCTGCTGGAAAAACAAGGCTTAAAGCTCGACAGGGATCCAGCTTCGCTGGCGGCGATATCTAGCCAGCTGGCGAGTCAGGATCACTCTGATTTATCTCCGTCTGAGGAAAGCAGCAACATGAAGAACGCTGTGAACAAAGAAGCTCATTCTCTTTCGACTAATTAGACTTTGAATTGTCAATGCGCTTTCTTGTCGCTGAAGTCAATACAAATTTTGATGCTTTGGATCAAGGTGAACTTGTCTGGGATGGGTTTCTAGTCTTCAGGTACTGTCGGTTGACTAGGTTATTACCGAAGCAGACAGCTATTCATATCGTTTCTGTGTTGTGATATCATCATTCATGCCTCAGGCATATCACATTCATTATTCATGTGCAAGGGCCAGCTAGGGTAATGATGGACCTTTTATCATTTTAACGATTGTGTACTCCACTGAGCCCTCGGTTATTGTATCTTTTCACTATAAATTGGTGGAGGAACCATATATTGGGGGTTAGACTTAAACAATCTCGTGAATCGGATGCTTGTTAGCAGCAAGCCAGCTGGTCCAATTATACATCATAACATTCTGTACACACACAATTTATTAACGCCCGGCGGCTAAGCCGAAAGGGCAACTATCTCTGATCTACTGTACATGTCATGATATATATAGTACTGTGTCTCCTTAGAGCCCATTCACAAAGCATTGCAAAAAAAATGTCATCTCAGGTGTCCGTATCGCAGCGGATTCTCGTGAGTTGGTAATTTGGTTAGTAGGCTGGCTTGAAGGCGCTTCTCCAAGTGTTCAACATCCTATCTTCGGCAGTTGAAGCGCGTCTACCATCTGGAACACGAGGTGGTTGGTGGATTAGATCGATAAAAAGGGAGGGGAATTTAAGTTCGTCGGCATGGTTAGGTGGCCTCGAGTCGGCCCGTGGCCATGGCGAATCGTATTGAGGCCCGGACCGCCTCTAAGTTCGGCGTCCACTTCTGATCGTCGGAAGGCGACTTTCCTCCCAGGAAGAAGGATATATTTCCTCGGTGGGTGTTGATACATTGTAGTAGTTCAGTTCGGTGCGCTGTCCATTTTTGACATCGAAATAGGAAGTGTTCCACGGTCTCTCTCGCTTGTCCACACGCACACTGGTCCGTGTCTGCTAAGTTTTCCGACGTGGTGCGGTAGGAAGCAGGAAAGATCGGGTAAAGTGGGTAGTCGTTAGGGGTTGATGGGTCGCCATGGTTCAGTGGTTGGACCAAGAACGGGCACGTCTGCACAAAATCTCTTAGTTCCTGATATCTATATTAGCATGGCGGTAGAATAAACGGACGTGGTCCTGTTGCTTTTCTGCCTGGATGCCGATCTGCACGTCACCCAACATCTCGCTGCCTCGATGTTTCGCGTCTCGTCGAGTGGTCACTTATCTAGTGTAGTATCAACAAGAATTCAGCTGCCTTGAGTAGATAGGTCAATGTGTCCTCTAAGGGCTGCTGCGTCTGGTGTCTTGTGCTATCACGTGATTTATGTATGGTGATAACACTAATGAGATGTGAGTGACTACAACTCGGATGACAGTGGGGCTAAACTCGGCTGACGTTAAGATTTCGGAAAAACTCTGAACTTCCTAATACAGTTTAGCGTAAAACTCATAGCTGATGGTAAGAGCCCTATTTAGGCTTAGCGTTATGAAAATTCATTTCAATCCCTTACATTCCCCCCAATTTTTCTCTTTTTCTTTAATCCTAAGTTCCTAGTATGTAAATAACCGGCTATTTATACCAAATAACCAACTATTAACTAATAACTAGGCTCGACTGCCTAACATGGAATCCTATTTCAGTGATGATATTAATACTGATGAACTGGGGCTCAATGATGACGACGACAATTCCCTTCCGCCAATAGATCAAACCCTTAGAGAGAGATTTACTGCTGTGGAGGATGTCACTCCTATTGGGGAACCTAAGGTAATAAATGAACCAGAGAAAACTAGCCGGTTATTTTGCAGAAATAACCGGCTATTTCATAATATCAACTAACATAATAGATTCTGATTCCGCTTTCAAACAAACCAACGGGTGGTCTTTCAGTCTTAGAATTTGAACACGTTGCTGAGCTACCTGACTATCCTAGGTCACATCTACAAGGCTATGCTTATATGATTGATCTGAAGGGTATTGCAGAAGATGATGTCTCTAATCGACTTAAAGCACACCAATATGGTCATTATCGCCATGGTGGGAGCCATAATATCTATAGCCCTGTCCTTGGCTGTGATGTTAAAAAACGATATATGCGGTGCTCTGGGGTTAAAGTATGCCGATATCTAGATCCACGTCTCCAGGGTTTAGCTCATATCGCGGCTAATGAGTGTCACGGAGTTGATAATCTGGAAATCATGTGACTGTTATGTAATACCCACAACTACTTAACCGATCCGTACCCGGATCCCCCATGATTCTTTCAAGAATCAGTCTTGAAATGTTATCGAGTTCTTGTTCCCATCCTTGTCTTCTCTATAAAATCCAGTAACCCTTACAATTCTGATTCTTCTCTTGATTGATCAAAGAAGACATTATGGCACCTCGAACCCGAAAACATAGTACTAGCACACGAGACTCCCCATCGGTCCCCGCTACCATAGTTGAGCCTGCTATCAGTGCAACCTTCACCTAATCGGGAGCGAATCCACTACCAACCGCCCCCGATCCCGAGCCAGTATCAGGTTCAGAAAATTCTCTAGACCAATCAGAGTCTGACGAAGAGATCCGTGAACTTCGAAAAATATCCTGTTGTATAAAAATGAAGTATATGCTCTAGAAGTGTATTAGAGAGTACGAACAACAACTCGAAGAATACGAAACCCTATCGAAGCGCCGCCGGAAGGCCGCCGACCGACCCTCGTCCCAATCAGGATCAGATTCAGAACGAGAACTAAAGGGACTCCGCGAGATCAAGTTTAAAGATATCGATAATTTTACCCTTGATTTCAGTCTTCAATAATGGTTAGAATGGATTCGTGATCTCGAATAATCCTTTGAAGCAAACCCTAGACACTATCCGAATTCGAAACGGAAGGTTTACGCTGGAATTGCGCACCTAAATATAGAATGTTGTTAACGCTGGTACACCTACTACGACGAACTGAACCCTGAAGAAGCCTACGAAGCAAAAAAGTCATAGGATTACTTCAAAGATTAGACCAACCAGTTGGTCGCTAATCTCGCGACGGGCCTGATTGAATACCGAATCCGACTAGAATCCGCCCGTCAGAAACTAGACCAAAGTCTAAGCGAGTTCCATTAACACCTTCTAAGCCTGGAACAATTCGCCGGAAAATAGCCCGAAGAAGACCATGCCCTCTTCTTCTTTGTAAAACTTAGCCAAGGACTCCGAGATGCGATCATCTCTACGAGAGCAGGCGATCTCCCTACTACTCGAGACGCTATGGTTATGGAGGCAAATCGATATTGGCAAATCCTTAAACGCGCCTTAAATATTGTATATAGGAATAGGGAAAAGCGTAAAGAAGCCGAAAAGGACGGAAACAAAAAACCAAATTCAAGCCCTTTCTAAAAAACCTACACCAGCTCCACCTTATCGATAAAGAAGCCTTCTTTCTCTTAGCACTTGGACTCGAAACCCTAAAGAAACGATAAAGACTCTAAGCCGAAGGGATACCTTAGAAAAAAGACATAAGTCCCTGATGACTAGACTTTTGTTTAGAACAAGGAAAAGAAGCGGAAAGAATATAAAATCTACTTTAGTCCTAACCATAAAAGCCCCGCGTGCCCGAAAAACACTACTAGGGTATAGGGTGCAACTAAGATCGAGTCAAGAATATCGATCGATAAGCCATAAGTTAAAACCACCGACTAGTTTTTCATACTAATTCGACTCCGAAACAAGATCGAAACGCATATAGACCTTGATACCTATATGGAAATAGACCTTGTTAGTATCTAATTCGCGTAAAATTATAAACTTAACTAGGCGCCGATGATAGCACCTATCATCTAAATAGTCGGAAAACTTAACGTCCCAATATTTAGAGTATAGAGGGTCCTAATGACTATCACCGACTCTCGCGGAATAACCAGGAATCTTGAATAATTCTGTGTCGGTATCGATCGAGAAGCTGATCTCTCGGGAAGCCTAATCCTCTTATCGATGATAACCTGCCGAGACGAAAGAATCCATATTTCCACCTAGGATAGAAAATGGTGGTTTTAAGTACGAAACAGAACCATTTCGATAGACTCCCTACACTAATTCGTAAAACACACCCGGAATGAAGTGAAAGTTTTCGCTCTAGTCCGGATAAACGAGGATATTTAACTCCTAGAAGACGATAATAAAAGATAGGGAGAAGACACCTTACCTCCCAAATTCGAGTCATTTCGTGACGTTTTCGACCACGAAAAAGCATCTTCTCTTCCACCACTCAAAGATACTGATCACGCTATTAACCTAATCGACGGCGTAACCCCGCCTTATGGACTAATATATCCGCTTTCATAAACTGAATTAGCGATAGTCAGGGAATAGATCGATGAAGGCCTATAAACTGGCCGGATGCGACCTTCAAAAAGTCCTGCTGGCGCCCCGATCCTTTTTATGCTAAAGAAGGATGGCGGTCTACGACTCTGTGTTGACTACTAGGGGCTTAACTATGTTTTGGTCAAGAATCGGTATCTATTACCCCTGATTTCGGAGATCCTAGATCGCCTTTCTAGATCTAAATTCTTCTCTAAAATTGATATTCGCGACGCCTATTATAGGATCCGTATCAGAGAGGGGGATAAGTGGAAAACTATATTTCGCACTAGATACAGACACTTTAAGTATCTGGTTATGCTATTTAGGCTAACTAATACACCTATAATATTCTAAAACTATATTTATATAGTATTTAGAGGTTTACTTAATATTATTTATATTATATACCTCGATGACATCCTCATCTTTTCGAAAACATGTTAGGAATATTCCGAGCACGTTTTGTAGGTCCTTTAGCGCCTACGCGAGGCTCAACTCTACGCAAAACCCTCGAAATGCACCTTTTACTAAAACAAAGTCGACTTTCTAGGATTTGTTATCGACGAAAACGGGATCTTAATGGACCTAAAACATATGTCCGCCATCGAATTGTGGGAGATTCCTACTAGTTTTCATGACGTCCAGGTATTTCTAGGTTTCTGTAACTTCTATAGGAGATTTATTCAAAATTACTCCTCCATCGCACTGCCCCTGATAGATATACTAAAAGGGAGTGTGAATAGGAAAAAACCTGGAAAAGTCGAACTAAATCTGGAATAAACCTAATCATTTCGGGAGCTTATCTAAGCTTTCTAAAACGCACCTCTGCTTCGATACTTCGATCCTTCGAGGCCGATTCGGCTAGAAACCGATGTATTAAATCTTGGTATGGCTAGGATACTATCTTAGCTAGACCCAAAAAATGTTTAGTATCCTATAGCCTTTTGGTCAAGAAAATTTACGGGGCCAGAATTAAATTATTCAACCCTAGATCAGGAGCTATTTGCGATCATCTAATCTTTTAAAAACTGGCGACACTACTTAGAAGGTAGCCGATTCACTGTCGAAGTGCTCTCGGATCACGCCAACCTCTAATCCTTTATATAGTAGACCATATTAAATGGTCGATAAGCCTGTTGGTGTCTTTTTCTAACACTATTTGATTTTGTCATAAAACATAGGTCAGGGAAAACCAACCCCATAGATGGGTTGTCCCGAAAACCAAATAAAGAGAGTTCCTCTCGAAACACTGACGTTCTAGGACCGATTCGAAATAGGATTGTAAGGGCGGAAGCGCTGATCACGACGAAACCCTTGACGCTACCAAAACTCTTCTCTTAGAAGAAAAAAATCAAAACCGAGTACAAATCTCCACAGCGGAATGCCTTATTGTAGTCGAGTCGTGCGCCATTCGACTACGTTTCGGATGGTTGCCGGGGCTAACTCGCTATAAACCTAGGGAAAGGAGAACCTGAGCGGATTCGTCCGTGTATGGCCTCCTATAACCAAAACATTGGGGAAGGAGATCCTGAACAGATTCGTCTATGTAGGGGCTCCTATAACCAAAACTCTAGGAAACAATCTCCCTGGAGTGATCCCGCGAATGATGTGTTATCCACCTAGGATTTGCCTGGGTATCGGGACCCATTCGACGAGGACCCGGATCTTAGAGATCCGGCTATCCTTAAAAACCTGGGTCGCTCCTAAACCATTCCTCGCTAAGCCTTAGTTACAGCAGCGAGGGAGGAGGACATTTTCTCCGAAAACCCAAACTTTGAGTTTGAAAACCTGATCGCCAAGGTCCAGGGTGACGATCCTGAGACTCGATAGCGTATCGAAAACCTTTCTAGTGGAAAACCCGGCCAAATCGGTTGGACCCTTGATAGTAATAACCTTTTATGGTTTAAGGAACGAATTTTCGTTCCGCAAGGAAATTTACGAAGGTATGTTATGGAACTTCATCACGACGATCTATATATAGGCTATTTTGGTCAAAACCGCACTAAAGAGCTTATCAGGCGAAAATTCCACTAGATGAACCTCTAACAAGACGTAGACGAATATATAGCGACTTACGTAGTATATCAGGGAGCTAAGGCCCTAAGGCACAAACTATATAGGAAATTATAACCCTTGCCACAACCAACTCGTCCTTAGAAAGAAATATCGCTAGACTTCATCATAGGCCTTCCTCCTATAATATAGAAGGGCCAACACGTCGATGCGATTCTGGTCATTGTCGATAGGTTCACGAAATATAGCCTATTCGTACCTGTTTCGAGCACGATAAAAGTGGAAGACTTCGCCGAAATCCTCTATAAGCATGTTGAACTCCGATTTGGAGTCCTAGACGGGATCGTTTCCGACCGAGGAAGCATCTTTACTAGCAAGTTTTGGTCCCGAATCTATTACTATTCGAGAGTGAAACGACGTCTATCTACTATATATTATCTATAAACTAATAGATAGACTAAATAGATAAATCAAGTACTAGAATATTACCTCCGATGTTTTGTCGGAACCGAATAGGTTGTTTAGCTAAAACTTCTGATAATAGTAGAATACGTATATAATAATACTATCAATTCGACAATAAATCTATCTCTATCCGAATGCCTTCTAGGATACCACCTAGAACTCCGATTCCGCGATAGCTTAAATAATAAAGATAAAGAGGCTCTAAGCGTATAGGATCGCGTGAAAAAACTCCACGAACTATAATAGAAAACGGCAGAAAACTGGTAAAAAGCAAATGAATTGATATCGAAATACTATAACAACCGACATAAACCAATGGAATTCAGGGTCGGCGAACTAGTAAAACTCTCCACCAAAAACATACGCCTCGACCAACCATCAAATAAACTAGGTCTAAAATTCATTAGACCATTCAAGATTCTTGCCCGAGTCGGAACCTAAGCGTATTATTTAAGCCTTCCTATAAAATACGATCGCATTCACAACGTCTTCCTAATTCAACTACTTGAACCCTAGAGGTCCCGAAATGGTGACGAATTAACCATATTACCAAATCTATAAGACAACGAAGACTAGGAAATTAAAGAAATCCGGGACGAATCTATTATTGAAAACGAAACATACTTTCTAGTCAAATAGAAGGGCTAGCCATCAGAGTATAATCAATAGGTCAGCCAAGACGATTTAAACGTAGATAAGCTTATCAAAAACTTCCGAAAAAACAAAAAACGATGAACCGATTAGAACCCTATCGGAACATGGATATTGCAATCATGCAATACCATAAACCCGGAACGGAACAAACAGACCCCCGAGTCACGGGGGAACAACTATATTAGGAACTCAAGTAGCTACATGAATCGAACATATTTCACACCACTTTGCATAACGTATATACTAAGAATCTAGGACGAACCATACCCTTTTCCAGTGTATATAGTGCAACGTGTGAACCCTGTCCTTTCAACGTAGTTGATCGACACTGA